AGTTACGTACAAGGCCCTATAAGAATATTCCAAATCGAGAAATATTCTGATTCACGATTCCAGATTTCAATTGGTCTAAACATTCAACATTTAGCCTAATCGATGTGTGCAATAGGTCTCAGCTTGAATAGACCGAGATAGACCGAGATGCCTACGAAGCTAGCTGACTACTTTCATTAGTCCCACGGATATAAAGAGGTATCAACTTCCATAAACATCTGAAATCTCTCTCAACGCCCTCACCCCTGTCATTGAAGATTTTTCATGCCCCACCAGGAACCCCTGCTCTTGCCTGGCGAACGATTCTATGATAGGCTATAGCACTGGAATTTGATTCATTACACCGAGAGGTTGTTGATACATCACATTTCCCAAAACGGTTCTTTTCACTCACAATACTTGAAAAGGCCCGAGCACCCTCTCAGCCTTTTAAGTCAAATGCGGAGTATCGAGAATAAATTATCCTATCAAAAGTATTAGGGTAAATATTCCGTTGTGCCGTCTTCGGTTTGTGAGTTATCGTGTCATGAACCGAATTTGCCGAAGGTATACTTGGTCCAAGCAACTGTCAAATCCCGGGAGATTGGCCCTCGGTAGCTGCGCTGGATGCCGATCATACGCCTTTTTTCTTTGAGCTGGGTCAGGGGCAATTTAATATCGATCCATATGCTGTAATATCTTAGGGCTCGTGGCAGATTGACCAATCGTAGCCATAGCTCAAGAGTCGTGAAGTGCAATACAGGATTGAGCTAGAGCCAGGGGCTTATTTGTTTTCAAGGTTGCGATCAATAAATCCATATCTCAATATTTTGATCAAGAAATGGCCCCTTGGCATTATGGATGGAAAATGGAGCGCAATATGAGGTAATCCAGAAACCGGATAGCTATCTGGAATGAAGGGCATCTCGTAATGAAAGGAATGCAGTAGGTCCAGATCCGAGGTCGGAGGTAAAATCTCTCAGTCAGTTAGGACAATTATACCCAGTCTGGTGAATCCATCTAGGTACGGTGAAGAAGACTGGCTCAGGGCCGTGGACGGACATATATGACAACGGTAATTTCTACACATATGTACTACCCAAACCGAGGAAAGTGGGCTAACGCAATGCATGGACATATTAGACACCTGACCTGTCCGCAAATCTACGGAAGCTTGAAATCTGCTTCCAAGTTCGATTGTGTAGCATTGCGCAATGCGGTGTATGAGAGTTGACTTGTAGCTTCTCACCGTCTTTTCTTTGATCTTTGGGCAACAAGAAATGGAGGTCAAAATATTGATATTGCCTACATACGCAGTAAAGCAGCCCTAGTTTCATTTCCAATCGGGTATTACCCCTCCGGCTACCGGCGGTGCAGACTCAAATGGGTGGGGAGAAGCACCGCCTTGATTCGGAATTCGGATAAATCATCTGATCGATCTTCTTTGCAGAAGAAGCACCTGGGAGCAGCGGGGGTGAGTCATGCATTCAGTGTATTTGGAGAGTCAAATAGTTAGATAAGAGCATGAATTTACAAAGTAGGCTGCCAAGCAGCTCACCGCAACCCTTTTATCCTAGCACTATGTATCAAATACCTCCAGGATTCTGCCTGACCTGCGTCAAAATTCAAAATCTTGCTCTTTGTTTACTTGTTAGCCGAGGGCCGAGTATGGGTCCAGGATCATGCACCTTGCAGCGGAACTGGAACGGATCTCTTAGCGAAGAAAAACGAAAAGAAGTCGTAAAATAGGAACTTCGTCCCGTAGCCGCCCGTCAGGCCTTAATCTTACGGGGTCCTTGGCCTAACTTTCCGAACATTCCGAATTGATATCATTGATCAAGGTGAACATGGTCGTTGAAACTTGTTGATGCACATGAAAACAGAAAGATGTCACACTACTAGTCTCTGGTCACCGCTACATTGACTTGACGTTGAAGTTGACGCACGGATACTCGGGGATGCTCGGAATATCAATCTATTTCATACCTAAGCCCGTCTTTGATACTATAGTTCGAGCCTTGAACTTTCCCTCTGTATGCTGTATGCATCATGCATACTCCGTAGAATAAATGAGACAATCATCAATGATGTGCTCTTCCAGTACATTTTCGTACAGTGCTTTTTTGATTGGTTCAAGTGGTAGATGATGATCTACTCTGTATACCCGTAGTCATACTCATACTCCATTTTCTTCACTCCGTTGAATTCACAATTCACGAAACATTGTTTTCTAGCCTTTGAAAATGATGACAAGAAAAGTGAGAGACACTTGGGCCACTACATCCATTCCTCGGACCCTTCATTTAAAAACCCCTCGTTCATCAGTAGCCGTAGTTGTTTTCACCCGCTGGGCTTGTGAGTGAGCTTGTAAATGGACTGCTGTGGACTAGTATCTCGCACACAATAGTGCGGGAAACTGACGTGACTAGCTTTGGACTATAAACAAAATGACGTTATCCAAGGAGGCATAATATATGATCTCTTATCTTTATCTTTTATACGCTTGCGCACATCTCACCGGTTTTGATGCTACAAGCCCCGCTTGGCTCACGTGGTTCTATTACGTTTACTACGTAGTACTCCGGACCTGTTAGTCTTTAGTACAAGGGCTTCCTTTACGCACTCTTTCTATAATGGTCCCACTTACAAGCCCCAGCCCCTTTGGGTCCCTTCCTACCTACTGGGTCGACAATCCAAGTCTCCCGTAATCCGTTATAATTCCTTCCATTATACTTCTTAATTTCCAATTACTTGTTCTGTAGTATCTACTGCCGTACTCATCATGTCCATCTTTACAATTGTATAGCTTACAAAGTTTATATAATACAAAAGAAACGAGAAACAAAACGATCTACCATAAGTGGGTCTTAGCCAGATTGTCGGTGAATTTAGTGGATAGCTCAGCTGATATGGAAGTTTTCGAGAAGCCTTTGGCGCCAAAAATAAGTTCTGTACTGGGCTTACCGTATTTAGTATTGTATACGCTTTGACAGGAATCCACTGGTATTAGCGCCCCTTATACTTCCCTCCGTATGATCAAATCCTCAATAATCAGTGGTCAGATTCTCTGATAAACGGTTTCAAGGTACGCTATGTCCGGAATTTTAAGGCCACGCTACAGTCCCACGCTACAGTCCCAGTAGTCTGGATGACAGACAACGGGTTGGGGTTCCTATCTTGAATTTATATATTGTTATTGAACGCACATCTATGCATATATTTTGCATTTTCTCATGCTTGATGACATCTAAAAGCCTTACCGCAACAAGACCTCATAATTGGACTAAATTCAATTCGAAACATGATTTAAGTGTTGTTTTTGTTTGATGTGTTGTTTCTTTGAAAGAAATAGAGAGGCTGACTCCACCGGGCTCCATCTTTATTTCTTTCTTTTACCTTCGAGATTCAGTTCCAAGTTTCGACGTGTTTAAGCTTGTGGAAAGACGGCTGAGCTTCCCCGAAAACTGCGGCTCCATAGACTCCATAAGTGGACCGATCGTGGGTCAAACAGAATGACAGGGGGGATATGATAACAGTTCTACCAATTCTTCCACGGCAAATAGAACATCATGGTAAGAAAGGTACTCTTGACAGTCAATTCAGCTGTCCCTTTAGTGTCTATGAACCTAATTTTCTGGAAGTTAGAAGTAGATCTATCATCTCACTACATCGTACTAAAATCAGACGCTTATGAGTGAAGAAAGTAAGAGAAAAGCCGAAGGTACACTTTACGGGAGAACATTCCTAGCGCAGTTCCCCAGCTGTGGGTCATGGTATTGTGTAAGAGTAGTAACTGAAACTTGTAACTGCTATTATCTGGGGCTCACTGACAGTAGTATAGGAAGTTATACTATAGTAGCCTATAACTTATCTACCATCGTCTACCTAGGTAGACTACTTAACGTGTATTTATAAGTACTCGAAAATAAGGACTACTATGTAGATATTAATCTAGAATGCATTCCCTAATCTAATCATCAATCGGGTTCTCTCCTAGAATCCGGAAGTGCTTCCATTGGCCCGCAGAGTTTGAATGACGATACTCAACCCTTTTCTTCCCTTGCCTCGATCTTTTCCCCTTTATTTTCAGGTATTACCTGTTTTTCTCTATTTCCATATATTTTAATTTTCATGACGGAACAGATCACAAATCTGTAAAAGGTTAGATCCCCCAGTCGGATGATTCCGATCCGCCCTTTTTGTCAAGAGAATCGGGAAAATAAAAAGAATAAAAAAAGTCCCAAAAATTCAAAATAACTAAATACTAAATACTAAAACTCCTTTTAAAAATAAAATGAAATTCCCGAAAATATTACGACCCACTACGCCGTACCCCCGTTTAGTCTTTATTCCTGAATTCAATGTTTGCTCTATGCATCCTGCGGCCTTCTGTACAGCTGTAACGGAAATTCCTCTGTTGATTTAGTTCGTTCGTTGCCGCCTGATCACATCGGAGGAGTATAGATGGAGCTATCCACTATGTACTCGTCTAATATAATATCTCCCCTTTCCCCATTGTATTCCTACTTTAAACTCCAGGCCTTTTCTACTCGAGACTCCAATACTCAGAGGAAAGATTCTTCATAGATCCCTTCTCCATTCTTGATACCGCCCTTTCTTCTTTCACTCCCACATCTTATAAGCTTATATCCCCCGCTTCAAAGGGTATCCTTTTTCGATCTGTCAGCTTCAAGTCTTTTTGTACCTTCCTTGCAGGTGTCTCATAGTTTGAGTACCTGGTGATCTACCACCTGCATTATCGGATTGAAGATAGCATTTCCAACCGCAGGGGGGACAAGCAATGCTGAAGCCCTAAATCTAACATCAACATCCACCAAATCTCCTTACTCGGCCAATTGCTTTTTTTCCACCTTTTTAAGACCCTGAACAACCGTGGAAGCTTGGGGTAATCTCTTGCCAGCATTGTGGCCCTTGTTGTTTCCCCCACCTATATTGAAAAGGCGGGGACATTTCATCTTGTCAACTGGTAATATATCCATACTATTCATCTGATATTCATAATGTTCCAATTACCGGCTTGTCTTCAAAGCCGGCGACAGCGCAATGGCGAGAACTGGTCTACATTTCCTATTCGACAACTGTTCATTTTGGGTAAGTAACCTCGGCTGGTACTTTTGTCCACGGGTTGATCTATACAGCTCAATCTAAGAGAACGTTGAGTAAGAATAAACACTAATTATGTTCTCCTAGCACTTGTCCGAATCTGTGAGCCGATTGCTTTCATGTCCATTTTCCCTTACGTCTATCACATGGTTGAGTCTTTCCATGTAACGGATAACGACCAAAAAATCGCTATTTACGCCGGAATGATCACTTCTTCTTTCACATTCGCTGAATTTACAGCCGGCATGTTCTGGGGACGGGTTAGTGACCGCATCGGCCGCAAACCAGTTCTCATCATGGGCTTGATTGGAACAGCAATTAGCATGGTTGTATTCGGATTTGCGCCCAACCTTGCAACAGCGATGATTGCGCGCGCACTGGGCGGATTGCTAAATGGCAACATTGGTGTGCTTCAGACAACCGTGGCAGAAATTGTGACGGTCAAAGAGCACCAGCCGCGGGCATACTCGATCATGCCTTTTGTGTGGTGCCTGGGATCAATCATTGGCCCGGCTATGGGCGGTGCATTGGCCCAACCTTGCGAGAATTACCCGGGCTTCTTCCAGCGTAACACCCTCTTCGACCGGTTTCCATTTCTGCTGCCCAACCTGGTGTGTATTGTCGTGCTGATTTGCGGCATTGTGGTTGGATTCTTGTTTTTGGAAGAAACCCATCCAGAGAAGAAGCTTCGTCGTGACCCCGGTCGTGAGTTGGGCCAATGGCTCATTAACCAATGCTGGTACTCGCGAGTACAACTTCCGGACGATTCCGACGTGGGGGTTAAGGAGACAAAGTACTTTACCTACGGCGATCTCCCACCCGACTATGAAAGTGCCGAATCAACGCCCTGCATTCCTGTTAATGACGTCGCAACTGAGTGTGACTTGGAGGGGCAGAAAGCTCCTATCAAAGTGTTTACTCGTCAAATCATCTTCACTATCGTTGCTTACGGTATTTTGGCATAGTGAGTTGGCACCTTTCATAAATCCCTTATCTTATTTATTACAATTAACTAACTGTGTCGTCTTCTACCTGCAGTCATAGTGTATCTTTTGATCAGCTGATGCCGGTCTTCCTGAGCACCCCCGAATCCAATGATAAAGTACAACTACCACTTAAGTTCACTGGCGGGTTAGGTCTACCAACAAAGACCATTGGCTTCATGCTAGCTGTACAGGGTATCTACTCTATGGTAGCCCAGCTCTGGCTCTTCCCATTCGTCGTCAAGAACTTTGGAACTTTGCGTACCTTCCGCTTCGTTCTACTTGTTTGGCCGCCACTTTATCTCGCAGTACCATATCTGATCCTTCTCCCTGCGGCACTGCAGATGCCGGCTGTATACCTCGCATTGATCAGTAAGATTACTTTGCAGGTCATCGCTTTCCCAGCTACGTCTATCTTGCTGGCCAACTCCGCCCCTTCGAAGGTTCTCGGCACTATCAACGGTGCAGCTGCATCTACTGCCAGCCTGAGCCGTGCTTTTGGTCCAACCATTACCGGCTTTTTGCATGCCAAGGGCCTTGCCAATGGGTATTCTGTGCTAGCCTGGTGGGCCTGTGGCTTGGTTTGCCTCACCGGCGCCATCGAGAGTTTCTGGATGGAGGAGACTCCTGAGCCGGAGCGTTTCAAACGCCCTGACTCTCAAGAAAGCGAGGCGGAAATGAAGCGAGAGACCATGTCAGAGGTCTCTGTTGGGCAAGAGGAACAACGACTTCTTTCTCTTCGCTCCAGTATCGATCAAGATTATGAAGTTTCAAACGCTCGATCTGCATAAGCTGCTCAATGGCATATTGCTTTAATTTTCCTTTTACTATACCTGATATCTTCGGAAGGGCCCGTGGAAATGGCGATTTAATGATGCATTTTTGACCATCGGTTTTCATTTGATCTCTACGATGATACTCGATCCTTTTATACATGGTCCTTCTCGAAAGCATTCCTTGATTCGAGTGGATTTGGCGCAACTGATATAGATTTGGGTGCATTATCCTTTTTTTTTCACTTTTGGCGGCGTTTTCTCATGGAGCATTAACGGACTATGTTACGATGATACTCATGCATCTGGGTGGATATTTGATTGTTTTTTTTCTCTTCGCTCTAGGTATTTCATATTTTCTGCCTACTTTGATCTCATCATGAATTCAATGAACGTTCTGAATAAAATGACGAAGTAGGAGCCCTTACACAGTATTTGTAATTTATCTAATCTAATTCTTTTATCTTTCCCTCTTGTTTACATTCTACCTAATTGTCTCCGCCAATGACAGCTCATATCAACTCCACTTGTTAACAACACTTGCAATGGGGCTTTAAATCATAGTCACCAATTGCCGCCCAGAATTTACTGAGTCTTGGACGATCTAAAATAGATCTTCTCTTGACTAGTAAAGTCTGGGGCGGAGAAATATATGTCAGTTGTTGAGCCTTAATTTGTTATTCCGGGACTCCACTTCAAAGCCTATCACCTTAACTATTTGTTACACTTTTATCTTCCACCTCCCTTCACTATCTATGACACCAGTTGTATAGCCTGGTCGTGTGAACTGTTGCGACTATTCAAAGCGCAGTTTAATGAATTTCTAAAGATACCTACTCGTCACGTTCTGAGTATAATCTCACCGTAGCGTGTTTGCGCTGCGGAGAGTACCGACCTTGAAGCCAACCACCTTTATTAGTGCGGGCTAGTTGCTTCTTAGCTGGTTTAGATCGCAAGAACCCATTCTTTGATATTACACGCCCTCCGTGTCCCAATCGCTCCGATATACCATGAATCTTGATGTGATCGGAGGGATAATTCCGCTGTGACCCGACCGCGTTCTCTACCACACTCCGCCAAGAGATGATCGCACATCTGCGGCTCTCGCCACTCGTTCCCTGCCATGCCTAACGCCTCTTCGCCGAAGTCGCCGGTCTCCTCAGGGAGGAAGAGACCGCATCCTTCCACTGAAACGACCCACATCGACCCCGCTATCTCGACGACCTCTGACGTCCCCAAGCCAGCCGCGCCTGTCGCTTCTGCCTCGTCATCTTTCCGCAACGTCTCTGCCTGTAATCGGTGTCGACTGCGCAAAAATAGATGCGATCAACGACTCCCACGCTGCCAATCCTGTGAAAAAGCCGGAGTCCGCTGTGTCGGATACGACCCTATCACTAAGAGAGAAATCCCGCGCAGCTACGTATATTTCCTCGAGACTCGTGTCGCCCATCTCGAAAAGCAATTAGCGCAACATAACATTGAGTTCAAAAAAGCAGCCCCGTTCGACGAAGAAGAAGCCATCAAAAATGGAACTGAAGGCTATCTGGCGCAATGTACAACCAGCGACGGTCAGGTTGGCGACGCGGGTAAATCAAAGAATAATAGCGCAAAAGATGATCTAGTTGTGAAATCAGAGGGAGAGCAAACTCGCGGAGATGGAGACTCTGCCAGTGAGGAGAATTGGCGTCTTAATAATCTCGTGTCAAATATTGGCATGGTTTCGGTGCAAGGGACGTCCGATCCTCGATATCTTGGGTCAGCATCTGGCATTTCATTCGCAAGAGTCGTCTTTGCTGCAGTCCGGAGCTCGCTCCCCGGAAATATGCCCGAGCGGGCCTCTATTCGCACAGGTGAGCGACTGCCACAGACAGCTGCTGCCGGTCCCGGTGCGGGTTCCATGCGCGATTCATTCTTCGGACTACAGACTAGGCCAATGATGAAACGGGCGTCTTTCCCAGACCGAGAGCTTGCTGAAAGGCTTATTGGTCTTTACTTTGAACACGCGAATCCTCAAATGCCGATTCTTCACCGAGTCGATTTTATGGAACTGCTGGACCGCACTTATCAGATGCAAGAGAAGTATCGTTCTCCGCGAGCTCTTTATATTCTAAATATTGTCTTTGCCATTGGTGCGGGAATTATATTTGAGGAAAAGCCCGAAACCCTTGATGTGGACAACGGCGCGAGTCGTGATCGAGCTTCGTCCACGGCAAAGAGGCCGAGACTGTCTAGTTATCAATACCAGCCTGAAGAATATCACGCATCTGCAATTGTTCACTTGGAATCGTTCCTCGGCTCCTCATCGAGCGAGGGCTTTGGGGGGTTGGAAGAACTTCAGGCAGTGCTTTTGCTAGCCAGCTTTGCCCTGCTGCGTCCTGTCGCTCCCGGTCTCTGGTACATTGTCGGTGTTGCCACGCGCCTGGCTGTCGATCTTGGACTGCACTACGAAGATGGTGTAGGCCTTGACACTTCGAAAGACGGCAATCAAGTCCGATCGCGCATCGATGATCGCGAACGAGGACGACGAGAATGGGTGCGTGATCTACGCCGCCGTCTGTGGTGGTGTGTATACAGCTTTGACCGACTCGTTGCCACCTGTGTTGGACGGCCCTTTGGCATAAACGACCAGGCCATCAGCACTGAATTCCCGTCCATGATTGATGACAAATATATTACAAAGTCTGGACTATTGACACCTCCAGATGGTGCTTCGACCTACAAGCATGTAGCTTTGCACTACTTTAAGCTACGTCTACTTCAGTCCGAGATCCACGACGTTCTCCAATACCAGCAGGCAAGCGCCTCGAGAAGACGAGCACCTAATAGTACGATAATTCTTCCTCATGCTGAGCTTACATCGCCTTTCTTGCAAGGCTTTGATTCTTTCCGTTCATGGCGCCATGATGTGCATAATCGTTTGGTAGAATGGCACGGTGCTGCTCCAACACGGGCAGATACTGGCGTGCAATTTTCCATCGAATTACTGGAGTTGAACTATTGGCAAGCTATTATTTTGCTATACCAACAGAGCCTGACTGTACCTGCTGAGTTGGCTGGAGAGTTGACACCGGCTGATGATGTATCCAGCCCGTCCTTTTCAAATTTTGACGGTGGTGATGATGAAGACCATGTTTATCATAATGTGGCAGAAGCCGGTCAGAAAGTGATTCGGATATATCGACAGCTCCACCGGGTTCGGCTGGTCAACTACACCTACCTGGCTACACATCATATTTTTATGGCTGGTATAATAATACTCTTTTGATTTTTTGAATCAGTGCTAATAGTCCTTATAGGAATTTCTTTTCTATATGCTATCTGGCATTCACCGCTAGTTCGAAGTCATTTGGTATGTAACATTGTACCCTCTCGCTCTCTTCATAATACTAACGATGTATCATTGGAAAGACTCTTGATGAGGTTGACTTTACAGTTCTAGCAGCAACCTCTGTTCTGGGGGATCTTATGCACAAGTGTCCACCAGCTGAAGCTTGTCGAGATGCTTTTGAGCGGATGAGCAAGGCCACGGTCCAAATGTCTCTGTCAACGACCGGTTTTGGATCTCAGGTCGACATGACTCTTGTGAACTCAGGATCTAGCTCATCTGGATCTCTACAACTGGGACGTCGTCCGCCGATGGAACAGAGACAGCGAGGTCAAGTCCCCTCGCGGCGACCAGCACAAGCCCGTACGGCACGGCCGGTCCCCAAGTTTGACATGAACTTAGGGGATCTCTTTAATGACAATGCACCATTTGCCGATCGCCCCCGTCCAGACAATAGGCCGGGGGGTCAGCCCTTCTATCCCGAATCAGTACATAGCGGCTATGCCACAGACCGTCCCATTCGCTCATATCCTCAACACAACCCCCCAGTGGAGTACCTGAAGTATGAAAATTCGGAGTCACCACAACCACCGCCACATTGTTATTACTCAAACTCTCCACAGCAAAGTGGCTCTCCTGCAAGTATGGGAAATGGACCCCATCCTGCTCCATATGCAGACCCAGAATCCCAGCCAGGTATGAGTCTTGACTTCCTAGATTGGGATGCAGGAACCCAGGCCACGGAGCCACATCTAAATGCCGATCATAACCTAGATCAGAATGTGGGAATCGACCTAGGATTTGGCATGGCGATGGATTTCCAGCATGACTGGAGTGAAAATCCCAGCTACGATATTCTGGAGGGATATTTCTTTGGAGGTTCTGGGGCAGGTGCTGCTAGTGATGTATAAGGGATTCTTCATATGACTCCTCTTGGTCTTTCTTTCCTTGATCGATTTATCTTTCTGGCGTCTGCCATCTCCGCAACAATCTCTTTCGGGGTCTATATAGTTACAGAGAGAATTATGGAAAAAGAAATGACTTCATAAAAGGGCTTGTTATTTTTTTCCCGCTCCAAATACCATATTCATTTACATTTCAATCCAAGTGTTTCATAGCAATAATCACCTAAGCATCACCAAACTGTAGTTGGAGAATGTGAACGTTGGCCTTAGTTATAGATCTCGGCGAATGCCTTGGGCAGCAGCCAAAACAAACCCGCTTTTTCCATCCCCACAAACAACGCACCAACCAGGTCCACAATACAATGCCGACGACATTCACTTGAAAGGGGTTGACCTATTACATTCTTTTGGTAGGAGTGCTGCCTTGTTTGCCCTGTGAGTGAGATGAAGTCTCTGCGCGTGGACCCAACAGCCTGACTTTCTAACCTCATCAGGTGCCCATGATCTCAAGACTAGCACCCCTCGCTCTAACTTGAACCTCCCTTGATCCAACATCCACCTTCATCACCTGTTGGATTATTGCACTATTCCAATTTGTCGCAATTTCAAGCACTACAACTCCACTGGGCTTACCTAGATCGAGATTTCGTCCTACGATATAGCCCGTCAACCGACCCTATCTTCGCGAACACACCCACTTTTTAATTTCGGACTTATTTTCTTCGACCCCCACCAAACACCAACTTGAAAACAAGCACAATTCTCTCCACATGCGACGCGCATAGGGTGTATCCATACCCTCGAACTGAAATCCTTGAACTGAAATTCTAGTCTACGCATGCATGTGATCACCGATTATTTTGTCCGATTGTTGATAATGCGCCTTGATTTCTGATCATTTATCACGTTGCTGCATCAACGCGACAATGGTGAAAATCGACTTGCGCAGGAATTACTATGCGGATCTGGGGCTGCAGATCGGCGCAGATGCCGAGGAGATCAAAAAACAGTTTCGCAAATTAGGTAAATAATTCACCCGACGCAACCGAAAAACTGGCAGGACTTATCAATTTCTATTTAGCTCTTCAACTTCATCCTGATAGGAATCCAGGCAAAGAATCTGAATTCATTGCGAAATTCCAGGTCATCCAATCCGCAAATGAAATCCTAAGCGATCCCATCCAACGAGAAAAGTACGACGCCGATCGACTGCGCGCAAACTATGGCAAGGCCCCTGCTCCGCCCAAGAGCAGCACTCCGCGCAATGCGCCTCCGAAACCTCAACCAGCGAGAACGCCATTCACCCCTCGCCGGCCCGAAAGACCAACGGATGGACATTCGACTGGTTCTCAACGATATTCGAATTGGCGTCCTGCCGATTCCCGCCAATGGTCGAAGGAAGACAACGCTAATACGAGAGCCGATGCATGGCAAGGATTCTCTAGAATGAGAAACCCAAGCACGGGCAATACAGCCAACACAGGAGCTAGTGCAAATGGCTGGCAATCATTCGATCCGAAGACAGGGCGTGCAACTCCGGACAGGCAGCATAACAAGCCTTTTGGGCAACGTCCTAAATCGGCATATGCAGAGAATGATGAGAATACACGGCCCCGATCCGCGTATGAGCGGACTAAAGAGAATGGAAATACCACTCGTCCGGCACAGGGACCAAATTCTCACCAGAAGAGACAGGGATTCGCACCTGGCGTTCCCGGCGGAGATGAGCCAATGGCCCGTGGAACCTCAAACTACACAAGCAGCCGGCCAAGCAGCATGTACTATGACTACTCCTCTGCTCCCCCGCCAACTGCAAAGAAATCACCGTACCCAGATCCTCAGCCTGACCGTTTCAGTCGCCAGTATGACCTCTTCCATCCCTATTACTCATATCCCGTTATTTTCTAACGCCTCAACCTTTGGAAGACCTCACAGCACGCGTCCTTCGCCTGGTTCAACTAAAAACAACCATAGTAGCCGCTCAAGTCCCCCGAATCCCAAGCCTAAGAAACAGCACAAGTCCGACGCTCGGCCCACGCAAATGCACGCCTCCGATGCTACAAGCTCCAGTGGAATAGACTCAGATGACGGATCAATTCCCAGAAATCCTAAGCCAAAGGCCGTCCCCGTGTCCCGCCTTGGCAAGAAATCAGCGGGTGTTGTTCCCGAGACTGGTAGGTCTCATCGCCCTACTCATGAAGACCATTCCTCTTTTGGATTTCCCCCTCTGCTACTGGATCGCCGCCTTCAGCAGCGTAAAAGTCTCGTCCATAGTCAGTTCCGTCTCTTTTTTGGAGGCACGCTCTATTTTGCGGGCCTTTCTGCCCGGGACATGGCGCTTTCCCCCTTGACGAAGATGATAACTTCTAGAGATTATGACACCCTCTAACTGACAATAATCTAGGTCTCCACTCAAACTCAAAGGGCGCTGCTAGAGACTCGACTCGGTGGCAGCAATTCAGCTCAAATGAGCCCTCAGTTAATTTTACACCGATGAAATCAGAAACACCCGGACTGTCTACTGGTGACCCAGCTGGTGGAACTCCCATTTTCCAACCAGCATCATTCCGTGCAGACTTATGGGCTGAAAGGTTGCGGAATATGACATGGAGTCCAGAGGGCAGTTTCGCAAACTCTGGGATGCGGAGTCCTAATAGGACATCAAAGCCCTCGACTAGATCGCGAACCGGTCCGCAGCCAGCAAGTGTGTCTACCGAGGCCGAAGAGGCTGCAGAAACAGTTAATAACAATATTCATCCCGAGCCTAGTCGACCTACTGCGGAGGCAGAGGACATGGATGTCGACATGGAAACTCCAGGTTCTTTTAAAGGGTCTCAATCCAGGACTCAGCATCCCTTCGTCCCTCCCCCAAGTGCCGCTAGGATGCCCCCATCATCTCAAGGTAACTCAGGAGAATCTCATCGTCCTCCCTTTAATCTAAGCCATCTTGGAAATACAGCACCTTTTACCGCTACGAACAACGGCGGCATTAACAACCTAGGTGATATCCATACGACGCTACCTTTCCAGTCAAAGGCAAAGCAACAGAGAACAACCGAACGTGATATCCGGCCCCGGACTCTCAATTTGCCTAACCCTCCCAAGCGGCCCACGGTGCCAGTCCCAGTCAGTCCCCATCCAGGAGCCGCGACCAAAGTACTTGATCTCAAAAAGTGGAACTTCTACGTTTCGGCAATGGGATCATACATGCATGACTGGAACTTATTTAATCGCCGCATGGTGGATCATTTCACCGCCCGACAAGAAGCGAACGAAACAGGTCTTTCGCCAAACTGGATCAGCGCCTTCGGGGATTCGCTTAGGCTAGATATTGAAGGTGAAGATGGTGATTCGAAAACCGACGAGCTTCTCCCAGGAAGCTACAAGGGTGGCTTCGCTACCTACCTACGGAGCATTGAAGAAGACATCCTAGTACGTAAGCACTGGGAGGTCGCAGAGGAGATGCACCGCGAGGCTATTCTCGACCTCGGTCGACTCCGGGAATGGATTCGAAAGGGAGGCAACCTGGTCTAGGCCATGGTAAATCTTTCTATTCCCTTCAGTTTTACGATTATCACGATAACATGGGTTGGTGCTTGCATCTAAATGGGGTTTTCTGATGGATTTCTTGCCGGTATTCTCACCATCTGGCCTGTTTAATACTGCTTATGTACACTATTCATACCTCCAAAGGCTTTAAGACGGGGTTTCCAAAATCAGCTTCTACGTTTTTACTCTTTTCGTCTTAGTCAATGACTAAACCTTGCCCTAGCTGCCTGAGGCATAAACCGATCCCGATGACGGCGTAATTTCTTATTCACTCCATCCTTCGTGAGTCACATAAAAAAGTAGTCTTTACTTTTTTGTCCACGCTTATACTAACTCGCCATTCAATCAAAGAATACTAAGTATATTCTCCAATCGATCCTTCTTTAATGTGTTGAGCGCCTAAAGACTTACCGAGAACCAACGAAGATCGATATCTGCCCCGCTAATCCGAAGCCGGACGGACTTCTTCCTCCCCAAACCCCGCCACTAGCAATTTCACCCCGTTCGCCAATTAGCACTTTCTCCACGCTTTGTATACTATCAACTCGCCTATCAACTCGCCTTTGATAACCATCCACAATGGTTTCCATCGTTTTGGGCTCTCAATGGGGAGATGAAGGTGCGACTCTTGCTGCGACTGCATATGATCCAGTCGATGATTCAATGCTGATATAAATCTACAGGAAAGGGGAAGATCACAGATGTGCTTTCGCAACAGGCATCATTGTGTTGCCGTGCCGCTGGTGGACACAGTAAGCTAATGCCGTACCTCTTCCGGGTCCTAATTATTCCTCGAATTTTTGCGAGACCTTGAAGAAATCAAGAATTGAGCCACTGACTAATTTTGTCTTTCTGCCGACTTATAGATGCCGGTCACACTATCGTTCACGACAATGTGACCTATGACTTCCACATTCTGCCCTCTGGTCTAGTCAGCCCTTCATGTATTAACCTCATCGGCGCCGGCACCGTTTTCCACGTCCCAAGTTTCTTCAAGGAACTCGCCCAGATCGAAAACAAGGGTCTCACCTCCGCCAGCAAGCGGATCTTCGTCTCTGACCGCGCACACGTCTGTTTCGACCTCCACTCCGTCGTCGACGGACTCGAGGAGGCCGGTCTCGGTGGCCGCAAGGTCGGCACCACCGGTAAGGGTATCGGTCCCTGCTACAGCGACAAGGCCGCCCGCCGCGGTGTGCGTGTCGGTGAGATTCTAGATGAGGAGACATTCGAGCGCAAGCTCCGTGTTCTGGACACATCGTACCGCGCGCGCTTCGGCGAGCTCGCGTATGATGTCGAGGAAGAAATCGCTCGGTTCAAAGTAGGTTGAAAACGGGACTATATATTGGGGTTCGCGTTGCACATGCAAGCCGCACAATACGGAACCGCCATAGTATATAAATAAACCCACCGATATTAACCAAATCTAGGAATACCGCACCAAGCTGGCTCCCTACATCGTCGATCAGCTCGAGTTCCTGCAAGAACACAAAAACTCGCCCAACATCCTCGTAGAAGGCGCCAACGCCCTCATGCTGGATCTCGACCACGGCACCTACCCCTTCGTGACCTCATCCTCGACCGGCCTCGGCGGAGCCGTCCAAGCACTAGCTCTGAACCCATCAAGCATCAAGTCGGTAATCGGCGTGATCAAAGCGTACACAACGCGCGTAGGCTCAGGCCCGTTCCCCTCCGAGCAGTTGAACGCCGAAGGCGACAAGCTGCAAAGCGTTGGCCGTGAATTCGGCGTGACAACTGGCCGTCGTCGTCGTTGCGGTTGGCTCGATCTCGTACTTGCGCGCTACTCGCACTCTATCAACCACTACACTGCGCTGAACCTGACCAAGTTGGATGTCCTCGATGACTTTGATGAGATCAAGGTTGGCGTTGCGTACATCTTGCCTAATGGCAAGCGTACGACTTGCACGTTCCCGGCTGATTCAAAGGTCGTCGAGAAGATTCAGGTTGAGTATGTTACCCTTCCTGGATGGAAATCTAACACAATGGGTGTGACTAAGTACGAGGAGCTGCCGCCTAATGCTCGTGCTTATATCGAGTTCATCGAGAAGGAGATTGGCGGTGTTCCCATCAAGTGGATCGGTACTGGTCCTGCTCGGGAACACATGATTGCTCGCAAATAGAAAAAAAAAAAAAAAAAAGGATGTGGCTCTAGGAGGTTATTGTAAATCTGTTTGGGATATGTAGATGTTTCTTTGTTTCAGTTCTATTATTTGGATATAGCTACCTAGGTATTGATCGAAGTATTTCAATTTTGTCATTCCTAACTGACTGTTTATTGCTTCTCTCTTCAGATGTCGAAAAATTCTACGCAGGTAAATGAATATACATCTCCTTTGCACCTGGCTTAGGTGGGCGAATTCAAGATTTTGAAGTTTGGGTACATTTCTTGCCTAGGTAGGTGTATACAGTTTGAAGGGTTGAGAGAAAATGCGATTAATATACACTGGAATATAGACTTTCATAGTAGTACATATGACAAATTGTCAATTAAAGAATCTCCATCATAGTCCCAAATTGTAGCGATATAAAAACAGGAGGTGAGAAGTGGAAGGAGAATAATTGACACAACAAGGGAGTATTGTACATATATGCCCAGGGAAAGACACAAACGCCGCCCAATGCAACAACGATGGTAGCTCTATCTTTTTTTTTTTTTCGATCACCGCGTAGCGTCAATAATAAAATTGTCACAAATTTTGACTTCGGATCATTTATTCAGAACCAAAGTCGAAATGGGACTGGCGGGGACGGAATGAGCGCTCGCCACGATCACCGCGACCGAAACCGCCGCGGTCACCACGCTGTCCATCACGAGAGAAAGTGCGGCGGGGGCCGTTGTCGCGACCGCCAAACGGAGTACGCTCACGGTTTCCGCCGAAAGAAGAACCGCCACGACGTCCACCGAAGGACTGACGATCACCACTTGGGGTGGCACGACGGAAATCGCGACTAGGGGATGACCCTGAACGCAAGCTGCCTGAATCTTCACGGGGAACATGTCCGGTTCTCAATTCGCTGTAGCGGGATAGGCCAAGGTTCATTGCAATATTACGGCTGACAATTGGGGGTTCGGGCAAACACATTCCATGCAGGGCGAAGTTGTTAAGAGCTTCAATGGCAACCCGCTTACTGTAGAAGGACATGGTCAATGTACCCAACATAGAGCGATAAGTAGCCTCCCGAACGTTGGTGGGAAGCTCGGCCATGGTTGACTTGACTGCCTCGATAGCCTCCTTTGCGGCTTCAGGGGCAGCTGAAACGTCTTGGCTCATATCCTGAGTGGCAGCAGCCAAGTCAGCCTCTTGGAGGGGCAAGTCACGGTATTTTCGCTGAGCGTTTTGGAATTCATCCTCGTGAATGAGGAGCCAGCCCTCACCCTCTTTGTTGGCACGACCAGTACGGCCCAGTCGGTGGATGTAAGTCTCGCGGTCACGAGTAACACCAAGCTGAATAACATGGGTGACTTCAGGGAAATCCATACCACGGGCTGTCACATCGGACGAGAAGAGAATACCTTCTTTGCACGCGCGGAAGGTGTCTGCAGCCCAGGTACGCCCTCTTTGGGTGAGACGCGAATGAATTTGGTAGAACTTCATGGAGCCCAAAAGGGTGTGGCCTCGATCACGGGGAAGCTGCATGAACAACTCAGAGGCAAGCTGAACTTCACTAGTGCAGTTGAAGTAGACAATGGCCTTGAATGGTCGCAGGCTGGGATCCTCCGCCCGGCGTACATTATAATCCTGGGCAATCTGGATGACAGATGGCAGACAGTTTTCGTATCCGTTCATGACCACAATCTTCTGCGGCACACGCAAATGGGTAGGAATCTCATTTTCCTGAACAGTTTTGATAAACTTGAAGTCTTTCTTCATAGTCTGCTTCACCACCCGCATCACCTCACTGGGAACAGTGGCAGAGAACAAGAGAGTCTGGCGCTCAACCTTGTGAGGATCCGGAAGCAGTTTCTGGATTTGAGCAATCTCCTGTGAGAATCCGGCATCCAAAAGACGATCAGCCTCATCCAAGATCAAGGTGTTGAGGCGAGGAGCCGAAACACCGCTGGAAGGGTCTGAGAAGATATCCTGGATACGGCCAGGGGTGCCGACCAGGAGATGGCAGCCTTCATTCTGAATATTCCGCAAGTGGCTCCGTTTGTGGGTGCCACCGACTGCAGTCTGGACAACCAGACCCGTTGAGGATGCAATCTTCCTCGCCTCCTCTGCAATCTGTTCCGCAAGCTCCCGAGTCGGGGAGATAATAATGGCGCGGATATCGGATGCGTTGGCAGAGCTGCGACGGCTGTTACCAAGGGACTTTGTAACGGTAGGATCGTTGAGAATGTTTTGCATAGTCGGGACGAGGAAAGCAAGTGTCTTTCCAGTTCCGGTCTTTGCCTGAGCCAAACTGTAAATGATGTTATTAAATGAATCGAGCTAAAAAGAGGGGAATAGCATGTGTCAACCTACATATCTTCACCGTTCAGTGCCTGATTTATGGTGTGACTTTGGATATCAGTCATGGTTTTCAAGCCCATACGCTTGGAGTCAACGATGTTGCGAATGATGGTTGGATCAATCAATCCCTGCGTCTTCAGATCTTCAAACTCAGTGATAAATTCTGGCACAGCTGACTCAACACCCTCTTCGGCTGTGCGAGTAGCAGTGGCTTCGCTGAAGGCAGGGAAGGATGTTTGGAACGAGCGAACCAGGGCAGGAGATGCCGCAGACTTGGGTTGCCATTTCAACAATTGTGGTGCCCATCGAGCGGACAGAGTGCGAGGCACAGATGTCCTAAGGACACTGGCAACACCAAATCGACGAACAGCGCTGAACATCTTGATGATATTTCAAAGCTGATGGATGATGATGAGAATTTCAGGCCAGCGCGCGCAAAGAAAAACGCAAAATTAAAACAACAGTCACATGACTGTTATCGATAAGATAAAAACTTGATGTTGATGCCTGAGGCACCAAGTTGCCAAATAACTCTTATTTGATCTTACTCCGTATGTTTGTTGTTATCTAAAATTTAAAGAATTTAAAAGATTATCTCCAAATAATGATCTCATTCACGTTTGAAATTTCTGTACCAAATCCACTATAAGATTATCTAGTCGGATAAGCCAAAGCCAAGCCTCCGAAGATTATGAGGTCGGATTCTCAAAATTCCGACAGCCGATATGAAGGACCAAGGATTCATAAGCTTCTTTCGATTTGGCTTAAGGCTTACAAATGTTGGTAAGCTATTTAGCTAATGGCTATTGGGGCTAAAGCCTAAATCCTGATAAGCTGCGAGGGTCAGAATGCATTAAAATTTATTGATTGGGAGGGGGTCTGGGTGCTATATAAAAGGCCCATGGTCCACCAGCCTCCAGGTTTGTCTGAAAACAACACATCACATTTCTCCTTCCATCGCTCAACATGGCTCCAACTGTCTTGATCATCGGAGCTTCAGTCACTGGCTTGACAGCGGCTCATGCCTTGCTACGAGATGTTCCTAATGCTAAAATTGTGCTCGTTAATCCCTCCTCATACTTCTACTGGATGATTGCCGCTCCTCGTATCGTCGCGAAAGCCTCAGCTTTCAAATCGGATCAGTACCTTATCCCTATCAAGGAAGCCTTTTCTCAGTACCCTGCTGAATCATTTGAATTTATTTTGGGCGCTGCGACGGCCATCGATCCTTCCACCAAAACGGTTACTATTACCTCGAGTGGTAGCGAACAGTCGGTGACTTATGACCACCTGCTGATTGCGTCTGGATCTACCACTCCTGCTACCATCGGCGAACTCTCCGGTTTATCAATTCCATTCAAAAACTCGAACCGCGATGACATGAAGGAGCTTATCGAGGCGGCTCAGCAGAAAATCAAAAGTGTCAAGAACATTGTCATTGGTGGTGCCGGACCCATTGGGGTGGAGGTAGCAGGCGAGCTTGCAGAGGCTGTCGCGGCGAATGGTCAAGAGGTGGACATCACACTTGTCTCTTCGGCAGATCGCGTGCTCCCTATGCTCAAGCCATCTGCTGGCTCTACTGCGGAGAAGCAACTCAAGCAGAAGAAGGTCAAGATCATTACATCAACGCGAGTTCTCGGAGCAGAGACCTCGGGAGAGAACTCTTGGACCGTTACCCTTGACAATGGCAAGACTCTCTCCACTGAGTTGTATATTCCCACGACCGGTGATGTCCCAAACAATAGTTTCATTCCAAAACAATTCCTTGACGCAGATGGCTGGGTCAAGATCGACAAAGAGCTGCGCGTGGTGGGTGACTCTCTACCGATCTATGCTGCTGGCGACATTGGTAACAACAGCATGCGACTCAGCCTCAAGGCTGTCGAGCAGGCCAAGATCGCCGCAAATAACATCAAGGTCGATATCCTGGGCAAGGGGGCGCGGAAGTCCTATGACCAGGGAGACAGTATCATGATGATGGTCCCTGTGGGATCAACTGGAGGCTCCGGACAGATCTTTGGTTTCGTTCCATTCAATTTCTTGGTGAAGATGGCTAAGGGCGGTGATTACTTCGTGTCGAAGGCAGCGGCCACCGTTGCTGGAAAGTCATAGCCAAGCCCTTGTTGAGTGAAGTGAAGGGCTTTCATGAATCGAATGATCAGTATAGGAATGTTTTAGCACTAATACTCACTAATACCATCTGATTCTTGTTTTTCTTCTGAGTGTGTAGGAAGTCGAAATAAGTACCTGGATCGTAAGCAGTAAGAATTAAGCTCGTTACTAATACACTAGTGCAGGTGCCGATGAACCAGGGAAAGAGATCAAGATCGTGAAAATTAATACCCACCCAATCCATAAATGGAATATACTCCGTGCTTTGAAATACAGTGTTCTTTACATTGGAATTAATGGTGCAACAGGCAACAACGGATCCTATTACCCAGAAGGGTGGCATCCCGTTCGGAAATGCCCTGTTTTCGAGCTCCTCCGAGAGATCCACTACATAAATGTCTCCGTCTAGATTTTTAGACGATTCTACATAGTTCTATGCCGAGGTAAGGATGTTTTCCACGAATCATACGTGTATTGAGTATTATAGTAGTAGTACATAATAAAAAGCATTAAAGAGTGGATACATAAGATTGACCTCTATAGTATCAACCATAACCATCTCGAGAAACTTCTCCGAGAAGTCGGCCCGCATCCGGACAAAGTCTGCTTTATAATATGACATATTTATGTTGATTCGTAATTGGCCTCGGTCAAATTGAACCCCGTCCTGCTATGTTTCTTTTCTTTATAAGGCAATGGATTCCATGTTGTACAATTGTCTTCTCTGAATTTACTCCTTTATCCCTCTCTATATACCCGTGAACCACCATCATGTCCAACAAGGCTCTGTTCTTTAAGAAGCTCCCCCAGGGATACCCCGTCCCCGGTGAGAACCTTGCCATCGAGCCTGCCTCATACGGCCCTGATGTCGCCGCTCCCGCCGACGGTGTTGTCTTGAAGTCGCTCTACACCAGTTTCGACCCCTACATGCGTGGTCGCATGCGCGATGCCAGCATCAAGTCCTACGCTCCTGCTTTTGAATTGAACAAGCCCATTGAAAGTCGTAGCATCCTCGAGGTGGTCAGTTCCAATGTCCCCGCCTACAAGAAGGGTGACGTCGTTATTGGCTATGCTCCCGTTCAGGAATATGTTGCCTTTGACGGCCCTAACGTGGCCGGTCGCATCACCAAGCTGGACAACCCTCTCGGCATTGAGGACATCCGTGTCTTCCTCGGTGCTCTGGGTATGCCCGGTCTGACCGCCTACTCGTCTCTGTACGAGATCGGCAAGCCTAAGAAGGGTGAGACCATCTTCATTTCCGCGGCCAGTGGTGCTGTCGGCCAACTGGTTGGCCAGCTCGCCAAGCATGAGGGTTTGCGTGTCATTGGTTCCGTCGGCTCAGACGAGAAGCTCGAGTTCATCACCAAGGAGCTTGGCTTCGATGCTGGTTTCAACTACAAGAACGAGAAGCCCGCTGATGCTCTCACCCGTCTTGCCCCCGAGGGTATCGACATCTACTACGAGAACGTCGGTGGTGAGCACCTTGAGGCTGCTCTCGACGCCATGAACAACTTCGGACGTGTCGTCGTCTGCGGTATGATCTCCCAGTACAACGCCACCACCCCTTACCCTATCAAGAACATCACCTATATCCTGACCAAGCGCATTACTATGCGTGGATTCATTGTCGGTGATGAGGGCTTTGCCAATGTTTACACCAAGGAACACCAGGCCAATGTGCAGAAGTGGATCAAGGAGGGCTCTTTCAAGGCTCTTACCCACGAGACTGAGGGTATTGACAATGCCGCTGACGGTCTCATTGGTATCTTCTACGGCAAAAACAAGGGCAAGGCTGTGCTGAAGTTCTAAGCTTTGGAGGGGAGATTGAAATGATGACCGCGACGAATTTTGAATTGAGTGATTGTTGCCTCGGTTAAGGCAGATTAGAGATGTAACAACTGTTTTAGCTGAAATGTAATTTCAAAATGAACAAAATATTTCAAAATATCTAATAGTGAAAGAAGTAATCAACTCGATGGTGAAATAAGAGAGAAGTCAAGCCCTAAGTCATGCTATACTCCGTACTGATAACCCCAGAATCGGCAAATGTCGGCTGACGGAATCTTCCTGACCAATCACCTGACCCGCAAATCGATGACATACCGAGTCGGATTCCCGAGGCTCCAACTCCATCCTGACAAGTTGATCTTCTTTCCTTCACTCTCTGACCAACTCGTCACGATGGCTTCGTTTGCGCGCCCATCACTGCTTCGGCAAACCCTTACGACCACCCGGTCGCCCCTGCGCCAAAATGTCGGCGTGTCGCAGATTGTGGCCTTCCATGCCTCCGCCCGGAAGCAGATCCTGCCTCCGCCGCCTCGTAAGTAGAGACCCTGCGACATTGAAGAAAAGGAAAACGAGATTGGAGGCGAAGGATTGGTCTTTTGGATGTATGAGCTAACCTATCTTTCCTTAAAAAGAATCCATTGAAGGAACCAGTATGTTTTGACCTAATACCAAATTTCCAACATCTACTCCACCCGAAACTCGACTGTACCCATTTCGACTGCAACTTGCGCAGAAAACACATCCGTTCCTATAAAAATAAACCAATAAAAACGTCAATTGCGTATGATACTGATTGTCTCGTTATAGTGAACGACCCCGTTCCCGTTCCCGAGCCTCACCCATCCGAGGGTAGCTACCACTGGACTTTCGAGCGGTTCGTCCTTGTAGATGTCATCATGTTGTCGCGCAAGTCTAACAGAATATAGTGCCATCTGTGTCGGTCTGGTCCCTCTATCTATCGCTCCCTTCGCCGCCGGCTCCCTCAACCCCGTCACGGACGCCATTCTCTGCACCCTCCTAGTTGCCCACTCCCACATTGGTTTCCAGTAAGTCCGCGTCGCATATTCCATGCTATATATCGTCCTGACAATCTTGGTAGGGCCTGCATCGTCGACTACTTCCGCCCCCAGCGTGTCCCCAAGACTTACGCCCTCTGCAAGTGGCTCCTGCGCGGCTTCACGTTGACTACCGCTGTTGGGCTGTACGAGTTTGAGACCAATGACGTTGGTATCACTGAGGCTCTCCGCCGGATCTGGAACGCTTAAGTGATTTGAAAAGGGTTCTTTGGGTTATTTTGTTCTATCAGGTGTTCCGCCTATGTATATGTCGTTTGAAACCATTTCATTTGTCTGACAGACCTAACCGGTGCTGAAATTCAATTTCTTTCCAATTTTTCCAGTCGTCTAAATTCAAGCTCTTAGCCAAACTACATAGTCGGGTACCTCCAGGGCTAGATATTGATTGGTCACTTGAGTTTGGGCATATATTATTATATGAGGTCCGTTTTTTTTTTCTCTATTCCCACAAAAATTGAGTCAGTATACCATCTAATCTTCATCCTCTTCTTCAACCTCCAACAATGGATCATCCAACAACTGATCATCATCATCCGCCTTCTCCATAACCGTCTCAATAATCTTCAGCGTAGCCTTAAGCGGCAACCCAATAACATTATCATAACTCCCATCAATCTTCTCCACAAGAATAGACCCAAGACCCTGCAACCCATACCCACCAGCCTTGTCCGCGCCCTCGCGTGTCCGCACATAAGCCATGATCAAATCATCCGAAACATCCCCATCAAACCGCACCGAAGTCTCTTCAACCATAACCTCCATAGCATAACCCGGCTGCCGCGCACTAGCAAGCGGAGCCATAGCAACAAGGGCAGTATAAACCTTATGCTCCCTGGCGTCCCGCAACGAGCGAAGCATATTAAAATGATGAGCCTCCGAGCGCGGTTTCTCGAGAATAGTGCCAACAACCATATCGACGACGATTGTGTCCGCTGCAAGGATCAGGGCCGGTTCGCCTTTTTCCTCATTGTCCATTTCCTGGGAGTAGACGGCTTGTGCTTTCTTGGTTGCTGTGCCGAGGACGTACTCGAACGGCGCGAGTGTTTTGGGGAGGTTCTCTTCTGCATTTGAGGGGATGATTTCAAGGTTTGGAAGGCCGAGAAAGCTGATGATTTGTTTTCGGCGGGGGGATTGCGAGGCTAGGATTACTCGTTTGTTGCGGAGGTCGTTTAGGTAGGGCAGGTTCAGTGGTGGTGGGCGTGGGAGTGGTGCTCCCCGTGTTGGCTTGGTGGTTGGATCATAGGCTGGCGGGGGGTCTGATAGCTCATTTTCGGAGAGCAGGGCTTTTTTGGAGTCTGACATCTTGACTTGTCGTGTCGTATAGGGGTCTAATTGGAGTTGCGGTCTGCGCTTGCAGGAGGTCTCAAGTACTTCCCCACTGGGAGTTTCCAGGATTGCCTGATTGGTGGGTTCCGTACTATGACAACTCTTCTCACGCTCACTCTCACGCTCTCTTGGAGAGCCAAAGCTTCAACTGTTTTAATGAGGAAATTCTGGAAAGACAACTCCGGGAGTGTAGCTGGTCGCTACCTCCTCCAGGCTCTGCGAGAAATACTCAGTCGCGGTGTTCCGTCACAGCCACCACAATGCCCTAGGTTGATGCAATCTTGGAGCCTCATTTCAAGGTTCATAGCTGTGAAAACGAATGCGTAGATTTCCACTTTTCAGGATACCTACCTTGCTGGATGGGTAAGCGAACAAAAGTGTTCAGTGGAGAGTGGTCAAAAGAAAGATGATGTCCAGGAAAAGACTGCAGATTTTAATTAACGTATGAAGGTTTGCAAGGTTTACTTTAAATCTTTGACTATCTATATATAAAAGCTAATCAGGTTTATAGAATATCTTCTCCGGATCTATCCTTGATATCGCTAGTTCAATTTTCTCAAAGCTATCACTGATCGTATTTATCTCGAGGCTTATACTATAACCTATAGATAAATAGACCGCTGGAGTGGTTGAGGCTATTATTAGCATATAGGCAACTATTGCTAGACTCGGCTCTGTCTTTTAATGCGCACCATTATATTCGTGTGACTTCTGAGAGATTTAATGTTACGGGATAAATATAGGAATTGGTACGCTGTAGAGATCCGACTTCTGGATGAGAAGAATTGATTGAGGAGAGGAAAAGGGTCCTGGGGATAAGAAGCTCTTATGGTTCGTCCAGCTACGTATAGGAGCTAGGAGCGTAGTCTTCTAGAAATTGGGCATACTATTGGGTATAAGATCAATTAGTGCCAAATCGTGTCATTTAATCAATTTTTTGGAGTTTTGGTTCTAAAATATGGGGTTAAAATTTTATAGTTTTTGAAAATTATATGGGGATGGCCGGGAATTACGTTGAAGATGATATGATACTCAACGTCTGGTTATATGGCCTCGCTGCTGATCCACATCCATAAGGTGGTCCAGGATATTCTGTTTCCTTTAGCTCATTCTACGAAAGTGCACTCCGATATGGGAGTGGTATATCCATTTCCCTGGACATTCTTCGAGGTGAGAAGATTTCTAGCAAGGGTAGTTTCATCTTGCTAGCATTGATTTACGGTCGCCTGACGAGCCCGCAGGATGGAACTCTTGCTTTGAGATTGAGAGGCAGACTGGTTCCAGGTGGAGGGGGGGGGGGGGGGATGGAAGGCCGTAAGCGATGAGAGCGGCTGTGGCGACTAGTAATATCCTTACTTAGTAGACATAGTCAACTCTCGTTTATGGTAATACCGCTTGTTTGGACCCACTTTTGTGGCTATCTACAGAGTACTGGTTAATCTCCGGTTATTTACTGTAATTTCTTCCCATTGTAACCTGTCGACAAAAGAGGGTCGCCATTTTACTAGTGCGCCACCCCCGTCTGCCTGACGATCGTAAGGCTCTCAACGACCTTACTAAGCCCAATCTCTTAGCGTAGATTCCGCTTGTTTGGAACATCAAGATTTCAAAAAATATATATAATTTTAAACCCATATTTGAGAACCAAAACACTATAAAATTGACTAAATAACACGATTCCGACACTAGTTGATCTTATATCCTATTTTGCCACACCTAGAACAGGTTGGTTGGCGCCAAGTTTTAGGCATTATAGGCAAATCAGTTTCAGTTGACACATTTTGAGCAACTTCAGCATGAGGTATATATATCACTTTACCATCATTCCCACCACCAATACCATTCCGAATCTCTTCTAAACCCCCTAAACTACCTTCATGATTAGTCTGCTTTTTACTATCGCCCCCTTTTTTCACCTGTTTCTTATTCATCTATTCTAAATGACCACTAAACCCCGTTCTCACCCGCAACGAGTGCAACGGATTGATAACCCGATACGATGCGCTACCCATGTAGTGTGCTACGCTTCTGGCTCCTGCGAGGAACCAGACGGAACCCCTGAAAAGCCTGCTCTGGCATACCTTACTTTCCTTCCTTCATTTGACCTCCTTGATAAACATTCAGATCAATGCAGCGACATTCCTATATTCATCCCGATATTCATCCCGTAACAATAGGTCTTTAGCGCCGGATGTGATATCTTGACATCTATAGCTATAGAATTAGGTTATAGATAGTATTTATAGGATCTTTCTTTAGTACCGGGAAGGATAATAGAATAAATAGCCCATATTAGAGAATTCCTGGTGAAAGAGGGTATTTGCCTGTAATCAATGGCTTTTTATGAAGAATGGGAAGACATCAAGGCGATATACACACTTAAGAAAAATGGAGGGACTGATCTTGGCCAAATTGTACGCGCTGCCTTTTCTATCAGTGTTGGCTAATTGTTATTTTATTACTCCAGGGCCCTCTACGTCAGCTACTAGGAGGATATGGAATGCAGACTGTGAAGTGCGTATTGAAGCCTCCAAGATTGTTGGATTGGAACCACACGTCTATATAATTAGTATGACCTGGACGGTAAATGGATTTGAATCGGTGGTATAATTCATTCTTAATAGTGTCAGAGGCCCACCTCAGAACTCGTGAATCGTACATTCATAGAATCTCCATTTAGGAGCGAAAGTGGAAATGCAGAGTATGTAGAAACATCAATCATCAAATAAGAAAAGAAACGGCGACAGGAAGCAACAGCTATGATGGCCGAAGAGAATCATCTACTCGTCCTCCTTTGCTTTCGATTTCGGCTATTAGGTCTTTCCGCTCTTGTAGTTTCAGATGCATGAAATCGACGGTCTTTTGAAGGACTATGCTCTCGCTGCGACCTTGGCCCTCCAGTCCGGGCACCAGTTCTGTGAGGCGATCAAAACCATCTCGAATGGCAGCGCGGCGTTTCTGCTCTGAAGCGATGTGGTTGTTTTTCTTCTCTTGATCGGTCAGCCGAGGCTTTTCCTTGTCTTGAGCCGAATTTGATTTCGATGTGGTGGGAGTCGATGAGGACCGGTCATCGTCTTCGGGATTCATTATTGGAATATGTACGACTGAAAAAGATGAATGGATATAAATCGCATGAAGCGATCCCAAGCTTCAAAACAGAGCGGAGGATATGCGGAGCGAAAGCAGAGTAAAAAGTAGAAGAGAGATTAGAAAGCGATAAGAGTAATGTGGAGAAAAACCCAATTCGGTGAGGCTTGGCACGTTCAACGTCATATGTCAGTGGATCCACCGCACGCCTTGTTCTACAACTTCTAGTTCCTTCTGGCTTTCAACCGTTTTTTTTTGCTTATTCTGTTTCTCCCTTTTCTCTCTCCGTCCTCGACTCTATTTGTATTCCACGGAATCGGAGAATCGGACCTTAGACTCTTAGGTTTCGATTATTTGGCAATATCTTTACCTCTGATATCCCTCATCGCTCATACCTCAACGGCACCACCGGACATCCCCTTGTCCTATCCCAAGGTCAATCTTATCCCTCTGTTCTGGGAACTTTCTCTCATCCAATAAAGGTCTCTGAATTCCACTCACATCTGATTGATCTTGTCCGGCATAGCCGCCTCGTTCTTTGTACTCCGTACAACATGATCCACGAGTCATTGCATGGATCATGCGCCTGTGGTCGCAACCACTACAGCATCCAAATCCCCAGTGATGTGGCTGATCATGCCGTGGTCTACTTTGACAGTAGTCAAGACAATCGTACGTGTAGTTCTAGACCGGTGTCGCTATTTATAGTGATAAATGAAGCTAAGAATGGAACCTAGGTCAAATCCACGGTGCTCCCTTAACAGCTTGGTTGCGAGTTCCCTTGGGCTGGTATCAATCTTATACGGAATCTTTTTTTCCTGACGAGACTCACACCTCCATCCGACGCACATTCACACCACGCCATGCGCCGGAAACACAGCGTATCTTCTGTGGATATTGCGGAACACATCTAACCTGTTGGACGGAGAACCCTCGCGAGGAATCCGAGTTTATGTCCATTGCTATTGGTAGCTTGCTCGGGGAAGACCTGCATGCTTTAGAAGAACTCAATCTCCTCCCAGGAGATCTGGAGGAGACTCCTCAGGTCGACGTAAAGACTTCCGCGGTCATTGCTCCATCGAATAGTTCGGCATCGACAGTTATTGTCCCCTCCTTCGATAACCAGAACCCTTTATCTCGAAGCTTTCGATACGGCAAAAGTCATGGAATCCCGTGGTTCGAAGAAATGGTTGAAGGAAGCCGTCTGGGTCGTCATATGCGCGCTAAACGTGGGAAGGGCTTAAGCGACGATAACACAACGACAATAGAATGGGAAATCAGTGAATGGCAAAGTGATGATATTGGTGAAATCGCACAGGATGACTCCGACTCCAATGGACGTTCTACCGGGAAGAGAAAGCGGGGAAGTGAGACTTCTCTGAAGGCTTGAGTTACTGAATTTTATCTGGTTAAAGATTGTATCATCTAGGCGCAGATTTTCGAGCGATAGGATATAGGAAAGTCAGCATAATATAGCCATTTTATATCAAATAACTTTGAAAGACAAGTCAATCCTCTTCATGTTCAATCTAATAATTCCAAGGTTGATACTAGCATCTGAAGACGACTTCAACATTGGCTTAAACGATAGGAGCATGGACTTCAGGGCTTCTCATATGGGTAAACAGAGAAATATGCTAACAAGAAAATGTAACCCGAAAGTTGAAAAGAACCTTAGAATGGAAACTGCAACCTTTCCCGTTCCAACCTCATCTATATATTCATATAAGGAAAATAGGACATTGGAAGATCATACATATATATACTTCCGAATTCCATAAAACTCAACTACTGGGGTAGCTCAGATAGTCAATAATAATAGTCATTAATCTGATTGAAACCTATTGAACGTAACTTCCAGCGACTTCCGCCTACCTAGGTCTCCAATTAACACTTCGACGTCAACCAGACGCCTTGAAAAACGTTATATAGCTCTTGAAATCACATATAATCTCTTTATTCCTTTCCTTCGCCCACCTGCATCGTCTTTTGTTCCATCCTCACACAGGTAGATCCTATCCTTAACATGAGCATGCATCTTGCTTGAAAGCTTGATCATTTGGCATTGCATACTCGTCACTCATCAGATATCCAAATATCTTACCCATGATTCGAAGTTAACAAATACACAGGTATCGTTCAACTGACCATTGCTCCTCCCAATCCAAGAACCTTGAAACCCAAGTCATCTAGAGGTTCGGTTTTTCAAGATCCTGTTACCGTTAAATCCCAAAAGATACACATGTTTTATATTGGATCATTCATCCTTATTCCAACTTTATCTTAGAAGTTGACATTGAACTTGGATTTTTAATATTGGGTGGTTATTTGACTGACTTGATATTTGGACAGGTTATGGAGGAACAGCATTCTTTTCCGCAACTGCGAAATTTCGCTCTAAGTCAACATAAAGCTCAGCAAGGGAAGTCCTATGACTCCCATCAAAACTCGCTATACAACATGAACAGACAAGGGCTAAAGACGTTCAGAGAGAAGCTGCGTCTAAGAAGAAAAGCAATCAAAACACAAGTCAGTTCAAACCAAATGCCCAAACTTCGTGCACTAGGCTTGAGAACGCTTGATTATAAGCTGCATCAAGCATTGGAATGAGTCTCTCAAATATTCAGACTATAGGTGAAATCAAGCATTAATATTGGACGGAAAGCTGCAGCTTGGGTCCTGCACAAGGTAGGCCAACTTTGACCACTGTATCTATACATGTTTGCTCATACTGTATAGAAACCCCACATCGTTGAGAAAGAAGCCACTCCAAATGATACAAGTTCAGGAAGTTCAGGCATCTGGAGCCCAACATGGAGTTTTTATCTGAGCGGTCATAATAGCCCCAGACGTCGATTGATGCTGTTTCCAAGCCAAGTGAGCGAGATCTCTGACAGTCATGTTTGGTCTTTCAAACGCTTAGTCGACGCCTCCCTCGCTGGCGCAGACGATGTCATCTGTGACACGACTCTAACCATCGACCTCGGCGTCGATTATGCGAGCGATGCTTACCTTCTACCTGATTTTCTTCATCTTCCTCCTCTTTCTCTTTCTTCTCAACTTATTCCCTCTCCCTCCTACTCCCTTTCCTACTCCCTCTCCCAATTTCGTTCTTCCATTCTTTCTTCCATTCTTTCTTCCGATTCTTTTTTGCGCGAGGTATCATCTGGTATCTCAGTGGACTTCCAAATCACGCCTATTAATTCATGCAACCTTTTGCCTTTTCGCTCCAGACCTCATTGGAGAGCGTTTTACTTCAGTCGTGACAGCTCATCATCTTCGAGTATCCAAAACTGGCATAGTGCCGAAGACTGTAAGTAATCCTCAATTTATTCCTTGCTGACCTTAATCAATACAAGGCATCTCTTGTATGACGCTGGTGATGGTTAGAACACGATTTGCTGAAATATATATATATATATTGTTCAGCCCTAACTGGGTTTCAATCCCAATTTGAAGACAATGCATCACAACTCATACATCGCCCCCCAGGGCTTTCTTCAAAGTACATTGCCCCAACATCAGCTGTTGAACTTGGAGTACCCATGCTAATTCTCGTTCAAGGCCGTGTGAGCCCCGATCGAAACTCGTTGCGCCATGTTGCTGTTTCCAATGAGACTTCACCTCGAACTGTCTCCACTGGTGTTGAATCAGAATTGTCTGATGGTAAGTCATCTCAGGATCACGTAAACAGAGATTAACGAATGCTAAGTTTATATTTCCAGGCAACATCAGTTCGGACGGCATCCCACTGGCATATGCCCTTCGCAGCCTGGGCGGGCCAAGAAGCCCACAGTCTCCCATGTCACCTCGTGCTCCACGCCCGCGAGCATGGCGAGTTGATCCTCAAATTGTGATCAACGTTCCGGAGATTCCAAGTGCAGAGCGCTCATACGAGCAAGATAACGGCTCGAATGATATCGCGTATCCTACGCACCCATTGGCCTGGCATGGATCTGACACCCCGAGTGCATACAGCTCGTTGTCTGAGGGGCAGAACTCAGAGACCGGCGAGAATTTTGAAATGATCACTGCCCTGCCAGTCATTTCCAATGATAATTTATCCCAGTCTGTTCAGTTGCCCCGAGTTCCAAGATACCTTGGCTCGGTATCGCTCTCTACTAAAAGCACCTTCGAACCCCCGAACACTGCATCAACTGAGTACTTTACTGCAGGTTCTGGAGAAAGTAGCGCATCAGCTACACCTCCAGAGGAGTCCTGCCAACGTTTTTTCAATGAGGCAGCTGAAGCTTTGGTGATTCAACAGCACGAAAGTGAGAGTAGATGCGAGGGTGGTAAGATGGAGGAGCGCCCAGCATTGGAAGAGTTGCCAGAAAAAGGGCGCCAAGTTTTGAATAATCTCACTTCAATATCAGACACACCTATGACACCCCGCTATAATACTTTGTCGCATTCCCTCGTCACAACCACCCCACCCTTCTTTCACACTCCCTCTCCACGTTGCTTCCCACGCAATCCTTCTATCACACCTACCTCTCCATATTCTGAGCGGCTCAGCCCTGATTTGGGATTGAGTCAAGATTCTCAAATCGAAACCACTTCATCCCGAAACTGCAATCCTCCTATCAACGAACCCAGCCCTGCTGTGCGCATCCAACCTCTGCGTGTTTCATCCAACGACTCACGCATTCCGCCATCTACATCTAATCACAGCAACATGACCAATCCCAGCATTGCTGACACCGACTTGTCGGAGGATGATTATCCTCCAGTTCATTACAGCTATGTTCGTTGCGAACCACCAGTTCCAGTTACAAGAGATGAAAATGGTCTGGCCCTGAAGCTATTCCACAAACAGTTCTTCCATAGAAACTCGCTGGCTGCTGATGAAACTGCCTTCCTTGAAAAGTTTATCGCCAACCACAATGCCCAGGGTACTACCCATACTGTGAAGTTTGCCGTCAGCGACATTTTTGATTTCAAAATCGTTATCAATCCTATGGCTTCCGCAAAGAAAGCTGCCATGGAGAAAACGATCATCGAGAAAGCCGCCATGGAGAAAGCCGCTGTAGAGAGAGCTGCTGTCGAGAAAGCCACCATGGAGAAAGCCGCCATAGAGAAAGCCGCTGTCGAGAGAGCTGCCGTTGAGAAAGCTGCCGTTGAGAAAGCTGCCATTGAGAAAACGGTCATCGAGAAAGCAAAGTTCGAAGAGCGCAAGCCCTTCTGGAGCGGTGCTGGCATGAAACAATCGCCATTGGCGATGAACCCAGTTACAGATGACGACAAAATCTGGTTGGCTGAACTGGCCGCAAAGAAGGAGGCTAATGCCCGCCAACGAACTCAGATTCAGAGTACTGTTTCCGAACCTCATCGCATCCAGCATACCGAAGTCGCACAGTCTGAAGACCCCCCTATCCCACGTCGCATGATCAAAAGTGTGGCAGTCCCATCGGGACTGTCGTCGATTCTTCGTAACTCGCCCAGCAGATCTGATGCACAGGCTCCCAAGAAGCAGTACGGAGCGTTTATGTACAAGTCGCCGGACGCGGATAGACTCATTATGGGTACGGATGAACCCAAGTTCCCAAACCTCCCGGCCGCTAACTCGTACCGTCCACGGGTCGTGACTGATCGCACCCTTATCGGCGCCGAACGTGAGCGGGAAGTGAAACTTCCCCGAACTGAAAGTAAAATTCCCCACTGCGACAGTGGGAAGGAAATACGTTTGTCCAAGTCAGCTGGCCAGCTGTCAGACGCCCGTCCCAACATGGTCTCAAACCCTCCGCCAGTTCCACCTCTTCCGGTCCAGTTTCAACTGCTCTCTCCCCCCGTGACTGATACTTCGGCCATCCTGAGTGGTATTCAGTCCACTCCTGCCTTGGCTAGTCACGCCTGGGCAGACACTAACCTGGATGATATCTACCAGCAGCACCCCGAGATGGAGGATGTCGCCGTTCAATCTGGTAGGGTCTTGGACCAGTCTTCTGGCCGCCGCCGCTTTACCCGCATAGGCAAGAACATCCGGAAGATGTTCAACCGTCGCAACAGCGAGGGTTAGCTGCGCCCAAAGAGAGCCGGGAGACGCTCCTCCCAAAGTGAGCCAGAGGGGACGCTCATCATAAATGAGCCTGAGAGGTAGAAACATCCCGAAACAAAGACACCTCTTACCACCAATATTTCTTATGACCGATATGCATTACGAAGTATGCCTTTACGAAAATGCCAAAAACCATCAAAAATCAAAGTTACAACACCCCAATTGCTTTTGCTTGGAGAGGCAAAAGCTCTGGGGGGTCCCAAAAAACCTCGCGCTAAAACAACAACTATTACCATATTTCTTCCCAACAGTATGCGGTATGAAAGTCTGAGACTGTGGGTGGGCGTTCACTTTGAGACTATTTAGTTAGTTTCACACTTGAATACCATACTAGGCAGTTCATGAAACATTTTATTACTTGCGGTAGTTGTAATTGACGTTGTAGCCCTAACCGCCACCCGCAGAGCCTCATTCTTGGCAATGATTAGTTCATCAACATGATGCCGAGGAGGAAACTTCGCAGCAACTCCTTAACACGATCGAAGGGGTATAATTCTAGCCCGTACGTTCATTTTTTCAAGACTACCTCTCCAATTTTTAAAATATCTCGGCATCACACCCAACTTTGAAAAATAGAGCTTCGAATGCTGATTCTTGACTTTAGTACGCAGGTACTCCGTATGCCCCAAGGTGAGTAAAAAAAATATTGATAATATTGGTAGATCACAATCTATTCTATACTACCTCCTGCTGGGCTGAGACGAGAAAATCAGTTAAAATATGACATTATCTCCGCCTTATCGCCTATTCGGTCAAATATGTAAGCAAGCTCATGATCGGGAGCAGGTAACCTTGATCAGGGGGAACTCTTATAAATCTTTGATACCAAGATCTTGAATAGGCAAGATGAGATGTGTTTTCTATTTTATCCAAATATCTTTGGTCTTAGGTATGTTGCCTTTATGAGGCTTCCATACCTATCTGTCCAGAATGTGGTTACCTGAGCATGAAGTTAAGAAAAATGAGAAAATGAGAATCGGATGTCCCAGAAAATCCACTTGGCCGCATGCATACTGTGGTAGGTAGTGGGTTGTGGATCGGTAGTAAGATACTTCCAAGGTTCTGGCAGCTCAAATTCTGCTATTTTAAATAATAAAAATCTAGTGAAAACTAATTAAACCTTGGAACCTCAAAAACAAAAAACAGCATGAAATATACCAAAATGAAGTAAGACCACCCTGATTTCGAATAAGTTGCTCACAGCACGCGTGCATAAGATTAAGCTCCATAAGTTCAACGGGAAGAGCATCCCACACTTCTGTGTCAATCTTTGACAGCTGCTCGAAGTTAGTTGGTCACAAGGAAGCTTGCCATCACCTGATATGTGATTATCCGTGATATAGTCTCTTATCTAGTTCCAGAATCTCTCAATAAGATTAAGTTCAGGTGAAAAGGGAGGTCACTATTAGAATGATACATCACTTTCAATATCATTCTCATCCATTGTCACCTGAGCATTTTGATCAAGAGCATGACCTTGAATTATAAATGAAGATGAGCCATCTCGATAAGCAACGAGCTCAAATATTCTAAAGTTCCATCGATTATAGGTACCATCCTCGCAATATAAGACTGTTGATCAATATTCCCTCATTCCTTTTCCAAAAACGCAGGGCACTATTCTATACCGTGCCTAGGTAGAATGAACCCCAGAACATCTAAAAAGAACGGGTTTGAATTATATCTTAAAGGTAGGGTTATAATGCTCACGAGCTTTTCGAGTGACATTGATTCGATGAATATTTCTATATTGGCTTATTACCTATATAGAATTGATATCATGATAAATATATACTTAGATAGATAGTGATATAGATGAATATGAGCAGACATACCTAAGAGAGAGACTACTTACACATGCCTCGTCTGCCCAAAGCACCTCATCCCTCTTATACCTAGTTCAGTAGATATAATTGAAGGTCTATTGAACACGTTCCAAGGTTCTTACCGTACACGTTCAACCATAGGAGTATTTTGAAGAGCTCTACGTCGATGATATACTTTCTTTGCAAGAGCTTTCCATATTGCCTTTATAAAAACAGGATGCCCTAAACGATATATAAGATCATTATAAGGCATCTGTCGAGTCTCTTTAGATTGAAAGATAAACGAGATTATATCATCCACTTCCACATCAGAAAGCTTCGGTTGACTGAGCAGAGTAAGTTGGAGTTTCAGGTATAGTATTAGGTATTCAAGGATGTAAGGCAGTGGAAGATGAGACTCCTCTCGACAATATCATCTAGGGCATCGGCGAAGGAATTACCTACCAAGGTAGGTATAAGATAGCATTTTGATTCAAATTCAATCGAGAAGATCAATTGATAGTCTAATATCTTAGCTACTATTCATACATATTCAATGTTTTCATGATATCACGGGCCTTAATATCATCTACTGTGTATATTAGATCAACAATTTTGTTGGTACTAGCTAGACTGAATATAGTAGGCGGTAAATTCCAAAGCTTTTACTACGATATATTCATCCTCTACCTACCGGTAGACATAAATACCTCAATATGTTTGTCCAAGCCTTCCAACAGTTGAAGGTTCCAATCTCCAGCTCATTTTGCTTTCTGTCTTCGATTCTGTAGATAGTTAGGCGTCAACCTGGAAACTTCAAAGGGTTCAAGGTTCATTTATAAGGTTCTATGTGTAGGTTGATATTGAGTTATAGTGTAGACGAAACATAGAAGCGCCGCAACAATACAAGCGCCCGAGTGGAGTATGGAGTAGGTACTAAATATATGCATACTAAATTGAATGTTTCAAGATGTTTCCATTGTATCCGAATTAGATAACTAATTTAATTAAATGAGGTGATTAAGTAATCTCAAAGTGGCAATTAGCTTTTGTACCTTGCAGTGATCGACCATGAGTTCGCCTTACCTCTCTCCCCTATTCAATTTCTCTATTCTGTACTCCGTGCTACTGACAATTTGATTATCATACTACTCTGTATGTAGATTTCTAGGATCATCCCTGCTTTGCGTCTTCTGCTCATCCTTCTAGGTACTTACTACATGTAGGTTGCGCCTTGCCGAGTGCCGCGTACCTACTCCACTTGATCGGCGTCTTCCCCGCCGATCTCGCATCGAAAAACTTGGGAATCCTTCTGCTCCTTTGAATCTCCTACAACTGTCCGCACCGAATCAACTTATCAGACATCCCTACCTTCTTCAAACCGCCACAAAACTATACAAAGGTCTAAAGCCTAAAACAAACCAGTCTAGTGGAAGCGCCGAGGCTTTGGACGCAAGAATATCACGGCGCTTCGGCTTTACGACCGCTTATTGGTTACGCTGCCCTGCAGTGTGCTGGGAAATAGTGATACTTCAACTCCGCGGCTCCTGAAGCACAATCGCTTCTACTCTCTCCTCTTGGTCTTGGATCCATCCAGTCATGGCTTGATTGTGATCCATTACTGTTATTCGTCCATATTCCTCGACTCGAAACGAGCCACGAACTGTTTTATTCTTAGATCTGTCATTACCTCTGAAACAGGTACCCGTCTGCACTGAGCTGTCTGTCTTTAAGCATAATATTTTGTTTACTTGGATTCTGACCCATTGCATGGTGCTTTACCAGACTATATTAGGTTGAGTGGACCTCGAATGGCTTGATTATTGTGTGCCTTCTTTCCTACTCAATATTGTGTCCCTTTCTTTTCTTTCCTGTCTTTTTCTTTCCTGCCTTGTATTGCATTGCATTCTTTATACAGCACTCTACACAGGTGTTTTTTGTCCCTCGCTTTGATCATTTCTACCTTCTTTTCATCTGCATATTTGCTTACTTTTCGGTGCTTCCGTTAACCCTTTTATTTTTTGTCTTTTTCCTTTCTCGTCTATCTTTTACAAAAGATTTTGGCATCTATGACATCTACTACCCTCATGACTTTCTTATTGTAAGTATGAATTATCTTTGTTTGGACTTGCTTTGCTGACCAGGTCCTTAGAATTACCAATCCCAATATCCGATCGGTGAAATTGCTTGGATCATGGGACAATTTCTCAAAGCCATATCCTATGGATCCGGACAGGCGCATTGGACCCGGTCATTGGCGTGGATGTCATACAATCACAGATATCATGGGTGATGGGTCCACTGGGCAGACTCAATGGCGTACAGGTGGGCTCAAGATGGGCGCAACATATTGGTACTATGTAGGTTGGTATGACCATGGATCGAAAGGATATAGCTAACCAGATATCAGTACTTGCTGAACGACGATATGGAATACTGTAACCCGGCAGAGGTAATCTCGAGCAAATGCCCTTTGCTTCCTGGACAGCCGGTGAACGTACTGAACGTGCCAATCATCTTGCCGGATAGTTCGCATGGCCGCTCGAACAGCAACAGCTCACAGAATATGGATTATCGTACAATGAACCCGGATGACAAGTTTATGAACCCCCGGAAACCACCCAAGCCAAGTCCGACCCGTCTGCAGACCTCCGAGTCGAGTGCTCACCAACGCTCTGCCACGGCTCTCAACATATCTCCAGTCCATGCGATGATGCATCGAAGTGTTTCTCAGCCGAATAGCGCGACTTACAGAAACAAGAAGTCAAAAGAAGCACGCTCAGTTTCCCCCCACGGTCCCGTGTGATTCGGCATCATGACCAGCAGGAGCCAGCCATTGAGGATCGCAATTTCCCTGGCATCTTCCTCAATCCCAGTGTTGGTTCCCCTCCAGTTGCTCTCACCAACAACTTGAATTCATCGACTATTCAAAGTCGTCGTGCGCTGACGGCCAATGGTGGAACTGGAGCACAGCCTCGGAGTGTCCTCACTGTGGTCACACGTCCACAACTCGGAAGATCATCTTCAAATGTTGCTGCTGCTAGTGCTGATCTGAGCACAGTCGATGAAACATGTGTAATGAAGGATACGCTGAGTTTACCGAAATCGGCGGATCTGCCGACGCCGACCTGGACAGATTTTAATGGAAAGCGGCTACCTACACTGCCCAATACTCCTTCATCTGTCATGGATGAAGCTGTACGTGCGATCGATGAGACTGATAAGGCGATGAGTGAAGAGATCCTACGCAGCCATTTCTCTAGTCTCACAGTTGACGAGTCCATCCACTCCCGTCTTATCCAGGGGAGCAGATTTTCAGAATGGAGCACTGATGACACCGATGATGAAGATGGCTTGAACTCTCCCGGGTCGATGGTATTCAAATACACATCTATATCCAATCAGGTCAATCAGTCTCCAGCCGTGGACTACTGGAAAACACCCGATCTCGACTCTGCGAACGACGCAGCAACGAATACCGAGCCTAACACGCCACATCTCACCGCCCATTCCAAGCCATCATCCCCGAACTCTGCAACTGGCGATATTCCACCGTGGACAGCCGTGTCACTCCCGAAACTTACCGTCTCCTTATCGTCTCCCGGTCTCGGCATCGAGCAGATGGACGAAGTTGAAAGCAATCCTAAACGCCATGCAGCGCTATTCAGTGCCCTTGAATCCATGACGGCACTGTCTTTATCAGAGCCTCGAGACGGGTCTCCTGTTGTCCTCTCAGATCCTGATAGAGGCGATTCCGATACATATAGCTATCGGGGACATTCTCGACATAGCGAAGCATCGTTCCGCGGTCAAGCGACGATGCAAGAGCTTATTGACGAACTCAGCTATCTGGAGAACATGATTCATGTTGAGATGGACGGAGAGCCCTTCTAAAATAGCATTAAGCATATACACATCTGTAGAACATTCCCGGTGCTGGTCACTAGTTGTGTCTGTACAAATTTAATTTGAAATTACAAATACCGAGTTCAACAAATGATTCTAAGCCTGCGAAATAATTCAAATGAAACGTCAGAAGTAAATTGACAGTTGATATTGAAATAATTGTCCAAGTATGTCATGTTAGATTTTACTTCACATCTGCGAGAAATGCGATCATTCTACACTTACACAACCTCGGAACGCGCCAAGAATCGCGATCCACCCGCGATCAACAACTTCATCAGCCAAGTTTGACGAAGTGCCGCGCCTCATTTCTATAGCAGAATGGGCTGGAATTTAATTTAAAATCATCAGAAGTGATCATGGAGCCTGAAGTTCCTCACCTCACAGCAGTCGGCGGGAAGTCCCTTCCGGCAGCATGCAAAACAAGCACCCTGGCCTATTGTCCCTCGATGGACCTGATTGCTCTATCATCAGAGAAGGATGAGCTGAGCGTGTACCGTTTAAATGGGCAACAACTGTTCAGTGGTTCTTGGAAAGGTGATCCCTACCTAGGCGAAGATGAGAAAGATGGAGAGATAAGAACTCTTGCATGGAAGCCGAACGGCCGCTTCCTCGCCGTCGCGTGTGGAGACGGCTCTATTCGTATTATGAGCGCATACAATGGAAAGACAGTGCACCACTACCCTGCCACCAAGGCACCGAGTGATAATGAGAAGACTTCAGATAACAAAACATCGCCGAGAGTCACATATTTGGGATGGGGCGTCAATTTCACCGACAGTGAAGGCGCTCAAAACCATCTTGAATCAGGTCACATCTCGCTTGATGACTTGCTGGATACGAGCACTCATCCTTCAAGAGCATCTGCTTTGCTCAAAGCTGATCTGCCCAGGGAGCTCGCGTTGCTGGACATCGAAAGCTCTCTGCCTAAGCTGAGTATATTGCCCGCGACGGGTGCGGGGGAAGATTTATTCAGCTCGCTTGCGTCAATCGATTCTATCTTCCATTCATCTACACGGGAGGCTAGTGATACGGTAGATGTGCTGTTTGTCGGCTTCGATGACGGCACCATCCACCTCCGTATCTTTGATCGGTTTGAAATCGGCACAATCTGCGTTAGCGACTCGACTGGACTGGCCGAGTCATGCCAGATTCTTAACCACGCTTCGCATTCGCTGAGCTCGACGCATGCCTTGCTGGCATCATCTGCTGCAGGCAATTCCCGTGCTCCCCTTGACCTCATCACACTGGATCTTCGTTTCATAACCAAGTCGGGTCGATACTTGTCTCTTCTTGCGTCCAAGACTACGCAGCTCCAGAATCTGCTACGGTACATTGGCCAGGTGCAGCGAAGTATTGAATTAGAATGGAAGAATGCGCAGGAGTTGCCGGCGCGGTTTATCCGCAGCATTAACGAAGACTTGCAAGAAAAATGTCAGTGTGACTTTACCACTGCTATCTATCACCTTGCTGCTACGGGCAATTGCTTTGAGCCCATGAAAGAGTTCCTGGTTGATATTATCGGCGAGAGGGTATGAGATATGCTGCAATATATCAGGTATTACGAATGGCTACTAATCTAGAATTCAGGGACATGCGAGATGGGACAAGGCTGTCTCAGTGGGCTACGAAGGCATTCGACGATTGACGCACGAATCTCTCATCCCAGCACTAGAGCGGAGCCAGATTCTTCTTAGCCGACTGGTTGGATTGTCGAAATTTCAAAAGCTCAGCGATGTACTTGGCCTGGACACACCCAAGCTCAACGCCATCGTTGAGACTTTAGACTGCCTGCATCTCCTGGCCCATAAAATTCTTATTCATTCTAACGAGGAGCTTCATCAATTTGCCGCTTTCTCTCGCTGGCTCCGGCACGAAATCCTCATTCTCAACAGCGACCCGCTCGGCCAGACAATGGAAGAACTTGTGGGCAAAAGAGATCTTTACGAAATTCCCACCACTGTAAAATACATCACAGGAGCTCTTCGAAAAAGTGAGCTGCGCAACTACATCCGTCAGCTCCCCATGCTCGGAGCACCTGTATCTCAAGCCCCGGCCACGGACAAGTGGCTTCCGGATGGCCATGACCAGTCCTTTTACGACCAAGTCAAGTTGTTGTTCGCTCAGAAACGCAAGCTCCTGAATCATGGTGGTGATACGTCGACGGTGGACTCTCCTAAGCTCAATGACTTGACTAAGCGGCTGGAAATTCAGTTTGAAAAGGTTTATGCGGAGATTGCTGAGACACAGCGCAGGGGAATTCTACATCGGTCCCCACTTACACTCCATGAGGATTGTGATCAAAGCATCTTGGACCTCAAGATTTGTTATGAAGTGAGATCTGCTCGGGAATTTGAAAAGCTTAGTTTGCTGACAATTATTTAGGAGGCTGAAGATGGAGGCCCTTGCTCCATTTATGCCGTGACTCGATCATTCGCATCTAAGCACCTAGTTTACATCTACCGCACCGTACTTGACTCCAGCAACGGCGTTAGTTCGACACGCAGTACATCTGTGTCAGCATTCAGCCTTGGCGAGGGAGAAGTGCGACAGCTACAATTTGTCGATGATGATACCCTTATGATCCTCTGGATGGACAAGAGTAAGTCTTTGAAACTTTCCCACATGAAGTCCAAGTCTAGCTACTAATGACCTGGACAGAAGGAATCTCGTATCTAATCAACATCCCCTTCCAACCCGCATCTGCCCAACATCCATCCGAAGAGCCCGGTCTGCAACCCTTCACACTAGGCTACACTGCCTGTGGCGCCCATCATACGAAATCCGAGTTCAGACCTGAAACTGAAACACTAGCACTTGAAATGTCGATGCTGTACGACGCCGGCATGGTTCGACATGTCTTCCCAGTGTCGGGTCTCAAGTCTAAACCGATTCATGTGTCTACCAATGGCCGGAAGTGCCGACGGGCTGTTTGTGTTTTGTATGGAGATGGATTCCGATATGATGTATTCGATATGGATGGTGTTATGCCGGAAGAGCTACTGAAAGGGCCGGATGAAGAAGCCATGAAGGAAGATTTGGAGAATGAGGATAAAGAGAATAACTAGCTTTAAACATGGCGAAGTTAGGTGTTGCTAGGTGGAATAGTATTGATTACTTTGATCCCAACGGATTAATATCTAATTTTATATTATATTATTCGTCTCAAGTATGTACTTATCCCGAATTTCTTCAGGGTCTATAAACTACTCACGTATCTGAACTAACTAGGTATGTGGCTTCTACTTGGTATATTATTGTCAACCCTTGCCTGACTCTACTCCGTAGACTATTCTAGAAACAGAGAAATTTCTGCCCAAGGTTCTGACATATCCACTAAGACTGAATTCCCCACTGAAAAAGGATTGTGTGTGGCCAGGGCTAACGGATCGGTCGCTGGGGCCACAGAGAGAACAATGTGTAGGTTTCAACGAGGAAAAATCAAAACAAGCAAATGCTATGGAGGGGCATTTATTACTATTGCAAAAGACATAGGTACACCACCATATCATATGTTGTATAAAATTTTATTGTCATATAAGCAGGGGGTGGTCTCATCGTCGCTAATTAAATATAGAATAAAATGGGCTTTTGGTTGTCGAACAAAAGCAAAAAAACACAAAATATAGACGAGCAAGGGAAGTCGACACCTCAGGCACAAGTCACGTGAAACCACAATCCAACCAATCGCATCATCTTGCTACTTCGGCCTGAGGTGTCAACTTACCTACAACCTCATCCCCCCATCTGGTCTTTTCCGAAAGATGAAAATCTGCGCTTTCTCTTTTGACAAATTTCAAATACCTTAAAAATACTTGTCTATCTCACTTCCGGAGATTCTACGTTGTTTACTTACTTTCCTCTTATCTTGGTCGTGCATCCAAGGCACCTACTTCTTTCTCTGTGTCCCGTCGCAGGAACTTGGTGCATGCCTCGTCATATCCACAAACAACCCCCGTGCCTTCCACATCCACCAGGGATTCAACTTCCACCCATCTCAACACCCCCAAGTGGACTTTTAATTCGTGTGCCTGTGTCCACCTAAGTCGAGAAGGCACCGCACGCGCTTAAAGTCTTTCTTTTTCCTCACCTTTCTTTTTTTCTTCATTCACCCCCACATCTCTCGCCTGCCACCATGGACGCTCGTCAGGTGCTGGAGAGCACTCTCGCACCAGGTAGATCTTGGATCCTAATACTTCCTAAGAGTTCTCCTCTTCTGGAGTACTGAAAGTTTGAAAATCATCGCTAACGGCTTTATTTTCCTGCAGATGCGGCCGAACGTACCAACGCTGAGCAACAGCTCGCCCACGCCGCTGAGGTCGACTTTGTATGTGACTCCATTCCCCATCCGTTTCGGTCATCTCAATCATTTCTCTGAAACGAGTTGAACAAAATGCTATTAATACCCCCATACTCGACCCTTGCCCTTGCAGTGCTAACACCCGTTTTTACGCTCTCTAGGCTACCTACCTTCTTACCCTCGGCCACGAACTGGCAAACGAAGACAGCCCCCCTCACATCCGTGTCGCTGCCGGTATTGCATTGAAAAACGCATTCACTTTCCGAGACCAGGCCAAGTTGCAGGAGGTGCAGCAGCGATGGATCCAACAGATCAACCCCGAAACCAAGTCACAGGTTAAAGAGCTTGCGCTCAAGTCCTTGCACTCACCTAATACGCGAGCTGGAAATGCCGCTGCTACATTGATTGTTTCGATCGCCGCGATCGAGTTGCCGCGAAATGAGTGGCCCGACCTTATGCCTACTCTTGTGCAGAACGTTGCAAGCGGAACTGACGCCCTGAAGCAGTCGTCTCTTGCTACTATTGGTTACATCTGTGAATCTCAAGATCCTGACCTTCGTGCCAGCTTGGCCGCCCACTCCAACTCTATCTTGACTGCCGTTGTTCAAGGCGCTCGGCGCGAGGAGCCGAACATGGAGGTTCGCTACGCCGCTATTGCCGCTCTCAGTGACGCCGTCGATTTCGTGCGCACCAACATGGAGAATGAGGGAGAGCGCAACTACATTATGCAGGTCATCTGCGAGGCCACACAGGCTGATGAGTTGCGTGTCCAGGCCGGTGCTTTTGGCTGTCTGAACCGTGTCATGGGCGCTTACTACGACAAGATGAGCTTCTACATGGAGAAGGCTCTCTTTGGCTTGAGCATCATGGGTATGAAGAGCGAGGAAGAGGAGGTCTCCAAGTTGGCCATCGAGTTCTGGTGCACTGTCTGCGAGGAGGAGATTGCCATTGAGGATGACAACGCTGAGGTATGTTGCGGGATTGTGTGTCACAAAGTTTTGAACAATAACTCACTGACGTCGTATATTTAGGCTCAACAGGATGGTACTGAGGCCCGCCCCTTCTTCGGCTTTGCTCGCATTGCCACTCGTGAGGTTATTCCCGTTTTGCTGCAGGCTATGTGCCGCCAAGACGAGGATGCTGGTGATGATGAGTACAATGTGTCGCGTGCGGCCTACCAGGCCCTGCAGCTCTACTCTCAGTGTGTCACTGGTGAGGTGATCACTCCAGTTGTCGCCTTCGTTGAGGAGAACATCCGCAATGAGGACTGGCACCGCCGGGATGCTGCTGTTGCTGCATTTGGTGCCATTATGGATGGCCCCGAGCCCACAGTCCTGGAGCCTCTTATCAAGCAGGCTCTACCCGTGCTTCTGGGAATGATGGAGGACACCTCTGTTTCGGTCCGGGATTCCACTGCTTACGCTCTGGGTCGCGTTTGTGAAAACTGCCCAATGGTTTTGGACCCCGATGTTCATCTGCAGCCTTTGATGTCCTGCCTCTTCAACGGTCTTGCTAACAGCCCCAAAATTGCCAGTTCTTGCTGCTGGGCTCTCATGAACGTTGCCGATCGCTTCGCTGGCGATGATGGCTCCCAGACCAACCCTCTGTCGAAGCACTTCGAGGACAGTGTCAAGTCTCTCTTGGCTGTGACTGAGCGACAGGATGCCGATAACACTCTTCGTACTGCTGGATATGAGGTTCTGAACTCTTTCGTCATGAACTCTGCCAATGACAGCCTCGCCATGGTTGCTTCTCTCTCGGACGTCATTATCCAGCGTCTCCAGAAGACCATTCCCATGCAGCAGCAGGTCGTCAACACCGAGGATCGTATGCTCCTGGAGGAGATGCAGACTAGCTTGATCAGCGTTATTCTCGCTATTGTCCAGCGCTTTGAGGGTGACATTAGACCCCAGGCTGACCGTATCATGCAAGTCTTGCTTGAGACCCTCTCAACTGTTGGTCCCAAGTCCAGCGTACCGGATGCCGTCTTCGCAACTGTCGGTTCAGTTGCCAGTGCTCTGGATGAGGATTTCATCAAGTACATGGAGTCCTTCACACCCTTCCTGTACAACGCATTGGGCAACCAAGATGAGACGGGTCTTTGTTCCATGGCCATCGGTCTTGTCAGCGACATTGCCCGTGCCTTGAACGAAAAAGTTCAGCCTTTCTGCGACACGTTCATGAACCTCCTACTCAACGTGCTCCGAACTTCTACCAACCAGCTCAAGCCGGCTATTTTGGAGTGCTTCGGTGATATCGCCCAAGCTATTGGCACTCCCCACTTCGATAACTACCTGTCCGTTGTTGGCGGAGTCCTCCAGCAGGCCTCATCCGTGACCACAAGCTCTGATCTTTCCTTGGATATGGTTGATTACATTGTGTCTCTGCGCGAGGGCATTATGGATGCTTGGGGAGCTATTCTCCTTTCTTACAAGGGCACCCCTCAGAGTACGTTCACTATTTAAAATTTCATATTGAATATGTCATGCTAATGATATCTACAGTTACTCAACTCCAACCGTTTGTCGAGTCCATTTTCCAGCTGCTTCACATCATCTCTCAAGAGGGTAACCGAAGCGAGGGTCTGATGCGCTCCTCTATGGGTGTTCTTGGGTAGGTGACTTCGTTAAAGAATTATGATCTCCAATCTGAAGACTAACCTGTTAATAGTGACCTTGCTGACGCTTACCCCAACGGGGAGCTCATCTCCTTCTTCCGTAATGACTGGGTCACTTCCCTCATTCGTGAGACTCGCGCCACCCGCCACTACAGCCCACGGACTATCGAGACTGCTCGTTGGACTCGTGAGCAAGTCAAGCGCCAGGTCAACTTGGGTGGCATGGCATAAATTCATGTCTAGCGCTTTCATCGTATGGATGAATAGCTTTTCCCATCCCCGTATTAGTTTCAGGGAACAGGTCTGGAAGGAAAGCAATAGCTGCAAAGACGGCTTTACACGTCAAGGCCCAGCGCAACCTGAGGCCCTCGTGTTGATTTGGTACTTGATGGTCGACAAGGATGATTTTCACCTACGGGTAAACTTGACTGCTTTTTTATTCGTTATCAACCCCCATCCATCCCCATTCCCCTTCTCCAAGATCCAGAGATTGGTACTCCCTGAGATCATTTGCCCAATTATTTCACCAGCCCCCGTCATATGAATGCATTACCCCCGATGCCTCAATCGAATGAATTCCATTTTTTGTCATTCACCCTTCACCTCCCCTTACCATTCCCCTCATGTCTTTTTTATCATGCGAAATAACGTGTTACACATTTACACAACTTACCCACCTATTTCCTTGTCCTTTCCCCAAGTCTCTTTTTAATTAGACTAAGACTCCTTGCGCTCACTAGCATTCCCCTCATGTAACCCAAGACCTCATGTACGCTCCCTCCCCCGAAATTCACCAAATACATGTATGCCCAATTGATGTAACTCCCCCAAACTATGATGCCGTTCCTTTCCCTACGAGGAAGGCCACTTCCAAAAAGCTATGCATTTGATCCCATGCTCCGTATACTATACTCTGCCCATTTCTCCAGCAACATCCATGCTGCTATGCTATATACTTCTCCTAGAGACTAGACTACCTACTCACTTCGTTAAAAGATGACAGGCTCGAGATTTTTCTTACTCGATGGCATTCCAGTCCAGCTTGACATTCTAGCAAAGGCGGTGTGGCAAGACTCCTATACTAAGGCCTCAGGCATAAACTATTATATCTCGCGTAATCACCACGTGATATAGATAAGGGCTTATACGCCTGAAAGCCCTTAGCGCACGGTGTTCAATCAAACTTCTCTCGAGTTCCGCTTCTCCCTCTCCAACCCGCTTCCGACCATCCATCGAGGTATGTACTCTATCAACGCCCCGACCACTCATCAGTCTCATAGCTAGTCTGGGAGAGAAAATCATATCGAGTTCCAGCACGAAGCGTTCAAAAAACCCGAAAGGGTAATTTCTGCTCCTTCGTGTTCGGATGTCAATATGATACGCATCTCCCATCCCGGCACGGGCTGAAGAAACTCCTTTTTGGAAGGGGCACTCTTTATGCTTGAAGACTAGTTGTGACTGACTTTGCCCCCTCTCTCGACAGTAGATACCTCCTATCTTTTTTTCAATCTTCGATTTGAGAATCTCGATTCAATACCGCCAAAATGGTCAAGACTTCCGTCCTTAACGATGCGCTCAACGCCATGAACAACGCCGAGAAGGCCGGCAAGCGCCAGGTTCTCATCCGTCCTTCTTCCAAGGTCATTGTCAAGTTCCTCAGCGTCATGCAGAAGCACGGTACGTCTCATGGATAATTTTCAGTCGCCAATTTTGCTCCTTTTTCTCTTTCATAATCCTGTATTACCGTTTTTGTGAGGAGGATCCCATTTCGGGCTGATAACTAGGCGAACGGTCTCAATCAACCCACGACCTTTGCCCTTTAAGTGTCCGATATATTGATCTGCGGAGATCTTACACGTTTCCAGGCGCTTTCCTGTTTTTGGCGACTTTTAAATCCTCGCAACATAACTGACTTTATTTTTTTTTCTTCAGGCTACATTGGCGAGTTCGAGGAGGTCGATGACCACCGTTCCGGCAAGATCGTCATCCAGTTGAACGGCCGGTATGTTCCATTCCTCGCCAGTTTCCATCATCATCTAACAATGTCTCTTTCCAGTCTCAACAAGTGTGGTGTCATCAACCCCCGCTACCCCGTCCAGCTCCGTGACCTCGAGAAGTGGGCCACTCAGCTCCTTCCTTCCCGTCAATTCGGTTACGTTGTCCTGACTACCTCCGCCGGTATCATGGACCACGAGGAGGCTCGCCGCAAGCACGTTGCTGGCAAGCTCCTTGGTTTCTTCTACTAGATTAGACCAACTGTGCCGTTGGGACAAAAATTAAAAGTCTGTTTGACCTTGTATAGGCTTTGATATTATCTTCTCAGTGTCACTCTGTAATGTGAATATGATCTTGGACTTACACTGAGACTGAAACATCGTAGTCCGCTGTAGTTCTACGCGCTCGAGTTCGAGACGCTGCATGTATGTTACGTAACCAGTTCACGACCCATCCATACCAACCCTGGAACATCTAATATGAGCTCTCTCAACGAGGTGAGAGCAAGAAAGTAATTTGAAGTTTCCGCATCCTTTTTCACACTTTCAATCACTCTTAATTTGGTTTACGAGTTTTCTGCCTACTTTCTTCTGCCTACTTTTCTGCACTTTTGAACTGGCAGTGACACGGTTAATGCATTTAAACGGACCGGTGGACGGGGATAATTCATTTACCTAGATTCATCTATCTGTCTACCAGGACACGAAATATGCGCTTGATTGTGTCTAGATCTCCGCTTCGGTGTCCTCTCCGATCAGAATCAATCGTAGGACAAGAGTTGCATATCCTAGCAACGATCTCATTTTCTTGTCATCGTAGACAGAGCAGTGGCGTTGGTGGATCTATCCCATATAAGCTCCCATACAATCTTGTAAGCTGATGGCTGCGTGGCCTGTACAAAACCTCCAATCCAAAGTGTCGTTCTTACGACGTCAGACAGTCTTCTTGATTCTCCGATCGACCTTCATACGCACCAGACCAGCCAATATAGTAGCCACAGTAGCCATTGAACCAGCATAGAAGATAGCAGGCCTGTAAGCAGCAACTCCATTCTCTTGACCACCGGAAGCATTCAAAATGAAACCAGCAATAGGAGCACCCTATTATGAAGAATTGTCAGCATATAATCGCTCCTTACTCAACTAGAGACAAATGCTAATTTACCAAGATGTACCCTCCAAGCCAACCACTAACAATCATGCCCATAGCAACAGACACTCGCGCAGAACCGAAAACATTACCTACAACAGTCGGCATAGTTGAGAAGAAGCCGCCATTTGCTGCACCATTGATGATCACGAATGCAATCAGGGGTCCAATCGAGGTAGAGACGGGCCATAGCACGAAAAGGCTCAGAGCACTAAACAGAAGCGATAGAAACAGCGTGTTTAGCGAACCTAGCCTGTCGCACGCAAATCCACAAGATACACGACCGATGGCCGATGAGAAGTTGAATGCGGCTACTAGACCTGCACCGGCGCTTGATGGCAGGCCCAGAGAGTTTGTGTACAGAGGCAGGAAGAATGTCGGTACGTATAAGGGGAATGTACCAATTGCGCCCGTAAAGAATAAAACAACGAAGCGAAAATCGCGGAAGAGTCGCCTATAATAGTCAGTAGTCTTTCCTTTAGAAGGGAAATAGGCCCTCATACCATTCTACCATCTTAGTTCGTTGGATAGGTGCCCGTTCCTTGATCAAGTATGCGGCAGGCAGCCCAGTTCCAATCATCAGAAACCCGAGGATGCGGAAAGTCCATGCGATTCCAATACTTGACAGCAGAGAATCAATAAGAAAGCTGAGCACGGTACCACCAAGGCCGCCACCGGCAAAAACAATGCCATTCGCGACACCACGTTTAACCTTAAAATACTGTGCTGGGGTTGCCGAAACAACCTAATAAATAAATCAGCCAAAGCAATCAGAAACAAAGAAGAAAGAAACACCCAGACGAACCATGAAGCATAAGCTGGTTCCGAGACCACCGACAAATCCCCAAGTAATGAATAGTGAGGCGATACTATTCACAGCAAATCCGCTCAGAATACTTCCCAGTCCAAGAAGCGTGATACCCAACAACGCCGTAAATCGCGCGCCAATTTTACGGACGACAGTTGCATTTGGCACAGCCAGAAGCGAAATACAAGACGGGCTGAGTGATCCAACAAATGCCAGTGTCGAAGACGAATAGCCCTTGCGATCTACCAGAGCTGCTTGCATGACACCCCATGTATAAGATGTACCGACGAACCAGAACGTCAGAACCGCACAGGCAAAAATTACTACCCAGCCATATCCACCGTCTGGAACTTGCGAGTCTGCAAGCAGAGATTGCTGCATGACATCGTCTTGTTCTGGCTCTGGTTGGAGGACTGCTGAGGGCACATTTCGCTGTCTTTCACCCTCGGCATTTTGGTTTAGAGCTGACAGCTCAATTGCAGTACTTGGCAGACTTTGTGTCACCGTCGTCATATTTATCGGTGCTGTATAAGCAGAAAGTTGATTATCTGATTGAATTGAATCAATTGGCTCTGATTGGGTCGCGGGCGTTCTTACGTCTGTCGGTTCAAATATGATCCATATGAGGCTCTATGAACTGATCTTAGTATGTAAAAAGAGTCCCACACTTCAAAAAGCAGATCTTGATATTTCCGAAGCTTGAAATCCACGATGATGACTCTTAAGAGAAAAGATAAGATCTGGCACGTGACAGTGGGAATCGTATGGTATCACACTAGCCAATGGAATGTCAGTGAGGAAATAAGATCGCGGGTAACTAGATATTTACCAGGGATTATTTAGTTATGCATAACTAGATGCATAACTAGTTCGTCAATCCCTGTTGACCGTTATAAGCCGAATAATTGGCGTTTCTGAGGAATTAGGGCATCGATCACAGATGAACATTGAACAAAATCTACTCTATATCATTGCGACTTTGTATCACCAACTTTAACCGTAGTAATAGTGATAGCTTGCTCTTGAGTTCCGAGTAGAGGAAAAGATTTCAATAAAATGATTCAATCAAAGCTTTGTGCCAGGTCTACTCGCCTCTGAAAAAGCAGATAGCTCCGATGGTGGTGCCATAGGACCCGTATTGAAAGCTTCTTCGCCATTGAAGTGCCTGTCCTATCATTAGTCTCGCATTTGAGAATATGAATAAGCAAGAAAGCGACACACTTACCATCCACGTTCAGCACCTTGGCTCAAAAAGCTACAGTCCCCATTAGCAACGCAATCCCATCCACCTCCAACACCACGTCCGCCTTTCCAATCCGGAGTCCGCTTAGCACGAATGAGCTCTGTCTCTTCTGCCAGAACTTGCCCACAATCGCCAAGTTCTGCGCTACTAGATCTAGAAACTCTGTGATTTCTTCGCCGAAACGTGCTTAGCCCAGCCGTGAAAACAAGAAAGTCTTCTTCAGAGCTGTCCGGGGGCATGATGCCCGTTAAGGCACGGCCCATGGCAATCAGTGGCGCCGCATGTGCGCAGATCAGCACTGATTTGCTGGGGCGTTGTTCGGGCGGAAGGGCTGATTCCAGGGCTGTTATTTCTGTATCCAGATCGGTAATTATCCCATCTAGAACAGTGGCGATGCGGTCGTGCAGTTGAGCGATTGTCTCGCCTTTTCTAGAGGGCCGGAGTATTGGGGTATATTTTGATTCTGGGTTTTGAGGAATCAACGTTGGGAAGTGTGTAAGCATTGTGTTTGTTGTTGGATGAGGCGGATGGTAAAAGAAGCTCGTTGAGCCAAACCATTCTCCCAGCCCATTTTCAATTCTAACATCCAAAGTTGCATCCTTATCAATGGATCCGTATGTATTATTTTGACTTTCCAGGGGGGTTGGAACTTGTTGTTTCCTCTTTAGCTCCTCAACTGTGGGCTGTATTGTTTGAAGACATCGAAAGAATGGACTAGAATAGATGCGAAAGGGCTTTGGGTGGAAGTCAGGACCAGCTATATGCTCCGCAAGTTCATGAGATTGCTGTACACCATGTGATGTCAGTACTGGATCGGCTGGATTCCCTGTTGGTGTTGGAAATTGTGATTTGTAGATGCCTGTGCGGAGGTCTATTGTCCAACTGAGCCGGTGCTGTATCTGTTAGTTAGCGTATAGGAACAGTGGAAGGCTCAAGGACCATATAGATATGTAAGGCTTAAGCCTTGGACCCTCGAAGAAGAATCAAAGATCTTACCCCATGGCGAGTGAGATAGATGGTGTCCAGTGGCATAGTGACAATGATTTACCAAGGATGTTTATTGCGGGGAACCTTGGACCTATAAATCTAGGGCGGTGTGATAAGAGCCGAGGTCGTGCAATATCTTATATCTTATCGATAAAGGCAAGTAACGTCATTCTGCATTTTAAATCTTCACAGCCCACCTTCACCATGCCTGACAAACTTGAGAAAGCCATTATGGACGAGGCGAGACACGCCCAAACAGTTGCTCTGGATGTCGCCAGGTCAGGTGCCTACCTGTACCCATTCAAGGTACGAAGCCTCCATGAGAGATCTCAATTATTCATTTAACCCTCGAAATACAGGGAATTTTCTATTTCGCAATGCATAAAGACCTCTGGCAACCATTCGTCTCCAAAGCTGGACAAACTCTAAGCCTTGGACTGGGAGTGACAACCTTCATGTTCTTCTTCACCTACGTTCCGCAGCTCGCAATCATGTTTTTCACCAGCGGCCCCTTGGCCGCTATTTCTGCAGCCTTGCTTGTTCTCACCGAAAGTTCCACTCTCACCAGAATTCTCATGCGCTCCTTCGTTGGAGAGGAAACCTTGATGGATACATTTGATGCTACACTGATCGCACGAGGCCAGGAGCCCCTCGTTGCTCAAGGACGCGAGGTCAAACCCAAATTCGGAGGCATAAGTGCAGTGGCCAGGCTGGGAAAAGCGTTCTCAAAGCCCATTTCCAGAATCATGCCTCGGTCGCTCCTGAAATCTTTGATTCTCTTGCCTTTGAATCTGATTCCAGTCGTAGGTACAGTTCTGTATGTGTTTATGCAGGGTAAGAGACTTGGACCAGGACTTCACGGAAGATATTTCCAACTCAAAGCCTGGGATTCTCGCCGCCAAGAGGAATGGGTGAATAAAAATCGGGCCGCGTACACTGGGTGGGTCAATATGTATTGGTTGGATCTGTCTTCATCTTCGCATACTAACTGAGTTATATAGCATGGGAATTGCGGCTGCTGCTTTGGAGATGGTTCCGTTTGCTTCGATCCTTTTCTCATTCACCAATACGGTCGGCGCAGCTTTATGGGCGTCAGATCTGGAGAAGTCTGCTGCTTAGATGAAGGGTTCGCTAAGGAAAGTTTGGAGTAAAGTCGTGGGGAGTAATACTTTAAAATAAAAGAAATACATTCAAATCCAATCAGCCTCTGAAATAATTGAGGTTTACTTACGACGCTACTATCTCAACTTAATAAAACAAAGCAGGGTTTTCTTTCAGATCAATTAGATATCTTTAGAAAGTGCATAAGATTGCCGAGAATAAAGTTCGACCCATTGACAAAAAAGCTGAAAGATAAAGTGGCTGGGGTATCGCTTGTCATAATATTAGGACATCCTCATTTTGAAGGTGTTTTGTGTGGTTCCTGAGTTTTCACTGCTCTTCTTCCTCTGGAGGCTCAGCTTGGCGATTCTCAATTTCCTGATTATTCTCGACTTCCTGGCGCAGCCTTTCGGCCTCAAGCTCAGCTTCCAAGCGTGCATGAGCCTGGACCCGTTGTTCACCAATACCCGGGACAAGACTAGCCAGGAGGAGCAAAATGGACTCCATGACATAACCAAGGGAGTTGTTTGCGGGCCTCGCTTCTTGCACAGGATGAGCTGCAGGTCGAAGGGCCTGTCGTTCTAAAAAGCGCTGGAAGGGAGCAATTATCGCTCCCTGGAATTGCTCAGATAAGCCAGTTGCCTGAAGCAAAGCATAGATCATAAACACAAGCATCATAAAAGTACGAGTCCAAGTTCCAGAATCGCTTGCCATGTAAATAATAAGCATAAATTGGCTAAAAAGCCACATACGGCTCATGAGGCGCATTATGGCCTCGTTAATATTGAAGCGTCCGCGGTGCCGGGCATGGATCACCCGAGGAACGTTCTGTCCGGCGGGAATTTCCTGACGGGGTACCTGAGGAACATTCTGTTGCGCGGGGATTGTCTGACGAAGATCTTGATTGGCGGGGATTGGCTGCGCTCGGAAAACGTTTTGTTCGAGACGTCTAGGTGCCGGTTCCAGATTTGCATTGAATCGTCCGGGGTATAAACTAGTCAGTAAATTCAAAACATCGGGATTGGCTGCAGACTCGTTGGGAACGATTAGGGACTGGGTTCCATTGGTGCCTGATGCCAAATAATATCGCCTTCCAGGATCCAGTCCGAATTGATGTATCCCAGCCGGATGAGAAAGGTCATCGATACGACGATAGATAGAGCTGATACGTTGCATAAATTCGTGGTTTATTGGGTTTGACACCATTGAGAGCTGGCATTCATGTACTCTGGTCTGCAACTGAAGCCGACTTTCTATAGTGGGCAAAACACCAACCGCGAGTTCTGATTCAATTTGCAGGATATGAGCCAACAATTGGCTAAGGTTTTGAGCACGGCTAAGGTTGAGATGGGAATATGCAGGTGGTAGATCTGTCACACCATGACCATCTAAAGCAGAAGGGGCGTCAGGAGCTGCTATATCACCAGAGATGCTCGAACGCCTGGTAGTCCTATCGTTTGGGTTCGTATTAAAGAGGGGCCTGAGACGATGTCCATGCGTCTCAAGAGCGTTACGCAGTGGCTGGGGACTAACAAATGGCCCATCAGGGCTGGCACTCGTATTATTTGTCAAATTGACGGATGGGACTTGGGTAACTGGTATTTCTGAATTGCGAGATGGGGTGGACAGGCTCCGGTCCAGCAGAGATGGTGGCAATGCAAGATGGATGGTGTATTCCTCAGACTAGAAAAGTTCAGGTTAAGTTGAAGAACGTTGAGATTGGAGAAAAACATACAACAACGGGATGGAAAACAGCTGCCAGAGTTCCAAGGTGGTCGATCGATCGACCGAGGTAGATCAACCGCTGTGTAAATGACGGGGGATGTGAAGGAATTTCATCTTTGAGACGATCACGGAGTTGATCAACCGTCGAGGACAGTAGGATGTCTTGGAAAGTGAATTTATTGGGGGGAGGGAGGGCAGGGACCAAGACATGAAGAGTGATAGTGGAACGAGTAGAAGGATCAGAAGCTGCATCGGATGTCACGATGGTGGGGCGGGCCATGGTGGGTACGGGGATGCGTAGGTGATTAGATTGTCATAGCTCTAGGAAGAATGGGGTGGTAAGGAGTGATGGCAGATTTGCGAGCTTGAATCCAGTGAAATGGTAGCACCAGGTTGCGTGAGTGGTAACTAGGCACTGGTCTGATGTAAGATATCTGATTAGAAGCCGCACTAGTTCAGCTCACTGGAACAGAATGAAGAGATGGGGTTGGCTAATTTTGAAAGGCAAAAAGGTCAAGCGCGAAAATAAGAAGAGGGTGAAGAGGGGAGATCCAGATCAACAAACAATATCATTATGTCAAGGTGGCGATAGGCAGTATACACGTGCCTGAAGGCGGTAGGATCAATTCAATAACACGTGTTTAAGGCGGTGAGGCCGATTGTAATGTCGCGTGAAAAAAACATGTCCCAAACATCTTGTGAAACAGCCTCGGGGAAGCGATTAACCCGAGTCTCCATGGAGTGATTTTACATGATGGCCAAGTGCCTTCTCAGCAAATCCCATTTCCTCCACTGCCCTCGAACCGGGGGCGTTGCATCCATGGAGGTCCTTTCGTTCCGAGCCACTGCCCGTCATAAGACTAGCGTGCGCCATTTTTCTAAATCATGGAGACAATATCAAGACAATCATGAAAACAACAAAAAGAGTGGGTTTGGATCTCGCCTGAGTTTTGCCCTACGAAATACCAAGGTGGAGTGGTACCCCATCCCTGTGGGCCTGGGCATCGGCTTGCTAGGAGTTCTAAGCTTCTACAAATCACAGCGCGCAGAGCGTGATCGTGAAGCCCGTGAAGCTGCTGGAGAAGATTGGGAAGATGGAAGAAGGCCACCTCGTCGCCCGCGAGTTGTGCCAACTGGGTCCTGGCAGGTTCAGCTCCTATCCACTCTACCCCTGAAGGCCATGTCGCGGTGGTGGGGTCGTTTCAACGAAATTGAGCTACCTTACTATTTCCGTGTACCTGGATTCAAGCTTTACTCATGGGTCTTTGGTGTCAACCTCAGTGAGGTTGCGGAGCCTGACCTGCACACCTATCCCAACCTCGCAGCCTTCTTTTATCGCAAGCTGAAACCCGGTGTGCGCCCTCTGGACCCTGACCCACGAGCCCTAGTATCCCCATCCGACGGTCGTATTCTGCAATTCGGCACGATTGAGCGAAATGAGGTGGAGCAGGTCAAGGGTATGACCTACAGCTTGGATGCATTGTTGGGATCGGCTACACCATCGCATGCCGACCACAGCAATCGGCTTACTGATTCAAAGACAGAAGGAACTCAAAATGATGCGGAGAACATGATATCTGATGAAGACTTTGCACGCTTGAACGGAATTTCATATACTATCCCGTCCCTGCTCTCCGGAGACACCCACAAACAAGCTTCGATTGATGCCTCTACTCATTCTAAGGCCACCTCTGAGGCCAAAGTTCAGGAGGAACTGGCCCGCGGGGAAGGCACCCCATGGTACGCGCCCAAGGCGGCTGCTAATCACGGTCTCTTCTACATGGTGATTTACCTGGCTCCTGGTGACTACCATCGCTTCCACTCTCCAGCTGCCTGGGTGGTCGAGAGCCGCCGCCACTTCGCTGGTGAGCTCTACTCTGTGTCTCCGTATTTGCAACGCCACCTCCCAGGTCTATTTACTCTGAATGAGCGTGTGGTGCTCCTCGGTCGCTGGCGCTGGGGTTTCTTTAGTTACACACCTGTGGGCGCGACCAATGTGGGCTCGATAAAAATCAACTTTGACTCCGAATTGCGCACCAACAGTCTGCTGACCGACACTGCTGCTGATTTAGCCGCAGCTCAGGCGGCCGAGCGAGGGGAGAAAGATCCTGGGTTCGTGGAAGCCACTTACCGCCATGCTAGCAAGACCTTGAATGGACATCCTTTGCAACCTGGCGAGGAAATGGGTGGATTCCAACTTGGAAGCACCGTCGTTCTTGTGTTCGAGGCACCGCTAGGCAAGAAATCTGTTGACGCAGATTCGGACCAGAACGCCGGCGGTTGGACATGGAGTGTTGAGAAGGGTCAACGTATCAAAGTTGGTGAGAAGCTAGGGTTTGTGGAAGAAGCCTAAACCGGCCATTCCAAGGTTATTACATATTAACTCTTTTAATTTTTTTTTCTTTTGATTTCCTTGTATTATACCAGCCGTGGAACCTTGGAAATGTTGCTTTTATAGACAATTGAATGATTTTGTTGTTTCGATATACTTGGTTCCACGGACCTCTGTCTCTCTCTCTCTCCGTGATTTTGGTGATCCGTGCAGCTGTGTCTGCCTTGTTTTAGGAGATCTAGCCATCCATAGATGTCTGCCTGAATCCCACTGAGCAGTTTGCCCCGACGTGGCATGTTTTGAGAAAGCGAGTAGATCACTGCGGGTCCATTGTAGGCTGAGCTGAGCTTGGCACCAACACTTCGGAAATCCACGGCTTTACCGTATCTTCTCAAGGTAGAAGACAATCCATAATAACATAAAACATAAACATCATCAATTATTATTGTATAGTCTCATATAAAACATGGTATTTTGACTCTGCAGCTAAAACGGCTAAAAGCACAGACCACACTATGTGTTTGCGTCATTGGACCGCTGGACTGGACCTTCAAGAGAGTCGCACTTGACCTGAATAGTTATACTGCATATCTTTTGTCGCCATTTACGCCACATTCACTGTAATATTGAGATATCATTCTATTCATCTGTTGCGAGAATGGTGGTCAAACTAGTAATAAGTTTGCCTTCGTGTTCTTGGCTAGCTCATCACTTATCTTGCTTATCTCACCACCTCTTTTTCTTTCCCTCCCACCAACTTCCCTTGTAAGGACCATCTCCGTCAATCTCGATGGCCATTTTTACTGCGCCTCGGTCATTCCAATATAATGGCTTCCCTCAGGACCAGATAGACGTTAGCAGCATAATGGCTACTGGCGCTGGTATGCACAACAAGCACCCCTCATTCGTTCACCTCTGCCTACTGGTCTTCGAGGCCGTCCTGGAGGTAGTATGTGTCTCTCTCCCAGGCTACATCGTTGCCAGACAAGGACTCTTCGATGCAGATGCTCAAAAATTTGTGGCAAATCTTAACGTCATTTTGTTCACCCCATGCCTGAGTAGGTGGATTTATCCCATCGCATCAACCTACAATCACTAACCCAAATCCATAGTCTTCATCAAGCTCGGCTCCCAATTGACAGCAGAGAAAATCACTGACCTGGCCATTATTCCTCTAATATTTATCGTTCAAACATGTGTCTCATACTTCTGCGCCTTCGTGGTGACGAGGTGCTGTCGGTTCAAGAAACGCCAATCGAACTTTGTGACGGCCATGGCGGTAAGTCTAACCTCTCCTCGGCGCGATTTACTGGAACCTAATGTATGCTTCTCATATAGGTCTTTGGAAACTCTAACTCTCTCCCTATATCCCTTGTCATCTCCCTCTCCAAGACTCTTAAAGGCCTTCATTGGGACCAAGTACCAAACGACAATGACGACGAAGTTGCGGCTCGAGGTATCCTTTATCTGCTTATCTTTCAACAGTTGGGACAGCTCGTACGCTGGAGCTGGGGGTACCATGTCCTTTTGGCCCCGAAGGAGCGATACCTAGAGGAAGATAGCGAGTCCGATCAGTCACGTATCGAACAGGGCCATGCACGCTACACGGACAACCCAGATGAGCCACTAGTCCAAACGCGGAATTCGGATGATTTACTCAACCCTGACGGTCACGGTGAGCCCAGCGATGGGTTCCACTCCGGGGAAGCAACACCAGTTGGGACTGGCAAATATTCATACAGCAAAATCTCCTCAACGAACTCTACTACTTCCGGAGATGAAGATCACCACTCTGATAGGCCATCAAGTGCAATCGGGTCTCCCCCAACTGGACTTTTCCTTCCGCGACAAAGCACAGGAGACATCATGTCATTCCCCAACGTGGAGACCACCTCCGAAGAATCAGAGCAGACCTTGATCCAACGATGGAAAGCGTCTATTCGTCGCGGTTGTGAAAAGACCCGGGCATTTGCGAGCAAGAAGGCAGCGGCCGTATTTGGAAGCCTCCCAACACGGGTTCAGAAGACCCTCTCAGCTACCACCCATAGCATCTCCCGCTTTCTCCTAGGCCTGTGGGGCTTCATGAACCCGCCCCTATGGGCAATGCTGACGGCTATAGTCGTGGCCTCGGTCCCAGCCCTGCAACACCTCTTTTTCGACAAGGGTACCTTCGTCCGCAACTCGGTCACTCGTGCCGTCGAGCAAAATGCCCAGGTCGCCGTACCGCTCATCCTGGTCGTTTTGGGTGCCAATCTCGCGCGGAACACCCTTCCCGAAGAGGCTCTTGCCGACATTGAACACCCGAAGGCGGAGCGCAAACTCATCATTGCCTCGTTACTGGCTCGTATGCTACTCCCGACTCTGATCATGGCACCATTCCTTGCTCTGCTGGCGAAATTTGTGCCGATCAGTATTCTGGACGATCCCATCTTCATAATCGTTTGCTTCCTTCTCACCGGTGCCCCCTCGGCACTGCAACTGGCGCAGATTTGCCAGATCAACAACGTTTACGTAGGCGCCATGTCCAAAATTCTTTTCCAGAGCTATGTTGTCTGGTATGTTCCAATATATTACGATTTAATTGAATCTATGCTAACTAATCTTTCAGGATCCTCCCATCTACCCTCTTTCTCGTTGTTTGTGCCCTGGAAGTGGTGGAGTGGGCTACTGCTGTTTGAATCATTTCTTCCGTCCACCAAACCTGGTGACGCCGGTCTGTCCTCTTTTATCTATGCGCTGTCTCCTTCCTATTGGTCCCCTTGTTTTCTTGTAGGTACTTATTCAGGGTTTGGCGTTCCCGGGCGGTTCACATTCTTTGGGAAACCCCTTCTTGTGTCGGGGCTGTTTCGGGTCCATATTCCTATCACACACAACTCGAACTCCTCATTATGTTACGCTACATTTTATTCTTAGGAGCGTTGAGTTTGCTTTCTCTTGTCAGATAAGTAGGAGTAGCTGTCACCAGTCAACTCGGCTCAAAATTAAAGTTGAATGCATTTCTTCGCTTTTGTTTCACGTATGATCTTATTAGTAGACAATACATGCACCTCATCCTGAGGCATGTGCAATCTGACCTGCCGGATCACCTTGAACATCGACCAGCATGGCCATGCCAGTAGCCATATGCCACAAGATATGACAGTGAAAGAGCCAAACACCAGGATTATCAGCCCGGAAACGCAGCACAGCATAACCACGGCTTGGGATCTGAACGGTATCCCGAAGAGACGCCTTCGCCAGGTCATACGGCTGATAAGGCTCATTTGCATCATTATGTTCATCAGGCTCCAAGCCCGGAGGAAAGATGTCTTCGAAAGGGCTGTAAGAACCCCACCCGAATGGCTCTTGGATGGCAAGAATATAAAAGTGATGGCCGTGCTATGGAAGGTGTTAGTCAATAATGTAGTATAGAGAAACTGAAAGCAAATTCACCAGATGGAATGGGTGGGGACCTTCATCCAAGTTATTCACGACCAGATCTATCCATGCAGCGTCAGGCGTACTGAAAGAAAGCTGATTCGAGTCCCATTGACTGCGTGGAAGGTTTCTTAGTGGGGTGAATGGATCCTTTTGTGGTTTCCAGGTTGTTTGGTTGAAATATCCGAAGGGGATGTTGTGGTTGCGGGCTAGTTTTTGGATCTTGGTGTAGACCACTTGTGTCTGATCTGCCCTTCGCGGGAGAGATTTGAGGATAGCGGGGCTAGAAGGAATTTTTTCTAGATTGATTTTTTTGCGCGTTTCTGGTGTTAATATGGTCTTTTGGAAGGTAGATTTGTAAATTATTGGGAAGGACTGGAGTGGTGTTAATGCCGGATTGACATATTTGAAGCATCTGTAGATTATTAGCCCTGATTTCATAATTTATAGCAGCATTTGTACCCTTCGTCTAGCTGAACTGTCATAACGGACGAGTCGTAATCGTGAAGTGGCTGGCGAAGCACAAAATCCATGCGTTGGCCTGGATGTAAGATGCCGGCGGAGTTGATATCGGGTTGCTGCTCGTCGCGGGCAACATCAACACTGTCCATCTGGACAATATCAAAATTCTCTTTATCTAAGATCAGGCTGAAGCCAGCCAAGGCTCTGTTGGAAGTCAGTGACCATCTTAGCGAATTTGTAGATAGTCAATACCCTGTGTTCACGACTCGGATTCGATAAGCAGTATCAGGATCGAGGTGAAGAAGAGAAGAGTTCATATCCTGTTCAATACAGTCCAAGGGACGAGCGGGAACTGCCATGGAACAATCAAAATAACCAGCTCCATTAATCAGAAGCGAGTCAGGCACGGGCTACACCATCGTCAGAAGGCCATTCATTCTCAAAATCACGAACATACCTCGTTGCCAAAATTCCCCGGAGTCATATACCAGGCTAGCACATCTTTTGCGGGACGGTGGTACCAGTCGCCAATAAGGAGCAGAAGTTCCTTCTCATAGCCAAATCTTTGAGCATCGCTGCGGTTCCGAGTCCATAGACCGCGGATAGCAGACTTGGAGGCTGGAGAATGAACGACTAGTCCACCATATAGGCCATCCCCCCCCTTGCAAGACCAGCATGGGCATGATACCAAAAGGTTCCGCTCTGGTCGGAGGGGATGGTGAGATTATAGACGAATCGGCCTCCAGGAACGATAGGGCTTTGTGTCACCCCTGTGGCCCCATCCATATCATCTGTTTTGGTTAGTCAAATGTGCGATGGACATGAAATACTACTTACTCGCTATATGAAGGCCATGCCAATGAATGGTAATTGGGTCCTCGGACAGATCATTAGTTACAGTAATAATCAGAGTGTCCCCAGACCGGGCCTCGATAGTAGGACCTGGAAAGAGATCTACTCGCAAATTAGTGAGGTCTTTTTTTTTTAGCAATATCAGGCCTGTAGTAGGTACCATTAATCAAGTATATCCGCTTCAACACACCATCAGGCCTGCGCAACCCCGACGTGACGCTCCAATTGAAGTACTGTGTCACCGTCGGCCGATACACATGATCATCAGGATGAAGTACTATCCTCGGGCGGGACACCACTTCATTGAATTGCTGATGATGCAGTGATGGAGTAGTCCATGAGCTGAACGAGTTTTCCGGAAGAAGCAGAAAGAACAATGCTAGGAAAGAGGTAAACAATAACAAAATCAATAATGGACGAGGGCGGCGATTCCGCGCTACGGGCGGAATTAGCTGTGGCTCCGGCATGGGAGCAGCCCTTCGACGTCGACTCTGCATCTCCATTAAGGATCAGTCTGTTCAGAGGTGATAGGAAATCCCGCGGTAGGCGGAGTATAAAGTACGTAGTATGGACGGGTTAAGCGTCCGGGATACTTCAGGGTCCCGCTCTGACCTCACGCCTTGCAACATCTGACATGCAACAAGCAGACTAAAAATTGGCGGAAATTGACAGAGGACCACAGAGGAAGAAATAATGCGAGGTATCCAGTCAATCAGATCATGCAGATCATGCAGGTGTAATGTAGGTGACATACAACTAGTATAATGAATACTAGTAAATGTAGTATAGGTAGCAATAAAAGTGGAAGGACGGATTGGGTACCGAGGCCTTTCCTATTAGGGATATGAAAATGGAGTGAAGTTCTTCACGTGGGAAGATAGATTGGATGTCGATCAAGGGATGCACGCCCCTAGTTAAACGTGCGGGGGTTCCTTCGGCGTTCGGTTTCATTACCTAACTTGACTTCTAATTTCCAACAATGTCTGATGATTCCTTTTAAAGCTTTGATGACCTCTTTCCAGAGAATATTCTACTTTTCAACCCTTTCATTCTAGTTAAGGCATTATGGCTCTGCGTCTGGGGGCTCTTCTGCTTGGACTGGGCATCGCGCCTGCCAATGCCGGTTCGCTGAAGGATATTCACCATGTAGTCATCTTTATGCAAGAGAATCGGGCTTGGGATACAGTACGTTTTCTCAGATTCTGATTTCGTGGGAAGAATTAAGTATGAATCTAATACAGTTGACAGTACTTTGGCACTATGGCTGGCGTGCGAGGCTTCAACGATCCAAATGTTCAAGTCAATGACGACAATCTGCCTGTCTGGCACCAGTGAGTCGCAGCCAAAAGCCAATTGGATTTCTGAGGATCTAACTGCTCTATTCCAGAAAAGTTGATCCATCAATGTCAAATAAGACCACTTCTCTACTGCCTTGGTACCTGGGCTACCAAGGTGGAAACTCAACAGATGCCATCCAGTGTATGGCTGCCGGAGATAATGGCTACCAGGACAATCAGGCAGCTCTCAATGGTGGGTTAAACAACCACTGGGCTCGCAACAACACTCCTTGGAGCTGGGGTTATCTGAAACGAAGCGATGTTCCTATCCATTTTGCCATTGCAGAGGGTTGGACCTCCGGTGACATGTATCAGGTATGAATTGCCTGTGGAGTTGAGGCAATTTGAACTCGACACTGACTTTATATAGGAATCTCAAATCACTGCCACTAATCCCAATCGAGTGACTCTCGTTAGTGGCTCTGTGAACGTGCCTGGTGGCCCGCAGAATGCTAGCCAAGGTGGTGTCTACATTGATAATAATGAAGTGCCAGGTATGATTTTTCCAGTTATATTCATGACAATTGAGACAATCATCTAAGAATTTTCTTGCAGGATGTGATAGCAATGGTATCAATTGCTACCCCCTCAAATGGAAGACGATATACGAATTCTATGAAGAGGCTGGTATCTCATGGCAACTGTATCAAGACACTAACAACTTCGACGACAACCCTCTCGCATGGTTTCAACAGTTCCAGAAGGCCAACTCTTCATCCCCTCTTGCTAAGAAGGGAATGTCCTACACTGGGCTAGATGCATTCTACGAAGCCGCGGCCAATGGTACTCTACCAGAAGTTAGCTTCATTGTTGGGCCGGCAGAACTATCAGAGCACCCTCCGTATCAGCCCAAGGATGGTGCTTGGTTGCAGAAGAAGGTCGTTGATGCCGTCACTTCAAGCCCCAAGTACGCTTCAACCCTTTTAATGATCAGCTACGATGGTGAGTTTTTCTTAGGTCTCTTCGAAAAGCAGGTCTAATTTTGGTGCTAGAGACTGGAGGATTTGGAGACCACGTCACTCCATTTCACTCACCCAAAGATACTCCTGGAGAATGGATGGAAGACCCTCTTGGATACTTCGGTGATGTGTTTGTGGGACCTGGTACGTAACAGAAGTTGGCTCTCAAGTCCGAAGACTGATGCATCTACCAGGCTTCCGTGTACCCTTCTATATGATCTCTCCCTGGACGCGAGGCAATCGTGTCTTCACCGAGCGGGCAGATCACAACTCCCAGATTCTGTTTGTAGAACAGTGGCTTACAGCTAGAGGATATAAGAATGTCCAGACCGATCAGATGGTGACTTGGCGCCGAGAACACATGTCTAACCTTGTCAACGCCCTGGATTTTGACAATGTAAGTTTATTCTTTTCTATTAATCAAGAGTAACTAACCAACTATGACAGCCCAACTACTCCATTCCAGAAATCCCAGATGCCGAAACTCCCGAGACCACCAGTGACGGTGTCTACATCGGTTCATCCGTCTGCCAGTCCACATATAATCCCCAACGACCAACAGTCCCATACGGCAATCAGAACGATACCGAAAATACGCTCTACTTCGAAGATGGTTTCAAGGAGGTAGTTGGCTACCTAACCGAGGGCCGCTACCTAGTTTTCGAGAAGAGCGGGTCAGCAATAACAAATAAAGGCCAAGACAACAAACTGACCACGACTTCCGCCACTGATAATCATGAAGATAAATCTCAGCGCTGGATCATCCATTACTCAAAAGACGAAGAAAACGAACTCTTCAAAGTCTCCAGTGCCCTTGATGGCCGCTGGTTAGGACCGAACGGCTCCTTGGCGGACGCTTCAAACAGCGACAATGCCGAGTTTGTGCGCATCAAATTCCTTGGGAATGGCCATGGCTATTCTTTGCAATATGCCAATGGCAAGTATATAGAGGTTTACGGCCAAGGGAACTTGAAATTGACTGAGAAAGAAGCTTCGAGGGGCTTCAAGGTGTATAGCGTAAGTTATCATGACTGAGCGCATGTTCAGGCCTATCTGTATATACTTCAGTGGTCAGGCATAGAACCTAGAAGTACTCAGTTCTAAAAAATAAAGATTAAAGGTATGACTACCTACTAATTAATTCAAGATTAAGGCGAAATATTAAATGAAGTATGAAGTAGATTAAAGATAAGCAGGATGACTAAGATGATATCTAAAGCTTAACTAGCTGCTAAATATCTGTAGATCTGCTAGATTCAACCGATTGTCGGGTCACATGAGAAGGCTTGACCGCCGATAAGCGCCACTTTTTGCCACTTCTTATTTCTATTGAAGCTTTGAATTTATTCCATACTTCAATTCCTCAATTCCTCAATTCCTCCTAGTTCCGCTTTCACACACATATTCCAAGTTTTGCGCTTTGACCTGATTTAAAGCTTTGCTCCATACTTACTGGATACTGTCTTGACTTTTTTGGGAGGAGATATTTCTCTACCCCACCTTCTCTCCACGTTTACCCCTTTGATCTGATTTCTTTTTTTTTCTCCTCTCAGCCTCAATCGGACCACAAACCTTAGCCAAACTAAAAAGTACCTATTGGTCTACTCAATCACAGTTCATCATACCCCTTGCTGACACTGTGCCATCTCCGAAGTTCACCCTGCATATGCCGTCCCTGGAAGACCGTGCTGGCGGGGAGCCCGAGCTAACAGGTAGGCTTTCTCTCCACTCTCCCAGAGTGTATTTTTATAAATGCCCCTCTGCAATTGTTTTTGAACTGCCCCTGCGACTGCCCATGCAACAACATCCTAGCGCACTTTGCCACTCGTGGCCCTTTGTACATGCGCCACCAAATCCGGTGACCCGAATGAAGTGACGTCGTTGCCCACCTTGACCAAAGCGCGTTTCTAGATTTCTCATTAACTGATTCCGTGTAGACTGCCTGCCTATTTCAGGAACTGGTCTGGATTTTCCTTCATTGCACAAGGCCTTGTTGAATACAAATGCAAGTAGGACCGCCTCTCCCCCACCGGACAGTACACCTTCTAGGCAGTATCGTGCCCCCGTGCCCAAGACAACTGCGCGCCCGCCCATTCACCCCTCGTCAATGTCGTCGGCTCTCGGCAGCCAATCTAGCGCCAGACTTGATACCTCCGCCATAGAAGAGATCCCGGACGAGGACCCCCAACAGAATTTGTTTCATCAGGTTTTCGAATGGCTGGAACACGAGAAGGCAAGAAGGAAAATACGCAAGGCACGGCGGAATGGAGCTGGTGTAGACTCTGTGGATGGTCCTCCTGAGGGTCAAGGTACTGGAGACGAATCTCGTAGCTCCGATGGCTCCTTTTCCCTAGACATGCTGGAGAAAATTCTACATCAATATGCAGGATCTGGCTTAGAGCCGGTTCAATACGCCAAGCGCGTCATTCGCCGTCGTCATAGGGGTCTTCGTCGAGGGTCAGCTTCTGAATCTGAATGCACTGATGTTGAAGCCACTGTGCCCAGCGTAGATGCCTGGCTTGACAACTCCAAAACCTTGGCCTACCCAAGCAGTACGGCCCTGGATGAAGAGTTGGCTGATAGCACTGTTTCCTTGAAACGGGCCAAGGACAAGGAGTCTTGGACTGTTTTTAAAACTGAGATTCTACGTCTTGCACACACATTGCAGCTCAGGGGCTGGCGCAAAGTGTCTATGGATGACGCTGCAGACATGGATGTCATTCGTCTGAGTGGCGCATTGACCAACGCTGTATATGTGGTTAAGCCACCAAAGCACATACCTGTTGCGAACAACGACAACAGCTCTTCCCAATTGATTGCGAGAAAACCTCCGCCGTAAGTTTTTGAGAACTCGAAAGGCGCATTGTAGTTGACTGCTAATCTTTCTTTCTTTTTTCTTCCCTCGCAGAAAGCTATTGCTACGTATCTACGGTCCTCAAGTAGATCACTTAATTGATCGAGAAAAAGAACTGCAGATCCTACGTCGTCTGGGCCGCAAGAACATCGGTCCTCGCATGTTGGGTACATTCAACAACGGTCGATTTGAAGAGTTCTTCGAGGCTCGTCCACTCAGTCCAGGGGAATTGCGGCAGCCAGAGACAGCAAAGCAAATCGCAAAGCGGATGAGGGAGCTTCACGATGGAATTGAGCTTCTAGACGAAGAACGTGAAGGCGGCCCGGCGATCTTCATGAATTGGGACAAATGGGTTGACCGTTGCGAGCAAGTGACCACTTGGCTGGATAAGGAGCTTGAATCCCCGGAAAATGATGTCAAGGCTGCCACAGAGCCCTGGCGTCAACGTGGCTTCGTCTGTGGTGTACCGTGGGCAATATTCCGCAAAGCTGTAGAGAACTATCGGATCTGGTTGATTGCGAGCTGTGGAGGCATTGATGAGATCAAGCGACAGCTTGTATTCGCCCATAACGATGTATGTGATATATTATTCGTGTTTGGATTGTACATATATACTAACTTCCCCTCAGACTCAATATGGCAACCTCCTGCGCATGGAACCTGCCACAGAATCCCCACTCCTCCTTCCTGCCAACAAGCATAAACAGCTCGTAGTTATCGATTTTGAATACTCCTCCGCCAATACTGCTGGATTTGAATTTGCTAACCACTTTGTAAGTTGCCTCTCTTAAAACTCTCATCTTATCATTATCTGACCATCTCAGACGGAGTGGTGTTACAATTATCACGACGAGGAGCGAGCTTGGGCCTGCAACAACCGTACCTATCCCACTCCGGAAGAACAGCAACGGTTCTTATGGACCTATATCCACCACCGACCTGCCGTCACAGGCGGTGTTGTGTCACCGCTAGCCACCCCGGCCATGCGGGGTCGCACCGGCACTTCTATTGCCCATCTAGACCTTGACGATACTGGAACATCAACCCCCGAGATCGAAACAACCCAAGAGGATGAGGTAGAATTAGAGATGCGCCACCTTTTGCGACAGACTCGCCTATGGCGCGTGATGTGCTCAGCACAGTGGGTGGCATGGGGTATCGTGCAAGCCAAGGCTTCCGGCATGAAAGAAGGCATTGCAAAGATGAGTGCCGCTGAGAACGGGAACGGTCATCACAATGGGAACGGAGAGGAAAAAAGGCCTCCCGTTGACTCGGATATTGACGAAGAAGAAGAGTTTGACTATCTTGCTTACTCTCAGGACCGAGCTATGTTCTTCTGGGCGGACTTGTTGGCGATGAATCTTGTCAATGCGGACGACCTGCCTCCGCTCATGCTGGAACATCTCAAGACACGAATCATCGATTATTAAACGAGACTATGATTGTCTCGGTGCTTATGTAGTTATGATTACCAGTACACACATACCATTATTAGGTAGTGGAAATGTATGAATGTTGATGATAATATTGCAGACTTGATTGGTGCTTATCACCAGTATATTCGACATGACATCCTTTCAGATGGATATCAAAGTGAATGAATAAAGAATTGTCATCAAAAGTCAGCGAACGTCAGTAGTAGAAGCAATCTACCTCCGGTTCTCCAACTTCTTCCTAGTCTCCTTCTTCGCACCCTCAACCCAATTCTCATAAGCCTTTCCACTAGGATCAGCCTTGTCCTTCAACCCGACAACTCCCTTCATCATCTCCCCAATAAACCCAACAAAGTTCCACCGCCGCAGCGTATTCTCCCACGCCCATGCAGCCCTCTTTCTCTCCTCCCTCTCAAGGGTCTCAACATCCCCAATCTCCCTAGCCTGCAACCGCGGATCTTTAACAACAGCCATGAGATTGAAATGCGTCTCACCAGCCGGATATCGCTCAATCCTCCTCCTCAAAACGTCAATGATCTTCTCCGGGAACGCATCTCCGTCACAAGGCCCATGACTAATAGGATGCGGCTGCAGTCCATCAAGCTCATACAACGTCCCATTAACAGGGGTATACGCAATAAAATGGTAAACATCCGCTGCGTTCTCCTCATCAACAGGGCGGGACGTCTCATCCGCGAACGGACTTGCCCGCGCAAAGGAGTTGTGGGTAGTGCGAATAGCCTCCGAGTTCGAGAGGGCTTCGCCGCGTAGTTCGGGCGGGAAACCGGTTGTGAAGTCTTTGAAGGATGCTAGTTCGTTGCCAAGGGCTATGTCGTCATGGTTTAGGATTACGGAGAGGATGGCTTGCGTGCCGCAGGCGTTTTGGATCGTTTGCGCTGCGAAGAATACGTTGTTTTCTGTTGCGTTGCTGTCATAGGTGCCGTCTAGTGGGGCTTCGGCTCTGGCACCAGCTGCTTCACGGGTCCATTTGAAGAGGAAGATTACACCGTAAACTGGGCTGGAGGATTGTTAGTTTATGTGGTCTGTCGATTGGGGTTTGGGTTTAGGGTTGGATTTCTGTACCCTAGAGATCGGACTGTGTCTGCGTCAAGAGAAATGAGTTCTTCAAATTGAACATCTTTCACCCCGAGTGTTTCGATGAGGGAGGTGAAAACACCCTGTACTTGTTAGATTCCGATGCTGTGATGCAGGAGATGGAGCTTAAGCTTGTGGATGGACATACCTCGTCGGATTCAATAGTGCTCCAGCCACCTGAGTCGCCCATGATTTCTGGTAAGGTTGCTAGTAGATTGAGAAGTATTTTTTGTGAAAAGGTAGTAACTGGTTGAGACGGTACTTGTGGTTGGGTTCCTGCCGCGTAATACCCTATTCTTGCCACATAGGGAAAGGAACGAAATGAACTCAGGAGTTATTTATCTGAGTCAGTCCAGTTTCATTCCTGCTTGCAATGTACAGATCCATTTCAGAACTTGCGCACAATGGACGTACATCCAAAACTATTTAGCATAGGCGGTGAAGCCGCTCGAGGCAAAAAACGAGCAACCTCCTGCCAAAACAAAACCGATCAAGGTAAGAGACCCACCCGGTCCCTTTAGCTCTTTTTACTGACTACCCCACTTCAGACGTGGACCGCGCTCATCCAAAAAAAAAAAAAAACAATACTTGATTATCCAGGTTGCAACGTGATGGTCCAAGCCTTCTTCAAACTAGAAGAAGTGACCTTCGACGAAGAAGACTTGGTTATTACAAGAGGACATTTGTGGAAGGAGATTAGCTGAGGCTCGAACTGGAGAAACTGAAAGGACGAAGCCATGATTGGCTTCATATGCACAGGTCCATCTTGAACAGGTTCTCCAACCCTCCTATTGTCAACATTGTCAACCAGACACCAGACTTAAACACTCGCAATGAACTGGCAGGGAGCGACATCTATCTTATCGATGCAATCAAATACATGTTTTCGGAAGACCAAACAACAGCTATGAGGTGGAGCGTTGCATTTCAGGCTTCGTACGGCGTGAAATGGTTATTTGTTACTCACAATTTGAATAATCCTGCCAAGAGCGTGTAGAGCGTGTGTGCAACCTATATGCCAATACCAAAATGATCGATCGCCTTCTTCATCCAAAGAATGTTAAGCTCAAATCTGATATGCAAAAAGATCCTAGCACTATTGTTGAACTCCTAGAATGAAGATCCAGAATTTGTTGTACCTGAAGAGAAGATAGCAGCCTTGAACGAGCTAGATGCAGGTACCCGTACGGATAGTTTACTGGTAATCTTGTCGCAACAACTACCGACGAGATCTAGTCCAACACAGCTTGATAGCTAGCTCTGCAGCAGTGAAATGAATCATATTCAATCCAAAAGACTCAGTCATACATCCCTTCAATAAAATTATTGACCAAATTCAAGGTTGGCATCACTCCAGATGTCTACTATTCCTGGGGGTATAATATCCGGACCCATATCTAACCCAAAATCCAAACCCACCTATGTGTCTATGTTTAGGCTCAAGAGATAAGCTAGGATGCTGAGGTAACTACGTTGGTGAAAAATGATGGCTAAGCGATAGGCCCAAAAGAGTAGCCTTGTGAATCAACCTTGTGGGGTCAGTCTTGCTGGTCTTTTGTCTTGGCTATAAATATAGGCATAGTTATAGGTTTCAACTAAATGCTTTCGGTTCTCTTTGGTTCAGCGTTTTAAATGCTCAGAATTCATGGCCAAAAGCCCAGTGGGCGTGAATAGTATAGAGGGAAGGATTTCTTCCATGGGAAGGAGGGCTATACTCATTCAATGAAAGTTACTGAGCATCTATGGATACTGCAAAAGTGTAGATAAAAGATAATGACGTAAGTGATATTGCTTGGAAAGAGGTTTCGCATGTCCTCATCTTCTGAAATCTGGAAGCCACGCTGAATATGTTTCAACCCTCTTGTCTGTACATCGAGCTCAATGAAAGATATGTCACTGGCCGTCTAATTTGTTTAGATATAAAGTCTATAAGTCTAATTCAATTCCCTCGTATCTCCTTCTTCATTCAAATCACTCAATTAGATAGATTGTTCCCCGACAGGCTAACTTTTTGTGTCCTGGTAGCGAATAATCTCTGACTCATTCAGCTGTGTCATGGGGCATACTGATAAATATGGATAGTTAATGGACCATTGATTGCTCGCGCTAAAGCGAAGCTAACAGATTTAGGGTCCAAGTAGAACCCTAGCGGTGAGCCCTGGGGCTGAGGCTCTGCTGAGCTCTAAGCCATGTTTCAAACGAATTTGGTCCCCAAAGTTCTGTCTAATCTAATATCCAACGACCAAGAGCATATAAGTTTGACCTTTCAAAGTTGATATCCTCAAATGAAAAGATAGAAAGTGTTCAAATCCAAATTTGCACCTAGTAGGCTAGCTAGTCACGAGTGATGGATAAGAGATCCTTACTTCGGGTAAAAGTCCGTTCTCGAGCACGTTTTGAAAAAAGGGGGTCATTGATCGTAAGCCCTAGTCCCAATCCATCGATATAAACGAGCTTTAGAGAGAAACAAGGTCTTCTTATCCATACGTGATGGAAAAGAGGCTAATTTTTAAATTAACTCTAAGATTTCTTAGTCCTGAATGCATAGCAAAATTGAGGCATATAAAGTCTGCCGGAAACCTTTTTCTTTTCTTTCCCCTCACATAACACTGCAAAATCACTCTGTATCCACCGAGTCTTCCAAGGTTGAAATAACTCTTACAAAATGCGCATGATCTTATCCTTCATTTCTGCACTAGTGGCTTTGGCTGCTGCCGACAGCACGACTGTCATTTCTTACTTGGCTCCGGCTAACACAGCCAATGTTAACCTAGGCGCATACACCAGCACTGCGGCCCGTGTCATCGGTATTGACAAGTATGCCACCACCTATGAGCTTGGCTGTGCAAAGGGTGCCAAAAAGTGCGCACTCCCGCACCCTCTCACCATGGTCCAGGGCCCTAACACCTTCGCCCACTGGGGTACGATATCAATTACCACCGAGGGCGCTACTGGTATTGAGACCTACACCGAGACATGCACTCTCACTCACAGCACTGAGTCTATCGTTTGCTCCCTGAGTATCGACCTCACAGTATCTGATAAAAAATACACCATCTCGACCTCTGCCAGCGAGTCAGATCTTACTCTTTCAGCTGACGAGATCACTTATAGAACCGTCACTGTCACCGATGGTCTCTACGCTTACACTGCTGCTGCAACTGCTTCGGCCTCTGCTGTAAAAATTACTGCTACTGCTACTGGTGGGGCTGTCACTAGGCCAATGGCCACTGCTGCCCCGCTAGGTGCTGCTGCTGCCGTTGCCATTGTGGCCATGCTCTAGTCCCGAGATCATACTTAATGATTTATGCGTCTGACTTTTGTACATAATATCTCCATGATATACATATCTACTCTACTCGGGTACCTAGATACCTAGTCCGCGGGTGTTCATTTGAAATTCGAGCTCAAGTATGGTCATCCTTAATTCCCTTCAAACCTTAGTTTTCAAAGTTTCAAGGAGTAGACAGTGAGTAGCTTTCAACGCTAATTCTGTAATTGATTTTTTTTTTCTCTCTTTACGTCTTCCAGGTGTTTCATAGAAGCTCAACAATGAATAGCTTGTGGGCCGAGTCTGTTGGCTCAGACATCGACCTTACTCTTCTTCCTCATCTGTCTGATCCTCTTCTTCTTCATGTAGGAATGGGCACAGCGGGCGGCGGGCTGTAGTATGACCGGCAACAAGTGCAACCAAGGCATCGTTATCCCCACGATCTAAGGAATATCCCTTGAGGATGTCTTCATACCCATGGCCGAGCTCTTCCACCAGAGCTTTCAGCATATTCTTTGGGAGGTAACGGCCAGGTGTGCTCCAGTAATGTTTGCCGTTTTCGGCACACAGAATATCCGATGCTTTGTCTCGTGAGGCTTCGTTGCGTTCGGTGTCCTTTGTCATTTGCCATGCTCGTCTGAGGATTTGCACACAGTAGTGGAAGTAAAGAAAGCGAGCGGCGGGCCGAAAGTCTGACTTGAATTCAAGTCGACGGTTATCAAGATCCCTCCATGTTAAAACAGGTGACCTAGTGATTGGAGTATCAAGCTGGTCCCAACTTTTATCGATAATATTGATTCGATATCCCCGTGGGTAGGTCAATACCCAGCGAAGCAACGTAGATAATTTCGGCTTTTCATCCAAGTCGGGAACAATAACAACTTTGCCCAAGTCGAATCAAGCTTCAAATCGTCTTAAGACAAGAAGGCTATTTCGGGGATCAAAAATGTCATATCCTTTTCCGAAAATTGCATTCATGGTCGTTTGCCCGTGCATCCACGCGAAAAGATGCGCTGCCACCATCTCGTTAGCGAAGTGGTAACGTCCGGTGATTGCATTCCATAACATGTTTTCATGAGTTAGGTGACGGGCTTTCTGAGCAGCGATGAGTGCAATCTTGAAGTCTTTTTGCCGGCTAGGCTTTCTCTTGCCCGATCCAGTCCACGAGATGTCGATGCTCATTTTAGAAGTAGTAAAAAGCCGCATGAAGCTGGCTCGAAGGGTCCATCCCATCTTATATTCATACAATTCACTGGCACGGTTGGTAAGGATCTTTTCTGTGACTTCGTGTGCTTTGATCTGCTCTAGGAGTCTCTTTGCCTCCTCAGTACTTTCCCAGTCGATATCTCTTCCAGTATAGTTGCTTTGAGAGATGGATCTCTCGACCCGCTTGCTTGCTACTGAGATATTTGCGATCTTCGCTCCTTGTTCGCAATAATTTTGATCGAAGAGGCCGGTCAGCTTCCAAATTCGCCGTTCTCTGTGAACTTCCTTGTCCAGGTCCAGCTTTAGGTGCTTCAACACCTCGATGTCTACTACTGAAGCATCCTGGTTGCTTTTGGACGGATTAAGCCGTTGGATTGATGGTATTAAATCATCCATGGTGAAGATTTGGGGGTGTTGTTGGAAAGAAATGGTAGCTGCCAGCTACTAATACAACTGATAGTACTAGTACTAGTTAGGCGACGGCATCATACCTACGCAATGTTTACGGGAACGCTCATAGTGCAATTAAAATGCACCATTTCAGCTATAAAGAGACGTAGAAACAGCTCATACAACAGTGACTCGTGAGAATGGCAGCGGGCACTCTGTGACAGAATGACCAGAATGGACAAAAAGAAGGTAGATGTAAGCATGATGGACTAACTAAGGGACGAATTTCCATCTATACTCCTCGTAGTGTCGGCAATACTGTAACCGTTCTACACAACGCCTTCCTAGACTGTCATACTGTGGAGTGGTAACCTAAATATATGGCTAACTACGAATCTTCAATTTTAAGACTGATTCATGCTATCTACGACGTACGTGTAAATAGTACTAACTATTACCATGTTAAAGATGAAGAATCATATGAAGATACACATTTTCAGATAGTCTTTGCTCTGTGAGCCTGAGCCTAGACTGGAATTTACTCACTGAGCCTGGCCCTGGGCGCCCTCATAAAAGCGGCGGCACCTGAAATAGGAAAGCCCCGGCATAGAAAAAACGGTACGTAAAGCTACCTAGTACCGATATCAGAGTTATTAATATTCCCAAGGCTGACTCCATGCCCAGGTAGACCCTGTAATGTTGAGGCTGTATATAGATCATTCGAGCTGCAGCCCTAAACATCCTTACCCCTCCTAAAGCCAAGAACATCAAAACCTAAATATAGCTAAAAGTTGCCACAGCATAATGCATTGCATAATGTAGGTGATTGGTGAATTGTCTTATCAACTGACCCTTCTATAATAATGCTATATCAGCCAAATATGCTATGACACTTAACACAAGGTGCTACTCGACCAGAAAAAGCTTAAACATATGCCCAGGGTTGCATCCATGGATACGTCATTAGCTGTAATTTGATGTTTTGCTCTTCAACAATCATGCAATAATCGATAAATTCTCTCCATGTCGAAGCTCATTCTCGAGCAAGGAACTGTCATGCTAGATACCTCAATTGTCAAGAATGCAGTGGGATAGACGATTCGAGTCAGTCAACGGGACTCAAACGAAACCCTTTCAAAAATGACTTCTATGCCCCTTCCGAAGTTGAATAACGAGCTAAAAGCGGCATAGTTTTAGAATTATTTTCCGTAGAAATAGTACCTCAGTTCTCGTGAGACAAATACAAACCCCGTACCCAAATACCCGGGTAAGAATACCTACTCCACAGTCCCGTAACAGTTCCAACGTTTACAGTGGGGTATGAATCTGAATAAACCCATAAATGGGTACAGCCGAATACGAGATCCCGGCTTCCACTTGGTAGATGCTTTGAAAGTTTATTGGACCGGGGAGAATAGAGACTATCATCCAATAAGAGTTGTAGACATTGGCTTTAAGTAGCACACTGTAGTTTGCCGGTCTTCGGATTGTTGATCAGGCTATTCTTAGTAGCCCTAAATAGATAGTGAATAAATGCTACCCCAGAGGACTGGAGCGACTTAGTTCAGGTTTCCGCGCTTGAATTCCAAACTTAGAATATGAGATTGAGTTGCATTTGTTTTGAAATTTAGATTGGTTGGTAAAATTAGAATCTTGGAGATGAGACCATTATGCATTGAAACCACCTGGGCACCGTCTAGCACCATTTCGCCTTTCAAATTAATCGCAGAATCTTGGAGAAATCACATAACAGAGGATAATCAATAATAGCACGCATGCTCCTAATCATGCCAACGAAAGGTTTAATGAAACCCGGGTATCCATTATATCAGTATCAGTCCCAAATAACCAGAAAAAGAAAAAGGGGTGAATAAATCAGTATATAAAAACAAATTCCAGAGAAGGAAAGATGTAGGGAGTAATTTCCCCAACCCCAAGAAATCGTAAACTCCATATCCATATTTCACACATTAAAATTGAAAGTTTTTTTTCTTTTTTTTTTTTTGTAGATAGGTACTCAGTATAGTGCAGTCATGTCCATACGCGCCCCGGGCAGTTTGTAAGAATGTGGCTGTTGATATAAATCCACATTAAGACCTAGAGTTCCGTCATGGTGGGGCATTTCCACACAGATAGGACCATGGCCGTATCGGGGTGTGTAAGCCGAGGCATTATGTTGATGATGATGCTGATGCTGATTCATGGATGTATGACTCAAATTAGGTAGGAGCTGCTGATCGTGGTGATCAAGAAGATGTGGTGAGGAGGAGTAGAGTGTTTGAGAGTGAGAGTGGGAGTGGGATTGCGATTGAGAAGATACGGTGGAGACATAGCCCGTATCTGCGAGGTGGTAGGGAGAGCCGGCAACTGTGACGGCCGGGGGTGATTGGATAGGAGGTGTGTATGCGGCATTAGAAGGAGAAGCAGAAGCGGGCGAAGAAGAGGAGGCCATGGGGTACTCGTGCATATTGTGATAGGGGCTTGGTGGAGCGGGAGAGTAGTGTTCTATAGAAGGGTGTGGATGAGACCAGGCCAGTCTGCTGCGGTAGATATCCACGATATGGAGGGGCAAATCCATCAATGATAGCGCTAGGCGTAGCTCGGCATTGTACGGATCCGATGCGCTGTGAGCTGCGAGGATACGGTGGATCTCTTCGATTGGAGGGATGGACAGGGCGCCTAGATATGCACCCCCCATTTCGGGATAGAAGCGGTCCAACGCCACGCCGACAGCGAAGAATTGTGCGAGAATGCTCAGAGCGCTAAGATCGGTCTCTCCACTCCGAGACATGGAGGCTGGGAGCCAAAAGATCCATCGGCGCAAAACTTGGATGCGTTCAATAGTCTGCTCTGAGGACTGGGTCGGGAAGTCTTTGCGGAATTTTTGCACAAATTCAATCAGCTCGCCCAGTCGTTGCGAGTACTCTGCCTTATGGGACACGCGCTTTTGGGAGATCTTTAATGCGTGGACTGTTTGCTCAAGCTGAACCAAGTCTTCGTCGGTGGAGAAGCAGTATTCGGAGGCGCAGAGTGTCCTGTGGCTCTCGACTAGCTGGACAAGCTCAGACTCTTGCTTCCAGAATGGATGCATGGATTCGAGGACAGTCGAGATGCCTTGTTGTAATGACACCCAGCTTTGACTAGTGATTTATCAGCAACGCGAATCATGAACAGTTCCGAAAATCCAAGACTAACCGTTCAGTTGCCTGCCATGAAAGTAGAATAGACGCTGCCAGTATAGCCTCACAATTATCCTTGGAGAATGACCCAATAGCCGTCTGGAGGCCACGCAGAGCGGTAACTCTGTAGTGATAAGCCAACTGCCTGGTCTCCTGATCTCGAGTGAGGAAAGCTAGATGAAAGGCCGAAAAGGCCAATATTGCGCTCATGACGAAGTCGTTGGATAAAGCAAGAACAAGGAAACTTGACAAATTAGCTCACGGGACCTAGACATAACCGGGGTCAACAAAGGGACTTACTTTGGCATCTTCTGAGCCCATACAGTGCAGCTACTCAACCCCTGCCTGTGTAGATCGATGGAAAGCCCAATGATATGGTGAACAAGACGGAGTTCAGCCCACGACAACTTAGCCCATGTCGCTTTTGGGCACTGGGCCAGCTCTGGATATGGGGGAATGCCAGTTCTATGCCAGTCCTCGATTTGTCTTTCGACCTCGGGAGTCACAAGTAGATCCGGAGTCTGTCGTGCTGGTGGGCTTCTCCGTGCAGCAGGAATATCCTGATAGTCGCATCTGCAGTTGTGCTTGGTACAGTTGCGGCTGTAGAAGGTTAAGTTAGATATGAGATTGAAGATTGGATTGAAACTGGCATACCATTGCGGAAATGTCTCGTCACAGCGAATGTGTCTCCTCTTGCAAGTCTTGCATCCATTCCTCGACTTGGTGTGGCTTTTGCGGGGAGGGCCACCGCCTGGACCGGCCATTTTGCGCAAATAAGGAGGAAATAAAAGGAAATCAGAGATGTAGATAGGGTAATAGAGTGAGAATGCGAATGTGAGGTAAATTGTAGGGTCTAGGTAAAGTGATGATTTTTATAGATCGAAATTGTAGTTCCACGTGGAAGACACGAGCTCCTGCGCAGTTTAAATAGAGCAAAATAAAAGACCGGAAGATTGGGGATTGAATTGGACTTGGATTGGATGGAGACTTGGGTGAGGAAGCAAAAGCAAAGAGAGCTTTAATCGCGTCACGGGCAGGTTGAAAGGTGAGTAATATAAATAAAATCGAGGAAAGAATAGTAAAACAGTAAAATAGAATTAGTAGAATAAGAATAAATAAATTATAAAATAAAAATAAATCAGAAAAAGCTATCAGCCTCTGCAACCTAGGATAGCCCTAGTGAGGGGCTAGTTAAGACAGCTCCACAGGACCAGAACGGGGGTTTTACTTTCAATTACTACCATCAAGCTTGGAAATTAATTTCACAATCCATTTCATTTCTTGTATTAGATCTTAGCTATACTTTCAAAGCTGGGACCCAAGCGGAGCATTTCCAGATCTTCGATATTCGATCTCCGGATACTGGATCATAGACTTTTGGTACGTGCGCGAGAGAAGCGCATAGGGCTAACAATAATAGGAAAAAGGGGTCATGAAAAGGAGGGGTGATAAGAATAAAAATAGGATAGTACATAGTACCATACCATTGGGAATTAGCTGCTTTCTTCAAACAAGAGAGATCGTACTAAAAAAAAAATAAAAAATAAAACTGAAAATGACAAAAGAGTCAAAGACCCTTGAATAGTGGATCTCGAAACGTCAAATGCCAAGAAAGACCAAGAAAGACCTTATTCCAGATTAGGTAAAGGAGAAGGTCAATCTTAGGGCTATTCTGGGTTTATTCTATTTTGTTCGTATGGAATACGTATTACTTATCTTACCCTCCAAGACTGTTAATCCTCTCCATCTCTTAACGTGTACTCTCTCAACTCAGTAATGCCAGCCGAAGCTGCATGTTGTACAAGTCAGTAGTTTCGTAGTTTATTTGTGGTCTATTGTTTCATGGCAAGGTTTCAAGGTTTTCTGGTTTCATGGTCTCATATAGTATTGACCATGGTATTTCCCTGGAAAAGAAGTCAAAGTCGGGGAACTCAAACGAGATAATGGGGAATGCATACCCAAGGTACAGATAGAGTACAGAGTACAGAGTAATAAGCAGGCTTACCTAGCCTAACCTAACCCCTAACCTTATAGAACTCCCGTAACACAGTGACCGCCAGTTTCATCCTTGTCTCCACGTTTTCTGGGGATCAGACATATGTCAGATGTCGGTGTGGCTAAAGGTTTTATTTTCCTATACATGTACAAATGCTAACTTCAAAAATTAGAAATTAGGGGGTCAGCATGCAGTACCAGGGTGCAGTATGTATCTCACACGTGGTTCCAATGCCATTTACCTTGTTATTATTCTTCTACTTTATTGTTAAGCGAAAAAGGAAAAAAAAAAAGACAAAAGTGAAATCATGTTACTAATAATGTTACTAATCATGGTTTTCACACCTGCCTTTCATGGCTACAAATCAGATTATCCTGAATATCCTTATCCCTTCTGGACTCAAACCAGAAACATCTCTTCGCCAAAATTAGCCAAGACCTCTCGCTACTGCAAGCCAAAAGAGGAATAGTTTAGTCTGGCTGACACAACATATTTGATTGGTCACAGAGGAAAGATCGCCCCCTAGACTCCACCCGGGGCACATCTTCCGTCTGAACTGTGACTATGGAGTCTACGTAAAGAAAGATGAGAAAAAGGCTGTAAGCTAGATCCCTGCATCTTCCTCCATAATCCTGATGACATGTATATCTACACATGGTAGCAAGTTTGAGGGGGAAAAAACACAGACTAGGCCACACTAATCAACTTTAATCTAAGCCATCCTAGACCTGGATAGAACCACTCTGTCGGGTCCTATACAGAAATCTAACCCTAAAATAGACTTCTAAATACCAGATGCACCCATATTTACATATAGTATCCTTTTTGATGGAAAGCCTAATCTAAGCCACTTCTGCACTTTCTATGGGTCTGGTTCTAGATGGATGCCTCCATACTAACTGCTGTGAAGGAATCTAGCCCTGGAGGGCTAGGTGTTCCCCGATGGCCCTGATCCCAAACGCACATTTACATTTGCATACATTACAGATCATGAGAGTAACATAACCCTTGTCGGTAAATGCTCCAACGGCCTGCTCGGCCGGGCGATGTAATGTTTTTCATATATGTCATCAGGGGCAATGAGCCGACCTTGTCATCGCTGTCTGACAGCGCTGTTATGCAAGCCTTTTCTTTTCTTTTTTTTTTCTTTTTCTGCAAAGTCCGATGTACAGTAACTCGCACGATTATAATCTTGGAACAATGGGATTACAAATACCTACGGACATCAAGCTTGATAATCAGCACGCCTCAGGTGTATTGCCAACTCTCAAATACATCTGGCCGAAAGGCGAGCCGTTCCTTCTGAATTGACATGGATGACACATATGCATTTGATAGGGCTAAGGTATTAATTAGCATGCATCCGACAAAATCTAGTTGGAAGGATCATGCCAAGAAGTGGACTGATTCTGCATGCAAAGATACCTCCAGGGCTTGGAGACAGTTTGAGAAAAAAAGAATATATTAATCTGGGGTTGTATTAAAAACCAATAGTCCTTGAATACATGGATTCAAATCTTGGAATCTTAGAAGGTCCCAAAGTTGGAATGGGATGTACAGCTGAAGTATAGAGAGATATTGCAGCCCTAGCTGTCCTCCCACCCTGGTCCCTGGCAGCAGCAAGATCGAACACAATTCCAGTAAATGAACAGTTTCAAGGATATTGCCTCATGCAAGTGGCACTGCAGCTGAGGCTGAATTGCCTTAACTTTCAGTCGGGGGATCAAGACTACAATAAACCCCCGGATAGCCTAACTCCGTACACAGCGCACACTGGCCCCGTGAACCAGGAACCTGGATCCTGGGATCAGTCAGCTCGCGTGGCACCGCTATTCTGAGGCCAATTGGTAGTACAAGTAATACTTTATCTTCAGATGAAACAGGAAAATCTTACCGATTCCATCGATGACCAAGACCATGATCATGACCACCCAGTTAACCCCCTTAAACAAGTAAGCAGAAGATTCCAGACATCATTCCAAAGACTGAAACATGAAACAGTACTACTTTGAATAGAATTAGAAGCGGATAAGCATGACCTCGGACAGGAATAGGGATAAAACAGAGTTCAAGGAGGGTTTTCAGGGTCCATTCTTGCCTTTGAATTAAACTCGGACCTTGCCAAGCGATCAGGCAGGACAGCCAAGACTTATTCTCGCGAAGGAGAGCGGTTTCGGGAAAGGCTCACGTCTTGGTAATACCCCTTGATATAAGCTTATCCTTAACTAGCGAGACTATCACATGGTAACCTGAGTAAATGTCTAGGTAGCTACTAGCTAGCTTGGGTGGAGTATTCTCTGGGGTAGTCTAGTAAAATATTCCAAGGGAAGCTAGAGACAAACTTAGGAATATTTACCGACTCGATACATGTGCAGGAATTTAGTGTAGAAATTTGCTATTCTACATACGTAGATAGGCCCTTTCAGGATTTACTCATCTAGTCCATGCGCCCACAGCTGCGTGTGGTTCTTCATGGCGGGTTCTAGATTGTAATGTATAGCGTAGAAGTAAGGAATCTATGTAGTTGAATTATCTATCTAAGATGGTAAGAAGAAAAGAAGCAAAGCCAGCACGAAGCAACGTACTTGCATAAGAACCGATCCTGCCCAGGTGATATCAAATGCAAGAGAAACCACAAAAACATGATCCCCCCACTCTTCTCCAGTTGTTCACTGGATTTGCTTCCAGCTCTCTTCTACATAGGCGCTTGCCAAATGCAAAAAAGAGTAAGATAAGATACAGAATTGAAAAAAAATAAACGCCCAGTCGAGAAAGATCAAGCTTGTTCGCATTGGTATTGAACCACATCCGAGGATTGCCAGTTTGACCCTGTTTCTTCTTTTCTCCTTTATTTAAATCAAATGAAGAAGTTCATTGAAGATTTGAGTACACCTGGAATGCGAGAAGCAGAAAAAGAAAGAAATATAAATCGCTACATTCACACGGCTGACTAGAGTTATGGAAGACAAGTCCCTCCACCGGGCTGGAGATAGAAGTAAAGAAGTGCGCCGCCAGTCATGGAGCTAAAACATTGCACGCAACTCTCGAGATACCGGAGCGTGATCGATGCAGGGATAAAGTCGAAATACCAAGTCTAGAATTAAACCTGGTAGACGGAACGCAGCTTGTGTGCTGTAGCAGACGGAAGTTGCGCAAGGAACGAATCGAAATCGGGTATCATGTTTTGGTAACCTTGCAAAACCTTTTGAAGGGTTAGTTTGATATCTTGCCAAAAAATGGGGGGTTGAACTCGCCTGCTGAAATGAGTTCTGAATATCACTATATTCTTCCTGTGCAAGGGACTTGGTCGGGAACGAGGCAATGGCCTGGAAATAAGCCGCCAAACTAGACTCCATCGCTTGTGGGTTCTTCATCACCACTTGGTTGAATCCCAGGAACGCTGATGCCTTCTCACGGGTAAAATCGATCTGGCTCATCGAGGTGAGGAAAGGCATCGCATACTCACCAAGTCGGGGTGCCATCTGGTCAGAGCAGCAAAGACCAAGTCGACCCAAGGCCATGGCTGCGTTCTCGTTAACTGATTCAATGATCTCCCCGTTGTTGATGATGCCCAACAGTCCCTGGTACAGCTTGTCAATGTAGGGACCAAGAGCGGCCTTCTCATTCACGGCTATTTCACCGAGCGACCAGCAAGCGTTATTCAATACACTGAAACCAGTGTGGCGATCATCGTCACGGATAAGGTCCAAATCAAGCTGCTTGATAATAGTAGGCATGATGTTGGGGATAAATGATTCCAGTTGCGGCCAGATACTGATGGCGCAGTCCCCTAGCAAGGCGAAGGAGGACTGGCGGACCTCGTAATTACTATCTGACATGCAGTAACAAAGCAGATCGAAGAAACGGGGCTGAGAGAGTTGAACCAACTCGCCACTCTTTTCGGGGTCGATAGCCTGAATAAGGCCACTAAGAAGGTCCAGGCTGGTGACGAGGAAGTCCTTGTCAGGCTCATCAATCCCTTCGTTATTGACTGATCTCATCGACTCTTCGAGATTCTCATAGATGATTTTGGTACACCGCTGGAAAATTACGGGAGCAAAAGGAGAAAAGGCATCGCCATAGGCGGCAGCAATGTAGCCCAAGCATTCAAGCAGAGGGAAGAGTTCGCGTGCCTTATCGTCGACTTGGTTATATCGCTCAATGAGAGCTGGCATGAGAATTTCCACCAGCTGTGGTTTAGCAAGCTCGGTCATAACGCACTCGGCTAGAGTCTGGACACAGTCGTACAAGATATACATGTTGCGATCTTTGTACTTGGCAAAGCACTGAACGAATTGACGAAGAATAGGCTCACAGTAAGGTACCAGGTTGTCATCGGACCTCTCCTCGAGAGTGGCAAAGGCCGAAGCAGCCGCCTCCTGCACCTTCTTGTTGTTGTCAAGCATCCGACGGAGAATACCTTCCATCATCGGCTCAAAAAACTGTTGCTTCTGAGCTGGGTCAGCAAGATGCGAAGCCCACTCGGAGTACCGTCCCAAACACCAGCAGGTGATTTGGCGCACAACGGGCTGGGGGTCGTTCAACAAAGAAATGAGGTATGGGATAAGCTCAGGAAGGTGAGGGTGGACAGCATTCATGCAACCCTCTCCGACAGCACCCAGGGTAAGGACAGCAGCCTCACGGTGAGGCCACTGCTCATGGCGTAGGGTGTTTTTCAAGTAAGGTAGGATAATCTCAAAGATGGGGTCGTGGTACACGTTCGAGAAGATGTCCAGTGCGGCGGCAGAACATTTCCGCAGGGTCCACTCCTCTTCGGGGTTGTCGCCAAATTCCGAATCCTCAATCTCCCCCTCGCTGAGATCGTCGTCGTAGTCCAGCTGCTCCGTGGGGGTTGTGTTATCCGATTGGTCACCACCCTGCTGCTTCTTTGCGAGATGATCGGCTTTAGACTTGGCGAATTGTGGTTTCAGGTCCTCCGCTCGATCCTCCGCATCAGCGTCATCTTCCGCATCGGCCATGAGATTTATCACCTCGTCCTCATCATACACCATGCTTCGGAGCAAAACCGGAATGACTTTGGGCATGTGAGGTTCCAGGGGCTCTTTCAAATGCATCTGCTCCCCAGCAACGATCCAAAACTCTGCCGCGTCGAGAGCCAACTCCGGGTCCTCCTGATTTTGCTGCTGCATTAGAATATAGTTCACAATGCCATCCAAATGCGGGATGAGCTTCCCCGGCGCAAACTCCACAAGTTGTGAGAACGACTGGCAGACCATCTTACGGACGTCGGTATCATTGTCACCGGCAAGATTGAACAATTGCGATAAGAAAATATCCAAGGAGGCTATAAGAGCCTGGGGCTGATGTGGCAAGAAAATGTGAATGGTCTTCAGGGCCTGGGCGCGCACACGCGCGCTGTCACGGGTAACACTGAATTCCAAGAGCTTGGGAATCATCACATCAAGCGGGCGTTGTCCCTGGTAGTCTCGGTCCAAAACCTTTCGGTTGTCCTCGCAGACCTTAAATAACGCATCCATTGAGGCTTCCATCCCAGTGATGGAAGTGTCGCCAGAAGCATTTCCAACGAGCGCCAGGAGCTCATGAAGAACCTCTGGCCAAGCCAGTAGACCTCCGCGCTGAACGAGCTCGGTGATAATGCTACCAGCACCTCGTTGCACTTGTCGATCAGCGTCTCGCAGGGCGATTAATGCGGCGGATCTGATAAAAATTAAGCTCGGCTGCGGAATTGTGTGGTACGCCATGTAGAGCTTGGTCTTTATATTCATGGCGGCGGCGAAGCGCACCACGGTGTAGGTGACCTGGTCCATGCCCACCGCCGGGGGGCTTGCGGAGTGGAAAATAGATAGGTGATGTAGTTGACATAATCGGGGGAAGACGTCGCGTGCGCCAGCATCTAATCCAAATAGTGAATATTAGTTTTCATCTTTTCTTTGCCTTCTCACCCCTTGTCTTGAAAGTTTTCAGCTAGAGGGGGGAACAAGAGGGGAAAGGGTATGTTAGGAAAAAAAAAGGAATGGGATGATCTACATCTTCGGCCTGTCTGCGGATTGCAGGATCCTGTCCATTGAGCGAATCTCTGAGGCAGCAAGCTAGCTGCCTCAATGGCTCATCCTGGGGTTGCCAATCCATGCTAGAGTGCAAAGTCGAGGAGTAAAAGTATTGGAAGTGCAAAGAGCCCCGCGGGCCGCTAAGACTGTGTGGATCGGGTCCCTTCACTGAATTCCCAGATCACGTTCACTCCAACTGGAAGAAAACAAGAGTTTCGGTAAACAAATCCAGTAAATTTGAAATGAGAAATAAAAAGAAGTTCAAACGCCAGAAACTTTTTATCAGGTGGAAAGTAATGGAGGGAAGAGACGTGTGATCGACTCAAGGCGGTGGGCCGCACCATAACATGACCAAGGCAAAATACGCAACCTGATTTTTACTACTCCCTAGGTACCAGCATCTATTCATTTCTTATATTACAAGGTCAATATGTATTGATTAACTGACAAATAGATATTCCTCAATCCTCATGATCCAGCTGCTAAATTTTAATCGCCAATCATTATCTGCTTTGTATATACCTTCACAACGCCTTTTGTACCTTTAGTACTCAAGCCCAAACCAACTTCTTAACATCGTAGATCAGATATTCTAGAATACCAGTTTGCTTCTTTGCATCTGCCAGAGACATAATATCAGACTGCTCAACTATCGAGGAAGCCTCTGTATTCTGCCCATCCCCATCGTCGACTAGCATTGCGCGCTCGATATCCGAGCAGATGGAGCGCACCCTGTCAAGCTCACGCACAGTGCCAGTAGGTCCAAGACGAGGACTCATTGCTGGGTTAGAGGCAGGAGGGGACTTCAATGCGACAAACCGTGTGTTATCGCGCTTGGTACCTCGAAGCCATGAGATGAGATCCCACTCCCCGCTAGAATTAGCACTGGCCTCGAGCGTACTTAATCGGACATTGGACTGAAGAGAGCGGGTGTTGACACGCAAGGAATTTGCAACCCCATCCTGATACGCGATTACTATTCCCACGTTGGTACGTTCGTCAGACTGGCTGTCTGTCAAAATAGAAGTAATGTATGTGCCATAGCGGATGCGCGATATGGAGTGGAGGTCGATTCGCTCGAAGGAAAGGACCTTGTCAGTCTCCCAGTCGAAGCGGCAACTGTACACTGCTACGTCGGTCAAAAGGAGAACTGACTCTTCGAATGGAAGCGTCCGGAGAGTGTTCGGTTCGCGGGGTGTCAGCATCGTCCAGCCACCAAGGATTTCTTCGGACGGACTACTAATAACAATCTTGCAGCTCGTGTCAATGGCGTTCTGCCTAATCTTTTGAACGGAGATTCCCGGGTCGGTAGTCTGCATCTCCATAGCAAACTCGTCAAATACTCGCGTGGAGACATTCCCGAGTAGGTAGTCGATGCAGGCCTGTGAGAAGTAGTCGTTGACAATATTGTTATAATAGCGTGAGAGCGTTAGCCCCAGGTCGTTCAGAGCGCCGCGGTAATCCCGTTTCCGAGTGCGTGTGTAATCGCCCTTCAAGGCAGCAGTGGAAGAATACTGTTTCGATACCGCATCACCGTTGTCGGCCCACAAAGTATTGAACCACTGAGTCGATGAGTCACCACCGAGGTCGATGGCGATGCCCTCATTCTGCAATTGAGTTTCAAGAGCCCGCTGACCAAAGGCACACTGTGCAACACCAGTTCGGTCGAGACAGTCCATGCAGTTTGTACGCACAATGCCCCTTTGCTTTTGTATCGTCGTGCCGTCTTGAACAGTGGTGTATCCGAAGTCAACCAGTGTATCCTTCAAGCGATCGACCAGGCGTGACACATTCTCAAACTTCATCCCGCGACATTCGTTGTGAAAGTCGAACCACTCCAGCTGCAATAGAGAGCCATCAATCCCACCCGCTTTGTTGAAAGTATCTGTATATCTCTCATATTGTTCACCCAACTTCAATTCCCCGGAATTCTTATCGATTAGAGAAACAGCTTGGATCTTGCCATATCGCCGGCTCAGTTCGCGAAAGTGTCTTTCAAAGGCGAGTTGATTAGTCTGTGCAGAATGATGTAAAACTGGAAGTGGTTTAAAGGAATAAGGAGCTTGCGAGAAGTAGAGTGGAATAGAACCGCGTATCTGCATGTATGAGTAAGTCTTATGCGACGGATCCCAGTCAGGCACTGAGAGAATCTGCTCCGTTTCGACCGTGTTAGCAGTATAGCCCTCATCGTCCACTCCTCGACGAAGATAGCGAACACCAGGACGATTGACTGATCGTCTTGAAATGAGCGTCAACAGGAAATTATGCTTGGCGACTTCTGCTTCTACAGCCTCTGCATCCTGTGTTTCGCCTAGGATTCGACCTTCTGTGGGCTTATCTCCATCAGACTCGGCAGAGGGCTGGTTCTCAGCACTCGCCACTGTAAATTCTCGCTGGCCAACAAACCCTTGCAAAAGAGGCAAAATAAAGCCATTGAATCCATTGTCAATGAACGGTAACATAAGATGCCTATTCCAAAAGTACTAAGGCAGTGTTAGCAAGGAATTCCTTTAAAACTAGGGCATGATCATACCAATGGGTCTACAGCCCTGTGGAGAGGTATCTGATCTGTCCGCACTGTCTGTGAACTCAATGACCGCGTAATGTCGAAATCGTATGCAAAGAAGAAGTTATGGGATGCGAACAACAACTTGGTATACCGCAACAACTTCGGCAACAGCTTCGCCGCTTGATCGGACCCCGGAAGATGGTCCTCGCTAAACGGAGCCTCAAGTTTCGGAGAGGGACCTGCCTCTGTGGATTTCTCTGCGGCTTCAGAACCATCATTCGATACCCGGGGCGTGTCATCAAACGGCGACTCCGCGACATCCTGCTCCAGTGGCCCGGGCTGAGGCAAGCCCAGAGGTTTGCGGGACAGCCAAGTCGCTGCAAATCGGCCAAACCTCTTCCCAATAACATCTTCCGCTATACTACTCATGCTCATACCGCGCGAATGGAACTTCTCGTGGACGGGTGAGGTTGGAGCGCTGACAATTTCCGCCTCGGCACCATCTGGGGTATTGTCTGGAATATCATCTTCAGAGTCCGAGTCAAGGTTGGGGTCGTCCTGCGAAACCTCTTTTCGGGCCTGAGCTATTGCGCGGGTGGCATCTTCTTGGGAGGAAACGGGAATGATTGCAACGTTGGTGACGGCATAGATGGGATGGCCTTGAATATGAGCGACTTGCTGGCGTTGAGTGATGGAGACGAGGAACGAGGAGGATGCAACGGACAAGAAACCTATGGTAATCGAGGAGAGTCAGGATCGGAGTTCTTTATTTGCGCTTTCTGTCGAAACTGACCGACGAGCCCGTAGGCGTCTAGTGATTCTCCGCTTTCCAGGGACTCCGTAGTAGCAGATGAGAGAGCAGTGATTTTGTGAGTTTTATAGTTTATTTTGATTGACGAGGCGTCATTATTGGAGCCATTGCTATGGCGGGGACCATTTATGCCGTGCGCGTGAAGAATCAGCCCGTCAACTGCGGCGACAATGACCAATTTCCGCAGGAGCCCGGGCATCGCGCGGAGTATCACCTCAAATAGTAAGAATGGAATGCAATAATGGATACTGAAGGAATGACGAAGACAAGGGAAGAAAACAAAATCTGGCAAAAGTCCAAACTTGTTCCTGCGATCGATCTCACTACATCATCGGACTCGGCCCCACTTTTGGGCGAAGATGCGTTTCTATTTTCGAAGAAAAGTCATGAACAACTCGGTATATACAGATGCCTCTCGCCAAAATAACAAAATAACAAACAAGTTCCAGAGAATAGAGAGTCATATTCGCCCATCCAGTGTCGGGTATGAGTTTCACCGAGCGTAGTCCATTCGGGGTATTTTGGAAACAGTAAAAATACAGATGCCTGAAGAGAATCAAGGAAAGACAGAAAGAAATGCGAAGATAACTGAGAAGTAACAGGAGGGATAGCAGTGACTTCATGAAGTCCTGCTAGAAAGGTCGGGGTGATGAGACAAGGTTGTTCTGTTTAGTATACCGAACTGTGCGGTCTTGCTCATAGGTTGGCCCTGGCTCTCCTTCTAAGTCATCCAAGCCGATCCCGTTGCTCTCGAGGTCATATGAGTGGATGAGTCCCTCACGGTCACCTTGCCCAGTCAAGTAGGCGATGCTGGAGGAGCTCCGGCGATGAGGATCAGTGCTTCGACGGGACTGCATTGAGCGCCGCGTTTGAAAACTTGCGATGCCATCCGTTGGCACACCCTCATCGTCCAGTTTCGAGCTCACCAAACTGTGTCCATCCGGGTCGTGGCGCGAAAGGTTCAGCAGATATACACCGGTAAAGATGATCAGGAAGCCACACAACAAAGAAATGGTGTTGACCGCATCAGTAGTGTTAAACCCCTGGAAGAGAATGAAGGAGGCGCAAAGGGTGGCAGTAGTGAATGTCACATAGTAGAGAGGGTTCACACTGTAAAGTAAAATTCCGTCAACATCTGGCATGGGGCACAAGCTGATTTTTTTTTTTTTTAATTTCCACTTACATGGAGGTTGAGAACGAGTTCAACGCTTTATTGAAAAAGTTCATTTGAGTAAGAATGCAAAAGCCAGTGACAATGGCGAAAACATAGGTCGATGCGTGGACAAATTGGTTGTTGTTGTTGATGGTCAATTTGATCGCAATTCCAAAGGCCTTGACAGACATCACTGAGACCGAACCGACGGTGGAGCAGATCGAAATGTAGACGAGAGGATTTTTCTTTCCGTACACCGGGGCGACTCGATAGATCATTACGGTCGAGAAGATTGCGACTGTCAGGCAGTATATGAGGAAAGCTAGAACCGAGTGTCAGCGAAGATGTACCAAACAGCCATTCAAATTTCGATCCATACGTGTCTGAACAGCATATTCGAGGATGTCGTCGATCGTTTCGACCGGCTGATCAGGGGGCGCATGGAGCACAATGACAACTGAACCCAAGAGGCAAAGCGCGCATCCTAGCTTTCCTAATATGCCTAGTCGTTCGTTGAGAAAGTATGAGCCAAGCACCGCACTTTGATTCCGTCAGTAGATGCGACAACTATTTCTCGGAAGCTGAATGCTTACCCGATCAAAACACTTAACGCTCCAAGTGGCGTCACCAGGATCGCAGGCGCAAATGCATAGGCCGCGAAGTTTGCAATTTCTCCAATGGCCACTATTTTCGTTCTGTTGTCAGCCCCACCCATGGTGTCTTGAATTTCACGGAAATGCCCTACATGTAGAAACGCCACCCCACCAGATGGGACTTTTCAGGTATGAATATCCTTCACCTGCGAAGCCATGTTCTTCAGAGGCATGCATTAAGCCCTATAACCCATCAGCACTTCAATTTTCATCAACAATCCCAACCGGCCTTTGTTGCCGAACTCTAGCCTGAATGTTTTGATCGGCATCGTCGAGGTGTACGGACCTTTTTGGTGATAACGAAACTTGTACCTGTACCAAGAGATTAGCTAGTATTCTTATACTTGAAAGGGAAGTAAATCATACCAATAGCCATTGTTGACAGAATGGCCAGTAATAGCCCAACATATCTATTGCAGTGCGCGCAACGTTAACAACTTCATTTTCTTCACAATCTATCAGGCGAAAATTCCCGGATGTAAACATACTTATCTGGAAGCATGTTGAAGTTGTGTCACCGAGGAGCGGAAGGCTCCTACTCTCGAAAGGCCAATGCCAGCAAAGGATTCGGATCGGGGAGTAAGAAACGAGCGACTCGGGTAAGCGAAGGGTGAAAGGGCGTAGGGGCGTAGGGGCGTGAAGAGCTCGCAATGAGAAGCGAGTGTGATAAGTGCAAAAACAGAAATATGAGCCAGCCCAAGATTCCTGCCAATAATGATGGTGTTGGGGAGACGGGGGATAGAGTCGCAAGGTGGTGAGAGGGTAAGATGTGCCTGCGTGCGGTGGGGTTCCGTTTTCGAGACCGGGGCCGATCTTTCTTACGCGTCCCCCAAGCTGAGCAAGGACCAACAGCTACACTAGAAACAAACACCTGGCTTTTTTTTAACTTTCCTTTTTTATTTTCGTCCCATTCTTTTTCTTTGCAGTTTATGTTCTTCCAACACGGCTGAAAAAGAAGTGCTCATGTTTCGGGCATAATATTCCCCAGATGCAGGGGCTGCATTGGACCATGCACTGTTTCAGCCGAAGTATTTGGACCCTGATGCTGTTCTCGGCCATCAGCAAACGATCGCCGTTTCATATCGATCTCAAGTTCAGCCGTTTTCGGGCTAAACATAGTACAAAGCGAAATAAGATTACTAAGATTAATTATTGTTGAGAAGAAATAAGCACGATAAAGTGGGTATACTATGGGAGCTTAGCCCCTCTAGTGTCGCCTCATACCCTACTATACTAGGTATTCATCTCCGGTATTTACTCCGTATTTCAGTCTACAAATCTTCTACTTTGTGATGTTTTGAATTCAATTCTCAAGTTGAAAAGTAGAAACCATTTCCATCGCATCCAACCTTAGAGCTGTTGAGATAGTAAACCCATGCGCCAAAATCCCATACGAGAATGCAAACTAAACTAGGCCGAAAACAGCCATCGAACCTCAAAACTTTTCGGCAAGTGGTATCACGCAGGAGTTAAGAAAAACAGAGCCGGGAGGAATAATACAAGAAGATAATGATGGAGGAATAGAAGGGGGGAAGTCGGAAATGGAAAAATGTTGCGGCTGATTGTCGGAGGAATGATCATGATGGCGTGGGAGAAGGATGTTTTCGAAGACCCGGTCGGAAGGGGAAAAGAAGTTGAACGTACCTATTGAGTTAGTTTGAATCCAGTTCCTTGCTGAGTCCCTTGTTGCGTTGTATTAATGGTAACGGGGGAATATGAATATCTGAATTAGTAGTCGAGTGTCGTGTTAAAGCAGTAAACCAGGGTTACCCAGAAGAGTCGGACGATCGCGATCGAAAATATTAGACCCCAAATAAGGGTGATGCGGCAACAAGAGAATCTGTGATTTAGGATCGGCGACGTTTGATATCAGGCGAGTTCGTGTCAACAAATTCCTCTTCCTCTTCATCCACTCGACACCGTTTGGCGGAAGGATTGGGCAAGACATTGGAGTCAATATGGGCGGAGTCATGAGCCATGCCCTCGCCAAAATCACCATATTTAAAATCACCATCTTCAAAATCAGAATTGGTTTCAACATTGCCAGACAGTTCATCGTAGGAGCCCTTCACATCAGCATAAATGCTTTGAATGTTTTGGTCATCCTCAGGGAACTCGTCTTCGTAGTCATAGTCAATTAGATCTTCTTGCTGATCCCGAGCAGGGGTCTTCATCAAATCCTCAGCAATACCAAGCAGATAATTCTCAGGTTCAGGTGTCTGTTCTTGATGGGGGATGTTGCCAGCCGAGATGTACGTGGCATCTTCATACTCAGGTGCGTGGTCCTGTTCATCCAAGGCATCTTCACCCTCAGTAGGTGCAGGGTGATTCTCATTTTCTTCGTCATTCTCTCCAACGAAGTCTTCATCCAAGCCAGATGCCTCAAGATCCAAGGTTTTAGTTTCGCCAGCAACACCTTCATTATCAAAACCTTGATCAGTTTCAAGATTGAAGTCATCTTGCTGGGAACCATCTTCAGCGACGTCTGCTAAATCAGGTTGCTCCTCTGGGGCAAGGGTGCTCGTGGATCCAGACCCTAGCTCGTCGATATGAGTACCCACTTCGTCATTCTCACGATCACTGTAAGTTGCGTTTTCTTCATGGAAATCGGTCTCTTCTTCTGGGTAAGTTTCTTGTTCATCCTGGACTTCTGCAACAGCACTTTCAGGGTCATTCTGGCCATCCCCGGACTCGAGTTGGTAATCATTCTGAAGATTTTCTTCCTGTCCAACGTTGGTCTCCTGGCCCTCTTCATGGCTCTCACCACGACTCTCGTCGCCATTCAAAACTTCTTTTGGAGAAGTTGAATCTACACCTGACTCATGTTGGACAGGATCGGAATGGGCCTCCTCAATGTACTGTGTATCATCCTCTGAGGTTGAGTCAACCTCGAAATAATCACAAGGACTAATCTGGGATAGACCTTTTCCTTCATTGGCAGCAGCTTCGAGACTTGCTAATTCCAAGTGAGCTGCTGGTTGACTGGTGAGGGTGATGTACAGAGCTTCGGGCTCCTCAATCTCGTCATTATGACACAGTCGAAGGTAGATATCTATAATCTGATACAACGTGATCTTGGATGTGTGCTGGGAGTCCTGTATCCGACAATTAGTGTGATTAAAATAATGATCTGGGAAATATGATCTACCTCTGTTATTTGGACACCGAGAGCATCGACATCAATAACAAGAATATCGCTCTCAGCAATACTACCCATAAGAACTGTGCGAAGAGACTCAAACAATATACCGACAGAGCTGTAGGCAAGATCTTCATCATGCAAGAAGAATGTCTCTGCAGAATCACCTTCAAGGGGAGGAAAAAGCGAGATCTCACTATCCTGGTAAGAAACTTTGACCGGATGGAGGGACTCGTTATCATGAGTGAGCTGATTCTTCAACTCATCACCCTCGACAGGCACAAGACTTTCGGTTTCCGCCTCGTTGGATGGCTCAGCCTGACGGTCCTCGAAGCCCTCTAGGGCCTTGGGAGATGTGCCGTCTCGAGCGGCTTCAATATTGCCTTCCGCGGGCTTGTTAGATTCGGCGCCAGAGGTAATATCCTCAGTGGTTTCGGTATTCTCGGGAATGAGGGATAGTTCGGGCTGGGTATTTTCCACTTGGGTGTTTTCCGAAGCTATGGCCTGTTCTTGCTGTGCAGTCTCTTGCTCTCCAGTCTCTTGCTCTCCAGTCTCTTGCTCTCCAGTCTCTTGCTCTCCAGTCTCTTGCTCTCCAGTCTCTTGCTCTCCAGTCTCTTGCTCTTCAGTCTCTTGCTCTCCAGTCTCTTGCTCTCCAGTCTCTTGCTCTCCAGTCTCTTGCTGTGCAGTCTCTTGCTGTGCAGTCTCTTGCTGTCCAGTCTCTTGCTGTCCAGTCTCTTGCCGTCCAGTCTCTTGCTTTCCAGTCTCTTGCTTTCCAGTCTCTTGCTTTCCAGTCTCTTGCTTTCCAGTCTCTTGCTGTCCAGTCTCTCGTTGTCCAGTCTCGGCGGGTGTGTCTTCAGTTGGAGGGGGGTATTCTTGGGCGTCGCTGATAAATTTGTGGCCTACTTCCGTTGTAGTTTCTTCAAATTCATCCATCACGTTTTCGAGATGGGACATGGATTCAATCTGGACGATAGGATGGGATGCGTCCAAAATTTCATCATGATCATTCTCTTGCATTTCTGCTTCATATGTTGTGTCATCGTACTGAAATTCAACATCATTATCGGCATCAACCATCGATCCTTCAGCAGAAGGCTCGGCCATGTCAGCATCGTCATTTACATCATTTGGGAAAAGAGAGGGTTGAGAGTTATTGTGAAATTCATCAGCTCCCATCATCTCGCTATCCAAGTTTGAGGCGTGATCTTGCTCTTGATCATCCATTAGGTCGATGTCAATATCAAAGTCATCAGCCTGCCCCTGGTAAGGAGAAGCCATCTCCATTTCCTCAGCAGGGACTTCCATTGTGGGTAAAGCTAGAGAAGTTGCAGTCATGGCAAAAAAAGACGCGTCAAAAGGTCCAATGCCACAAATTCAGGCACGTGTTTCAAAATGGCTAAATGAGCAGGCCTCCGCAAAGTGCGGATATGAAAGGAAACCAGAGTGATAGAGATCAAAGGTGATAGGAAGAGAGGGTGTGGATGAGAGAAGGTTGGAAAGGGAATACAATGATGTGAAAGGTTGAGTGAATGAAAGAGAAAATGTAGGACGACTAAGCGAAGGGGGGTGTGGTGCACAGACCACTTCAAAGAGAACAGAGTAGCTGCCCGCGGCGACTTGATCCGTCAACACCAACAGGGGCTCCATCCAGTCTTGCTCTACAGCTCCACCACTTTTTCTAGATTTCACTATCTGTCTAATACAAATTAATTTGACCCCTTCACCATGGTATGCAGCATACTCCGACCTTGATCCACTATGTCCTTAAATTAACCATCTCACTCGTCAGGTCGTTTTGGCAGCATCGATATGCACTCGTGGAGGCAAGGCTGTCCTCTCGCGTCAGTTCCGGGAAATTGCCCGGTCGCGCATTGAGGCCCTGCTTGCCTCTTTCCCAAAGCTTGCAGATTCGGGAACCCAACACACCACTGTAGAGCAAGACAATGTGCGCTTCGTCTACCAGCCATTGGACGAATTGTACATTGTTCTGATCACCAACCGCCAATCGAATATCCTCCAAGATATCGACAGCTTGCACCTATTTGCCCAGGTCACCACCAGCATTTGCAAGAGCCTGGATGAGCGGGAGATCACTCGCAATGCTTTCGAGCTCCTCAGCGCATTCGATGAGTTGGTGACACTGGGATACAGGGAGAATCTATCGCTTTCTCAGATTAAGACTTTCCTGGAGATGGAGAGTCATGAGGAGAGAATCCAAGAGATTATTGAACGGGTATGTTTGGTTATCGACGGTGTGGTTGTTTCTCAGCTAACGCTATCAACAGAACAAAGAATTGGAGGCCAGTGAAGAGCGCAAGCGTAAGGCAAAGCAGTTGGAGATGCAGCGCAAGGAGGCCGCTCGATCATCTCGTGGTGTACCCACAAGGACACCAACCTATCCCGTCTACACACCTCCGTCGCGTCCAACAGTCCCCGATACATTCGACTCTTATGAAGCCGAGAAGACAAAGACTTTCTCCAAGTATGTTCCGTTCTTCTCTATTGGAGATCTCACAGGTACAGAACACCGAAACTAATTACGTATTAAATTATAGGCCCATTCCTACCCGGGGCAAGGGTATGCAGCTTGGCAAGAAGTCAAAGGCTACTGATATCTATGAGAAGGTCCGAGGAGACATGGGCCACGAGATTGAGGAGGAGAGCCCGCTTGTGACTCCCCAAGTCTCATCCCCCATGCCAGAAACCCATTCTTCTCGCGATTCCCTCGCAGTAGACCGTGAACCTATCCATCTCACCATCGCAGAAACCATCTCTGCCACGCTTTCCCGCGAAGGTGCCTTGAAATCAGTTGAAATCAAGGGCGACCTTCAACTTCGTATCTCTGACGCTTCTTTCACCAAATTGCGTCTTGAACTGCAAGCCAACCCTACCCATGGCGCCCAGTTCCGAACTCACCCCAATGTCGATAAAGCCCTCTTCACCAGCTCCTCAGCAATTCAGCTCAAAGACACCTCCAAGAGGTTCCCCACTAACAACTCTATTGGTGTTCTGCGGTGGCGTGTGGCCAGTTCGGCTGATAACACCGATATTATTCCCATTACATTCACTGTCTGGGTGAACAAGGGTGCTGACTCGACCACCATAACTGTGGAGTATGAGCTCACCGGTTCAGAAAGCCTACAAGATGTCGTTGTTTCTATCCCGTACAGTGCATCAGAACCCATCGTTTCCAGTTTCGATGCGATTTATGAAGTCTCTGGTGACAGACTTGACTGGAACATCGGTGCTGTGGACGAATCAAACTCGTCTGGTAGCTTTGAGTTCGAGTCTATCGAGGGTGATGAGGATGTGTTCTTCCCAATGAGCGTTTACTTCTCGAAGACACAGCCATTTGTCGACGTGGATGTCACGAACGTATCTCTACTGGATATGGATGGCGAGACTACCGGTTTCTCCAAGGATATCCGCAGCGTTGCGGATAATTTCCTTATCGAGTGATAAGTGACTGTTTGACCAGTATAGAGTTGGAATACTAATGACGTTCGGATCGTGGTTTTTGGCATTTCTTTTTCTCTTCTTCCAACATCGTTTTTTAACCTAAATCCCCTCTGCCCTTTGCAAAACGTTTTACCCAATAACGTGTCTTAGTCTTCATACAAAATTGACACAATTCAAATCCATCTTCAATAATGCCTCACCTTCCTTTTCAAGCTTCGGAATCTCGTGAAGCAGAATCCGCTCATCTGTAATGTACGACGTCAGAATTATGAATTTGCGAGTCCTAACAGAGGCGATTGAACGGCGGAATCTACTTCACGTAGCTTTCCGTGCCTTGCTGATCATCCATGGACTCTTAGTCGAATCTCATGGTTGAGGGAAGCTTCAACCAGGGACGTTCAACCAACTTGAGTGCCACCGCCATTAAACGTCACATTTACACTGTACCCTGGGTCTAGACCATGACAGCTATCGCATATCAATTTCTACGAGCTCGTTTTAAGCTTTGCGCCCTTACAACAATCTCCTTCGCTGGATAACCTTGGCGAAGTTGCTACACATCGCCTCCTTGATGAAGCATAGCTGTTTGTCTAGCTCATGTCCATGGATCTAGCATAGGATTCCAAAGCCTGTCGGTTATTACTGCCAAACATGAAGCATTGATTATATTCTGGGGAACTCATCCCATGGACCAGACAAGCCTTGCCCGTTTCCCGATCAAATCTAATGCAACGCTCCATGTTGATGGCAAAAAAGGGTCACACACATGAAGAACTTAAATTCGCCTCAGGTACTATTTACTGCACAGGAGGCAAATTTACAGCTAGAGAACCCCTTTTTACTTTGCTCGGTGGCCATCCTGATCGCTCACGAAGACCTAATTGGAGTATCATCATTACTATACATCCACTGAAAGACTTTGAAGCTTATTATTATGCTCAAGGTTCATCCATTGTAGGAGCAATCATTGGATCAAACTTTATAAACTCACTGATATCTGCTTGGTTTTAATCCCCTGATATCTTCATCTTGGGTAGCATTGATTTCTTTCTACAAAAGGCAAGTATATGAATACAGCATTTCGTGGTTCTGAGCTGACTTGAATTGTCTTTTACTTTGAAGATTGCCACCAATTGGTACATTTGTCGCATGCTTTTCATCATGAGTGGTAATCAGTTTTCACCATGGCACGACATGCAAAATCTATTCAAGCTATCATGCGCTGATGCAGAGACCTGTAACCAAATGACTAGCATGGTATGAGAACAGTTGAGCTTTACTAAGTTCTGCTATCTAATAATATCCTCTAGGAAACACCGGTGCCTCCTCTCCAACGAGCTGACACGGAGATCAGTACTAGAAAGATGGCAATACCGCGCCTTGCAGAAGGCGCTGAGTCGGTCTTCACCTCCCCAGGCAGGTTCCACCGTCGTCATGTCCGTCGAGCATGTGAGTCTTGTCGGCAGAGAAAGACCAAGTGCACTGGAGATAAATCTGGCTGTCGCAATTGCCGTGAGGTAGGCATTATTTGCTGCTACACTGATGGGAAGAGAGAGAAGTCCAAGCGGTAGGATTCTCTTGCTAGTTACTATTAAGCTGAAGCTAACGCCAAAGCTTCTGTTATGCAGGCAACTTGCAAGTCTTTCTGCTAAGGTGCAGGCATATGAAGATGTCATAAAGAAATTGAGTGATCGCTTTGGCGTTTCGGATGAGAAACTTGTGAACATTGCTTTGACAGCGGTATGAATCTCGATCCATATGTTATCACCAAGAAATATCTAAAAAAAAATAACCTAGGAGCCGTCTTCTGGTCTGGAGCTTAGTTCCGATGCTGGCACAGGAGTAGGGGAACGAAAGCTTTCCTGGACTTCGGCGTCGGGATTGGAATCATCACCTACTCGGGCCTCATCTGTTGCTCCATCAGAGCTACTCGACCACACGGAAGAAGACTTTAACAGAGACGAGACTTCTCGCGCAACGGGATTCATTGGGAAGAGCTCCGAGATCACCTGGCTGCAAAATCTTAGTAAAGAGGTCACCAATGAAGTGGAAGGATGGTCTGCGAGCATGTCAAACTCAGGGTATAATAATGGTCTACCGTCACCAAAGCTGACTCCTCACCCAGAGAATCCAAGCGATCCCTGGTTGTCGTCTTCGAACTACTACCTCGATGACTTGGATATTCCTGCTGCAGATCCAGGCGATGCATCTGAAGTGCCATCGTGTGAAACAGCTACGAAATTGCTGAATACCTACCTGACTTCCGTGCACCCGTCGTTTCCAATCATCGGAGTCTCTACATTTGTATCGCAATTCCAGGTCTTCTTCAGTCAGCCGACTCTCAATCCTGGAAACAAGTGGCTTTCCATACTCAATCTCATATTTGCAATTGCTTCCAAATTTGGGCAGCTGACAGATGCCGATTGGAAGGAGGGCGAGGATGACCATGAGTTCTACTTCGGACGGGCCAGGACTTTGTCGCTGGAGGGCCAATTTCTACGCCATTCTGATCTCCAGCAGCTTCAGGTGGAGGGACTTGCCTGCTTTTACATGATTTCGTCCGGCCACATCAACCGGTATGTAATGACCTGAGTTATCACCCTAAATCTTAATCTCACAGTTTCTTTTTTGTCTAGGGCTTGGAAGCTATCTGGCAGTGCAGTTCGAGGAGCATTGGCTCTTGGTCTCCATCTACGGAACTTGGGATCATGCACTTCTGATACGTCCAAGGAAATCAGATACCGTGTTTGGTGGTCCCTATACACCATCGAGCACCTTCTCTCAGTCATGACTGGACGCCCATCCTGCATAATAGATAGCTCTACCACAACTCCTCTTCCCGTGCCCTTCGACGAAAGTGAGTTCCAAAAAGACGATGTTGCCCACATGATTAGCACCGCCGGACGGAGCCTTTTAAGCCAGGTGGATCGAGTTCCACTCAGCAATAGCAAAATTGCAGCCAACCTAGACTCATCGACCGACTCTGACATCACTGAAACTCCTACGGCTAGCGATACGAAGATCAGCCGCACAGAATATCTCAAGAGCCTTCCACCGTGCATGTCGCTCTACTTCCTGCAATTGACTTCATTGACCAAAATTGCCAAGCGAATGACAGTCAAGTTGTACGGCCCAGAGGCCCAGCAGTCCCCATGGGCTACTACTGAGTTCACTATTCGAAGTCTGATGCTTGATCTGGACTCGTGGTTTATGGACCTTCCAACTGCCTATGATTTTACTTCTACGCAGACATCTCAATGCCCTCTTAGCCAACGCATGAATCTGGCGTTCCTGTTTTACAGTACCAAGGTGGGGATTACCCGTCCCTGTCTGTGTCGCCTCGATCCTGCATCTGCAGAGGGCGATAAGACGCATGAGTCCTGTACCAAGACAGCGACTGAGTGTGTTGAGGCTGCATGCCACATGCTCACTCTGTTTCCGGATACCCCTGACGCGGCCATGCTCTACAATATCTCTCCTTGGTGGTGCACACTGCATTATCTAATGCAAGCAGCTACAGTCCTGCTCCTTGAACTTGCTTTCCATGCACAACATGTTCCCGAAAGGGCAATGATGGTATCAAAGGTGGCCAAAAAGGCACTGGACTGGCTTTCGACACTGTCAAAGACGAACATAGCGTCCAAGCGGGCCTGGAAGCTGTGTGATGGATTTCTTCGCCGCCTCGCTCCTCACGTCGGTATCGATGTGAGCGAGCTTTCGGATAATGAAAATGATGAGTCGTCAGTCACTTCTTTCTTCGGCGCTCCCAAGACTACCGATGCGAGCCAGATGGTGGAGCTAGATGATGTTACCTTTGATCCATCTGCAGTTTTGCCCATCGTCACACCGACTGCAGGTTCTGTTAATGCGGATATGGATTCTATCGCATGTTCACCCATGGATCAGTTTGGCCCTCCGCTTGAAATACCGGTTTCATTGGAGATTGAGCCGGATATATTGGAGCAATTTCAGAAGCCAGAGACTTGTGAGTCTGAGAGAAGTTCTTATGATGACTATTTTCCCTATGATCCTGCTACTGGCCAGATGACGGGCTCATTCTTCCCTGCTGGAAGTAACGTTGATTTTGACATGGGCTCTTATTGGAATGATCCTATCTATTGAATTCAATCAACTGGAGTTTACAATCAACTAAAAGCAAATCGACAAAAAAAAAGAAAGACCAAAAAAATATAGCATTTTAATGCATCTTTAGATCCAAGTCAACAGTAGAAGATTGTTTGAATTGGTTACTTAGGTATCACTTAACACAAGTAACCTTGTAATGTTATTGATATTTTCTACTTGAACGTTGGATGTTTTGTCTCCGTTAAAATCCCATCCGTACCTAGTTGAACTACTTTAAAACAAGAACTTCAAGCAAGAGCATCCCAAGTCTAGACATATCTATACTTTCAATGAATGATTATGCAATGTCGTCATATCAAATATCATGTGACATAGCTTTGAGGTGATACTTTAATGTGGCGATAGATGGATATTGTCGGCACTATGTTTCCCAATTACGTTTCTTTACTGTGAAGAGCAGCTCTGCATCTTCTTCGGGGAAGATTCCAATGGAATGGCGGTGAGTCGACCGTCCAGTTTGAGGATCAGGAAAATCAATCGAGGTAATGTTGCCAAAGTGGATGTTTACCGTGAAGTCCTTGGGAGATTTACTCCAAGGGGAAAATAATGGTTTGATGCCCAGAAGAGCGCGCGGATCCATCACGTATTTCTCAATACATGGAATTATCGGCATCAAGCGACGTCTGACCCCACAGCTTCCATGGTGACTGTCAATCTGATAGTCTGGGAAAGACTTGAGTGAATTCAGAATGAACGAAAGGCTGGATGGTGACTCCACTGTTTTCTCGCCAACGGTGACAGCGTCTAGAGAGAACTCAGGATCTAAAATAGTTGATCCGATGAAAGCAGTTTTTGAACGCATAGTCAAGAATCGTGTGAGTTGGCCCAGCTGGAAGATATCACATTGGCTTCCGTTGGCCATTCCTGCTCGGCATTGAAACTGGGTCGTCTGGGTTGAGGTTGAAAACCCGACGCCAAGAGATCGTGTGTTTTTTGGTTTTGTTTGGATATCTTCGTCGTCAAGGCCTCCATAGACTCGAAGAAAATGAGCCTGAAGGTCAGTGATTGTGCCTAGGACGCACTGTCTCCGATAATACAGCTCCTCTAGATTGAGATCCCAGTTAATTGTGGAACAATTGGGGCCATAACATGAGACCTACCTTCAATGCCATATGGTAGGTATTGCCATCGCAGATGATCCGCCGGGTTTTCTGGAGCTTCTAATCCATCAATCCAAAGCCTTGAACCAGCGACAATCAACACATGAGTAGTGGTTTTGAGGACAGTACTGTTTCCCATGAAGTGCGCAATGAAAATTATTTGTCGAATGGTGTCTTCTTTCATTCTCGCCGTATCGGTATTGAAGTGCAAGAGCTCATATTTTTTCTTCTTGTGATGGATACCCTTTTCCGCGGTTCTTCCAAACGAATATTCAATTCTGGTCACAATAGCACGTACAATATCTGGAGAATTAAACCATTCGGCGATATTTATCAATTTTGCAATCATTGCTGGAGATTCCTTTTTAAGATCAGTCTCAAATTTGACTCTCTCCAAGTCACTCATTGTGTCAAGACATAGAATCTTCAGAAAGAGCGTAATGGGGCCTGAATCACATATTTCAAACAAAGGACTGTAGGGAATCCGAAGAATTGGTAGAGTCGGATTCAATCCGTCCTTCTGAGCATGCTGCTGCTGTACAATAGACCTGCCCTCGGCAAACTTCTCCGGGTCTAACAGAGCTCTGAAGTAAGGACTAGTATCTCCCAGGATCTGACTGCTCACTTGCCAGCGGCAGCTGATCGTGGTGGACTGATTAATATACTCGACTAGCAGGTCCCCATGAAGTGAGATAACAATTCTGTTCTCATGAACCGGAAGTGAATCAAGTGATGCTTCGGTCTCTGCCGTTGGATCATCTAATTTGATATCCATAGGCAGATAGTGAAGAACTAGACAGGCTTCAAGCTCTTGTGCGGGAGTGTCAACTCAAATATGCGATGAGTGGGGCTCTCATTAACTTCAAGGGCGATGCATTTGATCAGAGAGCCAACCGTCAGATTCCACTCTGGTCTACAAAATTCAAATTCAAATTCAAATTCCAAATTCCAAATTCCCGAAGTGCTATATGCTCAAGATCTCGATTAGGATTCACCAACTTCAATTCCCGAAATTATAGAATGACTCAGCATAATCACATGACAATTAGCTCTCAGGTGACGTGCCAAGCGGTGTTAACTTCGACTAATATTAAATAGTAGATGTTAAATATTTAACTATTTAAATAGATAAGTAACTAATTAACTACTAAAATATCTGCTGATCGAAAGTGCATACAGCTCAGTCCTCAAATATAAGAATTTATTAATAACTACCATGGACTATTACGGTACAGCCCTTAATCCTTGTGTCAATGGTAAAAAACATCCCCGTGCAGATCACTATGGACTTTCCACAGTTTTGGCTCTTGAGGTGAATACACCTTGGGCACTCGTCTCTTGCACACGCAGAGCACAGTAACTAACTTCCAATAGATGGCGAAGGAAGTTGATATGATACAACTTTGGAAATGAAACTTTTAAAAAGCAAAATAATGTCTAATGATCATATCAAAGTCAAATGAAACCTTGGAAGTAAGGTGAAGTAGGTAAGCCCTGGAGGTGGTATCTAGGTAAGATGAATATGAGATGAGAGTGAGTTATAAGCAATGGGAAATGATTCTGAGATTCAAGAGTCTGTTCGGTCTCTAAAGGATCAACCCCTGAAGTTGCTGAGAACTAAGAGAAGAATCCGTACCTAGCCCCTTGGTTTACGCTATCTATTGACTCAACTACTTGGTGTCAATCTAGGAAACAGTTTTGCCTCATGCTTTTGACTAGTATTCCACAATAAATCAACGTACGTTAATGACAAAAATAGAGGCCCCAAACAACCTTTCAAGAATCCAAGGTTGAGATATAATGCACATGGATATTGAGAGGGGATGTATATAATGGACACGGGTTTCATGGCTATCAATCCCACGGGAACATTAGATACATAGGTAGATAAACAGGGGACAAGAGAGGGTAGTGGGGGAGATATCAAGGTAAGATAACAAAAGGGACTTGTAGAACACTAGGACTATGAGTACCATCGTCGTCCTTTTGGCCGACTTCGTATTCTTTGCGGCTTATTTCTCGTAATTTCAATGCGTTGCCAACAACGTGGAAGAGTTTTTTGACGCTTTCAGGCCGATCATCTGGTGACGGACCACCATTCAGAGTGTGGATAGGATCTGTGTCGAAGCCGTAGAATAATTCGATTGGGAGGAGGGAGAACAGGGCGAGTGAGTGTTGCTTATCCATGTAAGGGGAGGAGGCAAGGAGGTCACGACCTGCTGTGCTAGTCACTACTCCAGATCCATCTTGATATGCTAGGTCCAGTAGACTGTTTCCGCGATAGTTGGTGAAGAATGGCTCGGAGCTGATGAAGCCTAAGACGAAGTCTGAGTTGGCACATGCGGCTCCTAGTGTAGCTTGTCGGAATTCATATGTGAACGCGGTATCGACGGCGCTTGGAAGGCATAGGGCTATGCCACGGGCCAGCAGTGGAGGAGGTGGCACACCATCTTCTGGTTGAATGAGAGGCTGCATAGTGACTGATTCGGTGACAGAGATTGTCGATAATTTGCGTGAATATCCTGGCCAGAATTCCTGCCAGGCGTTCGGAGACAGAGGTACTGATACGCTTTCTTTCTCCTCTGGGGTATTATCTTCACTTTCTGAAGCCGAGATCTCGGTTTGAATGGTCTTGACGGTCTTCGCAACGACCTCACGTGCAGCGTTGCGAAGCGTAGGAATCAAGACATCCTTTTCCTGCGCGTCCAATTTCACGCCAGGTGCCCATGAGGTAGCAATTCCCGACCAGGTTGCTATCTTAGTGGAGCCATTGGCGTATCTCTTCTTAACATTCTGAGCCAGAGTCATTCGTGTTTGCCAGTCTGCATTTCCGCGGCCCATGAAATTGACAGTTGCGTTGAGAACTTTACTGCCTTCCCATAGAATGAAGCCATGTTTTTTGGCTAAATAGGTTAACTGTTCAATGGTATCATCTGACCAATCGTCCATGATATCCCCTTGTACCTGCAACACAGCTATGTGGGGGCCAATCTCGGCGGCAACTCGTAGGACTGAGGCTGTATCTGTGAGGGAAGGGGACATCAGGACGCCCACAGGTTGGCCATATGGAAGGCCCTTTTTGGTCAAGGGTAGATTTTCAATATAATCTAGAATTGGATTCTTTGGATTATCTGAAGAGTCTAACACCGACATGATTGAGTAGTACTGAGACACCTAGGTAGCTTGTGTGTGGAGAGAGTGAGAGGAGAAAGAAAGAAAGAGACACATTTCAATATATGAACCAGCTGGACAGCCTCAGCGGGGCTGCAGGTTCCCCACCTAGAGCTAGCGCTACGTCTAATCCTTGGTCAAAATGAAATTGGCCAAGGCTTCGGTGTTTCTGGGCCGCCCCTATTGTACGGAAGGTCGGGAAATGGGGTTCAACGATGATGCGTGCACTAATTTGGTGCAAGTGGAGAAAGGAAGTTAATAGTTCACAACATGCGATCGGTCCTGGAGTCTTCCCCTAGGAAAAGCGGACTGTATGGCGTATGGAGTAGGTATTATATTTCCACACCGACAGGATTCACTAAAGCGATCCTATGCTTCTCATGGATTTTAATCATTGGTCCTTAGGCCAAGTCCCACAGATTCGGTTTATCATGCGGATCGTTCCGAAGAGCTGAGTTTGTGAGAAGATGAATATGAAGTGATGTTGGGTAAAGTAGAGGCAAAATACGGGATAGACTTCCGAAGCATTCAACTGTTATACTTGTTAAGCGGGGCCAATTATAGCCGTTTGTACCCATTTGTATCATCCATGGACATAATCTTCATGGAAATGGGATCGAGGATGGAAAGTGCCACAACTTAAAAAAGGAGGAAAAATGGGGGGCGAGATTGGTTATTGGCTGGAAGACATTGGGCTGGCATTTATACCCGATCTAACCTATTTCGGTGATATCTATTGTCTTGTAATTTACTTGATTTGCTCGGTTGATTTGTCCGACGTTATTAATGCATTACTTATCTAATATCATGTTATCTACGGATACAATATTTATTCGCTACCTATGTATCGAGTATACCACGCAATTTACAATAATTTAATAATTCCCCGACATTCTGCCGTCTATTGTGTCAATCTACCTTGGTTCATAGCTTTCTCCATTTTAGTGTCTGCCGCTTTTTTCACTAGTAGAACTGAGCACCTCAAAGACCTGATACATGTTGGAAGAAGGGATTCAGAGACAAAAATCGGGTACAAGATATCTAGGGCTAAACCTCCAAGGCTCGTGCTTAAGATCCTTATACTTGCCAAGACTTATCAAGATCATGGGCCGATACGACGTGCAGCCTCGTGAAAAACTAGTTGGAATTTGAAAGACTGGCCTCAACTGGCAAATGTGATACCTAAGTACCTAGGTAGTATGTATAATTTGATCAGATTAGGTGATATGGTACAGAGTAGTTGATTTATATACTTGGTAGGAGTGGCTTACCAGCTCACCATAGATTATACTATAGGCATCATTCGTTAAAATGCAGACAAAACTATATCCGCACAATATCAAACAGGAATCGCCAAGGACTGTTCATAGTAGCAACACCATTAACGCTCACTGCCGCCAAAACTCGTGCAGGTAGTCATGGTAGATTCATCTTCACTGTAATATTCGTAGGCTACCTCAGGCTGGTGGTCTGCTTCGGATTCCTCGTCCTCTTCTCCAGCATCTCCGTATGAGAACCCCTGGGGCAGTGAGAAAGCCTAGTCTCACGGGTGATCACGAACTCGATCTAAAGATTTCCGATCTGGGTATTCCTTCTATTTGTAGCCTTCCCTGTCGCGATAACTCACAGCATCACCAATGCAGATATGAAAACTAGACCTCGGAGACACTTTCACGCGCGGACGATACCGGATAGCTTCATGAACTGAGTTCAAATGCTCGTATTCGACAGCGCTCAACTTTTCTAAGTTCCGTCAGCTGGTATTTCTTTGGCCAGCTTAGTAGGATGATCACTATTGCTCCATTTGTGATATTTGTGATTCCTAGTTGAGCTAAATGACAACTTGGAGGAGGTCAGAGGATGAACTTCGGAAGACGGTGGAAGTAAGATCCAGAATGATGTCCCCTTATTACGTAACCTAGCCATACCCTTGTAAATCTAGCAGTATTTTAAGTAGGGAAGTCTCCAACAGGTGGCGAGATATTATGCCCAGAATGCGGCGCGCTAGCAGAATGATGTTTGCAAAATACTTGGAACTCGTTCCCTGTCACCTGTGGACGCTATATATATACCTATGTAATATGTAGGAGGTCTTTTTTTTTTTTTTTTTTGGATAGTTGTTACTGGTAAAAGATGTAAATATGCTCTATCTACTCGACGATAAGTAGCCTTTTGTCTTGCTTGATGGTCACATGACCGGAGGAGGGACATTGGTAATAGCAACAATTGGATGGTTTTGCTAACTACTAGTCAATCATCAGGTGACCTTCAGAGCCGATGATGGAACCCTCAAGCTCTATACCAGGACTATGTACCTGTATCTAGGTGCGTTAGGTATCAAGGCAAAGCCTATAAAGAACCATAAACCTTGGAATCAGAGGTAGCAACTTTGTCCAAATATGGAGGGATTGCAGGCTTCATACCTAGGTATCATCTGACCTTGGAAATATTGTAAAGGGCATTAAAGGGGGGATATTATACTAGTAGCTACCTAGGCGGAGATTCCGAGATTGTTCTATCTCATCCATGAATAATGGATTTATTTAACCTCAGGATCAGGATCAGGTTACTTTCAATGTAATGAGATTCAGCGTTGAGATGATATTCAAATAGTTGACTGTTTCTTCTTCTTCTTCTTCTCTCTCTCTCATAGGTAAATTATAATAGAAATTTCTCGATATTATGTGCATGAAAGTGGCCTGATTTTAGTTATGAATGAATATCAAAGAATAAGAGACAAAAGAGTCGGGATTTGCTCAAAATGTTAAAATTCTGCCGATTTCATCGGAGCGGAAACTTTATTTGTCACGCCACGCCCCTGAGTAAATTACTTCTTAAGATCTTGAGGTCATCCACATTAAATTTCTGAATCTTCGAGCTTTCCTCTTCGCTTCATATTTCTTGCTGTTTTGCTTTGGACTAGCGAATTCTTCACCATGCCGGGACTCGTTTTACCGACCTTTACCGTCGCCGATGTCAAATCACACGACAACGCCGAATCTTGCTACATTACCATTGGGCGCAAAGTCTACGATGTCACAGAATTTGTGCAGGATCACCCTGGTGGTGGTGATCTAGTCTTGGAGTATGCGGGCAAGGATGTGAACGACATCTTGAAAGACACTGCTTCCCATAAGCATAGTGAGGCCGCCTACGATATCCTGGAAGACTACCAAGTTGGTTTCCTTGACACAACTGGTGGAGCTAGCAAGGTGACTGCTTCTGCAGACATTTCAACTGAATCGGAGCCCCTCTTTGCTTCAACCGGAATGTCCCGGGAGGAGGATTTGACCATCGATACCGACTACACCCAGGATTTCAAGCAGCACAAGTTCTTGGATCTCAACCGACCCCTCTTACCCCAACTTTGGTTTGGTGGCTTTAAGAAAAGATTCTATCTGGATCAGATCCATCGGCCTCGTCATTACAAGGGAGGCGCTTCAGCCCCTCTCTTTGGCAATTTCTTGGAGCCTCTTAGCAAGACTGCGTGGTGGGTGATTCCTATCGTATGGGTACCACCTGTCATCTATGGCACTATCGCCGGTACAGCTGGCCTTGGTAACCCCATTGCTGCTGCTGCGTACTGGTTGGTTGGCTTTGGCCTGTGGTCCTTGATCGAGTATCTCATGCACCGCTTTTTGTTCCACCTTGACGAGTAAGATCTTCCCCATTGAAATCCAATTAAATACCGAAATGTGACCTAATATTTTAACAGCTATCTTCCTGATAACCGAGTCGGTCTGTGCCTTCACTTCCTACTCCATGGCATCCATCACTATCTCCCAATGGACAGATATAGGCTTGTCATGCCACCTACCTTATTCGTCGTCCTGGCTGCCCCCTTCTGGAAATTGGCCCACGCTGTCTTCTTCTACAACTACTTTGCAGCTTTGCAGGTCTACTGTGGTGGAATCTTCGGATATATCTGCTATGACCTTACCCACTATTTCCTCCACCACCGCAAGTGAGTTTCTCATTGATCTCTATCAAGTTTAACCTTGAGCTAACAATTATTTAGTCTTCCTGTCTATTACCAGGCCCTCAAGAAGCACCACCTTCAACACCATTACGCTGATTATGACAACGGATTTGGTGTCACAACAAAATTCTGGGATGGTGTGTTTGGCACTGCGCTACACATTGATGAGTCTAAGCCTAAGGCTGAGTAGGAACTTTCTTTTGTTTTGAAACATTGCATTTGGTGGCAAGCTCTTCATAATTACGATTCTACGACGAGTCTCTGATTGGGAGGATGGTCGGGAACTGAGCTTGTAACATACTTATGACACTGGCAATAACGGCGTTTTTGGGTGCCTTTTTTCCCTTTTATGATCTGCATACAATCCTAATGTACGGTAATTCCTTTTGGCCCACTATCAAAAGCAGGCTGGAGAGGAAGCTGGCTGAGTGAACACTTATTAGTGCAATATTTGATACATAATAATTCATTAGCCTTCATGGTTATCTACTACAATTCTATATTTCTGTAATTAAGTAATGAATGTAATCTAGGTAACTGAAATGAGGTGGCAAATAAATGTCCTTCTGAAAAGAAGTTCAGCCAAGTCACGTGATTGCTGTACCTCCACGCACTCCACCTCGCCCTACACCTGTCTCGCACTTCACTTCGCACTTCACTTCAGGTGCTTCATCCCTCTTCCCTAACCCCAATTTTCCCCAATCATTTTTCGCACCAAAAGTGCTCCAAACACCTCAATTCATCAACAACTATAGTTTAACCCACTATTTCCCAGACACACGCCATGTCTGGCCTTGACGTAGAGGCCCTTCTTGAGTCGACTGCCGCCCCGACCGATACAGTCCCCCATACAGATGAGCAAGATTATTCCTCCCATGCTGACCCCTCTGGTCACCACAACCGTGACCTTTCTCGTGACCGAGACCGCCGAAGATCCCGCAGCCATGACCGACGCCGTGATCGAGATGTTGACGGCGACCAGGACTTGAGAAGCCCACGCAGCGAATATGGCAGTGCTAACGGAAGCCATAGAAGTCGCCGAAGCCGCAGTCGGGAGACTGATCGTCGTCGTCCCCACCGCCGTGATGACCGTGGCGGAGATTACTACCGCGGCGGCGGCCATGCCCGTTCGCGCTCGCCGCGTAATGATCGTCACTGGCGCCCCTCACGCCGTGAGCACCGTGAGCACCGTGGCCGTAATGATGATCGCCCTTCTCGTCATGACGGTGACCGTCGACGCCACAGTCCAGGTCCCACTGATTCTAACAATACTCCTGAAGTAGTCAATGAGGACGAGCGAGATCGTCGTACCGTCTTCGTCCAGCAGCTTGCCTCCCGACTCCGCTCTAGGGAGCTATCCGCCTTCTTCGAACAAGTCGGTCCCGTCAAGGATGCTCAGATCGTGAAGGATCGGGTTAGCGGACGATCCAAAGGGTAAACCTCCGCCCTAATCCCCTTCCTACTCGTCAAGTTTCTAACCAAATCAATAGCGTCGGATACGTGGAGTTCCAAAGTGAGGATTCCGTGGGACCGGCTATCCAGCTTACCGGACAGCGCCTCCTTGGCATTCCCATTATTGCGCAACTTGCAGAGGCGGAAAAGAACCGCCAGGCCCGTAACCCCGAAGCAAGTTCCGCCCCATCCCATTCTGCGCCGTTCCACAGACTCTATGTGGGTAACGTACACTTCAGCATCACCGAGAATGACCTTCAGAACGTGTTTGAACCTTTTGGCGAGCTTGAATTTGTCCAGTTGCAGAAAGATGACACTGGCCGGAGCAAAGGCTACGCATTTGTCCAGTAGGCACCCCACCCCTGACTCCTTATATCGTTCTACGTTTTGACAAGTCTTCAAGATTCTTGGACCCTGCCAAAGCACGTGAAGCGTTAGAGAAAATGAACGGTTTTGACCTGGCTGGTCGCAATATCCGTGTTGGCCTGGGTAACGATAAGTTTACCCCAGAAGCGAATGGCACTCGTGCTGCAGGTTCATCCGCAACCCCCACCAACTACCAGGGATCCTCTTTCTCCGGTCACGGAGGTCGTGGTATCCAAGCTGGTGGATCTAACAATTTCGACCGTGCGGGCGGCCGAGATAACGAGAAGGGCACCGGCGCCGGTGCTCTCGATGACACCGACGTGGTTGGAGTTAACTTCAAGAACTACAGCCGAGACGCCCTTATGAAGAAACTCGCTCGTACCGACGACGCCCCCTCCACCGTGGACGAGCAAAAGTTTGCTCGTCCCAAGACCGAACTTAAACCACTTCCCATCAACATCAACATGGCGAGTCGATGTGTGTTGCTTCGCAATATGTTTGATATTTCCGAGTATGACTTCCTCTAACCCTATGATTCATTTCACCCGCTAACAAACCAATACAGAGAGTCGGGAGAAAGCTGGATACAGGAACTAGAGCACGATGTCCGCACTGAGTGCGAAGCAAAGTACGGACGTGTTGTTCACATCTCGCTTGACCCCAACTCGACAGGTGATATCTACCTAAAGTTTGACCGAGTCCAGGGCGGTGAGAACGCGATTAAAGGCCTCAATGGCCGCTTCTTCGGCGGAAAGCAGATCACCGCACAACCTGTCGTCGATGCTGTCTATAGCAGTCTGTTTTCACGAACCCGCGCGATTTAATCAACCGAACCTCGCACCCTGCTTCACTTCCAAGTGACCTTTTTTCTCTCAAGCCATCATTTACGAACTATCACCCAGACACATGAATTCTCACTTTTCCCCAAGTTCTAACATGGCACGCTTTTGGCAGATCGAACTTCTTCTTGTCCCCGGTTTTTCCGGAGGGTGCTATGGTAGGTGCCTATGCAATAACCTCACACCTTTGTTCTTTTTAGGAGCCTTTTCGATACTTTTTTAACAACCAGAACTAAAATCAATCTGTTGAATCTTTAAATATTCTAAAATATAAATAGTAGACTAAATAAACAAAAAATAGTGTGCTAGCTTAGAACCCGGAATGGATCCGCCGGGGCCCCTCGCTTTTAAATGCCGACCTCGGGGTCCCCGCTTACGCTATTGATCTTTGAAAGTCAGCTCCTTCTTTCAACACTCCCGACCCCTGGAGAAAAATCAATGGGACATTCATGATTGAAACTTCAGCTAGGAGAGCCACAGGTCGGGTCTGGACCTTAGCTGCCAGTTTCAGTAAGCTTGTGCAACCCGGTCCCAACTTCCAAGATTGAGAACCTAACAATTTTTTGAACAGGCTTCATCCACCTTCGGAGACTACAAACATACAGCTCGAGAGCAGCAGCGCTCGGTGAGCAGCCAGTTGGAACAAAGCGCCCACCAGAGTTTCATGATTATTTTGTCACTCACCTTCCGTCGTCATCGCTTCATCCGGACACTCGAGGTCCGACCTCTCCCTTCCATAAACTTCCTCGCTCGGCATCAGTACCGCATACTGGAGATACAACCCACCCACCCTCATTCCAGTCACTAGGATACCGAGAAACAACAGTGGTCCGGATCCCTCTACGCAGCGCCAAGCACCACTATGGAGCTCAAACAGCTCGCGGCACTCGTGTCTCCAATGAAGATACATACCAGGCCGGTGTGATTGACATACCTGCTTTTGCCAAACGACCCCCCACATCATTGACGATTAGGAGATCACGCAATCGGGATTCATCTGCTCCCCCGCCCGAAACAAGGGCCGCAGAAACCGCCACTGGGGATCCACAAGTCTTTTACTGGGGTGTCTTCGACGGCCATGGTGGATCCGAATGTAGTAAGTTCCTAAGGGACTATCTGCACGAGTATATTCAAGATGCCGCATTCGATTTTGAACTTTGTTCTAGTCTCGGGAAAAACCAGCTTCACTTAGCGAATGGGGGCCGGATACCCTCTTTCATCGGCTCATTACCCGTGATGCAGGAGGGCAATCGTCAGCGGATCGGTGAAATGGAGAAGCTTCTTGTACAACAATGGAGACGTCTCGTCGGCGGCTACTTCAAGCGATTCAAGCCTGCGAAATTCCAATACTACGGGTCTGAGGACGCCACCCGTACAGATCAGGACCAAGTGTCTATCGAAGAGCTGATGGAATATGCTTTCTTGAATGCCGACTTGGATTTTGTGAAAGCACAAGCTTCAAAGAAGGAATACGACATGGTCCAAGCTGAAAAGCCGCTGAACGAAGACGAGATTCTCCACAGCCCCAGCTTGAGGCGAACCCCGCAAATTGGTGGTCCCACCCGATTCAAAGGAGGCAGCACAGCAACCATCGCCATGATCTCAACTCCGACTCCAACGCCTTACTGGCACCCCGCCGGTCCCTCGACTCTACTTATTGCGCATGTGGGCGACACCAGGGCACTACTTTGCTCGACCATTAACGGCGAAGCCGTTCAATTGACATCCAATCACCACCCCTCATCCCCAATAGAAGCGGCCCGACTGCGCCGATATGCCACGAGCTTTGTGACCGACTCATTTGGCGAGGAGCGCATGAGCGGACTAGCAAACACTCGTGCCTTCGGCGATGTGCAATCTAAGCGCATTGGTGTCTCCGCCGAGCCGGAAGTACGGCGCGTTGAAATGGGCGCAGCGGAATTTTCCTTCTTGGTCTTGATGTCCGATGGAATCAGCGGCACACTCCCAGATCAGGAAGTCGTGGACATAATCAAAGAAGCCCGTACGCCTGACCAAGGCGCTGCAGATGTTGTCCGGTTTGCCACCGAGGTCAGTAGAGAGAGCGATAATGCCACTTGTCTTGTCATACGACTCGGTGGCTGGGAACGTCGGCTAGAAGGTGGGGTTGGAAGTTTGGGAACCAAAGAGTCTCGTGAGTGGCGTCGACAGGAGGCCACTGATCCGCGCAGGTCACGGAGGTGAAGTATCTTGTAAAATAAGCAATGAATTGATGTTTGTATATAATTTGAGCCCTGATAATGGGGTTGAACCTACGTTATTCTTTTTTCCAGTTAGCTGGACAGTCTTTTTTTTTCTTCTATATTATTTCTATTATTTCTATCTTTTCTATTCAAAACCGCATGATCTCCATCTCCACTTCCAATGTTATTGTTACTCAACAGATCTAGTTAGAACGCTCTTCTCTTATGAGACACGCCCAAAAGCTTACTAACTACTCAGAGGTTGACTTACATAGTCAATCCCGTGGTTCTAATAATTGTACGACCAATTATTAACATGCAATTAAAATCACCAAGTAATAGTTATGAAAGTGGTAAGAAAGACAGTTGGCATCGGGAACTGCGGAGATAAACAGCTTAGATAAGCAAGACCATATGTTTTTATCAGCACCCCTAATGTACTATCCTTTTCTAGTCTTCATTATCCCTTCAATCCCCCATATCTATTCAAAATGAGTGCTAGAACACGACGGCAAAAAGCAGCTCTGGCTGCCAAAGGAGAAGAGAGTGATGAAGGGAATGGAGCCGTGCTCACTCCAACTCCTTCGAAGAAGGCATCGAAAGAGCGCGACGAACCTCGAGAAAACGTGTTTTTGTTCGCGCCTAATCTCATTGGTAAGATGCATTGAATACCAATAGTTTATTGTACAGCTGCATGATCCTTTGGCTCTAACATTTTGTTAATAGGGTACTCTCGAGTTTTCTTAACCTTTGCGTCGCTGTATTACATGCCTCTACACCCTCGCACGTGTTCTCTTCTCTATACTGTATCGTGTCTGCTAGACGCACTAGACGGATATGCTGCGCGATACTTTAACCAGTCTACGACGTTCGGCGCCGTGCTCGATATGGTCACGGACCGCTGCACCACGGCTTGCTTGTTGGTCTTTCTCAGCTCCGCTTGGCCTCGGTGGGCGATCGTCTTCCAGGCCCTGATTAGTCTCGATATGGCAAGTCACTACATGCATATGTATGCCACACTCAGTATGGGTGGATCGAACCAGAGCCACAAGAAAGTGGATTCTACCCGTAGCTGGATTCTTTATCAGTACTACAACAGCAGAGTATGGTCGCCATCAAGACTGTGACATGTTCGACGTCGATACTTACCATTTTTATTTAGGTCGTCCTATTCATCTGCTGCGCACTGAATGAGGCATTTTTTATCGGACTCTACCTCTTGTCCTTCTCTTCGCCCATACTGTCGCCATCTCTCCTACAGCCCGAGCCGTCCTCCATCCAACCCGGAAGCCCAGCCGTCCCCGCTGCAAACAGTCTTTTTGGTAGCCCATGGAGCGCTGGTGCCCTCGAGATGGCTCGCGCGAACAAGATCGATAGCACATTCCCGTGGATTGTTACTGGAATTTCATTCCCCGTCATGGCTTTCAAACAGTTCGTCAACGTCGTGCAGCTAGTCAATGCTAGCCGGTGGCTGGCACAAGGCGATCTTGAGGCCCGCCGTGCCAACCGCAAGAAATAAACTCAGGAATATCCCTAGAGGGTCAGATTCTATCCAGATTGGTCCAGAACCAGTCAAGAAAGTCTGCCCACTTTTCGTCTTTTTCTCTCGTCCCTCTCTCTAGTCGTGCATGTCTTTGGAGCTTAGGTCTGTGATTTCAGGAGTCTAGGGGCCGACTGTAGCAGTGACCCTAGATCCCGGCGGAAAGAATTGGTTTAGCGGTTCAAGTCCTATTCAAAGGCGTCTTGGGGCACGATTAGAAGGCTCCTCTGGAAGGATTCGGGAACCTGTACAGTACACACTGGGTTGTGTTCTTCTTTTTCATCTTCTAATGCCGCGCTTCATGTCTACCTATACTTATGTTTGCATTATTTTTGTTCTGGTCGGAACATTTTCAACGTTGCTTTTATATCTTATTTGATTATGTCCTTGTATTATCAGTATATCATATGCACAATGGATGAGGATTTGGCAGGAGCAGTGCAAGAAAAAAACAGCTTTCAGGCTTGAGAAGCTAAATTTATATCTTCCAAGGTTACAACCAGCACGTATTTTGATACTGGTGGCCCGACTAGCCTCGGACTAGGACATGATGCCGATGATAACCGACGTCGGGACATGATTTAGAATTAAACCACTATGACTGATTGACATGGAAGTGGTGATTTGCCTTTGGCCGCCGATTTCGGAGTCGGCGGGGGTCCAACTTCGCCCGCATCCCGCCTTTCTTAAAGCTCCATCTCGCTCGATCTACTTGAGTCACCGATTGAAATTCTCCTGAACTATTCCAAAATGCCTGCCTATAACGTCGTTGTATTTGGGGGTGACCACGTTGGTCCCGAGGTACGTTTGCCGAAACTGTTTGGTGGTATGGACAAAATAACTAACTTTTAATAGTGTACTGCCGAGGGTGTCAAGGTCAGGAATCGCATTCATTTCTGTCACTTATAGCTCAGAACTAAATATCACTATCTCCAGATCCTCAAGGTTATCGAGAAGCACCGTGATGTCACTTTCAACCTACAGGACCACCTGCTCGGCGGCGTGAGTAAACTAGCTCGACAAAAAGAAGACTAACAGGAATCTAACGCATGACAGGCTTCAATTGACGCTACCGGATCCCCTCTGACAGACGAGGCCCTTGAGGCTGCTAAGAACGCTGACGCCGTCCTTCTGGGCGCAATTGGTGGACCGGTATGTTTGACTTTTCCCGACTATGACCACAAACCTAGCAAACTCATACTGCACGAAATAGAAATGGGGAACTGGCGCCGTCCGCCCAGAACAGGGTATCCTCCGCCTGCGCAAGGAGATGGGCACATTTGGAAACCTGCGACCCTGTAACTTTGCCGCTCCCTCGCTAGTCGACAGCTCGCCATTGAAGGCCGATATCTGCCGCGGTGTCGACTTCAACATCATCCGTGAGCTGACAGGTGGTATCTACTTTGGCGATCGCAAGGAAGACGACGGCTCCGGTTACGCTATGGACACTGAGCCCTACTCGCGCGCCGAGATCGAGCGCGTCGCCCGTCTCGCTGGCCACCTTGCTCTGCAGCACAACCCCCCTCTGCCCGTGTGGAGTCTGGACAAGGCTAATGTGCTGGCTACTAGCCGTCTTTGGCGCAAGGTCGTGACTGAGATTATAGAGAAGGAGTTCCCCCAGTTGAAGCTTGGTCATCACCTTATTGACTCTGCTGCTATGCTCATGATTAAGAACCCGCGTGCTCTGAACGGTATTGTCGTTACTAGCAACTTGTTCGGTGATATCATCAGTGATGAGGCTAGTGTCATCCCCGGTTCGCTGGGTTTGCTGCCTAGTGCTAGTCTGAGCGGTATTCCTGATGGCAAGAGCCGTGTTAACGGTATCTACGAGCCTATCCACGGTATGTCCCCGCTCATCTCTTTCCTCTTTTTTTTGGAGCCATGCTAATTTTATTGATCTCCAGGCTCTGCTCCTGATATCTCTGGCCAGGGTATCGTCAACCCCATCGCTACTATCCTCTCCATTGCCATGATGCTGCAGTACTCCTTTAACATGATTGACGAGGCTCGCATTATCGAGAAGGCCGTCAGCAACGTCATTGAGGCTGGTGTACGCACAGGTGACATTGGCGGCACCGCCAAGACCGTCGAGGTCGGCGATGCTGTCGCTGCTGAGCTGGAGAAGCTCTTGAAGTAAATGGAAAGGGGCTGGTCTTGTATTTTGAGATGTTAGAGATGTTACGATTGTAGCGAACAAAAATTGAATACCCTCTTGGACTTTTGGATTAAAGCATTTCAAATGTTAGTTTTCATACAGAGGTTTACTCTACAGACGAAATATTTAACAAATAGATCACATTGCTATGCTATCCTTGTCTAAAATGTTCCTGTTTGAAATCCAAAACTAACAGAAGTGGAGCTGGGTATCGTAAAGCCACTCAAGTTTTCCCACCCAGTAATGCCCAATTAACGCCATTTTGAAATGTCCTCGTTCAGCCCAACATTTAACGGATGATAGGTTCGCCCATCCAATCCGGTTCAGTGATAACCGGAGCAGTTCCAGAGGGGTTGACAGCGTGGGGATTCTCGCTTCGGCGAGGAATAGCCCAAGGATCAGGACGACCGTCACGCATCTCATGGCGAAGAGGAGTAGCTGCAGCGGTAACAGATCTATCGCGAGCCGGGCGATGGTTTTCGTCGAAGGCGTAGACCTGGAATCCACGCACATGGGTATCCTTTCCATTCTGGTGGTTCTCGAGCACACGCATCTGGATGACCATAGCCTTGAGCACATTTCCAGCGTAGGGATCACGTTTATCGTCGCGGTCGTCATTCTCGTAAGTTGTTTCCCAACCGTCTCCATCTTCGTCATCACTGTCTTGAGTCCCAAGACGACGGCGCGCTGCCTTATCCTTCACCCAGCCGCCACCCCGGCCTCCAACGCCGTCCAAGGAGATATCGACCCATCCACATGCGCCCTCGCCTTCCCAGGTCGCGAACTCGACGAGGTCGTTACCGCCCATGCCAGCCACAAATACCATCTTAGTAGGGGTGTAGCTTTCATCGACGGTGAAGTCGAGGTAGACGCGCAGGTGCACGACGGCAACTAGTTTGGCGAAATGGAGAGTCAAGTAGTGAGGCTGGGGTCCGTCAGACTGCCAGTACAGCGAATGGTCAGGGCTTCGAAGCGCAGCAACACCGCAATCGGGTTTATTGCTGGAAAGGGTCCAAGAAGCGAGCGATGAGATCTCGCGCAGGTGAGGCCGAGGCGAGTCTCGGGACAGGTCAGCAAGGTCAATATTGGAGAGAGGTCTTTAGGCGCCTACCGCGATCGGGCATGTCTTCGTCCGACTCGAGCAGCTCATCATCAAAATCCTCGTCTGCCTCTTCATTTGACTCGTAGTCTTCAAAATCGCCCTCTTCATTAACTTCACCCGCGTCATCAAACTGCCCAGTCAAATCGGGCTCGTCATCTTCCACCCGTTCGGTGGGCTGCTCGCTAACTTCATCGCCATAGTTATCTTCCTCAAATTCAACAGAAGGAGTCGGCGGTGCCTGTCTGCGCTGTCTACCGAAAATTGAGAAAGGGTTTAACCCCGGGGGAGCCATGGCAGGCACTTCGGGAGTTATCTCATGAGGTTCTGTGGAAGGTGGGGGATGGTTCCGGGTTGGGTTGGAGGGGGTGTGTCGAGTAGGGGGAGTTTGGAATTGAGCGCGTATGGAATTGGTGCTTTGACCCTCCACCACGTGCTCGCGTGGGTTATGCCGACGAAGGTACGGCATGGCTGGGAGATTGTCAAAAAGTTGCGGGGAAACTTTGGGTGTTTACTCTTTTCCCGGTCTGGCTTAGCTTACCGCCTCATATTCTTTTTATAGTAAGGTAAAATGCGGTACTCATGAATTGAATCAATTGACAATTCTCGGTTTATATAGTATTTTAAAGCTGTTCAGATCGTACTCAGCATTCTCGAGATCAAAACTTGATTCCGAGTCAGACCTGTCTCATCTAGTAGAACTAGAAGTCCAAATTCCCTACCTTTCCTGATCGAGAAAGTTTTAAGGCCATCTTGGAAGCTGGAGGCCCGAGGATATTCATATGGCATAGTGAATTCTAACTCACTTTACACATGATGCAATATGAATTTCACGAAGTAATTCTGGATAGGATCTTTATCTGAAGTACAAGTTGAAGTACAAAAGAACAAAAGATTGGACACCTTTCAAACCCTACAGTTCTGCCACACATAAAGCTCTGTGTATTAAAACCTCTCAAAGTATTAATTAAATTTGGGCCAAGCTACAAATTTAAGAAAGGTAAGAAAATATCTCGGTGGAGCGGAGGGCCGCCTTCGATTTGTGAACAGGTGCGTGATATGCACTTAAGTGGGTTTTGATCATTCCTTATGCAATAACTTGAACGGTCTAGGCATTTAACTAGAGCAAGAAACTACAGTACCACCTACTTGAGGAATTGCCTAGACTGTATCCTCAGGTAGATCAACGTTCAACTTTCTAGAAGCCATTTTGATGCGTAGATGCAAGACTTCATTCCCGTCGCCTTCTTTGATTATTTTCTGCTCCCACTCACTTGGGCACTTGTATCATACTTCTGTCTCGTGAAATATCTATCCCGTAGCAAGAAACTGCAACAATAGGTATCATGATGAAATTGATTTGCCCCGCCTTTGTTCGGCTCATTGGTTGGTCTTTTGAGCTTGTCCTACCAACAATATGCAGCTTTATGCAAGAAGAGCCGAAAAGAATCACTTCTAGGGCTTTTACAGATATGAAATTTGGCCAAAAATTACTTGAAGCGTTGTTGATCTTACGGCATGGGTCTGAATTAAGCAATCTGGTTACATTCTTCCTGCAAGATCGTATCTTCAGTCCCAGATATCCACGAGTATCTTCATGATATTAATATAAGTAGAGCTTTATGGTGTAAAAAAACATTTTGATTGATTCTTGATATGAATTTGTGGTATCTCTGCATTAGTTCTAGTGTGAAATTCAGGTATAAAACATTGAAGAACTGTCCAAGGGTATTAGTAGTCGATAACAAAAAAATCAAATCACACTTCAGACTCCCGAAGTCCCATCCGAACAAACATGCATCTTACCGAGGTAAGTCTAGATCGTTTTTTGTCGTTCTATATTAACCAGGACTTTGGAAAAGTACCTCTTCCGTCGTCTCCATCAGATCAATATTCGATCCATCTTCGGCGTACCAGGAGACTTCAACCTGACAGCCCTCGACTACATAGAGCTATCTGGACTCAAATGGATTGGAAATGTCAATGAGCTTAATGCTGTTATGTACCTTTAGTGTTGGACAGGTTATCATGGCAATATCTGATTTTGTTGACAGGCTATGCTGCCGATGGATACGCGCGTGTCAAGGGTATTTCTGCCATCGTCACTACCTTTGGCGTGGGTGAGCTTTCTGCTATCAACGCACTTGCTGGTGCTAGTGCAGAGCTTGTCCCCGTCATCCATATTGTGGGACTACCTTCAACCACTGCCAAAGCGAAGAAGCTGCCATTGCATCATACACTTGGAGATGGTTACTTTGATCTGTTTATCGAGATGAGTGCGCGCATTTACAGTGCTGTAGCTATCTTGAATGACTCCTCTGGAGCGATTAGATTGATTGATGAAACTATCATCCAATGCTACCAGTCCAGTCATCCCGTGTATATTGGCTTGCCGATGGATTTTGTAGGCGTAGAAGTTGATGCTTCAGCCCTTGAGACCCCTCTCAATCTCCAACGCATCAATTCCAATCCCCCGGATCTGGAGAAAGAAGCGGTGAATGCCATTCTTGAACGATTGGACCTAGCCCAGAATCCAGTCATCCTGGTTGACAGCTTAGCTGGGAAATATGACAGCCTACAATCAACTCGGGCTTTTGTGAAAGAGTCAGAACTGCCCTGCTATATTTTCCCTATGGCCAAAGGTGTCATCGATGAAAGTTTGTCAACCTTCCGTGGCTTATACTCCGGAGGTGCCTCGGAGGTCGGCGTTCAGCAGCAGATTCAATCGAGCGACTTGATCCTTCTGATCGGATCACGATCTACAGGCATGAATACTGGAGGATTCAAAGACGATCTGGCAAATCTTGATGTCATCCGATTTCAGAAAGACGGCATTGAAATGAAAAACGTGAATTTCCCGGGTCTCTGTATGAATGGCGTTCTTGAAAAACTATCGGACCGAATCTGTTCATCACGGTCAGACCATGCCTCTACTCTGTCTAGTGAAAGGTCTTCCTCTTCAGGCGGAGAGAATGCTCCATCTATCTTTGAACTGAGTGATCCAGGCGAACATACCCCGTATGAAAAATCAGACGTTAACACGCTGTTGACACAAGACTGGACGTGGAAGCGAATAAGTTCATGGCTGGAAGAAGACGACATCATCGCCATGGATGTCGGAACCTCTTTATTCGGTGCTGTCTGGACTCGACACTCTCGCGGCACCATTTCTCTGTTCCAGCTGCTATGGTCCTCCATTGGATTTGCAGTAGGTGCAGCAGTCGGTGCGGCCGTAGCAGAGCGCGATCAGCAAGAAACCAAAATCTCGTCTCCTCAACGTACCATTCTCCTCACCGGTGACGGGAGTTTTCAAATGACCGCTCAAGAAGTGAGCACAATGGTTCGCTAAAACTAGGTATAGTCATCTTTATCGTTTGCAACGAGGGTTATGCGGTTGAGCGTGCGATTCATGGTACGGGCCAAAGCTATAATGATATCCAGCCTTGGGACTTCAAACTCCTGCCCATGGTGTTCCAGCCTGAGCCTGGTACTGTAGAGACTTACAGTGTTCGGACGCAGGGTGAGCTTGAAACACTTCTGTCAAACCCGCTGTTTGGGCCAGCTAGTAATTTCAATGAGGATAAGTCCGCACCACTGCGTCTTGTTGAAGTCCACATGGGGAGAGATGATATACCTCAATCTATGGCTGACTGCATCCGTGGAATGCATGGAGGCTGATTTCAGAAGAGAGTAATATCTTCTCTTTCTGGTATTTAGATTTATTGATGTTCAGAGGTCGAAGTTGACTTTGTTTTCTTTACCTCAGGATTATCTAATGATTTCTTGCTTTAATTTCAAATACTAGACTGTTTGGTTCTACTAAGTCAAAATTAGAGCTGCTACAGCCAGATCAAACGCTATGTTGAATTCTTAAGAGTACGAATTTTTGCCTCATATATGATGGTTTGCTATCCATATCATGGCAGCTGTATGTAGCTAGGTACTTACCGAGGTGAACCTGGAGGTGCGAGAGTTATATAGGTACCTGATACTCTTGATCTTGTACATCTATGGGGCATAATCAAAGATGACATAATACAGCCTCGGATCACAAGCGGCCCCACTTGTGGCCGAAATCCCCGCAAATCCCCAGCCCCGTCGATAACCGAGGCTCTTTTTAGCTTCCCTTGTGATGTAAATGCTCCTCCTCCCTTCCAAAGCAACCTTCATATACTCCCTTCAGTCAACATGGCATCTTTTTCCCGTGCTTTAAGGCCTTTGCTGCGCTCAGCCCCATCACTTCGTTTGACTTTGGCTTCAACACGCTTATCTACCTACCAGAGGTATGACCTAATGTCTTGAACATTACAAAGAACCTAAAAGTCAATCTGACCTCTCGAGTCTCTAGCAGATATGCCTTCTCATCCAGTGCAAGCCAGAGGGATGTTGATATCTCCAGCATCCCCCCAACACCAATCTCTCACTTGTCCGAAATCGAATCACTAATGGCCGACTCGGTCTCCAAATTTGCCCAGGAGCAAATCGGCCCAAAAGTACGCGACATGGATGAGGCTGAGTCTATGGATCCTGTGCTGGTAGAGCAGCTCTTTGAACAGGGCCTGATGGGCATTGAGATCCCCGAGGAATATGGTGGCGCTGGTATGAACTTCACCGCGGCTATCGTGGCCATCGAGGAGCTGGCTCGCGTTGACCCCAGTGTCAGTGTGATGGTTGATGTCCACAACACCTTGGTCAATACATCTATCATGAAATACGGTGACGCCTTGTCCCACCGTACTTGGCTACCGAAGCTGAGCACCGGAACCCTTGGCTCGTTCTGTCTCTCTGAACCGGTCTCGGGCTCGGATGCATTCGCGCTGCAGACAAAGGCTGAGAAGACCGCGGATGGCTACAAGATTAATGGCTCCAAGATGTGGATTACCAATGCCATGGAGTCGGGCATCTTCATTGTCTTCGCCAATCTCGACCTGAGTAAGGGATATAAGGGTATCACTGCTTTCATTATTGAGAAAGACACACCCGGCTTCTCAATAGCCAAGAAGGAGAAGAAGCTCGGTATTCGGGCCAGCAGCACTTGTGTGCTTAACTTTGACGACGTAATTATTCCCAAGAGCAACCTGCTGGGCCAGGAAGGTCAAGGCTATAAGTACGCCATCAACATCTTGAACGAGGGCCGCATCGGTATTGCCGCTCAGATGACCGGCCTGGCACTTGGTGCATGGGAGAATGCTGCGCGGTAGGTCAATACCACGCTTAATTTCAGCTTAATTTCAGCTTAATTTCATAATGTCATTCTAACAAACCCAATCCAGCTATGTCTGGAACGACCGAAAACAGTTCGGTCAACTAATTGGTGACTTCCAGGGTATGCAGCACCAGATTGCGCAAGCTTATACCGAGATTGCCGCCGCACGAGCCCTTGTCTACAATGCCGCGCGCAAGAAGGAAGCTGGGCAGGAATTTGTGCAAGATGCCGCAATGGCCAAGCTGTACGCCTCGCAGGTCGCAGGTCGTGTGGCTGGCTCTGCAGTGGAGTGGATGGGTGGTATGGGCTTCGTGCGTGAGGGAACTGCAGAGAAGATGTTCCGCGATAGTAAGATTGGTGCTATCTATGAGGGAACCAGCAACATTCAGCTGCAGACTATTGCCAAGTTGTTGCAGAAGCAATATACAAACTAGAGATGATAAGGCTCATTCATATCCTTTCCTTTTTCCTTTTCTGTGCTACGCCAGAACTCAGGCGTTCTTTACAACAGGTCACTTAACTGAAGCGATAATTCAAAAAAAAAGACATTGAAATGAAATTTTTTTTAGCTGCTCCGAGATCAATGTAGAACCTTGAAGCCTATACTAATTATGGGCTTTTTTTATGTACTAGATAACTCCGAAACTGCTCTAGCTGTGAAAAACTATCGAACAAGGTCCAACGTTGAGCAGACTGTCTGAGCAGATACCTTAGGTGGGAGAATTACCGTCGTACCATGTAGGGCCGGGCCGTTGTCCACCTGGACCTGCTGCTGTCATTCCCGCGCCACAATTCCTTCGTATCACATTCTTTGACTAATCGGTGACACTCCCTCTATTCAATAGCCAATAGTATTCACTCATTTTGATCGATGGCCCAGTCAGCAGTGGATCGATTTAGTGCTTTATAGACTTTGGCGAGTGGAGTCCGGGAGTGTCATCGAGCCGAGACGCGCCGATCCGCCGAGGAGGCTGGTTGCATATTTCCAGGCTTTATTTTTTTGACGACATTGGTTCAGCTGTTTTCATGATCGGTTGAGAAGTGGATTTGAACTAGGAAAACAGACCGGTAAGACAAGGGCTATCACACATGTGCATCCATTCATGACTTGGACGGTTGGACTTACTTCAAGGACTCAAAGACTCACGATGCGACTCTGCCATTGACGGAGGAATCCTCGTTAAGAATGCGCCCGGTCTGCAGAGCCGGTTTATTGGATAAATGCCAACTGCAGTGTACATACATTTGCCACGGTGAGTATGACTGCGAGCTCAGTGCGAAGGCCATTGATAGGGGTAGGCCGGGTCTGTTTGCGATGATGGCTCCTGAAATGGTGGCCCCGGTTGCTGATAGGGCTGAGAACGTCCTGGCTGATCTGAGATGCCACCGGGTATTGCGATCGGTATAGACCGATGTGGAGAGGGAAACTGATTTGCGGACTGGTCTACACTGCCCGTCCCGAATGCAAGTGGGGGGCCAGCCACGCGAAGGTCGGAGCTCTGATGCATCTGTCCGCCCATCGAATACGGATACATGCTGTTCGAAAATTCTGGATCGGCTGCCTCGTTCAGATGTGGTGAACGTGTGGCGTATCGCTGCCATTCCTGGGTATGAGAGGGCTGATTCGAAGGTGGTGCGGCTGAAGATGCTCCAGGAACCGTCAATGATGGGTGAGGCGATCCAATATGAGGGGATAGCATGGCTGTAGTTGACGGACCCATATTCGTGACATGACTAGGCCTCTCCTCTGCTTGCCATTGACCTTGATAGGAGCCTGCGCTCTCGTCGCTATCAGCAAACTCCGCACGTCCAGTGACAGTGGCCAGCTGTCGTTTCAAGTGACCAACTTCGTCCTCTAGAATGTTGTTTTGCTGGAGTAGATCATCGTACCGATCACTGCGGGGACGCATCTCGGCGATCTGGATCTGCAAGGCTGAGACCTCATTTTCCAATTGTTCGATACGCCCTTTTGTTCGCTGTCGAATCGACCTTTGTGCTTCGCGGTCATTGGCACGCTTTCTTTCTAGTTGCTCAGCAGATAGCTGAGAGACCTTTCTCGTACCCAGGCGAGAGTCCTGTTTTTTGGGTGGACCTCGGTCCTTGCTACTCATATTCGATCTTCGACCTTGGGCCGCCAAAATCTAAATCCCAGATCCAAGATGATAAACCGTCCGATCCCCCAATAATCCCATGCAAAGATGGCCTTTCTGCGGAGCATGGATCCTGCAGTGGCCGGCAGAAGAGATCGGGCTTTGCTGTGACCAACCCTAAGCATGTATGGTAGAAATATTGTCCGTGATGGGTTGGCCCCTTGTATACCCGAGCCGAGCAGGGGGGGGTACAGCCAAGGCGAAAACAAGAAAAACAAAAACAAGATTAGGATGTGCTTACAGACAGCGACTTGAATTCTGACTACTCAACAAATTTCTTTAAAAGGGAACGCAAACAGAAGGTAGGGGTTTGCTACAGGAGATTAAGCGGCTTAAATACGGTATTTCTGTCATTTGATGCGCATGACATGACAAATTACACCCTCTCCGGATCGTCGCTGGCATACAAGCCAGGCGCCAGACTCCATTCAAGGACAGACAATCTCATCTAGTGGCATTACTAGCACATAGAGAACCAATCGGAAATCCAGAGCCGCATGAACCCTGTGGATACCAGAAGCTATACTTTTATAGTCATGGCTTCCGCCTTTTTTTCTCCCAATTTCTTTTCTTCCTTTCTTTTCTCTTGCATATATCATGGAAATGAGTTTGATTAGAATCGGATAAGTTACCTACTTAGGTAAGATTCGTAAATCTCATCGCCGCGGCTGTTTTCTCTAGTATCTTATCGTTGTTTCAACTTGTTTCGTTCCAGATTTGACCTGGTTAGTCTGTGGGGATTGGGGCCGAAAGAGGGACCAAGGAGACGATGCTACTATTTGCACTATTGGGATGGATATCTTTAGGTGGACACTAGAAATTTCTCTAGACTATAACTCATATTAGATTGTGCCATTTGCCGCAGGTCATTTCCGCGGCCCAGAATCTCAGCCGATAAACGACGAATTACTAAAATGTCCATTTTCGGCCCAATCCAGTCTCAACGCCCCATCAAGGCATTAGCTCCTACGTGAGGAAAAGACACGTTCATTGAGAAGAGAGATCTATCTAAAAGCAAACGGACTATTACCAGGATCTGGAGCCCCTGGATACAATAAATTGTTCCAGAAGTTCCAAGGCTGATTGTAAGGTCTGATACCGAAGTGACACCAATCTGTAAGTTTCCCACAATCACTACGTAGTCGTGAGCCTGTGCATGATAGCCCCCTAATTAAAGATCCTTGTTCAAATAGTTATTAATATAGTAGCGGTTAACCTTCTAAGGTTGGAACGTTTCTCTGGGGGTTCCATGGTTGAAGACTGCCACAGTTGGTGGAGGTGCTACTCAGTAGTCCCTGACTAGTTAGTATAGTGCACAGCAACTATTCCCTGACTCTTACCTTGGTTACCTTGGTAGGAAAAGGCAAGGTCCTCACCTTATTCTGATCAGAACTTGGAAAGAATTGTGAGTAATCTCATTGTTTGTAAGGATCTGAAATTGAACAGTAATCTATCGAGTTGATTAGAATCTTTAAATGAAGAGCCGCCAACTCCGCGGTTGAGATCTAGTAATTTTCAAGGCTGAGACCCCTGATTGATCGTCAGGTCCAGACAAAGCAATCGTTTAATTGAATTTTGAGACCGGCCCTAAACTAATGTCAAATGGCGCCAGAGCGCCCATTTTGACTCGAGTCGGCTAGTCCGAGCCAATGATAAATCGCATCTGACAAATACGAACTAGCACTTTCTAAGAGCCCTTGTGCCCAGGGGATTAAATAGATGTATTTTCCCTTGTCATGTGATTTATTGACCAATGGACCGTGCAGATAAACATGGAGTGAGCTTTGACTTGATGAGCGGGCTGTGGGCTGTGGGCTGTGGGGGAAAGATCTACCGGGAGTATGACGCGCATACGGAGTTAGGAAATTTGCGTAACAGATGATCTCGGTTAATCAAAAGCTGAAGGCCGAACATCACCGTAGACTAAGTGGTTCCCCGGATCGCATTCCGAGCCGTGTTGGGTATTCGTGAGAGCCTAGAAGCGTTCTGTGATCGTGGATCCCGATTATTTAGAAAAATAATCCCTTGAGGGTCAAAGGGAATGTTCCCATGAAAATTCCAGTGGTAAAATGTGTTCACAGTCGGTTGCTCTGGAATAATTCCATGAAAAGGGGTAAGGGGAGAATTGATGATCAGATTAGATGTGAAAACAAATGGATGGTCGCATCAGGTGACAACATTCCATCCAACCTCAGTCAATGGTCTAGAGCTCGATAATTATCTTTTTCTCATTTTATTTTTCTTGGTTTTCCCCACAGCATCGCTCATCATCTTCAAGTCATCTCCAATCCCCAATCCCCAATCCCCAATTCTCCAATATTGCTTTCCCCTTCCCCACAATGACAGATCACTTTCTCAATTACCCCTCTGCCCGTGAGGGTCCTTCTGTGCCTTACAAAAATGAGACTCAATCAATTCCAGTATTTCGCGGCATTCCGCTAGCCATTGAGGCAACACTGTCAGTCAAAACCTAAAGACCCACTGATTGAATGTCACTAACCGTTATTGTGTACTTAGGATTCATAATGTTGGCTTCATCCAAAGTCATTTCTGGAATAATGCGGGCTTCGACATCATTCGCGAAATTCCCAATCTGCATCAGTATCCTGGCCGTAACGATCCCACTGTGATTCCCGTGGAAGCTGCCCAACCCGATCCGCTATTTAAATCTACTGTCCAGAAGCGCAAAGGCCCTAATACCTATTACACTTCGGCAGATTACCATGCGCTCTACTTGTCTAGTGACCTGACCCCAACTGTTGTTGTTGAGGCCTTGCTCCCTTTGATCCGGCGCGATACCAAGCCCTCAGGAAAGCACTCAACTGCTTTCCTCGAGTCCCAAGTTAATATTATTCTCGCAGCTGCCAAGGCGTCCACGGAGCGATATCAGAAGGGAGCTTCGCTTGGACCGCTCGATGGTGTTCCTGTCGCAATCAAGGACGAAGTCCACCTCACGGGCTACAAGCGGACACTGGGAACGAAGCTTGATTTTACGGCAGGAATCGATGCGACTTCTTGGTGTGTACAGCAATGGCAAGACGCCGGCGCTATTGTGATTGGCAAAACCACTATGCACGAGCTAGGACTCGGTAGGTCAATCTTCGATCTTTCCATACGATCAACTGACCATGACAGACACAAACAATAACAATCCCAATTTCGGAACCCCTCGCAACCCCCACAATAATAAATACTACTGTGGGGGCTCATCAGGAGGCTCTGGCTACGCCGTCAGCGCCGGTCTAGTGCCCATTGCCCTCGGCGCAGACGGCGGCGGCTCGATTCGTATCCCGTCCTCATTTTGCGGCATCTGGGGCCTCAAGCCGACACACGGTCGTGTGTCTGGTATGCCATCGCTTAGTCTCGCTCCATCTGTCGGTGTCATCGGGCCCATGGCAGCAAGTATTGACGATCTTGCCCTCGCATATCGGATTATGGCAACCCCACCCCCAGCATCACAGGATCCAATCGCCTCCCAATTCCCGAAACCAGCGCCAGCCGGCTCAAATCGCACTAGACCAAAGACTATTGGAATTGTTCGCGACTGGATCGACCGCGCCGAGGCCCCTGTTCGCGCTGTCTTCGATACAGCACTCGCTCACTACCGTGAAATTGGCTACGAAATAGTCGAGATCAAAATCCCCTTCCTCATGGAAGGTCAGCGTGCTCATGTCTTGACAATCATGGCTGAGATCGCATCGGGCGTAAAGCCTAGCCAGATCCGCCACCTGACAGCCCCGAACAAAGTGCTTGTATCAATGGGCATGTACCAAATCAAAGCACAAGACTTCCTCGCAGCTCAACGCCTGCGAACTCTGCTCATGTATCACCTCGCCTACCTCTTCGACATTCACCCTGGCATGATGATTTTCACTCCAACAACCCCACTCCCGGGCTGGCACATCGAGGGCGAAGCAGATCTTACACGTGGTCTGTCGGATGGCAAGACCTCCGTCCGGAACATGGAGTATGTCTGGTTGGCCAATTTCACCGGCTGCCCTGCTATTAACTGTCCGGCTGGTTATGACCATGCCAGCGGTGTACCGATCGGTGTGATGGCTATGGGTGAATGGGGAGATGAAGAGAACTTGATTGACTTTGCCCGTGACGGTGAGGCTATTCTGGATTTGCCGGCTAATCGTCCTCCGGCCTCTAGTGAGCACTCTGTGCAGGGTCTCCGTGTTCCTTCCGATATTGATTCAAATTGGGAGGATATCATCTCGAAGGCTATCATTTTGAACAATACTGACGTTTAGTATATCTTAACCCCCATTTCATACACTCCCTCTATCACCCCTCTTAGTCTCTATATCTTGATAGTCAAATGATTATTGTTCCAGCCTTGTCTGCTTAATGTATGACGCGGACTTCAACTTTAAAATGATGAATACATCCATAACTCACCTGAAGGAAATATGGCTGAAGATTTGAAGCTTTCAAGGTCGTGGATTCTGGGCTCATGTTGAAACCTTATGATATGAGACGATATGAATTCATTAATTTTGATACTAGTATTCCTAACATGGGCCTTCCCTTCCTGTCCAATTGTACACCTGGTGGAACGTTTACAATCCACTAAACACAGATCTATGCCTCTGTAAAGAATGAAACGCCGCAATGAAGCCCGAGAAGATGAGATATGACAGCAGGCATCGATACCTACTTCATAACCAGATAGGCTCAGCAGGATCTGGTAGGAAAAATTCACAGCCCAAATTCGCTTCCTTGGCATGAGCCCTGAGTTCACTTATAATGCGATCGCCTGGAGGCGGCCCATCTGTAAGATACTCCTTAATATGAATGATGTAGACCGAAAAGTCGTGCAATGGGAGAGGAATTGCATCAGCCCACTGATCAGGATCTGGGTCTTCCAGATCCTCAATTTGAATCATAACTTCTGGAGGGGCACTTTTACTCCAGGAACCAGACGCAGCGCGCTGTGTTCGATATTCTCTCGATGCAACAGCGACGGAGTTTGTACGTGATTTCTGCATTCGTTTTGTGCGTGGACTTACTTCCTCCAAGCTGAGTTCGCCCTTGCTGTCTTGCTCTCGCTTTCTTTTTCGCTCTGCGGTTCGATCGCGTTGTTCCATGACTTGTGCGGCGAGGACTTTTAGCTCGGCGATTAGATGGCGTGGGCACAGGTGGCCGTATAGGTAGGCGTCATCGACACTGTCATTATATGAACATTCGATGAATATTGCTTGGAGTGTACCAGAGGCGACTTTTGGCGCGGCGGTTCTCCAGACGCGTTTATTGTGTGGATCAAGAGATACCGAGTCTGGCTCGACATCTCCAAATATGATGATTTCCTTTCCAGTTTTGTCATCGCGCAAGAAAAATGCGGAGCTCTCTACCCTTGCCATTAATGGCTCCTTGGGAGCTGGTTGGATGTTGAGTGGGGTTCTGACAGGGGAGTAGAAGCCAGCCTCCACATTTTCCAAAGACAGATTCCGAGGAGGAAGCATCAATTGATCAGAGGCAAACACCGTACTGTCAGCTCTATGATGCCTGCCAGTTGCAGGATTAAATCGCTGCATACAGTGACCATGACTGACACTCAGACACTTGGTGACTATGCCATTGCAGGCACGAACGTAGCCTCTGGCCTCACCACTGCCAAATCGGGGATTTCCACCTTCAACCAAACGCTGATAGGTGAGTAGACCAGCTCCACCATCTTCATCGGACAAATTTGGCCAGATAACATCGTTAAACAAGTGATTTTTGATGGCGGATAGGGCAGAGGGCAAGGCAGCAACAGGCTTTGGCCCACTTCCCGCCTCCAGGATCGGTGTATTAATCGCCAGACCGGAGATATGATCTAGGTGGGGATGCGTGATAAGAACCGCGCCAATAATCTCACGGAATACATGTGCTGCGTTGGCCTCGGCGGTCTCAAAGGGCAGGGGGAGGCCCGCGAAGGGACCCGCTCTCATCGCGCCCTTTTTATCCCTCCCTTTGACCATGAACTCCTGGATTAGGCGTATGATACCGGCCAGAAGAGTACCTGCATCGACTGCAACCACTGAACCAGGAGACCAATTTGTTGAAGTCGATCGTACCAGTAGACCAGTCACCTTGTCTTCGCGAGGTCCTCCATTAGGGCCCTATCCAATCCGTCAGTTCAAGTTTATTCCCAGTGGTGAGGTTTCATCTGCCAGATCCCGAGACCAGCGGACTATAATCGATAGATTATTCTAATGAGAATATCACAGGCCCCGGCTGCTCAGTTTCCACTGCCCTTTCCCAATTCCCAATATCAGAAACAAAATGCAAAGCACGAAGCACTTACCAAGACAATCACCTGAAACGCCGGTTTAACTGCCATTGTACCTCCGACGCACCGCTCCAGTGAAACACAATCCCGGTTCTCAGAGAGTCGCAGGTTGAGAGATGAATGCAGTTATAATAGTATGATACCAAAAATAGGAGAGCTACGAGCCCAGGCGCAAAATGTTGAAACGCGGCTATTTTCGGCGGCGGCACCCCAACACGTATGTAGTAGGGATTGCGATCTCGGCTGTGAGACCCGTTTGTAAGGTTGCAGGGGACGAACACTGAACAGAGGAATTGTAACCAGGGTTGTCAGGATTGATGGCAATGTATAGGGAGAAGGAGCGCAGGGTGCAGAGAAGTAAGCTCGGAGTCCAGACAGGGCGGAAGCTGGACCTCCCTTGTACTACAAAGGGGCGGTTTTGTGAGGGTAGTACTATGTCCTTCACAGCTTTCAATTTTCAATTTTTCAATTTTCAATTGGAAACTCTGGAAATTTGATTCTGGATTTTATGGAAATAGGAGGTCAGTTGGAATCTTGAAAGTAATTATTTAAAGTAGTAATAGAAGTAGTTCTACTCCAGGTCCGATCGCAATGGGGCTCGAATCTAGATAACGATAGGAATATCAGATTTGGATCTGATCTATTATTATCTTTGAAATTCTAAACATAAGTACACTATAGTATGTTTCATTTCTTTCATACTCAAGTATTCATGTAACACACACATTGTACAAATATTTAATTGACAGTGAACACTTTATTGTGAGGCTTTATTACAATATTCCTAGGTTGCTTTTTCAATTTTGTTCTTTCAATCGCATAAACAAGGTCAGAGGTAAACATTGATGCATTTGAGCTATGAAGAATAACCTATGTTTTTCAGGGGGTTGACAGGGTATATCAATATTTGTATCAAACAGCTAATCTCAGCCGTTCATCGGTGTTACATAAACAACCTTGTGGGAATATGTACGGAGGGACTTGATCAGTTCCCATGGCAAGTGGATTTATTAGCCAGATGAGATATTTATAGATGATTTGCACATTCAGAGTAGTATGGTGCTAGATGACAAAATATACAGACCGGCTGTCAACGCAAAAGAGGGACGAGAGAGACAGAGATGCTCTCTATACATGACTTCGTATAGAATCAATGGATCCAATATAGCAGAAACTCAAAACCAAAATCACCAACCGGCCCAAGGTTTTCTGGAACGCCGTCTGTGGGACCCGCTAAAAACCGAATGGACAAAGAGAACGAATGAGGGCCAATCTTTTTTTTTTTTGAAAAAGAAACCATGAATAGATGAGCGTGAGGGGTATGTGGAAGAGGGAGTAACAAAAAAACAAATACCAGATTAGTTGTCGTCATGGTCAGGCCAATCCCGATCTACCACGGCTTGGTAACTCGGCAGGTTTTGAGCTTCTAGATCAGTAGAATAGTCAGGAAGAGGACTGGTTCTATCTGGTCTCGCGGGGAATTCTAAAGAGGCGTCACTGCCCCGATGGCTGCCTCTAGGACTGGAATATTCTGGAGGTGGAACCTCATCATCGCCATCTTCATGTGCCATATCATCAACACTTAGATTTCTATCGGCAAACCGACTAGATCCCTCACCAGCATCCTCATTTGAAGGGATGTGGGCGAGCTGAGCCAGGGATATTTCAGTTGGAGATCGAATAGGACCGGGGCTGATGGCTAAAGGAATTCCACTTCGCGCCGCGTATGCCTGATAGACTCGCTGAGAGATTTGAGCTGCACTCTCTCGGCCTGACTCAAGCAGAATACTGCCTTGTTCGCTTCCGTATGGAGGGGGCGGAGCGAGGCTGCCCGTCATTGGGGCCAAGCCCCATTTCTTCACATTAGCCTCAATAAATACAAATCCCATTTGGCCAAAGTTGACGTGGATAGTACATGGGCCATTGGCACCGATAGTTGGGAAGAGATTCTGCGTTCGGAGGTTATGGGCCACATCCTCGAGCTTTTTCCCGTTGCGAGTGAAGAAAATTGTGCCCGACCTGGGACGGTAGCCCACACCGATGACATCGCCTTGGAAAACAGGAGGTCCGTATGGTGTTGGATTGAACGGTTGATTATGTCTACGGTGGCCCGTAGATTGGTAGGCAATAGATGTTTTGTGGAAGCCTACATAGTTAGTCAAGAAATCACACATCAAGATTAACCTGAATACACACCAGGCATTCGAAAGAGAGGATAGGGCTTAGTAGTTAAACCAATTCCAAGGATTGTATCCTCTGGTTTTTCGTAGATCTTTGCTTCCCAGTAGTAGACTTCATTCTGCTTTGGAATAGGTAGGTTCGTCTGAACGCTACATTCCGAGTCATCAAATTCGATCTCAGTGCGTGCTTGGACAAAGCAGTTTGCGATTTCCAATTCAGGCACAAATTCCCATGCAGAAACACCCTTTTCCTGAATGGCGAGAAACTGCGATAAGGAGATATCCGTTTGCATAGACTCTGGCGGATTCACTTGAACAAAGGCTGAAAGATAGGAAATTAGCAGGCCGAATCATACTATACAAATTAAATTTATTCCTGTTCTTACCCTTGGCTCTTAGATATTCCGATCGAGACAAGTCATCCATCGCTTCCAGAGCAGCTTCTTCCTCACGCAAGAACGCCTGCTCATCATCGAACTCACCCGGGCGGCCTATGCGATCGAGCATAATCCGCCCGCGACGAGTGTATTTGAAGAAAAAGAAAATCGCAAGCACGAGAAATGCGATCGCTGCTGATCCAAAGGCCGATAGTATCCCAATTACGACTCCTCGGGTGGTCGAGCCGGACGAATCGCCACCAGCGGCAACAACCAGACCACCCCCATAGTCTGACTTAAGACTCGAGAGAACATGTTGAAGATTGGCTTCGATTTGTTGCTGCGAAAGGGGGGATGCGGTTTCTTCAACTGTTGGAATTCCCGATACGAACCCGAGTGACGTCGTCGGGTTACCTATCACCGTTCTGAGGGTGGATGGTAGGTCAGCGAGCGCGGGGCCCGTTGCCTCAGGACCCTGCATAGTTCATCGACTATCAAATAAACCAAAATTCAAAAGGGAGCTTATTCAACGCAAGAAGAATGGATGTTGGGAAGTTGAGGATGGTGTGTTGGAAGAAGATGAGTTGATAAGTGGGCGGGCGCAGGCGGATAGAAAAAACAGTTATCTAAGACGTTTCCGATTCAACACGAAAGAGAAATAGCAGAGACAATATTCTGACTCTTTTTACACGGACTATTCCATTCTTCTTATTACTTTCAGTTTGCTCTTCAATTTTACTTTTTGCTTCTTTTTTTCGCCCTTCGGTGTGTATCCCCCCGTACCTGTCAGCTATGAAATGGCGGTAGAATGGGCGGTATCTGGACCATCCCTACTCAGGATAAGCTCCTTTCCTCCTCTTTCCCCTCATCTACTATATTACTTCCTTACTTTCCCCAAAAACAGCACTAAGTGATATCGCCCCTCGTACATACAAAAATGCGTGTCACTTCTCGGGGTTTCGCCGATTCTGTCGAGAAAGACGTCATCATTAATTCGATAGACTCTTATCATATCCGTCTTGCGGTGACTGATACCTCCTGCGATAAATACCCAGGTAGGGCTTTCTTCTAGGAATGAGGGGGCTCTTTTCGCAAGGTTCAGAATCCCCTATCTTCGCCCTGCGACATCTCCCTTCTGTTCAAGCCGATCGATCAGTCCGCTAACCTAGCCCAAGCAAAACAACATGCGCGCAACGTTGCCCGAAAGCTCGGGGTCACTCATGGCTTGATATTCTTAGCGGGCGAACCTACGGTCAACTGGCGTGACTCGGATCAGTCGCGCCCATTTCGACAACGGCGATATTTCTATTACCTCAGCGGTGTGGATGAGGCCGATTGCTCCCTCACCTACGATATCAGCTTAGACCTCTTGACTTTATACATTCCCGATTTCGATCTTCACCAGGCCATATGGATGGGCCCCACCCTCACACGAGAGGAAGCGCAAGATCGATACGATGTAGATCGTGTTCTATATAGTTCCTCGCTCAAGCCAGAGCTAGCGACTTGGCTCAGTGTTCGAGTGCAGAATAGCTTGATATATATGGTTCATCAATCAGATTCTCCCGAGGGGCTATCATTCGAGCTCCCTATTGACTCAAAGCAGCTTATTCCTGCCATTGATACAGCCCGGGGTGTCAAGGATGAGTATGAAATCCGGATGATACGACAGGCCAACAAAATCTCGGATCTTGCCCATCGGAAGATTCTGCAGCAGATCTCTAAGATGTCGAATGAATCTGAGATCGAAGGATCGTTCTTGGACACCTGCATCTCACATGGGGCCCATAATCAAGCATATCAAATAATTGCAGCCGCCGGCTCGAATGCAGCTGTCCTACACTACAGCCAAAATAACCAGACTCTCCATTCGAAGCCTCTTGTCTGTCTTGATGCAGGCGCAGAGTGGAGTTGCTACGCGAGTGATGTAACACGTACTTTCCCACTCACTGGTCAATGGCCTGATACTTACACTCGTGATGTTTATCGCATTGTGGAGCGCATGCAGGAACAGTGCATTAAGTCTATACGCAAGGGCACCCGTTTCCTTTCCCTGCATAACTTGGCCCACGACATCGCCATTGATGGCCTCATGACTCTTGGTGTCCTCAGAGGCTCGCACTCTGAGATTCGTGTGTCCGGCGCATCTAAGGTTTTCTTCCCCCACGGCCTAGGCCACCATGTTGGACTCGAAGTGCACGATGTATCCGGAAAATCAATCATGGCATATTCTTCCATCGAAGATGCTCACTATGAACCGGTGATCAGTCCCGTCTGTCGATCTCCATGTACCCTTTCCGCTGCTCTGCTTGAAGAGGGCATGGTGGTGACTGTTGAGCCAGGACTCTACTTCTCACCACTTGCTCTTGCCAATGCACGCAAGCAGCCCTATGCGAAATATATCAATTTCAACATTGCTGCAAAATATGTCCCAATGGGTGGCGTGCGCATCGAGGATGATATTCTCGTCACTGCCAATGGTTATGAGAATCTTACCACTGCACCCAAGGGCGAGGCAATGCTTGCGATCATTCGCGGGTCAGAATAGACATTTTTATGAATTTTACTGAAGATATGACCCTAGCCATTGAGGGAATTTGTCAAACTGTTCACTTGCCGTTGTCTAACCTTTGAAACCAAAGCATGCATACCTAAACTCGTAGACCTCTGTACTTCCAAGGCTGTGATTTGTCTCTCAATCGAAGACCGAAGACCCGTGGACATCCATTGCATATGCTGAAAGCATTCTAAGGTTCTTTTTAAGCGTTGATACTCCAGGGTTGGGGGAAAGAAAACACTCAGTTTCGAACGCGCGACCTCGTATTTTGTATTGTACTATTTACACGGAAGTGGCAGCTTTTCAAATGCCGGCTGCTCAGGAAAAAAGAAAATTTTCTCTCTGGGGTGCCCTAATCTGTACAGTGGTGACCGCTTTCGCCTTCCATGTCGAATACATAGCGAAGTTGTTTCAAACCCTAATCATGTGATCCGCTAATCCAGATATGGATAGCATGTAATTAATCCGTTTTGTAGCTGACCAGGGTAATTTATACCACAATCCTAAAATACAAGTATGAAATATACAATCATTTACCCCGATCTTCCAGGCTGGAAGATTCTATGGAAACCCTGCAAACATAGCAGTCGTTGAGCGGCATATTGCTGTGTAAGGCTCGATCGACAGTAAGGCTTATTGTAATCCTCGCCAATGTTCATCGTCATGCCATCCTTTATGATCTTATTGGACGCCAGAGATGTTTGCTAATCACATCCGGTTCTATCTGCTTAGGCCTCCCTCTCCCATCTCCCACATCAACGATGGCCAATAGTATTTGTAGCGATGATGCTTATCAAACATGAACAGTGCGCATATGAGACGAAGATTCACAAATCATGTCCATCTCGCTCCACGAAGATGATTGGCTGTAAGATCATGATGCCTCAGCCTCACTTTCCAACTCCTCTACTACCAAACTTTGAGATTCATTTCAAGGCTAAGATTTCGTGGTGACGCGAATACAGACATCCATAACCCTTAAATGAGAAACCAACCTTTTATTATCACGTGAACTTATCATTATATAACCCAGCATGGCCACCCTATCTCATGACGATTACACAGTCGGATGAGTATGCGCTCTGCCGCTGGAAATGGCGGCTGCGAAGCTGATGTTGGACGCAATCCATCCCAGCCTGCCGAGTCTCTCAACCGATCAAAACAACTATATTCTTGGCAATATCAGGGAACACAACATCGTTATTGCCTGCCTACCAGGTGGCGCATATGGCACTGTATCAGCTGCAACAGTGGCTATACAGCTGCTCTCAAGTTTCTACTCTATCAGGTTCGGTCTTATGGTCGGTATTGGTGGCGGTGTACCAAGCAGCAACGCAGACATTCGACTAGGCGATATTGTGGTGAGCCAGCCAAGGGACACATCTGGAGGCGTGATCCAATACGATCTTGGGAAAGTGTTACACGACGGTCGATTTCAGCGGACCGGGATATTGAATCGGCCCCGAAGGTTTTACTATCTGCTCTTGCCACACTACAAGCCCATCATCTTACAGAAGATAGTCGGGTTGTTGAATTTATTCTAGACATCAACATCAAGACACCACGGCGAAAAGCCGCGAATTTTACTTGTCCCATCCAAAAGGACTGTTTATACCAAGCGGAATATGATCATGGTGCATATGATACATGTGCAGGTTGTGACCAATAAAAAATGATACCTCGACCTTCGAGAGACCATGATGAGCCAGTCATTCATTATGGACTTATTGCATCTGCGAACCAGGTGGTGAAGATGGCAGACGGCGAGACCAACTGGCTCAAGAGTTAGGTGTATACTGTGTGGAAATGGAAGCGGCGGGGCTCATGAATGATTTTCCATGTGTGGTCATTCGAGGTATATGTGACTATGCTGACTCACATAAGAATAAGTAATGGCAAGGGTATGCGGCAGCAGCGGCGGCAGCCTATGCTAAAGAGCTACTTCTAGTGGTTCCAATCAATCAGATTGATATCACCCCTCTAGCACGAGATACTCGAGTAGACTCTGGTGAGGGACTCTAAGTTTTCTTCTTTAAGCTCTCTTCTCCTTTTAGGCATATTACTAAATATATTTAGTTAATCGCTTCCAAATACCTTTTGATCTGACTATAGTGCCTATGATCGAAAATTTCGTGGGGCGACAAGCCGAGCTAGACCGTCTATGGCAGTATTTCAAGCCAGCAGATTTCCAACAACGAAAGGTCGCGATTCTTCATGGGCTTGGTGGGATCGGAAAGACACAGCTAGCAATTCATTTCGCACGAGAACATAAACATGATTACAGCGCTATATTCTGGTTAAGTGGCAAAGATCGAAGCACGCTCCTACAATCACTTAGTTCTATCTTGCCTAGGTTACCTAGGCAATCGCAGACCAACGAGGCAATCGGTGAGGAGTTAGCATAACGAGCTAGACAAGTACTATAGTGGCTAGCAAATGACGGTAACTCTCGTTGGTTAATCATTTTTGATAATATTGATCAATACTCCCTAATCAATAGCGGCGTTGGGAGTGCATATGATATTGGAAAGTTCTTTCCCGCAGCAGATCATGGCTCTATTATTATCACCTCTCGACTTCCAGGGCTCACTGAACTAGGAGAATCTATTCCGATCCAGAAGCTTAACTCGACGGAAGCTATCCAGCTTCTCTTTAAAAATAGTGGTTTATCGGATAACAACACTATTAAGAAGCCTGATGGTAATCTAGGTATGATGATACTTGATACAGAGATTTTTGTAATGATACTAATAAAATTAGATACTCTTGCCCTCGCCGAGCGTCTTGATGGATTGCCATTAGCGATTGTCATCGCTGCGACATTTATGCGTCAGACTGGCACTAGCATCGCTCAGTACTTAGAATACTATCAACAATCATGGTCAGATTTATAGTCAAAATCGATACCTATGCGTCAATATCTGTAAGGAAACATGCTACAGACATGGATGATATCGTACCGTGAGATCCAGAATCGAGCCCCAAACGCAGCAGAGCTTCTCCTACTGCTTGCCTACTTCGATAATCGGGACATTTGGTATGAGTTAGTCCAAAGTGCTTCTAATAGCCTCAATGTTCCAGACTGGCTTCAAGAAATTATATTAAGCGAACTTACTTTCAAAGATTCTGTGAAGCCTCTTATCGAATTCTCTCTTATTGAGACAAAGCAACAAGAAGGGAGCTATGCAATACATCCTGTGGTATAGGACTGGTGCTTTTATATTGCTAGCACTAAAAAGAATGTGCCTCCTAGCCAGCTTTGTGAGCTAGCACTGATATCAGTCGGATGTGCAGTTCCTAGTGCAAGCGAAAGGAATTATTCAAAGTGTCAGCGACGGCTTATTCCACATGCAAATTTCATTCTTCGTGGTAAATTTCATGATGAGAACATTAGTATATGGGGGCATTTCATGGGCTAGGGGATCTCTACTCTGATCAGGGCAAGCTCAAGGAGGCAGAGGAGATGTACCAGCGAGCACTAGCAGGCAAAGAGAAAGCCCTAGGTCCGGATCATACATCCACTCTTACTACTGTGAACAACCTTAGTCTTCTCTACTCTGATCAGGGGAAGCTGAAAGATGCAGAGGATTCGTACCAGGGAGAACTGCCAGACAGTCAAAAGGTCTCGCGTCTCAATTCTAAGAGGGCACGGCAGGCTATAGCTAAATTTACTAGATGGCTTAAATAATAACAGTAAAAAAACTTCATACCTACAATGGTTTTGAGAAAAATGGCCATCTCACTACAATATTTCCTCCATATAAGTCTGCTTCAGTGATTACAACAACTCGACGTTACTATAGAGCAAGCCTTGGGGAATTGCTAGATACAACTGAAGCCTAAATATACCTACCTATTCTTTGGAAAGAGATTTTACAAAAGACACGGGAATTTACTCAAAGTCCTGGGTCAGCCATATTGCCCTCAAACGCCTTTTCAACTACGTAGCTTCCATTACATCTCGTCATCAGGTAACTTCACAAATTACATAGAAAGCGACAGCCTCGGCTCTGTATAACTAACTAGTGGGGATATCGCGCAGTAGATTAGTCAGACCTATTAATGATGGGCTTGGTATGTTTTGATCTGTACCACAATATATATAGACACCCTAGTTGGTATTTTACTCGTTCCAAGTCATACGATTCACCTTGGAACAGATGTTGAAATACAATACTAACCAAATATGGATTAGTGGATCACATGATTAGGGTTTGAAACAGCTTCTCTATGTATTCGATATGGAAGGCGAAAGCGGTCACTACTGTATGCACGTTGACACAGTTGTTCTTCTGGGACCTGATGGGTTCGCCCAAACAATTATTCATACCCCATTCCATTCTGTCATACAATACCGCCTTGACCACTACGGTAATTACTCAGGTGAGATCAAGCTCTAGAGAGAATTAACCAAGTTGCTACTCCATCCAGCCCGTGACCTCTGAATCTCAGGGCTTTCGACTATGAGCGCTGCACTCGACTACATACCTTCCTACCTACCTACATGGGTAGCGAACAGCTGTCTATTCGAATCATACTATCTACGTAGATTCAAATTGTGAGCCCAACCAACCTTGGAAGCTACAACCTTGAGATGGAGCCTTGGAGCCTTGTAATGAATGATTCCACATTGAGTACTGGGCTTGAGAATGAGAGTAAAGACCTCAAGATGCGTCATGATTTAGAAATCAGAAAGTGTGAGTCACTTTCGCTAACCATCCATGGATATATAACCTTGGAACCGTGGGATGTTGGGACTGAATAGTAATTAATAACCTGAGGTCGGTGAGGAGTTTTGGCTCCTATTGTATGTTATACTCAATTCCAAGGTTCCAAAGTTACTTGATCTTATGGATTCATTACCTACTTTACCTAGGCCTAGGCCTAGGGACCTGACGATCTTAATCCCTTTAGTCGTACTAGCTTCCGGAAGTCCCTACTACGATATCCAGCCCTGGGAATTGATAACACTAGTGAATGTTGAGAAATTTAGAGGAGAATAGAATGGATGGATATGATGGATGCCTAGAAATTCGACCCTATGAAGGTAAGTAATATTGGATCGTGCTGGACTGACAAGGTGGTGAGGTGGGCCTTGGGATGTTGATCCATTCACACTCAAATGTGATTCATTAACATTGGAAAATAAATAAACATTGAAGGGCAACTTGTGTCGCTACCTAGGTACCTTCGGCTAAGTGAGAACCTCGAGAGAAACGTATCTCCTACGTAACCTTAGAACCTTGGAAGCAAGAAGCCAGGCTGATCTACGACTGATCTACCTCGAGGTTGTATATCCTTGGAATCGACCCACCTGGCTGCAGTTGCCATCCGTGACTAACCGTTGCCAAGTGTTGACGGAATAAACCTTGAAATTGCAGGTAGACAGCTAGGGTATGCAGCACGCGTCCCCCTATCTAAAAAAGAGTCGAACTATCACCACATCATCCTTGGAAACATGAAATGGCCGACTTTAAAATCAGTTTTCACTAACAAAATACTATATTTACAACCAAGGTTGGCTGCACGTCAACGAGTGAAACTCGACATAACTAAGGTTCGGGTGTGATCTGAAACTCGCATATTGGGGTGGATTCCTCTTAGGGCAAGCCGGACCCCAACGCCCAATATGTCATAACCCTACGAGAAAGCACTGTGGTGGTCGAAATTTAATAGCGCAGAGGGACTACAGGGGGAACTCTTCCTATTGAACGAGGCTGAGGAACTTGACTACAGCGCAAAGCCAAAGCCCTCAGGATTGCTGTCAAGTCGATCTCGAATTGGCCCCACAACTATACTTAGGTGACCTGTCTGGGGCATTGTTTCAAGATTGACACTTTCACCAATAATCGGGTGCGGAACACGGACATTACGGAGTACATCTAGAATCTATGTGCTGGCTCTGTACAAAGATGACCTCAGGAAGAGATGAAGCTTTGCTCTCGTCAGTAACCGTGCACCCTTTTGCAATCTCTGAATCTGAAATTACTTGTGGGCACTGAATAGTCTAGAATCACGAGTGGATTCGTGAGATCTGAAATTTCGTATCTGTCAATCCTTGAATCTCAGAATACTGTATAGTGGAGCGAGGGGAATTGAGTTTTTTTTTCCTTGACGTGTAAAGGACGTGCAAGGGACCGATGCCTAGCCAGTAGGGACGATTATAACAAGTCTGAAATTGTTGGTGTATGATTTATGTGACATGGGCACGTAAGGATGCGAGTGTTCCCAATCGCTTGATCCTGCCCATTGAACAAGGTGAAGAAAAAAATGAACCGATTAGGCTGGGCTGGAGGGGCTGAAGGGGCTGAATGGGCTGAATGGGCTGAATGGGCGTGTTGAGGGCGTTTTTGCCTGCAATTTGTATTCAGATGCCAAACATTTGAAGTGCCAGTCACAGTTCCAGGTCAAGTTCTAGTTCCATCTACTGTGTTGTTCCACAGCGAAAAGTTAGCAGAGGTTATACCTTACTGAACACGTCATGTCAGATGAGAGAGGGTCCCTGCAAGGGAGTGGAATTCAGGTTGAGGACGCCTAAATCAGTCAAGTTTCAGGTTCAAGAATTCAACATCCCAGGCAAGAATGTTCTATACGCATGTTGCTCGCGTGGGATTGCCAGGTGTGTGTGTCAGAATGTGAAAGGATGGATAAAATGCCCCCAGGTTCTTGCTGCCTTAGTAAAATTCTTCAGGGAATTAGCGTGATCCTTTCGGAGAATTGCGAGTCTTGAGATGCAGTTGGTCAATGCTTTTTATTTTATTTTTCATTTGTGTGTAAGGAGAAAAAGGAGAGGACGAAAAGAGAAAAAAAAGACCCAGTTGCCTGATCCTCACCCGGGGATGCCCGGTAATGGCGTTTCCGTCCAAATCTCGCCCCGGGATCGGTGATTCGGATGAGATTTTTGACACTTTGATTTCCATAATTTCCTGATGGATTTGTTTCATGTTAAAGTAATTAGAAATGGCATCATAGAGAAAGTGACCAAGCTAGAGATTTTCTTATAGCACGCCATGATGAGTAAGAGGGAGCCAATGTTGCGATTGGATTGCGTTAAAATATTAGATAATAATATAGGCGCCATCTTCGTGATGATGTCGTTTTTCTGCTAATTCTTAAGCCCCTAACATGATCTACCGGGTAATTCAAGGTCCACATAAGAGAAGTGGTTCCACTTAAGAAAAAGGGAAAGTGGGTCACAAATGCCCTTTTATTCTTTCTTTTGCGTGACTCACTTTATACCTACTTTTATAAATAATATTCAATCCCCCCCCTGGTGCCGACGTACAGATTCTTCCCTCCACCTCTCCTCTTTAGGGGTGATGGTCGAATAAAAGTTCTGTTGATTTGGCCCCTTCGCCTATACTATGGGGCAGAGGCATAATCGACGCCGCAGTCGTCCTACACGCAACCAAAAGTCGTCTTCAATCTATCAATGCCAGCTTTCTAGCCCTACAACTCCACGCTCGAACCCATCATCTGCTAGCTCATTTCTTCCACTGAGCTTGTCAGTGACAATACCTGCCCCTACCTGGCACTATGGGTGTTCGACAAGCCAATGTGAACCTACAGCAGCAGAGCAATGCCGTCTTTTCGGCGGCGAGCCAGGCGACGATGTGAATCTGTGTTACCGCATGCTAGAAGTATTCGGGGGACTTGACTACATCGATCCGTAAGTACTTTCAATCCGTCATTACAAACAACAATCATCCTGACTCAATATCTAGTACATCAGAAAGCACTCTCGGGGATTGACACACTCCTTTTACCCCGTGTACATACTCCGACCCACAAAAAAAAAAAAGAAAACTCAAATCCATTTTTCAACTGCGATGAACTTGATGATTTGGATTCAAAACAACAAAAAGGAATTCACAATCGACGGCTCTCTTGAACATACTCTCTCAAGTCCTCTGCCAACTTTGCCAACATTGCCGCAAGCCTGCAACCACTGACAACGAGCGCCAGACTACATGGAACACCTGGGTCTCTGACTTGTAGCAATGAAGATACACTGGATGTATTGGATTGGTCCTTTTCGACCCAGCCATGTGGTCTGGAAATAATTTGCACTCAAGATTGAGCCACGGACTCACTTCGACATGACTCAATGAGGTTGAGTTCGCTTCAGTTCTGACTCGTCTGAGTCAATTCTGTCGCTTGAGTTCCTTTTGAGGGTCTGGAGATGTGAATCCGTGTGTTCATCCGAAAAGCGCAGATCTGTTCTGTCTACTGTGAATGTCTGGCAGCCCATACAAGCAAAAAAAAAAAAGTCGACGAAATTCAAAATCGATTACTTTCCCTGGACCTGTATATATGAAGTGCCTAGCCACTACACAGAAAACCAAGTAACCGATAAAAACCTAGATCTATCTTCATGAATATTAAAGATCAATTACTTCAACATTTCACATTTCCTTTCGTAAAACCACTAAAGCTACTTGTCATCTTCACACCGCTTCCCATCCTTGCAGCTGCTATTCTGCATCAAGTATTTTCACCTTTCCTACATAGGTAAGGCGGTCCCTCAATTGCCCCGGTGGTTCATCTGCCAGGTGGGCATTCTTCCTCAGGGCTAGGTAGATACCTGTGAACCCGTTGGCATCGGTACAACATGGCAATGGGCTGTATGAACTGTTCTTTTTTTTTTACGTAACTTCCAAGGTCCTCTTTGTCTCGTTACCTAGGCAGCTCTGAGAATGTAGACTTTTTGGAAATTTCCAAGGTTCAAGCTCAACATATCCACCAGGTGGACCTGATTTCGAGAATCTTGGAAGGGACTCTATACTACATATGCAGCATCAATAAAGTACGGGTGCATATGACAAATCTGCTCGGTTAAACCACACAATTATAAACAGATGTTTCTTAATGGAGTGCGGGAGGAATCTGTGATTACTCCGTATTACAGTCGAGACTATATGGAGTCAATATTTGGATTTAGCTTTATTCAGACTGGTGTGCTTGGCGAGGTCTTTGAAAGAAGAAGAGAGAGGATATTGAAATATTAGGCTGGTTCAGAAACTTAGATAGAAACAAAGACTTCGCCACTTTCATTTTATCTTTCACTCTCTTCTTTCTCACTTTCTCACCAAGTATCTGTATAAAAACTACTGATAAAGTCTAATTAAGGAATTCAAGCCAAGTTGTCCTCTGCTCACCGCCCGGCAGGTACGTTCAAACTAGGAAGGCGGTGTGTTGTTTCTTGAGGACACGGTCATCAGCAGATCAAGAAATCAAAAGTCATCCCCTTCAACACTCCTTTATTTCCAAGCTTCTCAAGTGTTATGCTTGTGATGATTCTTTAAAAAAGAGCCCTATCATATTTTCTTAGCTCTTTGCCCATCAACGGCCCTTTACGACTTGCATCACACAATCTTTCAATTCAGCGGCGGCCACCGCTGAACACGCCGCAGGATGTCGTCAGACTACACATATGATGAGCAGGTGAGCTAAGAAACTGTTACTAGATGCTGTACAATCATGTACTGATATTGATTTTACGCGCTTCTAGGGTCAATTCTTCCCCTTCTTCATCTTGACTTTGAGCGGTCTAGTCACTCTCCCTCTTACCTACAATCTCCTCCGACCAAGCAAAGGTACCCAATCACCAATTTAGCTATATGTAGCCATGCTAATATAGCTCTGAATTAGAGCTTGAAACAACTGCTCCTCGCATCAAAACAGATTTTAAGCCTCAACATGCCGACATCGTCGAGGCGCAGAAGCGCAAACGCCTGCGCAAGGAGCGCCGCATAAAGCGCATTGTGACCGTGATTATTGGATATGCTGTCATGGCATGGATGGTTTATTTGATCATCATCACGGCTAGAACCACCCCCAAGCTCTATGATCCATATAATATCTTAGGTGTCTCGCGGGTAGGTCATAACATTTTACTCATCTTGATATGTACTGACAGCAGAACAATTGTAGAGCGCCGATGAAAAAGCCATTTCACGTCACTACAAGCGTCTCTCCCTTATCTACCACCCCGACAAAATTCGCCCGGATCCCTCCAAGAATGAAACCATGGAGATTCTGAATGACCGCTTTGTGGAGCTCACGAAGGCATACAAAGCCTTGACTGACGAGGAAATTCGCAACAACTACCTCCAATTTGGTCACCCGGACGGCAAGCAGAGCTACAGCATTGGTATCGCGCTTCCCAAACTCATCATCATGGAAGGTAACGGCAAATTTGTGCTGTTAGTTTACGGAGCTTTGCTGGGTGTTCTTCTACCCTACATCGTCGGCAAGTGGTGGTATGGTTCGCAGCGATACACGAAGGAGCGTGTTCTTGTGGCTAGCGCAGGGAATATCTTCCGCGAGTACAAGGACGACATCACGGACAATGGCATTATCGCCGCTCTGTCATCGGGAGAGGAGTTCAATGATATGCTCAAGGGTGCTCGGGCCGACGCTGGACTTGCGAAGCTGGAGACCAAGGTATTGGCGGCAGAAAACTCATTTTTAACCGCAAAGGATCGCGACACACTGAAGCAGATTGACAATTCGGCTCGCCGAAAGGCTCTGGCCTTACTGTGGGCTTACTTGGGCCGAATTGAATTGAATGATGCTTCTCTTGAGGCTGAAAAATACGAGTCATCTACCGTCGCTCTGTCTCTGACGGAGGCATTTACCGCCATTTCTCTGGCATTTGGTAACTTGCGACCGATTCTTGGTGCCTTCATGGCTTCGCAGAACCTTATTCAGGCTGTTCCTCCAAACTCTTCGCCACTCTTGCAACTTCCCAACTTCACCGAGAAAATCGCGAAGTCTGTGGAAGGGGAACATGCCAAGGACCACCTCACAGTTCAAAAGTTCATGAAGCTCCCCGAAGCTGAACGACGAAAGCGCACCGTAGGACCCGGTCTTCTATCTGAGAAGCAACTGGCTGAAGCCGTCAATGTTGCACAACAACTTCCTGCCTTGGAGGTCTCCAAGGCCTTCTTCAAAGTGATGGGTGAGAAGGTTATTACGCCAAGCAGTCTGGTACAGCTGGTTGTTAAGGCCCGCTTTATCCCTCCCGGAACTACCAACATCCCCGCTGTGAACGAGGCCGACCTGGCAGATATCGATCCCGATGAGGATGACCTGGACGCCCTGATGGGCCGCAAGCCAGCCAAGAACGGCACTGCAAAGGGTGAACAAATCCAACCACCCCTCGCCCACGCACCGTACCTCGCCCGCGACCACTCCCCCCGCTGGCACATATTCCTGGCCGATGGCAAACAGGGAAAGATGGCTGTACCCCCATTCACCTTCACGACATTTGACAAGCCGATTCTCGACGAGGCCGGCAAGCCCACCTTCAACATGTTGACCCTCAAAATGCAGTTCCAGGCTCCTCCGCAAGCAGGTGACTTTGCTTTCGTCATGAATATGATATGCGACAGCTACCTGGGTCTTGACACCCAGCTGCCAATTATTCTACACATCGACGATCCCGCACAGGCAGCAGCCTTGGAAGAGGAGGACGACATCAGTGAACCAGACGAGGGTAAGTTTTTTTTTTTCTGTCGCCTTGGAACCAAGTACTTATTTTGTTTTGTTTTTACAGACTCTATTGCAGGCCAGATGCAAGCTCTCAAGACTGGTCAAGCCCCGAAGAAGAAGAACAGGAAGACTTCCGATTCCTCAGAAGAAGAGAGTGACACCGATGGCGACGCAGGCGATACCAGCGACACCAACACGGAAACGGATGTTGAGGATTGAATAGCCTTGACGAATTGATTGACGGATTGCACATGAGACTTGTGCAACATTTTTACATTTCAACTACGCTCCTATGATTGAGTTAAATCCTCCTCAATCTTAGAGTTCTGCTCTTTATTCCCTTTCTCATCCTATTTTCCAACCTTTCTACCCTATACGCTCTATGTTCTATATCTTATTTTTTTTTGAAAACCAAAATACTTGTTCATGCATATGTCTCCAGGTCACTTCAGGACTTCTTTCTCAAATTTCTTTTTTGTATGCATTTGGATGAATCCAACGAATGTCAATGGAAATAGAGGGAATACCATTACATTACCACAACATGGTTATTATTTCAATGATTCTAGCTAGCTAGTTAGACTCTTTGTCTTTGATACTGTCATGGTCAGGATCACGGTCACGGTCCTCTAAGCGCATACATGTGCAACCTTGCAACCTTCCTAGCTCACAGTAATGTTTCCACTACATACGCAGCAATCGTTCGAAAAAAAACCTGCTTTGGGTAAATCGACTTGAGTTCATGGATACTCTGGTATGATGCTGACCCTAGATATCGCTAAGGTTTTGGTTCTACCTAGACAGGTAGTTTATTTCTATCACCGAGTACCTGCCTAGGTATACTAAATGACGTTGAATACCAAGAGATCAGATTCAGATTTCAGGTTCCCAACTGGGTAGGTACGTACTGCTATGACTGACGCAAAACACTTGCAATGTTGAACAGCATAATCTATTGATAATGACCCTAACCCATAGACGCCCCTTCAATGCCACCAGAAATCAACCTTGGAACCGAATCCATAGACGCTCAGTTGGAAAAAAAAAAAAAAAAAAAAAAAAAAAAAAAAAAAAAAAAAAAAGAAAGGAAAAAAAGATCTATAAAACATAAGCTACCTGATCAGAACCAGGAGAGCAAAAGAGAAAGCTAGCATTGATCGAATGTCTCTTGTCTCGTATCTCAGGCTAGATACCAGGAAACCCAGACAGAAAGAGAAAGTAAAGGAAATAGGAAACAGGAAGTGAAAAGGTAAGAGTGGCAAATATGATCAAGTTGAGTATCTTGCTGGGTATTTCCAGTACCGGGGAACCTGAACCTGAACCTGAACCTGAGCCTGAACCTGGACCTGAACCTGAGCCTGAACCTGGGCTGGGCTGGGCTGGGCTGGGCTGGGCCACTTCCAATACACCTTTCCTTGTAAGCTGTCCGAAAAAACCGAAGCCATAGGGGACGTGTCTCATTCATTCATATCTCACATAGAATCAAAACTGGGAAATGAAATGCTAAATAGCGTCAAGTATGAAAAGGAAAGAAGACTGGAAGAATAGAAGGGAAAATCCTTGCTCTCCGTGGAACAACGCACGTCCTTCATCCTGAAGGAAATGACCAGCCAGGAGTGAATCCTGGGAAGAAGGGAGAGTCTTGGGCTTGGAAGTGAAAGTCTCCGAGTAGTTCAGCAGACAAGTGAGCTGAATGATGGGAATGGTCAGGTATGATCCCAGGATGCATTCGAACGGCGAATTTGATATCCGCTTGTCCTTCAGCCGCACTTCCACCCCCGTCCATATAGTAGGGAAATTCCTGGTCGTTTGGATGTTGACTATGGGATATTGAGGGCGCGGACGTAGACACAGAACCTAACCCTGACGACCCTGACCCAGCGGATATTTCATTATGTGGGGAGATATCATTTGAACTGAGATCTACCGAGTTGAGGGAGGAACGGGGCATGGGGACCATGTTTTGGTATCCTGTGTCTGGGTAGCTGTAATTAGCTGATTGTACGGACTGCATATCCCATTGCCAGCTTGGGGGATTCTGTCCCATTGGAGGGGTGGTCATGGGAATGCAGATCGATGGACGCGATAGTGTTGCAGACGAGAGCTCGGGGGGTGTTGTGGGCTCTGGGGAAGGCTCTGCTGTGGCGCTACACTCGGTCGAGGTGGATAGCAATCGAAGGTATCTTAGATCTTCAGAATCTTCATCTGGCTCGTCTGCATTTTCCTCGGCTTGCTTGATCAGACCTAATCGATCGAGGATCGCGTGAGTGAGGGGATGTCCGTCTGGAGCTTCGGCAAGAGGTTCGCCCGGAAATCCTTCATTATTGACGCAGAATTTGTATAGTTTTTGTAGGGCTTTGACAACCAGCGAGTGGTGGGATTCGAGCATTTCCACAAACCTAATCAACTCTATATTAGGGTTACGGACCGAGCCGAGAGTTTTCCGAAAACTCACCCTCGAGAGTACACTTTGGTCTGTGTTGCTTTTCGCTCACGAAAAAGACATGGATGATTATATACCGAACATCGATTGCATGGCTGTTTGCCATCACACTGCGGTATTGTTTAGTTGTGCTTTCTGTACTGAAATTGATACCGTAACATACCTTCGTCTTCTTTACACGACAACGATCACATGCCTTCAGGACATGCTTGCGCTTGACCCGAAAGACGCGTTGATCACGTTTCTCGTCTGTCCTTGAGCGATGCTCCAGCTCTGATAGTGATGCCACAGCGAAATCATCGATGCTGTGTGGGAAGCCCTTGGGACGAAGCTTGGGTTGCCACGACATGACTAGCTATATTATGTGTATATGGCCAGAAACAAGAGGAGGAGGTGCAAAAGCAGAAGCAGAAGCAGCTTGGAAGACACGTTAGAGTAAGAAGCAGGCGCAAGTGAGGGGAAGGAAAGAGGGGGGGGTCAGTACATTAATCAACAGAATAGAGGCAAAGCCAAAGCTTGGACCAACAGAAAGGGAAAATAAGAAAAGAAAGGAAAAATAAAATAAAATAAAAGCAGGTGGGGGTAATATGGAATTTTACACACAGGTTCAGCTGGGGTACGAGAGTACACGAGCTTGCGATCATGATTATCAAAGCGGTTCCAGTGTAGAGAGAAAAGCCGGGGTCTAAGATCAAGGACTCTTACTGTCCACTGACTGTTCACTGACAAGTATTAACTTTCCCCCGCATCAGCATGAAATAATAGTGCCCCTCGATGTAAGAGAAAGAGAGAAAGGGTATAGATACCGAAGGGTGACGTGGAAGCGGTGTCAGAAACTTGTCAGAATGTCAACTGGGGAATCAAGTGTCAAGAAGGTACGAGGCAGGGATGAGAATTCATCAGTAAAGAGATAAATTGTACTCCGATTCGTACGGTCCGAGCCGTGGATTGAAGGTCATCATTTAGGCAGCACCTTCTATGATAAAGCACGATCTGATTTGTTCACATTAGAGTAACGTCTTGTCACACTCGAGCCAGCCAGGGTCAACGCACGTGTGATGTCTGGCGGCTGAAGGAGCAAAGGAACATATTAAGAGTACTAAATATCAAGTCGAGTAATAAGATCCCTGTTCATGCACCGAAACGTGGTACGAGGTTGGCCTTGACTTTTGACCATGGGTGATCCCGGGAGAGTGAGGTTTCTTATTGTTGATATTTGCTCTGGAGATATCACTGATGAACAATAACTTTAATATCGGGAATGGAAATTGATCGCGCCATATTAGTTCTAGTTCAAGTTCAAGTTCGTCTATATCCCCTCATCGGTGGTTATGACTACCTAGGTATCTAAGTAGGTACCTAGGTAGTTACGCACGTTACTTAGGTATACGGGTATAGCCTACTATTACCTAGGTTGAAAGGCAACACAAAAAGTGTACAAGAGATCAATGCACCAGATCAGATTCATCCTATGTAGTGGAGGATTGAAAGGCACAAAAGGCAGCCCAAATCAGAACCTCGAACGAATATAGAGGTACTATTACTTCTCTCCCTTGGCATAACCTGTGTGACCGCTACTTGAATCTCTTATTCATCCTGACTGCGGCCCGAGTGGCATGAACCCTGCTTCTTCTTCTCTCTCAAGCTATTGCTTTTGGTATTTGAGCCTAACCAATAGTACCAAGTCTAACTATTACTCTCCATCGAACTATACCAAGAATAGACATGGAACCGTGTCCTCCCGGTTAGAAAAAAGAAACGAAAAAAGGAAAAAGAAGATAACAAAAATCGAATAATCCGAAACAACACTATTGATCCTAGGGCTTCATTTAGCGCAGATAACATTTGAACTCCCATCTATCCGTGGCGGCCTATGAAATCTACCTAGTTATCATAGTAATCGGTGAGATGCGTATGTGTAAGTCTGATATTAAGCAGAAGCAGGTTCACGGATAGCTCTGGAGATTTCAATCAAAAGATCCACGAGTCCATATAAAATGTATTAGGTGCATGGTAATGACTATATCTAACGACCAGATCTAAATGACCTGATTTTGCAAGGAAACATAGCGAGCCCGGGGTCAATCCCCCCCCCTCTATTTTCTCCTCTTCTGCCCCTCCTTTGAGTTATATTTCTTGTTATTTTCGAAGCCCAACATGTCAGATTGACCCGAAAGAACAAGGGGCGATAAAAAAGAAGAAAAAAGGAAAAGGAAAGAAGAGGCGTGGGTGATTCATGCTGCAGCAAGATTCACACACTTCACCATCCAATAAGCAAGAAACCAACCTGAGAACTCGCGTCAGATCAGCGGGGAAAATGTAATCTTTGATAGCATTTCTGTGTCTGCCCCTCCTCGTACATATGGGTTCACCCGAAGCAACCCACCGGGGGCGCTTTTATCCCTTACCCGTAAGAATCCGATTCTTCCCTTCATGCTCCGGAGTTAAGCTCGGGGAGCAAGATGCTGGCTTCACCCTTTGCAAGCAAATCAAAGCTCTCTTTGCTCGCTGGACTGGAAGGGGAGTGGTCAGACGGGGCTACCTTCTCCGCCTGCACGAATGAGTTGCCCTGCCACCGACGATCCCCAACCCATTCAATACCATCACCCATGCCACTCACGTCCAACCTGCGTCGCTCACTCTCTCGCTCCAGGAGAGGCAACCGATCGCTTTCGTTAGTCAGATCCCTCAGCTCAAACAGCGGCAGATTTCGCTGATGCCATTCACCAACGAACATGCCCTCCGGATCAACTTCGCGACGGACTGCTAACCAAGAGTCCATGTCCTCGCCGTACAGGCCATGTAACTCGCTCGAGTCCAGTGTCGTAAAGTTCTTGGCCCAGTGGGGTCGCGCGCCCATGTCGCGCATGAGCCATTCAAAGGCCTCATAGTACCTCAACAGGCACGGTGGGTCGCGGAGGTATGGGCGGTAAAGGGTCGCATTCAGGTACAGTGTGGGGCCGTCGCGAGATGTCGGATCGAGAAAGGGCCGGGGGTTGGGGTTCCGACTCGTATCTGACACGCGTACCTCAATTGGGCAGTGCACCCACAGACCCTTGCTACTAAACGGGATGCGTGCGGTCGCTTGGTCCCCATTCAACCACGCAGAGAGACGGCTAATAGCCTCCGGTCCATCTTTCAATGGCAAGGCCCACTCGTTGACAAATTGCGAGTAGAGGCAATTCATCAATAGACCAGTGCGCGCCGGCTCGACTGCCTCGGTAACCGTTGACCCAGCACGGAAACCGTACTGCATTCCAAAAATGAACCATTCCACCCACGGCAGTATGCGTGGGAAGTAACATGACGCTGCGAGTAGATTGTGGTAGACGTGGTAGCCGAACCAGTCCCCGTAAAAGTTTCTGGGAGGGGCGCGCAGCGGAAGATCAGTCTGATCCGCACGCCAGACGATAGCACCCTTCTCATAGGGCAACCACCAGACGCGAACGAATTCATGAGACGTCCACAGCCCGTTCGACCATTCGCGCAAGACTTGCGACAATGAATATCGCTCCTGGCGCCATGCAATCTTGTAAGCAGGTCGCGCCGAGATCGTCACCTCGACAATGATGCCTAGAGCACCGAGTGAGATCAGTGCGGCGCGGAAGAGAGTAGAATTGTTGGCGGCACTGCAGCGTACCAGCTGGCCGTTAGGCAAGACCAGAGACAGGGCCTGAATACATTCGGAGATCAATCCATGTCGTAGCGAGCTTCCGTGTGTTCCTGTCGAGATAACACCGGCAATGGACTGACTATCAATGCTTCCCAAATTCTCCAGCATGAGCCCGTGTTCCTCGAGTCGATTTCCAAGATCGCGTAGTCGAATACCAGCCTCCACAGTCACGGTCCGCGCGTCGGTATCCACATGCAGAATGCGATTGAAGTCATCGAGGTTCACGAGCCAGGACGATGTGCAGGTCAGATCGGATGGTGAGTGGCCACTTCCGACAGTGACTAGACGACGTCGACATCGGCGGGCAAGAGTGACCAGCTGTTGGATCTCCGGTATGTTCTGGGGGCGGATGTAAAGTTCAGGCCGCGAGAAGAAAGTCTTGGCCCAGGTATGATGCAGATAATCCGTAGAGACGCGGAATGGCAACGCGTTATCGAGCTTTGATAGCTCGCGCGAAATGGAGGCGTCCATAATCTGTGAGTAAGGTGAATTGAAACCAAAAATGCTTCAAATTACATTGTCTGATCTATGGAAAATATCGGTGAGGGGGAAGGGTGGGAATGAACCGCACTAAAACCTGGCACTTAATTTGATGGCGACATTGCGATAAGCCCGCTTTACCTTCAATTGCATTGCTTTGGCTCTACACTTAGTACATTCTTCGGTCTTGTAAATTCGGGCATTTCTTCAGACTGGAATCTGAATAATTGCTTGAATCTTGATCACTGTGCAATTCGATGTGAACGAGAAGCCGATGTCGGCTTCGGATATAGAGAATGATCGATCAGCTGATCTACAGGTAATACACGTGAGATTTCAAAACCCTAGAATTCTGTTTGGTCTTCCAATGTCACTCCGTACTACAACCTATGTGAGCAATTGGTTACAAAAAAAAGTACAGGTTGTATTGACAGATAAGAATCAAGATCTTAGTGATACAATCCAGATGTGCTCCTCTATGGTTAAAAACACCAAAAGATCCCCTAGCCGAAAATGCTTTACGAGCCGAAGTATGCACAGAAAATTAAGGTAAGAAATGCAAAAAGATCAAAAGAAGGATTCAGGGAAAGAGAAGAAAGATACAGCTTGGTAGACACCTCTTAAGTGGAACGGATAGCTTCGATAGCCACGTTGAGAGGGAAAACGCAGGGAGCATGCAGAGAACGTGGGCTCCACTTACGGAACGCGCTCTGGCATCGATCAGGAATGCCACCAAGAGAGACATGACTCTTAGGGATAAATGGACGATCTTCGAGAGACGCGGCCAATATGCCATATTCGTGGGCGAAAATCAACGCCGAGGCGAAATCAGCTGGCTTTTGAGTGGCTAGTTCGCCAACGATACTGTAAAAGAGTAAGCATGTGTCACTTCCGAACATAGAATATTAGAGGGGGGGAAAGGGGAAATCAGATGAACGATGAACTTCACTTACACGAATATTTCGAAGAATGTATCCAGAACATACACATTCTTCTCAACTAAATCTCTGTAACAGTACGGCTCTATCTCCTGCACAGTGTCGTTGGGACGTAAAGCCGGTGAGCCGGAACCGGGGCGACGCATCCAGAAACGAGGCGGTTGGCTCAATTCGTGATCAACTCGGATCAGGCGGCTGCGGAAATGGGCGTACTTCGGCTTGAGCTGCCAGTAATTCGAAAACATAACAGGGTTGGCTTCTCGAGAGCCTGCAAAATCTTGAAAGAAGCATTCAGTTTCTTCACTTTCCTCAACCTCTTCAAATTCGCCAGTCAGGCCTAGATCCATGCTAATGAGACGGGCTGCACCGGTTTCCTCGGGGCTGCTACCCTTGCCTTTCCACAAGTACTGTTTGCCGAATGGAGCGGATACCACATAGGGGAAGCCAGAGCACAGGCTGCGCAGCGAATAGTCGACTTCGTCAAATACCATTTGACCAAGGTGTTTCCGACCACAGAGCATGTACAAGGCAGATGAGTTGGTGCGGGAGCTGGATCCACGACGGGTGATCATTATTCCACCCAGTGCTTGGATGAAACGCATACACTCCTTGCCTTGTCGAACCACTTCCAACTTGCAACCGTTTTCGCGAGAAATCTTGCGTGCGGAGACTTGCGCGGCATCCAGCGCAGACTCAGACACATCATCTCCGCACCAGAGATACACCTGAGAGCAGTTTTTATCTGACTCTTCAAACAAATGCACGCACAAATACATGCTTCCCTCATACAGCACATACTGTCGGTGAATGGGCAGCTCTTGTCGTTTACCGTCACCCGTAAGCTCCCATATTTGAAACTTCAATGTACGGATCTTGATCTCATCCGGCTTGGGGGTCAACACCACCTGAGGATCGATATCAATGCGACTCTGAGGATTTGGGAAGGTCTTGAAGAAACTGGCAATCACCTCCCGAGCGTCTGCCGCCTGTGCAACAAGAGAAGGCGCAGACATCTTTCGAGACAGTGTGTGGGAATGTTTCGACTTGAGGAGCACCTGAGGTGGATCTTCGTATTGCGAAATAATCACGCGAGGAACCATGTGAGGACTCCTCGGACTGCGAGGGGGATCTTTCTCAGGGGGAGTCGGTCGTTGGTTCTTATTGAAAGTGGATCTGATAGATGGCGATGAGGATGAGGAAGCAATGAACCGGGATTGCTGGGCCCATTGAGACATGAATGCGGGAGTTGACGATGAGGTTGGAGGTACAGGCGATGACGAGATGGGTTTGGGTGGGACAGGAGGTGAACTGAAATCCGGCAGAACAGGAGAATGGCTTGTTGGGCTGATGTCTCTTGGTGACTCAATCTCACGAGGTGAAGCCTCATCTTGAGCTTGTTTATCATAAACGGGAGTTCCAAGTTTAAAGTCACTGTTGAGAGAATCCAGATTGGTGTTCAGTGCTGGGAGTTGCTCGATTGAAGGACTCTCTGTTCGAGCAGGTTCATCCGCCATACTTTTCGGTAGATTTTCTGGAGAAGTTTCCGACTGGAGAGGCTCAAATGTTTCAATTTCTCGGTCTTCAATGTTCATTGCTGGGAGCTTGGGGGAAGGGCTTCCTACCGAAGATGATTCAGTATCGAAAAAGAAGGGTTTGTCTTCTATGCTTGAGATGTTTTCCGGGTAAACTTCCTTCGCGAGAGGCTGCTCGTTCTCTACTGGAGCAGGCTCAGGAACGAAGGGCTCATAAGCCATGCTCTTTGAAGGAATTTCCGCAGAAACTTCCGGTTTGAGAGGCTCCGAGTTCAGAGATTGCTTAGAGGAGTACTCTGGAGCTGATTCAGTATCGAGAAAGAAGGGTTCATCTTCTATGCTCGATGTAGATTCCGGATAAACTTCCGTCTCGGGAGGTTGCGAGGTAAGTTGTTTTGGGGAATGATTCTCTACGAAAGCTGGCTCAGTATCAAGAAAGAATGTTTCATCTGCCAAACTCTTTGAAAGAGTGTCCGAGAAACCTTCCGACTCAATAGGCTTCTCCCGATCGTCAAAGCTTATTGCCGGGAGCTGCTCGGGGGAAGGCTTCTCTACTGGAGCAGGTCCAGCGTTGAGAATGAACGGTTCATCTGTTATGCTCTTTGAAATAGCTGAAGAAGTTTTTAATGGAGTTTCCGCGAAACCCTCAGGCTCGAAAGGCCGTGATGTTTCATTCTCTCGATCGTCGATTTTCGTTTCCGGGAGTTGCTTAGTGGAAGGGCTCTCTACTGGAGCAGGCTCAGTATCGAGAGCGAAGAGGTCATCTGCAATACTCTTGGAGGGGGTATCAGGATAAACTTCCGGTTCAAGAGGCTCAAATGTTTTATCTTCCCGGTCGTCAATTTTCGTTTCCGGGAGTTGCTTAGTGGAAGGGCTCTCTACTGAAGCAGCTTCAGTATTGAGAGCGAAGAGGTCATCTGCAATACTCTTGGAGGGAGTATCCGGATAAACTTCCGGTTCAAGAGGCTCAAATTGTTCATCTTCCCGGTCGTCGATTTTCGTTACTGGGAGTTGTTTAGGGGAAGGGCTCTCTACTGGAGCAGGTTCAGTATCGAGAGCGAAGAGGTCATCTGCAATACTCTTGGAGGGAGTATCCGGATAAACTTCCGGTTCAAGAGGCTCAAATTTTTCATCTTCCCGATCATCGATTTTCGTTTCCGGGAGTTGCTTAGTGGAAGGGCTCTCTACTGAAGCAGCTTCAGTATTGAGAGCGAAGAGGTCATCTGCAATACTCTTGGAGGGAGTATCCGGATAAACTTCCGGTTCAAGAGGCTCAAATTGTTCATCTTCCCGGTCGTCGATTTTCGTTGCTGGGAGTTGTTTAGGGGAAGGGCTCTCTACTGGAGCAGGTTCAGTATTGAGAGCGAAGAGGTCATCTACAATACTCTTTGAGGGGGTATCCGGATAAACTTCCGGTTCAAGAGGCTCAAATTGTTCATCTTCCCGATCATCGATTTTCGTTGCTGGGAATTGCTTAGTGGAAGGGCTCTCTACCGGAGCAGGCTCAGTATCGAGGGCGAAAGGTTCGTCTGCCAGACTCTTCGAGGGAGTTTCTGGGGAAATCTCTGGCTCAAGAGGCTGTGAGATTTCATCCTCCCGGAAGTCGATGTCAAGTGCCGTAAGTTGTTTCGGGGAGGGGCATTCTGAAGCTGGTTCAGTGTTGACAACGAAGGGTTCATCCGATACGATATTGGTGGGGTTTTCCGGAGAAATTTCCTTGTCAAGAGACTGTGTTTTATTCTCCCGATAGTCGACGCTTACTTTTGGAGTTTGCTCGGGGAAAGGGCTCTCTGCTCGAGCAGGTTCAGTATCGAGAACGAAGATTTCATCCGCTACGCTCTGCGACGGAGTTTCCAGAGGAACTTCCGGCTCGAGAGGCTGTGATGTTTTATTTTCAGGAGATGAGATAGCACCAACCTCTTGATCCTGAACAACTGACTGGGATGGTGAAGTCATCTCTTGTGGTGGTCGCCTCTTGGGTCCCTTGGCACGACCTTTCGTCATGTGGCTGAGGGGCACAGATGGCTCAGAAGAGGGGATGTTGGAAAAAGAAGCCCTCTTAGGTTCCTCCGTTGGGGCCTGAGAACCTCGTCGCGTAAGGAGGCCTGCTAAGGCGGGGTTGATTCGGCCTGCAAGCGTTCCTCTACGGGCAGTAATTGGACTCGTAGCAGTGGCTGCTGAAGGCAGGCCATTAACTGGGATTTCGGGGTTCTCAGTCGTTTGAACGCGATTAGGAATATCCTTGGACTCATTCTGAAGGGTGGAGCTCGGCAGATCTGAGGCTGCAGTATAGACGACACGAGAGGTTTCCTGAATTTCATCCTCATTGGTGATGATTGCCTGTCCCACAGCGAGCGGCAGTATGGGAGCATCATTGAGCGAAGGTCGTGTTGGGCTGGATGTGGCACTCCGTTCATCGGTATTCGTCCGTCGGAGGCTATGAATGCTATCCGACCTGATGTAGTTGCGCTTCGCAATGAATTCGGGTACTTCCTCAGTTGACTTTGGCGGCTCGTCGTCTTTTCCGACAGTATTTCGTCTGATAGAACCTCCTGCGGCTTTCATCGCCTCTTTCGTAAAAACTAGACTATTTCTAAAATCATCGACTCGTTCAGTCTTCTTGGGGCCACCTGTCGAGTTCAACGCTGCTTTTCCCCGTAGGATATTACCCTTCAATTCATCCGGCGCAACGTATTTGCTAGTCTCGGTCTTTTTGAGTTTCCCAAAGACATTCTTGAATTCCGGTTCTTTCTGCGGTCCGGAATCTTTCGTCACATCGCGCTTGCGCAGATTTGCTCTGAAGTCGACAACAGGAGACTGCGTTGTAGACTTGGGCGATGACGACATAGCGGTACGGGAAGGAAGCGAGAAGTTTGGCTTTGGGGCTCCTGAGAAGGGAACTGGCTTCCGAGTTGGGTGGATCTCTGGGGACTTTTCGAGCTGCCGGGTCTTTTCAGACACCTGGGTATCGTTTGGATCTGCTGGAACATCATGCGGTTCAGCCTCGGGCATAGCGGATGAACACCTCTCCGTGTCTTTTTCTACGGATTCAGCAATTGGTGTGATAGATTCAGGTTCTTTGTATGCAGGAGACAGTGGTGATTCCGAAACGGTTTCTTCCAGCTTGGGGGCGTCGAGTATCGATGGGGTTTCAGAAAGGCTAAGTTTCTTGGTATCTTCACCTCGCACAGAGGCCGGTGATTCTGGCACTTCCTTTATATTGGAAGCTTTAGGGCTGCCGGGAATCGAAGGGGTCCCAGAAATGCTGATTCTGTTGAATTTTCCACTTCGAACGGAGGCTGGAGATTCAGGCACCGTTTCTATTGGTCTGGTGGCTTCAAGGCTAGGGCTACCAAGAATCGATGTGTTTCCTGAAATACTGTGCTTCTTGAAATGACCATTTCGCCCAGAGATGGGTGATTCAGGTACTGTCTCTTTCGGCTTAGTCGCTTCGAGACTAGGGCTGCCAACAACTGGAGGTGTTCCAACATTAGGCTTGAAACTTGCGCCTGGCGTGGTCCGCATCAGCCCCACCGGAGTCACTTCCTTGAAACTGTTCACCCGACCCATATCAACGCTAGTTCTCGATTGTCGATCACGGGCCCAGGAAGACTGAGATGGTGGTCTCTGGGATCGAGGGGACTCAGGTCTGTTGAGAGCACTCTCCAACCAGGAGGCCTTGGTAGGGCTCCATCGTCTGGGGTCCATGGTTCTCGAGACAAATGGACTGGAAGAATCTCCGTTATGGGTGTCTGCGGTCACCGAGCTTGCAGATCTGGAGTGGCGAGAGGATGGTCTGGTCGGGCTAGCAGTTCCAAATCGTGTGTTCTCAGTAAATCGGGAGGACGGCGTAGTAGGTCTCTCGATGAACTCAGAAGGTTGAACGGTAGCCTCACTATGACTAGATCCAGGCCGCTGGCCAGACAGCTGGTCATTCTCAAGGTTGATCCCAGATCCCGTGGGATGAGCCAAGTCAGTAGCACTGGCAAGGCTCGGGGCAATAAAGCTATTACGGTTGCTGACGGTTGAGTTTGATCGACTAAGGCCTTGAGGAATTTGAGCGCTCCATCGCTTGGATACACTGTCTGAGCGTCTCATCATAGCACTTTGGACGAACCCTCCCAGACCTTTAGTGGGGGATGTGGAACGAGATCGTTCTGACATTCGCCGTTGAGTGGGAGATGCAGGCAAAGGATCTTCTTCAGAATCGGCCTGCGAAGGGTCAAGCTTTGGAGCATCTGTAAAAGCAGCCGGAGACCCCAGGCCAGTCGCCAAAGAGACTGATGATACACTTGAAAACCGATTGTTGCTGAAGTTGCTATCGCCAATGGTAGACGCAGTCCGTGGACGCTCTTCCTCTGCTTTCTCTGGTTCTGCTGATGACTCACGGTTCATGCCCGTCATCTGTCGACTGAATCCCAAATCCACTTGGCTATTAAATTCTTCGTTTTTCTGTTGTGCTGGAGAATTTGGACCTAGGTCTGGGGTCTGGCGCAAGGTGGGAATATCTTTCATGGAAAAAGACTGGGAAAACCGGGCACTAGACACTTGGCGATCATCCGAAGCTACTGATGCATTTCGCAAATGACTGGAGCGGGTGGGGGATGTTGAGGCTGAAGATCTGCTGCCAAAATCACGCGATTGTGGGCGTTGCTGCCAGGACAAGGTTCCGGCTCGACTGCGAGAGAAGGCGGGTGCAGCTCGTGGGGAAGATTCCATTTCTGTATCTTGGACTGATCCACGTCTGCTATCTCCAGTTTCAAAAGGCTCCATTGCGGGTTCAGGGTCTGGTGTTTGCAATGTTGGATCAAGCTGAAATGGTGGCTCAATTGATGGGTGGCTGAGGGATGAAGCACTGAGTCTCAATGGGTTTAGGGTAGGGGAACCAGAGATGGAACCAGAAATGGAACCAGCAACTGATGAACCGGCAATGGATCGGGCTCGCTCTAGTATTAAAGTCAGCAAGAATTCCAAGGTGGCTCAAAAAAGTGTTTCAGTGCGGGGTCTCGTTCAAGTCGTATTGTTACGAGATAGAGGGGGATATTACCAGCTCGGCGGGCTTGTCTTTCTTTTCGGCCTTGTAGAATCTCATCTTCCAGCTTCTTGGTTCGTTCCTCGTCTTCTTTATCGCGTCTATCACCTAATTCCCTAATGCGCAACAAGAAATCATTAACGTCTTCGATCCCATCTGGGTTTGTGGGAGTCGTCATTATCCCGTTGCTCGTCGGCGCAGCAAGGGAATCCTTTAATCTCTCCAGGGTAATATGGTGGATGGGGAGAGTGCAAGAGCGTGGGAAGAGAGTGAAAGGTGGGCAAAGGGCTGACTGGGTTGTTCTCCGCCCTGCCTAAATTAGATGGAGTGAACGCTGTCATTGGTTCCTATTAGTTCCCCCGATCACCGCCCTTCCCCTTATGTCATCTACGCTTGATATTTTCTTATCTGAATTAATTTGAGTTGTAGTTGTTGCAAATGAGATATACATTTAACATTTTATATTCAAATTTCGCCGTACTACTAGTCTAGAAATGTTTGTTTATGCTTGTTTGGTGGAGTCTCTTTTTCTTCCGGTTCGCGACCCGCAGACATTTGGGCATTGGAACTTGATGGACCCGTGGAATAACAAGCAATGACCATGTTTTGCTCCCCCTTTTCTCGGACTTGGAACTCCTTTTGTTCAATTCATGACACTTCTTACTAATTATTTCATGTTTTGCGGATGATTTCCCGTACTCCCGGATATCAACTATTTATACATACAGTCCACACCGCCAATAATTTACATAGTATGAAGCCATCAGTTCTTGGAGAATAACGGATATTTCTATTAACATATGCGGTTGGTCGTTTATGATGTACAAGCACTAGGGCTATGGTTTTGGACTGCCCAGGTGAATTCACGACCTACGTCTGCCAACTCTTGGCGTTCCCCTCCGAATTAGTGCTCACCCCCCCTCGCTGCTTTTGCTCACTGAGTAGAACTGAGCTTATGATAGCCTTTGAGAAGCCTAAACTCTCATAGAAATGGCTAGTGTGGTTCCGAAGGCTAGGATTCGAAGCTTGCGCGTCTATAGGGCTAATCTCAGGGAAACGGTCCAGAAAGTCTTTAGTTCACCGACAGCGATGATATTGCCAGTAGGTAAAATGGCCACAAGATCTGGGATTTCGCTCTGATGTGGCCGCTTAGAGGCTTGGTAGTCTCCAAATCGCAACCTTGACAACTCCGCCGATGAGAGTGCTTTAGTAACCGCGTCGCAGATGTGTTTAGTAAATCTACTAATAACGCCCATCTCGTTACCAAAAATAAAAAGTTCATTAGTATCAGTATCATCTGTTGAGGTGATTATGTGCGATAATTCTATTCCAGCACACTTAAGGAGCACGTCCTGGAAGAAATCATTCCACTCGTGGAAAAACGACAAGTTTATTGACATAGAAGGCGAAGACACACTGGATGTACCATTAAGTGTTCGCAGCACTGGCAGCGCCGCAGCGGTCTTTGCAATAGCTCTTGGGCGGTCTCCATAGTTAATCGTGATTCGGACGCGTGTTTGAGGAAGAAAGAAACAGGGCAGCAAGTGCAACTACGTAACTACTTGATACCCATTTTAGGCTTAGTTTTGAAATGTTGCCCGAAACATCAGGAAAAATAATATTGCCTGGAATTTAAGGCCGCCGAAATCAAGTTACGTTCGTCTGTCGGAGGGAAGTGTTTTAGCGCATTTTTTTCTGCCAATACAGTCTCCATAATTACACCCGAAAAAGGAATAGATAAATACCTAGGCTAGCCAATTAAAACCCATGAAAGCTTTTCCAACATTTCCGCGTTTTATGGTCATCTCTACATAAGGGCACCTCACATAGCTGACACGCCCACTGAGTCTGAGCTGGTTTTCCCTTCCCTCCTGGACCCCCTAGCTTTTTGAGTGATCTCTTTTCTTCTGAACAGACGATACAGTATTTCATCCCTGGAAGTCTCACTACCTTATGTACTGCATTGGGTGTAGGTTGTGGTGGTGGGTTCAGCTCTTCTGCACCAAGTTTAAAAAGCTGTAAATAGAGCTGCTTGCGAAACTCCTTCTGGGTAATCAGCTTCTTAGCTGGTATACCTATCTTCAATTGCTCAGTCTTCATCAGCTCATAAGAGTTAACAATAGACGCATCAAGAAGCCAGAAAAACAGTGGCCACCATGAGCGAAGGCACTTCTGCTGTGTCTCATAGCTCACACGGAGTTGATTCACGATATCGACGCCCCCCGTGTTATGATTATAATCATCAATAATAACAGGGATATCAAGCTTTGCTATAGGTTCACCATTAAAGGCTGGCCTAGCGATTTTGGCACTAGTAGAGGTCTTTCCAGGGCGCTTTCGGAGGCGTGTGATCCAGTCTGAAGCTCTATTGCTAGTATGTACGGTCGTTAAACCAGTAACAATATTAATCATCTTGCCACATAAAGCATAAGACCTTATCAACTGGCGCAGCATAAAGGTCATTCCGCTTTAGTTTTGTAACCTTATTACTGCCGTCCTTGATTTTCTGTAGCGCTTTCGGGAAACACCCTCTTGATGTATATGGTCGTGTTGTCCCAACTGCGCCAATACCCTGATTTCGAAGGCGCTTAAATAGCTGAACAGATGTAAAAAAGTTGTCAAGATATGCTGCATGTTGATTACGCTCTAGAGGTAAAGCTTTTTCAAGTAAATAGACAACCTATTATAGAATATATTAGTAAGATTGATAGATATGTTAAGAACATAAAGCTTACCATAGATGCAGTGTTGGTAAGATGGGGTAGTTTCTTGACTTCAACCATTGATTTCGTCCGACTCACCCACACCCAAAAAAGGCAGTAACCTTTATTAGCTGAAGAAAATAGCTTATATCCCTGAGAAATAGGTTTCTGGGGCATCTTGAGAGTGTGTTGAGACCTGCCAAAGCAGCGAATCATTAACTCATCAATAGCGATGTCACTTGATGGAAGTCAGTATTTTAAAGATGCAGCACGAATTAGACCCGCTAAAGGCTCTACTTTATGCCACCACATCTGTGATTCCCGAAGCACTAGCTTTTCAGCATCCTCTCTATTCTGATCAGGGTCAGAGATATGGAAGAAACGCTTAATTTGCTTAAAGCGGGTAAGTGGGATATAGTCAGGTGGAAGGTGATAAGACTTCTCTTTTTTTGACCAAAGCTCCTCTTCAGCAGTATTTTTTGATACATGTACACTAATGTAGATAAAAACAGCAATAAAGATCTTAATCTCTGCTGATGTCGTTGGTTTCCATGGTCGTGCGTGAGGTCCTCCAGCACCCTGAGTTGCTGCATACCTATTACTATTCTTAGATAGTAATAAGAAGATATCAGGTGTAAAGAATAGTAAAAAGAAGCTCAGAGGGTTTATATGAATCCCATCTGGTAGATCAGTCTTCGCATCAAAAGAGGGCATCTTAAGAGGCTCAAACCCCGCGTTGAGCTTACTATCCAACTTCATTTCATCCAGACTAAGTTCTCCTGGGTCAATGAGTGATGAAGATTATCGGATCGGCGAAGAAGGAGCTACAGATGAGCTGATAAAGGGATACCCTTGGTCGTCTTCGTATTCCATAGTAAATTTGACTTGAGTAGAGTAAAACGCGACCAAACGCGTACACAGTAGCAAGATCATCATCATGTGGCAGTAAGCCAATCAGAACGATTTATTGCTGGTGGGTAAGGATTACTATAATACAAGGGCGGTAAGGCATTGCAGCCAATGATAAAGATATATTCTACTCCACTTTCGTAGGCGCTAAAACACTTCCCTCCGACAGACGAGGGGATAACCAATAACTTCCCGTCAACTTCTTCATTCGTCGCAGTCAACGAAGATTTTCGGCGGTTGATATTTGAATCGTCATCACGGTCTGAGGATAAACCGAAACGCAATGTAGGAACAGCCTGACCCTGATTCTGAGCGCCCTCATAAAAGCGGCGGCATCAGCATTAGTATCACTGATTAGCAGGATGCTGTAATATCCCCTCGCTTCATATAGTTATGTCATCCCGCATTCTGTGAGCACGACTCCTCTTAGCCTTAAAGTCTACATATCCCTTTTCTCCCTGACAATTTCGATAAGATGGATTTCGATCAGCAGAGACAATATACAGCCTTATTTCGTTTAGAATAGGCCAACCTCTACTATACAGCCGCAACAGGTGTATATGGGTGACAAAAAAATAGATATCTTGAAACTTCCTTACCTTGGAATACAGCAGTATCTCATTCGACAAGCAGAGTATTCTTGGGACGCAGATTTGATCAATATATGTGCTATGTTAGTAGGAGCCACGACACCGTTAGTATAGAGTCGCATCACCTCGGCGGTTTATATAGTTATTTTCAGCAATGAAGAATGAGAGGCTGCCTTGTTAGAATCGCAGGAATGGAACGAGTCTGGGCAGTTACTATCCCGCGTTAGAGAACACCTAGATATCGGCCTAGAAGGTGGAACCGAGCCGGGTAATTTTGAAAAGACAGACAGTGGAGGTTAATCGACAGTTTCGCATGGAAATGGATCGGCAAGCAGAGTTGGACAAGCGGGAGCTCTGTTGGCGTAATTGGCCGTATAAGAATGAAGAAGGTGATAGTATGCCTCCCGGGGACATATAGCTTTTGGCGCGCATTAATTCCTATTTTTCATCTCAAGGATTATCTCATTTACACATTTACCTAGTATTTCTTCTACATTCATATCTCTTCATGAGAGCTTGAGCTTGATTGGGCCATGTTGAATATCTCTGAAAAACGGACACCTTTCAACAGTCGGCCAATGGAGCCGAATGGACTCTTATATTCCGTTGATTCGCTTTTTCCTAAATCTTATTCTAACCTGCTTTCATGGCGCCAAATCAAAGAGGACTTATTGTCTTTTGGATGTGGCGGAGAGTTGTCCGCCAATCTATCTAAGCGGGGCTAAACAGCAAACATACTTGCAGGAACTTGCATAGCTTATCGTAACTAGAGCATAACTTATCTCCTTGGCAATGATAACAATACAACTTATTTAAATCAAGATCTGCAGGAGGGAAAGGCTGCAGAATCTTTGGAAATTTTCAACGTCCAACGCCAGGAGATGGAGTCAAAAGAATCAGTAGAGCCATCTACAGTAGAGAAGGATGTTGCCACTGGGGAAGTTCGGGATATTGGAGCCGATTTGTATCTCGAAGCAGAACAACTTACCACCGAGGAAGTAGAGCGAGAGGGTGCTCAAGTACTTCGTATTCTGGACTGGAGACTGATGCCGATTGTTAGTTGATCTACTCCATCCTAGGTCCCCGGGTACACATGTGCATCTATTTCTAACCATTTTCCATGCTATAGCTCTACGTGACCTATGTCATTCAGTTTATGGGTATAAACTCATAATTCCTTCCATCTTCCTCAACAAATGCTGACATTGTGCCAGATAAACTGTCTCTGAACTATGCCTCGGCTTATACCATGATTCCCGATCTAGGGCTCGAAGGTCAACGATACTCCTGGGTTGCTGCTATCTTCAACTTTGGATACCTTTTCTGGGCTATACCTGCCAACTTGTTGATACAAAAGTTGCCTATCGCCAAGTATATGGGTGGTATGATATTAATGTGGAGTATAATAGTGATTGCCCACATCGGAGCCAAAAACTATGGAGGAATCTTGATTCTACGTTTCCTTCTGGGTATGGCAGAAGCAGGAGTCAGTCCATGTAGTAAGTAGATGATTTTCTACTCATCTTAGATGACCGAGATAATCCAACTACTAATAAGTCTTGGAACATAGTGATGGTGATAACGTCAATGTTTTACAGACGATCCGAGCAGCCTCTACGCATGGCTGTCTGGCTAAGCGCCAACGGCATGGCCACAATGGTTGGAGCTCTCTTGGGCTTCGGACTTGGCCACACCCACGACACCTCCATTCATAGCTGGAAACTCATTTTCCTAACCATCGGCCTACTCAACTTTGTCTGCAGCGTCGTGTTCCTAATCCTCGTGCCAGACTCACCGAGCTCAGCAAGGTTTCTTACTCATCGCCAGCGTATCATTGCCGTGCGAAGAGTTGCAGACAATATGATTGGAGTAAAGACCAGGAAGATCAAACTGGACCAAGCTTTAGAGAATCTATACGACGCGAAGGTCCTCTGTTGTGCGGGTATCGGTATTGCCTGTGGTGTTGTGAGTAATCCCATTCCCTTTAAGCCTTCATTGAGTATACTAAATCAATTGCTTTCAGATTAATGGAGGTGTTTCCAATTTCAGCTCAGCTCTTATTAAGGGGTTCGGGTTTAGTGGTATCTATGCTACCCTCCTCCAGTTACCAACAGGTGCATTTGAGGCAGTCACCGTGCCAATATGTGGACTTATTGCAACATACATTCCAAACTCAAGATGCATTGTTCTTGCTATAGTTTGTCTCATCCCATTTGGTGGCCTGTTAGGAATTCGCTTTACAGACCTAGATCACCGATGGACACTAGTCGGATGTTGTTGGCTGCAATACATCATTGGAGCACCAGTGATTATCTGCTGGAACATTTTGTCGACGAATATTGCCGGTCATACCAAACGGGCTATCGCGAATGGAAGCTGGTTTGCTGTCTATGCAGCTGGGAATATTGCTGGTGCCAATATCTTCTTTTCCCGCGAGGCTCCGCGCTATTATTCTGCCATAACAGGTCTTCTGATCTGTTATGCGGGTATTATCGTGCTTTCTATCGTGCTGTATATTGTCATGAAATGTGATAATGTGCGAAGAGATGCCAATATGGATTCTGTTGAGTATGTGGCAGAGGGTGATCCAACATCTCAAGGGATCTTGGACGGCTTCAAGGATATTACAGACATGCAATCAAAGCATTTTAGATATGCATTGTGATTTGGTGGTCAGATATATATTCAATAATCACAACACAGCCTTGTAAATATTTCAAACACATTGAGGCTCACATGCACCAGTTTTTATGGAAAGTTGGTAATTTCAAATCTTTAGATATCCATCTAGTCATCATTAATCAAATCGTAACATCATGTATAGCTATATCTGGATCAAAGCCATCTGAAACAGCATAATATCGCACAAACTCTCCCGGAGCATACATCATATCCTCAATCATCCCCAGTATAGCTCTGTGCAGGTACTTTCTCTTGAGTAGCTCCAGGCAAGACTCGCTTTCCGCAAGGGTAAGACTGCTAAATTCCAAAAGCGTGGTATTCACGCTACACAAAGTTTTTTCTTTCAAGAATCTAAATACCTTCAAATATGGGGTTGCGTCTTTCCATCGATCTACAAAACACGTCAAGCTCTTAGTGCAGGCTTCAATTGCTTCCGGAGACTGATATGTATCATTTTGTAGGGAGCTAAATTTGTCTGTGAGAGGACTTGTCGCCCAAATCAGGTAGAGGAGCGTGATTCCAGCTCGAAATTGATATACGAACTGTAAATTCTGTCAGCAAGTTTTCTCTCCTAAAACAGTAACCCACTTACCGCAGACCAAGTAAAGCACATTACATGTCCTTCTCCTTGCAACCGCCGGAAGTTGAGACAGACTTCTACAACTGCAGAGAAGATCTCCTCTGTATCTTCATGGTCCAGGAAATTACGCTTCTCTTCCATCAGAATCAAAATACTGTAGTCATACAACTTCACCATCCAATTTGGGTGCTGGAAACTGGATGAAACATCATAGGTTCCATATCGAGGAATGTCATTCCTCCATATATCCAAGGCGGACTTGAGTGAAGAGTTTGAGGCATCTTTGCCGTTGGAAAGCTGCCATCGGGATCTTTTGATATTTGCTTGAATTTTTCGTAGTCGGAAGAGATGACCTAGGGCTGGGTTTATAGTGACAGGGGTTTGAATAGTGTCTCCCAGAATGCACATCTGAAATAATCAGCTCACTCGCACGTAGATTAGTTGTATAATGGTTACTGACATCTTCTTCCACAGCTCGGTATGCCTCAGAGACTGGTTGATCCCACCCAGAAGTGATAATCACGTTCAACATGAAACAAGCAATGAACATATTCTCCGTTAAAATTTCACCAGATGAGGTGGTTACATCACCATTCCCGTTTGGTATTGCGCGTTTCCTGATCTCCGTCATGGCCGCTGTGCAAAAGGGCACTATAGAGGATACACTAGTTGTGATCTCGTCCGAGGATGGAGAATGTAAGGCATATACAATCAGAAGAAGCGATGCTTGAACTTGAAGGACCATAGATTGCTGAGCCACGACGTGTGGGTAATAATTCATTGCCGAAGCGTACATTTCTCTTGAACGGACTGAATGCGCGGGATCTTGCTGTATGGCGCTGCAAAGTGAGGCACCAATTGCATATACCATTCTCAAGAAAAAAATTCGCCATTCTTCGGGTCCAATTTCTTCTCTTTGCCACTTTTGCCAGGCTGGTTCATTGAGGAATGGCCATTCCCGATTGGAAATAGAAAAGTATATACTTGCATATAATTCTATGAGCCATTGAGGATCAGCACCAATGAGAGGATATATTGGATTTGGACGGTCTATGCGAATAAATTCAACTGTTACATCGTTGAATTGAGCGAATTCACCTGTCAATGGAGGAGAAATTGAAGGCGTTCGAGATATCATAATCTCAGGTTGTGTTTCAAGTGGTATCAAAGCACTTTCTTCATCCGTACTCTTTTTCCAATTTAGAGACATATTCCGAGGAGTATCCCAAGGTATCCAATGGGGAATTGACACAAGATCAACATCCACCACCGATTCAGTTTGAACTCCAACATCACGCAGCTCGGTATGTGTGCTCCCGCCCGTTACTGGAGATGTCGCTTCCAATTCAGCCACCCTTCTCTCAAGCTCCTTCAGGTAAGCAAGCGGAACAGTAATGTTATCTCCAGCTCTGTGCGATCTTGTCGGTAGACACTCTGCATTTTTACGGCGACACTCGCCACAAGAAGGCTTCACATGGTCACATTTCCGCTTGAGACGGAAACAGCGGGCACAAGCAATATCTCTCTGTTTCAATGGGCGCGACATAAGGGAGATGAAAGATGAAAGAGAAAGATGAAAGAGAAAGAGTTTGGGGAGAGCGGAGAATACTCATTGATAAGGATAAGCAGGTGCCACTGGCTAATGTATACTTAGTACAAGTTGATACTTATGATAGGCCCGATATCATATCAATGAATACAGACCCCTTATCTCATGTTTCTTCACTACTTCCTTTGACTCCTCTCGGCTCCCTTAAAGTTGTCTGATCCCCTGTCAGACTTCAGTCCCGAATCCACTTGTCTCCGGCGACATCATAGCCGATTGCCTTGGGATCAATATTGAGTGTCTTGAGCATATATCCCATGTTAAACTCCTGTAATAAGTTAGATCTTAAAGTAAATGGCTAGTATAGATGCTGTATGAGACTCACCTCGTTCTCATTTTCTTCCTCTTTTTCTTCCTCGTGGGTTTGATCCGATATATCGACATCTTGCTCCCCGTTTCCTGCAAGATCTTGTTTCAGTTGGTCATCGTCAAATCCCCATGAGCCGAATCCCGATGATGCATTAGGCTTGTTTTGCTTCTTCCAAGCAGCTATCCCGCCCATCTTCGACACACGTTCTTGTGCATTTTCGAAAACTTCATCAGCCACATTATGGGCAATGCGTCGCCATTTGACGATCTCTTCTTGCAGTTCTGCCACTTTGTTTGAAGATCGGATTTTCAAAGCTTGTTGTGCCATATCGAGATCCTCTTGTGTTTTTCGTAGCAGTGCGTCAAGTTCGCGTTTCTCATTTTGTAGCTCTTTCATTTCTGGATCAATTGATGGCTGTTTCTTTAGCATTGGCAGGAAAGGACGAGAGATGGGCTTTTTGTCAACGGTGGAAGACGTGGAGGTCGATGCTACGGCATCGTTTGCAGTCACTGGGACGGTGCTCACTTCTGTTGATGGTAGAACTTCACATGAAGACGCAGGTGGAACAGGTCGACGAAGTGGTGATTTGAATGGTCGTGAGAGTACCGATTCAGCATTCATACGACGACGTTTGTTGGGTGAAATATCAGCCATGACGTTGATGATGGGAACTCCGCTGAGAAGACGGAGAAAGCCGTCAAAACTACAACTAATGCTGGAACTGGTAAATTGAAAAACGTGACTTGGTAATCAGTCTTATCTACGAGAAAGATGTCTTAACAAAGATACAAATAGCCAATCAATGACCAACACCGCCAGCAACCCACTGTGCAAACTCAGGGTCGCCAGGCTGGGGGAATACGCCACGATCGCCATTCACATTGGCATTGTTTGCGTCTACGTTTGCGTTCTCGTTCCCATTCCAGATTCCGTTGGCCCGATTCGCATTGTTCGCGTTCTGCCTACGTCGATGCTGCTGGCGGATATACACCAGAACGAGAAGAGTAGCTGCTAATCCAACAATGAGCAAGCCCTCGAGAACACTCTCGTCAACGTCAAAGTCCATGTCATCGTAGTAGCCATCTTCATGGTGCTCTGAGTCGAGGCTTCGTGTGGTCAAGTAGTCGTCGCCCTCATCTCTCCGCTCGTACATCTCTTCATAATACGCCGCCGCGTCATTTGCAATGAAGGCAGTTATCCATTCGCGGAGGGTGCGACGGGGTCGAGCATCTGAAAATCGTTAGAGGCGAGTTACATTTAAAGAAAAGATAGTTAGAGAACTGTTATTCACCTTCGTCATCGCGAATTGGGTTAATGTCACCGTTGGTGATGCGATTCCAAAATCCTCGTGCTCGCAATTTCAGCAAACTTAGCTTGACCGGTAGATATGCCTCTTTATTAGCGTCAAGAGCTAAGTCGTAGTATCGTTTGGCCATGTGGAAATCCTGAGCCACTGAAACACCATTCTCGTGCATCCAGCCCAAGTTCCAGTAAGCCTGTGCGCTATGGTGAGCCTCGGCAGCGTTGTGGTAACAAGTCGAAGCCTTCTCAGCATCGGAGGCTATACCGATACCAGCTAGATAATAATCACCCATCTTGATCAAAGAATCAATATTGGCCTGTTTTGCTGATCTAGTCCAGTAGATCAGGGCCAGTGCTGTGTTGCGTAGCAGCGAAGACCGAACCTTCTCAGCCCATGGAAGGAAAGCATTTAGAGAGAACAAGGAATGCTGCTCATCGAGAAGGTAAGCCACATTGGCCTGTGCATATTCATAGCCTTGCTCTGCAGCCATCATGGCTGGAACGAGGGCACCTTCCTTGTCTCCAGCCTCATAGGCAGAGTTGGCCTCTCCAAATGCTGAGTGAATCATCTCGGCCTTTTCAGCAACCATTTTGTAGTAGGCAGCAGCCACTCCGCAGTGCCGTTGTCTTCCTACGCCATAATTCGCCATCTCGGCAAGGTAATAGTAAGCCTCCATATAGCCCCAACGAGCAGCGAGCTCGAAGTAACGCATCGCAGTTGCCACATCCCCTTGATCCAAGAATAATGCGCCCAGTCTTGTTTCCGACGCAGGAATATCTTGATCTGCAGCTGCTTTGAAGTAATTAGATGCCGTGTATGCATCTTGAGCTACACCATAGCCATGGAGGAACATGAGCCCCAACTCATGCTGACAGAGTGCATCTCCGCTGGCCACACCTCGACGGAACCAAAACAGCGCAGTGGCAAAGTTTTGCTTCACACCCTCTCCTCGGAGATACATGAGGCCAAGATGTCCGGCCGTTTTAGCGGCCAGCTTCTCAAGTCCCTCCGGTGGATTCTTGTTAACAGACCCATCCTTAGGGTTCCAGTATTTCTTGGTGACGGTCTGGAAATAGTTCCTGGCTTTGGGGAAATTCCGGGGCATACTACGAGCACCGTCATAGTGCATCTTCCCAAGAGTAAAAGTGGCTTTGAGCTCCCCTTTGTGCGACATCAGGTCCAAGAATTCCAGAACATCTTCCACACTAGCATCGGCACTGGGGTGAGCAGATTCTTGCGCATTGGGCCCGGCGCTTGAAACGCTAGCTCCTTTTCCATAAACACCACCTTCTTCATCCGCCCAGCGGTAAGACTCTCTAAACATAGCGTGTCCTCCTGGCGGACCAGACCGAAAGTAGGCCATGGCCTTGTCGGCCACTTTCTTGTAGTAGATGAGAGCGTGATCACAGTCCTTGGGTGTTCCAATGCCTGCATGGTATCGATATGCGAGCGTCATTTCTGACCGTGTATTTCCAGTTTCAGCTGCGAATTCATGGTACAGCAGCGCCTTGGCCTGATCACGTTCAACTGCATTACCAATACCGGTCGCATACATAAATCCGACCATGGATTGCGCTGTGTTGTTTCCGGTGAGGGCTGCCAATTCATTGTACCACAGGAAAGCGTCGTCGAAGTTGCGCGGGTGGGTGAAGTTGCCGTAGAAGTTCATTTCCGCCAGAAGATACATCGCATCCGGGTCGTAGTCCTCCTCTGCCGCTACTTTCAACTCCTTAACGGCTCTTGTGATAGTCGCGCTAAGTTTGTGATCGGTCTTGCCTGAGGTGGGCCCGTTCATGAATAGAGTCCGGAAGGCTTCGCGGCCATAGTAGAAAGTGTACCCAAGTAGCCCAGAAGGCTTTTTGAATTGGGAGTTGGAGGGCTTTGTAGCTTGAAGAATGTCCCATGCATCCTGAACTCGTTCTGCGATGGAGATGAGAGCTATATTAGTAGGTGAGCCACACGCGATCAAGGTTGGATGAACTCACGGCTCACGGGCCAAGGCTCCGTTTCTCCTGAAGCAAAGCCATAGTCTTGGTGATCAGCCTGAGCAGTACCTGCATCCGATGCAGTCTTACCCAAAGGAACTTGGTTTGACGCTGCTGCGCATGTCTGTAATACCACTAAGATGAGTGTCAGCAGCAGATGACTGGAACCTTGGAAACGTGGATCTTACGCAGAGCTGGCAGAAAGGAAGATAACGTGGTCCTCATAATGCCAATAAATTAGAATAATACGAAAGTAAGAGTAGCATTGCGACTCTTACAATGCATGAGGAAATGGGGGAAGCTGAATGTAGTTCGGACGGGCCACTTGGCTTGACGGAGCTTTATTTTGCCGATGACGAATCAACGGCCGGCCTTGTTAGTATAGGCAGCTATGCCAAACAAAAACTACAACAGCTTATTATACGGTGTACGACCCTTTAAGGAGGAAAGATTATGATGGAGCCTGCGTAAAGAAAGATGTATTCTTTAAAATGAAAAAAAATTTGTTACGGCAAATTTCGCAGGTGCTTTCTGAATAAGCACTTTTTAAGACAAATACCATGGCGACTTTCGTAATAGAACCGCAGGCTGGAGCCATATTGAAAGCACGCCTCGAATCAGCACTTCAATACTAGAGATACAAATAACATCAGGCAGCCGAAGAGGGTCTCTTCGGGTGGAATTGACAATTAGCCCGAGCGTAGATAGCATTTGATCTCCAGGTCTCAAAGAGAACAGACACATCACAGGTCCTTCTTCACGCCCTTGTTGGAAGAGGAAACCTCGTCACCGAGCTTGTGGTACTCGGCGGTCAAACCCTCGCACTGCTTCTTAAGGGTCTCGATATCACGGTCCTTGGCGGCAATGATCTCCTTCAAGCGGCCAATCTCACCAACAGAGCCAGCTTCGGCGATACGAGTGGAATCCTTGCCACCAGCGTTCTTGTTACCCTCGAAAAGCTTGACGCGGTCCTCAAGGCGAAGAACCTCCAATATCATGGTGTAGGTGCGGTTGAGAATCAGGGAGAGGAAAAGAGTGAAGCCACACAGGTACATGTTGCGCTGGGAGTAGAACTTGCGGGCTTGCACCTCCATGCGGTCGGTACCCAGGTGGGCGGCTCTGTAGGTGGGACGGCTTAATGATTAGATTTTTGAGCTTTATTCATATAAGTTCAAGATATGCGCGACTCACCCGATGTTTCCATCCTTGGAGAAAGCTGCCAGTTCCTGCTGCACTCGGTAGACCCGGTTGACACTGTCGAGGAACAGAATAAGGATGAAGATGAATGTTATCTGAGAAATTGTCAGGTTGAAGTTTACGACCATTCTTTGGATAACTCATAAATACCTTCAGGCCATACTGGAGTTTGGCAATTATAGGACTTTCCGAGATGAATGCGAAGAGCTTACGCTTGATGGTGAATGGCAGAGGGATGATGAGGGCCAGGAAAACTCCCATCTCAAACACCAGAAGCATAAAAACCTATTCATAATTTCAATGTTAGCAAGTGATAATATTTGAAAGCTTCACCGCAAATTCTCGCGGCTTCGGCTGACATGGGTGAGCTGATCGCTCCCATTAGGCTGCCACCGCTCTCACGGCGATCCAGTCAGACAGAGCATAATAGTTCCAGAGGACTCGCCATGAAAACTTACTAGACTGTAGTAAAGAGTCATTTTGGCGACTGTATTCAGTAGACCTGATAAATTATTTGATGGCCAAAAGGGGGGTATGGGGTGAAATCGAGAGCTCCAATTCAATCTGACTTGAGTAAACAAAGGCCAGATGTCAGAGGGAAGCTAACGGTAAATGATTGAAGATTGAGAAAGTGGGTAAGACGGGAATAGCGAGAAATACGTGTTCAAATCAAGAGGGAGAAAATGAGGAAGACCCGCTGGTGCAGTTGCAGTCTTTATTTCTTGCCCGGGAGGTAGACGTCATCGGAAGCGTATCACGTGATTATCTGGACAGCCCTAATCAGAAGCTGTCATTCATCATCGATAAGACCCGCTTGACGTATTCGATAACTAAGGAATAAATTCTAAGGTACCGAGTAAAGCATTGGTCTTGATGGACTAAACTCTCAATTCCTTTTGAGCTAACTAACTAGCAAGCTAACCCTCAGCCTCATCATAAGCGCTCGATTTGTGCTTGAGTCGAAACTCGAATTCAGAATACGACGGTCCTGAGGCCGTCTTGACTTTAATTCCTTTCAAACTGCCTAACAATTTTAACCCTCAGCCTCATCGTCGTAAGCGTTCGACTTGTGCTTGGGTTGGAACTTGAAATCGGGGTGCGACGGTCCCAGGAACATTTCACTGTAAATATAGTTAGATAGAATATCATTGAAATGTTGAAAAGCATAAGAACAACTTACGTGATCTTGATCCAGTCCTTGTAGTTTCCACTGCCCATCAGAGTCTCCAGCTCATTACGACCCTGCCAGGCAGGAGGTCTATCCTGGATATTCGGGGGCAAATACTCGAGCAATCCGATTGGAACATAGCGGTAGGCAAAGCTTAGCCACTCCATTAAGAATCGACGTGTGGTGCCAACTCCATGCTCATCTGATCCCCAGGCCTCGAGACCATACTTAGCAAACTTCTCGACATAAGCAAGGCGCTCCGATGCAGATTTGTCAAGGTATTGGCCCGTCTGGATCTCCTCGAAGATCCACGGCTTGATGAGTGCGCCGCGTGCCACCATGACGGAATCCACGCCAGCATTGTTAATATGATCATCGTAGTTGAAATGAGAGTAACAGTCACCGTTGCCGAGGAAGTAGGTCTTTCCTCCGTTCGGCTGGTACCGGGCATCGGGTTCCCGAACGGTGTCGGTGACCAGGTCTGTCTGCTTGTTCAGACGTTTGATGAGAGCTGCGGTCTCTGCAATATATCCCCAGTCTGCAGACTTGGTGTAACGCTGCTGTCTACTCCGGCCGTGAAGAGTGATTGCTGCAGCACCAGGTGGGCCACAGTTGAGGTAACTAGACTCGTAACCACCAAGGATAAGGCGTTCAACGAGCTTATACGCAGTGGGCTGATTATCTCTGGTTCCCAGGCGGATCTTGACGGTAATGGGAATTTCCTGGGAGACGGCGTTCATACCGCGAATCATCTTCTCTAGCTTGGAGTGATGGTCGAGAAGACCAGATCCTGCTCCATCACGGTAAACAAGGTCAATAGGGCAGCCACAGTTCAAATCTATGACACGTAAATTCGGGGTAAACTTCGATAGAATCTCTGTAGCCTTGAGTGCCTGGATTGGCTTGTTGGCGGCGATCTGAGCACCAAATTTCAAGTCCTTGGAGTTGTCGTAACCCTGAACCACATTTTCACTGTGAGTGATGGTAGGTGGAAGCATTTCTGACTCATGGGCTTTCAACAGAGTCCACTCAGACTTCCCACCCTGGATCAGAGGCATACTCATTGCCATCTCTGAATAGGTCAACTGGGCGCCAAGATCGGTACAGAGTCTTCGGAAGGGCATGTTTCCTTGTGTTGTCAAGGGTGCTAGGACCGGAGTCTCGGGTCCGAAGTAGATGCGTCTCTTTTCAGAAGCCAGGAAAGGAGGTTGAGTAAACTGTGCTCTAATATCTTCAATCTCATTCTTCTTCTCGGCTTCCTTGGCCTCCTTGTTTTCTTCTTCGGTCTGGTCGGCTCTTTCCTTCGCTTCAGCATTCTCCCCTTCCTTTTTTTGTCTTCCATGCAGCAATTTCTCCAGCTGTTGGGATGACTCGTTTAACCAATTATTGTAGGCATTGGCACGGGGTGTGAAGTCTATCTTGTTCCGCGTAAGTGCATTTTTGTCATCATTAGCGATGATGTTAACCTGTCCATCTGGCAATGCATATGGCACAAGTGGCTTGGCCTTAGCAATGCGTTCTTCATCTTCCAACAGCACAAGCTCTGTCTTTCCATCTTCTGTTTCTCTCTCTGTAGAGTGCGTACCAACTAGGCGACACTTCCATCCAGAGAAACATTTTCCTCGGACATCCCAAACGGGACAGATAGACATAGTTGTGAGATCCTCACGCTTATGCTCCTTCAAATAGGTACGTAGGTCATGCTCCCATCGACATTTATCACCAAATGGACACTCCTCGGGGGAGAACTCGGGGGCGAAAGTTCGCGACGCGCAAAGACCCTTAGCATCTTTGGACGAGCCGAAGCTCCGGTTGGTGTTCTGGCCCTTCTTCTTATTCTTCTTCCGTCTATCCTTCTTGGCTTCCTTCTTGGAATCTTCATTTTCGGCATCTCCCGTTTCCGCATCTTCGGCTTTATCCTCGGTTTGGATCTCTTCTCTGGGAATTAGGTATCTAAAATTGAATGGACGTTAGTACATTGTCTCGATCTCAGTTGTAGAAAGTTGAAGATTCCATACTCGGCCTTGATAGGTGCAATGCCTCTTGAACGGAGATCTTCGAAGCGGTCTTGTTCGTTGGACTCCACCCGTACTTTCTTGGAAGGAGGCTGCTCGGAGTCAACATTAGCTGCGCGCTTGACGTCTGCCTGTACTGGAGCATCGCTACTGTTCTCAGGCAGCGGCTGGGCCATTGTCAAGTCAGCACTAGACATTTCGGCTCGTCAGTCAATTATCGTCAGTTAATTGCTCAAGCAAAAGATCAAGCTTCGATCTTCAAAAATTCGTAGCGGCAGGTTTAGTTTGCACTGTTTGTTACGGCAATCGAGCATCTATGATTGGTTTAATGCTATCGACATTTGCATTATGATTGGTCCAATTTCGTGCACGGAGTATAAACTTGTAAGGGCCATCAAGTTGTATTTAAGGGCTAAACTCGATAATGCTTCAATCTTATCTCTGAGTGACCTGGGTAAAGAAGATCAAGACATGACATCATCTTCAACTTTAAAAAAAAAACGAATGATTATATAATCTCGATGAACTAGTTAAATAACTAATTACAGTTGACTTACTGTGTTGTAGCGCCTCGGGAGGAACTCGGGATTTAATCTCACTATAAACTCAATCGTGAAGTCATTATATTCACACTTTTCAGCGTATTCCGATACATAAAATATCATGCAAACATTGAAACCGACTTTCAAATTCCTTCCTCTATTACAGCTTAGCAGTCGAGCCTAAGAGATGCTTCATCTCAGAGTTAGGGTACTCGACATTGTCAGATGAGTCGGGTCGCTGTCGGTCCCACGCCCACTTCTCTGCCAATTTAGGCTCCAGTTCTCCCTCCAGCATCTGTGTGATATACTTTCCAAGCACAGGGAAGAACTTGAAGCCGTGGAAAGAGCCGCAAGTTGCGACGTAAAGTCCTCGGGAAGCAGAGTGTGGAGATATGATGAAGTCAGAGGTAGTGGTGAAAGCGTCCCTGTTTAATGTTACTTCTTGATCTTCATACTATGGAGAGGTAAGGGATACTAACCAGCAAATTCGGTGCTTCGTCATGTTCCAATCCGCACTCTCGGGTCCATACCACAGATTCCTGGACTCAATGATATCCTGCTTGAGAGGTCCAGGAACTTTCCACTGGTTGTAGTCATGTGTGGGGGGTGGAGAGGAAATGTACCGTCCAGGCAATACCTCTCGCGTGTTTGTAAAAATTTTTGATCCCCACCACTTAAGCTCTCCATCCGCGGTTGGAGGAATGCTACCAATGAATGGCTTGCCTTTTAACAGTTAGGAAATGCAATATATGAAGGCGAATAATACTTACCCTCCTCGGATGTGTAGCCCTGGAAGCCAACAGGCATGTCCTTATACTTCTTATATCCCTCCGCGTCGAGCTGTGCCATTCCCGTTGTAATACCAGCGGCCACAATTCTGTCTCCAGCTCGGAGACCAGTATTGCCGCTCTTGGCGGCACTCCACTCCAGCAATGTGGGTGTAAAAGCACCAGCAGCGACGATAGTATGCGTAGCGGACAAGGTCTGGCCATATTTCGTCTTGGCGCCAGTGCAAGAGCCACGGCCATTAAATTCAAGAGTAGAGACGTCAGCCGTCACGTACTTTACGCCCAACTCGAGGCATTTCTTCGTAACAGCTCGAAGAGAATCTCCAGCAGCAGCCCAACCACTGGCCCTGTTCACGAGAACTTCTTTGACGCCGGTATAATCTGCGTTCTCGAAAATTCCGTTGTAAAGTTTCCGGGCCTCGGAGACAGGCAGTGCAATGATGTCATCACTACGGCCGAGCTCCTTGTGGTGGGAAATAACGGTTTGCGCATAGTTACTACGGCAATTCCAGTAGACGCCGGTCTGGTGGAAAAAGGGTTGCCAAAGAGGATCTGACTTGAAAATGTCTTGGGCCTCAAGAGCCAGTCTGCAGTAGATCATATCGTCGTAGTCGGCGCGAACAACCTTGTTCCAGTCCCATGATGCAGCTACTCGAGACTCGGCATCGTATGCATCTCGATCAACCAGAGTCACTGATGCATTAGGATATTTCCGAATTAGGTGATAAGCAGTTGATACGCCGAATACACCAGCCCCAATGATGAGGTATGAAGGAGTGGTTGAGGCAGATGTAGTTGAGGGAGAGCTCGGGGTAGAATTGTTTAAAGACATATTGTAACTGCTCAATGGAAATTCAACTGCTCCTGAGACAGTTGGAGGAATAATGACAAATTCCAGGTTTACGGGTAATGAGAGGATCCGATGGAATTGGATTTAGGATTGGTATATAGGTAACGAAGGTAGAGCTTTCATAATCTACGGGAGAATTGAGGGCTTATCAGTCAATTGGAAAGTCTCGACTATTTTCAGTGACGGCGAACTTGGTCCGATCCCGCTGTATCTTTATCGGGAGGGGCTCCGGTCAGCCGATCACGTGGAACCATATGGCTTAACAAAGGCTAACTCTTCAACCCTTCAAGCTTGTAGAAAAAACGGAATAAACCAGCCGGCAAGCGATTTGGAGCCGATAATGCCAGCCTCAGATAGATGGTAAAATATAAACTCCGCTGTGAGCTCCGGGGCGAATTGGTCTGTTAGCAAGTGAGTGAGAACCAAATTCCGGGCACTCTAATTGTCGTAAAATAGACAGTTGTTATCAGTCTTTCCAAAAGCCCAAAAGCCCACTTTAGGATTCATCTAGCATTATTGCTGCGAGAGGTCACTTGCATACCGATCACCCGAGTAACAAGTTCGCGAGTCCCCAACCACAGGGCTGTAATGAGTGAGAATAACAATAGTGCGCTGTGTTTCTGAACTCGCTATTCTGATTATCTGATCATTAAGCCATTTCAGACCAGCTTCGTGGACCGCATTGTCGTCATCTACCGTCCAACTTTCAACATCGTAGACGTGATTGCTACGGACGGAGAATTGATTTTGTATATGTGAAAATAGCGAGCTTCCTCGTATGGTGCCATTTGGCGATATATCGTATCAGTTCTGGTCAAGAAGGACAAAAGAACCTAGGTCAATCGAGGATCCGGAACGGCGCTGGTCAATAAAGTCAGTAAATTCACGGATTGTGTCCTTTGTCGGAGTCCAGGAACAATAGAAATGACTCTTGTTTTCCTAAAAGTCAAAACACAATTTCAAAGCTGCGCAGCTGCTTTTCAAAGAATATGAAAAATCCTTTCTCTTTGACTATAACTATGTTGCCAAGAAGTGCGATGTATGGAGCTTTCGGGAATTTCAGTCATCGTATTGAGGCGGATGCTCAAAATGCGGATCCGAAAGAAATTGGAAATTGATGTCTGAATGATTTCATCGTGAAAGGTTGCCACTGTTGAATCAGTATTGACGGATAAATCGATGCGAGATCATAAACTTGCAAGTGTTGAGTTCAAGATCCAGTGGATCCGAGTTACATGTCCTGTGGCGTTAGATGTGGCGGTGCATTTGAGCTGTGGCGAAGCTGTAGTTCTTAGCGCCAGGTGACTGTTCATAAGAAACGTTCTTCCCTGGAGAATTTGTAGTCTACCATTAATCCCTCATCTCCCTCATCTCCCCTTCACCCTTCACAAACTCCTAACTCGTCTTATTTGGGATTTTGGGATTTCGGACTGTAGGTGGCACACCTACGACGTCATCGATCTATCCTTATCAACTTCTCCACACTTGACCAGCATATATTTGCTTTCCTCAATAAATCGTCATGGCAGCTTTACACGATCCCCGACTGCTCTACAGTGTCAACAACATCCGCGCTTTTCACATCCAGGATGGCGAGGAGCAAGAACTTACACCCTCTGGCCCTCAGCCGCTCTCGTTGCTGATGGTTCCGACGACCCCTTCATCACCTATCCCACATGCACATGGCACCGGGGGAGAGAATGATCCAGAGACTGATTTCTATCTACATATGTATCTTCCCCCGGAGCTTGACCTGGCATTGCCAGCGGATACACAAATATTTCATCAGTCACCGAACAGCTATCTCATCCCCCGCTGGGACATGCCACAAGAGATCGGGGCCTTTATTCGCATTCAATTCCCTAGTATTGGATCTGGCCCCAGTAATGTTACACAGGATGATATTGATACATTCGAGACTATTCTCGCGCAATGCACTGCATTCCATGACTGCGCTCCTTCTCCACGGAAGACTGAAAGTCACGCTGCCTACAATCCAGCTGCATACGCGCCTGGCGAGGGATATATCTCGTCAGACAGCAAGAATCGAGCTTCACATGGTAAGATTGTACTAGTGGATGAGGAAGATGGTAGTGTGGTTGGAGAGTTGGGCGATGGATATGACGTTGTCGAGGATGCCGATGTAAAGCCTGGATCGAAACGTGAGTGAAGCCTACCTATTATCACTTCTCTCCTGCGCTTGACTTCTGATCTAACTTGCTTATCCTAAGTAGGACCCGTTGGAATTGAACTTCCTAGTGAAGGTGAGGGCAACCGAGTCAATGTGAGCAATGTCTCGGAAGAATACCTGGCCATGTCTCGCCATCCCGCATATCAAAACTCGACGATTGTTCAGACATCGGCCACAGCTTCTCGGCTGATTGTCACGACCTCGACATATCTGGCCAATGCCATCTCGAGCGGTGCAGAGAACTTTACGAAGAGAGTGCAGCCTAACCCGCAGCCACTGACGTTCTCCGATGCTACCCACTCGCGTGTCCGCAAAGTGGGTACACTGTCCAACGGTGCCGCTGGTCTATCGTCCCGCACCGTAGGGCAAGTGGAGAAGATTGCGCAGGCGATGGGTGCCAGAATGGCCGGCAAAGGCAACCATGACAAGAGGAATCCGCCACCGAACTATAAGCCAGGTGTACTGAATAAGTCGATGATTGCCTTTTCTACTATTGCAGACGGTATCCAGGAGGGGGCACGAAATGTTCTTCTGACTGGTACCGCAGCAGCCAGTACGGTGATTGGTCACCGATATGGGTCTGAAGCAGAGACTGTTGCGAAGAACTTGACTGGAGGCATCAAAAATGTCGGTCTAGTGTACATCGATGCCACCGGAGTCAGTCGGCGGGCTTTACTCAAGTCAGTTGCTAAGGGTATGGTTGTCGGACGGATGCGTAATGGGCAGCAGGTGATGGTCGGGACTGGCGACGGTGGAGAACTGCCTCAAGGGACCCAGATCAATGCAGAAGCCGGCCCTTCTAGCCTTAGGGCTCGGAATCCAGTTGTCCGACGTCCATCGACAAACTCCACACCGCCACCTGCGTATGGGGCATCAGGAACGACATCACTGGGAGGGATGAAGCGTTAAGTGTTAATCGCTAAACGCGCTAAGAAGAGATAATGGGAGGATATCTATTGTTTGGCATCATTAGGCTTAATTGGGAGGCAACAGATTGATTTGCGCGAGAATGAAGAATTTTACTCTATTATGTTTCTGGATTCTATACCCTTGAGTACCGGTTATCAGAGGGACAGATTCGTTCGATTCTGGTTTCCAAGATCTCCTCGCTCAAAATTCAAGGTTTCGGCAAAGGTGGGGATTGAATTGTTTCAAGAGTGACTAGTTAGTTAGTTGGTAGTCTAAGACGGTACTGAATCGATCAGGATTTATGGAGATATTAGCCGATTAAACCAGAGTAGCGGACAATCTTGCCAACACATCGACAGTTGTCAGGTCTGTGCATCCAATTGAATAGCAAGGTAGGTAGGTATGAACGAGTAGGTGAATTTATAGTTTATTCTATCTCTCTAATATTCATATACTGACGTAGACTACATAAACGTTGTGGTGCCATTTAGTGGATCCTGTACCTAACTACGGAGTACTACAGTGGAGTATGGATGTTAATATGTTATGCCGCACTACGGAGTAGCGTGGACCCCAAACACTCTAAGAAACGAGACATCTTATGATATGAGATAATAATATGAACTAAAATACCCTTTCTATTTTTCCGACTAAACAGAAAATAAATCTAGTTATTTATTTAGATGAAAGGAGAGTTAGTACTACTGGTATTAGTAAGCAATTAAGATCGTGAGTTGAACCTTGGGTCGATATGGGTCCCCTTTCTTAGCCATTGGATCATGATTCAAGGAGATCTGAATCCATGGATCGAAATACATTTAAATAGAGATAGGAGGGAATAGGAGTAGCATTGTCCATACTGAATATTCCGTATCTCGTATTCAATATTCCTGTAGCTAGCTGTAGCTAGTCCAAGAGGAGGTATACAGGTCACACAGGAAGTATGAAGAGTAACAAGTGAGCCTTGTTTTTTTCAGGGGTTTGTTTACCTAGAAGTAAGTACCTTGGAACCGAGTACCTAGACAGCTACTATAGCATCATGATAATTATCCTACTACCTATGCCTAGTGAAGTACTCTAGCCCTACCTAGCCTACCTGCGTCAGCAATCGATCGGATAATTATCAAGATCGAGTATGAATAACGATCGTCACTAGTTAAACTAACGAAAGAATAAGTCAATCCACCTAAGCCCCTTTTTTCCCCTTGTCTTTTTTTGCTTTTTTTTAATGAAACGGATAGTCCGTCCTTGTCCTAGACTACCCAAATCTGAGACTCTTAGCCCTATACACAGACCACCATTTTTTTTTATCAACCCGTTTCTTCCGCTTCTTCAATCCTTCTTTTTTTTCCTTTTTCCTTGGTTTTCCCTTTTATTTCCCTTTTTCCTTCCTCCGTAGTGGAGAATAGATGCCGGCCCCATAGAGGATCAGCCATCGGGCCTCGCTCCCGTTTCGTTCTATCACAGCCCAAGGCAAGGGACTACACTTCATTTGAACTTATACTTCATACTAGGAATTTAGTATCTTGGTATTGTAGATGTTGAATATCGTTTCCAGATTTCAACTTTGAGCTTTCGACTAGGTTTATATCCACGGAATATTTGCTATTTCATCTCTTTTGGCTATACTAGAAATCCCCTTAGAATCGTAACTACTGCTCATTTTATTCCCGAAGTAACGGACCAGCTGTAGTTCTGAGCTTAAGAATTTGGTTATAATTAAATATTATTATATTACAATTTTTTGGAAAGGAAATGGAAAAAGAATCGTCATCTCATCGATATTCATACTCAGCTCGGAGACCCGCTCTTCCCCCAGACTAAACGAAACTAATACCGGAGCCCTTTTCATATCTCTCAACCTCTCCTCCTTCCACACCTTCTTCCTTTCGCCCTCAACTCCAAGGGCTTCCTTTCTCCCTTTCTTTTGTTTCTGTTGATTCCTTTCGCAACTCTACCATTAAACCCCTTTTTCATCCACCTTTGGACCGGTGCTTCCCGCCCTCCGCTCGCGGCCCCCCTGTCCGCCCCTCTCAGCCCTTGGCTAAGATATCATGTTCACTAATTGCAATTGAAAGTTGGAATTGTCGTTGGAATTCAATCGCGTTTGAGACATACTCACGTTTGTTTCCTATCTGAACTTGCCACACGTAGTGAGGGGATCCCAAGTCTGCAGTGCAGGTAACTATCCCCCAGCTTTCCTTCTTCGTCTTTTCGGAGGTTTTTTGATTTTGATTTTCTCCCCTTTCAACGCGTCTTTACTGTGTCTGTATCTTTGTGGCTGTAGCTTCCTTGTAATTCTGCACGTTTGATTCTGTCTTTTTTTTTTGGTTGAGCGCGACCTCTGGCGTGACATTCTTCCCCCCCCCTCCTCTCCCCTCCATTCTTCCGATCGAATCTTGTCAGTGGCCACCTCTATTCCTGATTAGATTGCACATCTTTGGCCGATAAGCATATTGATATGGGATTGATCAGCTGACGTCTGTACTTTCATCTACAGCTTCGTGAGGCTGAAGTCGTCACTCCGCGAGTGCGACCGATCGCCCAGCCCCCGACCCTTTCGCCAAACCACCTCCGGAAGGCCTTGGTGTTTCTGCGCATCAATTGTATCACTTGCAATTGACTGCAAAATATTCTTTACGCCGGTGCTCCTCTCATACCGCGAAGATCGTGTTCGATCACTGCGCATTAATCAAAAGGTGAGGTCGATCTGACAACATATTTGCGATGCGCTCGAAAATACTAATTTTCAAAAAGCCATTCCCAGGGCCGGTCCTAATCAGCTTCGACCGGCTATGAGCACTTCCAGCCCGCAGACCCTGCCGCTTCCTGCCCATACTCCTCCATCCTCGTCACATTCAGTTCCTCTGGTGCAAAACAATGCGCGCACCAACTTCCCCGATATGTTAGGCTCACCCCCGGTTCCTCCCCCCAGGACCTCCTCAACAAATCACACCCGCCGCAGCCCCAACGGTTCATCAAAAGATAAGAGTTCGCGACACGAAAGCAGTCGCGCCGATCGCAAGGAAAACCGCGACCGAAACGGCAAGAGCCGCGCTCGACAGACAGATTCTCCGGAGGACTCAGCATTAGACACAGGCAGGTCTAGAGCAGCTTCGGAAGGCGAAGTTGGTTCTGGACACGGAGCTTTGCCGGAGGAGCCAAGCTCAGTAATCAACTCGGTCATGGTCAGTGACCCTACGGTAGATCGCGAGCGAGAGGAATCACGACAAACGGCTGCGGATCTGGCAGATGTTTCAAGACAGGCCCCTGGATTTGCAAATGAAAACCCAGATGAAGTGCAAACCCGCAGACGCAGTCGCCAGGATCACAGCAACAGCAAACGGAAAGAGACAGCTTTTGGTCAGTACATTCTCGGCCAAACCCTCGGTGAGGGTGAGTTCGGAAAGGTCAAGCTGGGATGGAAGAGAGACGGTAGTATCCAGGTCGCCATCAAACTCATTCGTAGAGAATCTCTGGGATCGAACCCCAATCGACTACCGAAAATCTACCGTGAGATCAACATCTTGCGCGAACTCGCTCACCCCAACATCGTCCGTCTTCATGAGATGGTGGAAACCGAGCGCCACATTGGTATCATTATGGAATACGCATCAGGAGGCGAACTTTTCGACTACATTCTCAATAACCGCTATCTTAAGGACAATTCAGCTCGTCGACTCTTCGCGCAGCTAATCTCCGGTGTTGGCTATCTACATAAGAAGGGAATTGTGCACCGTGATCTGAAACTAGAGAACTTGCTACTGGATCGCAACCGCAACATCATCATCACAGATTTCGGCTTTGCAAACACTTTCGATGCCTCGGATCAATTAGAAGAGGAGATCGAATACAACCTTACTAATAAGGAGTACGTGCGACGAAAGCGCTTGGACCGAACCGGTCCCGATGGGCACCGACGGGGTGATCTAATGCAAACGAGCTGCGGAAGCCCTTGTTATGCTGCTCCTGAGCTGGTTGTCAGCGACTCTCTCTACACTGGACGTAAAGTTGATGTATGGAGCTGTGGTGTTATTCTGGTATGTTTGATATGATTTCAGATTGTGTCTATCTGAGCTAACTTCCCTCAAGTACGCCATGTTGGCCGGTTATCTTCCATTCGATGACGATCCAGCAAATCCAGATGGCGATAACATCAACCTTCTCTACAAATACATTGTCACAACTCCTCTCACCTTCCCTGAATACGTTACCCCTCATGCACGCGATCTGCTTCGACGGATACTGGTTCCTGACCCACGGAAACGTGCCGATTTGTTCGAAGTCGCCCGTCACAGCTGGCTGAGCGAGTACTCTCACATTGTCTCGCACATTACCAGCAGCACAACGAATGTCGTAGACATTGCCAAAACAGCGGTCCCTGCCGACTCTCCCACTGATGGACCAGCTCTCACTCGCAGTGCCTCTGTTCGCGAACCTCACAAGACGCACCAACAGCATCAAAGTGTATCTACTGTTGGCGGCCTCAGCCACCATGCTGGAGATATATCTCAGGACTCTCCCAGTGATAAATCCACGTCCCGTGACGCTAAGCGCAGAACAGTGCAAGTTGAATATGTAGCTCCCCAGTCACAGACAGTCAGAGGTGAGTATACGCCGGAACCTTCAGGATCCCGCAGCCGTGCAGCTGAAGCTGAGAAGCCAGTCGAGTCAACAGCCACTCGGCCCAAGCCACCCATCAACTACGACAAACCCCTTCCCACACACTATCCTCGGTCCACATCGGACACTGCACCTATCACTGGAGCGGCACATACCTCTGCTCGACCCACAACGGGTGGCTCGATGGCATCCTTCAATGGTGGCCGCCTGCCTTCTCGGGGATCGTATGGACAACCAGTGGCTCCCATGGTCACAGCGACAAACACTGAGGGTCGTTTGGCACAGCCCACGAGTGGACAATTCTCACTTGCCCAGAACCCCTCACAAATACAAAGTGGTTCCATTGGCCGTCCCAGTACCCAGCAATTGCCTCCGGCATTCAACCCGACTCCTCGACATGAACCTCCAGTCAAGAGCCACAAGCGATCCAGCACTGTCTCTAGTCTTGGCGAGAAGCTCTTTGGACGCTCTGCCAGCACAATCATCGGCGGCCGCAGCTCTCAAAATGCGGCACCCCGCGCTAACCGTCAAAGCAAGCGGTATCCCCCTGTTAGTATGAAGGAAGGTGGTCTTCCCCGCGAAGATTCTCGCATGTCCATGGATTCTAGACGTTCGACTCAACATAATCGGAAGGTGAGCGAAGTCGGAGAAGGACGACCTCGTCGATTCTCCCTCCTCCCGGCATCCTTCTCCTTGCGAGCATTCTCGTCTGGTCGAGCTCCGACTCCTGAGGAGACATCGCAAACGCCACGTACGATTGATCCTCGCGGCCAGCACCGCCCAACCACTGGTTCCCTTCCTGGTCGTGTCCGCGCTACTAGCTATGGAACACAGGACACCATGGGCATAGTCGCCGAAAGAACTTCAGATGAGGCACCTGAGGACTCGGAAACCACCGACCAGCTTAGCTACGAGGCTCATATCGATCAGCAGTTTGCCGAGCTTGGATCTCAATTTAATCAGGTCGATGATTCATTTGGAGCCATCTCATCTGAGCAAGTCCAGCCATCCGAAGACCAATACGGTGGTAATAACTACACATATGGATCCAAGCCTAACTACTATGACGAGTACAATGGCATGCCCCGTCAGTCCATGCAAGCCGGACGGACCACCCGTGGACCGGGTGTGCTCCAAAAGAATAACCGCAAGTTTGCGGACGCCTACGAGTATGACCTGCATCATTCTGGTAGCTCTGGTGCCGCTCGCAAGGTGATGGACTTTTTCCGTCGCCGGTCCAAGTCCCGCGCCGGCGAGGGTCAATAATTGTCCCCAATCCCCGAAACAAACGCAGACTCCAACCTTCTCCCTTCTTAACCTCTTGAATGGACATGATGGTTGGAACCCCATGAAACATCCCACCTGCGTTAATACCCCCCCCCCCCCCCCCCCTCAATTCTATGCATGAGCGATCTTCTCACCCGAAGGGTGTTTAGCGATATCTAGCATGGTTATTTCCTTTGTCAGAACAACATTTCCCTTAATGTCGCGTCCCATTTCCCCAGTTCTTCTCTTCTCTTACTCCCTTTTTCGTGTGATTCATATTTTATCTCCTTCACCTGTTATTATTACCTCTGGCTGTAAAGTGGGACCTAACCTATGTTCTTGTTCAGAGAATTTGTCTTTTCTTCTTGCATCCCCAGTTTACTACCCCCTTTCTATTCCCATCAATCTCTGTTTTTTCTTTATTTCCATATTTGATCCCAGTTCTTAGCTTCTGTTTCATACGGGAGGTTCACTTGAACGGTAATTGAAACTCTTTGTGACACTAGTCATCTACAGTATCTTGTTTCTCTGGCGTCTTGGTTCATCCACTTCTGCTGCTTGTTTCGGTAGTCTTCGCTTCATGACGGGTGTACATAGATGTAAATTACGATTAATTCATACCCTCCAACATGCTTAATCATTCCAAACACTGGTACTCCATAGTACCCTATAACGTATCTCTACCTATGTAGATTTGCTCACTGCACTTTCAAATGTTCAACGCCAACCAGATCAGCCTCCTTATTCAAGCTCACAACCTCAGCCTCAGCAAAAGGAATACCCTCAACAAGCCTCAACTCTTCCATATCCAACTCAATCTCCCCAGGAAAGTAAATCCTCTCAACCTCAGCCATCCTCTCGGACTCAACAACCCTCTTATAAAGATAATCCATCCTCCCCTTAAACTCCTCCATAGACATAAATAAATCCGGCTTAACAGCCACCAAAAAATGACCCACATCCGCGGGCCGCGATGGATCATACGGATTAGCAACATTCCCCGCAAAGGCAGCCCCAGAAAATACCCCCGAGAAAACATCCATCATAATCGACAACGCAGACCCCTTCGGCCCGCCCATAGGCAACATAACCCCCTCTAAAGCTTTCGCAGGGTCGTCAGTCCTCTCCCCGTTTTTATCAAGTGCCCAATCCTCTGGGATCTTCTCGCCACGCCTAAGTGCCTTATAAACCTTGCCCCGCGCCGCGACAGAAGGTGCCATATCGAGTATAAACGGCTTTCCATCCCTCCCACCCGGCGCACCACACGCTATAGGTGAAACACCCATCACCTTCTCCTTTCCGCCCCAAACCGGAAGTGCCGGTGACGAATTCGTAAAAACAAGACTCATCATGTCTGCCTCAAGAGCCTGCTTCACCAACCACGCCGACATCCCGAAATGATTCGAGTGCTTGACGGATACCATGCCTATGCCGTAGACAGCAGCCATTTCAATGGCTGATTTCATCCCTGCGTGCGCGGCTACGAACCCGAAGCCATTGGCCGCGTCTATCTGCGCTACGACAGGCGTTACTTGGCGCAGGGTTGGCTGCGCGGCTGGGTCAAGTACTTTTTGGCGGATTCGCGCCATGTAGCTCGGAATGCGGTTACTACCGTGCGTGTCTACGCCACGCAGATCGGCTGAGACGAGGCATTTTGCTACTATATCTGCACTTGGTGATGGTGTGCCGTTTGCTGTGAGGATTGCGCGGACGAATATCTCCAGGTCTTTGTGGTTTATTTTGTGCATTTGGTTGGTCATTTTGAGGGGTTCTGATAGTGGGTTGGAGGTTGGAGTTGGGATTTGTTGGGGGTGTTGTCTTATATGTCCAAGGCTGAAGATTAGATTCGGTCTTTATAAAACGCTGTAGATGTAGGACCTCGGATAACTTTCCGACTCAGACTACTTCCGGAAAGAGTATATATCAGAACATGGGACTGGTTTCTCGAAGGATTGATCTAGATAGTGTCTAGCATTACTTATTGTTCTGAAGACAGAAGACTTACATCTATATGCATTCCAGGTTTCACTGCCTGAATTTTGTGTCTAGACTTGAGGTGTATAGACATCAAAGTAGTATTCGCGTTCGTGCCGAGCTCTACTCTCCGCTTACTTAAGTCTAATAGTATCCATTGACGTAGTTCTTTCCAACACCTAGATCCTGTTCCGGAATTTCCTTATGCCCCTCAGAATTGCAATAATAATAGCAATCGTTCGAATAATCCATGTGCGATACTGACGACATGTCTCTGAATCAATGCCACAAAACCGACGGCAACCGAAACTAAATAGAACGAAGAATAATATAACAAAAACGATAGGACTATGACATTTAAAAGAATAAGCGGGGTTAACTAGAAATCATGGTTTCAAGACCTCAGAAGTACTTACCCTAAAGCATTGCTATTGAATAGAGGATCTCCAAGCCAAGGTAGCATAGGAGAATTATCAGACAGTATCTCGGATGATTTCGTATGGGGATTTTTAGCAGAGGATAGCGATTTTGAGGTACTTTTCCGGTAACTTTTTATACCCCTTATAATTGCAGGAAAAATAGTGATGATGAACTGGAGAATCCACGAGCGATAATCATGGCAAGTGTCTATATCAACATCAAAAAATCGATAACAGCTAAAGTCATATATAGCAAAAGATAATATAGTCAAAACGAAAAAACTAGGAATAATAAGTAATGTCAATTTGTTAAAAGCATAATTAGATAAGAAACACACCCCGCGAGATCGCTGTGAATGGAAAGCTCTTTAGGCTTAGGGGGTATCGGATTATCAGACAGGGCCTTATCTGATTTCATAGGGGCGTCAACAGGGGAGGATGGTGATCTTGGGTCCATGCTGTATATTGAAAGATTAGACGATATTCCAAGTCTCAACTTTTTAGAAGGAGAGATAGTATGATAAAATTTTGAGCCTGAAGAGAAGGTAAGGAATCTGATTCTGCGAAGGTGAAGTCAGGTCCACCATACACAGTAGGGGAAAAGACAGAACGCCCACCGTAAGCCTAATCCATTAAAAGGCCCCTTTACAAATCCACGTTAATACAAATCCGACACCGACAACCACATGTGGATTATTCATGTGCACTATGTGCACTATGTGGGGGTAATCAAGAAGAGCATACATATACAAAGAGCAGTTCTTTCGCAGCGCCAGCTAAGTCTACCTACTAGCCGAGAGGTTTTATCTTCGACCTCGGAATGAAGCTTGATTTGTATTGGTGTCAAGCCCTGGAGAATGACTGTGTACTTTGTAAATGAAGCATCCATCGTTTCTGAGGTCGGAATCGGAAGTCCTCCAGGTGGACGCACTCTAGGGTTATCAGACGTAGGAAGGTATAATATCACCCACTACCTTGATAAATGACTATCCATTATTTTCAAAACTTGAAAACTCAAAGAATTCTTCGGTTTCCCTGTTAGGTGTCATTGTTTTGATCAACGAGCCTATTCATATAGTTGCTTCTTTGAAATGAAGCTCTTCCAAATAATTCTCACCCTGTTTCTCTCCCAGACAGCGGTAGCTGGTCCTTCTCATTACAATGAGCCATTGGCCATGTATGATGACAGGAAAATCTCTACCTGAGACCTCGCTCCAGCTCAGCTAGAGCGACGATCAGATTGCCTTACCATAGCATATGCAATTTATGCCACGACAACTATGGAAGTAGGGTATGTACTGTTCCCACTTAGTTTGGGTTTATATTATATACCTATGACTGACTGATTAAAATTTGCTAGGTTTTAGGCTTGCTTATGCTTCTGCTTTTTCGTCAGCTGTCAAGCTTCTCTGTAAGGTCTCAGAGAATAATGAGTGCGTGTAAATGGCCGACACTGTTAGCGATGCACTCAATGTTTTGTTGGGTCTCGGAGTAGCAGTGAAGGGCTATGGGATTGTGCCAGCTTATCTCTCTGGAAGCATTTCAACAACATGAGCGCGTCGATCTCTTGCTGATGATGAATACCCAAGCCTTGACAATGTCCTCCGGACCCACAGCTATTATTTTGACTCCATTACGGATGAGACTCCCCAAGCAGCGGAGCAGGCAAAAATGCAAGCGAAACAGGCTTAGTCTATCAATACATGTCGAAGAATTTCAGGGAGGGTGATAACGTTGGTCGTGACTATGCCCTCCTTGCATTTGAAGACAGCACTGCACAGCTACATTCCCCAACGAATGGCTTCGGCAACATGAATGCCACTATACAAAAGCGAACAACTCTGAAAGAAGTCAAGGTTGCTTTCCAGCTTGGCACCGGCAGAATACTCAACTCTTCGTATCGAGAAGGCGCGGCCGAAGCTAAGTGGCTGTCTTATGCTAATGATGGTTACGCAGACACTTATAGATTGGTGGAAAAGACCGAGACCTCCGTTCTTTACTACCGGACTATATTGGAGTTAGACGGCTGGGGTACCAACTCAATTGTTAAGAAGGGGCTAAATACCTGAACATAGTCACCGACTTCATCAGGAAAAAGTGCATTAGGTTTTGAAATTGAATGCCACAATAAATAAACACACATTTCCTTAAGAATGAACCCGAAGAGCTCGAGGTGCAGGTGATGAATACCAGCAGTATGGCCAACCAGTCTGGTTTTAATAAGCAATATTTACTTATTGCTTAGGGTTATCCAGGACCCGCAATACTCCGTAGGAGTATCGGGATACCCGACTAAAGCAACCAGTTTAAGTCCTTCAAAATTGTGAAGAAACTTACAAATTTACCGATAACAAAGAGATGGAAATACTAGACAGCACAAAAGCGCAAATTAAAATGAAAATGAAAATGAACATCATATGTTTTTCTATCAAACAAATGATTTTGAATTAGGTATTTTATACATGATTTTCTAGAAATAATGGAATTGGATTATAAGATCAGGCTTCTCTAAATTATCAATTCAGGGGCGTGTAGCTCAGGGGTACGAGCGCTCGCTTTGCATGCGAGAGGTCCGGCGTTCAAATCGCCGTTCGTCCACTTTTTTTCCCCACGCGACAAGGGTAGTTTCGTTCTTTCTTTTTTTCTTCTACATTCATAGTTCTTTCTCCTCTACAGCAAATAAAAAAAAACATTTGCAACTTTATTTCCTTTATAAAGGTTATAGGTAACATATGAGGTATAAAATGACATAATCACGAAAGCCTGAGTATGATGCACATCACGTGATGTGTATCGAAATGAGGCTCTTGTCTGCCCCACATATTTACTCCCCGAATTGCTGGTCAAAGGACGTGAAAAGCAGACAAAATGACAAATTACGCGTTATTGAAAATCATTCCAATGAACTTCAAGATGATTAGAAAATTAGAAGGGAAAGAGTGAGATTTATAAATCTTGGCAAAAACCCACTCCTATCGTAACTTTCCAATGTTGGAAAGCTCCAGTAGGAGATTGAAAACTTTCAAAAAATAACATTTGTTGGAGATTTCATGGAGACATTACGTCTCAAACCAAGCTGACCAGAATACGAGTGTCTAATCCACTGCACTACTGTCTCGGAAGTGAAATAATCACCCCTTTTTTCCCTTATATCCCTGATCTACCTACCCACTTAGTATAAGCAACACTTATCTGATCTACACCCTATTTAATTGGTGTTTTAGATTCCAGAGTAACGGATATTTCATCTTTTCCCACGAGTGCACTTTGGTCTTCAAGTTGAGTCTTGACCATAGAGAACTGCTCATTTTGCTGTCGGAGAAGACCCAGAAGCGTATTCAAGAAGAAATGACCTTCGCATATACCATTGGCAATCAGCGTGTGTGCACCAAAATTAAGAAATAGACCTTCAATATGAGCAGCACTTTCTCAACGATTCCGCTCAAGTCTTGGTATGCTTTATGAACCCATATAACTCACGTCTTGGACAAAACTTGGCGTGGCTCAAAACTCTTCAAGCCTTTTCTCGAGTTTGCCGTTCGCTGCGCTTATAACTGCTTAATGCAATACTTCTTGCGGTTATACAGACGGCATCTTCTGCCGGTATCATATCTTTTGCAGACGGTTCGCATTTTGTAGAGGCTTTTCGTGCCTGGTCATAGCTATGACAATACAGGTAGTGGATAATCACTTAACCACTCGAATATTGTCTTCTGATAGGTCGATTTCACTAGTTGCCCTCTATAGCCAGAAATTTAGTTCATAGCTTTCGTCTCAATGACTGTCTTATTACCGTCAAGGGATTGAATCTTGGAAGCCCGATCTACATGCGGCGGTTAGGACTTCAGATTGGAGGCATACAATCACATGGTGGACGGGAAAAACTGCATTATCACTTCGTATTTTGAGATCTAAGAACTTGGATTCGTGTGAGGACAGGTAGAGGAATTTCGGCATTGCTGCTTCGAGACTTGTACTTGAAAGTGACAGTTGAAGGTTGCCAAGGTTGGAAGTTATTGAAGAGGTTTGTAGGTTGAAGTTAAAGGGTGAAGATTGTCGAGGTTGGAGTGTTGAGGCTATCCATTAGTGGTGAGATTAAAGTGAGATTGACGTGAGGTTAAACTTCACCGTGAAAGTTGGAGGGTAAAGGTTGTCGACTCTAGGCTGTATGTAAGTGGAAAGGTCAGTTTGAGGTGGAAGTTTGGATGTATAACCCTTGGAAGCTTTTCATAATTACTAAACAGATATACATATACGCTTAAATACATGTTAAATTGCTGAGAATACAAAGGGGATCTTGAAGACGACTTGCCAGAGCTTTGACAAAGAAATTCTTAAATTTCGGGAGCGGGCCGCTATATATCATACGAAAATTTATTGGAAACTTTCAGTACTATTTATTTGTTACTTAGTTCTTGTTATTAATACGTAGTAGGTTAAAAAGAATCGATATACCCTATAACACCTAGACAGACATGGAAAACATGTTTTGGTTACCGATAAATTATGAGAGAAAAAATTGGCAAAAAAAAATGGACGAACGGCGATTTGAACGCCGGACCTCTCGCATGCAAAGCGAGCGCTCGTACCCCTGAGCTACACGCCCTTGTATTGAAATTTGTTGCTCTATTCCGATCTATAATCTATAAACTTTCTTCAATATATTTCTATTTGAGCCTTTGAATTTAACCTTGACATGTTAGTTCATTTCAAGATTCTTGTACCGCAAACCCATGTATCTCTATGGCCAACTCATGGCTAACTACAAAAATTTGCTTCCGAATCACCCCACTTTCAAAGTTGTTGATCTACAGTACCCACAGCTAAAGGTCCAGTCAATATTTATACATCCCGCAAGTTTGTTCATGTAATTCAAGAATGCTGGGTGAGGGAGGTTGCACACCCCACCTCAAGTCTCAAGTCTCCTAGTGTTTTTGGGAGAAACTCTGGAGGCAATGTAAGTACATATTTCCCACTTCATACCAAGGTGTCTGGACGTTAAATCCTAGCAACTCGAGAGGGCGGTTTTCAACCCAGGTGAGCATCAGATCCGACAGATCATGACATTGGGAGCTACCTAGTCATCCTGATCTTGCCTAAATTATCAAGATATGCACCTAGCTCATTTACTGGTATTCCCTTAGCATGCCCAGGTGGAGAAATGAATGGGTTCGTCGATCAGTTGTACCTTTAACATTCACTGCCATCTATTGCATAAAAGATACTTCTTATTTCCTAACTCACTCACTATCTACCTACCTACCTACATAAGTATGACTTGAAAGGTGGGCTGCATGCATCTCTTATGAATTTAGATCAAGACGCGCAATGCAGAGGACCAGTTCCGTCTCCGCAGAGTACCCCAGGCTTGTGGAAATCCCAATAGAGATTAATTGTAAAATTGGCATGGATTCAGAGACACCTATTAGTGGGGGGTATCCTCGAGGGTTGATTGAAATTACCATACCTAGGTAGGTGGTCAATATCCCAACCCAGGTTGATGATGAGGTTATATATAGTCTAGTATGTATTGGGTAGACGCCAAGACCACCGAGGTCAATGTTATTACATCAGGCCTGTATATGTGATAGATCAAAGGATTTGTTTCATGATATCGTACCATATGATTCGGTAAAGAATATAAAAAGAGAGAAGAGACAAGAGGGAAGAAGAGAAAACCTGCTTTTTAGAGTACCTTATGTGGTGATTTGTGTGATTGGCTGGTTCGTCCGCCCGGTTGATACGAAGTTCAATTATGGAAAAAGTTGGTTTTAGTAGATTCGAAGTGACGCAGATTTGGACGATCTCTGATTTAAAATTGTAATAAATTTCTATTAGCATTTAGTAGAAAGGTATCTTTGGTGGATTCAAGTTCTCTTTTCATCTTTAACATTTCTGCCTTAGCGGGGATCTTACGGGTGACATAACATATTTCGCGATTCTTACTTTCCTCTTCCTTTCCCCCTCCCCCACATTCTCCCCTCCCATTTCCTCTCTCTTTTCATTTATTACATCGAAAGCGCCGTTATCCGGTGCAGACGAACTACAAGACGGCACTCTTCAATTGCACCGGCCCTCGTTGTCGGCTCGATTTCGCCCCTAAAGTTCAAAGTTCATCTTTGCGACATGGAAAACGATCACGAACCCACCGAAGCTGATTCCCCGGCTGAGGAAATCGAATCTCCCGTCGAGGTTCCTAAGCCTCTTCATCCCTCAACTCCCCCTCATTTGCCGTCCCTCGATATTACCACAGGCATATCCTCCTCTTCGACACATCTCGGTCAGGTCAATGCTGCTCGGCGGGGTGCTGCACCCCCGCAACTTCCCCAGGCCTCGATGAGTGCCACTGGCACTATGGCATTGAACCAGGATATTATGGCAAGAATGAAAGCATTCTCCCTCTCCCGACAAGGTCCGTTGCCACATGCTGTGTCTACAGGAGCAATACCTACCGCCCGCGATAATGGACCAACCGGTGGTGCGCTGGCCGGTCGCCTACCACCGGTCGCACGACCGAGCAGCCAGAACTGGGCTTCCTCCCCCACAGTACCTTCTGTTGCGTCCAACGCTCCATCTCCGAACATTGGGGGTCTGGCCGCCAAGCGCATGAAGCCAGGCCTGAAGCTGTCAGACGTGACGGGCGGACCACCATCACTATCTCTAAAATCAACAGACCCAGCACCTGCAGAACAGAATGGAGGGGAGACAGCGTTTAGTAAATACTCAGAATTTATCGACACGAATGCTGGGACCTTGAATTTCAAGAATAAGGCCATTCTACATGGCGGCGGTGTTGAGTTTTCCTCTGGACACAGTTTCAAGATCTCGCTCGATGAAGTCGATCGGTTAGACGAGCTGGGTAAAGGAAATTATGGAACAGTTTACAAGGTTCGACACAGCCGACCACACCTTCGAAAACCTGGGTTGGGTCTGAGCGGGATTGTGAGCCATGCGCCAGGCCAGGATGCCCCGAGTCCGGACTTTGGGATCTCCGATAATCTTTCTGGAGTAATTATGGCTATGAAGGAGATTCGGCTAGAATTGGATGAGGCCAAGTTTGCGCAGATCATCATGGAGTTGGATATTCTGCACCGATGTACCTCGCCTTTCATCATCGACTTCTACGGAGCGTTTTTCCAAGAAGGCGCAGTGTACATGTGCGTCGAGTACATGGACGGTGGTTCCATCGACAGGATCTACGAGGGAGGTGTGCCAGAGAATATCCTACGAAAGGTGGCATTGTCTACTGTTATGGGATTGAAAGCGCTCAAGGATGAACACAACATTATTCATCGTGACGTGAAGCCTACGAATATCCTGGCCAACAGCAAGGGCCAGATCAAGATCTGTGATTTTGGAGTCAGTGGAAACTTGGTTGCCAGCATCGCAAAGACCAATATCGGCTGCCAAAGCTACATGGCACCAGAGCGTATCGCAGGTGGTGGCATGCAACAATCAGGCGCGACAAGCGGAGGCACATATAGTGTGCAGAGCGATATTTGGAGTCTGGGATTGTCTATCATCGAATGCGCCATGGGAAGATACCCGTATCCACCGGAAACATTCACCAATATCTTCAGCCAGCTTCACGTGAGTATCTAGTATCTATGACGCTATTTAACCTGCCGCATTCTAACATCTCAAAAGGCAATCGTTCATGGCGATCCCCCCACTCTCCCAGACAGTGGATTTTCGGAAGAGGCCCACGCATTTGTCCGGGCCTGTCTTGATAAGAACCCAAAGAACCGCCCCTCTTACAGCATGCTTTTGAGACACCCGTGGCTCGAACCACTTTTGCGACCTCCAACCGAAGAAGCCGAGGAATCCGAGGAACCCGAGGAAGCAGAGGCCAAAGCTGACGCTGATGCTGAAAGCGAAACTGCCCCGACCGAAATAAATCCATCCTCTGCAATGGAGGATAAGGAGGTCGCCAAATGGGTCATTAAGCAACTCGAACTTCGTCAAAGCGGCGAATTACACGGCGTGGATAAACCAGCTCTCCATGCAGTGGCTCTGGACCAGGTGGTTACCAGTCCCATACACGATGAATTCAAAGAAGTATCATAGGAAGACTTGACAGCTACATTTTCTTTCTCCGGGATGTATATTATCCCTGGATACAGCATATTTCGAGGGCACTCGCAACGGCGCAGGCGCCGTCTTCAGAATCGGTGTCTGCTTCACATCCTCAACACTGCTTTTAATAGTGGGATTGTATGCATCGCCATGTCCATGCTACCATGGCTCGGTCCCCTGACATTTTATTCTACATCTTGATCTTCTTTTCAAATCTGTGAGATTTTGAAATGCTGAGGATTCATCCCCTGAACCACACATTGTACCCCATTTCCACTTTGTTAGCCTTGTGCCATCACGATAGTTTCCAATATTTTCAAGGAAAAAGAGACAATAGCTTTGTAAATTATGCACCAAGTACGAACTGTACTATGTAGAGTGGTACTAGTTATGTAGCAATGATTAAACATCATCCAATCAGATACCTAGATCCTATTCCTATTTTTAGAAAAAAAAAAAAAAGAAAAGAACAGCTAACAAGTAAGTTACGTATTTCTGCCATGTAAACAAACGCCTCCTCCGTCAGTATTAGTCTTCTTCTACCAGGTACACAGCCCAGGCACAATGGGTCAGAAACCATCGGTCCCACAATCGGGAACAACCATTCAAGTCATTGGAGCCGGCCTCCCACGCACAGGGACAGCCTCATTCAGTAAAGCCCTCGAGATCCTCCTCAAAGGCCCAGTCTTCCACTGCGGAACCCAAGCAACGCTAGGCCCACCAGCCCAAATAAAAACCTGGATGAGCATCCTAAAGACCTGGCTAGCGATTAAAGAAGAAGACAATGATTCTTCTAAAAAAGACGATATCGCCAAAAGTCAAAGTCAAAGTCATGTCCTCTCGCTATTACACCGCCAACTCGACGGCTACGCCGCAATAACCGACTCTCCAGGCTCACAGTTCATCCCAGAATTGATGCTCCTATATCCACACGCCAAAGTCATCTGCACTATCCGCGACGTGGGCCGCTGGGAAAAAAGTATGAATGTCGTTATGCACTATACGATGTTCTGGTTCCTACGCGCTGTCCTGTTTCCCCTGCCGGGTATGCGCCACTTTATACCGTATCTGCATCTGCTGGCAGCGCAGTGGAATCGGTTGTATGGCGAGGCGTTGCCGACTGGTCTGACATATCAACGGCATCTAGCTTGGTTGAGAGAGGTTGTCCCTGAGGAGAGGTTGGTGTTTTTTGACGCTAGGGATGGGTGGGAGCCGCTCTGTGAGGCGCTGGGATTGGAGGTTCCGTGCGGCATTCCTTTTCCGCATGTTAATGAGGGGAATGGTATTGAGAGTATTGCCAATTTGCATATTAGGCGGGGGTTGACCAGGTGGGCTTTAATTGTTGTTGGGGTTGCTGTTTTGGCTTGGGGGCTGAAAAGGTAGAGCCTTCAGCTTCCTGTTCTTAGATATTAGATATTACATCTTACGTTATGGATGGTTTGTGTATTTGGTATTTAGTAGATTATGATATTTTCTTATATTTTCTTTTTACACTTCTTCACCGCAGAGTGACCAGTTCTTCGGCGCTAGTCGGGTGAATAGCAACGACGCTATCAAAGTCCTTCTTGGTGGCTCTCATCTTAATGGCAACGCCAAAGCCTTGCAGCATTTCGCCAACACCGAGACCTAGGATATGCAGACCGACAACCTTCTCCTCAGGGCCGGCGCAGATCAGCTTCATTTCGGTAGGGTTCTGGGGCTTTTCCTCTGCAGGAATGAAGTCGTAGAACATGGCGGTGAACTTGGTGTGGTACACCTTGATCTTGTCGTCGCCGTACTTCTCGCGAGCCTCGGGCTCGGTGAGACCGATTGTTCCAACTTCAGGGTGCGAGAAGACCACTGTCGGGATGTTGTCGTAGTCGAGCTTGGAAGTCTTGAACTGGGCACCACCGAAAAGGCGGTTGCCAAGTTGGCGACCGGCGGCGATGGCAACTAAAACTCTGTCAGATGTGAATGTGATTTTGTCAATGATTTATACGTACCTGGAGTGAGCTCAGCCTTGCCAGTCACATCACCGAGAGCATAGATACCCTCTACGGAGGTGTTCTGATACTCGTCCGCCTCGATGTGACCGCTGGGGATCAGCTTCACACCGGGGATGTCAAGGTGCAGATCCTCCACTTCGGGAACACGGCCAACAGCCCACAGGAGCTCGTTGACCTCAATCTCAGAACCGTCATGGCTGATCAGCTTGATCAGACGGTCCTTGCCCTTACCGTCGCGGATAAGCTTGACCTCCTTGAAGCCACCGTGCTTGCGGTGGATCTTGACACCCGAGGCCTCGTAGCGATCGGTCATGGTCTTTTGGACCATGGGGTCGAACTTGCGCAGGAAGGTCTCACCACGGATGAACATGTGGGTCTCGACATCCACGGCGTTCATAACACCAGCTAGTTCCACAGCGATATAACCGGCACCAACAACGGCGATCTTGGGAGGAAGCTCCTCAATCTCAAAGAAGCCGTCGCTGGTGATACCGTGTTCAGCACCGGGGACATCTGGGATACTAGGCCGGCCACCAGTGGCAATAAGGATGTGCTTAGCAGTGTATCGGGCGGTACCGGAGCCATCAGCGAGGGCGACCTCGATAACCTTGGGCTCCACGAAGCCAGCGCGGCCGTGGATAAGATCAATGCCTTCCCGACCCCAATTGCGTTCGTACATGCCGTTCAAACGCTTGATGGAGGCATCGCGCTTTTCCTTGAATTCCTTGTAGTTGAATTTGATGTTGTCGGGGATGTCGTAGCCGTACGACTTTCCAATGTGCAGTGTCTCATTGATGGTACCGAAATTCCAGGTCATCTTCTTAGGAACACACCTAAACCGGGCCCAGTTAGCACTGGGAATTTTCTCTGCGCTATACCTACAGAGCTAACCTACCCAACATTGACACAGGTACCGCCGGACCGGGCACTTTCGACGATCAAAGTCTTTGCGCCATACCAGCCGGCTGCGCGGCGGGCGCTACCACTACCACCGCTTCCACCTCCCAGGACGATATAGTCGTATTGTTTTGTCTCTACGGGAGCCATGGTGGAGAAGTTGCCCTCAAATATAGAAGAGGAGGAAAAGTGACGGGAAATAGAGGAGAGGCGATTGCTCGTAATAAATGAGGACGGACGATTAATGGTTGCCAGAGTTCGGTTCACGATGTGTCGGTGAGCTGTGTGAATGTGTTTGGGGGAGGAGCGGGTCAGAAAGCTACAAAAGCCGATCCGAGATGATTGAGCAGGGAGGGAACGAGGAAGCATGAAGGAAGGTGGGGGTTGGAGGGGTATTTGGTATTTACAGGGAAAACGACAGAGCTGACAAAAATGAGATGACGATACCACTGATAGCGAGGCCCCGATTGATTTATCAGCAGATACACGTGATTGATCCAGGATCTCTAGTTAAGACTAGATAAATTGTGCTCCACTAACTAAGCTATGGCGCAATGTTTACGAATAATTGGATCTTATACTTCAAGAACGCATTACGCAGCGACAAATTTTACTCGGTATTTATAAAGCATTAATGAGCAATGTAGATGAACAAAGGAAATAAAATTGTTATTTGGAATCTTGGTGTGGATTCAGCACGGAGTATGTTCCGGGAGACTGTTGAGGGTATGGTCGTAGTACTCAGAGAAGATGGGGTTGCCTCTTAAGTCGCCACGTTTTCAAGGTACTCCTTCGCGTTCTTATTCGAGCTTGTGACCTGTGGACATGGGACGATATGTGGGAAGCAAATGGTGAAAAAGGGTCGTGTGGTCTTGATAATGTGCAAGGTGCCAGAAGCCAATAAATGGACGAAGCCTTCCCAAGAGTATAAATTACCCTGGCGCTGTTTGCGACCAAATGCGCCACTGGCGAGGTCTGAGATCTAGCCGATGAAGGCAAGTTGGATGTATAGAATATTTTGAGACTGTGATGGTATCGTCCAGTTCACTTGTAGAGATGGCATCAAGCATCTGTGCTCAAATCAATGCTGTGATCTCTCATCGGGTTGTTTGGTTGTTTGGTTGTTTGGTTGTATGGGGGCGGTGGCTGAAGTAAAGTATAGCCGATGGTCAAGCCACTAGCGGGAGTAGGCAATGACTGCGAATGAGATGAGACAGATGCAAAGTGGGATGTATACGTTGCGATCCATGTCTGGTTTCTGAGAGCTGCGCTTCATGATTCAAAATTTGTTATGGAAGAGAAGCTGAGAAGAGGGGAAAGGGGGGTCATATCCATTGAACCCCAGCTTATTCCCTCAGGTGATCCGGGATGCGCGAATCGATTAGATAATCCTGTTGGGGCCTCAACAAACCCACTGATTGGATGTTTATTTCTTATTTGGTGAGTTCAATTCCGGGAAGTTAATAGTGCTCAATTAACTGCTCGCCGCTAGTACTATTGAAACCCCGAGATTTTCATGTTTGAGTGGTGTGAGAGTAGTCGTCAGATCTATACTCTCATACTTCTGTCTCAGGCTGATTATTCTTCGACTCGGAAGTTATAGTAACCTACTTACCTTTTACCTCGTTCTTTAGAAATATCGTTTAGTCCTTAGTTCCTGTATTGGAAATGTGTTATTTTTTGGCACAATATTGCTTTATCTCGTTCATAGCAACCTGAAATGTTAGATATTGGTCAGAATCATCCAATATCTGCAACTCCTGATACTCTTACGCTAGCTTTAATGAAGGCTTCTCAGAATGTTCCAGTATGGGGTCCCCTGTCTTGTCATAAGATGGAACAACATCCCCTTCCTTACATTTGGATTGATTGGCTGATTAACTAGTTCTTCAAGTACTATCAGAAACCCACCCTGTATAGACGACTCTAACTAGGCAGACTTATTGCCTAGGTGTCTTTGCCCCTTTATTAATTTATTCCTGGAATCCTCCCTTCCAAGGTCCTCGCATTAATCCTTGTTTATCTCCGCGACCACATTCACAAGAAACAAGAATGCAAGGGACCCGAACATTCTACCAATCAGGCCCCATTTACTCCATCCTAGATAGAGGCAAAGAAAATACCGATCATGAACCAAGACATTGCCAGCACTAGCTCCTACGTAGTCCTGTAATTCAAAGAACCCTAGAAAACCCACAAGCCCCTCGTGATATACAACATATCATTCCAGCACCGTAAATTTTCCAGGATCATTAAATTTCGAACAATTGGCTACCTTCCACAATCTGGAGGCCCCAAAATCTCTCCATCCATCGTGTAAAGATCAATTCATCAATATGCGCCTCGCTATCATGTTCGCCTCTACGCTGGCTCTGGCGTCGGCCACAAAGATCAACATGCACTGCGAGTTCGCGCAAGACAAGACAGGAATGGTGCAGTCTCCATACTGCTGTCGTGATTTGAAGTCAGCTAGGAACAACCCTAAGGTCAACGAGGCCAACGACTGTACGTCTACTCTTTGGGCACTCGTGCAAATGATACACCGGTTGCAACCTGCTAAATTCCCTTCTAGGTGACTTGTTGACTCAGCCTCAACTCTGTGAGGATCAATCGCGGCCTGCATGCTGCTATTCGATCGTAAGTTGACCTTAGACTAACAGTATTTATCAAGTCATGGGCTAATGGTTATTTTTATGTACAGGAAAAGAAAAAAATCTGCACCTCCCACGTTATTTTCATGGATGCGGCTGATGTTTGATGAGATGCGGCGTATAGCTGGAGTCATGTTGATAACTGGGTATGAATACTTTACGAGTCGAAGAAAGAAGGAACCTTGAACCTAGGTATCCCTCGGGAACTTTTCGGTGTCAATAATGCCCGTTGAATATTAAACATCGGAATACATAAGAAATGCCATTGTTATATCATTATCAGGATAATTGGGCACAAGCTGCCGCGTATGTTTGAATTAAAGGGGTATTGTGCTTGTGCTTCCGTAAAGCGGAGCTTCGCAAAGCTAAGAGCGAGAGAAAAGAGTGCCAAATATGCTGCAAATGTTGAATAGTCATCAAACGCTCCAATGAAGTTGAAAAATGCTATATGCTGAGCATAGAACCGAGATTCAATGACCTCTAGTCAAAGTTCACGCTCAGCATTGCCTCTGTGTTCCTCCGAAATACCTTCTCTGCCAGTCCGGACTCGTGATCGCAAAGGTCCAAACACCATTCTGTAAAGGGATTGATATCGACACCAGTAAATCGGGTATGGGGCCAGTCTGTCGCATAAATGGTTCGATTAGGGGCTGCAGACAGAAATTCTCGAGCCATCGCCTTTAGTTCATTCATGTTCCCGTCACTCGTCAATCGGTAGGGTGCAGATATTTTGATATAGGTTTTTCCACCCTGTATTAATGACATTAAAGAAGTGAAACCGGGAAGCGTGTATGGGTCGAAAGGCGTGCTTTCTGTTTTTTGAATGGAAGATAGATCCGGACTCCCAAAGTGATCAATGCAGACAGTCACATCAAGATGTGGTACGATTGATTCTAGCATTGGTACCTGCTTGAGTGGGAGATATAATTCGATGATCCAGTTCAGAGGCCGAGCAATTTCTGCATGTTGACGTAGAGTTTCTTCCAGCTCGGCTTTCTCCATCACCTTCCCGACAGATTGAAGATTCACCCGCAAGCCTCGCACACCGAGAGCATGCCACTCTTTCAGTGTATTTTGTTGGATAGTCGCAGGGTCAACGACAACTACTCCACGGCCACGGGACGGACCAAGTTTGGACAGGGCGGCTAGTAAACAGGAGTTGTCTGTTCCATAGATTGAGGGTTGCACAAAGACAAGGTTCTCCACGCCCACTGTGGATTCAAATTCTAAAGCCTCAGCTAAGGTATGAGCTGAGGGTTGATATGCAGCAGTCTTGGAGATTGGGAACTGTTCCGGTTCCACAACATGCATATGGCTGTCCCATGAACAGCGAGGGACTCTCTGCTTCACAGGAGCATTGGTATGAGCCCAGACATGGTTTGACCGTCTCTCACTACGAAGATAAAGTTGACCAGTAGTAAGAGAGAGGCGTCGTGATGCACTCGTAATATGAGTGTGTGACTGACTAGATATCAGCATGCTAGAGAGAGAGAGAGAGAGAGAGAGAGAAACAGAGAGAGAGAGAAACAGAGTAAAGGTGATAGAGTAGGAAGTTGAAGGGAAGAAGGATAAATGATCCAACTCACCGAGCAGAGTCTGATACTCCGAAACACTGTACTGTTAGTCCTGATGGGTATCATGGTCGGTTAATGTCCGTCTTTGAACTGCAGTATTACTAGAATAGGGAAATCCGCTAGGTAATTTTTTTTCTGTGTGCCGTGTACAAACACACTAAGAGCTTTAGACTCCGACCCACAGGTGAACCGGTTTAATAAGCGGGGGGAGGATGAGCTAGACAATGTGAAAAGAAACGGAAGTCGTCCGTTGAAGCCAGGGCTTCCCACTATGGAGTAAAGGATATAAGAAGGTAAAGAGAACCAAGCTGGATTGCGTACGATCTGAGAAGTATTTATAAGTATGGAGAAAGTGACTAAAGCACGGTCGAAACCTGAAATATGAAATGGGAAACGCTTTGATATTTAATAGTGATAGTCGGTAGGGTTGCAGTGTCGGTATGGAAGGACGGAGGTTGAAAGGACGGAGGTTGACCGAGCACAAACGGGATCCCGAGACTTTTGTTCTTCAAACCCCCCACCTCTGATACTCCTTCCAAGTCTTGCCGACTTATTCCGCGCCACAATTTCCCCAGGATTTTGATCGTCTCCACAGGGCCTCACAGCCTCAGGGTCTGTTGGAGATTCTGATCGAATTTGCGATCGAGATGCGATGGTTGGACCGGTCTAGGTGGACTACTACCCCATTTTATGCCTTCGTTATCTTCGTCATCGCCTGTGGCACAATCCCGAAAGGTAAGTATTTCTCATCAGACAGACCTGGATCCAAATCTACTATCAAACAAGTAACAAAACCTGAGATCTGACTATTATCAGGTTACGATGAGGGTGGCTTTAGCGCAAGCGTTTTCCTTCCCTCCTTTAAAGCCGACTACAATTTAGACTCATCACATTGGGAAGATGATGCTACGGGACTGGCGAACAGAAAAGCAAACATAACCTCCTTCAATGTTTTGGGCGCAGCTTTCGGCGCGTTGAGTGGCTTGGATTTGAATGATCGACTAGGCCGTTTGATTTCGTTCCGTCTGGCATGTCTCGTGTGGGCAATCGGGACCTTCATCCAAATATTTTCATCGGGGATATATGGCTTATTACTCTTTTCGCGTATATTCGCTGGGCTAGGTGCAGGCTTGCTAACTGTCGTTTCCCCTTTATATCTGTCAGAAGTGGCGCCACGCGCTACGCGCGGCTTGTCGGTCGGTCTTTCTATGGTGACTTTACTTGGATTTCTCGCAATGGGTAAGTTTTGTGTCTTTCTATTTCTTCCTTCTACTTCTAGTACTAAAACTCGTTCGCTATAGGCTTCTTTATTAATTATGGCGCTACTATTCATATGGCCGCCACACGAACCCAATATCGCCTAGTCCAATCGATACCATTGATTCCTCTCGGCATTATTTTCGGCCTTACGTTCTTTTGTCCAGAGACCCCTCCGTATCTTATCTCTAAGCATCGTCACCAGGAAGCGAAGGATGTTCTCGCGCGTCTTCGTGGCACATCCATCGACGATAAGATTCTTCAAGCCGAATTTGATGAGATAATCACCGAAGTTACAAAGCGAGCAGGCCTAAAAATTATCTCGAAATGGCAGGCCTTCAAGGAGTCCCAGGCTAATCCGAACTATCGCCAGAGATTTTGGCTATTGATGACCATACAGGCCATTGCTCAGTGGACAGGCGGAAATGGTATCACATACTACGTGTCGACCATTTTCGAGGTGAGAAAACCAAGAATTTACCTCAAACTATTATGCTAACCCTATATTTAGTATGCTGGCATGACTGGCCAATCAACATCCCTTATATCCTCCGGTGCCTATGGAATTGTTAAGCTAGTCTTCACCATGGCCTTCACCTGGGGCTTAATCGACCTATTTGGTCGGCGTAACTGTGCTATCACAGGTCTATCCCTCCAACTAGCCGCCCACATCTACATGGGTGCTTATATGGGACTGCAACCCAGCTCAGCCAATAACAAGTCTGCCTCCGACGCAGCTATCGCCTCGGTTTTCGTGTACGCCATCGGCTGGTCGATTGGTCTCTGCACAATCCCTTCATTATACGGCACAGAAATATTCCCGATGCATATACGCAGCGTATGTTACGCCGTGAGCATGGCGCTGCATTGGTTTTTCCAGTTTGCCGTTGTTCGTGTCACTCCCAACATGTTCGTGTCACTGAATGTTTGGGGTGCCTACGTCTTCTGGGCATGTATATGTACGCTAGGCATCATTATCCTCGGCATCTGGATGCCTGAGACCAAGGGTGTTCCTATTGAACGTATGGATGAGCTCTTTGATTATCCTTGGTATCTGAGGTGGCGCGCTCGCACTAAGGACATCAACTCGTCTTCGGCGTCTGTCTGGACTGAAGCTGAGACTGAGACAGACTTTGGCTCTCATGAGTCGGAGCGAAATAAAACCAAGTCAAGCTAATAGGTGCTCTCGATGTGCTTACCTCTCAGTCTTATCACTTTCTTTCTTGTATACCCGGTTTTCATCTTGCCATGTTTATTATTTTCTAGGCGCAACTTTCTTTTGGATGGCTGGCTGACTTCTCTAATACCTCTCTTATGCCCTGTAACTAATCCAAAAAAAACATATCCATTGATATATTCATGGGGAATCCTGAGGTCCCTTGGAAGGAACGCATGTGCAGTCCATGAAGCAAACATTAACAATATACCTAGGTATGTAGATTTATTGAGCCTCGAAATACTCCAGATACCTAATGTTTCAAAATAAATCCATGAATGTCCCGAGGTCTTGATCTTTCTTTGCTTCCAAGGTTTTCATTTCATTTATTCTCTCGATCGACCTTGGCAGCACTTTCCAAAACAGCAGCAATATAAATTAAGGTTCGAGACTCCTACTGATCTCCTCTGATTATAATCTCCGAAGATGTGTTTTATTTATCCTTAAAATCATTGCTGGCCAGAAGGAGGGTAGTTGCCCGGAGCGATAGCATGGCCGGCGTAATCCATATATCCCCAGCTGATAGGCAAATTAAAACCATACCGAAGATGCTTCATATTTGGAGCAGAGCAGGGGTTCGAAGAGTGAATCGCGCAATTTGTTCGCTCGAGGTCCAGATCTTCTCCAAAGTTGGCTGTGTTACGTCCTTGGCTGCTTCTCATGGCCGAGCTGTGATGAGACTAGGCTAGGAGAGCAGGAGGGTTATTCTCGAGCCTAGACACCTTTATGCTGAAAGATTCTCTCCAGCAACGATTGCCTCCTTTTGCCTTCTCGGGACTAGGCACGCTTCACCTCTCTGAGTATTTTATGCTATTTCTTGGTGCTGTGGTCGGAGGGTTAATGCATGATCATAGGTAGGCCGCTTTGCTTAGTATACTATACCGCGTAAGTAATGAAGTGGTTGGGAATTGTCATTTATCGTAATGTCTAGTTAGCTTGCTCAAAGATGGAATCTGTTAATCAAACGGAAATGCCTTTATTTTGTGACCCAGACATGCATATCCATAGAAACGCTGAAAAATGAAAACACTTCCAAGGTTGCCTTAGAGCGAAAGGTTTTTCGGATAGACCCCAGGAGTATTACATTGTACTTAGAGTAGCAAAAAATACCTAGCTATATGACCAAAACCTAGGGACAAACCCACCCGTTGCGGCCATCCAGAGGTTCAATACCAGTCAACGACTATTCAAATGTGGAAATATAGAAGTTCGAAGTTCTCTTATCGAGAACCTCTATGGACAGGAGTAGTCGTGAAAAAAGATCATTGGTAGCTGTGCCAAGTTGAAGTTCTAAAAATTCCTTGCCTAGTTAACTAGTTGAAGTAAGTATCCTTTCCTTCCTACCCAGGTAGCAATGGCATATTCAACATAATCAGGGTCTAAGCAGATTAAATCATGTTCCCTTCTTTAAGATCCCCTCAACATCAATCTCCTTATCAAGACGCAACTTGCGCTGCCGAACAGCCTCCCTCTCAGCCACATCAGAATGCGGGTTTTCCTTAGCCCTCTCGCTCAAAATGCGATCATGTTCCGCGCGCTTTTGATCCATATCCGCCGCAAGATCCTCCTGTTCCCCAAATCCACCCATCCCCTTGTGTTTCACTGCATCAGCAATATCGCCTTCAGCGGGCTGTTGTTCCACCCCATAATACAGATCAACGGGTGCAGCGCTTTGCATACGCTTTTTCTCCGATTTGCGTTCTGCGTCTAGAGCAGCTCGAGTTTCGTCGTTTGAGGGCATGTAGGCAGTGCGGCGTGTTGAGGATGCGGCGTTACCGTCCTGCATTGAAGCTGATGTGCGCTGCTCCTGAGGTTTGTGCGAGACTGGATTGGCAGCTTGCGTGTAGGCGGCTTCCTTGGGTGGTTGCTCTGGTTGAGCTGCGTGTGATTCCATTTTGGGTAAATTTGATCTAGCTGGACAGTAGACTTGTCGGGCTGCGTAAAAAAGTAGAACAAGAGTTGTAGAAGGGAATGAGAGGGATCTTGTTTTGCCTCTTTATCTCATACTAGGATCCATGACGTCAGCTTCTCTACTCCGGGGAATACTTGATACAACACTCTAAACATAATAATTCCTCTGTAGACTGAATTTTATTTCCAATCAGAAGGAGAGGAATAATATGATTTGCCATATTTTAGTCTTCTTTCGATAATATTAGACTATCCCATGTCGCAAAATTGATGAAGGTGGAGTGAAAGTGGAGAGAGCAAAAGCAGCATAAATAGAGATCCGGGGAAGCATCACTAAGCACATCTAGTCATATCCTTCATTTGAATCTGCCAGTTGAGCGGGCTTCAGTGGTGAGCCCCTCGACTTAATGACCTCTGTGAGATTCTGGTTGGGATCCTTTTTGAAGAAAAGACAATCCCCATCAACAATCCATTATCAAACCACAGCTTGCATTAAATCTTATATTTCTCTATGGACCTTGTCCACTCCAATTTTGTTCAAAGGAAGTAGCCATATTAGTAGTGATTGGCTGCGCGTAGGAAAAGGCCTCGAACACTTCAGGCGTGATATCGTAAGAATCAGGGTCATCGACTCTCATCACCGCATTGGGCATGCCGCCTAGGAGATGTGTTGTTGGCATCTGGGGTATATCACCCACATATGAGAGGTCGAAGTTTGCGACCGGATGTTGTTGGAAGGGGTTATAGTCCGGTAGCAATGCGGGTGCGTTATTTGAAGAGGGCGTGCCGGGCTGTGTGCTCAGTGCACTGCGGCTTTCGTGACGCTGGTGCTGCTGAGCTGGGGAGACTTGACGAGAAGGGTTGTTGCTGAGGGAGGGTGATTGGCTATGGGTATTAGAGGGAGGTTGGGGGTGGAATTTTATTTGTGTGTTAGGTAAATGGGATTGGCCTTCATTTTTGAGTGTGTTGCCGTGGATGTCAATTTGGAGTTTTTGGATTTCTTGGTAGACTAGGTTCAGCGCGGTTGTGATAACGGGGCTTGAGGTCTTGATCTGCTCCATGGCGAATATGCAGAACTTGAGCTTATCCAGTGTACCTGGGGCAGCGTACTTCAGGGCCTGGATCTCTAGGAGGAAGATCGATGCTGCTGTGTAAATACCATAGGCTAGGGATAGGACGACATGGTTGTCTCCAAAGGTTCGGCGGTACAGATCGTACAAGGCTAAAATTGTAGTCGCTGATGCCATACACTGGACTAAATGGCTTTTATCGTATGGCTCCTGCAGCGTCTTCAGAAGTTCTCGAGAGCAGAGAATTGGGCGATGGAGCAGAATGTTGATAGTATGATATAGAGAGCTGTATGATCCCAAATTAGCATGACTCCAGGGAATCAATAGGGTTGAGAACATACTTCAGAGTCACAATATGACTAGGTGGGCAATATGGTGGTAGGTCGTCTGCCACGAGCCTCAGATAATTTGGCACTCCATTCCACCATTCGCTAAGGTTCTGAGATTCCTCTTGAACACATTCAAAGAATTCTTCTTCGGTACTTTGGCGCATTGGGTCATAGATATGAATCAAAATCTGGTTTAGGATCTCTGCCAGCCCGCACATTTTCATGAAGCACGAGGTCGAACGAGCCTGTGTGGGTGGGTATTGCGCTCCATCAGGGAAAGTCACACCATGAGGAGTCCAAAGCTCTGTCTCAGCAGTGTCATCCACTAAAGTCGATGTCAGTTGTATGAGCATATAAAAACTTTAGGAGTACGGTACTCACATATCATGCGCGGCGGGCTGACACGAGAATGTTGCATTGATGGGGCCCGGCCAAAATAAAGTGAAACCATTTTATCCCAGAAGTAACAACTCCAAAAGAGACGATTGCGAATCTCAATATCCTCATCGCTTAGCTGTGCCGCGCCGGGGTATTTGCGACTGTCAATTGAAATACCTAGGTCATCCAGCAAGCGGAAGGCCATGCCACTGTGTAGCCAGGCCTGTGTTCGATTGCCACGACCACATTCTTGCGCACTTAGAAGTAATAATGTCTGAACGGTTGGAATATCTGCATAGCCAGCCTGGAGACAGTCGACGAGACCAGATAGCGAAAGTTTGTAGAATTGTGCGCCGCCATCGTAAGCGTCTAGAAGGGGGCCAATGTGTGGCTTTGATTTACACCACCGAACCGAATGAGAAAGGACAGCATTCATCAAGCCATTTGAATAGTATGGACCATTGACTTTCATATCACCTGCTGGTGGGTCAGTACCTTTGCAAGGAGGGTATTGTGGGGGTCAAAACTGACGCGTGAAGGCCGGGCGATAGACAAAGTTGAACAGTGGCTGAATCCAGCACCAATGAGAGTCCAAGAGATATTGAAAAGGTTCCTGTACTTGAAATCAGCCCTAATGTTCCTTCACAAAGTAAGATAAGTGGTTGGATGCTGACAGGTATTGTAGCCATCTGCTCAAAGGCCCGTTCTCGCCATGCACTGTTGATCAGCCGCTCTTTTCGAGCCTCTAGCTCCTGCGCAAAATGCGCTGCCGATGTAGCCTCATTTGCAACCACTCTGGGTAGTTGAAACAGACTGGTTGGTCCGTGGAATGAAATGCGACCGTCATTTTCAACATTTAGGCCGTCAAACTCCCTCGCAAGGTCGTGAGAATCATCCGGCTCGATTTTGACTCTGCGGCCAGCGCTAGAGCTGGACTCGGCGACCGAAGACGGCGAACTCACCTTCTTAGTCTCGGCCTCAGCTTGCTGACTTCGAAGCGCAGAGATTGCATCTTCCAACTGAGAAACTCTCGATTCCAGCTGCTTTGTATAAGATAAGGTTGGGGCTCTAGCAAAGTAGCGTTGAACCAGTCAGCATACATGAACAATAACGGTCGCATTCCAAGTCAAGGGACTACGACACAAACTCACAAACTATACACGCATGTCTCCCCTCGTGCAGCGCATCGCGAACATGACGGGCTAGCTCCGTTACACCTGACCTGTTGAATGATTAGTCAATCGAGTTTCGGACGTTGGCCGAGTGCTGCACCCACCTTGCGCTTGCGGCATGCCTCACACGAGAAGGCGCTCTTACGCGGTAAACTCGTCTTTACAGGCACATCGGCACTGTTAGGGTCGGAAGGACTTCCCTCGACCACCATGGCGACTTCACGTGATATATTTCCTTCACATTGAAGTAAAACCCCTTTCAAGTTTGTGAGGGGAAAGAGAGATCTCCAGGGCTGAGAGGGGATTTGCCGGTGAACTTTTGGGCCTAAAAAGCGTGGGGCAAGGCTAAACGCGGGGGATATGCGCCAAGCTCTGTTTTTAGCAGATCGAGATATGAAGAAGTGTTGGTGCGACTTTCTCTTTCGGCTAAAGAATAGCCGTGAGCCAAGAGCAGTTGACCGGATGCGTATCAAGGCCGGATTTTTTGGGTTTCGGTTGATTTAGTTGGATAATACAATGTCATTCATTACTCGGAATTACTTTAGTATAGACTTAAACTGGTCTTCCAGTTAGCAGATGGCGATGGCCGAGTGATATGCGTAATAAGCCAAATCTCCGTGATTTTATACAAAAGAAATAAAAAAACTATACTATGCAGGATTATTTCTTTCCTTTTTTGCCCTTGCCCTTGCCCTTGGAGTTACCCTTACTTTTTTGGTTGGTCTGAGGAGCATCACGCTCCGCCTTGCCCTTCTTCCATCCGCCGTTGCCTTCGTGTCGCATCTTTGCATCGTCCAGTCGCTTCTTGTCCTTGTTGCTGAGCTTGATCTTGCCATCCTTTGACTTGGCAACATCGGTTCCGTTCAACTCCACAGCGCCAAGTTTGCGTGATACCTGTTTCTGCTGTTCAGTCTCAAACCATGTACGTTTTGGTCGAGACATGATCTCTCCTCCGTGTTTCATGAGATTGTCACTCTTATTGAGCTGCATCTCGGCTTGAGACATCTGCTTTTCCGTCTTCTCTTCTTCTAGAACCTCCTCAACTTCGTCGGAAAGGTCCTCAGCCTTTTGGGCCCATTCGTCGGCGATGGCGGTGTCAACCACACGACTGACAATCTTGGCTCCGTGAGCTTTGCCGGCCTTGACGGCAGCCTTGACAACCTTGCGGTCTGGCTCAGCTGCTATTGTGCAGGAACGACCAGAGCGGCCAGCACGAGCAGTACGACCAACACGATGCAGGTAGATCTCGTGGCTTTGCGGGGCTTCGTAGTTGATGACGGTCTCGACACCCTTGATATCCAGACCACGTGACGCCAGATCAGTGGCGAGAAGGAAAGCAACCTTTCCATCGCGGAAGTCCTCCACACTTTTGATACGCTAGGTGAATGGGTCAGTAAAATGTACTGGAAAAATGAGGAGTGGTGATGAAATAGCATACCTGTTCCTGGCTCAAGCTACCGTGTAACTCTGCAGCCTTCAACCCAAGTAGACCGAAGACAACGCGGACACGATGGGCCTCCTTCTTTTGTCGGAAGAAGATAATGACTCTCCCGGTATGGATTTCCTTGCACAGATGCAAGAGATATCCAAGGCGCTTATCTTCACGGCCCGGTCGTAGACGGACAAACTCTTGAGTCAGAGTTACAGCGGTCTGCTTCTTGGCATCTACTTGCAAACGCATGGGTCTCTGAAGACCAACACGAATCAGCTTGTCAACTGTGTCTGTCATAGTAGCTGAGAAAAGCATAGTTTGACGGGACTTGGGGATGGTGGTCAAGATCTCATTCAGCTCGTCAGCGAATCCATCTTCTAGCATACGATCGGCTTCATCAAGCACTAGAATCTCTAGAGTATCCACTGTAAAGCTGGGCGAATTGCGCATATGATCGATGAAACGACCGGGTGTGGCAATAATGACATCGGGTCGCTTCTTAAGAATGTTTTCTTGCTCACGGAGACTGAAACCACCAACGAGCTGACAGAATGTAACGTCAGTGAAAGTAGCCAGCTTCACGGCAACATTGTAACACTGGACCGCCAATTCACGAGTAGGCATTAAAATAGCGACACGGCTGGTAGGGACCTTACGGGGTCTGAATAGCAGACGTTCCAGGATAGGAACGATGAAAGCACCGGTCTTTCCTGAACCTGTTACGGCACTACCGACAATATCCTTTCCAAGAAGAGCAACGGGAATGGCCTTGCGTTGAATAGGTGTGGGATCGGTGAAACCAACAGAAGCCAGTCCTCGGAGGATGGGCCGGGAAAGGTTGAAGTCTTGGAATGTGCTCTTAGCGTCGGAAACCTTGTCGTCGGTCTGTTCCTCAGGAGCAAAGAAAGCTTTACGCTTCTCGGCTTCTTCGTCGTCCACTTCGCTCTCAACGTCGGATTCTTCGCGGTCTGATCCAACGTCATCTGGGTGACGGACTGGTGTGGCAACAGAGTCATTATCGGATGCGTCGTCGTCGTCGTCGGAATCTTCATTCCTATTGTCCTCGGCGTTGTCGGAATCTTCCTCATCTTCTGGGCCAGAGGGACCCTCCGCCTCACTTTCTTCCTGGCCGTCGGCACCCATGCCGAATGCATCATCAGCCATCAATTCATCATCCTCGAAGTCCACAGACATGCCATCTTGCTCATCATCTTCGGAAACAATTTCTTCCACCACTGCAGCTTTTTTCTGCTTCTTCGCAGCAGCCGCGTCCTTTTTGACCTGCCTCCGAGAGATAATATCATCAATATCGACAGCCTTCTTATCACCTCCGGGACCATTGTTTCTGTCATCACCAGCACCCCATCCATCGAACCCTTCAGTTACGCCGCTGTTGGCCAAGCCGCCAACGTCAAATTCGAACTCTGGATCCAAGACACCGTCGTCTTCAGCAGTCTCAGCAATATCATCTTCTTCCTCTTCCTCCTCCTCATCCTCCTCCTCTTCAATGACGGGTTCAGCTTTGCCTTTTTTGCCCTTCACATTTTTCGCTTGTTTTTTTTGCTTCTTGTTCTTGTCCTTGGTAGATTCAACCTCACGCTTGCGCTTCTTGTTATCCACAGCTGGCGACTTTCCAAATTCATCGACGTTATCCTCATCCTCATCGAGAGGAATGTCCTCGTCGGACAGCGTGAGGACAAAGTCGTCGTCCTTAGGAGCCATGATGTTGATATTCTTTGAGAACAGGAGTCGGAGTAAAACTTTTGGAATTGAGCGACCTCTACAGCCCCGTAAAGAATCAAAAATGAAAAAGAACGAATGGAATAATCTCCGAACTCAACCCGCGCAAATCCTCGAAAGAAATCAATAGCAGAAAAAAAAGTTCCTAGGGCGGTGAAGAGAAAAATCTCGATGACTAAGAATTATCCGCTGATCGCTCACCTGGTATATCAGGAGCATACATTCTTCTATATCTCTTTGTTCAGATCAACCTTGGAATTGAGTGCATGAGAACTTAAATTGATGACTGATGCGGCCTAGAATTTTGCAAATTTTACAAATTTGAGGTCTAACAGCAGTATCATTACTCAACCATCTAATTCTGGAAATTTCATCTTGTGATAATGCTGTCAATACTACGCAAAGCCCGTCTGAAGGACAAGGAGATGAGAATTCTGATGCTGTATGAGCTCACCAAATACCTTGATTTAAAGAAGTTAATAGATACTGACCCTAAACATAGCGGACTCGATAATGCAGGCAAGACAACTATTGTCAAGAGAATTATGAATGAGGATGTCACCACAGTCAGCCCAACACTGGGATTCATTATTAAGACAATTGATTTTATGGGGTGAGAAACCCTGATCCAGATATGACAGGACTTTTATTAACTTTTATCAGATACAAGCTCAATATCTGTGAGTAAAGATATCGCCTTTGAGAACTATGACAAGGCTAATAATATCAGGGGACGTGGGAGGTCAAAAAACACTTCGTTCCTATTGGAAAAATTATTTTGAAAAGACAGACACATTAGTCTGGGTTGTTGATGCGACAGATCATCTCCGAGTGGATGATTGTCGTGAGGAGCTAGCTGGTCTACTCCAGGAGGAGGTTTGTCCCCACCGCAGAAAACTGTTTGATGCGGAGCCTAACGTGATCTTCTCAGAGACTCATGGGAGCAAGTCTCCTGGTTTTCTTAAACAAAACGGATGTTGAGAATTGTATGACAGAGCAAGAAGTGCGCGAGGTAAGTGACGCCGTCTTTCCTACCTCCAGAACTGGGACTGACAGATACTGCAGCGCCTGGGCTTGGATTTAATCAAAACCCATAAATGGACAATTCTACCATGTAGCGCAATGACTGGAAATAATCTGAATGATGGGTTGGAATGGGTAATACAAGATGCCAAAGACCGACTTTTCCTATATTAGGATTTACCATGCGGTGTCAAGTGCTAAAAAATTGAAATTTTGAAGTCCATTCAAGTCGTTGGGATATTCTGCCAGACGTTGGAACCTTCGAATAGATTCCATATCAAATCGAGCCAATTCAGGTACTTAGATATTGGAGATTGTTAAACTGGCTCTCCGATAAAAACGGTCCGTTATCGCCAGCCCGGCGTTATCGGACCGTCGACGTTAACGGACCAACATTATTGAACGATAAAAATATCGTGTGTATCCCTAACTGACATCAAGGGTGTGCTTGACACTGCTTGTTTTCCTACTCACAATCATACACGAGCCTCAAAGAGAATGCCGAAAGAATTCTCATCAGAGGGGCCCCGGAGATTGGAATTGTCATGATCATAAAATTCTACACTCGCAAACGCGGAATAGCTGTTGAGCTAGAGGTAGGACCGGATCTTTCTCCGCAGTAGTTTGAGGTCGAAGGGGAAAACATCTGTAGTAGGCCGGCCAGTCATTACAATTCCTTTGCCCAAAATGTCTTCACGGGTGAATGACAGAGGTGGCTCAGGAGGAGTTGGGACCGGGAAAATAGCGTGCGACTCGGCGCAGTATGGGACGTTGGCAGCATCTCACCTCCATACCTCTAGCTGAACAGCTATTCCGCGTTTGCGAGTGTAGGACTTGATGATTATGACAATTCCAATCTCCGGGGCCCCTCTGATGAGAATTCTTTCGGCATTCTCTTTGAGGCTCGTGTATGATTGCGAGTATCCAACTTCAACCATGATTGATGGGAGAGGAGACTTTCCTGGCGCAGTACTTGTTGCCCGGCTAGATACAAACAGGAGATCCAGTTCTTTTCGCATGCCTTTGTATGGTCCGGTAGTAAAGTCGACTATCGGGCTAGCCCGGATCTCCAGGTCTTCCAGGTCTGCGTCTGTAAAAAGGTTCAAGTGCTTAACCCATTTACCATGATTTGTAAACATCCATGGTAGGATCACTTGATGTGCCCATCCCGGCCTCTTTATCTCGAAAATTCCCTGGACAGGAAGGAAAGTCTTGTGAATGGCGGGATATTTGGAATCCAGTTGGTTCCACAGCGAGTTTCCCAGTTTTGATGTGACTTCTGTCAAAACACAAAACTCCTGCTCTCCAAGATGTGCAGCTTCTTTGAGAATCTTCAACGCTTGTCCCGCGGACTTTACATCTTTCAATGAGGTTCGTTGATCGGGGCTTTCAGGGAGATTATTTTCCGTCTGGATCTTCAGCTTGAGCTGGTTGGATGGGAGCTTAGAGGCATTTGCGGGTGGTTTATTTTCATTAGAGCTTTTCCCCAGAATTATAATGCAGAGAGACCATGGTGGGTAATTTGAGATTTGAGGAAAGTATCGATGGCAAGCTGGAGATTTAGAGGAAGGAGCATTGAAGTCCTTGGAAAAACTTATGACGTGACCTGAGAATCATTCAGATCTGATTTGATAGCGCTCGAAGAGTTGTATCAAGTTTAAAGCATAGCTTCCACTTTCCAAACTATATAGGACATTACTGTTGATCACCCCGGCCTAGAATCCAGAGCTTTTACCATCGGCGTAGGAAATGGTAGTTTCCATGATTATGATACTGAAGAAGCTATGAGGAAGGCTCTTACCGCTTTTGATATTTAGTTCCCGACCTAGATTTAGTTCTTCAATCGATCCTCTTGCTCCATTAGCAATTCCCGCGGAGAGGAGATCATATGACGGCCTATTAGAGCGCTAAACCACAGGAGGAAAAACTAGCGAAATTCAAATCTTACGCGCATTTACGTCAAAGAGATATACAGCATAACACAAGTCAAATTTTGATACAACGCCTACGGCAAACAATAGATGAATGACACCGGATAACCCCCCATTAGCACCATGTAGAATTCATTCGCACCAAATGTTCCAGCCCATCAATGCTCCAAAGATCACCATGAAACCGGGTAATAGTCATGAAAAGAAGGAAATAAGGTAACAAGAAGAGTAAAAAAGGTACTAGAAGGTAAAAAAGAGATAATGAAAGACTCATCGCACATTTAACGGATGGTCATCGACTTGGTCAACTGAGCCTTGCTGTCAACATGACCGTCCCGAGAGGCAGAGGCACTGGTTCCAGCCTTGCGCTCAAACACCTTCCAGAACTTCAAGCTCTCATCAGCGGCCGCAGTGGCCAGCATTTGTCCATCAGGACTCAGACTGCTGTGCAAGACACGGGTCTCGTGAGCCGGGATCTCGACTTGGCGAACCAGAGTCGGGTAGCTCCAGATACTGAGGGAGTTATCGGGGAAGCCGCTTGAGCTGACAATCTCACGGTAGTGGTTGCTCCACCGGAGGCTAGTGACTTGAGAGCCAGTGTCAATGCTGTTTGTGCGAGCACCAGTGGTTGTGTTCCAGAAGTGGATGTGACGGTCATAGGAACCACCGCCTGTGGCCAACAGATTTGTTTGCCACGGGCACCAACTAAGAGCCTTGACGGCAGCACGGTGGTTGGTCTTAGTAAACTTGGGAGCACTGAGAGAGCGAGCATCCCAGATGTTGACCAAATTATCGTTGCCACCAGTGGCAAGCTGGGCACCATCTGAACGCCACTCGAGACCGCAGACTTCGGATGTGTGAGAGACAAGCTCAGCAACCTTGTGCTCGGCAATGCGAACATCGTGGTTGAAAACAAGACCACTCCGGGCACCAGTGGACAGAGTGTGCTTAGACCATCCCATGACACCGACTCTGGACTCGTGGCCGAACATGCTGCGGAGCTTACTGCCTTCCTCGACATCCCAGATTTGAATCTCACCAGTACCGAGGCCAACACCAACGTAGGCGCCGTCACCACTCCACTTCACGCTGCTCACGTAGGTATCGGCAGGAGCCTCTAGAAGACAGCTCACAGTACCAGATTCGGCAGACCATACATAGACGTTTCGCTCCAGACCAATGGCAACCTGGTTACCAGAGCTCCAGTCCAACAGGTTCAGGTAATAGTCATCCACCAAACCAGGGGCATCCAAGACACGCTCGGGAGCAGTCTGGATCCGGCGACGGAACTGCGCAGATTGAGTCTTAGAAGAGCGGAGAGGTCGGTTGTACTGGGCACGAAGGTCAATAGGCTTAGAGGCCTCTGGGGGCGGGGGCTTGAATGCAAGGATACGAGTGTTCAAGTTCACACCACAAGCGTTTGCGAGTGATGACTCGTAAGCCACTGCATCGGGCGCAGGGCGGGTGTAGCTAGTGGGTTCGCTGTCTTCCAAACCCATGTTTTCCATAGCAGCAGTAAGTGCGTCCTCAGCGCCGCCGCCACGTCCTCCGCCGATGTCAAAGGCGCTAGCAGCAGAGACAAGAACACTTGAGCTCTCGTTGCTACTGGTCTTCGGGCGCTGTCCTTCTTCAGGCTTGGCTGCACCTGTGGTCATAAGACCTTCACTCGCGGTGCGGCTGGGAATGAACCGGTCGCCGGCGTTGTGAGAAATGCGAATAGTCGTCTTTGAGGATCTTGAACGAGTAGATACTTCACGACGAGGACGCTCCTTAGACGGAGATTGTGTAGAGCTAGGTCCAGTACCAGTCAAAGACCAATCGGAGACGCCCAGTTCCAGGTGCTTTGGCGATCTGCGGCTTCGAGCGATGTTAGATTTAGGGGAGTCCCGGTGGGCGGACCGAGTAGACTTGGCGATCGTCGACTTGGAGGGGGCTGATGGCTTTGATGAGGCTGATGTCTTTGAAGAGACCGATGACTTTGACGAGACTGATGACTTTGACGAGACTGATGGCTTTGACAAGACTGATGACTTTGACGAGACTGATGACTTTGACAAACTTGAGCTGGAGCTTGAAGACTTGACAGATGGCTTTGTAGACGGCTTGGAAGAAGCCTTTGTGGGTTTGACTGAGGACTTGGCAAAGTGAGAAGAAAGGTTTCCTCCGTAGACAGATTGAGACTGGGATTTGCCCGACTCGGATGGACGCGGAGGAGTGAAAGGGGAATCAATTTCAGATGGCTTGGAGGTCACAGCACTGACGCGAGCAGTGTTTGGAGATGGAGTCAAGGGCATGCGTCCACCAGCGGTCTTGGAAGAAAAAAGACCATGGTGGCTCTTCTTAGGAGTAGTCAGCGAAGCAGTCGCCATGCCGATGATATGATAGTTTGAAAAAGTGGAACCTGCCACAGACTGATGCAAAGATGGTTCAAAAGTAGTTTGAGATGTAATTAAATGCAGAAAGAGTACAATGTAGTAAGTAGGGAGTAGGGAATATGGAGATTGGGTGAAGAGGAAAAGAGGCAGGAGGAGGGTAACCAGGAATAAATAGAATTCTACTTACGGTATCAAGCTTCATCCCCGGGGCAACCGTTACCTCAGGTACGGAAACGCTATACTATTTTGGGATTAGTGGCAGCCGCACATGACATGCCGAGATGTTCCCACTTCGGCTTTGATCGTCTTGCACCCCGACTCGTCTTGACTAGTCTTTGTCCACTTTCTTATCTCTTTGCTTGCAACTTACGTCTTACATGTCCAAATAATACTGACCAAATACCCCACGTGGCTCTTGAATTCATTAACTCAGCCTTGATTCTTCCTGCGTGATATGATTTCTCCCCACCACCCCTCGTTCCGCTAGGACCCACTCTCAAGTTCTACTTTCCTGGGCTAGCTAGATCTTCAATCATCGTCTCCAATCCCACCATTGGGAGTTTTCACTCCTTCCTTCCAATGGACCAACAACAGGACGCATATCTACTACCAGCTAACCCCGATAATGGTCAAGCAACAGCGACACATCCCACTCAACACACGACAACGGGACATGTACCTGCATGCCTACTTAGTGCTTCAGTGACGTATTTCGAGGGTCAGATCTATGCATTTGGTGGATTTGATCAGTTTACCGACGAAGGTGAGTACCTGAACTATTATTTATCCGATTTGTTGCCTGCTCCAAGCCTTTTATTTGATAATTTCCATCAACCACGTGGAGGATACTGTTACGCATCACCTTTCTTCAATCTACCTTCTGTTTTCTTGATGGTTTTAACGAAGTCATAGTTTACAATCACGTCCTCCGATTAGACTTGACCTCGATGCAATGGGAGTTAGTTGACAACTTCGGTGATATCCCTGGTGTACGCATGGGTATGTTTTCTTTTGCACCTACCCTATGTGATATCTCTTGTCTGACATCTCGACTTCTTGCAGGACACACTGCCACCCTCTACGGCGACAAGTTGATTGTTTTTGGAGGAGAAAATGAACACCGTGACCACCTCGCTGATGTCGTTATTCTCGATCTCCGAACTTTCCATTGGACTTTGCCCGAAATTCGTGGATCCGTTTCTCCCCGCGGAAGAGCCCGACATTCTGCTGTCGTTCACGACAATAAACTCTTTATCGTGGGTGGTTTGACGGGAGAAAGTAACATCCTCGATGATTTGTCTTACCTTGATTTACAAACATGGACCTGGTCTCGCAGCTGGAGATTTACTTCACGATTTGATCACACCATGTGGGTTTGGGATAATCGTATCTGGATATTTGGAGGAATAGGACCCAATTTGGAGCGCTCGGCCGATATCTGGTGGCTTGACCTCAAAGACTATCCACCATTTGCCGGAAATACCCCCTCACGTAGGTCCACGGGTCTTTCCTTGGACCCGAGACTCCGTCCAGCTAATTCTCGTTTTAAAGTTTCCCGCGTTTCTAGTCCATCGCAGCCGATTTCCCCTCGCTCTGGAACTTACACCGCCAATTCAGCAAACATCTCTGTCCGCAACATTCGAAAACCTCTTGCTCCCGGACCTATCTCTTGCTTGAAGTTCCAGTCCGGTCCAAATGTTCCATTACTACCTGCTGGCTTGCATTTCCAAGCATATGCATCGGGAGCTCTTCTTGACTTCACCACACCGTCAGATATCGTGCGAGTGAAGGATTGCAAATTGTCCGCTCTAGACCTCAATTCTTTGCGTTGGCAGGGGGTAGCCACCGGGACTGAATTTTTAAGCTATGGATACCGATGGCACTACTGTGCAGTGAACGAAACAGGCACTAAATCATGGCTGTTAGGTTGTAATCTAAGCGTGGTGGCGGCCAACACCGACGAAAACACTATGGGTGAGGTTCTCTCCATCGACCTCGAGAAATTTGGCTTTCTTGGCAATGGTAAATGTGGAGAAACTCCGGATTCTGCTGGCGACGCAGTGTGTAGTCTGGGCATGGATCTCGCATACGCTTTTGATGATCCCGAATCCGGTACTGATTTCATCATCACCGCTCTTCGTGATGATTACCATCCTCATTCTAGGAGTGACACTCCCACGGAGTCACCACCCCAATCTCAGCCAACATTTGTGGAGACTAACCCATCCACATCTGATCCCATTAATGTCCATATGATCTTTTTGCTCCTTCGATGGCCTCATTTCAAGCGTGTCTATCACGCACATATGGCGGAATATCACACGAAGTGCATGCATATCCCGGAACCGTACTCGGTAGTACGTGCCTTTTTGTACTACTTGTACACAGACAGCATTGGCGGGCTCCCCGAGAATCCCTCGAGTGTGGACGACGTGGCCGGCATGCTGGTCATGTCAAATCTATACGATATGCCAAAACTTCGTCTTTTATGTGTGCACCGGCTGACCCGCGAGCTTGACGTGGAAAACGCAGCCATTGTCTGGGAGCGATCTCGCCGGAGCAACGAACATATGTTGATGTGTCGGGCTGCCTCGTTCTGCCTGACTCATTGGGGCCGTGTGGTTCGAACTGAAGGTTTCAAATCTCTCACTCGTTCGGAACTGCTGGATCTTTGTGAACTGCCAGACACCGAAGGTCGCATTATTGAGGGCCCGGAATTAGAGATGGTTCGAGAGAGCCAGGCCGAGAAGGCCGCTCAGCAGCAACTCACGACTGAGCTTTTAGAGGGCGACGGAGATTCTGATGGAATGGACGTGGATTTGGGCTCTTCCTATTTGGACACGGGGTCGTTGTAGAAGGGCCCAGAAATCGAAGCAAAGAAGAGCCAAGTTGGACATGGCTAGAGGCCACATCCAAGTCATTAGTTTGATGGAATTTGAATAATGAAGGAATGGGATGACTGGCGATATGTCGTCTCCTTTCGGAGTTTGGGATTCAATGGATAGGTTATTCCAGGGGGTTTGTTTATGCATTAACAAAATATGGGTTAGCATTAGCATTTTCATACATTTTACAAATTTAGAGGATATTTGGACCTTTTTCACGGCTCTGTCTAATTGGTTAGTCTCTTTAACCGTAATAGAATATAAAAGTAGCCGGAGATTACATCGACAAATTCTCGATGGCTTTCGCCCGAATATTTCAACCTTGGATTATAATTTCTCATTTTAAGGGTAAACCTGGGAAGCCTTAGGTGTATATTCAGTGTTCAAGTACTACCAACCCTTGAAACATTCGAAGCACCCACTTGGGCACTCAATCACGAACCAAATGAGGACCTTCAACTATGTTTGCCACAAGTTATAACTGTTGAAAACTCAGTGACTTCGGCATTTTGGTTTATGATCGTTCAGGGAGAGTTTTAAATCTGACAGATTGTACTAGAAAAGTACAACTATATGAATGAACAGTAACTGTCAGTAAGACTTTAAGATATGTAGGATACTGATTACTGAATCCTGATATATCTACCATTCACTGTGATTGCAAAATTCAGAAGTGATTCAAATCAGTCTCAGAATACTATCATTTTTAAATTGTTGTAGTGAGGTTATGTCACATGACTAAGCGACCAGGTAGGATTTCGACCGTAGAAGATAGACTTCCACCTTCACTAACTCAACGCGCAATCCGCATCCTACCCCACCCACCTCTTTACCTTCCCAGCTTGCTATCCAATACTTCCTCACTTCATCATTGGGTTCAACCTGCACATCTCCAAGGCTCTGAGCTTCTTCCGAGGCTGCGATCATCAACCACGCTCCAACGGTCGGCCTACCCCGTTGCGACGCAAGTCACCTTCGGTTGTCAAAACGCCCCGGTGAATCTCAAATCAATTCCAAGCACTTTGAGATAAGCTTCACTTCCACGCCTCTCAACCTCCAATCCTGCTTCTTGTAACCATGTCCAACCAGCTTGTTGTAAGTATCATCTCATCCCACCCTACCGTACGCATGTGGTCGCAAAGATGCTCCCATGTGCCCTTTCCATTGTGACCATACCAGAGCTTATCAGTCCCAGATCTATTTGTGTTAAAACAATGGCTAACTTTTATTGCCGCTGAAGGGACCGGTGTTCGAGAAGGTGATTCAGGAGGTCTGCGACTCCTCTCAAGTTGATTTTGAGGAAAGTGGTGTTGATCAGAAGACACTGCTTGATTTGCGTGAGGCAAGTTCATCTGACCAGTGCTCTTTTGGTGTGTTTTGGATGGCATCATGTTTGACGGGTTCTGGGGCTGAAAGCGGGGGGCGAAGCTGATTATGAGGGGAACCAGCATTTGGTCCTCTTATATACCTTGCCGCCGCTACCCGCTTTAGTGGGCTCAGACCGTCTATCAGTCCGTCCAAACACACTATATTATTATATTATGTTCCCATATTCCCATGTTCCCTCGCTGACAACGTTATAGACCTGGCAGAAGAAGCTGTCCTCTCTCAACGTTGCCCAGTTCCCTTGGGATCCTCCTGCGCAGATCTCACAACCTCCCCCTCCTCAATCCACTGTTCCCTCTAACGTACCTCGCCCTCAACAACAATCCCAACATCAATATGCGCCTTCTGTATCAGGGTCGCATTCAGCTCCTATCCACTCGGCTCCCATTCATTCGGTCCAACAACCAATGGGTGTGCCGCACATCAAAATGGAACCTGGTACTGGAATGCCCTTGACAAACACCATGCATCATATACCCCCCAACTCTCATTCAGCCCATACCGCCCATCAACGTGCTGCAGACCATATTCAACAGAAGTTTGGAGCTGCCGCAGCACACTCTGTGAGCCAAATCCAGGCTCGTGCCCGGGAGGGACAACACTCTTACCCCCAGTATTACCCCCCTGAGAACCGAATTAAGCAAGATCCTGGCCATCCCAGTCAGACTGATGGCGCGGGTGATGACCCTCTGACCGACTGGAAGGCTGAGGTTGCCCGTCGCAGAGAGGCCGCTCAGAATGGCCAGGGTGACCATCTGCTTCGCGAGCATCTCAATCAGCAAATGCTCGGCCTTGAAGCTGGCGGTCTTCCCCGCCCTTTGAGTGAACACAAGAGTTCCGCCCCGGCAACACGCCGTGCAGCTGCCGCTCTTAACCCCAAGTCGACTTCTTCCGCAATCTCTAACGCTCCTAGAATCCCTGGGCAGTTTGATGGTGCTGAGGAGGAAGACGAAGATGCCATTAACTCAGACCTTGATGACCCAGATGATTTGGTCAATGAAAATGAAAATGCGGATGAGTCGGATGGTCAAGTTATGCTTTGCACCTATGACAAGGTCCAGCGTGTCAAGAACAAGTGGAAGTGTACTCTGAAGGATGGTATTCTTACCAGCAATGGACGGGAGTAAGTTAATAGTCTATCGCCGTGACCGCAAAGGATCTTATTAACAAAATCAGATATCTTTTCCACAAGGGCCAGGGCGAATTTGAGTGGTAAACAGGACAACAAGCGACTTCACCATCATCACATCGACTCAACTCACAACTGCACTAGCTCGTTCTCTTTTTTTTTTTTTTTTTTTTTTGCTTTCCTGAAACTTTTACATCGAGTGCCTCGCAAAGCACGAACGAAAATCAACATTCCCGTCTTTCTCATGCTCCTGAAACGATCGGTACAAGCGATATTGACTTTTATTTCCTATTTCTTATTTTCATTTCACAATTCGTCTTTCCTTTGGCTTTCCCAGAGAGACAAGTTTTGAATTCTGATCTTTGATTAATGACTTTAATCAATCTGGGCCCTTTCGCAGGTCCATGGCGCTAACTGCGAGGAACGGGCTAGAATGAAATGGTAATTGGATTCACCCAAAAATGAAAATAATCCAAATTTGCCAGGTTTAGAAAAGACGTACGAGAAAACAGCGGAGGACTATGTTATTACTAGAGAAGTGGAGAAAAGTTGGCAAGATTGTAAAAAATAGCTAAGATAATACGAAAAGAAGCCAAAATGTATCAAAACCATTTATCTACACGATCCGACGCCGAAGAACCACACTTTTTTTTTGTCGTTGCAGTTCTAATCCCGCCTCAGGGATGAGAAGCGAACATGCAGTAAATCACCACAAGCCCCGTACAAGCTCCCGTAGATATTTGTCAACAAATTCCAAGCATCAAGATTGAATAAATCACAAGGTCGCAAGAGGGGGGTGTAGATAGAATTCAACCCGTATTGCGGGTTAGATAGAGAAGAGAGATCGAAACCAAAATCGAAATCGAAATCCAAGCAAATAAGAAAGAGAAAAAAGAAGAATAAAAAAGATCAATATCCAAAGAAAGCCAGCCCGTGCAGAACGCATTCATGAAGAGGAAGGAAACATCAGGAAAGATCGCACAAGATATCAAAACAATTATCCTTGATCATTTCCACATGTAAGACATATGAAGAAACATGGTAGAAAGGTAACAGACAAAATCTTCTAGATCTTGTAGACATCTTGAGGGTCACTCAGGTAGTAGCTCTATTACCATGTCCCCCAATACGGGGGAGAGGGGCTCAGGAACTGGGAACGGCGAGTGGGGATATCGAGCGAGACAAAAGCAAAACAAAGAAACAGGACAAGATCCACAGAGCAAAAGAAACAAAGGATCAAAACTCCACCGGTCGTGTCATCATGTGAGAAGTTTCATAGATAACCTGGAGAAAGGATCCAGATCCAGATCCAGATATCATATTCAGGAGGGCCATTTGTGCGTTATTATGCTTGAACAAGTTGGAATTACATTAGGCCCTCCTCGCCTATTCCGGGGAGTCCAGCTCCTGCCACATTGATATTCTGGCCTTGCATCACACCACCGCCGAGGTTCAAACCTCGACCCAGTTGGAAGTCTGGGTTGCAGGGCGGTGAGTGTGATTTGTGATATTTCAGACCGTTGAGGTTTTTGTACCGCTTGCCGCACACTTCACAGCGATACGGCTTTTCTTTCTCCATGCCGAGGGTGCCGGGGTATGGGGCCGATGTCTCTGGGTTGACGATAGAAAATGTTCCATCTGCATTGTCATGTAGCTGTTGATTATTGTGGCCGTGCTGTGGGAAGGGAGGGGAATGTTAGATCCGAGTTCATATCTGATAATCATTGAATACTCACAGCTTTGTGATATTTCAGACCGTTCTGATTCTTATAAGCCTTCTCACAACCAATAACCGGGCATCGGAATGGCTTTGGCTCCTCGTTGGGTAGAATGGTTGTAGTATCGGGAACTCCAGCAAGAAGCTGCTGTTCACGGATCCGTCTCGCAATGTCACTGTTAGGGCCATATTGGGCTCCGCTGAGCTTGAAATGGGCGTTCGGGGTGCCCATGCCTCCATTTGGACTGAACAGTCTCTTGGCTGGCTCGTCGATGCAGAGATCGACCATATCATTATTTCCGGCGAAACGTCCGTACTGACCCTGATTCTGGCCCATGACGTTATTCTGCATAGTGAGGTCGCCAAATCCGCCTACGACGCTCTCATCAATTTCAGCTGGCGTTCCAGGACCTGACGAATCAGGAGTATTTCGGAACTGAGATGTTTGTAGTGGGTTGGCCATTAACGTGGGAGTGTTGACGGAAGAAACGGTTGGGTTATTCTGCAGGGAAAGAGGACGTCCAGATCCAATCGGGGTACCTGGTTGAGAAGGAGAGTTGAAGCCCTGACGGCTAGGAAGCATGCCGAGATTTAATTGTGGGCCTTGGTTGGGGTTGCCAAAACCGCCCTGACCTCCTTCGCGTAACTGGGGTGAGAACAGCTGAGAAGTCGTGCCATCCCCGTCGTCCATGGGCTCGTCCAACTCCATGTCGTCGATAGTGTCTAGATCCACATGCTGGGATAGGGAAGTGTTTTGACCCAGCTTACGCTGCATGTCCAGGGTCCGATCGTTCTGCAAGCCGCGCCCTTGGTTGCCATGTTGCTGGCTCTGTTGCTGTGAAATGGCGGCAGCCGCCAAGGCCGCGCGGTGATCACCTTGGCTCGCGCGATGTTCGCCTTGGTTGGGCGACTTTGTGGCATGAGCTTCTTCGTAATGCTGTAATAGGTCATGGAGCGTCGGTAACGTCACACCGCAGCAGGAAAAGTCCCGCATGAAGTTGGCCTCTAGCTTCGGCAAATATGATGACGAGTGGAAACTAGGCGACTGGAAGGTGAAAGGCGACGTGCCAGTCATGATGATGCTGTGGTGGAAAGTTTCATGGTCAGTCTTCATGTCGTGCGACAACCTCAGCGCGCACAGGATTTCCCCGCGACGCATGTTCCAATGAGGAGGCGAGGAATTGAGGAAAAGAAGATTTATTGGCGCCACTCACTCATCACGAATCCAGCTTCCGACCGATATACCACCCCAGCTCATACCGCCGACCAAGCTGCCGGCCAAAGATTCCCGGCGACCTTTATCGCGGGCAGATCCCGACATAGTAATGGGCTTCGTTCCGTTTCCCCATTGCGCTGTGGCGGCGCCGATCGAGTCCTTTCTAGGAGGAGGTGCTCTAAATACGCCGAGTCCTCCACTGGCATGAGATATACTGCCCACACGGTCGTTACCTGCCCGCTGAAGTGCAGATGTTAGATTGGAAGCCTGCTGCCCCGGCGGTGACTGTCTCGAGTTGATATTGATAGGAGTCGCCATGGTGACGGTATGGCGTATCTGGTATGTAATGGAAGAGTTTAAGGGGGTTTGTAAGATGAAAGGATTCACAGGCAGTGAGCCTGTTGTTCTAGAAACTTTTTGGCGTGAATCCTGATCCCTGTCTAATCTGCGCGAACAGCACAGTTAACGCGTGTTGGTGATGATAAAGTGAAACTCCGACGGAGGACAAATGAAAGGAATCAAGCAGCTAGAAAGGAAGGTGTGGAAAGGAAAAAAAAAAGAGTATGCCCCTCGATAGGTGGACAGGTGAAGATGGATCCTCGGATGATGGCTCTAAAGCGGGCCGGTGGGATGAAGCGACCTTCGATGAGTGGCGATAGAAGGATTCTTTTGAGCTCTGGAGGCTTCTCTTCTTGATAATCAAGATCCAGGTTCTGATTAGAAGTAGAGTCTCCTCAGTACAAGGAGAGAGGGAGGTAGAAGTACTTAGGGAAATTGCTAAATTGTAGATTTGTAGAATTGTAGAATAATTGTAAGGCGGTCCGTTCACGGACTAGCGTCGTTATAGTATTACGCGGCACGTGATTGAGGGGCGCATTTATCACTCAGAGTAAGGAGTGTATTTTTACCAGGATACCAGAATACAAGGATAACTACATGATAGATAATGTTTACTATTCCTGATGGGGGCCAGAATTATATTTATCTAGGTAAATTCCTCTAAGATGGGGGTTATAAGAAAGGGCGATTATGGCACGGACACACCGCTTGTAGTTTAAACGTCATCCGTATTTAAACCAAATTGAAACAAATAAAACGACTGAGACACGACTCGAACGGTTTATTATTCTCCGTTTCTCCGGAATTGGTGAGTTAGGAAAGAGAACGTAAGTTGCTATGTATGTACAGACTGAGTACTGCCTTTCTTCATAATATCCCGATATCCCGATATCCATGGTCCAGTCCACTTCGATTCAAATTATTATATGTTTTTTTATTTCATGTTCAATTACTTGAATATTGTTATGAAATAACATACTGAAAAATAAAGATTAAGATATTAGATGAGATCTGGGGTTAATCTGCAAGGGGTAAACAGGGTGGCGGGTTTCATGCTTAGGGTTATATCGCGTGACTGAAGTACTGGAGTACATAATTTATTACTTACCCTACCCAAAGAATGTGAGAGTCCCTTTCTTAACAACCCTACCTCTGTTTCTTCCATAACTATGTACAGTGTATGTAGAGGATTTCTTGGTTTTCCCCTTCTGTTTTAGTGCTTGCCGCTTTTTACTCACTGAGTAGAACTGAGCACGCCTTGAGCGGATCAGTGACCATTATGTAATCGGGTTACCGCCTTGAGCATCACCTGGGTCTTAGCGTTTTGTCACGTGGTGAGGCTGAGTAGCTTACTGAGCCTGAACCTGGACTGAAATTTACTCCTTGAAACTGACTGTGAGCACCCTCATTAAAGCGGCGGCACTGATTAAGGAAAGCCCCACCGGAGGAAATCTACTTTGTAGGTATTCTGTAATACAGGATACTCGGATCTTAACTTTGCGCTAGAAACACGGCAGAAGCAACCGAATAAGCGGGTATTCGGAATTGCCTCGGCGACATTCATCATCTCTCAACTTTATGCCTCTGCCCTATATATGGGACTTGTCGGTGACTTAATTATTAAACTAGTGTTTCTAGCTCCTCTAATGTAAACCACAGCAGGTACCCGTTAATCACGCTATTGAGACTCCACTTTATACTCTAGCTTAGTATAGATTGTTGAGGCCCAGTACGTCGGTATTACCATCATTATGTCCAAGATTCTTAGACCTAGGTACAAAGGGCCATGAGGGTTATTTATCTATCAATATAGATGACCAGGAAGTTATAACCTCAATCAGACCTAGCCCAGGCCTTGGTTAGTCTTTAGATACACAATAATTAGCTTCGTATGGCCTCGCAATGAACTCTCTATTGAGTTCTTTCATTATCTTCCCCTCATTTAATGCTATGGTTCGGAATCTTAGATCTTCATCGGCAACACTATTCGGCTGTTATAGTCCATCCCAAAGTCTATTCCATTTATACTTCCCAGGTCGGTTATCCTAATTCGCCATTTTTGGAACTTAGTAGTTGGCCTACGGCGGCTTTCCGATAATCGATGGAATCTTTTCTTGCTTTTTCTTTCCATTAAATACAGTTCTATGAGCTCTAAGCCTATTACAATGCCACGGGGGCCATCTAACATCATCCCCCAGGCAAAGAAGACAAGATGATTTGAAGAGAGTAAGTGCGCTTTTTTTCCAGCCCAGGACAGATGGCAAATATTCTCCCCAGATTGGTGCACCTGCTGCAGGCTCACCTGTGGTACAGGAAAAACAACACCAAGACATTATGTCTGCAAAGTCTGGTGGAGATATCATCTTCTGGTTTCGTTACATGGCCTATTCTAACGAGTAAACCAGGCCCGGTTGGTGGCATTGGCACTGTAGTCTTATGCCATGCGCCGTGTTCCGATCGCTATCGGGCGTGTTGTTTCTCACTAGCCGAACACTTCGTCATGTTGGCGAGGCTTTCTGACAACCAAACCGCCGAGCTCCCATATAACTTTCACCTCGTTCGATGTTACTAAACCCCATATATTCCTTTGCTTCACTCTCACTTGAGTTCATTCCCCATCGGACCCAACCACACCTTGGAAGGTATCTCAAATTTCGTCAAGATACAAGCACCATGGCATGGTGTATGGAATCTGTCATTTTGGGGCGAACTGAACAACTTGGTCTTCTCAAGGTCAGAAGACACTGATTTGGGTGTCACTTGATTGACACCAAATGAAGGTTTCGGTGGAATGTTGTAGAATCCTGCTGGTGCCACAGCATCCAACACAATGCCTTCAAATATGATGACATCTGGACGTACTAAACGCACGTACCACGTGACCCAATAATACAATATGACTAGGGATTTTATTCCATGGTTGCGGTTGCTGTTTCAGTGATGATTGTAGAACCTCTTTTGCCATTTCAGGTCATGATGGCACGCACCGTAAAAGCCACATGATAACTTATTAAATGGGAGTACTGGTTGCTCATTGAAGGAAATTGATGTGTAAAGATGAACCTCAGGACCGGGATGACTGATCATCGACTTGGTCATCGACTTCCTTCGATGCGTGAAGATGGTTGTACAACCTCTTCTGCCATTTCAGGTAATGACGACTCACAACGCACGCACCACCACGTGATCGCCAATTAAACGTCTGCTCATCGAAGTTAATAAGTGAAGGTTGTCGTAGAACCTGGGAAAGGTTAAGTGATCAAAGAAGCAGTTAGTAACTGGGTGGAGGATGTTGATGGGGGATTAAAGGTGGAAAATTGTTGTAGGAGGAAGAAGAGCTGGGAGTGGCGAGTACTTATTGCTTATAGGGATGCATGTGGGAGGTTCCAGGTCTTCGGCATTTGCTTCCAACTTTCAAAGGTCGAATAAGAATCAGATGAAATTGAGAGTGACGGTGATAGTGACATTGAGTGCCCGTTAAGCTAAAAGCAAGAGTAAAAAAGTCTGGGTTACGGATTATGGATGCTCATCGGCAACTCTCTGGGGGATACATAGGTAACAAATCTTATTGCCTCCTAATGATAGAGAACCCAGGCATTGGAAAATAGGAGAGAAAATATTACGCCTGGGCATTGAAGTTGGGTGGATCGATTATTGTTGTATGCCATACTAGGTGATTCTCACTTCATTTTCACTTTAAACACACATTCACTTCGGCACTTCACCTCACTTTTACATTCAGCGATACCTAGACAGTTCATAGGATTCCACAGCCCTAGAGCCCATTGACTGAACATCTGTAGAATCTACATAGCTAAAGATAACAATTGTAGTCAAATCCAAAGTCCTCCGTACATAGACACACTAAGCAGTATTTAGATCATTCTGAAACTACCAAGGCATAAGTCTGCCGACCGTAAGCGGTCTTAAAGTAAACAGGGTCTTGTGTTTATGACGTTCAACATACAAATCGGATGCCAAACACATCTGTAACTACCCTGGTGAGACTCGGCCCAAATTGAATTTCTAAAAAAGACACAGCTCACATTAAAGAGGATAAGTACAGTGTACATCCCGAGATCATAGAGCCGTTCGACCGAAGACTAGCTTACGGAGATAAGCATAATCATGTAAAAAGCCAAAAAGGAGCATTAATGCAATTGGATGGAGATATGGCGTATTTAACCGAGAAAAGATAAATCAAAATAGCATAACTATGTACTCTGTACTACGTCAGCTAGCAATTCAGATCTTCAAAGTGGGGTGTTCAATCCTGAATTCGTCATCTCAGATACAGATCACAGCTGGGCCTGAACTACTCCAGATGAGGCCAGATATCCATCAACTATGCTACTGACCAATCCCAGGTAGAAAAAGGTCAGCGTGTAGCATATGCCAAGATGAAAGGGGGTGAGCCCAGGGAAAACGAAGTACTCTGCGAGATGAAGGATTATGCATAAAGCTACCAAGCAGGAGATTTGGCAGTCCTGAAGGTTGCCACACGCTAAGGGTCTTGGTCTTGAAGATCCCTGACTCCTTTCTTGTATAGCAACTCCAGCTGACCTTTGCCGTGCAACGCCCAGATTCCCAGCCTCACAGCCAAGACGGTTATATCTCATATCAACATCTTGGCGGAGATCACCCAAACCTTGGCACAACTTGGCAGGTATGGGGGAAGTCCTCCCTAAATTGGATATCTTATCATCTGCAGAAGTATGTGTCGACGCGCGGGCTTATCCTGAACTAAATGTGACTTATCAATTTCCCCGCAGTGACTACTGATTACAGGAGTACTTTACGGATAATTTAAATCTAGATCTTAAAAAAGGCAAGTTTCAAATGCAACTAGATTCATTGCATAGGTGAGATAACGCTGTTATCCCTGTTTGCTGTCCATATTTTGTATGGCCAGTGGGTTTCTCATTCCCCAGTTCTCAGTTCCAGAATTACAAAGTCCAGAAGAAACCAAATGTGAAAATCAAAGGGGGAGATGGGGTGTGTCGGATTCATAAAGGTAAAGAAACGAAATGAGTTCGAGAAATGAGGTCGCTGATGTCGTCATAAAGCTTGTGGATATCGAAATAGAAGAGAAGTAATCATAATGTAGTTGAGCCGAGGCAATTACTGCCCAGTCTTGGGCTTGCCGTGGCCCAGGTAGAGGAACTCATTGGGCAGAGTGTCAGTGATGGTGCTCACAGTGGACAGGCTTGAGGCAGAAGAATTGCTGTTCGAGCGGTGCAGCTCAAGGTCCTGGTCGACGATGTTGGATTCAGTTATGGCCTCCTCGAAGACACGAGCGTCAGGACCAAACTCAGTGGGCGACAAGACCAGGAACTTGTTGGCAGCAATTGTAGGGTCATATGGAGCCAAGCTGGGGGCCGAGAGGACAAGGAAACTCTGAGCGGGGGCCTTGGAATCCATTATTCAGTTCAATTTGGAGTCGATATGAAAATTAAGTGATGACTGAAGTTGCTGTGGAGGGGAGAAAGTAAAGTAGTTTCGAGTGAGGGAGATGGAGATGGAAGATGGCTGATGTGAATAGAAAATAGTAGTCAAGTGACAGCTTACTAGGGAAAGAGGTTTAGTAGGAAAGAGGAACCATGGGTCAGATCAGGGTAGCTTTATATGTGAGATTTGGAGAGTACGGAGTACACTGAGAGCATTCTTGTGGCCAAAAGCGTCGATCAAGTGAATCTCAAAAGTGGATACATGCAGAGTCACCCCCGCAATAATAAGGATTGAGATTCCCATACTCCGTATCTGGGCATTTCTTGGCTCTACAAAAAAAAGGGAAAAAGGAGACAAAGGGGGAAAGTACAGTCTCGGCCAAGACGTCACTATTGAACAAATATCACTTCTTTCAAATTCATAGCCTTGGCCTTTCTTGGTATTTTTACATTGTCACACTGGTCATTCTTCAAGGTCTGAGTTATTTCCAAATCAGATAATCAGATTCATTCTCACCTTGGTACCTAGGTGGGTCATATAAAGTACACAGTACAAGTCCAAACCTCCGTTGCAAGCCGAGAGTCAAAAAGGAACCTCGGTCGTATGATTACGTACGCTAGAGCTTACCGATCTTCACAATTTACGCCAATCATCCCTATTATTAAAGATCCTGTCCACTGCCAAGTCCGGACTCTGATTTATTTTAGATCATAGGTAGTAACTAGTAGGAGTATATTCAGATGACATCATCAATCTATTAACCGACATCCCCGATTCTTTCTTTTTCGCGGATAACTGTTTATCTTAGATGCGGAGTACGGAGTAACGTGATTACAGGATTCCAAAATACTGCGATTTTTAACTGCGATTTTAGAGCACAAAATAAATTAAATTTGGCTAAACAACTCTATCACGGCATTTAGTATCCATATGATATCTCTTGGTACTTATCACATCCAGAACAGGTTATCTAACGCCGAATAGTAGTAGATAGTGTAGTGGGGGACTAGGTCACATGACATTAGTGGAGATTGTGTATTTAAGCATTCAGTTGAGATATGAGACCATCAGACTACCTTTACCTTCTTGAGCTACCCCCTGGTTCTCCTTCCTTTCTCCCACATAGCCCCTAGATGACGGACTCTGGCTGCATCTACCATACTCCATGATTTAGCTAGGTTCGCAGACTAGCTAGGACGTCCCTGTTCCCCGTATCAATAGGTAGTTTTGGAGCAAGGGCTAAACCACCGCTACTCCACAAGCTTCTATGTCAGATATATATTTCTACCACTTCATCTACCACTTTATAAATATCTTCCAACCTTTCTAGACCATCTTTATGGGCACCTAAGTAGTCTGTTTCTTATATACTGCCCGATTTTTGGTCTGTTTTTTGTTCACTTTTTCTAAATGACTATATCGATCATGCAGGAAATTGAGATGATGAGCTGTTCGAATCGTCCGATCATAATACTTCTGAATGTCTCTCGTTGTAGGCGAAGAGGGTAAATCGGAAGAAGGTCTAGAAGAGGAAGATTCTAGACACGATCCGAAGTTTTGATTTTGTAAGCTTTTTTAGCGTCCAGAGACAGTTAGGGTCGCTGCCAGATGACAATAGTCGATTTGGTGGTGGATCTAGAACGGCCAGAGATTCAAGCTGAATGTCCAAAATTTCTAACAGATGATTTAGATTTAAAGGCACTCATCCTGTAGCTACAAAGCTGCTTCTAATGGCAGTCTCTTGAACGCATCATATCTTGTATTAGGAAATATTTCTAGGAAATCTTGTTTTTAGATCGATGCCGAGGCCCATATCCTGCCATCCTCTCTCCATATAAACGTTTCAAATCCGCGAAACAGCCCATATCAATTGGTGATAAAAGATGCGATGCATGCGGAGGCAAACAAATAGAATCTATATCATGTTTCTGGCATAGCTGGTCAAATTCAGGGGTAATATGGCTACTGTGATCATCTAATACTGGAAGACAATATTTTTCTTTTCTTGCCCTAACATTTGGAATAAAATGCTTTTCCAACCAATCAAGGCCAATATCATCGCTCGTCCAGCCATTTTAGGAACGTTAATTCGTCAACCAGCTTCTTTTAGTAGAAAGTCAAACAAACAATGTTGAAAAGACCTTGTCTTTGAAGATTATATATGGCGGTAGAGCAACTCCAAAAGCCCTTGTACCTTCAATAACAGTGACCTGTGGACCCATTCGAGATTCCCAGCTTGTGAATGAGCCATCCGACAGTGGTATTTAGCAGAGGTAACAGCTTTTTGAATTATGTTCGCACCCATAGCAAAGCTCGATTCGTCAAAGTTGAAGATATCCTCCGAATCGAAACCATATTTTTGAATCGTTGCTTCAACTAATTTAGAACATGACATAATGATCCAGGATCATAGGGTGCAATCAGATACAGGATGATTGAAGAGGTGGTTGAAGAACGCGATCGGAGTCGAAGATTCGCTAAATCTCTTAGCATAGATAGTGTAAAATCCGCGCCTCTTGTATCCATAGAGATAATCCACTCCTATAGATAGTCATCTTCAAGAGAGGTAAATTTATGACATGGTGGTCGTTTCTTAGTCCAATTCTCAACATCCTTTATCTTAGCTTGAAGCGTTGACCGTGGAACTTCAAAAGAGTGCGCAGCAGCTTGGATCGAAGCATATTTGCAATTTTTCAGAGATTCAATAGCTAGCAGCATACGACCCTCCTGTTCAATAGATTTCAGCTCTGTTTTTTGGTCAACATCCCTGAACGGCAGGGTGTCACGTTAGCTAGTTGGTTATCTAGAATGTGAATTATTGATCAGAAAATAACCATGTTTGTTATGTAGAGGTTGATAAGAATTGACCCTCGACTTGGCAATAGCAGTCTGGACTTGATCCCCTTTCAAGTTGCTTCTCAGAACCAACGGCGCCTAAAATCTAGAATTGAATAGGATAGAGAATATGGGTAACCAATACTAATTATCGCCGTGTTTTGCCGCCTTCAACTCCGTAACTCCGAAGTCGATCTGCCGCGTCCCGAGCCTCCAACCCGATACAAGCCATGTACTAAATAGTAGTATTTATTTAATAGTTAACGAACTAACGCTGTGCCAGAAGTACGGGTCTTTCTTTCTTCCCCATTAATGACTCATCTTTTTCCTCTAATCTAAACTGATAGGCTGTAATCTTCACTTCTTGAATATCCTGGTATTTTTGCTAATAAGCCTTAGTACAACATACAAGGCTGTTTCAACGACCGATACTGCCTTGTGCTTCATACCAACAAATATTCATCTCATCACAGTGCATATTCCCTTGATATCTCCATTGTACCATACTAGCATATCAATGACTGCGCCCATGAGAGATTTCAGTCGATCTAGATTCTATCGAAAAATGCGGCTCTTCGTGAAATTGTCCGAATGGGGAAATATGGACAACTGCGGATGATCCGATCTCGGTGGATCATCTCCAACTATGTTTCATGAAGCCTTGGTCAATTCTCATGAAGCTGCTCATTCGTCTACAAGAATAGTAATGTAGGATTAACAATTTTGACACAAGGCAGTCCCGGATCCGGCACGGCAGGAACCGAGATACTTAGACTTAGCCACCATGACAATCATGTCATGCAGTTTGTCTGGTTTCTCCACTCTCCAAGACTGTGGCAGCTGCCCTGCTCTATGAACCATGTGGAATTCTGTCATGTGAGTGAAACGCTATGTCGGCACGCCTGCACGGGCTTCAAGTGTTGGTGTGATGAGCCGTCCTATTTGTTGAACGTTGGAGGCGTAATTGGTGTTCAGATACGAAAATCGTGGAGACCATATGGAATGATGTCAACTATGTATGACAGCCGTGGGTCTCTGTCAGCGATTGGAGTGGTCGCGGTGGTCCACTGGTCTTTGATATACCCTCCTGGCCTCGCTAGTGGGCGCGCGCAAAGCCGGAATCTTTAGTCGGAACCCACCATTGCCCTTCTTTAGTGATCCACATAACCGCCAACCTTGTCTACTGTTGGAGGTGTGGTGGCCAAGAGGGGTCGCTCGCAATTTCTGACGAAAGAATGCCCTTGTTTACTCTTCTCGGACTAGGCTTTGTCTCCGAACAAGTGACCAGTCAGTCAGTTGATGCATATCACGCATCAATTTTATCTACGCACCCTTGGATGTCTATGGCAAGACTGAACCGGCTGCCGTTCCCGTTTCTTCCATCCTTATCCTGCCTTGCCGCAGACAACCCTTGACAAAGCACGGAATAGCATAAAACCAGAAAGAATTCCCCTTCTTCGTCTCATCATATCAAACAGCTCAATTCAATTCAATCTAATCAAGAAAGACATCATCCTTTCGAGCTTCATTACCTTTGCTCTTCTTATCTCATCTCATCTTTATTTTCCTCATCATGTGCTCCCAGTACATCTTCCTTTACGATTGCAACTGTTCCATCAAAGAACCAGAGATAGTCCCCTGTGCGAGCCGAGGAACTGATTCTTGCCATGGCGTGAGGTCCCAGCTTCGCAAACGTACCGGGTTCCAATGCCCAAAGCATGGAGGCTAAGGCTTCCCAAAGGTATGGTCCATAAGTTACAGAGAATCGAAACAAGATTTACTGACACAGTATTTCAAAAGGATTAGGCTCGACCAGTTGAAGATCCACCTTCAGCAGCCTGATAATTCCACGATGCTCCGGCATCAATCCGCTCTTGCTCGGGAAAAAATGGAGGATGATTTGGACTCTTACAACGGAGGCTTTTATTACCGTTTTTTGTTCTTTGTCTTGCCACAATTGGCAATAGTTGGTTTCTTGATATGCTCTGCTATCTGAGGGCTCAACTCATCCGCTGATCTTTGTTTTCTTCACTTCTTCGGCTATTCGCTCTATCTTCTCGCCGTCTATTGGATTCACTGACTCGAGATGGGAAAGCTGTACTTTTGACATGTCCATTCTTCCAACGTTTAAATGTGGATATATCGTTCATTATGGCCTTCATCTGCACGTATCATCTTGTTCTCCCGAGGTCTTATCATTGTTATCTACATTTTCCAAATACAGTCTTTGGTACAGACCTGACTCTATCCACATCCATCTTGCTTCGTATTCCTCAGTACCTGCGGGTACTTCTTTCATCACCTTCAGCCTCAGAACTACCTAGGCAATATGATAGTATTTTATAATGAGAGTCTACCTCGAGAATGTTCTCTCCACTTTGAAACTCTGGCCTATCTAGAAAAGGGGCGGGATTGACTCCTTCGCGTTCAGGTGGCTTGCAGTAACCATGGAAAGCCACAAATAGTCCCATATCCTTGCAGGGATCATGTCGTAACCGGGTGCATTCCGAACAGTTCCTACGGGCCTGTGAGAGATTTCTAACAAGAGGGGGAGACTGGCCTGAGCTGGCGCTTACAGGGGTGTAAGGCCCTCATATGTCGCCACAAACTTTGAATGAGGCATATTAATACCTGTTTGTGGCTTCTGACTGTAGTCTTTCCCTATAATGATCATCTGAAAACTTTGAGATGTAACATTCATTCGCTCAAAATACCTGGGCAAGAGACTCTTGCGATATCCTCTTGCCAACAGGTCTAATGGGGATAGAGAGGAATGGGAAAGGATCTGAGAACCGGATTCCAGGCACCCTTGAAAGAAAATAAAAGTCAAATGGTGCTTAATCAGACTCATGCCATGCCCACATGCATGGGCCACACGGGGGTTGACCACGTTGCTATGCATGTGGCATCCCATACAAATCAACTTACATGAGCGCAACAAATATTCTGAATACTGGTCTTCGATGTAAGGAAATTTATTGGGTCAGTAGCTTTGCCACTCTGCGGGAAGTAGTTCAAGGGAACCCGAATGGCCGTTATCATGAGCCACTGCGCAGCTAGGTCTTATATAAAGGATTAATAATGATGACGCGCGACAACACGTAGTGAAATTTGAGATTCCCTGGGGAAATGAAGTATTCTTCGCATACCACAAACCTTTCGGAGTCAGAGAGATCGTGCGAGAGCCGGATAGAGGGTCATTGGTGCATCTTTTATTGAGCCAGATATTGAAAGAGTCATTTGGCTTGTAAGAACACGAATGAGACGAGAACCATAAATGTAGATGTGGGGACTAACAGCTTCGATAGGTTTTAACACCCGATACCTCATACTTGCATTAGGCCCGCATGCCAGTTGATCATCTGATTTTGCGTGTATGCTTTACACGGGTTATAATGAGGCTTAGCTCAAAAGACTCGGTACTCAGTACTATGGTCTAGTAAGGTCGGCCATATTAAGTAATTGGTCAAGTCGTGGCGGTGTTTAGAAAGTACCAATAGGGTCGGAGCCGAAATCGCGTTGACAAAGTCACGATTGGACAAGTAGAAGGACACTCCAGTCTTCCAATCCAGTCATATCAAGGATTAAAGCTTCATTTTTTTTTCTCGGAGTTTGCGTAATTTTGTTTCTAGTCCCCTCATGGAACAGACACAAAGAAGCTCGCTGCCCGCGGTCTGGAGCAAAGGGAAGGCCAGGGGGAACCACTGTGCCCTTTGGGCACTCTTTGGGCCAGAAATTAGCTTCGGGGGCACACGGGCATTTGGCTTTTACCGGGGTGCCACTAGCTAGGGGCCTTCCAGCCTATCAACTGAGGCGTTGGCGATCATAGATAGACGAGGAATTGGTTCAATCTTTTGATCTCAACTTCTGCGAGAACTTGTAGATTTGAAGATATTGAACACTTCGGGAGCAGAGCTTCAAGCTCCATTGGCAGCTATTCATACACAAGAACGCCAAACTATGCCTGAATAGTCCTTATGTGTAGGGCTCAGGCTTCGAGGCGGGCCGGGCTAGATGCGATGCGCAGACGTTCTTTGTGAAGTGGCTCGCAGTGGTGGCCTAATACTAATAGAAGACCATTATTTCCTCCATACTCACAGGTGATCGTCTCCAAGTCACCAATCTCATCTTTAGTTCGAAGTATCAGCAGAGGACAAATTCGTGGATTCCCATGTCGTCCAGGGTCACGTGGTCCCGCGTTAACGGCCTGCGGGCTTCTCCAGGAAACTCTCGTTCTTTTCCTTTTTTTTCCCATTCACAGATGATCTAGAGTTCGTGAAGAAGTTACAATTCCGCATATGTGATGTCCATCGAAGTCGACTGGGCAACGGCCACATCGGGCCCGGACGGCGAAGCTCTGGCGGAGCGCATCCGCGCGTTTGTCCATGATAGGTTTCAGCAGGTACCACTGCCGCGCTTCATCCGATCAGTCCAGTGCCATGCATTTGAATTTGGCACCGTAGCACCCGATCTCGAGATCAAGGATCTCTGCGAACCTTTCGCCGATTTCTACGAGGAAGACGATGACGATACCTCTGCTACCTCCGAAGCCCTCACGGCGGAATGGTCAGACTCGACCTACGAAGATGACATACCGCTGAACCGCCCTCCTCACAGCTTCAGTCACCATCCCTTTCCCGGCGAGATTTTCCAACCCTCCGCGCTTCGGTCACCTCTTCCCCTGACTGACCATTTAAACCCGCATTTCCTCCCCCGCGCCGGCACACCTGGTATCCCTGGCGGTACATCCACGCTGGGGTACCATCTAATGTCATTAGGTGGCCTGTCAGGTAGCCAGACGCCTCTTGCAGCCGTAGCAAGTGGCACACATCTTTCAAGTGGCTGGTCAGATTCCGGCTTAGCTCACGGTAGACCGCAACTGCACCCGCAACGTCCATCAATGCTTCGCCAGGAAGCAGATCTAGATAGCACCGACAACTCCGCCTCAAGACCATCAACAGCAAACACCGCACCGTCGCACCCATCGATCTGCCAAACAGGTAGCAGTGGATCGAACCACAACAGCACCTCTCCAGTTGATGTGCCACATCTATCAATAGAGCCAGCAGCCGATCCCTCCGTTCCAATCCCACCTCGGATGCGTGAACGGCGACCCGAAGATTTTCAGGTACTCTGCCATGCGAAATACGCTGGTGATGTGCGGCTATCTCTAACAGCCGAGATACTGCTTGACTACCCAATGCCCAGTTTCGCCGGGTTGCCGCTGAAACTGAACGTGACCGGTATAACCTTCGACGGAGTGGCCGTCGTTGCTTATATACGCAAGCGCGTGCATTTCTGCTTTTTGTCACCGGAAGATGCGGACGCCTTGCTTGGCTCTGAAGAGCAGGGTCAGGGGAGCCAGAATACTAGCGAAGATGGACCGTCTCGACCTGGCGGAGATCAAAAACGACAGGGTGGATTGTTACAGGAGATTAGGGTAGATAGCGAAATTGGCCGCAAGGAAGATGGGAAGCAGCTTTTGAAAAATGTCGGTAAGGTAGAGCGCTTTGTACTCTCACAGGTGCGTCGTATCTTTGAGGAGGAACTTGTTTACCCCAGTTTCTGGACTTTTCTTATTTAAACATTTGACGTCCCAAGATCTTCTCAAGATACTACATTTACGAATTCATGATTTCAAATGACCCTTGGATGGTTCCAAGGTTGCAGAATTGAATATTTCATGGCTCCTAGTACCCTAGTACCTAGTGATACGGGGAGCGCTCATAGGCAGTGCAGCCAAAATGCACAGGTCGATTCAGCTAGGATTTAGGTGTCGGAACTGCACTAACAGTAGAGGAATGGGGCTCCGTAACAGAATGCCCCGGAAATGAAGGTAGATGTAAGCATGATGGTCTAACTATGGGACGGAGTCCCATCTATAATGAACAACGAAAACTGGTTCGCAATGCAGTCGAGATTCTCACACGAAGTGAAATTAGCATGTTTGCTAAAAGAGGAGTTACCATTTTATCCATGCTTCTTCGACTGGAGCGTACACAGAATTCTCAACTAATTTCGGGTACTATGCCCAACGCAAGAAGAATCACGAATGAGATACATGAGCTGCAGCGAATATTCCAGGCTTTCTGTAATCAAGAAACCTCCCATGAACCTGCTGACGGTCAGCAACCATAGACACCAATGTCTCAATAGCTGTGGCCAGATTCAAGCCATCATGTCATGCACCGATCGCAAGCTGAGAATGCATTGCCACTTCAAGAAACAGACCTTATTCGGAAGAGTGTTGGTGTTGAAGAAATACTTGGGAGCTTTCTGGATCCTCAATCTCAGTTGGAAATGCATGATTCGCTAGATGACCTATTTCAATTGACGCATTGCAGTTGATCGGCAATGAGGATATCTATCATTGATATTGCTTGGTAATTCCAAACGTTGAAAGTTTTAGATTGGTAGTTCCAAGGTTTCTTCAGTTGGAAATTGTAGAACGAATACAGCTCCGGAGGAAATCATTGAGTGATTCTACATTGCTAGTCGTACCTAAGTAGATGTGATTCCAGAGAGGAAGAGGAGGCATGTTGAGATGAACTGTATGAGCATTATTAGATCAACCTTTACTTGAGATCTAATCAATCAATCAGTCAAATCAGTCAAATTTCATCAGAACTTGGAACCTGGACTGTAATTAGAATACTTAGAAATACTGGAAAAATCTGCATTATTTATGCCCTATTTATGCAATCACGACATAATGGCATGTTTGCATTGTTTGAGGCCCAATAGGCCTTCATTGGCTTCCAGGAGCCCTCGTGACGGGCTGCTTACTGTTGCAAGAGCTCCACGTCAGACCAATGTACATACGTACAAATAACGTACATATGTTCCGATGGGAAATGAAAATGGTGCAGGAAGAAGTCACTGAAGAAGGCAATTTAGGCATAGACGGTATATAACATAATATTGTAAACAGAAAACGCGCTCGATACTTCTACGCCAACAAGCCCCTGTGGGAACAGACACTGCCCAATAAATACATCTCTGGAGCTCTTGTAGCGCAATGGAAATCTTGCTCGACCTAGACAGACACATTCCGTCAAAAGGTCTCATTCTCGAGGAACAAAAAAGCCTTAAGCTCCTAACTCGTCCCCGCCAAGTTTCCACCAACTAAAACAGTACATCCATTGAGAGTTGATGACTTAGTCACATTCTCAAGACGGACCGCGGATCCGTTTGCCAAGACAATATGACCACTAAACGTGCCTTTGAGAGGACGCTCTTCTTTCGGCACACGATCTCCCAGTGCTTGCAGATCCGTCCTTGGCATATTGTATAGCTTGATCTTTTCAGGTTCTAAAACAGCTCGAATTTTTGACTGCTTGTTAAAGCGCACAATATACCCCGCTGGGCCGAATATCTTAACTTCTACCACACGATGTTCCTCTGGCTTAGACGGCCCACGCTTGGCCCCGCGGGCCGCAGACTATAAGCATGCGAATGTCAGTTTCTGAATCTTCAAGCTCTGTTTAGGATGAGATGTCTTACCGGTTGCTGCGCTTGTTGGGCTTCCGGCCTAGCTTGCTGATAAGAAAGGCGACGCGAACCGTTGCCTGTCCTCTGTGAGATTTCTGGTTGACTTGGACCTGGACCTGAAAGTCGTCAATAATTTCTCTTTCACCTTCTGCTAAATTAGATCCCGTCTCAAATCAACTTACTCGCATAATAGGTGTTCGAGTAATGGTTGTCCCCGTAATGGTTCTTGTTGTCCCCGTAATGGTTCTTGTTGTCCCCGTAATGGTTCTTGTTGTCGCCGTAATGGTTCTTGTTGTCCCCGTAATGGTTGTTGATATCCCCGTAATGGTTCTTGTTGTCCCCGTATTGGTTGTTCCCGTAATGATTGTTCCCGTACTGGTTGTTCCCGTACTGGTTGTTCATGTTCTCGTAACTGTTCCCAAGATGAACAGAGCCGCCGCTGCTTTGTATGTTGGTATCCTTGTAGAAAGCTCCTTTCCGGTCATCTGCTTCCATAGCGACACTGTTTCCCATAGCGACCTTTTGGATCTCGAAGAAGGTACTTCTGCAGACAGTGGATGGAAGCAGATGTGCTTAGAGTCAAGAGTCAAGAGTCAACAATATCATCAAGGATACCTACGTAGCAAGCTTCAACTTCTCACTCATGCCCAGCTGAGCGATTGCTCAGCCCTCGAGTACTATAAATAGCACCCTCTACCTTTGACTCCATAGGTTTGTTATCGTAGAGTAGGGATAGCGCGCGTAAAAGAAAAATATATGATTGGCTCATCGCTGCCCAGCTGACCCAGAACGAACTAGGAATTACCGATCAGCCTTGTGAGAAGAAATTCAACTTATATACTGTTCTCTTATGAAAAGAAATAGCCACTATAAGTAGTAGACCTTCCTGTGCAATCCATACTCGTGTTCTTTTCCTATATTTTGACTTCTGCCTGATACCCTGATATGGCCGATCCGTTCGGGGCTGCTGCTGGTGCTGTCGGTATTGCCGCTGCCCTTGCTTCATGCCTACAATGCTTTGAGTATGTCCAGTTTGGTCGTCATTACGGTCGGGATTTACGCACCGATTCCCTTCGTCTCGACTACGCAAAAATTCGTCTCACACGCTGGGGCGACGCCGTTAACATTTCTGATGATGCGATATTGGCCAAATTCAATGAAGACTCTAAACAACTTGTGAAGAACACTCTAGACCAGATTCAGGTCCTGTTCACAGACACTCAGAAGATCTCTAAGCAGAACGGAGACAGGAATACTGAAAGAGGCATCATTAACAGTGTTGACGCGGGGTCTTCGGCTATTATAGTAGAGAAGAATGGTACTAGGACGCTGGAACACCAGAAGAAAGCTAATATATGGCGGAAAACAAGCTGGGCTCTCTATCGTCGCCAGGAACTCAATGACCTTATCGAAGGTATCGACTCCCTCATCGAAAACCTTGAAGCTCTTGTCTCTCCGAGTCAACTCAAGCGGATGGTGAAGGAGGAGCTTGCGCAAGTCCGCGATGAACAGGAGTTTTTATTGATTCAAAATGTCTCCCGAGACGTGGATCCCCTACTTCATGCCGTTGCAACAGAAAAGCTGCAAAGCCTACAGGGCCACCAATATGGGAATATCAAGATTGGAGACAAAAGCAAAGTCGAAAATGGTAATTACGTTGGAAGCGATTGGAATGGAGATTTGTTGAGAGGAGCTTCTCATCGATATGATGGAATCGTTATTGGGAGAGAATCGAAGGTTCGTAATGGGGATAGGTTTGGAAAGGACTTCATGGACGATTAAGAGATATTTTTTTCTCAATTGAAATTGACTTAGTCCAAGTCCAGCTATATTATAATTTACAATATTAAGGTAATAAAGTAAAATGAGATATTCAATTGCATTGATAAGAGCACTTTGAGAGCGAATACTTAATTAAAAATAAACGAGCCTACATAAAAATGAATGAGATCTAAATCCAAGTTGCAACCAACATCTCCCGATTCTTCTTGTAAGAGTACTAGTGCACTTATAACAAAAGAGAGCTGGTGTCAATGAATATTATTCGTCAACTTGAGAGAAGTTCTATGTGCGACGTCCGTTCTAATAGATCCCCTTCCTCCTTCCCTCCTCCTTTCCCTCTGTTTGTATGCTTCACTCGCTGTTTGTAGGGTTGACTCGGTCTTTTTTCTTGATTTGAGCTTAATTAAACCATGAAAAAAGCTCCCCGCAAATCTGAAAGGTTTAGGGGATTTTGCGATACCCAAAGCTTGATGGTGTAGAACTTGAGTATGCCTCTAATCATTAAATCATATCATTATGTGATCACTAATCCGCACGGAAAATAATTTCTAGGTATGTGGATGTGGCCAGTGATGAGTGATTGATTTTCTAGTTAAGTCTAGGCTCTTCTTTTCTCAATTTATAACCAATCAATTAATACAAGAAATCCTAACTACCTGATGAGTGATTATTTAACTAGCTAGTTAAAGACTCCAATTTGGAAACTAGATTAGTAATCAGGAATTCATCGATAATGCCAATGGTGCTATTCGGTTTTACTGTGACAATTTAGCATGATGGTATCCAAGCATAAGTATTTAATAAATATGAGGTGACCAAGTTATTGATTTGTTTACTGAACCCACCTACATCTTGCAAGTATCTAAGTAGGTTCCTATCTTGAAACTACGGTATTTTGGCATCGCTGATACTTTTGCTCAATTGGAAGTTGAGCATCCTTTCACGCTCCCTAGGTTACAATGGCACTTGAAGAATATTCTACCGACTTTACTAGGAGCCTGATTCATCGGAAAATCGAGATTCCAGTTCCATGGTCAGCATTTGTACAATGCCTCGAAAGTCGGCTCGGAAGATACAATGACGATGCATTGAAAGCTGCAAAAACATTAAAACAGCTCGAAGCTGCTGTCAATGCCATGCGTGGGGACGAGCCATTCAGTATCTATGCAATCCATGACCATGGTGAGCTTTCTAGCCTAGCTGGAAGAAGTCAAAACGCCAGGCAATACACCATGGGAAATTCTCGTGTTGCAACAAAGATGACGGTGCATGATATTCGAGCAGCCCAGCATGCACCGGTCGTAAGTCTCATTCACGAGGCCAAGCCAGGCTTTACTACTATCGAATTTGACCTAGCGGAATCTGTGTTTGGTGGATTGACCGATGGGAACGAGGAGTGTCTTCAGGTTGCTAGATTGATTGATGAGATGAGGATCCTGGTTTTCAAGAAGGTCTATGAAGATGTCTTAGCTGCTTCCTGGAACTAAGAGGGAGCTAGCATGATATTTAGCTTGGGCAAAGCCTAGGTACTATGAGTTAACCCTGCAATCGACCAGTCTTCTTTAATTGATTTTGAAGCTTTTCAAAATTTCCCAATTTTCATAGACTAAGCTGGAATAGTGTTGGTCAATTCAAAAGTATATTACAGTAGGAAGGGAATCCATCAAGTACCGAGGTTTTAGCTATACAGCTCCGGATCCGACAGCAAGAAAACAGCCACCTAAATGCCAAGATGCGGTCAGTACATTATATTAACTTCGTCTCGCGGGGTTTCTCCGTGCGGATTGGTTGGTAGGTATCTAAGAATTCAGATGATAGCTGTCAGAATATGTGACGCGTCTTACTGTTCTGCAAATGCATTCAATGCTAAACGATATTGAAGAAGATTAAGAGGTGTGTTCCTTCTAACTCCAACTGAATCGAAGACTGCTCCATTGCCCCACTTGGGGCTGGCCAATCCAATGAGAGGAGTCGTTGACCATCTGTCCAATAATGATAGACGGAACGACTCCACTTGTATCAACAATAACAATGATTGATGATCACTCATCAACTGAGGATTAGATGATACGGATGGTTACGTAGCTAAAGCCCACAGTAATTGGACATCGATGATGGATCTATCAATCTGATAGATTTTATCATGTACATATGTCTCAAGATTTAATCTTGAAGTTCCAGAAGCCCTGAATCCATACTTAGGTGACTATACGTACCTGATTTCTTCTGGCTTTCCTATCTCAGATGCCGCCGCTTTAATGAGGCTCATATCCAGTCACGTAGTATATTAGTCGGTCAATAACTACCCAAAGGAGCATCAACTGTGTTTATGTGAAGGGATCGTGCCTGCGTCCACGTCCATCCCACTGAGCCAAAAGACTATAATGATTTCGCTCTCGAGAAATCATACGCAGGTTCTACTTATATAGTGCCACTCTTGATCCTACACTAAACATCATTTGTTAGGTATTCTTTTAACCTATGACAGTTTATTCGTCAATGGCTTTTTGATGGCCCTAAAAAGCGTCTAATTGATATACCGGTTTCAATTAAAAGCTCAACTTTAGAACAAAATTATCTGCATTTGTCGCCTACGCCTGCTAATAGGGGTAATTGGAATGTTATGAAGCCAGCTAATGCTAGCCAATTAGACCAGATGCTGGTTATACTCACTTTTTATGATATTGACAAGAATAGTGTACTGGAAGAAGCTTTTCTCCTTATAGCCAGTTCATTCACTGTTTCAATTTAGATCCTGATAAGGGCTAGAAGGATAGATGTTTAGATTCTTCTCACTCTCCCAAAGATGAGACTATTAAGATATGGATATAATGTTGAATACGGCACGTGATGGTTGATTTGAATAAAGAGAACATTGTATAAAGCTGGCAAGTTTTCTTCCGCTTCACTTATTAAGATTAAACTCATCAGCAGAAAGTTGCTTCCAGCAAAAAATTGTAGTACTTACTCAGCTCGATCAGTGAGTGAATGACCCAGCGAGTGAATCAGACCGCTCATTGAGTACTAAGCTCAATTATAGCCCGGAATCTATCGTTGAATGGAGGAAAACTGTCTAGCCAAAGACGCGAACTTTCATAGTATTTCTCGATTCTCACGTGCAGTTCCAATTCTTCCTTCCGGACTTTAGGGAAGATCATTCTGATACATCACGCTCAAGGTATGCCTTCAGTTTGGCCTTCTTGTCCCGGGTCGCCTTGCCCTGTCTTCTAATAGAGTCATAGCATGCCGAGGTTGGTAGGCGATTCATTCACACTTCTTGAGCTCCCGAAACGCGTTTCGTTAATCTCCTGGGTGAGCCGATTGGGGTTTTGTAACAATGACTCGTCAGAGTGCGAATGAATAATCTTCTCCAATTCATTCCAAAGTTGCTAGGTCAGAAGAAGAGGTAGGTGGAAGAGAATAAGGAATATCCATAGGAAGCTGACTTACCTAGGTAGGTACATAGAGTTAACAAAAAGGTCAGAGGGACAGTGACAATGAAAGTGAAAGTGAAAGTTAGAGTGAAGGTGAGATTAGCCCTAGTCAGTTCTTCCAAGGCTGAGAACCTTGGAAGAAATTGGATAGGGTTATTGCTACTTTTTTAGATACTACGTCGTCACATCTGAATTCTCCATGGATACATTTGAAGCTACTTTAATCTGGACTGATCTCAAATTTTGATACCTCACGAGACTTCCTGAACGTTTACTTAAGCATTAGAATAGTCAATTGGAATGACTGGGCGAATCTTGCTTCGCAAAAGGGAACTTGTTCCCAGAAAAGTACTGAGTCGCAAGCTGCAAGCTTTACTGACGCGGAGAACTTTTCAAAAATTGTCAATTTGACATTCAAAATTGTTAGCTGGGAGGACAAAAACTTACGTGGGACTGTAAGCAGGCGAAGTAGGACTGTAGCCCGGAGAGGTTGGCGAAGTAGGAGAGCCAAGGAAGTTGGGAGACGTAGGGGAGTACGTCTGAGGGCTCGTGGGTGACCAACCAGGAGAGGTTGGGGTGTACTTGGGGGATGTGGGAGATGTCGGGGACAGGTGACGACCGCCACCAAGAGCAGGGCTCGTGGGGCTGTAGCTAGGAGATGTCGGACTAAAAGCAGGCGAAGCCGGGCTGAAGCTTGGCGACGTCGGGCTGTAATTCGGAGAGGTTGGTGAGAACCCAGGCGAAGTAGGCGAATAAGAAGGCGACGTCGGGGAAGCTTGGCCGTAAGCAGGGGATGTAGCATACGCAGGAGAGGTCGGTGAGTAGCCGGGCGAAGTAGGCATAAACGAGGGACTTGTAGGCGAGAAACCAGGGGAAGTACTACCCATGAAAGGAGAGGTGGGAGAATAGCTGGACTGCGAGTAGCTAGGCGAAGACGGGCTGGTGCTGAAGGGACTGGCTGGGTTGTACGGAGACGGGCTACGAGTACCAGGGCTAAACGCACCGCCGTAGTCCTGGGCCCGATAGTTGGTAAGACCACCAGGAGATTCAGCGCCAGTCAAGTGAATAGGCGAAAACTTGGCATCTGGATCGCCATCCGCCATGTAAGGGGAACTGGCCATTGGCGAGCCGGTGTCATACTGAGTAGAAGCACCATCAGAAATGATCGCATCCTTAGCACCGACGGCAAGCCCGAAACGAGCATTATTAGACACAACAGTGTTGAGCAAGTCCTGATCCAAGAGAACGTCAAACTCTCCTGTTCCAGCAGGGGCCATCTGTCCCAAAATCAGGTTCTCCGACACACCACGACAGTCATCAAGCTCTCCGAAAGCAGCCGCGTCCAGCAAAATTTCGACAGTCTCCTCGAACGAACAACGCATGAGAGCACCATTGTCGGCACGGTTGATACCGTGACGAGTAACAGGGGTCAGATAGCCACGCACGGTCATAACATCTACCAAAAGAGCCAAGTGACGATGATTGACGTAGGATCCGTCGAAAGCCAGCACCTGTGTCAGCTCCCGCAGCACAGCCGTACGAGCAGCTTCGATACCGAAGACTTGGAAAATTTCGATAAACTGGTTGGAGTATGTGCGGGTAGCATCCACACCAGGGAGCGTAAGCACTGGCGCCAGGGAAGAGCCGCTGGTCTCAAGAACCCACTCCTTGCAAAGAGGATCCGACTTGCTAGTGAAGAGGGCGCCATCTTCAAGAACACGAACCTTGCTCTTCTCATTAATGAAAGCACGCTCCACACCGGGAACACCACGAAGAGTCAGAGTGTCCAAAAGATGCTGCTCGAGTTTCTTCAGAGTAACGTCGTACTCGACATCTTCGTCTTCTTCCTCGTCTTTGGCGTCCTGGATTTGACGAATACGGATGACCTGTTCATCGGCGTTGTTATCGCTGAAGATGACAGCGATATCGCGAGGGTAGGCTTCCTTAATCTTCGCGGCAACTTCCTGCACCGTAAGGCTCTTGTCAAGAAGCTTGGGTCGACTAAGGATGATACGAAGCAGCCACTTGGACTGATGAGAGGGCTCCCCACCAACATCCTCAGGAATAATGTAGTAAGACTCAACCATGTCACGATCATTTTCAATGACAGTAGATTGAATCTCTGGATCGTAATAGATCTCAGTAGCCTCCGTGACGGATCGCAAGCTGGTATGCTCAACGACACTGCGCAGCTGCTTGGCACCCTCTTTATTGTATGTATTGTCCAGTTCCTGGTAAACAGTCATGGAAGGCGTCTTGATGTTCGTGGCAACGTTCAGAATTTCCTTAAGACGAGGCACACCAAGGGTAACGTTCTTTGAAGAAACACCAGCAAAGTGGAAAGTGTTCAGAGTCATTTGAGTAGCAGGCTCACCAATGGATTGGGCTGCAAGAACACCAACCATTTCACCAGGATGGGCCGCAGCGCGAGCGAAACGACTTTCAATGGCACCGATAACATGCTGGAAAGCAAGTTTGTTGAGCGAATACTCGGTGACAAGGCGACGGAAGGCAAGACGACTACGCAACTGGGCCTTGAACAGCAATGTTGCATTCTCCTGTGCCTCTTGTGAGATCGGATCGCTACCGCGGACAATGACAAGTCGCTCAAGAAGAGCCTGGACCTGAGGAATTACCTCGGCAGGGTGCAAATCACTGATGGAGCCTTCACGAATGCGGAATGTAGTGCGGGCCATTTCCAGAATACGCTGCACATTGATGGGAAGCTGCATCATCTCTTCATCTTCCTTGGCAACAGTCCGGAGGAATTCACGATCCTTGAGAATTGCTTCCCATTCTTCATCGAAATATCTCTGAACCTCGATATCACCAGAAATCTCGTTAGCTTGCTCCAATACTTCGGGGCCGAGGCTTTGCTCAGCATCCATGACATCGACACGGAAGCGCTCCCGCATCTTAGCATCGGAACAACGGATGATGTCAACACGCTGGTTCTCGATGTGCTGGCCATCAAGTCCATCTTCTCCGTAAATGAATTGGATAACATCACCCAGCGAGTTACGAACAGTGCCATCGTACTTGACCATCACTTCCTCTAGAGCCTTGACCAGCTTACGCTGAATGTAACCAGTCTCTGCGGTTTTGACTGCAGTATCAATCAAACCTTCACGACCAGCCATAGCGTGGAAGAAGAATTCGGTGGGGGTCAAGCCACGCAGGTAGGAGTTTTCTACAAAACCACGAGACTCGGGAGAATAATCATCTTTGGTGAAATGAGGTAGGGTGCGGTACTTGAAGCCGAAAGGAATGCGCTTTCCTTCCACGGATTGCTGTCCCACAACGGCCGTCATTTGAGAGATATTGATGGATGAACCCTTTGAACCTGAACGAGCCATTTGAATTGCGTTGTTCAAATCCTTGAGACTCTTCTCTGTAACATCACCAGCCTCATCACGCGCGTTGTTGAGGGCACGAGACACCTTGCTTTCGAAGGTTTCACGAACATTCATACCGGGCAAGGCCTCGAGGGTGTTTGCTGTGGCGCTCGCAGTGATTTCCTCGACTTCATTCTTGCGTTCACGAACAGCATCCACAATCTTCTGAATGGTATCAGAATCCGGAATTGTATCACCAATACCGATGCTGAAACCATTGTGTAGAAGCCAGTAGTTAACAATAGTTTGGCAAGAGTTAAAGAAAAGGACTGCAGCTTCAGGTCCCCACTCGTTGAAAATTGTGTGAATGACACCTCCACCTGTAGCGCCAACGATCTTCTTGGAAAGCAAGCCGTACAAAAGCTGACCACCGTGAATCAACAGGCCAGTATCATTGACAGGACTGAATTTCTCAGAAAGAGGCGAGTTATCCTTGTCGACGCGCAGAAGATTGAGACCGGTGGGGAAAGCCATACTGATCATCTGTTTTCCAGTCCAGCGAGGACGAGGCTTCAGAATGGCGGGATCGGGAATCACACCATCCCAGTTGGGTACCCAGAGCATGATGTTCATGACCTGTTCCTTGGTAAGGAACACATCACGACGGCAAAGCTTATAGACACCGCACAGAGTATCCTGCACAATACCCATGATTGGGCCGTTACGTTGAGGAGAAACAATATTGGTCGGGACTAGAGCAAGCTCCAGAAGCTCCGCACGCGCTTCCTCGCTCTGGGGAACGTGCAAGTTCATTTCGTCACCATCGAAATCGGCGTTGTAAGGAGACGTGACCGAGAGGTTAAGTCTGAAAGTTGAGTAAGGCATAACCCGGACACGATGAGCCATCATGGACTCCTTGTGTAGAGAAGGTTGACGATTAAACAGAATAATATCACCGTTATCAAGATGGCGCTCGACCTTCCAGCCATAAAGCAACTGCTGAGCACCAGCGCGCTTCGCATGACGAAGATCAATTCGCTCGCCGTTATCACGAACAATGTATCGCGCACCGGGGTGTATGTTTGGACCTCTTGAAACTAATGCCTGGAGCTTTTCGATGTTGTACGGAGTCACAACTTCCGGGTAGGTCAATATCCGGGCGGTCGAGGTAGGTACACCAACTTCGTCCAGAGACAGGTTGGGGTCACCAGTGATGACGGTACGTGCAGAGAAGTCGACACGCTTTCCCATCAAGTTTTGTCGCAAACGACCCTCCTTTCCCTTAAGACGACTGCGCAGGGCTTTCACGGGTCGGTTACCTTTCTGCATCGCCTTGGGCTGGCCGGCAATGTCGTTATCCATGTAAGTGGCGATATGGTATTGCAACAAGGATTCGAACTCGCGGATGACGTGATCGGGGGCGCCTTCTTGTTCGCAGCGCTGAACGTTCTGGTTTGCGCGAACAATTTCTGCCAACTTGTAGGTCAAATCGTCCTCACCACGGGCATTGGCTGCAGCTCCCATCACAACACTGGGGCGAACTGTGGGGGGAGGGACGGGAAGAACCGTAAGAATCATCCATTCGGGACGGGCATAGTCGTTGCTAAGACCCATGATGCGTACGTCTTCATGGGAAATGTTCTTGAAGATATTCAAAGCCATTGTAGGTGTGATGACCTTCTTCTCAGGCTGGGCTGTACCATCCTCGCTCTTGGGGGCCTTCCACGTGCCTACTAGGCTAATTCCATCTTTGCGAACAGTGGGCTGTGCATTACCGCATCCACCGTGCAAAGCCTTTGAAGCTTTACCTTTCTCTTTCTCCATATTATCATCCTCGTCAGACGGATCGGCCTCGCAAACAGTCACATCCTTCGATTGTCGCCAAATGGAGTCAAATCGTTTTTTCGGGTCTCGGATACGCAAAGCATCCGCAAACTTGGCATCGCCCTGATTCAAAACAGTCAGTAAAACATGCCATTTTTAAGATTTGCCATCCCAGAAGGGATGACTAACCGTGTTGGCCTTGATCTTTCCACAATTGTGGCAGACGGTTTCCAAAAGCTTCTTGATTTTGACCAAAAATCCTAGGAGTAAAAAGTCAGTACTTGTAGTGCTACACAAGATGTGCCAACATACCGATGTGAAAGACGGGAGATGCGAGTTCGATGTGACCAAAGTGTCCTGGGCACTCCTTAGGTCCCTCTTCACAAGTCTCGCAGTTGTATTGTCGATCGACAGTTCCGAGTCGTGGGTCGTTTACACCCTTGGTTCGGGGGCGTTGTCGCTGCTCGTCCTGGATTGAACAATTGTTAGATTCCATGAACTCATCACTGGAGTAAAGTAGAATTCTCTACTACTGGACCTACCATAGTTTCAGGATATTCCACGTGAACCACACTCATCCGTTTGATCTCATCAGGCGAGAAAACACCAAACTGGATTTCCTTGATGGTGCGCAAAGGCGCCTGAGAGTAGGGGAAGAAAACGTTCGACATGATTGCGGTTATGGTCGCAAAGAGTTGACTGAGAGACTCAGATTCAACTGATTAAGGCGAAAATGAAACGAGAGTGATTTCGAAAACAGAAGTTGGTCGGACTTCTCAGGGTCGCCTGGCCAAAGGCCGAAGCCCCGAATGTCACGGAGCGCGAAAGTAAAGACAGAAAGGACGCGCAAGGAATGATCGCGTATCAAGTAACTTCAGGAGAAGTATCGCGATGGTTGACGCGAATAAACTGGGAGATTGATGATGGCGAAGGGAGGTGTGAAGTTGAAAAGGAGGGATGGTCGATGAGGCAACCTTCGAGGAGATTTCGGTCCATGTGCTGAAGGCGGTAAATAGTGGCAGAACTAGTATGGAACATCTCAAACAAGTTGTTACACGACTTCCAACTGCTCTTCAACATCAAGTCTTTTAATTGTGAGAAAAAACAGTAATTTTAGTAGATTGGATCTAAATGGTATATTCTAATCCTGACAATGCAGCTTTATCTTTACCCACTCTATAATTTAGGGTTCTGACTTCATCGTGGCCACTTCATTGCCAAATTAAGGCGGTCAAGTTCTGCTTAATGGCGGCGGCAGATTAAAAAACATCCTTGGAATTGTTGCGACCCTTTTTTTTCTTCAAACAGTCTATGCTCTACGTTGGATGCTTGGTTGCCAGCTTTCTGGCCATACCAGGCTAATAATTTGATCCATGAAACCATCAGCCTCTCTGTCGCTGCAATGAATCTCTCCCTCATTGACCCGTTTATCTTGGCTCAGGACTATCCAGACACCCTGACTGAGAAGCTTAGTATGAAACTGAAATAATCAACACATTTTAACTTGCCATGCTGACTGACTAATTCTAGGTGATGGCCATGCAACCTGCCTACGATTCAATCATACCGGCGACTATCTAGCATCTGGACGAGTCAGTGGATATCAAAAATTATTGGAGATATACAAGCAAGTCAGAGAGCTGACTTGCAAACTAGGTGGATGGAACAGTGGTCATCTTTGACATTGAGACGAATGGTGTGGCTCGCAAGCTTCAGGGTCACACCCGTCAGATTCAATCTCTCAGGTACTGTATCCGGTCTGGCTTTGCTTGCGCCTAGTACTGACTGATCCAATAGCTGGTCTAGAGATGGTCGATACCTTCTCACCTCTTCACAGGACTGGAAATGTATCCTATGGGACCTGAAAGATGGCTCACGCGTGCGAACTGTCCGATTCGAGGCTCCCGTATACATTGCTGAGCTACACCCATTCAACCAGTACGACCCAATTTTTAGTCCCGCCTTTCATACTTAAATCTGACATCACTATGTACAGCCTCCTCTTTGTGGCCTCCCTCTTCGAAGATCAACCCGTTCTTGTCGACGTCTCCTCCTCAAAACCAATCAAGCGCATCCTTCCATCCGCACCATTTCGCCAACAGACCGAAGGCGAAGAAGTAGATCCAGCCGTGGCAGCTAAGCAAGCTGCGCAAGACGCAAAACACTCGACATGCGTAACCATCTTCACGGCGTTTGGCAATCACATCATAGCAGGAACGTCAAAAGGGTGGATCAACATTATTGAAACTGAAACATGTACAACAATACATTCCATGCGCCTGTGCAATGGAGTAATCATTCTCCTCCGCCTCGCCGGAAATGGGCGCGATCTTCTATCCAACAGCTCAGACCGTGTCATCCGCACAGTAATAATGCCCGATCTCTCGCAACTCGGCATCGACCTCGAGCCCTCGAACATCAAACTCCACGTCGAACACAAGTTCCAAGATGTCGTCAATCGTTTAAGTTGGAACCACGTCACATTTTCATCAACAGGCGAATTCGTCACCGCGACCACATTCATGAATCCAGATATCTACGTCTGGGAACGCAGCCACGGCTCCCTAGTCAAAATCCTCGAGGGACCACGTGAAGAGCTCGGCGTGGTAGAATGGCACCCATCGCGACCAATGGTCGTCGCATGCGGTCTGGAGTCCGGCTGTATATACATATGGTCAATCATAAGTCCACAAAAGTGGTCCGCCCTAGCGCCAGACTTCGGTGAAGTTGAAGAAAACGTCGAGTACGTCGAGCGCGAAGACGAGTTTGACGTTCATCCAGCAGAACAGGTGCATCAGCGTCGTCTCGATCTAGAGGATGAGGAGCCCGATGCTGTAACCCTTCATCCGTCCAAGGCCGAGGCTGACGCTGAGAGCGCCAATGCTTTCGGTGTACCTGTCATACTCGATGTCTCTGATAGCGAGAGTGGTGAAGATGTCGTCGCCGTTGGTCCAGGCACTATGCGTCGTCGAACGCCTGGTGCAGGCCGTGAAGGTGTAAATGGCGATACGGAGAAAGACAGCCGAGCCACTACGAATGGAACGTCCCGCACTACAGGACGAAATCGACGGCGTTGAGGTAGTATTAAAACAAAACTCTTGATTTGCATGGGAGGCGTTTCAAAAACAGGGAATGGCGTTCAAACTCGATATGATTGCCTAATGAAGAATCTACCTAGGTAGTAACTGCGACAACTAGAAAAATATTTGTTATACAACCTTTAACCTTGGAATGTTAGGATATCCACAACTATTGGATAGTAGACATGATCCTGAATACCTTTCTTATCAGCTTCAATATAAGCCACTGATTGGCATCAGTAATGTACCTAGAAGAGGCCTCGGGATTTTCAAAAGTTGACGAGTTGTATGGCTAGCAAACTCAACTACAAGAGGCTAAGGTGAGACAACGGGGTATATCCACCAGCCGAAACATAACAAACTCGGCTCAAAAACGCCATGAAGATGCTAAAGCAAACAAAAGATGAGCTCCCAATACAAAGATATGACACAATGATACGATATCTTCCCAGTTGTTCAGGTCAAACTCTCAGGAAAAATGGTGCTCGTCAGTGCCACCAGGGCAGGAGGGTTGTGCTGTGTTTGTATATATAGAAATTAATCGCAAACGGGCTTGCGGGCCTGGTATATATGCAAGATGTTGTAGCAGTGAATCTCCTTATTGAAAGCTTCAGACTTGACATCAGCTGCCAGGCGTTGAATCTTCTCTATGGGCCACGCAAACACTCGGCTGAAGCAAGCCAAGCTCATAGGCTCGACGCTCTCTGACACGGCGAGGTTATACCAGCGAGCGACCTTGCGCTCGTGCTCGTCTTTGTGCCAGGCGTTCATTGGCAAGCCCACCATCTGATGGTCTATCTCAGTGAAACCGGCTTCTTGCAAATTGCGGATCGTCTCACGCGAGCTATGGGCAATTGGCTGCATGCGAGATTCCGTCGCATTCTTAAGTGCGGTATACCAGTGGCGCAGTGCGAGTCCGCTCAAAGAACGATCGTCACAACGCGGTTCGAAATCGATTTCGACCTGTTCGAACCATGCGCCAGGGCGCAGGTGAGAAAATATTCGTTTATAGAGGCTGGGCCAGCTTTTGACACTGCCTTGCCCCATTTGCATGTGGATCAGGTCCCATGAATCTTCACCCATGGCCCATGGGCTCTCGAAATCAAAGGGGGCGTAGAAATCGCAGTTTTTAGGATGGTTGGCTGGCTGGATTGGTGCTAAGTCTGCACCAACCACGAAGCTATTTGGGTATTTATTCGCGACTTCGATACTCCATATTCCTGTTCCGCAGCCCAGGTCCAGAATACGTGAATTTTGCGGGTGTGGGGCATATATTAGACCGTCTGATGCACGGGCGACGGTGATCAGTTTGTGGAAGATATCCAGACGGTCTTGTTCCTCTTCATCGCATGGCATCATGTAGGAGCCCTTCCGGTAGCCATGGTACATTCGTCCATTTTCAGAATAGCTCGGATATTTTTCGGGAATTCTGCAATCACGCCAGGTTGTCAGTTATCACATGGTTGGAATAATAAAACAAGCCAACAAGCTAAAATACAGCTTCTCTTGTAGGATGAAATACATACTTGCGATTGTTGATAATCACCGGAGGTGAGGAGAAAGAAGTACGAGTAGAAGCATGGGAAATGTTGGAGATCTGCGACGATTGCGTCGCGACCGAGCCATTGCTCAGAAACCGACCAACTCTGCGCTCCAGATCCCGGTCCCGATCGCGATTGCGATTATCGGACGGATCTGGATCGGTAATGACATAAATATCCATGGCTGTTGAAGTCTGGCGCGAGCGACTCCGTTCGCTCGTTGGTACCGATTGGGAGTGATAGTACCTTGAGCGACCCGTATCGCTACCAGGGGTCGACTCCGACTTGTACCTTTTTGAAGGCGGCGGCGAAGCCATAGGGGGAAGTCGACGTCGCATATCTTCATCTCCAGGAATTTTAGGCTGTGGAAGCTGAAAGCCGCGCGACGGCTCCATAGAGGGGTATGACATCGAGGGCTGAGATGTAAGGATTAAGATGGGGGCGAGCAATGAATGTGAAGCCGAGTGAGCATGAGATTATCAGCCACCGTAAGCGACAGCAAACCCACGGAGAGATCCAAGGTCGGGAATGAAATTGGGAGGAGAAAAGAGCGAATGGAGAATATCGCAAAGAGACATAAACAGGGGCGTCACCACTTTCCAAGGGGTCCGGTAGAGGGGGAAAGAGAGGTTGAAACCAGGGAACAACCCTCAGTTTAAAGTTGATTTAGGCGGTTAGGAGGATTTGGAGAGAATAAAGGAAAGAAAGAGGAAGAGAAGTTAGCTAGTAATACAGTTGGTTTAGTCAGTACTAAGGGGGGGGCCTAGGGCATAAGAGGGGCCGTGTGTTTGAATTTAATATCAAAGATGAAATACAAATACAATAGAAGAAGTACGGAGTACAGTAAAGAAGAAAGTGAAGGTTCGTTTATTCTGGTCTGTAAAGAGCCTCGGGATTCAGGTATAAATAATCATACTCGTTTTCGTTTTCCGTCCCCTCTTCCTCTCTCATCCCTCTACCTCTACTTCCACTTCCCAACTTCTTCTTTCACTACAATATACTCCCTACTCCATACATATTCCTCTTAATGGATTAGAGCCCCACCGGGAAAACGGACCGTCTAGAACCAACCATTCTCGCTCTACTGGGGTTGGTTGGGTATGGATACAGTTACAAGGTACTCTGTTCAGCACAGACCCCAATCCAGACCATTGGATTCTCCGGGATTTGACCAAATGCCCATTAACCCATTGGTACGACGTACTCTCTGCATCGACCCGAATCATCTGTGTTCTCACCGCATACCCGACACTCTGGGCCTGTGGATGGAACTGCAACTTGACTGGTCCTATTACTGCATTTATTTGCTTCATTTTCTTTATTCCACTGCGTTGGTAACGAGTACGAAACTGATCTATACATAGTCTCCCCACTCGGAGCGCACATTGCTTCGTACGATCTTATGTATCAACTTCCAGCAGGAATATTTCCGAACAACTGGATCGCTTTGTCGATATTTTCAGCGGAGTACAGTCACACAATACACTGTCTAACAACTATCCGATCGGTACTACGGCACTACAGTACATAGCTCTAAAGGAAGTCAGCCAAATTCCACTTCCAAATGCCCTAAGCTGACTCTGCTATACGGATTACTCCGTATACGGCACAATCATCTGTGGATCGCGCTTGGGTAAAGCGGCAAGCCCCTCGTCATTATGATAGACCACATTGGCTATTAAGCCTAATTATCCTAATCTAGTGTTTTCCCTTGCAGAATAGTACAAAAGACCCGAGTATGCGCGAATCGTTCCCCACTTGGGAGGTTGGCCTTTTCTTTGTTAATCTGCTGACCTGGACAATAATTTGTCATTCTTAAGTATTCCACTATTCCAATAGTTATTCCACTCTCACTCTGTGTCTAAAGAGCAATATCTGGTTACCAATGTCCTGCCTAGACCCTAAGTTGCGGACTACTCCGTGACTTTTCAGCCTCTTATCCCCATCCAGTTTTGAATGAATCGATATCTTGATATCTTCTCTGAATTTCAATAATACTCTTCATATTAATTATCCACTGTATATCACTAGGTAAATATGTACACACCTTCGCTAAATAGTGAGTGAGTACACCCGTACTGTGTAAACTCCGGATGTCCGTGCCCCACCTAAACATTTTTGCAAAGTTCAACCCTCAGATCATCTTAAGCATCAAGCCCCGATCGACCAGTTGCAAGAGACTTCGATAACTACATCCATGCGCTGACCTTGTAACGTGATCCAACCGCAAATAGGGAAGAGTTACTCAGCACTTGGAGCTCTGACCGTATCACGTCAGCCACCGATCATTTGAGGATATACGATCTATAGATCCATTACTTCAGCAAGGGCCGCCAAAGAGCAAGCTTGGAACAATGCATACACTCAAAGCCATAGCCGCCTCATCGCTGTCTCTGCCGACTGACAATTACATTTACTCTATCGCGGCGTCGGCTCCAGGCGCGTTCGCTGCCATCTCTTCGGATGATTCCTTGCGTGTCTTTGACGCCACTAACCTTGATCGTGTATCGGTGATCTCCCATCAGACTCATGATTCAGGCGTTACCTCACTCCGCAGTTATTCCACTGGGGAATCCCAGCTTCTGCTGACCGGGGGCCGAGATGGTAAAGTAAAGATCTGGGATATCCGAACTGGAAATGCAATTGTCGAGATGGAAACAGGTGAGTTTATCAATTAAATCCGACATCTTCTATGCGATATCTACTCTGCACCCTTGAAAATGTTCTCCGATTCAATTGGTCAGTACGCTTGAGCCAGGATGCTTGGCATCGGGATTAATTTTTGTTTGCATTTGATCGTGATACAAGGATTGGCTCGTAAAGCTGTCCAGCAGTTTCGCTGATGGCTCGTCTTAGCGAAACATGCTCCAGTGCTCTCTGTAGCCTGTAATCCGCAAACCAATACTCTTGTTGCAGGTACAGAGCTTGTCTCGTCCCAGGCGGTTGTTGCATTCTGGTAGGTTCCCATTTCCTTATTCTATTTGGAGTTGAAGTACTCTGAATGAGTTCCCTTTCTATATCTATCCTACCTCCAGAATATAGAGATCCAGAATACAGAGGCCACTAACCGACTCATAGGGATATCAGATCTCCCAAGACACCCAGTCTGCAATATGTGGAGAGCCACAACGATGATGTGACCGAGGTACGTATCTAACCCCCTCTCACAACAGATTCAATGTAAAAGGTACACACCCAACTAATTTGACGGCTCCCTACGTGGAGCGGGCATGATACACAGCTTCAATATCACCCGACCCGTAACAACATTTTACTATCCGGCAGCACGGACGGACTAGTTAACATCTACGATACAACTGTGGCAGATGAAGACGAGGCTCTGGTGCAGGTCATCAACCACGGCTCAGTACATCATGCCGGCTTCCTCTCCGAACGGACCATCTACGCCCTGAGCCACGACGAGCATTTCTCTGTACACCCAGCCACGGATCCCGACGATGCGGCGCAAGATCCTGAGCCTGTGCATTTCAGCGATGTACGTGAGCCGTTGGGCTGCGAGTATGTTGTTCAGCTCTTTGTCGGCTCCCAGGGCCCTTATATGGCCGCTGGAAACAAAATGTACGTACAAGATGCTGTCTATTCTTTGATTGAAATGTGCTTGGGAGCCCAGCCCAGCACGTGTCTTTTGTTTCTTTCCGTTTGGATTCTGATTTCTTCGTTGTACAGTGACAAGCGCCTGGATCTGGTTCCGCTCGTTTCCAGCCCGACATGGCAATTTGACCAGGATAATCTCTGGCGTCTACCAGGCGCTCATGGCGATGAAGTCGTACGCTCAGTATACTTGGATGAACAGGTAAATCAGAAGAAGTTGAATTATGTCGTTCCAGCTCGCTAATAACGTCATTCAGAGTCAATCGGTCTTTACATGTGGGGAGGATGGATTTGTCCGGGCTTGGAAGCCTACTGATGATGACGATGGAAATGGATCGCAGGCCCAGGTCGGATCAACAAAAACCACTCGGCCGAAGGAGAAGAAAAAGGACCGATTTAAACCCTACTAGGCGGGGAAATGAAGTTTGGACTGGCTGTCGTCCTTTGTTGTGCCACATCGGGATTTTGTCGCGAAAAATACAACAATGTAGTGGGTTATGTTTACAGAGCCAGTTTCAAGTATTAGTAGACCACCGAGACATGGATAGTCCCGATAACGACTTTACAAAAGATCCATTACCGCTTAGAGTTACTGCGAGGTTTGTCAGAAAGAGAAAGTATACGTATACTGGTATATTGGTGATGCTAGAAACTATCGGCTGGTCCTTCATATACCTGGGCATTTCACTCATATTTTTCAGGATTGGAAAGCCCTGAGTTTTTTCTTAGCCGTTGCACTCAACAAGACATGCGCGAGCCTTGTGGCTCAAATTCATCAAGGAGAATTGAAATTTCAATATTGGGAAATTTTGATCGATCAGGAGCGAGAGATCAATTTTGAAAACCCTGCGGCTCGGGCGTACATACGTAGGCAGGTATGTGCTCTTAGCTCTACCTATCATACCCACCAGCTGACATATGTGCATGCCCTGTGAGAAGATTGACCAGTCTTAACGTGAGTCAGTAATTGGGGATACCTATTCGATAGTAGTCATTATCAGAAAGATAATAAGAGATAATAGGAGAGTTTTCGATAGCTCTACGGAGATCTCCGTCTGGAAAATGTTTTTAGGGGCTTGATTGCGTAAACAGTACCGCTAGCAAAGCTTGTATATTGGAGCCACGAGAAATTCATCCATTGACCCAAGCTCATCTGGGCAGGTGGCTATAGCCACATCCAAGATTAGTTACCTGAAGGAAAAGTCCCGAGGTCAAAATGGGATTAAACTACAGACATTCTTACTTTGACCCCAGATGTCACATATTTCAGATGTTTTTATGCCATATCCTTCTGCCATTTGTATCAAGCGATTCCATAACTACATGACCAAGGTTGATAATACGGGGTTGCAGGAACGGCACGGATCGAAGCGGAGCCCCGAGCTTTGTTGAGATGTTCCGCCTCAAAGTTTACGAAGCTGCCTAGCTCTTTTGGATGAATCCAATGGCGCAGCAACAGGGCAAATATTGTCGCCAATTTTTGTCTAGGGAATCTCTAGTGGTAATTGCTAACTCTTGAGTCTTGACTCGCGTGAGATTTGTATTTTCGAGTTCGCTTATGATACATCTTATCAAGCCCTAAGGTTATTTTTGATGAGTATGGCACTTATTCTGTTACATCATATTATACGATATCTAATATAATATACATATTTACTTGGTATCTAGGTATACTAGATGGATCCATGGATGTATCTCCCGAGGTCTTGTCTCGCAGGAACCCGGCAGAGTTGTACTCAAATTGGGTGCTCAAAATCTTGACTCTCCACTGTATATGCTTCAGACTATGCATAGATGCATCTAGATACTTATTGTTCCGACCTAAGCCCCACGGTCTCAATAGAATGCGGAGCTACGAGTCCAAATATCACCCTGATACCCGACAAAGGGGTTTATATACCGATGTATGAAGAGGTCCAAGGGCATATAGCTGCCAATTCCCCTTCTTCAATTTCGAATCAAGTCTTTGAGTCCATCTCTCTACCTAGGTACTTCGTATCTTTCAATATCTAATATCACATCCGTACGTTGGATTAAAAGTACCCACTGGTTACCTTGTGATCATATAAAGCTAACCAGTTCCAGAAAATGCGTCTCGCCTCCGTCATCCTCGCCTTGGCCTCCAGCGCCCTCGCCTTCCTGCCCGCTAATCACGCATGCGGCGACAGCATTGAATGCTCAAACAACTGCTATCAAGGCCGATACGAAGTTGTTTCCACCCTCGGCGGCCAGTTCTTCGGCTGCAAGACAGGTCGTCCCGAGACTTATGCTGCTCTCGAATGCCAAACCGGAAACAACCGTGACGTCTACTACTCTTGCATCACTGCTGGCGGAAACCTGGCCTGTGCCGGTGTCTGTGTCATCAAAGAGGAATACTACCCTACTTTCAAGAAGACCTGCGAGGATCGCACTGGTGAGCTATATGCTGTTGGCCGCCAGCTGAGCTATGATGCTGCTTGGAAGATTGGCTCTTGTTCTGATTGAATCCCCCCGCCACATTTTGGTCTGGAGTTCATGAATTCATTGGTCTCTAGACTATCTTCCGTAAACTCCATCCCGAGCCAACCACGCATTATTACTGCTGACCGGGGATGATGTTTTGGCAGAGAATTATCTTCATCATCATTAGTTATCTCGTTTTCTGTATCGAGCTCCTTGTGAAGTGTCGAGAACTTTCGTCTAGGCAGACGAGCTCGGAATCGTTCTGCATTAAGCTCGAGGCAATTTTCCTGTAGATGGCCCCAGCTTACCTTATTCCACTGTACTGTGCTACCGTTATAAGCCGCGTCATTGTCTTTTGTTTTGTCTCTATAGCCATATGCGCTATATCGAGAAAAGTGATCGGTGCAGAGGGTATTGTTGAGGCTCCATGCCTCGTATGAACCAAAAATGGGAGCTGGGAATTCTATGAAGCATCAGCTTTGTCAAAAAGCACCATAACGAGGTAGATCTTAGGTTAACTAGGTAGATTGTCGCACCAGATTGATTCCAACTGAATCCTTTCATAGCAGTTGTTACGTTGTCACGGCTTAGTAGAGAACCATCAGGGCCAATACAGCGTTTATAAGTTCCAGTCCATTCTGCCTGCCCCGTTGCACTATCATAATCCGGATAGGGATCATATGGTATCGAATTCGTTTCAAAAAACGTCTTCAGGAATGGAAGACCATAGTCACAATCATTCAAACATGTACTTTCCATATAGACATTAGAATATAGTGATCAAATTTATTTAATGAACTTTTGGGGGTATCATAGAGATTTACCTTGCGTCGACCTTCTCCCGAACGAGATACTCTCTCGTGCGAGCGACTAGTAAAAGCACTACCAAGGTCGATCCAAAGGCGTATGCATAGAAAATGCGCCTGAGAGAAAAATTGAAGCGTCGCCGAGACCACATCCTGTCAGCCAAAGATTCAAAAATTGACATATTAGCAGGAATAGAGCTTTGGGATACTCAGTCAGGGGTACTATTAGCTATTGAAAATTCCTGGAACCTGAAAGTCTCCAAAACCGTTACCAATTATCAAAATCAGAGCTATTGTTTTACGAGTTATCAATACTGTCAGAAACAAGAATAACATAGGCTACAAACCCGTACACCGGGATCGTACTGAATGTATATCAGATTGTATTGATATGGAAAGATGGGGGGAACTAAAGCTTAACTGTGGTGCAGCGGGCGGGGCCTGAGCCATGACAAGTGTGATAGAAGCGAACCATGAGAATCAATAGGGGGTTCACTAATAACCCACCCAGGTATACCTGTAATGTCAGTACTACCTGAAACCTTCAATATTCGAAAAATACCTAATATAAATATGCCTTTGATCTTAAAACCGTAGCAGATTGAATGATCAACGGGGGACACTTTAGCGCTTCCGTTTGATACAAAGAGTGGGGTGCGTCAATTTTTGACGCGTAATTCCCAATGGCCCGTCGAGGTACTAGCGACTACCGCAGACCTCGGTCAATAAGAAAACCCAGAAAGCGGGAGGAAACTGTGGGGCGGAGCGGAGATGCCTGCGAGAGCTCATGGACCTAAACCAGTCCACGTAATGCGCTTCTTACGGATTCTGTCGCTCTCCCGAAGTGGAGCCGGCGCTATTACCAATTATGCTCTGTGTGCCTAACAAAAATCATAGAAATTTTTGCCATTAGTATGCTCCAAAGGACCAAATTCCCTACACGGGAGCTTTTACTTGTAATATACTAGTGTAAATTCCTTTCTTTAGGACTGTCATTACATAGTATATCCGTACATAGTTAGTAGAGTCTTATTATCTAAGCGAGAGCGCCCGGAGGAACCATGCCTCTCAAATATTGAAGACCAGCGAACTGCCTACTGTCGTTCTTCCATATTCCCTTTGTCTGGAACTCAGGAATGCGTTATAGTCGATTATTCCACGGCTTTTGGCCTATACAAGGCGCACCAAGCTACACACTTCGTGGATTTTTCTGCTTCCTCCTATTTTATATTTTTTCTGTTTTATATATACGCTCACGATCCTCCCGTGACCCCGGTTCCTTTTTTTTCAACCCATCCTCTGCCTACGATCTTTCATACTCGGCCGTCAGACTTAAGCAAGCTTCTGAATTTATTGACGCCGCGAACAATGTGACCATAAAAGCAGAAATAGCACATCAACCCAAATTCTGTCTAGGCATTGCAACAATTGCACGAAAAGGCGTCCGTTATTTTAAACACACAGTGGGTACAGTACTCGAGGGCTTAAGTGATTTGGAAAGGGATGATATTCATTTGATCCTCTTTATCGCGCATACCGACCCATCGCAGCATCCAGCATATTCCGAGCCCTGGCTTTATCAACTAGCAGATCAAGTCCTACTATACAATGACTCCGATGTTGATATTGACCATATCAGAGAATTAGAAACAGACGAGGCGAAGATTGCAGCGCGAGAAAAGGCATTGTTCGACTATGTATATCTGTTAAAGGCCTGTGAAGCAGTTGAAGCGGAATACACGATCATAATCGAAGACGATATTGTCGCTTTAGATGGATGGTATCATCGTACTCGCGATGCTTTAATATCTGCTGAAAAGCAGACTAAGGATATTGGAGCATCAAATTGTGAGTTAATTTATGTCTTTGTATTCCTAGTTGTTAGCTACCAACATTAATCTCTTAGGGCTATACCTTCGTCTTTTCTATACTGAAGAGTTTCTTGGCTGGAATTCCGAGAATTGGCCTTTCTACCTGATCTATTCATCGCTGGCTGTTTGCTTCGTCGCGGGTTTTCTTATGGGTCTCCGACATTATCTACCATACCTCCGCCCCTACATCTCGACTGAAATCGTTATCCTTTCGAGCTTTCTCTATACGCCGATATTGATTGCGCTCTTTTTTGCTGCTGGACGAGTGACAATGTTCCCTATTCCAGAGGGCGTACACCAAATGCCTAAATATGGATGCTGTTCACAGGCATTCGTCTTTCCCCAATCACGCCTTTATGATCTTATTGATCTTTACACGACTAAGAAAATTGGATATGTTGATATGCTAACGGAGGAATACGCGAATACAAATAATGAGATACGCTGGGCGCTGACACCAAGCATCATACAGCATGTTGGACGAATGAGCTCTAAGGGCCTTAATCAAGTTGCCGCACCTGTTAAGCCCAATTCGAAGGCCGAGATAACTGGCGTGGCAAAGCTATGGAATTTCAAGTTCGAGTTAAACGATGCTGAAGCATTGCGCTTAGAGCATGATGCTGCTAAAGGACGAAATGATGTAACTTAAATGAAAATCTCAGTCATAAGAGCTTGCCCAGGTGTGTGATGAAAAAGAATTAATAGTGTAATTGTCAGGATCCAGAAGTGTTACAGTGTATACTATAGATAGGAAACCAGTTGGTCAATCTACCAGTATATTGAGAAGTGTAGAACTAAGCTTTATCCGAGTGCCCCTTTTCGTGGTATAGGTGCGGGAATGGTGGGGCTCTGGTCTTGGAACGGAGCCAATGAACGTGGGGTCACAGTAACTGCTGTAATAATTACGAGTCCTTATCCCTCTACTCTGACACACCCTCTTAGCAACTTTGCCTTTGACACTGTCCTCTGATAGTCTAGTTCCGTGTCCGTGTTCACTCTGTAAGAGTATTACAGGGATCTTAGTACAGATCAACTGGTACGGATGAATGTCATTGAAATACTTGAAGAGGGGAAGATTACACTGTGGGGTCCCTTCTCGTAACAATCCTCCTCTCTCCGCCTTCCTCTCCGCTCTTCTTATTCTGGTGACTACAGTTAAGCCGAACCCGGCAGAAAACTCATCCAAACCCAAGTGGATATTCCACGTGACTACCTTCCTAATACAGCTAGCGTAGGAGGTTTAGCCGAACCTTGACAGACTATTAGGTTTAGTCGTACGAAAAAAATTTCAATTCCTTTACTTGCTCATAATCTATCTCCTATTTTTGTGGCTATCAAAGCTGACTATGGATGAAATCAACTTAGAAGCCAGCGATCTACGTATGGAAGAATATATTGATATGGAGCGTCTAGGATTAAATGATGATGATGATGGTGACGACCTTCCCCCACTTGATATGGTCCTTATTGGGGAACACAATGCTGTTGATGATAATCATCAGGTAAATAACTACTTATTAACTAAGTGATTGTTAATTAATTATTAATTGATTATTCACTGGCTATAGGTCCCTTTACCGACCCCACTTTCAAACAAACAGAAGGGCGGACTTTCGGCGTTAGAATTTGAATATGTTGATGAGATGCCGGAGTACCCAAAATCTCATAACGTAATTCCCTGATAAACGGTCCACCCACCAAACTTGAAAAAAACGCATCGAATTCAATTCCACTTTTAGATACAAAAACATAATAAACTAAACTAATAAACACGACTGGGACACTTAGAGTATGTATGGCCCTTTTTCCCACACCTAGAACAGGTAACCTCGCGCCGAATGGGTGCTGAAATAGATAAATCAGTTTCAGTTGGGCCAGTTTCAATAGGTTCAGGTATAGATATATAGCTCTCTTCAACACCATTCTCCTCCACCACAGACACCTGAATCTCTTCTAGACCCCCTAAACTCCCTGTGTGCGACACCTGCTTCTTACTAGCTTTCCTTTTTTTACCTGTTCCTTATTGGCTTCTTCTAAATGACTGCAACGATCGTGTAGAAAAATATGGTGGTGGACCGTCCGAATAGTGCGATCGTAATGTCTCTGGATCTCTCTCTTGACAGGCGATGGAATCAATTCTGATGAAGACTCTAGACCAAAATCGATACGAGATTTCGATTCTGATAGCTTTTTTAGTGTCCAGATTGAGTTAGGATCACTATCGCTTCCAGAAGATGATGGTCGATCAGAAAGTAAAGGGAGTGGAGGTAAATCTTCAAGTCGAATATTCAACTGATTTAGGACCTCATCAGGGTTTAAAGGCACTAAACCAGTAGCTCTAAAGCTATTAGTTATAGTGTTAGCTTTAAAAACAATGCGTCGTACATCAGGAAAGATAGAGAGGAGATCATCCTTCTCGATCGAGTTGATTCCGTATCGCATATAGTCTGATACCGTATCACCATAGAGCTTCTTCAAAGGAGCAAAACAACCAACACTTAAAGGCTGTAATAGATGTGAAGCATGCGGAGGCATATAAAGCGCGATAATATCGTTTTCCTGGCAAACCTGATCGAAATCAGGAGTAAGATGACTACCATGACCATCTAGTATTAATAGACAAAATTTACCTTTTCTACTCCTAATATTAGGAATAAAGTGTATCTTAAGCCTAGACATGTTCATTGGGTTGGGTAAACCCATACCTGTAACAGGTTGAATCCTGGTGAACTATCACGTGGTTGTACCACGTGACCCACCAACCGCATACCTCACGATTCCACCCCGAATTGTTCACGTTCTTCAAGGATTTTGTAAACAGCATGTGCCTAGCTAGTTCTGAATTCAAGATTAGCTTTAGCCCTTCACACTTATACTACGTAATCTAGGTTTCGATTCCCTTTAAGCCACTTTTGGTTCACTTTCCACTCTACCTTCCAAGGCGCTGTAGGGGATGGAAATAAAACCAGATCTATATCCTTTATAGGAATTAGTCTCACATAATCCTAGCATTGATGTGTCATTACCTTGTATCTAAGGCCTCTTTCGTTTTTATCCTCATGGGCCGGGATAAAAGCTCTAATTCTTGCTCTGGTAAATAGATATAACTGAAGAGCTAGCATGATGATAGCCTTAAGCAATCCGGGAATGAACCGGCGATGATCGGCTTGCCACATAGAGGATATCATTCGAAGAAAATCTTTCTTGGTAAAGCTGTGGTCCGGATCCTCGATATTCTCAATCGTCCCTTCATTTGCTGTCAATGTTCTTCTTATCCACTGTGTTCCAGTCAGTCTAGCCAGCATTCCGGTACTTAGTGAGAGCTTACGTTAAATATCTCGATCCGGTCTTCCTTCACAATTTTGATTTATAATTTTTCTTCAAATCCACTAAACAGCCTTTCCGCACAATTGAGAACCGATGTCATCACTGGCCGTCCATTTTTACTTTTTTTGCCTCGCGCAAAATGACTATACCAGCGAAGAAATTCTTTGATAAGTACATGACCGGGAGTAGCACAGCCTGGGCCGATGTGGTAGCCATTGATCCCATTTTGTTCAACAAATCTAAGAGCAAGTCAGGACCCCATATAGCGGGTACTTCTCATGTAAAAGTACATGGCAACTCACTTCATCCAAAGATGGACAGCTTTGCAATACATCCTTTTGGTCTTGGGTATTCTTTTATCTTTTTCTCGGATAGAGTCCTCGGCTGCATGAGCGCCAAAAACATAGCCGCTCTCTGCCAATTGTTTTCGGCACTTCTCGTTGGCGGCCTTATCTTGTTGAGCAAAGAAGAGCTTTCGACCCATGACTGGAAACAAACCCAGAAAAACGCCAGAAGATTTGGATAGAAAGAGAGACTGATGTAGAAGAAGAAGAATTATGTGAGAGCTTGAAGTGAGGGACATAGCTTCTATTTATACTTTAGTACTTGAACACAGATCTTAACAGTCTGATGACCGAGAAAGGATTTTTGTTCTATGCCGTTACATGGAAGATAGGACGACTGAGCCTTCCATTTTTGCGTCATCGTACTTTAACACGTGAATTCAGACTTAAAACGGGATTGAATGATGGAGCACCTCACAAAAGGGGATATGGTGGAAAATGAGGGCCATCAAGATTTAATTACGAAACAACAGCATGGTGGGGCTCGAGTACTCCTTTAGATATGGACTGAGCGTAGACTGAGTGCTCAGTAGATGCCTCTGAGTAATCAGTGAGCAATCAGTGAGCAGTCTATCACAATGCCTGAGCACCCAGAGAGTGCTCAGTAGACTTACTAATCAATCATGTGATTGGCACTGAGCAGCTCACTGAGCCTGAGCCCGGACTGAAATCTACTCAGTGAGTCTGACTCTGAGCGCCCTCATAAAAGCGGCGGCAACCAAGATAGGAAAGCCCCACCCGGCAGAGGAAATATGGTACGTATAGCTACCTAAGTATTATGGACCACGGGAATATAGAACTAATTCTAGTTAGGAGCTTAAGTGGCAAGGCTATATTGATAAAAAGTATCAGATTGGTCATCTTATGCCTTTGTGGCGCAGTGGTAACGCGTTTGCCTTGTAAGCAAAAGATCCGCGGTTCAAACCCGCGCGGAGGCATCTGATTTTTTTTTCGCTAAATCATAGCCAATTAGTTTCTCTACTATAAGTTAAGATAAGGTCACTTTGTGCCAAGGATAGCCCTTGTGGCGCAGTGGTAACGCGTTTGCCTCGTAAGCAAAAGATCCGCGGTTCAAATCCGCGTGGGGGCAATTCTTTTTTGGTCTTATGTTCTTTATTTACCTCGAATACGATTTCAAATTCGATGTGTTCGTTCCAATGTTTGGGCGGTAAACACAACAACATTTCCATTTTTTTTAAGTAAAGAGTAGTCAATACTAAAGTGACATATCGAAAATAAACTTGAGCCGACTAACGGGCCGCATGGCTGTTCCCGCACCCGGACTATACCCATTCCCCCTGCCCAATCATTGAGATTTCTGTGAAATAACTCTCAATGCTGTCTTGAAAATCAAATCCAAATCTAGTAACTCATATATTCATGTCCATCTCCCCAGCTGTGTGACGGATGACAAGTTAGGAAATTTGATACTCATTGATCTTCGTTGAGAACCAGTCGCTTTGCAGAAACCTTGGAAACCATTATTAGTCTGCCTCTCATCTACCTAGGTACTCTTGTGGCAAACGAAGTTCCCAGGTTAACATGTTCACTGACGTTATGAGACATTTACAAGGTGGTGTAGAGATATGGTAAGTGGAAAGCAGATACTCTCCCGAACCGTACCTAAGTAAATCTGAAGAAGCGAAATGGACCCCCGGAGTTTCCAGGGTTTCTATATGACCGTATAATTTGGCATGGAAATCATCCAAAGTTGTACCTAGGCATGGCTAAGGTACATCTATCCATAGATTGTTTAATACCTTCAGGGGCCAAGGTAACTTGGCCATTGATAGACCAGCTCACCCAGACCAATTCGTTCCGTCCTAACAATGTTCAATCAAATGTATATCTCATTAGATACACAATTGCCAATAATAGCAAATAAAACTGACATGTACTTAATAATTTCATTCATCTAAATACTTCGTACTAGTGAGGTTCATATAGACTTTGTCGGGCTTATCGGTTTGTTATCGGTCACACTTTTTTTTCCTTATCCGACTTTTTCTTCCGCGCATTTATCGACTTTGAAGGGGACGAAACATTCTTTACCGTACCCTCCACGAGATCTCTCTCTAATTTAATATTCACAAACCCGAATATAAAATCCTATACGCCTCGGACATCCCAAACCCTGCAGGCTCTCCATTTGCGCGCGTGCAAAATTTTCATCACAGCAAAAACGACACCGTCAACCTCTTTCTCCTCTTCCAATGGACGCACATGCCTATCTCGTCCGCTACGGCTGGGGTGGTACCGGCAAACCTCTCAATCCAAAAAATCGCGCTGGCCTCGGTCTAACCAGGCCCATTCTCGTCGGTCGCAGACAGAACAACGAAGGCGTAGGAAAGAAGCCAAACACAGACTCAACAAACCAGTGGTGGCTTCGAGGCTTTGAGGATGCACTGGCTGGTATCGGGAAAGACACTCCTGCTCCTATAACAACGTCAAATGCCTTGACGAGCGAGTTGTATCGGTACTTTGTACGCGGAAAGGGTCTGTCTGGGACGATCAAAGACAAGGAAGACACAACGGAAACAGAAGATACACCCGCTAAGTCGAAATCAAAGCCATCCAAGAGGAAGCGCGATGATGAAGATGATTCTGAACGTCGGACTAAGAAGAAGAAGGCTTTGCGGAAAGAGGAAAAGGCTGCACGGAGGGAGGAGAAGGCGGCGCTGAAGGAGGAGAAGCTTAAACGTCGAGCGCTGCGGGCAGAGAAGAAGGAGAAGAAAGAGAAGAAAGAGAAGCGCAAGTCTGAGAAATCTTTGAAGGAAAAAAAGTCAAAGAAATCTGTTACCAGCGAGGAGTCGTCTACTTCTTTTTCGACCGGGAAGGAACAAGACCAAGGATCAGATGCTATGGAGGTGGACGAGCCTTCAATCCAAACAAAGGTTAAGAAGGAGAAGAGAGAAAAGAAAGAAAGAAAAGAAAAGAAAAGCAAGCGATCTGAGCAAGACATTCAGGGCATGGAGGACATGGACTCCAAGAAAAAGTCCAAAAAAGACAAGAAGTCCAAAGCAGCTTGATTTGGTTGATTATATTGATACATCGGACATGGCTGAAGTTCCATAGCGCTAAAAGTTCTACCGCATATACTCGCGCGATCCTGATACCCCATTGTGTTTGGCGATGAATACATTGAATAATATGAATCATTGATAGAATCTTTCATTTGTAGAATTTCGAGAGTCCTTACTCAACTCTGTAACAATTTTCCGGGCATGTTAGAGATAATCCAGGGGCGTTGCTCCCAGAATTCATCTTTGATGATATCGACATGATCAACCACAACCTGGGCTTTGCGGCGCAGTTTCTTGAGCTTATCTTGTTGAGACCTTGACTGTTTTGATATCGCGACACTTTCGTTGTCAATCGATGGGCCATCAGACTTTGGCTCCTGAAGCTCATACTAGACATAAGACATATTAGAATTAGAGTCTTGATGGTAAAGAGTTCGGGATCCATACTTGACGGTAGAGTACGCTTCCCTTCTTATAAATATCCTCTTCCTTATTGTAGTTGATACCAAATCGTTTAAAGAGGATCTCGTTCTTGTCTGCAGATACAGTACCCTAGATTGAGTAAGCAAACATGATAGCTTGACAGTTTCGAGAATAATCTGTATACCTTGAGCTCCTGCTCAGCATCGGTATTGCTCATACCACCCTGGAGAACCATAGTCCAGAAAGTGGTGTTGTACAGGTTGTTGATGTGACCTGCATAAACGATACAGGTAAGTCATTTGACCAGAAATCGAGCAAAATTTCAACCTACAATCAACCTGCCTCCAGCTCATGTAGTCCCGCAAGATCTGCATCGACGGGTAGAGAACCGCCCGACCATCAAAAGAAGGCAAGTATGGCGGCTGCAGCGGACTATCTGGGAAGTACGTCGCCCACAGGTAGATATAGTAAGCTGTAAATGTTGACACAATGGTTGTGACAAGTTTTCTGCATCATGTCAATCGAGGAAACTCGAGCAATACAGTGAAACCAAGAGTGATAGACTTACGCACTCCGTCGCTCGAAGAGCTGGCATGTTGGATGGAAAACAAAGCTAAGGAATGTCAATGAGCTTTCTATAGTATAAAGCAGGATCTTAAAATGAGCATGGAGCATACCTGTACTCGTCGCTTACGCCATAGGCAATGCATAGATCTGGAAGATCTTTCATAACGGCGACAGCGGCAGCATTCATGAGATCTAATGCGCGACGATCATTAGGCTTTTTGAAGGCATAGTGATCTGAAAGTCTGAATAGAAAGGCATGTTAAGACTGGTAGCATGTGCAGAGTGCTGGCTTGCATGTGGAAATACGTGATCAAAGTTGATCCTTAAATGAACAGACGCAAAGCCATAGATCATGGTGAGACTGACTTGTGAAATCCTCTTCCGTCAATGCGGATCACAATCCAAGTATTGGGGAGCAGGACGTCCGGCTGCTCGAAGTCTTTGACATACTCAAATCTTGTAGAAGTAAGTTGAATGGATCTTTGAATTGATATTCCTTGTCACTTACCTAGAGTTAGCCATATCTACTCTGGAATACTGCGGTTGTGGAAGGTTGGACTTGGCGTGGTCGAAGAGTCAGCCTTTTTGTGCGAGAAGAGTTAGCCGCCCGCCGCTCTTACAACTCAATTTGACTGAATTCTATCACCTCTACACGAATATTGGAACTGTTGCACAGAAACAAATATGTACTGATATTTTATAGATGTTGACTGTACTGGTGTAAACCCATTTTAATAATGAGGTTCATATGCATATGCAATAATTACTAGGTTAAATATGAAGAAAAGACAGGATCAAGGCGAAGTAGCCTCTGGACCTTCAAGAATCTCCTCATCTCCAGTCTCACTGGCGAGTTCACTGGTCTCACTTGCCTTGTCTGATTTCCGCGACTTGCGAGAGAAAAATCCTAGACTGCTGCGGGTTGACCGATCTGCAGAGGGCGCACTCGAGATGGTACTATCAATGCTCTTTCCCAAATGGGTCTCACTGGAGGTATCCTCGTCGATATCGCCTTGAGAATGTGAAGAGTCGCCCTTCTTGGAGAAGAAACCTGAGCGATCCTTCCAGGAACTGAATTTGCTAGAGCTACCTTTGCGGGTGATCTTGCGAATAAACGATTCCTTGGATGCATTATCCATAGATGCGCCCGATGGCATGCGCTCTAGAGATTCGTACGATTCACTAGTAAAATGGGAGAGAGAACGGGTATCACGATGCTCTGAAGGAGATCCGTGTTCATAAGGATCAAATAGAACATCAGGATCTTGCTCGTTTCCCTCGTTTTCTGGTTTCTTACCGGAAAAGATGGCCATGAATGATGGAGCGGCAGGGTTCAGCTTCGGGGTCATGGGTCTGTGGGATGACGAAGGACGGGTGCCAATAGGTGCTTGAAGTGGCCGATGAGGACGTTCGTATAAGTCCTCGACAAAGTCAGGCTCGCCAGTCAGCCCTAGCGGGAGATTACCGGATGAACCGTATTGAATCGAGGGTCGACGGGAGGGCGCCCTGGACCATGTCGTTGGAGAGGCCCAATCCACCCCGAGTGGGCTGTTACGGTGTCCCATCTGGTCTGTCGATGGCCACCCGAAATGTCGATTGTCCGTCGAGGGATGGGGGAGGTGATTTTGGTTGTCAAATGACAAGGTGGAAGAGGGCCGCGGGGAAATAGAGCCTCGGCGGACGGGACCAAGGAGAGATGACGGGTCGATGGGATCGTGTCGGGGACTAAACTGATTGTATCCTGAGCCCAGGTCGGTATTTGAACGGCCACCACCACTGCCAAACCCAAACTTGCTGGGCGAGAAGATATTGGAGAAAGCAGTCCGCCGAGAAGGTGCTTGTTCGGAAGAAGTGTCTGTAGGGCCGCCGGTATTGCTTCGGGGAAACAACGACATCGGTTTCGCCCAGTTTCCCGTGTAGCTCAGTCTGCGTTGTCTTGATCCTATTGGATCCAGCTCATCAATATGACGAGGGAAAGACTGGCTCTGTCCTGATTTCAAGGTACCCAACATAGGCGATTCGTCGGCTAGCGTCTTACCACGAGGTCGATGAAATCCAAAAATCCCCGAAAGCCTCCGACTTGCACTTTTTGGCGCATCTTCAGTAGCAGACAAAGGCACCTGCGACTCTGAGTTTGGTCGTTCATGATTGTCCAGCGGACTGGCAAAAATACTACCAGGTCTGCTCCCAGAAGACACCGGCGATACCGGACCATGGCCAAAGCCATCAAAGGGAATATCTGAGGTCTCCATAGTGTCAAACAGTGGAAGAGTCACAGGCCGTGGGAATTCAAGGGACTCTTCGTCACCAAGAAGGTCCGAGGGCAACAAGGCATCGGCACGAGGGCTCATTTGAGGGTTACTGAAAGCGGCCTCAACGTCAGAGCGCATGAACTCAGGCGGGTCAGAAAGTCCAGGGAATGCCATGCCATTGTTAATATTGAAGAACGCGGTGCTAGCAGGGAATGTGGGAGAATTGGTCGAGGGTGGGTTGTAGTTGAGTCCGGTGAAGCTGGGTTCGACACCGGGGAAGTTGATGGAGGAAGAAACATTGCTAGTCAATGAGCTGCGATGTCCACGCGGACGTATGGTCGCGATATTCGACATGTCTAGGTCTAACGCTGGAAGAGAGAATGGACCGGAGCTACCAGGTCGCTGCGTGGTCAGCCACTTGAGTCGTTCCTGGGCTTCTTGATATTGTTGCTGGGCTTGTGCGTGAATATTGACGAGAGTAGCATAGCGAGTATGGAGACTGGTCAACTTCAGCTCCCATTGTCGGGCCCGCTCATTGTCGATTCGATCCAATTCCTTGCCATCCTCAATATCACTACCCTGAAGCCCTTGTCTCTCTTCTTCAAGTTTCTTAATCCTTCTTCCCTTGTCTTGGATTTCGTCGTCAATGCTCTTCATCTCTGTTTGTTCCTTCGCAATCTTCTGTCGGACTTCATCCTCGCGTGTCTGGCCTTCCTCTTCCAGCCGAGTCTTCTCATCCTTAACATGCTCGATATCACCATTCATGCGAGAAATTTTCTCCTGCCACCGTATAATATCAGTTTTCCGCTTTTTGCGTTCAGCCTCCTTTTGCTGAAGAAGCCTCATGCGTTTCGTTTTTTCGCTCTGCACGGTCCGGTTGACGCTCTCTAACTTGGAGACATGCTTTTTCAGATCTCCACTAACTTCGTCCTTTTCCTTGACTCGCTTTTTTAATTCGTTGCGTTGCTTCTCAAGATCCTTCAACAGGGCAATATGTTCCTCATCGTCTTCAGTGGCTTGCTTCTCAATATTGTCGTTTTCGTGCTGCAAAAATTTAAGGCGTTCTGCAAGTTGGTCCAGACCTCTACCACTGTAATTTTTGGGAACTCCCCTGAGTGGCTCGTCATAATAATCCGTAGCCCCAGTTGCCGGGGATGATTTGCGGCCTGCCGAAGGTCGCTTTCCCGGTATTTGACCAGTGCTAGGCTCGCGTGACATCAATTGAGCAGATGGAGCAGGCAGACCAGCTGTAGAGCGAGGGATTGACGCTCGGATTGTAGGACCGCTGGAGCTAGCATCTTGCTGCGATTGGGATAATGGAAGAGATTTGGTTCGGACGTGGATGATCGCACTAGGTGTTTGAAAATTTGCCGCACTGACGGAAAGGACGCAGATATGATAGATGCTTCCAGGTATGAGATTCAAAATCTCCACCGCTGTTTCCGCGCGTTTCGATTCGCCCACTGAAGAAAAGGTCAGCATGTCTTGGGCGGGTTATATTTGCGCGAGAGACTACTTGTAGAGTGTACCTTTGACATTGTTGACTTGAATGATATGCTTGTGTATGGAGTTATGAAAATCGGGCTGTTTCCAAGCCAAGCGAATCTCACGAGCGGTGATTTCTTCGAGGGTCACTTCAGGCGGAGGCGGAATATCCAAACCCAGCTTTTCGACAAGAATCTCATTAGGGGTTTGGCAAACTTGCCATGCACGAAATAGGAGCCTGGGGTAGAGAGCCAAAGGTCAGGATCCAAGTAGGGCAGAAAAAGGGCAGAGAAATACATCGCGAAAGCTTACCAGATCAAGGCCCATAAGATCGAGATCGCCAAGAAGAGAGCCATGACACCTCGTACCCTCACTCGGGGAATGGCAGATGGGTAGGCGTCAAAAGAAAAATAAATTGGCTCATACATCCCGGCTTCTACCCATTGACGCGGGCAGTCGTGGGGATAAGATGCAAAGGAGCAGGACCGTCACAATAATCGGACCACATCACGTGAGTACAATCACGTGAACCGGATTTAACCTTAGCCTTAAATAGAGTTAGTGCTATTGTAATGACCTCGGCCCAGATGACTAATACGACGAGTAGTACGTTGGGGTGTTCAACGTTGGGTTCTCGCCCGTTGGGTTTCTCATCGGGGTTACCGACAGTTTACTTACAGTTGCATATCTTTGGTCTTGCAGGCTTTAGTGTTTCAGATCCTTCTTATTCGTCCCTCCCTTGTTAGCGCGTCTACACCTTCTCCACTTTGCCTTTCGTCACCTGTCACATGGGTAGCAGCCATTCCTTCCTTGTCCATTCTCTCTCTTCCATCCCCTCTTTCTAGTTCTGAACCATACTCGACAATATGAACTATGTCCGGAATACTATATCTAGGACATGGAACTCGATTAATCCCGCTACACTGAGCGGGGCTATTGATGTTATTGTCATAGAGCAAGCTGATGGTGAGCGGACTCGATCTCTCTTCAATGAATCACAATTCTGAGATAGTCCTGTCTCTCTTTCTAGGTACCCTCGCATGTTCTCCCTTTCACGTTCGCTTCGGGAAGTTCTCTCTCCTGCGTCCTTTCGAGAAAAAGATAGAATTTAAGGTCAATGGAATTAAACAAGATTATGCGATGAAGCTGGGCGAAGGAGGAGAGGCTTTCTTCGTGTTTGAAACAACCGACGAAATCCCAGCCTCACTACAAACCTCCCCGCTTGTGTCTCCCGCAAGCAGCCCGACGGTCCCAATTGGAGATTCTGTGCTTCCAGAACCAGAGTTCCTCGATCTTGAAAAGCCAACTAGAGATGCTGTATCGGAGGGTGCAAAGACCCCAACTGATATCCCTCCCTTGCAACCGATGCGTGCGGCAACGGATTTAGGTACATCCAAATTCTGTGACTAGTTTTGGATACTGTTTGCTGACTCCATGGGCAGGCACATTAACTCCATTGTCACAATCACCAGAGTCGGACCTTAGCGCTTCTCAGCCTCTGTCTGTTGACTCAAAATTTCCACTCGATCATTCAGTACCGGATGATGTGCTTGCGACCAGTATACTGAGGTCTGCTTCGGAGGAGCCGTCTGCTCTGGGTCGATCAAAAACAGTAAATGAAAATGACATTGAGCAAGGCCGCTCTCGAAGTCCTCCGGCAGTGTCTTCCAAGGAAGCTATGTCTCGTGCTATCAACTTGTCCAAGAAGCTGTCTATATCTAATATTCAATCACACGTCACCGAAACTGGAGATCTCATGTTGGACATGACAGGCTATAAAAGCAACGACGAAGATGCTCTCCGCACCGAAGTCCTTGCTCGCAAGATTCTCGCCGAGGAGCTTGAAGGGAGCTACGATCTTGGCGCTCTGATTGGTGCTGATGAGCACGGCAACCTATGGATCTATGGCAGTGAAGAGGCAAAAGATGCTGCTGATCGGCGAACAACTCTCAACTTGATGCGGCCCAACTCGGTAGATGCAATCTCAGATCCAGGATATCACAGCGACGGTCCACTGGAACCATCATTGGTGACACGCCACCATCGGACTAAATCAGATGTTCAACCTGGATTTCCAACCCCACCTGAGTCCCCAATGCAAGATTCATATGCTGTTGAGACACGAAACTACGCCAAAACATTGCGATTGACCAGCGATCAACTCAAATCTTTGCAGCTAAAACCAGGCCCCAACACCATGTCCTTCAGTGTTAACAAGGCTACCTGCTCGGCTTACATGTATCTCCTGAACGGGAATACGCCAATGGTTATCTCGGATATCGATGGGACTATCACCAAGTCGGATGCGCTGGGACACGTTCTGAACATGATTGGACGTGACTGGACTCACGCAGGAGTGGCCAAGCTATACACCGACATTGTTAACAATGGCTACAATATCATGTATCTTACAAGTCGGTCCGTTGGTCTGGCGGATACCACTCGGGCTTATCTTCATGGCGTGAATCAGGACGGCTATAAGCTACCAATGGGCCCTGTCATATGCAGTCCAGATCGCACGATGGCAGCGCTTCGACGAGAGATTTATCTCAGAAAGCCGGAAGTCTTCAAAATGGCATGCCTTCGAGATATTCTCAACCTGTTTTCTGGAAAGGCGGATCCCTTCTACGCTGGCTTTGGAAACCGATTGACTGACGCCTTGAGCTATCGATCTGTTAATATCCCGTCGAGGCGAATATTCACAATCAACTCCAATGCTGAGGTTTCTCTGGATCTACTCAGTCTCAACACATACAAAAGCAGCTATGTCACGATGCAAGAATTGCTCGATCATTTCTTCCCCCCTGTTAGTCTTCTCGTCCAGTCGGGAGGTGAAGAATATACCGACTTCGCGTACTGGCGAGACACCCCACAGGATCTCGAAGATTTTTCAACCACGGACAGTGAAGACGAAGGCGAGAACGAAGACGAGGATGAGGGACTCGAAAATGAAGAAGACGCAGACGAGGAAGATTACGATGATGAGCTAAGCGAAGGTGAAGAGAGTGAATATCCGGAGGATGATGAAGGAACGGATCTCGGTGCCAGCTACATCTCGCAGGCTTCGGTTGACCCCGCAGGATCGGTTGTGGAGTCTGTGGAGGGAGTCTTCGATACGGCAAATATGGGTGACGATGGAGTTGAACCATTCCCGACACTTGTCATACCTGATAGTTCGACATCCTTGCCTATTCGTCCTAATTCACCTGGAAACATTTAAAGCTTTTCCTCTGATGATGGCCGCGACGGAGGCATATCATTCTGCATGTTCAGTTTTGAACTGAAGCCTGCACTAATTTTAACATCGCCATATTGGCAGCAAGATACCCTTTTCAACAGATTTATTTTTGCAGATACGGAGTTGGTGATTGCATCACATACATTCAGGCTTATGTGTTTATATGTTATTTTCATGTTTTGATTTCTTTTTTTTTCTGCGACATCTTTCTAGGTACACTATGGGCGCTTTTCTATTTCAGCTTGAAATGATGCAAGGGGAACGAGCACAGATCTAATGGCTACAAGTCAAATTTCATAATGAAATGTAAAATTAAAGCTGATGACGTAGTTGCTTTCTGCTTTCGGTTTAGCGCCGATATCTCCACGCAATATCTACATAAGAACTAAATTCTGACTTGATGTAGCCTCTTGAAGGCATTATTAGCAAGAAGGTCGATTACGGCAGCATGCACGAGATTTTCGTGAGCTTGCTTGAGCCAATAGACCTTGTCATGAATGAGGCCGCAAACACTTTCGGGAATGAGCGAGGACTCTCCCCCTTCCAGCGCCTTACTTCCCTCGAGAAGGAAATGTTCTCTATGAAAGACGAGATGGCCTCTATGAAAGAAAGTATGGAGCACTATGATAATGTCTTTTTTTTTAACCTCCGAGAAGAGGTCTTCCACGACTGGTGTAACCTGAATCTGGCCCCCTCACATCAAACAAACACCACAATCAGGTTGCGCATAGAGGGGAGATCTATCTTGACCTCCAATTCCTAGGCGATCTAGACGTAGATGAGTTCAAACAACAGCCCGTTGGAAACTTCCGCATGTTTGAGCAAGAGTTTGAGAAGTACTATGGAGTTTCTCGGTATATCGCTCAGAGCATGTTAAACCAGGGAAAGATGTCGAAGACTGCCATAAAGGCTTTTAATGAGCGGGCGCATATTATTGGCCTAATAGATCGATACACAAATGTGTCAGAGGAGAAGAAGCTCCAGGCCTTGTCAGTCTTCGATGAGTGGATCAAAAAATGGGTCTGCCACCACACCGAGATGACTGGAACTGAGAAGGCAGATGTGCAGCAGTTGCTGCGATGGTAGTTTTTTTGTTCTTTTCTCTTTTTGTATTGCTAGTTTCTCTTAGATTTTCTTTTTGTTGCATATCATTAGGCGTATCTTATTTTAAGCTGTGGGTGGCGGCTTAGATCTGTTCCTATCTCTCTCTTAATGCATGCCTAGTCTTACTAATATTTGCTTCGAATCTGAATACTTCTATTAAAAATCTCAGTAGTAAAAGGCAGCAGCAAACTGGAATCGAAGCTCGCTAATCATAGTAACCTAGGTAAATCATTAATACCGCAACCATAGATCTGAAAATAAATCTTGAGCCTTCGTCAGGTGAGGTTATGTGGGACGCGAATAGGAACTAGGGTATATGAACCTCAGAGATGCGTCCCACTGACTTCCCTTCCTCACCTTTATATTTAGTTATTGTTGGGATATCGGACAAACGACACCCCGGTCTAGAACACATCACGAATCCCTGTTCAGAGTGCATCACAAATGACAACCTTGAACAGTATGCATATAACAGTGACGTTCCGTCTTCAACGACTCTTCTGTCTTAGACGATGGAACTCATTCGTCTCAGACAGAAGAGCAACTTATAGAATAAATAGCTAGACCTCACCATGAATGGAAAACCAGATTTTACAACCACTTCAAGAGAACATAAAGATATTATAGGGGCGTAAAGCGTTTCCTGTAATAGGTGTTAGAAGTGGGCGTTAGCCTCTCATCAACCTTGCTATTCCACCGGGGCTCTTTATGCTACGCATTATGTAGCATTAGGGTCCCTGACCCTACCAGCAAGTACAGTGGAATGGTTTAATGTATCTCCTCTCCATAATCATTAATACAGAACCTTGGAAGTTAGGGCACATTAAGGGTACTCCTTTCATCTATTAATACCAAGGTATTTAGGTGCAGACTATAGATTACCTGGTAGTAATGAGATGTTAACTGGTGGAGAAATTGTCCATAGTGTTGACTTTTCAGCTGAAGCTAGTTAAGGTCTCAAATTGTAAGATCTGAGAGGCGATATCTGGAGAGATTATCGATTCTGGAGAGACTACTGGGTTTCTTTTGAGTTTACACAGACACACGCATACATATCTTGATTCGTTGAATCCAGTAGTAATCAGTCTCCATCCATTCCTCCAAGTTGACATGATTGTAAGTCCAATGCCGCAAGTACGGCAAGTTTGATGGCAATGGAGATCTTCGAAATCAGACATCTTAGGATGAAATTTATGCTAATAGGAGGGCTTGGGGTTTATTTATCTTGGAGACTACTCAGACTATGAAGTCAAGATTCTAAAGCAGGGGCCTAAATTGTCGTAGGCTGTTTCATTGTTCGTTCAGCCACATATGTGGCGTCTGTGTACTTCTACTTGTTCTTCGAAGTAATAAAACTGCCTAAAGCAGTTAGCGCCATATAGGAGCTCGACTTCATCATCGCGTCCCAGTTCACTTCAAAAGACATTTTTCCTACCTCCACCTCCGCTTCCATAATCTTCCTCCGACCAAAAAATTATCAATTCATTAATCCGCTGGATATTCCAAAGCCTACCACTGCTCCCGACCCACCATCCTTTCAACCTCCGCTCCGCGCTTGGATATTTAATCACTCTCACCAGCCGACATGGCCTCTCCAGGTCCTACTCAAGGCTCTGCACCAGCAACTCAACCTACCACACCACCTGCCGAATCATCCATAGCGACCAACGGTATCGCTCCCACCGTACCCACAACCTCACAAACATCCGCATTGCCTGCGACACAACCAAGCACATCGACAGCACTTCCCCCAAGTATCCCAGGTACTTCTATCCAAGACAATGGCAAGTCACGACGACCCCGTGACGTGCGCTTGATTCATATGCTCCTCGCGTCTCTCGGCGTTACAGCCTATCAAGACCGCGTGCCCCTCCAACTGCTCGATTTCGCATACCGCTACACCTCTGCAGTTTTAAACGACGCAGTTCATCTAGCGACAGAAGGATACGCTGGTGCTGTCGGTGACGCCTCAGGTATATCAGGCGGAAAGAATGCGACCTCCACAGAGGTGAACGGGGTTTCGTTGTCAGCGCTGAGATTAAGCATTGCATCGCGGCTACACTACCAATTCCAGACGGGCTTGCCGAAGGAGTTCATGATGGATGTTGCTTCTGAAAGGAATCGCATTGCGCTCCCGGGTGTCTCGAGAGGTTTCGATCCCACTTCGGGTGGTGCGAATGGTGCTGCTCCGAATGCTGCGAACCAGAGTATTATGATGGGTGGTATGCGCTTGCCTCCGGAACGCTTCTGTCTTACTGGAACTGGGTGGACCATGAAGGACGAATGGGACAGTGAGGGTGAAGAAGAGGAAGAAATGCCTGATGCGCCGGCGCAACAGCTGGCTAGCGTGGTCAATGGTACTGAGGAAAATGATGATGAGGATGACGACGGCGATGGAAAGATGGAGGATATCTTTGGTGAAGATACTGTCATGGGCGAGGCAGGTGAGGGTGAGGGTGATGGAGAGGATTGAGTCAAATATCACTCGCATAATATTTCTTTACTCTCAATCTCAGCCTTCTGCTCTTAGCTAAAAGGCTTCAGGCTCGCTTCTGCCTTTAAATACCTATTTCTCAAACTCTGAGCCATTCTTCCCTCTTAATCCATCTTCTTGCCACATTTGAACGGTGGAAGCCAAAATATCAGAAATTGAAATGGCCAGGGTCAACATTTGAGGTTGATCCTATTCACTTGAAAGATCCATCGCCTTCAGCACTGCTACTATACAGGCTACGCGACCAGAGCCTCTTCACCACATGCCCGCAACCAAGCTCAGATAAACAGGAATCCCAGCCGACCGAACTGATTCTAGCCTCACACCAAACCTACAAACCGATCAGGTGAAGGATCAATGCTTCAATGTTTTAATAGCCCAAGCAAATTATATACTAGGATGATGGCGTCCCTGTGGTTCTTAATATGGGCATCTTTTAGACCAGCAAATCATTGACAATCAAAGACACCCTTATCTTGGGGATAGATTACCGTCAAGAGCCTACCTAGTTATTCGTTTGAAACTTATAAAAGAAACGCTTAGTGATCAATGAAACAAGAATGCTTCTTGTGTAATATACATGTTGGATGCCATCTGCATCGCTTCGGGTCGAGAATTTTCATGCAAGTAAAAGAGAAATGCCCAACAAAACGCCTGATGATTCCCAAGATACGACATGAGAGGAGAGAAGACATCTAGACTCTATATCTGATCTGAAGCAGGCAGTTTTCGACATTTGGCGAGGATCTCACACTAGATGCAGGGATGCAGGAGTTTGATACCAAGCAACTCGATAGAGACATGAGGAAAGTCCGCTGCGATACTACCCTCTTGGCAGATACTTCAAGCCAAAAGAGAACATGGTCCAAGACACCCAAGTCAAGTGATTGTTACTACCACTCAATAAGGTGGGACCACTCCCAGACCGAGTGAAAGATCTCAAAGACAATGAAACCCATATAGAACAGTATACACAAACCAGTGACTCGGAATTTGAGCCGGTTATTTAAGGCGAATAGGGGAAAGCATCATTAAACAAAATGAAGTCAGAATCACCTCCCCTTAGCCAGCTTTTGCCTTTGCTCATCTTCTCGCATCATACTAATGACCTCTGCCCGGCGCTTTTCAACATTGGCAAGTTCTTCATCACGCACACGGCGTCGCTCTTCTTGTGATGCGAACCATTCCTCACGTGCGCGGTCTTCTTCTTCCGGCTTAACATGGGCAAGCATACAAGAATTCATAGCTAGACGCTGTTGGCGGCAAATCCATGTCGCGGTGACAGTGCGATCTCGAGCGCATTCGGCAAAAGCTGAATTGGCGTTATATTAGCTGATCGTTCGTAGAAAATGGGGTCACCACGCAACCATGCCACTTCTTCTGAGTTGAATTGGGAGTGGTTGATAGTTGACATGTGGTAAATAAGATTGATGCACATCCGATTAGACAGCATTTACACATACCCTTGATTTCTGGAGCACAGTAAGCTCGTACGCGTTTGTGAAAGAGCTTCTGGACTTCTTGTTCCTGATTCGCTGAGAGGGGAAGGGGGTTGCGGATGTTGTATTTGGGCCTTGATTGAGGCACTGATGGTACTGATGTATCGGGGGATGCAGATGATGTAGCCATTGTGGCTGAAATATATCCGATGCTAGAGATCGAGTCGAGAGGTGCAGATCAGGTGGTTTTAGGGTGATAGTGAGAACTGGGCTCCAAAACTAGGTTTCGATAGCCGAAGATAATATGATTTGATTGATGTAAATCTCTCAGAGATCTCTCTGCCAGGTATTTTCGGGCTTTGCTCGATCAATTTGTTGGGGATGGCGCGATGTTCTGACAGCAGACGATGCGGAGCGACAAGAACCGATAATACCTGGCAGAAAAGTCTCAAAGACGGGCGGTCAGACTATGTCTCATTAAAAAAAAACTTACAACCTGCAACCCTCACACTACTCGTGCTACTTAATTGGAACTTAACGCCCAATAAATTAATAACTTGTCGGGGATTCTCGAATTTGTTCTTAAATCATGTCGTCGTTACGCAATGCAGTTCAACGGAGGAACCATAAGGGTAAGTTTTGAGAGGCACTTGGTTGAAATGATTACACTGCTAAATCATCATAGAGCGTGGCCAGCTCGCAGGACGTGAGAAATGGGGTATTCTGGAAAAGCACAAGGTTTGTTTCCTCATTATACTGCGAGGATAGCAAAGTTCCAATAGCTAACGAACTATACTAGGACTATTCCCTCCGTGCCAAAGATTACAATGCGAAGAAAGAAAAGCTGAAGCGCTTGGAAGAGAAAGCTCGCAACCGTAACCCCGATGAGTTTCACTTCGGAATGATGGGTGATCGCAACCGAACACAAGGGCGACATGGCCGAGGATCTGTGGCACGCGAATCTGCTGCTGGACTAAGCCATGATGCGATCAAGCTTCTTAAGACACAAGATAAAGGATATCTACGAACTGTCGGAGAGCGGATTCGTCGTGAGATCGAGCGCTTGGAGCATGAAGCGCAACTACAAGATGGTATGAACCAGGTACTGGGTGTAAAAAGCCAAAACAAAGACGGAGAGTCCGAAGATGATGAGTTCGACGGATTTGACGACGATCTGGACGGGTTCGACTTCAACCAGCCACCGAAGAAGACGAAGTCGCAAAAGGTCATTTTTGCTGACGACAAGAGCGAACAACGAGCCTTGAAGAAGCGACGAATTCAGAAAGAGCAGGATGATTCCATGGATGAAGATAAAGATGAAGAGGCATCTCGCAAAACCCCCAAGCAACTCGCTACAGAGCGACAAGCTCTCGCTGACGCTCGTCGGTCTCGCAAGCTTCGAAAACGGGCCATCGAGGCCCGAGAGAACAAGCTGAAGGCGTTGCGCAAGCAGTATTCTGAGATCAGCGCGGCTGAGAAAGAGATTGACTGGCAGCGGGCAAAGCTGGACAACTCCATCGGAGGCACCAACAAGAATGGCATCAAGTGGAAGATTCGGGAGCGCAAACGTTGAGCGTGAATGGCCCGAAGGATTTACGAGTTGATGATCGTCTTCATCGCACCACTTTTTCATTATATCTGTATTGATACCAGCATAGACAGGAGTTCGGGCGCATGAATTTCAATAAAAAGCACTGTTTCTCTTTGATCCAAATGGTCATTTGTCCTCTTAACATACCATATCTCTACCTTGACAGCTATTTTCAGGGCTCTACCTATTGATTTCAACTTTTCCTTTCGAAAATGACCTTGGAAACTCGGCAAGCTGTTCAAACATAGTTACGAACCCTTAAAATCTGCTATCTATATAACTTTTTCGAACTGAAGACGAAGATTCGCCTAGGAGCGCAAGCAGCCTGAGAGGAATTCGCATCAATATTGCGTCTAGTTAGTTATGGCTCATGTAGATGACTAATTGAGGGCTTCGGTGTTTCATACCCAGGTAATTCGGTGTTGAAAATAAATTTAGTTTGGCCGTAAGGAGCATAAGTCGAGTAGTAAATTGAGCCACTCGGGATGAAGGAAATACCAATCCAATGACCAGTCCCCATTCGGTCAATTTACCTACCATTCGCAAGCCCACGATTGATAACCTGCTTTCTTCTCAGTAATACAAAAGACCCAACTGTCCAATATTTCAAATCTGACCATCTAATTCCCTCAATCAACAATTCTTAAACGTGGATCTGATTATAAATTCAAAGCAGAGCTGACTAAGGTTATCTTTTATCACCGAGATATTTTGCCACCCCTCACTTGCTTTTTCTTTTCCCTTCTCAAACCCACCACAATGGCTCCCTCATTCGTGACCATTGATACGAACGACGTCGACTTCGGTATGGCACAACCAACTATCGACGCTCGACGCACCCTCCTCCTCGCACCTCCCTCCATTGCAACCCACGAAGACAAATTACGCGATCTCTTTACATCATTCCCCCGCGAATTCAGCGACCTCCAAATGCTCGACCGCCTCTCAGCCGGTGTGATCAACCTCCCTTCAAACACATACGACTTCGTCCTAGTCCTCACAGACTCCGACGGCTCTCGGCGCGCTGAGGCCCTCCAGCTCCTCACTCGAGATGTATACACCGCCCTCGTTCCAGCCATGAAGCCCGGCGCAAAGTTTCAGACGCAAGGTAAGGCCCTCGATGCCATCGAGGCTATGGAGGCTGTTCTTGCAGGCCTAGTGCAAACAGAGAGTGGATTTGAGAAACCGAATTACGAACAAGCATCCGCTGTGCCACTGCGGTTTGGTGCAAAGAAGCAGAAGACCACTACTACCCCACCTGTGGGAGTTGGATTCGCCGTGAATGGGTATAATGCGAATAACCATGATCGGGATGATACCGATGAGTTGATTAATGAGGACGATCTTCTGGATGAAGAGGATTTCACAAGACCTATCATGCCTCGTAGGTCTTCTTCCCAACCTTATCTACGTTTTCTAACCGTTCTCTACAGCTCCAGAGTGCCAGCCTAAGACTGGCCGCAGACGGCGAGCCTGTAAGGACTGTACATGCGGTCTAGCTGACCGACTGGAAGCAGAAGATAAAGAGCGTCGCGCGAACGCGGATAAGAATTTGAATGTTCTAAAGCTGGCATCGGGCGACTTGAATGAACTGGACTTTACCGTCGAGGGCAAAACTACCGGCTCCTGTGGGAGCTGTGCCCTTGGTGATGCTTTCCGGTGCGCGGGCTGTCCATATCTAGGTATGCCTGCGTTCAAGCCTGGCCAAGAGATCCAGATTTTGAATGACGCACAGTTGTAATTTCACATACATTTTTTTTTGGCTGGTGGGTTTTGCATGTTGCGGGGCGAATAATTGGGGCAGATCCGGTCTCGGCGTGGCTTTTGTTCACCGGTAGATGAAAAACATTATTTGATATCCTCCTAGATTAATTTAGTATATAAGCTTATTGATTTTATTTCATTGTTCTTGACTCTTTAACATAACTCCGTTAATAACTTCTCAGTAACTACAACGCTGTACTTTACTCACGTTCCAATTATATAGTTCGCTAGCCCTTCGAAACCGGACCTTCACCACAAGACCTGGGGTAGATATTCAAACATAATCATTAATATCATTCACTTAAATCTCTTACCAATTGGAACTCTTGGCTAAATTTTTATACATCATAAAATGATGACTCCACCTATGAACGGTCCTTCTTCATCTGCGCAACACGGATGCTGACAGCATTCTTGTGAGCGTCCAGGCCCTCAACTGCAGCGAGAGTCTCGACAGTCTTTGACAGGCCGAGCAGACCTTCAGCTGTCAAATTTGAGCTAGTGATGTGCTTCAGGAATGAGCCCAGGTTGACACCCGAGTACTGCTTAGCATAGCCATATGTAGCTAGAGAGAAAATGTCAGATTTGGAAATTGCGATGTGTATAGTATCAGATGGGAAAAACTTACGTAGAGAGTGATTAGTACCGGCAGAGTAGTCGCCAACACTCTCGGGGGTCCAGGGACCGATGAACACACTACCAGCATTCTGGACTGATTCGACGACAGCTTCAGGGTTCTCAACCTGCAGGATCAAGTGCTCGGGGGCGTATTCATTGCTGAGAAGCATGGCCTCCTTAATATCCCGTACAACAAAGGTGACAGAGTGAGACAGGGAGCCGCGGACGATATCCATACGCGGCAGGGCCTTGGCCTGCACATCGACCTCATCCTCGATAGCACGCAGCTCCTTCTCGGAGAGATCAATGGCGATCAGAATAACCTGGGAGTCAACGCCGTGCTCGGCCTGGCTCAGCAGATCAGAGGCAACAAAGGCCGGGTTGGCGGTCTTGTCGGCAATGACAAGCACCTCACTGGGGCCAGCGGGCATGTCAATGCTGACAGTTGCAGAGGTATCGTTGGACACAAGCATCTTAGCTGCGGTCACAAACTGATTACCCGGGCCCAGAATCTTGTCGACCTTGCTGATGCTTTCAGTACCGTAAGCCATGGCAGCCACAGCCTGGGCACCACCAGCCAGAACAATGCTTTCGGCACCAACCTTGTGGGCTACGTAGACGATCTCAGGGGAAATGCTGCCATCGGCGCGGGGTGGCGAAGCTAGGATGATCTTTTGGCAGCCGGCCACCATGGCGGGGACACCCAGCATCATGGCAGTGGATGGAAGCACTGCAGTACCGCCGGGAACGTACAAACCAACGCGCTCAATTGGACGAGAGAAACGAGAGCAGACGACACCAGGCATAGTCTCGACCTTGAGAATATCGTTACTGTTCCCTTGGGCGCTGTGGAAACGCTTGATATTGCCAATGCTGACATCAATAGCTTCCTGCACCTCGGGGGTCAACTTCATAAGCTCAGCTGGGAACGGCGCGTGAATGACAGGAGAGGTCAGAGAAGTAGCCTTCTCGAACTTGTGAGTATACTTGAGCACACCAGCATCGCCGTTCTCGCGAACATCCTGGATGATGGGCTTAACGAGACCAACAATGGCATCGTTGGACTTCTGCGAAGGACGCTGGAGGTATTCCTTGACTTCGGTGACGGGGGTCGAAGCGGTAATCACACGCTTCATTTCAATGCGCGAGCGGTCCTCAACTGGAGGTTGAGACTCGACTGGGGCGGGGGCGGGGGCGGGGGTAGGAGTAGGAACCAACCCAGCCTTCTCGGCCCAAGGGCCCTTGGCATCACCCTTTCTCCGTTTGACCTTCAAGCTCTTGAGGTCGAGATTCCGCTCAATGTCCTCTAGAGTAACACCGGCAGCGGTGCACCTGGTCAGCGCAAAGTAGAACAGGTCGGCTGCCTCAAAGGCAATCTCCTCCTTGGTAGTAGCAGTGCACAGCTCCTCGGCCTCCTCCATGATCTTGGCCGCAGCAAGCTTCGGCTCATTGAACAGACGAGCAGTGTAAGAACCAGCAGGAGCATCAGCCTTGCGGGCCTGGAGAGTCTTCTGGAGACGAGAAAGACCAGTAGAGGAACCGAAGCAAGAGTCGGTGCCAAGGTGGCAGAAGCCTCGGCCAATCTGCTTGACCACAAAGACCAGACAGTCGGCATCACAGTCATAGCCAATACGGATCAATTCCTGCACATCACCGCTGGACTGGCCCTTGTACCACAGACCACGCTTGCGGCTCTGGTAAACACCAGTACCTGTGCGAATAGCCTCGGCGATGCTCTCATCGCTACTCCAGACGAAACCCAGACATGAGCCCCGCTCGTCTGTGACGGATGTAGCATATAGGCCATTGGACTGGTCGGTGATGGCGCATGATGCAAGGAGCTTGGCGGCAGAAAGCTGACCCGCAACATCACGTTCGGCCGTCAACTTCTCGGTGGAAATGATAGCAATGGCACCCTTCTTCATGATCTGTGTCGCTGACTCCTCGGAGATATCCTGATCTCCATAAGTTGCGAAAAGTCGGGGTGAATCGGAGCTGATGTTCAATTTCGTAGCAGCGTCGGCAATGGCAGAGGGCTCGACGCAGACGCTGACCTCACTGCGTTCGGGGGTGCTGGCCCACTGTTGAAGAGTAACTAGCTGATCATCGGAGAGGGTGGATACAAGCAAACGAGACGAAGGAACGGACTGTTCCTGTGAGAGGGTGGACAATTGGTCGATAGTGATCAGGATCTTGGCGGCGCCGGCATTGAGGATATCGACGAGATCTCCGGACGACGAGATGGCAGTCGCGTCGATGAAGACATCAATGTTACGGAAGTTCTGGCGCAGGAATTGCTCGGCTTCCCCAAGACTTGAGACCTTGACTAGCACTCGCCCGAAGTAGGCGATCTGCTTAAGGTTGAGTCCGGAGGTGGGGTTGGAGGGGTATGAGATAAGAAATGGTGTGGCCATTGTGAGAGAATGAGGTGAAAGAATAATTGGGAAATAAAGTACCAAGATTAAGGGATATTAATACCCCTTAAGAGACTAGAGAGAGTAGGAGTGGAGGTGAGGTATGACTCTTGACTTTTTTTCTCAATGTGGTTCGACCCGCTGAATCATCCTCCCGTTGTTTGGCTCCGACGTCGCTCTACTGAATACTATCCTTCTTTCATATCATATCCAAGGTTCTTATTGGTTTTTCTCTTTCTTCTATATTTTTAGTCTAATTTCGTCTATATTGACTTAGAAAGCGTCAATTTACGTCATTAATGTTAAAGCACCGTGGCTACAGCAAATGGTCAATATCTAGATCTACCATCGCATTAGGAGATACATTTGTCCGTTCTGATAAGATGGCACATATGAAGATGACTTGTACTCCAACAGAGCTGAGCTCACTCGCGGCAACCAAAAACACAAATAATTGTCGCAAATAGTAGTTGACTTGCAAACTTTCAGGATTTGACTCAAGGCTGAAGCAAGAAAAGTAGTCCAAGTAGTAAATAACTAAATGTTATTTTTGAGTCTACTTCATCGGCAATGAGACCTCTTTCAACAGGCTTGGATCCATTTCTTCGAGTGTTGGTATTCGGTGACTGCAAAAAGACATCTGGCAGATAGAAACGTCTCCAAGAACAAATGGGCAGATGTTTGAAGGATGATCGTCATATCAATTTCCGTATTGGATTTTAAAACTAAGTGGCATGAGAAGCCACGAGATGAGTCATTGGGAACTCAAGTGAATAGAATCACTCATTCTCAATTTCACTCTCAATTTCACTGTCACTTCACTTTGAGGCTTTAGGGGAGTGAGAGTGATTAGGGTTAGGTCTCCCGAGGTCCAGCCTTACCGAGCTATAACTATGACCACGTCTCTCTTATATAAAAAAGTTATATCGAGAACTAGAACCTTCTTTACTAAAAAATCCAACCTGGGAACAGTGTTTCAAAATTTCCAAGCTGGGACAACGGAGAATTATGTTGGGATACACAGACACCTTTCTGTAATATACAAAATGATCAATATATTCGAGGACAATATTGCCCCAATTATAGCAATATTGTCCCTCTTGAAGAGCTGAAAGGGAACTTGCGACGAGATCATTCCTTCATATATAAGTAGGACATGAACAAACTATTCATCGTGAGCTAAAGCAGTCAAATATCCCCAAAAAGCAGACGAAGACACACGGAAAAAGAACTAATTGGAGGCTGAGATGACTAACACCACCATTCGGCAGGATGAATCACCAGCAGCAAGAGCCATTGAGCGATGATACGGCTCTCAAAGTCACTTGATGTTGGGGTGAATAAAGCTTTGCTACTTGTTGCTCCGCTGGGTTATCAGCCTTCAGACAATCTCAGCTCAAAAGTACACACACAAAAAGACAAACATCGAAACATCGAACAAGAACCCTGATAAGTGTGGTGAATGGGGACCGACATTCGGTGCTCGATAAGAATCGTTAATATGGTCGTCAGGAGTTCTGTTGCAGTTTTCATCTCCTATATGTTTTTGGTCTCTTTAGGTCCCTAGTTTCCTTTTTCAACGGTTCTTTCTTCTTCTTTAATCCTTTATCCGGCTCAGGACTTTTGACTCAATATACTCCAGGCTTGTGGAATATTAGTCAACTTTCTAAGATCCAAAGAGGTCAACATCTACGTATCTAGGTATGCGGGGATCAAAGTTACTTAGGTATGTATATTGGAAAATATATGCCACTTCCGATGGTCTACCTAGGTAGATAATTGGATATGAGTTCAGCTGTAAGATATTTCAAGGATTCTTTATAGCCGACTCGATTCCAAAATTGGAATACCCGGGGGGAGATGAAGTTATTGATAGATGGTAAATTTGGGAATCTTCAGGGCTAGGACGGTAATGGATCTCAGAATCTGGGCCTCGAAGTTATTCCAAATCTGGAATTTCACAATATCTTTGGCTTCAAAAATGACCATATGTGAAGGGTTGAACTCTTCGACTACCTGTCTAAATTTGAGATGTTGCTGAAGGAAAAAAGTAAAGGAAAAGAAAAGGAAAGGAAAAAAAAAGAGCAAAAATAATCCGGTCGGGCGGAGTCGAACCGCCGACTTTCAGATGACAATTTCCATTACAGTCTGACGCTCTAAACCAACTGAACTACGACCGGAATTATATACTCAACGCTTCCGAATTTGTGAATATAAAATCCTGCAGAAGTGAAACCCAAATTCAACCTTGGAACTGACTAGCGGCGCATATTAAAGGAATATTTCATATGCTTTTCAGAGCGGTGAATAATTACCGTCAAGAAGCATCACGTGTATAGCCACTTATTTACCCCGGAAAATAGGGTTCAACATACACATTTCAAGGTTAGGGGTCTTGCCGAGGTCCATGGGTAATATAGCATCAACCTTGGAACAAGCTACGAACTACTTAAAGTCTACTTTAATTACTAGTCCGACGAAAGCTCCGGACTGATCAAAGTAGAAAAACTATTGCTATTGTGTTATGCAGGGATGCACGGATCTTGGTCAGGAATAACCTGTAATAACGATCCTTGGCTGCAGACACCCTTTCACTATCGAAATTGAGCATTGATCCATACCTAGATAGTAGGTATCTATTCAAGAAGAACAATGATCAATCATCCTTGAAAAAGGAAGAGAATTAAATAATGGTACAGGGTAGGAATCCGAAGTAGAGAGTACTTAAGTAGTGGACTCGAGTATGGAGGATGAAGTATGGAAGAATGCAAAAGGAATTGGATAGCATTCCGATTGGAGATCGCGGTCGCGCATCAGTTTGGACCTTGCAGATCAACCCCTGAAATAAGGGAAATAAGGGAAGGGAATGGAGGGAGCTCCTGCTTAAGTGATACGCTGTAAACATTGTGTGACTTCTTTCCCCTCTTCTTCCCCTTCAGATCCGTCTCTCCCACCTAAATACATTTTGGCCCATTGTTTCGCTGGGTGGTCTCTCTTTACATACATCTTTTACTCTCACTGTTTCGCACTCGTTTTTTCACATATACAGTGACCACTTCGCAATGCGTGTCAAGTCGCTCTCTGCTGCAGCCCTGCTAGCTGGATCAGCCGCGGCTTTCCCTTATCAGAATGAGGCCGTCCTAAGTGGTAAGCCGGCAAACCAAGAAAAGGCTGCAGCAGTGAAAGAAGCCTTCCAGCATGCTTGGGATGGTTATATAAAATACGCTTTCCCTCATGACGAGCTACACCCGGTCACCAACGGATATGGTGACTCCAGGTAAGCACATTCCGTGCTCCACCCGGAGGGATACAAACTTATATGCTACTAGAAATGGATGGGGGGCTTCCGCTGTTGATGCGCTATCCACTGCAATTGTAATGGGCAATCAGGAGGCTGTTCAGACTATTCTAGAGCACGTTGCGACCATTGACTACACTAGGACTGACTCACAGGTCAGCCTGTTTGAGACAACAATCCGTTACTTGGCTGGCATGTTGTCAGGCTATGACTTGCTTAAAGGACCTGCTTCAAATCTGGTCAGCGATGAGAGCTTAGTCGATAATCTACTGAACCAATCCAAAAACCTGGCTGATGTGCTTAAGTTTGCCTTTGACACCCCTTCCGGTGTCCCCTACAACAACCTCAATATCTCATCACAGGGCAACGATGGCGCAACAACCAACGGTCTGGCTGTGACAGGTACTCTGGTGATGGAATGGACACGTCTCTCTGATCTGACGGGAGACCCAGAATATGCAACAATCAGCCAAAAGGCCCAGTCATACTTGCTCGACCCCCAGCCTTCGAGCGGGGAGCCATTCCCGGGTCTTGTGGGCAGCAACATCAGAATTTCTGACGGCCAATTTACCAACGGGTATGTCTCGTGGAACGGAGGAGACGATTCGTTCTACGAGTACCTGATCAAGATGTACGTGTACGACCCTAAGCGATTTGAGTCGTACAAGGACCGTTGGGTACTTGCCGCAGAGTCCACTATCAAGCATCTGCAGTCACACCCGGAACCCCGTCCTGACCTAACGTTCCTGACTTCGTACAACGACGGCAACTATGATCTGAGTTCCCAGCACCTGACCTGTTTCGACGGTGGAAGCTTCATTCTTGGCGGTACTGTGTTGGGCCGGCAGGATTTCATCGACTTTGGACTTGAGCTGGTCAATGGATGCGAGGCTACTTACAATTCAACGCTGACTGGCATCGGTCCCGACTCCTGGGGCTGGGACCCTAGCCGGGTGCCGAGTGATCAGAAGGAATTCTACAAGAAGGCTGGTTTCTATATTAACAGTGGCTACTACGTTCTGCGTCCCGAAGTGATTGAGAGCTTCTACTATGCGCATCAAGTGACGGGCAACGAGATTGTATGTTTGAGCTTTCCATCCAATGTTTTCATCTGACTAACGAGAATAGTACCGTGACTGGGTCTGGAATGCATTTGTTGCTATCAACGCCACCTGTCGTACGGACTCGGGGTTTGCCGCTGTCACCAATGTAAATGCCAAGTACGGCGGCTCCAAGGACAATAATCAGGAGAGCTTCCTCTTCGCCGAAGTCCTGAAGTACTCGTACCTGACTCATGCTGAAGGTAGGTCTTCCCCAATATTATCGGTGTATGGATGCTAACAATTACAGACAACGAATGGCAGGTCCATGCGGGTGATAAGAACACCTTTGTCTTCAACACTGAGGCTCATCCTTTTGCTGTGGCACATACCTAGTCATACAATCATTAAGTTTGTTTTTCTTAAATATGCATGACCCCTGTAGCTCAGACCCAATTATATCTTACGTTTTTTACCTTGTCTTTCAAATGTGTTGAACAAGAGCTTCCTTAAACTTGGACAGTCCGTCAACTTTCCTATAATTTGCATTTTATATGTTTTTGCCTAATTCATGATAATGATTCAGTCTCAAACGTCGTCCGACAAAAACAAGACCCGCGAATAGGTATATCCGCCATCGCCACAGCCTGTCTCATCTGCGGCAGTAAAATTCGTGCCTCAGCCTTTCTCCCAAGCCGAGTCAAACACTCATGATAACCACGCAGCGCCCATACATTATTAGGATGTCTCAGCGCCCTAGGTAAAGATGTGTCAATCCCAAGATCAGCAGAGTATACCTTAATTGCCTCTTCCACCCGATTCTTCTCTAATAGTAAAGCTCCAAGCGCGTGACGGACGGGCTGCATCCAGCCCCACGGTTCGTCGTAGGGAAGACTATCTTCACGATCGACGGCAGTTTGAAGAATGGCGAAAGCGTCATCGTAGTCACCGCGCCGATAAGCAATCTCACCTTCTAACATTGGCGCTGCAACGCCTAATACGTCGACGCATGTATTATTGAATATTGTGCGAGAGAGAGGGACAAGCTTGGAAGATGACTTGAAGAGATCCTGTTCCTTCTCTGCCTCTTTAATGCGGTTGGTAGCCGCAAAGGCAATACCCTTTGCGTAGTGGGTCATGGCTGTGGTGACGCAATAAAGACTCTGGTTTGCGGGGGGTTCTAGGGACATGATATCTTCCCAACAACCAAAGCGAACCAAGGCGTGTACGCGCATGGCAACAAAGCCTTCTAGCCAATCTGCAAGAGGAGGTGACTTGACCGATAGGAGAGGCTCTGTAATTGAATCTGCCAACTGGTTCGCAGTGTAGATTGCCACTTTCGACTGGCCGCCCAGCATAGCAGCGTACATGAGGAAGTGGTAGTCGTGTGCGCGATAAATATTGTAAAAGTGGCCCAGAGGCTGGGTTGAGAGGAACTTCTCATCGGCGCGGATGGCAGCTGTGTTGGCTGTTACCGCACGACGATAGTTACCACACAATACGTCTAAATGACTTAGCATATGTTCGAGATGGCCTGCGTCTGGGACGAGACCACGGAGATTATTTGCTATCGGGAGCGCGATCTCCGGTGTGGCTGACATTTCCATCAGGTGGATGTACAGATGCAGGAGACCAGGGTGCTCGAGGGCCTCGTCGCGCTCCAAGGCACGATCTAGTGCCCTTTTCACCTCGAGGGTCTGGGCTCCTGGGGTCGGCTCTCCGGTTACCAGGTTCCATAAGTTCCAGGGGTTGAGATTCATTAAGGAATCTGCATAAAGCGCGACGATGTCTAAATCGTCTGGGAATGTTTGATATACGGACAGCATGGCCTCGGCGTACCGGCGATTCCACTCCATACAGTCCTCAGCCGGTTCTTCCTGTGGATACCGAAACTGCAATGCATTGATGAGAGCTTTCTCTTCGGGTGTTGCAGAGTCTGCATGTTTCTTCGCCTCGACTACGGCGGCATGAGCTCTCGCAGTCGTCATGGAGAGATCCTCGCCGTCGAAAAGTTGCCATGGTTTATTGTAGTTTGGCCCCAGCGAGAAGGCAAGACCCCAATATGCCATTGCGAACTCGGGGTCGAACAAAATGGCTTGCTCGAAACATCGGATTGACTCATGATGATTGAAGGCGTAGGCCCAGACCACACCCCTGTTGAACCAAGCTTGGGCATCTGGGATTGTGGTGCTGACGACCCGATGGAAGGTACCTAGATCATAGTATTCTATGGAGGAAGATTGCCGGTCTGGAACCTGCGACCAGGTGTTGTGATCCATGATGGGTGACAGAAAGAACGATGTTCTGGGCGTGAGTGGGGAGTGGGGCAACAATTGGGCTGAAAGGATCATCATTATGCAGGAGGACTTTATCAGTAGATGGAGAGTATGGGGTACTAGTACTTCGTAGATTATACGGGTAAGGGTTTGTGCTGTATGTATACAATTATGAGAGTTCTTGCCCTATGTACGCTCCTGCCTGACTACAAATCTCCCGTTGCAGCTCCTGCTTCCTTCTCTTCTCACCCTCCTTACCATCCTTGAAGTCTCTCATTCCACATCACAAAGGCCATTCATTAATACCGTTTATGTTCATATCCTCATCTTTCCCCTCAGCTGACCATCTAAACATTCTCCAATACCTTTTCTCTCGGTCTCCGTGTGACTGCAGGTGTGACTACAAGTGTGCTAACACAATGTCTTCCACTCCTCCTCCTTTCAACTTGCCAACATGGAAGGTCATCGTCGGCCTATCCCTGTCATTCACCTTTCTGATGTTGATCGAGAAGCTGTTCAGCCTCAATCACAAGAAGCCCAAGAAGTATGTTCATCCCCATCAGTTTGACTTCCCGATGCCAATGGAACCTTGCAGGGAGGAGGACCACCCTCTCATCCACTACCCCGGGTTTTCACCCGTTCTTGGGACTGGGGAGACACAGACAACTCTTCTTCGTGCGTGGGTTGAGATACATGGGCATGTTGCAAAGGCCCAGGCCGCAAATCAGGCCGCCACTCAAGCCGCAAGAGTACTCGAACAGTCGATCGAGAAGACCCCGTATGAGAAGGTGTACGAGAAGATCGGCATCACCAGGGGTGGCCAACATAACACCCATCACGGCAACCTACACTCAGTGCACTGAGTACAATACACAACTGTAACGACCCTCATTCCTTATCCGACTATCCGACTATCGTTATCGCTATCAGATCCACCGCCCCACATGCGCGCATTTGAGCTTTTGATTATTTGCTCGTTTCCGCTCATACATTGATACCTTGGAGGAAAAGGGATTTATATCCTGATTCAACCCTGTACTTAGCTACTACTCATCGTTACACTGTTAACTCAATTGTATTTCGTCTTTTTTTTTTTTCCTTTTCGCAATTTCATCCGTGTAAATCTTTTTTCGAGTATCAACATGTGTGGAGAAACCGGCCGTCCATCTTTCGGTGGAACTATCGCAGTTCTGTTTCCTCGTGAGGACATGTCTTCATCGGAGACATTGCTTTCATCTTCACCCGACTCAGTCACATCCACAACATCATCAACCTCCATGTCCTCATACACGCTTTTCTTCCGAGACCCAGATGCAGACGGCCACAAAACAAAGGCAATTTTCCAGATCAACGACACAGAAACATACCATGCACTCTGTGCATATGAAGAGTTAGATCTGCGGATAGAGTGAGTTGCCTTTCCTCTATGATCATTGATAATCATTGATGAGTATGGCTCATCCAAATGGAACAGGAAGCACGGCGATCTATCCACGGGCACCCCAGACATACCACCCCTCCACAAGCTGCGACTAGACATGAGCCAAAGACAAAGGCAACGACCAGGACAGCAATTGGATCTTGAATTTGAGTTGCCCGAAAGGCTGGTCCTGGGCGTCTCGGAGAAGGGAGTGGTCGGCCGTCAGGTCACGGTCACTAAGGCCAGCGGTGGCATTCTTGGCGTTGGAATTGTGGGATTTAATTAGTTAATATCAAGTCACAAATCAACTGCCAACTGGACAATTGACTCTCTTGAGAGAGACTGTTAATAGATGATAATTGTAGAGTACTTCTTAGGCCAATGGTATTTCATACTGTTAACCCACGTGATTGCGTGTCAAACATCGCGTCTAGTCTAATCCCTTATCTCTCTAATCTTAATCTCTAATCGCGTCTTTATTTTCACTCTTCAGCTACACTGCAAAATGTCAGAACTCACAGATGTTCCACTTGCGGCAGGTGATAGGGGAAATCATGTCTTTACTTTCAAAAAACCCTCCTCATTTTCAGAAGTCGCAGATGTTCCAGAGGGTGGAAAAGTTCTAGAAATTGCAAATGTCCCAGAAGTCAATGTCCCAGAAGTCAATGTCCCAGAAGTCAATGTCCCAGAAGTCAATGTCCCAGAAGTCAATGTCCCAGAAGTCAATGTTCCAGAAGTCGCAGAAGTCACAGATTTCACTGGTGATCAACTCCCTGACGCTCGAGTGTCTGGTCTAGGAGTTAAGCGCAAGCATGTTGAGGAGCAGATGCAGCTTGATGCCATCGAAATACCCGCAGGTACCAAAATGGAGTCGCCAAATGTGATCAGAGGCAAAATCAACCGCTTCATTGAATCTGGCGAGATGAAAGTCGGAGAATTCCATGCATTGCTTGGTGTCTCAGGCACAGCTTACAGGCGCTTCATCCAAGGAAATGGTAAAGACGGTACATATAGTGACGTTTACCTTGCCGCCTGGGAATTCTTCACCAAAAGGAAGCTCCTTGGCATCAAGGATCCCAAGAAACAAAAGACCAGCACTCCCGGCGCAAATACCGGTACCAGTGGCTCAAAAACTAAAGTGACAGACTTGAGCGACATCAAACTCACTGGTAAGCCATGTCTCATACTCTACTCCCTTGCATCTGTCTAACCCACATAAGGCGAGGATACGGATGAAGTCGAAGTCTATGAAACCTGTGACGATATCCGACGAAAGATCGGCGCGTATCTTCGCAAGCCCGGTGTCACGCGTGCTCAATTCTGCCGAGACATGCACTCCCAGTTCCACACAGACAAAGCTCCAGCTCAGATCCAGTCTGTCATATTAACTCGCTTCATGAGCTATAAGGGTCCAGATGTGGGCAACACGAGCTCCGTATTTTATGGTGCTTATGTATTTTTTGAGAAATTGCGTATCAAGGAGGGTAAGCCGAAGGGCAAGCATCGTGAGGAGATGGAGAAGATCTGGGCTAGAGACGGTGGCTTTGATATCAAGACTCCCAGTCACAACCGAATGTGAGTTTTCTTCTTCTACAGTCATCTTAGAGACGTGACTTCTTACACCTAACAGGTTCTTCACTATTGGCGGCAAGAGACCGTATCAAGACCAATTCGGCCGCGTCACAATTCACTAAACTGAACTCCACGACTCTGGAAAGTCTATCAAAATGATCTCAGTTCAGATCGATACATGATTACACCAACTTGAAAGGCAGGAATGCGCAATCCTTAAACTTCAGGCCAACTACGCCTACAAGACCATCGTCATCGTCATGAAGCTGTGATCAGCAACAGTCCTAAGCCAAGCTCGGATAAAGGCGTCATACTATGCTATGCTCCAAGCGTTATGCATTTATGAGTGGAACATGATATCCTGATTTTTAATCTCAAGAAAACAACTAGCCTTGATCTAATATCAATCACAGTTTCAGAGGATTCTTCACACCAGTAGTGTAGCGCTTCTCCGCCTCACCCCAGTGAATAATCTTCCAGATCCCCTCAATATATCCCGCCTTATTATTGAGATACTAAACAAGTGAGAGTCAGCAAAGTCACAAACCAACTCATCGTTGTCAAAACAAACCTGAAGATAATAAGCATGCTCCCACATATCAACACCAAAAACAGGCACATCACCAACAGACACAGGATCCTGATCCTTAGTCGAAACAATCTCCAGCCTCCCCTTCGGTCCACCAACACTAACCAACCAACCCCACCCACTCCCCTGAATCCCTAGCAGGGCAGCAGTGAACGCGTTCTCAAACGCCTTCTGCGAGCCCCAGCGGGCCACGACAGCCTCTTTCAGCTCAGGGGCGGCAGCGAGATCATTTCCAGGCGAGCCGGGTGGAGTTAGGTTCCGCCAGAAGAGCGAGTGGTTGATGTGGCCGCCGCCATTAAAGCGAATTTTTTGCTGCTGGGCTATCAGGGCTGAGACGTCGTTTGTGGTGGTTGCGGTAGCGTGGGCTGCTAGGGCAGCGTTTAGGTTGGTTATGTATGCTTGGTGGTGTTTTTTGTGGTGGAGTTCCATTATCTGCTTTGAGATCACGGGTTCCAGGGCCTGGGAAGATTTTAGTATTGTGTTGGAGATGAGTGGGTGCTTTGCTTACATCGTAGGCATAGGGCAGCGGGGGGAGAGTGTGGGCCATGTTGATGATTGAGTAGAATGCTAGGGGTATAGGCTTGGAAGAAGGGGCGAGAGAGACTTCTATACTTTACTACTTCGTAGGAGACGGACTACCAAGGTACTTGCTTACTGGGTAGATCGTCGTGAGCGAGATTGAGCACATTTACGGCTCCACCTTCGACACTAGGTAAATTACTTCTTGCTTTATAATCAACATCCTATTCTTAATTATCCCTTATGCCCTCTACCTCATTCAATGTTTCAAGCACTGGTTATTGCAGTAAATTGGTGGGGAGATCTACACAAATATGAATAGCTAGCCCTAGGCCTCGGGTGTGTAGTGGACCCTTCTTTCGATCAAGTACGATAGAGCCATCCTGTTCTAACCTTGGAACATGATGTCTGCAACATATATTTATAACTCGAGACTTCGATACCTAGGTAACCTCCAGGGCTCATCCAGAGTTAAAACAGTAAGAGGCGCCTCTTCAATTCCTCTTTGAAACCTTGGAATTCTACGACCCTATCATCCATAGATACTCCAGAGATTCTGGTGCAAGAACCAAACAGGAGCTGTCGAGTAAGTCTTATTTCGGTCATGATAGTGGTAGTGGTCATGGCAGAGTACTTACCATATTAGGTCTAAATATTCTGCCTGCCAGGGAATAGAGAATGTTCAGGTGTCCAGGTGGGTAAAATAAATAGAAACCGATTGCCAGATGCCACTCCTCTGAAGGTTGACGAGTATTAGATATATGTAGGAGGCTCAGAAGGGTGGGTGCTGTTCAATTCCAAGGCTATATAGCATTCTATATAGCATTGAAAGGGGGATAAAGAAGGAAGACAAGTTTAGAGGGCTGAATTAAGAGGCGTTTAAAACAAATATTGAATCCTGAAAGTGGGGGTGAAAGTGAAAGAGCCGTGAAGAGGTTGATAATGTTTATTCTTTTGGTTTGGATGGCCAGCCTAATTGAAATTCTCGAGTAATATGCTAGATCATGTTTAGCAGACTCAAACACGAAAGGTAATAAGATATGGCATGGCTCGTAGACTATGATTTATATTCTAGCAAGCTAAAATCCTATTAACGAACAGAAAGAGAAGTTATCTGTATGAATACATTACAGTCGAGGACCTTCGACAATTTCCCCTGTTGCTTAGCATTCACAAGTCAAAAGTCAGACATCTGTTAGACAAGTGGACAAATGTGGTCTACATTTAATCATAGCTTTGCAGCGGTTTTTGAATGCCCCCGTAGAGCCCGATCAATAATGTCCATCGCCTGGAATAGTTCATAGTCATGGAGCTTTGGAGTAATGACCTGAACGCTAAGGGGCGATTCCAGATAGATGCGACGATCAACCGTTTTCTCATTCCCTATAAATTACGATGTTCAGTTATAAATATCTCATCAAGCCCATTAAGAACTTACACAACTGTCGATTGGCCTCATCCCAGCCCCCAATCACGGGATAATCCATCTCACGCCCAAGCTCAAGATCAGACTCTGCAAAAGGCCGCACGGGTACCACACCAGCTGGATAATCCAGCAGGACAAAAGTTGATGTATAGCCGACAGCATTGTATCGATCCATCTGTGGCACTGGATGTGGAGCCACAGGACAAACAATAGCATCGACTTGCCGGGCACGGGAGCTCGACGATAAAGTCCACATTTTCAGCATTTCCTTTTCAATCTCCGAACGCTTAGCTTGCAAAGCTGCAAGCTGCGTGAGTTCTATAGGTTTGCGACGTTTCATGCGATTTTGCAGCCAAGGCATCAAAGGCTCGCGCATACTATCAATATGGTCAAGCATCGTAGCTCCATAATCCGCTCCCATCAGCCGACCAGCAAGACCCTGACACTGTGACAGTACTGGAGGAAGCGGGATTTCCACAACATTGACACCTGCGTTCTTAAGGCGCTCGGCAACCTCATCGAGCACACGAATAATCGGGGGCAGCGGCGTGACTACGCCATCCGTCTTCAAAATACCGATAGTGAAGTTTCTCTGAGGTGGAGACACAGAAACTTTAGGCGCAGGCCAATATCCAGGGATACAATCTTCGCCAAAAAGTTCCGCTCGAGGCACTATTTCAGCCATGACAGTCCCCAGATCGGCGACAGAGCGAGCAAGGGGACCTGCCACGGCCTGTAACGTAATCCGACCCTTGCCAGCCAGTTGCCCACTTTGTTGCCCACCAAATGGTACGCGTCCATTACTAGGCTTGAAGCCATAGATACCCTGGCACATGGCCGGAACGCGAATGCTACCGCCGATATCAGTACCGAATCCCACCATCGACCCGCGCATCGCAATCAGCGCACCTTCGCCACCTGTACTGCCACCGGCAGTCCATTGGCGATTCAGTGGGTTAAGTGTTCGGCCAAAGAGGTGATTGCAGCTGTCTAGGGTTGCGAGGGTCTGCGGGATATTTGTCTTGGCGATCACAATTGCGCCGAGAGACTGGAGAAGATCTACCAGTGGCGCATTCTCTTGTGCAGGTTGAAATGCCAGCGCAGAAAGTCCAATGCTTGAGTCAACCCCCTGAACGAAGAATGTGTCCTTGACCGAAACAGGAAGGCCATGGAAGGGGCCGACGGGTCTGCCTGTGCGTGCATGATAATCATCCAATTCCCGAGCTCGGCGCAGAGCACTGTCAAACAAGGGCTCTGTCAGGCAGCGGGTGAGTTGGTGGGCAACCGCAGCTCTCTATACTCGAGATTCAGCACACTATCGATACTCTCAGATCGAGGTATATTCACCTTGCAGAAACCACGAATCACTTCCTGAGCCTTTAGTCTTCCCTCTGTCATCTCAGATACTAACCCACGTACGTCATAATTCTCAGTGATTTCAAGCTCTTTGGATGTGAGAATACCGCAGGTCCGTGGAATATCCATCACATTGACTCGGCCGTATAGCTTCGGACCTTCGGTGATGGATTCGGCTGGTGAGAGCATCCCATCTGGGATAAGATGAGCCGGTAGACGCCATTCAGCAGGAATAGCCGACGCTAGTTCAGCTTGCTTGCGCTGAGCGATCGCAATATAGAGAGGTTCCTGAGGGGCCATGGTGATGTTGAAGCTTTTACCCCACGTTTTGATAAGAATGCGGAAATGCAAAGAACAGGAACTTCGGCTCAATCAAATTGTGATTTGCCGAAACCATGAAAGTATTATGAGCATTGGTTTTGTTTCCTCAGTAACGAGCTCGATCTCCTAGTATCTCTATATCCAGGCTAGGTATACCTTCCAGCTCCATAATAACTAAATAACTAGATGTTGCTACTAATCAATTAGTCATTGTGTTTGTTTAGTTTGCGTTAGTTTAAGGTTCTCATATCCTTGAAAATAATCACCAATCATCTAACTAAATATTTCGTCGATTATTTACCTCATCCACTGGCCTTAGTATTAGCGTGATTTTCGAGGGCATTTTAAGGGCTGATCTTCCTCATTCATTTTCTCTTTCTCTTTCTTTTCCTCAGCATCGTCTGGTGGATAAGGTACTCAGATACATACCCAGCAGAGTTGGATGACATATATTTTGCATGTTACTATCGATGATGCTATGAGTATAGCCAGAACAACAATCCGGGGTAAAAGTGGGTCGTTCATGTGTATCAGGTTATTACGGTATGTCGCATAGCCAATGTCTGGTACAACATGGAATACCTATTGTCTATAGACAGAGCCTCTTGACTGATGTATCATACTATTGGTGCTTCATCAATATTCATTATTTGGCATAACTCACATCAGTAACGATATCTATCTGGTCTCAAAGTAGTAGTATCACGCGATGAGACAGGTAACAAGCTAGATCCATAAGCTAGATCCGTACTCTTACGAGTCCTGGATATACTAAGAATCTTCTCAAATTCCAATGTCTGGAGCTTAACATCGTCACTATCCGACTTCAGTGTCTTTGCTTCCCGCTGGTCCAGCCAGCGTTGACTCCGGCGCGTACTCCTGTGAAAAAAGTGGCCAATATCATCGACAGACAGCGCGACCAGAATGAGCGGGATTGAAATGGCGAATCCAATTCCGAACGTGTATTTCGCCACATAGGGCATATTCAGATTATCGAATTCTTTCATGTTGATTGTGAAGATGGATGAAATGAAGGAGAGTGGTAAGAAGATGATTGTGACTATGGTGAATACCATGATAGTCTTGCTTTGGCGGGTCGTTCCGGCGGCTTGGTCGCGTGCGAAACGGGCTTCGAAGGCGTTGGCATGTTTCTGTTTGAGATCGAGTAGATCCGTGATGGAGTGGTAGATTCGTTCGGCTTGTTTGTCCATGCGGTCGATGTCTTTGAGGTGCATGTCAATCATTCGCTGTTGGTCTTTGAATCGCTTTTTCACTTCGTGTTGGGAGCGGTGCTGGCCTTGGTATGTCTCGCATATCACTTCTTGGAAGTCGGCTAGTACATGCTTCTGGTGGTCTAGGACAGTGCGGATCATGTTCAGTTCATCGCGGATGTCCTTTGCTTCAGAGAGGAGATCAGTTTCTTCGCCGATGTCGAGGAGACGGTCGACGAATATTGGTGAGCCGTCCTCGTAATAGTCTTCCTCTTCGTTGACTGATTTGTCCTCTTCTGGGGCTGTGCTGCTGTTCAGCTTGCGGTGGCTCTTTAACCAGCATGATGCCTGCACAGAGGCATGGTTAAATCGATTGAACAATAGCGTCTCTCTATCAGTAGCAATGCCGATCGAGGACTCAAACATATCCAGGAATTGATACTCGTCATCTCCAAGCCGATGCCGGTCAAAAACTCCCGAGCATCGATTGGTGATGATGATGGCAAGGTCATAAACCGACTTGACAGGATCACGAGTCTTGGAGTTGATATCCTCGATAATGCCATCCAACACGTTGAGCGGATCATTTTTCGGTTGGTCCCACCGCTGCGGGAAGCTGGTCACGATAAGATTTGTTCCCAAAACCCACATCCATAGCTGGTCAACCATGAATATCTTCGGATCAGTACCAGGTCCTTCGCGTCCAGGACCTTTAGTTTGGTAGCGGTATACCACTTGATCCTGGTCGCGGCTTTGGGTATCAATGTTCGGGTAGAAGAACTGGTCTAACGTTCGGCGGACATGGAGTGAAGTGGTGGAAGTTGAAAGATGTGCGTCGATCAGCATTTCGTCCCGGCTTCGAACTCTCTCTTTCCGACGTGGCTGGAAGCTCAGCATTTCAGCTCGTTGGATTGCTTCTTGCATTTTCAGTCTTCGCTCTGCAGTCTCGAAATGGAGGTATGGCATGAAGACACAAACATTGCATGCCGAGACCCCGTGTGGATCTTTACATATGTTTGAGCTCGTTGATTTCGCTAGTTTGTCGCTGGATCCCCACGGCGATTTGATTTTGGCGTCTGGTTTTGACGTACTGGGATTACTGCCCGACTTGCCGTGCTTTTGGTTTACCTTATTTTTCTTCTTTCCATAGTCGTCAATTTTGCGATATACTGAACTGTTATCGGTCATGATTGATGGCGTCGGTTCAAACGACTCCTCTGTCTTCTCCTTCTCCTTCTCTTCCTCTCGTCGCCTGAACGAGCGAGGTGTATTCTGGCATAAGGGCCGCATGAAATGTGAATGGATCTTCTGGCCTCTATGTTGATAGTTGAAAGACTTCTCGAGACCCTTGAAGCCTTCGACATCATGCGCACCCTCTTCGATAAAGGACTTGGTGAGGAGTGCCTCAACCCAAGCCATATTGTTTGCTGGTAGGTGAATCCAGCGGAAGTCAGTCGCGCGACTATCAGCAGGAATGGTGGTTACAGCCTGCTTGCGAGGATTCGTCGAGTCCCGCCCATACAGTAGATTGAAAACACTCGTTCGCTGCACCCGGTTCTCATTGTGGAAGTTACCGAAATCAACGACGGTGGCGTCGAACGCCGCACTAGCATCCTTCACATCAGAGGAGAGAGAATCGACGTTATTGAACGGTGCAAGTAGCAGCACGATATCCTTTCGTTTGAACTGCGCAGCTCGCAGAAACGGTGTGCTCCCGAAGTTATCACGCACCCGACGCTTGATATCAGGCCTCTCGAGAAGACATTCTTCAACATGTCAGCGGGAAATCTTTCCTCGAGTAGAATGGAGCAGGGGAAAGTCTTACCCACCACTTCACGATGCCCGCTCTGCGCAGCAAGATGCAACGGCGTAACCCCATTCAACAGCTGGCTATTGATATTCGCGCCATGCCGCAATAAAATCCGGACAATGTCCTCACAGCCCCTCTCGCACGCATTGTGGAACGGAGTCCAGCCACCATCACTACAGGCATTAATGTCAGCCTTGTGCAACAAAAGCAACTGAACAATATCAGCGCGATCATGCACAGTAGCAATATGCAATGCCGTCTTGCCTCTCGACTCAGCCATCTCAATATCAGCCTTCGGTCCATCAGGCCTAGTAAGCAACAACTCAGCAAACCTCCGATTCCCAGTCGCGCAAGCCCAGTGCAGCGGTGTCCGACCCAATTCATCCAGCCCATCAATCTGACAATCAGTCCTCAGCAACAACTGCACAATCCCATCGTCCCACCCCCATCGACAATCTTTATCAGCAGCAAGATTATGCAACGCATTTCTCTTCCTCTCATCCCTCGCATCGACATTCGCCCCCCGAACAATCAAAACCTGCAACAAATCCGCATAGTTCTTCCACGCAGCAGTCATAAGCGCAGTCCGCCCCTCTTTATCTGCACTGTCAGGCGACGCCCCGTAGTCTAGCAGCAACTTCACTATCTGGCAGTGATTGCGCTCAGTCGCTCGGAGGAGCGGGGATGGTCGATTCGTCGCAACGTCCGTCTTGGCTCCTATCTTGAGGAAAAATTCCGTTGCAGCAATACAGCCCCGCTCAGCACTACGCATCAGTCCCACGCGGAGGAAATTGTCGCTTAGTTGCCCGCATTCTCGCGCCAGCACGATCACTCTCTGGAGCGATTCTGTGTCGTCATTTTCGGCGGCGCGGAGGAGTCGTGGTTCCAAACGCTCGTTGTCGCTCGTCACGCTTGATCTGGATGGAGGCATGGCGTGGACTGTTAGCGGTGAACATCCTCTTACTTCTGGAGGCATTCTAGTCCATAGTATTTTGTATTTTTGTCGAGGAAACTATATATTTCGAGTTTCCTATCCCTATATTGCACCCGATTTTGATCCAGTGATGACTGGCTGGTGGTGGTTTTTTTAGTTTAATTTTTTTTTTTCTTGGGAGAGTTCGTGCAGAATCTGCATATGTGGCACAGTGAGCTAGAGCAGCTAGTGATCAGCAGCTCTTGAATTTTGAACTAAGGTGTCACTAAGCGCTAAAATGGCCTCTTTGAGCGTCCGGCGACGGGTGGCGGGCCCCGAGGCTCGTATCGCTTACTGCCTGCATGGATACGGGTCGCAGTTTATTGCGGAGAACCTTGTATTTTCTGTGAGTAATCATTTTTGAGGTTCCAGACTTTGTGATATGTTTTTCTAGATCTATGAATGTATTAATACTTACCTACAAGACGGGAATTCTGAAATGTTGTTAACCTTGGATATATATATATATTACCCCACATTAGTTCCACTAATCTTGGCACCAGTTGAAGTAAACATCAAGGGTTTTATGGTTCCAAGGTTGAGAATTATTAAGGTTGAAACTATAACTAGTCAAGGCTCAACCTCGACGGGGATCTCAGAAGTGTGTCTAGGTATGAACTATGGAGCTCGAGATGGATACTACAAGGTTCACGCAGAAAATCAACCCTCAATTCAGATATTAAAATCTCTATTCTATCAATTAAGGACGAAAAGTTAAGGATGATCGCTGGGCATTGAAATCACTCTCCAAAGATGCTGTGTAGCTGATGCTGATATGATAATTATGACAATGCTCTTCCCATGCATTCCAAGATCTCCATCTCAATCTCCTCCGATGAATTAGATAATTTGCTTTTTGTCTCTTTCGCTGTGCATCGCGCCTTTCCAGCCCGATTAAAAACGCCTATAAGAATAATAATGAAAACGAAAAGAAACCAAGGAGAGATGATAAATAAGGAAATTGCATATAATCTGGAGCGAGGTGCAAGCAGGAAATTGGGGGTCCGGCAGTGCTGTGTTTAGTGCTTCTTTCCCTTTTCTTTCTGGGGAACTTCACGCAGGATATCGTCGAAGCTCATGTTCGGGTTGAATCGGCTCATAGGACGGGCAGGGGGCTCGATGGGGGCAATACCAGCGGGCAGTGGCAATGCTTCAAGTCCTGGGTAGATGGAGTGACGATTCTCCGCCCGTGCGCCGGAACCAGGGGATCGTTGGCGAGGAATGACAGGGGGTGGCGTGAGACCGTCAGTTGTTGCCGCACTCACAGGGAATGGGTCTGATGAGGAGCCAGCTGAGGACTGGTTGGTGGGGTACGGGGAAGAAATGGAGGACTCATCCTCATATCCATCATCGGCCATTTGAGGTTCAATGAGTTGACCAACTTCGGCCCATTGCTCAGCGACCTGCCAGCAGTGACTGCGGCGGTATACACCCTCCACACCGTTGATGACAACATCTGACGGCAGACTAACAACGCCAGCACCACCTGCGACTCCAAACCAGCTTCGAGCAGTTTTGGTATCATTGTGGATCCAGGGTGCACCACCACGAGGGGCAATGCAGAGGAAGTACTCCACGGCTTCCGTGAAGCGAACCTCGGGAACATCCACAACCAACATGGGTAGCGACTGGATCACCGCGTATAGGAAGATCCACTGTCCGCAGCGGAGATCGATAATGTCTTCCAGAGTCTTGCCATTGGCAGAGCGACGCTCGAACTGCATGAAACTCTCGATGAATGCAGTGGGCCGCATGCTCTCACGGGTGTATGAGTCCATCAGTACGGCATTGACGTCTGAGCTCTTGATCTTCTTGGTACGCAGTTTAGCATCTTTCTTCGGGTCCAGCGGTTTCCGGTGCAAAACCTGCAGCGAGGGGATCTGAGGAACGTCGAAAGGAATAGGAGGGGAAACGGGAGGAGTACTGCGATCGTACTCGCTCAGAACCTGGCGGAGTGCGCGCAGAAGGACATCCTTGATCTCCGTCGAAGACTGGTCACCGCCTGCGCCGGAAGAGTCAATGGTACGAGTGGTAAGGTTCTTGCGGTCGACCAGCAGATCGTAGAGATCAGTAAAGTCATGGTACAAGTCGAGGAGAAGCTGACGGTTTAGGCCACTCTCTTCAAATTCATTCTTCTTGGAATGGGCCTTGGGCGGCCAAGAGCCATACTTGTGTCGATAGAATTGCAATGTGAAGCGACGGAATTCCATGAATCCGGTCTTCCACTGTTTAAAGCGAACTACTTTGCTCTCCGCAGAAGTGGTCGAGTTCGCAACACCCGAAAAGATAGAGGGGAAGTCAAAGTCCTGGAGTTTTCCGTACAAACCCCGAAGACGGGTGTCGAGGTCGATGAAGCCACGCTCCAGGCGCTTTTGAGTGATGGGATGAATAAAGGTGAACTTCGGGCTTCGAAGCTGCTTGATTTCATCGAGCTTGCCAACACCGTGGACGAATCCCTCGAGGTAGAGAGGAAAGTACCGAAGGCGCTCACCAAGGACGATAGCCTCAATGGTCTTCTCCCGGCTTCTACGTACATCCGCCAGACGCAGTTCGTCGCAATAGTTGCTGAAACTAGAGGTGGCTGTTTCACCGAAGTTCGAGCCATCCAGGTTCGAGAATTCAAATCGTGCCAACAAGACGGCGACATCCATGAAAATACTGAAGAGGGACGAAGATTTCGGCGTGGCGATGAGGGATTGGCCCAGAAGGAAGGCGAACAGGTTGCGGAACAGGAGCATAGTTTCAGTGTCTTCCTGGGTAAGGCGAGACTGCGGGGAAGACATATCACAGTGGAGCGGAATGGGCAGGTAAAGGTGCAGCTCCTGAACCTCGTCCACGCCGTCGTCAAAAGGCATTCGCTGGCTGCCCTGGCTATCATTATCATTGTCTCCGAGGCGATCCTGTGGGGTCAAAGGCGGAGAAATCGGGCTCTGGACGGAGAGGCTGCGTGTTGACGCCTCCAAGGCGCTGGTTTTGGGGTCAGTGCCACGAGCGAGGAAATTGAGAGATGGCGATTCGGTAAATATAGTAGAGTCAACTTTGAAGGAGGGAGCGCGTCCAGTTGTCTGTGGGAATAGGTACACGAAGGTATCGCCTTGCTCGTTCCATAGCTCATTAATCTGTTTGGGTGGGGTTGATTAGTAAATGAGTTTCATCCCGAACCCTCCCATATTAGACATACCTGGTCTCCTCTTGACAAGGGTCCAAGATCATATGGCACTTTCTGATCCAAACCCGCAATCCAGGCGCCTGGCGAGTTTGGTGCGGGTGACCGTTTATCCACCGAACTGGCACGAGAGCGACCTGTCATGCCCGGCATCCAGCTGCGGCGTCTCGAGGAAGGGGTGTCAGGGAGGGAGTCTGGCGTAGAACCGGGAATAGCCAAACCAGCGGAGCTCATAGGTCTCCTGGCATCGCCGCGACTCCTACTTCCAGGGCGGCTGTCGGTTGGGGAGCTGGGAGTACTATTGGCAAGATCTTGATTGACAGCCAACAGGGAGGGAGGGGGCTGAAGGCCGGCCAGGTCGAAAGCCTCCATTTCCGCGTCAGGCACTGTTCTGGGTTCTGAGAGAATGGCATTGGGAGTTGAGACATGACGTGTCGGGCGAGACTGGTTTCTTTGATGTTCGTTTTGTGTGCCATCGCCTGAAGTCTGGAAAGCCGGAGAATTCGGGGATGGGCTAGTCGACTGGTCCTTGTGATGACCCAAGGAGAAGAGTGACGAGATGCGCTTCGCCGATTTAACGGGAGCTGACAACATCTTTACCGATGCTGAGGGGTGAGGTAGGAAGAGAGATTCAAGGTGTAGATGAGAGGTCAGAGGAGGTAAATTTCGCCGTCAAGAGAGGCGAAAGAGATCGGATGAGGAAGGGAGGGGGATAGTGAGGAGGTGGGCTTTGGTTGTGTAGTGAAAGTTTGGGGAATGGATCGGCAGGAGTGAAGAATGGTAGAGACGAGGGGAATGGAGAGATGTGTTTTTTTCTTTTTTTTCACTTTATCTTTTCTTACTGACAAAGGGGGAGCCAGATGAGAGAGAATATAAAGTTGCGTTTGGCATTAATTGATGCTATAGAAGAAAAGAAGAAAAGAAAGACGGAGGCTGCTCGATACGGTCCTAGTATTGCCAATAATAGACTCGGTGGATGGTGGATCCGATGGAGCATGAAAATTTCAAAACACAAATCTTACGCCGAGCCTTCTTCTGTAGTAACATTACTATGAGCTGAGAGCTGCGAAATAAGCGGGCAAAAAGGTAATACCTCAGATGTACCTAATGGAGTAGTTACTAGAGAAGTGCAAAGTGGAAGATGCGGAGTTGCGGCTACTGTATTGTCGTATTTATGCGGTATGTCAACATTCTCCTCCCCTTAAAAATGGTACAGGATTAAATTACCATACTCTCATTTCGTACTATACCCAATTGGACGAGATTGATACGCCACGGGCAACTCCTTGTACAGCCATAGGGTACACTACAAGAAGTTACAACGTAGTATGGATCCATGTGATGCTTATGATTCCACCTAATGTAAGGGAGTTGTATACTTAGTACTACGTAGTTTGCCCCGTACTATTTTTATAATTAAAGACTTGTTCCAAGATTGAAGGCTCTCCGTACTATAGTAGACACGGTTCCGCACTCGCTTGAGTCGCTTCAAAACTACGTCCGATCTCGGATTACGCCATCAAAACACCTATGGCCTACGATATAGTACTGTAAGCAACTGACCTACCACATCCTAAAGAAACCTATACTTACTCAACCTTGGAATCCTCTACCATGGATCTGCCCGAAAACATAGATCTCTTGCGCGGCTGGCCGAACTACGCGCTTCTCCCCACCGCAGATCTTCTCCGCTCCGCCACCACAGCGTTGACCACCCCCTCTATTGCTGCCGATGGGTTGGCATATGGCCCTGACGAGGGCTATGAACCCCTACGTGTCCACATAGCCCAGTGGCTGGAATCATTCTACCGCCCAACAGGCCGCATTACCTCCAGCCGCATCTGTATCACGGGCGGTGCGAGCCAGAACCTCGCCATTGTGCTACAGGTCTTTACAGACCCGGTGTACACGCGGAATGTCTGGATGGTCGATCCAACCTATCACCTGGCATGCCGGATGATGGACGATGCTGGCTTCGCGGGACGAGCACGTGCAGTACCGGAGGATGGCGAGGGAATTGATCTGAAATTCCTGGAACGGGGATTGGAAGCGTCAGAGCGGGAGGCCATAGACGCAGGGAATGTAGAACCGGTATGAATCAGTACTCAGTCACGAGCACCGCTGTTGAGACATAGGGCTAACTCGTGTCAGAAACTCAAGCCCGCACGGCCCTGGCGTAAGATTTACAAGCATGTCATTTATTGCGTGCCCACTTTTGCAAATCCATCTGGGAAAATCATGTCTCTTGGCCATCGTGAGCAGCTGGTGCGATTGGCTCGCAAATACGACGCGCTCTTGGTTACGGACGATGTTTATGATTTTCTCCAGTGGTCGTCAACGACTGATGGTGAACTCAAAGACCCTGATCTCGCATTTGTCCCCCGTTTGGTTGATGTGGATAGGTACCTTGATGGTGGGCCGTTAGACGATTGGGGCCACACATTAAGCAACGGCAGCTTCAGTAAATTAATTGGACCCGGGGCCCGCACTGGATGGGCCGAAGCATCCGACAAGATTGCATATGGATTGTCTCAAGCGTAAGTTCGGTGTCTTTTGGTTTTCCTCAATTTTCTTTTCCATCAATGGGAAAAAAAACAAACGCGTGTATGCTGATGCGATGGTTGAGGTGGCAGTGGATCGTCTCGCTCGGGTGGAGCACCGTCGCAACTCGCGTCAACTGTTGTTGACCAGCTTTTTCCAGACTTTTTGCCTCAGTATCTTCGACATAAACTACAGCCGGCATATGCCGAGCGGTATCATGCCATAATGGCAGCCATTCAGAAGTATCTTGTCCCGCTCGGTGCCAGTGCCGACGCACCCTCGGCGACCGTTGCAGGCGGGTATTTCATATGGATCACTCTGCCGTCTCCCATTCTTGCAGCCGATGTGGTCAAGCGAGCGCGGGATGAAGAAAATCTCACATTAGGATCTGGCACCGTTTTCCAGGTTGCTGCGGATCTGCAGCTGGCGACCAATCGGTTTCAAGATAGCCTTCGTCTGTGCTTTGCCTGGGAAGAACCGGGTAACCTCACTGAGGGAGTGCGTAGGTTTGGCCGCGTGCTCGCGAGGCTGATTCATACCTAATGCAGTCCTTTTATTGAGTTGGATTAAGAGAACGCGCGGCAGAACAGGGGCATAGAAGTGGTGACTATCAGGTGGGTCGCGATGGATTGAATTGGTTCCACAAATTTTCATTGATTCAAGTGGAGTTATGGGTAAGGTAAAGTTGATTCTGGAGCCTATGTCTATGTGCTGTACTACTGCATATACCAGAGGATCGTTGATTACTGCGGAAAAATAGACCCATTTGATCTGGAGAAGAATCGCTGCTAACCTACGGGGGTTGTAAGAGTCTATTGCAAGGGGGAAGGGATTCAGTAGTGACTTAGTCAGCGGGTCGGGAGGATTTATCCGGTCTGTGCTGTTTACCCTTGATAGCCATACTTGGAAGGGTCAAGAATGTTCACAACAAACTCTCCCAGACAACCCACACTTTCTCAAAACACTTGATCCAAAGCTTGGAACAGGAAAGGAAAGAATGGGGTCTACATGACAGGGACACCTCTACTACCATAGAGGTCCCCCTTCAAAGGCTTTCAAGGTTTTGCTCAAGATGAGTGGAATGGAGGGACGTACCTTGTTAGCATTTTTAAATTTCCAGTATATTATCAAGTAGAGCCCTGATCCAGCTTAGATCTTCCTTTGACTTGTCTCTGGTCCTGGTACTTCCTTCCACATCATTGAAGTGTACATATTGTACGTCTCCAAAAAGTGGAAAGGATCCCCTTACCATTTAAGTCAATCTGCAACACTTGGTCTCCAGGTCAATCAACTTAAAGAGTTGGCGCCAATTTGAAACAGATTTCGCACTTGAAACGACCAGGAACACAATAGTGATTGGGTGCTTGAGTGGGTGGATTAAAGCGCGGACCCAACTGATTGGGTGTTGACCTGAGCTGCCGGTCCCAATTAATTAGACGTGGTTAGTAACTTCTTCTCCTGAATATTCACCTTGATAGCGCTTTTCTTTTCTTTTTCTTTGACCTTTTTCATTTTCATTTTGATTTCTTCACCTGTCCTGGTCATTCTTTTTGTCTTTTTCATTCATTCACTTTTTGCAATTGTGTTGGGCAGTGGCGGTCTATAGACGCACCTTCTCATTTCCATTCACTTTTATACTTCGACTTCGAGTTCAACAACACTGACCCAACTGTCTTCAGTGCTGGCTACTGAAGTTTCTCTTCAAGTCTTTTTTTCCTCATAATTATTCGCTGCAGGACCAGCGACTTGAAAAAAGCCATATTACAATCCTTTATGATGCGTTTCCTTGCCCAGATCACTGCCCTGCTGGGCTTGACCACCGCCCTGGTTGGCGCTGTTCCAATGACTCCAGCCTCTAGGGGACTGCAAATGTCAGACAAACGAGCTTCATCAAGCTATTGGTTGGCAAATGTGGATCACCAAGGCACAATCCCTTTTGGAGGCAGCAGTGATTATAAAATCTTTCGAAACGTGAAGGACTACGGTGCTACAGGTAAGTGAATTTCCTCTCGTCTTCTTGTTCATGCTAACAATTTCTCAGGTGATGGTTCCACTGATGATACTGCTGCCATCAACAAGGCTATCTCGTCTGGCGGTCGCTGTGGTAAGGGCTGTGACTCGTCAACCACTACCCCGGCCTTAGTCTACTTCCCCCCTGGTACCTATGTTGTTTCCAAGCCGATCGTTCAGTACTATTACACCCAGATCGTCGGTGACGCTGTTGATCTGCCCATTATCAAGGCCGCTGCAGCCTTCTCTGGTATGGCCGTGATCGATGCTGACCCCTACGAGGACAACGGTGACAACTGGTACACCAACCAGAACAATTTCTATCGCTCTATCCGTAACTTGGTCATTGATTTGACAGCCATGCCCCAAGGCTCTGGTGCTGGTATCCATTGGCAAGTCGGCCAAGCCACTAGCTTGCAGAACATCCGCTTCGAGATGATCAAAGGCGGTGGTACTGCCAACAAGCAGCAGGGTATTTTCATGGACAACGGCTCTGGTGGCTTCATGTCTGATCTCACTTTCAACGGTGGTAACTACGGAATGTTCCTTGGTAACCAGCAGTTCACTACTCGTGGTCTCACTTTTAATGACTGCAACACTGCCATATTCATGAACTGGAATTGGGCCTGGACCTTCAAGTCCGTAACAATCAACAACTGTGACGTCGGTCTTAACATGTCTACTTCTCCGTCCAACCAGACTGTCGGCTCGGTGATGTTCCTCGACAGCACTCTGACAAACACCCCCATTGGTATTGTTACTGCCTGGGACAAGGACAGTATTCCTGTCGGTGGTGGTACCCTGGTTTTGGAAAATGTGGACTTCTCTGGCTCGAAGATCGCTGTGAGTGGCGTTGATGGCAGTACTATACTGGCTGGAGGCTCCACCGTGAAGAACTTCGTTCAGGGTAACACTTATACTCCTTCAGCTAGTCTCAGCAAGCGCGCTCTCCGCGCTGGTGAGACCGACCAGTCCGATGAGGATGTCGTTACCGTCGTCCAGACTGTCTTCCAGACTGTCCTGGCTTGCTCGGCCAGTTATGACTCCGGCTCTCTCGCCACTAACCCCGCCTTGGCCCCTGTGAACAGCCCTGCTTCCAGTAACATTGCTCTCCCGACAGGTGACGCGCCAGTTCCCCAACAAACCCTTGGATCGAGCAGCTCGTTTGCGTTCAGCAACACTGTTCTGCCCTCTCTCCCGGGTAGTCCTTCTCGTGGGGCTGCTATTCCCACACTCTCCGGCCTCCCTGGCTTTGACAACAGCTGGCTCAGCATGTTTGAGTCATCTGATCTGCCATTTGACTCGACTGTGTTCCCTGACCTTGATACCTCCGATGCCGCCACTCCCACTCCCACGCCCGACTATTCTACTTCTGACGATGTGGCCTCTGATGTTCCTGTCACCACTTCTGATGATGTCGCTTCTGAAGTTCCCACCATCACCCCCAACACTTCTGAGTCTGACGTCGTCACCCCTGTTCCCGTTGTGTCCACCCCCAGTGAGATTCCCGTTGTTGGTACCTCAACCGTCGTCACTTCACAGCCCTCTGTCGTTCCAGGTTCTGCATCTACTGCACAATCCGTTGTTGCATCTACTCCACAATCTGTTGTTGCATCTACTGCACAATCCGTTGTTGCAACTGATTCCTCGACCGTTGCTTCTTCCCAGGCTTCTATCGCTTCAAGCTCCGCATCAAGCTCTGTATCCAAAGGTAGCAGCACTGGCACTTGCGGTTCTAGCCAAGCTGTTGAGTCTGCCCGTACTCAGAAGGTCATCTCCTCCTCATCTATGCCCAGTAACCTTCTCTCCGGCGGTGCAGTGTTCGAGCGCTCTAAGCCCCTCTATGAGAAGCTCGCTGCTTCCTCCTTCATCAGCGTTAAGTCGGGCGGTGCAAAGGGTGACGGTACCACTGATGACACTGCTGCTCTCCAGAAGATATTGGACAGCGCCGGCGCTGACGACGTTGTTTACTTTGACCACGGTGCCTACGTGATCACCTCCACTCTCAAGATCCCCAAGGATATCAAGATCACCGGTGAGATCTGGCCTATGATAATGGCCCATGGCAGCAAGTTCGCTGATGAGAACAACCCTATCCCGGCTGTGCAAGTCGGCCAGAAGGGCGAGACTGGGTCTGTCGAGTTGAGTGACCTTATCATTACCACCAAGGGCCCTGCTCCTGGTGCCATCCTCATGGAATGGAATGTCGCAGGCTCTTCTCAAGGGTCAGCTGGTATGTGGGACGTCCATTTCCGTCTCGGAGGATTCACTGGCTCTGAGATGCAGAGCGACACCTGCCCCAAGACTCCTACTGTCACAACCACCCCTAAAGACGAGTGCAAGGCTGCTTTCCTGCTCCTGCACATCACCGAGAATGGCAGTGCTTACATCGAAAACTCCTGGCTGTGGACCGCCGACCACGAGCTTGACCTGTCAGATCACAACCAGATCAACGTGTTCACCGGCCGTGGTGCACTTATCGAGTCGAAGGGCCCGGTCTGGCTGTGGGGTACATCCTCCGAGCACCACCAGCTCTACAACTACCAGGTCTCGAATGCAAAGAACGTCTTCATGGGTCTGATACAGTCCGAGACTCCATACTACCAGTCCAACCCTAGCGCCTTGACCCCCTTTACCCCACAAAGCGCCTGGAACGACCCCGACTTCTCAACCTGCACCACAGCCTCCTGCCGCAAGTCATGGGGTCTGCGTGTCCTTGAATCCTCAGACCTCTTCGTCTATGGTGCTGGTCTGTACAGTTTCTTTGAAAACTACGCCCAGACATGTCTCAACTCCGAGGACTGCCAGGAGAACATGGTCGAAGTCGACTGCTCGGACGTCCATCTTTACGGTCTTAGCACCAAGGCTGCTGTCAACATGGTCACTTCCTCTGGCGGTCAAAGCCTTGTACCTCAGAAGCCTAACAAGAGCAACTTCTGTTCTACAATTGCTCTCTTCGAGCAGACTGTCTAAGTATTGTTTTGCCCTGTATGAACTCTTGCACCTTATTTAGATCTAGATCTTGAATCCTTCCTTCAGTTAATGATATCTTTGAGTCGCCTGTGTATTACTTCCTCGTCTTCCCTTTTTGGGTATAGTAAATTCCGGTCAGAGAGAGCACTAGGTGAAGTAGACTTCAAAACTTCCTTTTGAGGATTTACTTTGTCACCTCAGCTCCAAGGTTATGGAATAGCTCCAGACCAAATCCCAAACCGACTGCATATCCTGGCAAGTAGTGGCTATCAAAGTGTATAAGCCATAAGAGACATATGGAGTCAATATGTAGCTTATACTTGGAAGTGTGGTTAATCATGGTTATAAGGATTAAAATGGTCCAATGTTTCATTCCCACCACCCTGGACGAACTAACCCGAACCGGTACAGATGTTTCCTGGCGATAAGGTGCATATTCACCAGGTTGGCGGTTCGAGACATTCTTCTGTAAAATTGAAAACTGTCATACGAGTTTTATCCCCTTGACTGTTGAAATCGCAGTCATTAGCGCCTTGGTGAAAACTGAAATCTACGGTATTTTTTTTGTTATGTTATTACCACGCCGAAGCTAGGCTTGCATAGCCTTAGATCTATTATATATTTACATTTTCTTCCGCTAAAGGCTGGCGTAAAGCATGAAAATGATTCCAGTAAGGCCTTAAATCAGGCCCACATAAAGGAATTTTACAGGCTTTACATCCCAATACGTTCGGAATGGCTTAAGAGTGCCTCCCTGAGCCTTTACCTTCCGGCCTTGTTGGGCGAAGAATTTACAGGCTCTTTGGCCCTGTATCGTTTCAAGCTCATGGCTGACTCTGACTCTGACTCTCACTCTGACTCTGACTCTCACTCTGACTCTGACTCTCACTCTGACTCTGACTCTCACTCTGACTCTGACTCTCACTCTGACTCTGACTCTCACTCTGACTCTGACTCTCACTCTGACTCTGACTCTCACTCTGACTCTGACTCTCACTCTGACTCTGACTCTCACTCTGACTGAGATCTATATTTCTAAGGAAAACAGTAAAAGATTGGCCACCGAGAGCGTAGAGTCTTTCGATGCGTCTTATAACTTGCGCGGAGTTGATTTGTCCGATCAACAGCTCCCATCTCATGATGGCAATCATTGATTAAACATGGGATAGGGAGCTCTTTTATAGTAAGAACCTTTCAAAGGCTCTCGGGCAATTTTGGCGCTAGTAGACGTCTTTGCTGGTCGTTTTCGAAGATGTCTGATCCAATCTGATGTCAGAGTCAGAGTCAGAGTTAGAGTCAGAGTCAGAGTTAGAGTCAGAGTCAGAGTTAGAGTCAGAGTCAGAGTTAGAGTCAGAGTCAGAGTTAGAGTCAGAGTCAGAGTTAGAGTCAGAGTCAGAGTTAGAGTCAGAGTCAGAGTTAGAGTCAGAGTCAGAGTCAGAGTCAGAGTCAGAGTTAGGGTCAGAGCCAATATAGAAAGAGAGATCTTACCATAGAGCCTGTCATAGTCAGGTTTGAAAGCTTTTTTTTTTTACCTCCACTAGAGACTTCTGCCGGCTTGCCAAAATCCAATATAAAGTGTATCGCTGATCAGCTATAGTAAATAGCTTATAGCCCTGCAGAATTGGTTTATTTGGCATCTTGAATGTGTGCTGGGAACGTCCAAAGCCAAGACATAGATTCGTCGACAGCAACTGCACTTGATGGTTCCCAATATTTTAAACATTCATCTCGAATCTTAGAACCGAATGGCTCTAGCTTCTACCACCACATCTGATTTGGCTTAGGATGTAGTCGTAAAGCCTCTTTGGCAACAGCCTTAGGACCAGGATCAGAAACATGGAAAAACCGCTTAATTTGTTGAAAACGTTGTGATCCCATATATTTTGGAGATAGTTGGTATGGCGATGTCTTTGACCAATACATCTCTGCTTGTGGAGCATGAAAGATACCCATGTATATCCAAATCGCAATAAATAGCTTAATCTCAGAGGGTGTAGTATTAGACCAAGGCCTACCAGAAGAACCAGCACCCTTTAGATTTGCATATCTATTGTTATTTAGAGACAGTAAGGTAAATAACGCGTCAGTAAAGAATAGGGAGAAGAAACCAAGAGGAGTCGTTGTCTTTTGGTCTTATTTAAATTGATGTTTGGAGAATAAGGCTCTGAAGGCATTTCAAGAGGCTCAAAAAACGCGTTTTCAGGAAGCATATCAGCCAATAATTTTGGCTCTTCTGTAGGCTCTAGTTTAGGCGACAGAATAGGCGACCCAGCTACAGATGAGCTAAGGATTATGTCGTCCATATCCATCATGGAAATACTGGAAAACGCGTCTCAAAAACACGTAAATAGAGAGTGGAGCAGAGAATGTGGTAAATAAACACATTATTTATGCGTGTTCTTTAGTTAGTTCAAGATAGCTTAGTAATGTATGATAGCCAATTATAGCTTCAGGTTTCGCCAAGGCGCTAATGACTGCGATTTCAACAGTGAAGAGGATAAAACTCGGAGTATGTAGAGAGGGCAAGCAGACGACGCTGATAGTTTGCGCATTAATAATCAGCCCACGCCGCGCGGGCCCCACTTTGATAGATTTGAATGCTTCCAAAAGAAAGCATACCACAATTACGGGCTCTGATTGGTCCATATGCAGTAAATGGAGGATGTGTGGTCCAGTCGCGGACCTCGGAGAGAAGCATGGTCTGACTTCTGTGATGTCACTGATGTGCCCACCAAAGCAAACAGACTATACCAGACAGCTGACATTTAGAATGAACACACACTTTTTACCAATATCCATTTATTACAGTAGACTGGCTGCCCGACTAAACTAGTCCTTGAAGTTTGAAGTTTGCTTGGATAGTTGGTCCTGCGAGGTACAGTTCCAAGGTTTTCTTGGATATGCTTGAGTCTGACAACCTTGGAATACTAAAGTTCCAGTGGCAATCGATTCTGAGGAATACTCTTTTCGTCAACAGTCGATGAGTGCCTCGATCAAAATGAGCAGTCATGCCGCTACAAGAAAGGCAGCAGGCTGTTGGACCTGCCATCTGAGACGTAAAAAGTGCGACAGGAACCAGCCTATATGCTATGCTTGCTCTGAGCTGCTGATCACCTGCCACTACACCCTCGAGAAGCCAGACTGGGTGGATGGAGGCGAGAAACAGCAGGAGATGAGGGAGCAGCTTAAGCAAGAGGTTAAAGACAAGGCACCGAGTCGCCGCAGCCTTGCATATGCGAAAGCCTTTAATGAGCCCATGTCGGATACAGCACCACTCGGTCGACCGGAAACCGAACTCAGAGCCTTGGATACAGGTAACCCGCCGACAAACCTCTCCCAAGATACACTGAGAATATTTCCAGAGTCACGATATGGAAATGTCTATCCTTCTCCTCTAGGTTTCCCAAGCGTGTCTTCAACAATTTCTTTGACTTCTTCTCATGAACTTCCTTTTCCAGATGAAGATTTGCAACGTGCATCGAATTGGGCTGGTCTCGATCGGGGCCTCGTTGTCTGCTATCTTGATTTCTATTTTCCATTCCTTTCCCCCTTCTACCAGCCCTCCATGCTAGATCGCGGACGGGCATGGATCATCGACTTCATCGCAGACCATCAGGCGATAGAACAAACGATCCTCAGTCTGAGTTCTTTCTTATTCTCACTTGGGCTTGAGACGATAGAAAAACTCGCTCCTGGGAGATGCAAGCGAACCGCCTGGCAGAAACTGCTGAACCATATACAAGGCACATTCGGCCTTCTACGAGAAGAACTGCGGTTTCTTACGGTCGAGGGCGTGTCAAAGCACCTACCGAGGGCTACCCAGATCATGGGCTGTGTCCTATTGCTGCAGCGCTTTGAGACAGCTGTCTCGAGCTTCGAGAATTGCCAGGCACATCTCGACGCTGCCATCGAAATCTTCCAGCAAGCCCTAGAGGGTGGGGATACGGTTGTTTACCACTCGACAGGATATGTATCTAGATTTGCGATGATCATGCAGCAGCTGCGTGGCCACGGCCTGCCCTGGCCGAAACAATTTCCGACTTTTGTGGCTCCAAGCTCGGAGCAGATGGCGTTCCGCTTCTTTTCGGCTCTGCTTCTAGTAGACGATATTATCGCTAGCACCGCTCTTGGAGAGGAGCCCAAACTGTATCGGTACCACGACGGTATCCTAGGCAATGGTCAGTGGCCGACGGAGAAAGACGAAGAGCCACAAATCCGTCTCGAAGATATCATGGGCTGCCAGAATTGGGCAATGGTTGCGGTCGCCAAAATTTCAGCGCTTGACGCGTGGAAGAAGCACCAGAAGGCAATCGCAGCCCTAGACATGATGGAGCTGGTGCTTCGCGCCACGGCCATTAAGAGCATGCTGATGACCAACTTGACCCGCGCGGAAGCCACACCGTCCACAGATAGCCCCTGGGACATATTCACACCCTGTAACGGTCAAGCGTCGATGCTGGCGACCCAGAGTTTGCTAGTTACCCGCATTTGGGCACACGCAGCCGCCCTATACCTGTTGATAGTTGTCTTGGGCTGGCAGCCTTCTAGCTCCGAGATTCGCCACCACGTAACTTGCATCATCCAGCAGCTGATGCAGCGCACGCTGTCCTGGGCGGTGCTACGAACCATCGCATGGCCTTTCTGCGTTGCAGGCTGTCTAGCAGCGCCGGATCAGGAATCACTCTTCCGGAGCATAGTCGAGGGATTGCAGCCGCCGGGCCTACTCGGGCCGCTACAAACAGCCTTGCAAATCATGGAGGATGCGTGGTGTAGCAGGGATTTAATAGATTCTGATACCTGGGACCTTGCAGCATGCTTGCGAAGGCCGGGCCACATTTTACTGTTAATCTAGTGTCCCAGTTGAGGCTACTGCCTACTTGATCACTATATCTTAGGCTACTGTTGAGATATGAGAGGGTAGAAGATCGCTTTTTCCCTTCCTTTTATCCTTACAAAGAATCTGCTCTCTGTCAAGTGCAAACAGATAGCAGAACGTCTATAGGAAGACAAAAAGAGACTACATAATTTGCCCCTCTTGAAACACAACTACCTGCATAATCAAGCTCAAACTGAACGACAAGATACCTCATCTTCCCATATGGCGCAGTGCTTATTTGCTTCCTAGTTCCTAAAACTTGGTGTATCCTTGGCCTTTCACGAACGTAGCGTGCCACGGAATATCATTATCTCCAGTCGCCAGCTGCGCGTAAAACTCAGCGTGAGCATCACCGTCCACGGCCAGGGATTTGCTACTACCGTCAACATTGCGCTCATCGGCATAGAAGAATCTAATTCGAGCGACAATATTAGTGAAGCCTATCAAGAGGCCTGGGGTGTGAACTCACCAGTAGCCCTGCTCCGAGTAGGTGCTGTCTGCCATACTAAGCCAGTACGAAGAAGCCGACTTTCCAACGCCAAGCGTCGTCGTGAAAGGAAATGGGATGATCTTCGTATTCGAAATGTTACCAGTGTAAATGAACACTTTGGTGACATCCTCTGGAAGAGTAGTCCACCCCTCAACCGCCTGCTGGGCAGCGATATATGGGCTGACGGTGTTGACGTTCAGGTCGGAAGCAACGCTCTCTACCGGGATAGAGAGGATCGAGTTTGGGACTGGCGGTGGCGTCAGAGCTGCAGCATTGTATACAACGAGGCCTGGGGACGCGCCGAATGTGGCCTTGACGGCGTCGAATGCCGTCTCGACGGAAGCAGGCTGGGATAGGTCGGCCTTGATAGCGAGGAATCCTTCATGGCTGAGGCTTTCTGTTCCCTTTCTCGAGGCGACAGCGACGGCGTAACCGCTACTGGCGAGCTTTTGAGCCACCGCGCTGCCAATGCGAGGGCCGGCTCCCAGGATGAGTGCAACAGGCTTTGCGGACATTTTGTCTCTTAGAGAGAGATAGAGGTAGAGATAGAGAAGTGATAATTTGATGACCCACTTTTCCCTTTCCCGCTCCCGAACTATAAATACTGTAAGTACGTTAGTTAGTAGTAGACCTAACAAAAAATTACAAATCACGAGCGTCGAATGCGAGAGGCTGCTGGGTATTATGGCCTGCTACCTACTGGTCTGGGCTTATCATCGGATCTGGATCCCTGACGGTATAGGATGGGCTGACACGGAACGCCGTACATGTATAAAACACCTTTATTCTTTTCTTGCCTCAGCAAAGACCTGGGGTATTTTACCAGTACGATATCAAAAAGCCAACATTGGAAGATACTGAGCTCTATAGGGCTCTGGAAACTCAGGACCTTGGAAAAGCCAAGATATATGAGAGGAAAGCAACTACATACGGACTTCAATAGTGTTTTTGTCGAGTTTGTCATATTCTCTATAGAAATACCTATACAGGAGTTGTTTGCATACCTACGAGGAGGCATCCGAGGTGATTTTTGAACAAAATTCATCAAAAATGGATATTTCCTTGATATACCTGTACCTAATAGAGGGTCCTGTGCAAGTGGATAGCAAGAGACCCCTTTGCGGCGACGCTGTCGACCATTTCTGAAAGTTTGTAATAGTCACAGAGAAAACTCATAATCAAACCCACGAAGAAATAAAGCAATATAACATCCAAAACCACAGACTCAAGCCCTATTTCAACACTACTCCAACAAATGCATGAGGTGGTGATCAATCTTCCCCTCTCGTACATATCTGAAAACCTCCATACATGTCACTCGCATACAGACCCCAACGATACAGCAATAATCTCATCTGTTCTTATTCCAAGACTGTGAAAAAGCAATATCATTGGACGTTCCTAGGAGAATGAAGAGGCAATTCGAGTACCTAGGTAGCTTTGATCCGTGGACTTTGGCATGGCCCTCGCTGAAGTTCATACTTTCATGGTTTCATATTACACAAGGCAACCTTGAGACTGCATCTTCCCAGGTTCCTAGTCTTCTCTCCCTGGATATGCTCCAACCTTAGAGGTTCATACATACCAACTCTGGGCTGAGTATATTTCACACAGGAAAGTTCATGTCTTTAATCAACTGCGTCGGATACGATGCGAGTGCTCAGCAGCAGGCTATGATTCGCTACTAATTATGCCATCATAGAAACTACCTTTTTTTTCTTGAATCTGATTGAGCAAAGCATCACGACTGAAAAAGAAAAACAGCTGAAAGAGGCATCAGGGATTAACATTGCTCTTGAGAAGCGGTCATTACTCGAGTTGACGATCTAGCTAGATCCCTGACATGTATCTAGGGGAAGGAAATTTGCTATGGTAGAGCCACACTCTGGGCAGTTGGTCCCATTCTAGAATCCGTAGTTGATTTTGATAAATTGGGTAGAGTTCATTCCAAGTAATATACGATTCTCAGTCTTGGGGGAAGGACCTGAAAAATATTTGCTTTTTCATATCCCATCGATGATAGGAAGACTGGAGGTAAAATGGTATTTCTGGTCTATTAATTCTTAAAAACAAAGCTAGACTGATATATATATATATATATTTTTTTTTGGATTTTCCGCATGGATTCAAATGGCGCTAAAAATGCATATGGACTATAAACGCTGAAAAAGTGACCGAGAGCTCAATAATATCTTACAGCTCCTTTTTCAAGAAATGCTCTGGCTTATGAGTTGTCTCGTAGTCGACGTGCACATAAGCACGCTCCACGTCTGGAAGGGACTCCAACTTGAACTGCAACTCCTCGGCAACGTCATGGGTGGCGCGAAGAGAGTCGTTGGGGTCCATAACAATGTCCACCTCAACGAGGAGACGGGGGCCAGATGTATAGGCCCGGACAGTGTCGATGGCCTTGATAAGTGGAGAGTGCGTCATAGCTGAGTAGATTATTAGCAACATGATCAAAGAACCAAAAGGCCAGGGCAACATACAGATATAAGTGATGAGCTGCTGCATCTTGGCGTCCGCGGTCACACCAATCAGGAGCTGGAACTCGCCATATGCAGAGTGCAGCCACAAAACACTGATAAGAATCGACAGAATAATAGCACCCATCGGATCAATCCACCAGCGAACCCAGCTACCCAGGACAGAAGTCATAGCACCAACGCCGTTGATGATCAAGTCGTTGCGGTGATCTTCCCACAAAATACGAATCTGAGAGACCTGATTGCGCAGTGCGAAGCAGTAGAAGAAAAGAGCGAGCTTGGTGAAAAAGGCGACGGAGACGGCAATGATGGAGGGCAAATGGAAAGAAGCAGTCAGTGTGGTAGAGCCTTCAATGAGCTCACGAATAGAGAAAGCGATGATAATGAATGAGACTGCGGTCATCAAGCAGCAGAAGGTGATGTTACCAGCGGTCTCGATACGAGCCTTGCCAGCAGGGAACTTGCGAGGATCGACACGGTTGACAGCCTTGTTAGATAAAAGCAGAGTGATGTTTGACAGAGGGTCGAAGATAGCGTCAGCCATAGTAGTGAACAGCGACAGAGAACCAGACGAGACAGCGCCGTAGATTTGCACAGCACAAAGGATAATATTGGCAGCGAAACTGGCCCACACGGCGATCTTGTACTTGATACTGTTCTCCTCGTTCAACTCCTTTGCGTCCCGGACATGCTCTTCGACAGGCTTCAACATGCGCTCAATATTCTCGTTCTGGTCTTCGTAGAAGCTTCGCAGTTTGCGCGTGACAAGCGCTTGCTTTCCCTTGTCCAGCAATGTTGGTGTCGCGTCTTGCTTTGTAGCATTGCGCTTTCGCGAAGTATTGGCCTTGATCTGACGAAGTTCCTCCTCAGTCTTCAATTTCGAGGCCAACTTGTACGGGTCGGTCTCGGGAGTGTATTGAGGCGGAGACTGGCCTTCAGCATCAACATCACCACTGTCGTGACGGTGGGTCACAAGCTGGTCAGGCTCCAGGGCAGTGGAGGTGCCCTCGTTGAAAGGTCGTGATGACATTCTATGGGGAAGGGGGGATGAGTGGAGATTGGGGCTGCTATGCAAAGTCTGCAAAGCAATGGGATGGTTAGAGAGACTGTGACGAATGTGGTCCTCCATACTTGCGAATATTTAATATTTAAATGGCTATACGGAGTACAGGAATGAGGATTAAACTAGATGCAAGGAGGCGACCGGTGAGAAGTACTATGTAGACTGCAGGGGTAGCAAATTCAGTCCGCCCCACTTAAGATGTAAGATGTAAGATATCGATTTTAAGCCTTCAATCTGCACATCTATCCTTCTTTCCACGTTTCTAATCGAGCAACTATATTAAATATACTATAGTCTTCCATTTATAAGTAAATATTCACTTACTTTACTTTTATTAACAAGTTCACTTCATGTAAATAGTAGTCTTTTAATCTACCCCGACTCGATAAGGGATTAGCACAGCCACTCAGCTCGACCGCATTGATGTAGGTGGCGATTTATAAGTATCGGTTGTTGGGATAATACTAGCAAAATTGAAGACCATTTAAGTTGTTTTACCAAGTATGACTATTTCTCCTAAACTGCAGAGTACTCAGTATAGTTAAATAAACATGCAGTAACTAAATATTTTACGGAGTAGTTAACTATGTACTCCGTAGGCTCAAGTAAAAAGTGGATCTTAGATATCATTGGTGGGTTAGAAATGGATTCTGCTGACATAATCGATATCCAAAAGAGGCTAGCTTTAGGGCTCGCTTAGGGCCCGCGCGCCAAGAGCGAAAAAAACCGCACCAGACCTGGTGTATTCGATTGTTAGCGGCCGAAGACGAAGAGCGACAACATCATCCCGACACAGAGGACCATCAACTTCCCCTCACCAACTCCTTCAAGATGGTGAGTCCTACATATTCCAAATCTCAAGCTCGTCAAAAACAATGATCTCGAGTCCATACCCTGCCCAATTTCGCTTTCCCGATCGGATATCGGCCGTATTCGATCATCTCATATCGACCTCAACATCAACCTCAAAATTCAACTATGATTACTGACGAGTACGTCTATATCTACAGGTCCGTTACGCCGCCCAGGAGATCCCCAACGAGAAGAGCGCTCGCGCTCGGGGCTCTTACCTCCGTGTCAGCTTCAAGAACACCCGTGAGACCGCTCAGGCCATCAACGGCATGAAGTTGACCAAGGCTCTGTCCTACCTCGACAACGTCACCAAGAAGACCATGGCTATCCCCATGCGCCGGTACGCCGGTTCTACCGGTCGCACTGCACAGGGTGAGTGCCTTGAATTGATTTTTTTTTTTTCCTTCTATACTCTGCTGGATTGGAATGTGGCAATGGTGTCGGTCAAGAAGGGAAGGGAGACCAGGGGAAATCGACACAAGGGAGAAAATGATGAGATCTACGACAATTCCGGATTCCCAGGAGATAGAATACCTGACTGGGGAATGGAGATTTGCCGTGTGATTTGAGGATGGACCACCGTTGCCGCAAGAAAATTTAGTGTGGGACTTGGCACAAATGAGCACCGGCTAACACAATTGATTGCATAGGCAAGCAGTTTGGTGTCTCCAAGGCCCGCTGGCCCGTTAAGTCTGCCGAGTTCCTCATCGACCTCCTGAAGAACGCTGAGGCCAACGCCGATACCAAGGGTCTCGACACCGGCAACCTGATTGTCAAGCGCATCCAGGTTAACCAGGCTCCCAAGGGCCGCCGCCGCACTTACCGTGCCCACGGTCGTGTATGTCTTCTCTATTAACCGAACAGAAACTCCAGGTGCTAATAATCTACATAGATCAACCCCTACATGACCAACCCCTGCCACATTGAGCTCATCCTTACTGAGGCCAACGAGGAGGTCAAGAAGGCCCCCGAGACCGCCGTCGTCCGTCTTAGCTCTCGCCAGCGCGGTGCTCAACTCCGTCGTGCCATCCAGGCATAAATGCATTGGGGAAGAGAATGATGTGTGGTCAAGGAAAAGGAAAGTGAACGGGTTGGCCGGAGTTCTTGCGCTTCTGTATGTTGGAACGGAAATGATACACCGGATCATACAAGATTTTTAAGGTCACCAACTCTCGGAGGAGAACCAAATAAAAAGTTTAAACAGCGCGGCTCTCGTGGATCTTAAAGATGTTTTTTTTCATAAGATTATCTGTATTGGTTGAATCATGAACGTGGTTCTTCTCCCGTGGCTTTGGCTGATCTTGTTTGAGATGGTGCTTCTGTTGACCTTGATATCTGCAAGGTGAGAATGATGGTGCGACTCGCTGAAATAATATCACGTTTCATGATTCAACCTTTCAATAGTAGTAATGTAGCGATTTAGTTCAAGATTCCATTATCTAAGGCATCTTCGCAAATGGGTTTTTCGGGGTCTAAGAGCAGTTAGTCCCAAATGATAGGTTTTTATGAGTGCGGGGTATATAAAGTTGAACCTCCGTCTATTTTACTGTTTCTAGGTAACACATGCAACATGTTTCAACTCTCAGACTACCGTCTACTTTGCTTTGACGTCTATGGCACCCTCATCGATTGGGAGGGCGGGATCATCGAGGCCCTTGCACCAATCCTACATAAGAGCGAAACGCAATTCTCACGAAAGCACCTGCTGACCATCTTCCAAGAGCTAGAAAGCAAACAGCAAGCACGGACGCCAGCCATGCCCTACTCAGAACTCCTGGCTACAGTCCATCCTCAACTGGCGCAAAGACTAGGCGTGTCAGCACCCAGCTCGGAAGAAAGCAAGCAATTCGGCGAGTCAGTAGGCAGTTGGCCCGCATTCCCAGATACAGTTGAAGCCCTACAGCGTCTATCAAAGACCTACAAACTCGTTGTCCTATCAAATGTTGACCGCGCCTCTTTTGCCAAATCCAACGCCGGTAGCCTGCAAGGGTTCCCCTTCGACTTGATCATTACGGCGCAAGACATCGGCTCCTACAAGCCGGACCCGCGCAACTTTGCTTACATGAAAAAGGCGGTGCAAGAAGAATTCGGTGTCGAACCGAACCAGATTCTACAGACTGCACAGAGTCAGTTCCATGACCATCGACCGGCGCGTGCAGCTGGAATTCATTCGGTGTGGATTGAGAGGCCTGGCGCGACCATGGGCAATTTGGACGGGCCTATTTATGATTGGCAGTTTGCGACGTTGGGAGACATGGCAGATGAAGTCGGGAGCCGGTTATAGGATGGATTGAGTGTTGCCTGGTGAGTATACGCAGGCTTGGCAGCTCAGCCACATGAATTTGAGAAGAGTGGACAATACTGAGTATATCCAGGTGGCACTTTTTTTTTTTTATTATCTCTTTCTCTGTACTCGTCATCTAGGGTGTATTTATGTAGATCTCGGCAGATCAGATCCTTTTCTAAATAGATTTGGAAGACGAAGCATGACCTCCACTAAGACGCGAGACTACTTTTAGTCTTGGACCCCTCGCACTATAAACCTTCCATCTCATCTCTTCGTTATTTTTTTTGATACTCCTTAATTCTAGCATTTTTGATTTCCAAATGAAGCGTCTTCTCAAAAAGGAAACCTGGAGTCGGGTTGCTGCGAGTGAGTCTCTGAACCCCGCAGGTTTGGCGTTCTGTCGGTCTGACTCCCTGCAGCCTCTAGCGAACACCCCCACGAACCTGTCGACGACGACTTACCAGAAGCCATCATAATTCGTGAGATTGTAAATTTTGGCACAAATTTGGTCTTCGTCAGAACTTGATCGCATTAATACTAATAGTTCTCTCCACAGATTACCTTCTGTGAGAACAGCACAGTACGTGGTGTCACGCGCAGAGCGCAAACGTATCGCTCTGACCATTCCTGATACAGCAAGGTAACGAATTCGTTCACCTCCCCAGCATCGTTGAAGTCGCCGAGTCGAGTCCCGCAGCTGCGAAAGAGGCAGCCCGTCGCATTCGCAAATACCTCTCCACACCATCGATCCCAAACAATGTCCAGTACAATGCGGTCATGCTCATGCGCATCCTCTCCGACAACCCGGGACACACTTTCACGCGCAACATGGATAACAAATTTGTTACGGCGGTTGAGAGTGTCTTAACCCAGGGACGAGACTGGCACCTGAAGCAATATCTACGTGAATACCTAGATAATATGGAGGCCAACCGGCCCTACGACGAAGACCTTGAACTTCTCTTGAAGATGTGGGCGAACCAGAAAGTAAAGGAGAGGAACAGACCCAATGTTGCGCCTGTAGGTCGACTCCATGCTTGATGGACTCCGAATACTTACGCTTCTTGTAGCAACTGCCTCCGCGAATGTATGCCAATCCCACAGTTTCTCATGGCCCACCATCACTCCCCGGTCCCGGAGAGCTGTCAGCTCGGGTGGAAGAAGCAAAGAACTCAGCAAAACTACTCACTCAGTTTGTTGAGATGACTCCGCTTGCGGAACTGGAGGTGAACGAATTGGTCAAGGAGTTCATGGAGCGCTGTCAGACGTCTTCGCGACTCCTCCAGTCTTACATTCACGCTCAGGATCCGTCCCCAGACGAAGAGACCCTTCTCACCTTAATCGATACCAACGATACTATCTCTGTGGCACTTTCCCAGCAGCAGCGTGCTATGCTCAAAGCCCGCAAAGCCCGCGCCTCAAATCCTACATCCAATGTCACCAGTCAGTCTCCTTTCAGACCTGTTGCATCCGGTGCGGTACCTGCCCCTCTGGCCCCACAGACAGCTCCCGAGGCCAATATTTCGTCTCCATCAGCTGTGATGTCTGGTGGCAGAAGTAATCCACCGCCAAGCAACGCCCAGCCCTATCAATACAACGCTGCCGATTTCGTAGTGCAGAATCCCTATGCGGATTCCAATGTGATACATGATGCCTCTCATCCAAATGCGAGCTCAGAAAATAGTGCAGCGCAATCCAAGAATGCTTAAGTATATGATCGACTGAGTTTCGCCGAATGATACCCCTCGCCTGTTATCTTGCTTGCGTCTGTTTGGGATTTTCCAATCGTTGTATATCTTACTCTTTATCGACTATAATTTAGCTTTATGTGATTATTCGAGCTTGTTAGTACTAGTTTTGGCCGATCTTCTTACACTGGTCTAGAAGGATATGATTAGTAAGATGTCAGTCCACCTGTAGGATGAATTATTTCACCGAGACTGGGATTGAGATGACAAGTAATTCAAAGCGCATCTCTTCTAAGTTTCAAACAAATGTCACTATCTATCGCTTTTGCTCCGGCACCTGCGTAAGCAATTCATCTTTCTGAACAGCAGACTTCAAATTATCCAACACCAGAATCTCCATTTCCTTCTGAGTCTCAAAAGTCATGGTACCAATATGCGGCAACAGCATGACCCGAGGGTTATTGACAAGCCCAGGCTCGATTTCGGGCTCCTTCTCATATACATCCAGACCAGCAGAGCGAACCTAACAAACAAAAGTCAGCTCAGCCCCCCCATCTAAAACAAAAAGCAAGTCAATTGCACATACCTTCCCAGAATCAATTGCAGCAACAAGTGCCTTCTCATCAATCAATGCTCCGCGCGCAGTGTTGACAATCACCACTCCATCCTTCATCTTGCCAAACTCACTCGCACCAATGATATGCCGTGTTGATGCATTCAGGGCCAGGTTAAGACTGAAGACATCGGAGCTGGCCAGGAGTTCGTCGAACGAGACATATGTCGCTCCACCTTCCAGCTCTGTCGGTAGTCGCGATCGATTGTGGTATTGAATCTTCATGCCAAATGCTTTTGCGCGGGCAGCCATTTCCTGATATTACAATTAGTACTATTAGGTGGTGAGAGATATTTATTGCTGCTTACTCTTCCGATACCTCCCATGCCGAGAATTCCGAGGATCTTGCCCCGGGGGTCATGGCCTAGTGTACTCTGTCCAAGCCATTTTCCTGTAAGATATCCAAGTCAGAAACTGATTCTTTGAATGTTTGATTACAAGAAGCAAGACTCACCCTCTCGAAGCGCAGTTTGAGGCACATAAGCCTGGCGCAATGCACCGATCATCAAGAAAATGCCCACATCAGCAGTGGCATTGTTGACGGCAATGGGAGTGCTAGACACAGAGATCTTCCTCTCCGAACAGGCGGAAACATCGATATTGTCATACCCAGCACCATTGTGACAGATATAACGAAGCGATTGCGGCAGGACAGAAATTAACTCAGCGTCAAAGTTGCCGGTGAGCTACAGTATACCACACATTGTCAGCTCTTATTATCCGCGCAATCGATCTAGAGAAGACACGTACCTTGTTGAATGCATTGGAGCGGTAGATCACCACGACATCATCATACTGGCCTGATTTGCAGTTCTGAATGAACTCCTCCCGGGTGCCACTAGGGAATTCCTATTGTATCGGTTAGTCCTGATCAGATTGGGCTAGCGGATTCTACGCACCTTGAGGGTCAGGAGTGAGGAAAGTTCCTCCCACTCTTTGCGCGCGTGTTTGACTTCTCCAATGAGGAGTGCAGCTTGAGAAGACATGTTGAGATCTATGGCGTGATAAGATTTGTGTATAAGATCACCAAAACAAGTTCTTACCTGTACAGTTATAGTTGCAAGGAGAGAGTAGGTAGATGTCAGATGAGAGAAGGAGAATTGGTTAGAGAAGAAAGAAGAAGAAGAAGAAGAAGAGAAAGTCTCTGGCCTCGACTAAAAATTGCGGAACAAGTTGCCCCCATTACCCCCCATGGCTCTATAGAGTGGAGAAAACATACTCCCCGCGGGCGTATACAGATGCCGAGTTGAACGAGGTCGCTTCTACAATACTCGTCAAACTGTAGATGAAAAAAGCCATTTTCTTGACTCGGTGACCTCCTTACTTCCTCTTCATATGTACAACTTAAAGGAAACCCCCATCTTCATTATGATTGCTTTCAATTGCAAAATTCGTCGGTGTACAGAACCCCCACTCGGGGTATCATCGGCTATTGAGAATTACTGCATTCGGGAATTGCCGACCGAGGTAAGGGTAAGTCCCCGTCTCTACGTCTACGTCATTCCTCTGAACCATCCTCATGTATAAACATATGGGTAAACCACATGGTAGTCGAGGGTATCAGGTTACCATGACTTAACTCTTCTCATAGACTTCAAAGTTGCGATTGGGATAAGCAGTGGAACTATGTCCCCATTTAGCGTTTCAAAGTGCTGAACGATGTCCAGATTTTTACCTACAACAGCGACCTGTTAATGAATCCACACACAAGGACCTCTCAAAGTTGCGATAGGTCTTTGATTAGGAAAATAAGGAGATCGAGCCAAGTTGGTTCAAAAGACTGGGACAGCGAATGATACTCTGACGCTTGATCCAACCTATTTTCTGACCCTCCTCATATTGGACACGTTCATTGCAAGGTATTTCGCTGAGATGAATGAACACATTTGACAACGCAATAGATGGCATGACTCCAATGTTCTGAAACCTCCTGTATATTGATATCATGCCATTTACAGCCTTGGAAGTCTCAGATGGCTTCTAGTATACACCTCATACTGCCCCATAAAACTGAAACAACAAAGGCAATATGTTAGAACCAATGATCCAAGCTTTAAGCTTGATCTTCAATATGAAATGCCAACGGTGACACAGTCTCGGCGTGACGCCAATATGCATGAATTTTATGAGTCCGGCGCTTAAATCCACCACACCACTACTCCGCAACAACAGTTTCCAATAGGTCGAGTCTTCTTTAAATCCGGTCTTTATGATTCTTTTTAATGAACCTTGTTCCTTGAAGAATGAGTTTTTGCCAATCCCTTTGCCACCTGGGAAGTCTTGTTTCTGTTGTTGTTGGTTGATCGCCTACTCAGAGGCTCTTCACTCTTCTACCATTTCGTCAATATTCCTATTTTTTTTTTTTTTTTGAAATTTTGATTGCTGGATCAATTCTATCTTCATATTCAACTCCTTCTGAACTTTTTTATCTTCAATTGACCCTCGTGGTAAAAAGTGTTGGAAAAGTGCTTTTGGTCCTCCCTTGCTACATTCCAAAGCCCTAGACGATGCCTTCATAGCGCAAAGCACAGCCAAAAATCCGTCTCTGACGATCAGCCAAAATCTACTAGATTCCTAGAGATCAATCTCTTGAATCCTCATCATTTACATCTTTTCATCCGCAACGTCATTCACTGAAGAAACAGGCAGATACAATGAGCCATTTTTAAGCAAACAACCAATTTGGCCAACATTGACTTCCACTTCCACTCCCATCTGCACCCTCTCATTCAATTTCTTTCTCTTCATTCTTTGTATTTTCCAATTCAACTCTCTCCTACCTTCTCTTTGCCTCTCATCACCATATTCATGAGCTCTAGATTTGAAGCAGGTCTTCAATTCGTGTTTTCCTCATAATAACAGCCCTTGGCAAGTTCTGGGGAATTATAATGGCTACACACACTCCAAATATCGCAGCGCGAGGCTACGGTATCAATGCAACATACATCTTTGAATATTCAAGGGGTCTGGCAGGCGTTGATGTTCCTCGCGATGTAATAATCACCCGAATCATTTACTCATCGGTCGTGATACTGGCACTAGTCCTCTTCTGTGGACGGATTGCGCAGATATCCCATGCCCATCTCCGAAACATCACCTCGCACTCTTCCAGCAAACGAGAACAGACATTTTGGAGCAAGGAAGACTCAAAATGGTTGCCTAATCTCAAAAAGCACTTGCTCTATGCTCCTCTTGGATCAAGGAGACATAACCGGGAAATCCAAATTTCTTCCGCCGTCGGAATTGGCACATTACCATCTCGGCTTCAAAGTGTGTTGATCACTCTGTACCTCACCAGTCAGGTGACTTACTGCTTATACCTGGACTATCGAGTCAACGAAAAAGCAGCTTTGATAGCAGAGCTCCGTGGGCGCTCAGGAACGCTGGCCGTCCTGAACATGGTCCCACTGTTTCTCCTCGCAGCCCGGAACAACCCTCTTATTTCGATACTTCATATCAGCTTCGATACCTACAATCTCATGCATCGCTGGTTGGGCCGCATCGTGGTTCTCGAAGCTGTCACTCACACTGTCGCCTGGGCAGTCAACGCGAGTGCAGAGCAGAATGTGTCTGACATGTTCACCCGTATGACCGACACGCCATTCTTCGCATGGGGTTTTGTCGGCACCGTCGCAATGGTATTCCTAGTCCTCCACTCTCCGTCTCCAATCCGCCATGCCTTCTACGAGACATTCCTCCATCTCCACCAACTCGCCGCTCTACTCGCTTTCATCGGAGTGTATCTCCACCTGCGCCTAGATTCTCTGCCTCAGAGACCATGGGCCGATGCTATCGCCATAATCTGGTTGCTTGAGCGGAGCACACGACTACTCCGCATAGTCTACTTGAACCTTTCCACAAAACATGGCAGCACCCGAATGACCGTGCAAGCTCTACCAGGAGAAGCATGCCGTGTCACATTCGAACTTCCAAAACATGTGGATATAAAACCAGGCGGTCACGTTTATGCCTACATCCCTTCAATATCGTGGTGGATGTCGCACCCTTTCTCCGTCGCCTGGACGGAACCAATCAGAAACGACTCATGCAAACCGATTACTCCGTCAATGAGTCCATCAGCCCTAGAGAAGCAAACCAGTGGACTAGAACTCTACCTTGATAGCCGATACAAGGCAACCAAAGTCTCTCTCATCATCGGTGCACGTCAGGGAATGACTCGCCGCCTCTACGACTTAGCGAACGGAAAGCCTCATCGCACACTATACGTCCCAGGCTTCATAGAAGGACCGTATGGCTCGAACCCAGCCAACGTCCCCAGCTACGGAACAGTAGTACTCTTCTCAGCCGGCGCAGGAATAACCCACCACCTCATGTTTACACGCGATCTCATCCTCCGCGCAGCAGCAAACACAGCTGCCACCCGCTGTGTTTACCTGATCTGGTCCGTCCGCTCAACAGACCACCTCGCATGGGTAAGTCAATGGATGGACCAGATCCTCCGTCTACCAGGACGGCGGGAGATCTTAACGGTAAAGTTATTTGTCTCAAAGCCACGCCGGGCAGCAGATATCATGTCTCCTTCACGATCGGTACAGATGTTCTCTGGTCGGTGTCGACCTGATGTTGTGCTCGATGAAATTATACCGCAGCGAGTCGGGGCGACTATTGTTTCTGTTTGTGGACCTGGGGCTTTTGCTGATGAGGTTCGTGCTGCGGCAAGGGATCGGATTGGGAAGGGGGCTGTTGTTGATTTTGTGGAGGAGGCTTTTACGTGGTAGATTCTGTAATCTAGGCATTTGATATTATAAACCATCCATGTTTAGTTTTGGATGTATTTTGCAGTCCAAAATTCTCAATAAGGGAGCTGTTTTCATCATAGTTCATACATACACAGAATACATACAAAGAACATTGGAGATATTCAAAAAGTTCACGGTCAATATTCACATTTAGGGCTGACGTTATACATCATGACTTTGTCAACAATAACACACAACACATGGGTAGTAAATATGAGTACTCCACGCTCTTAAGAAGTTCTCTAGAGACAATGATATACATTAGCAAGAAGTAATGAAAAAGCAGACAGAAGTTATGTGGTTCATAGTGGTTATATCAAAAGCATCACATCTGCACCTATGCAGCAACCTCTCTTCTCTACCCGCGACCACAAGGGTCGTCAAGCAATGAAAAAAGGAGATGAATACTAAAGAAGTAAACTTTTGGGTTCAAAGATTCCCTGGCCGCCCGCGAAGGCAGCAAGGAGTAACTGTTGATCGATAATTTTCAATCAGCAATACATAACCTCGGAATATTCCTCACTGGTATACGTAAAACCCTTGCATAAGGATGTTTGAAGAAGAAAGAAAAAATATATCAGGACGTGGAAGGAGACGGCAGTTATAGGTCCCCAAATTGAAAGCACGCTAGTGATGACTGACTACTCATGTCACGGGATCGAAGGCACCTCGAGATGTTAACGATAACGATAATGTAGTAATAGAACTGTAGACTATCATACTAAGTAGTTGTAGCAGCAGCTGGAGGAAACTAGCTCGGGTTGTAGACAGCAATGAGCAGAGGGACCTACCTAAGTAGGTAGAAATTACCGTAGAGTACTGAGAAGCTATTTCGGAGTCATCAATCAATATTGATATGAAGAGGTCTATCTAGTCCTTCAACATACGTTGTTTCCACCTACAAGTAACCTTCTATACTATCAAGAGTGGATGATCAGCATTAGCAACCTCAGAGTTCTCGTCATGCTATTAACTCCCCCGGAGATGAAAAATAGAGAAAAAGAGAAGAGAAGTAGAAAGACCAACTATCTTATCCTCGGAAACCATAGTGAATCCATAACAATCGAAGCTCTCTCGTCATTGTCGTCCCTATCGGCATGTGACTTACACCATTGACCTATTCTGTACTAGCGGCCTCGTTAGCGTAGTTTTCAAGTAGAGGGCATTTAAGAACTAATCTTCCCAATTCATTTCCTCTTTCTCTTTCTTTTTCTTTCATATTCAGATGGGTCACGTACCTATGTCGTGTAAGTTGTGCTCATGGATGCAGCTTACTACACTTGATTACCAGGTGCCTCGTGAGAGCGGCAATAATTTTTGGCACTTCATAATCCATCTCATGGACTTTCTTTTTCATCAACTGATGACCCTTGTGGTTGCGTTTGAAGAAGAAGCACTACTGGCATGAATTTGAATCAGCCTTACTGCGTAGATCATTGAATTTTGGATTTACATGCATGTTGTTGCCCATACTTCCTTTCATTTATACTTGCTCATTATGCCACTTGATATCCTGGTGATTTTAGACAGTGAGGCTTCAAACCCACCTGATACCAATATAAGCATCAAATCATTCAGAGCAAATTTTGAAGCCATACTCATCATTTACTGCGTGACATCATGTAAAAAAAAATGCGATTTTGTAGTTCTGTTCGCGATTTAACTGACGTCATGTATACTGAGATTTAGAGTGAGAAAGATGACATAGGACTGCTTGATAGACTTCAGTGCTTCACGCAGATGATTAATGGAAGGAGTCCAAGTATTTCCAGTATTCATGAAGCCTAACTTTCCCCGCGTGGCCAGCCCCGTCGCTCGGCCACTTCAGATCCAGATATAGTTCTAAATACTGACGTTGACGATGGCATCTGATGCAAAGTGATCGGTTCTTGTGGTGTCTCAGACTTCTTTGATCGCGTCTTCAACCAAGGGACAAGATTGAAGATGGCACCACAGGTAAAGATACCCAACCAAAGAGTCAACTCAGTTCCATAGATGACCATGCCAAGGACAGACAGTGTATCAATACTCGGTCCAAACACTTCGACAGGTCAAGGTTAGCCAGTCTCTCTCTCTCTCCCAGAACTCATGATCCCAGTCTTGATGTTACGAATAACTCACAAAGTGATATGAGAGAGAACAAATCTCCAGCAGCGTCGATACCAACGAAGAAGAAGCTGATTCCACGAACAGTACGATGGATATAAATATCCCAGTAATGCGTCAACACACCACCAGCAAGAAGACACGCACTGAGAACAGCCATCAAAATAACAGGCCATTCCAAATGCCTACGTTTGGCTGCTCTCAGCGCAAATATCAGTCCTGCTTCCACACCACCGAATAGCAGAATCATTGGAACAATCACAGCAATGCATTTTGAGACCGAGTACCGCTGTTCCACCGTCCAGTCAATAAAGATGTTCGAAGGAAATGGGGAGGGGAGTGGCACTGAATAAATACCTTGCCGTAGTGAAGACATTGAGCCCAGGTTATCAGACTTAGAACCGTGAGTATCTGAGGCTGGATCCGCAATGCCACATTGAAGTTTTCAACGATGTTGTACACTCCGAGTGGAACACCTGCTGATGCCCATAGCAGCATCATGGATCCCTGTAATCCATCTGTGTTGTGCCTTCTATAATTTATGAAGATCTGGGGTAAAAGCTAGAGGAGAAGGTGCATGAGTATGTATATGATTTGATTCAATCACACGTCAGCATACCTGTATTGACCAACATACCTAGAAGTTTAAAGTCATTAGTAGAGAGTATCTTAGTGGGCTTGAATTGATAACTAACTGCGCCGAGTGTACCTAATACATTTTCTGCTATGGGTATGTCCATGCTGTATGTATGGTACGAAGATGGGATCAGATTTGAAAGTTATTGTCGAAACGGGCAAGCTGATTGATTACTCATCAACATTGAACAAGATTCCAAGTTCATACTCAGTCTATCTGTAGACTTCCAAGGTTGAATTATTAAATGAAATAAACTATACTATAACCTTGGAAGGTTCTAAGTCGACTTTAGGGCTGTTTAATAGACGTAGATAGTTATACGCCCAGGTGCTCCCAAGATTTCTACTTTGGTACTGGCAGCTTCAAGAGTTGACTTTTGAAATTTTGAAATTTGTATTAAGACCTGAATGTTCTGACGGTCACATATGTACCAGGATCTAATAATAACAGAGAAGAGCCTCCCATGCAGCAGATATATAAGGGATCAAAAACCGGGTAAGATATGCAACCATAAAGAGAAAAGAGAGGAAGGAAACATGGACACATATGAAGGATAGAAGAGGAGAGGAATTATAAGAAGAATATGATGAGAGAAGAACGATAGAGGAGAAATGGCGATTCAAATCAACTTATTTTTTGGCATCAGCCTTCTTGCCCTTTTTATCATCCTTGTTGAGACTTCCCTTGGGCACACGAGCCAGCCAGTAGATACCAACAGCAGCGAAGATGTTGAAGGCAATGTAAATCCACATGAAGCCGAAGTTGCGCCACGCGTCGGAGAAGTAGCTGCCGACTGTGGCGAGGTAAGTGTCTGTTGAGCTCATGGAGCAGAAGGAGCAGTCTGTGGTGGCATCCGGGTTCTCGAGGTAACCACTCGCAGCGGAGATATAAGTTTCCATGTAAGAGCCGCAAGTCATGTTGTCCGGGGGACTGAACTTGAGGTACTCGACGGCTTCGCAGGTGATCTCGGCGCCAGAGACACCGGTTGAAAGCATGGCCGAGACCAGATATGTGAATGGCGAGACGCGATACATGAAGATCCAGAAACCAGGCATATTATCCGGAGTGGCGAGTACACCGCAGAAGATAAGGCAGAGGGAGAAGAGCAAGTTGGCTAGGTTACCACCTGTTTCTGCGAGTTCGATTCCGGCAATGATCATGTGGGCGAAGGTGGAGGTGAAGAGGAGGAAGGTCCAGATGAGTAGGAACATCAGGGCACCGCGCTCGTGGACTGCGTCTGTTGGTTCGGCGTTGCGGTATAGACCGATTGGGTAGTACCAGCAAACGAAGATGAGGAAGGCAGCGAGGGTGTTCCAGGGTAGTTCGACTAGGATGTTGGAGGCCATGAAAGCCTTCCAGGAGTATGTCTTTGAGGGGCGTTCGCGGACTTCGTAGAGGGAGCGCTGGGTGCAGAAGTGAGGCATGATTTGTTGGACCAAGTTACCGAAGATGGTCATCAACATGAAGATACTAAACATCTGATTCTGAAGTCCCTGAAGACTGTTCTTGGCGTGAAAGAAAGCGAAACCAATGTAGAGGGAGGTCAGGATACAGAGAGCACACTTGGAGTAAATGTAGATTGGTGTGCGCCAGTATTGACTGAACACACGTTTCAAGCACTCATAGAGCTGAATATGGAATGGAGCGGAGAACTCCTTGAAGTCGTTGGGTGAATGCGCGGACTCATCAACAGGCTTTTGAGAGAGGGTCGCTTTCAGTTCGGCAAGGTGATCGAGCACTCCCTGGTGTTCGGGGCTATCACGCCAGACAGCCGGCCAGTCGATATCAGAGTGAGATCCAGGGGCGGCACCAATGATTTCAAGCATCCATTCAGCAGGGTTAGCCTCGACGGGAAGTTTGGGAGCACCGTTGCGCTCGAAGTAGCTGGCAAGCGTGGAGGACTTTTCGCCAATTTCACCAAAGTAGACAGTTCGGCCACCCCTAGCAAGGAAAAGCAAGCGGTCGAAACGCTGGAACAACATGGCAGAGGGCTGGTGGATAGTGCAGAGAATAGCCTGGCCGTGCTTGGTCAGGGTATCGATGAGATCGAGGATAGACCATGAAGTTTGACTGTCAAGACCAGAGGTGGGCTCATCCAAGAAAAGAAGTAGCTGGGGCTTGGCGGCAAGCTCGACACCGATAGTGAGACGCTTCCGCTGTTCGACGTTGAGACCTTCACCAGGGACACCGACAATGGCATCAGCATAGGATTCCATTCCGAGGAGCTTGATAACCTCCTCAACATATTCCAGCTTCTCTTGGCGAGGGACATCGGCGGGCTGACGAAGAATAGCACTGAAACGAAGAGCCTCGCGAACAGTGCTGGTGTACAAGTGCAGATCTTGCTGTTGGACGTAACCAGTCTTACGCTGGAAGGACTGGTCACGCTGGCGGCCATCAACCAGCATCTCACCGCCAACGACACCCATAGTCACACGAGTAGCAAGCACGTCAAGCAGAGTAGTCTTACCAGCACCGGAGACACCCATCAGGGCAGTACAGGTACCAGGCTTAACCCAGCCATCAACGTGGTCCAGGATACGGCGCTCCTCGCTCTTAATCTTGACATCGTAGCAGACACTCTGCCAGTGGAAGATAGCAGTCTGGCGTTGGATAGCAGCATTGACCTCCTGGCCGCTCAACTCATCAGTCTTCTCGCCAGGGCTGACAGTGCCGCTCTGTTCCTCGTCATCTGACGAGCTGTGCTTGGGAGCGTATCCGCGGCGGAATAGCAGAACCTCACCCTTGGACTTGGACTCGGAGATGTATTCGGTGGCAGTGAGATAGGTGAACATCAAGAAAATCATAAAGGCGAACATGATACCCAAGTTTCTCCACTTGTGGGCGTCATAGTACTGGAAGCTTTGGGCAAGATATGCGGTGCCATCAACGTACTGAGAGCCGGGGGTTGCACCAGTAGTGCTGCAAATCTTGTTTTCAAGGCCGTAGTTTTCGTAGGCGCTACCAGAGGGGATGAAAGAGGATGCCAGGCACAGATAGTTTTGGCCGTGGAACTCGTTAACCATCAGTGACTCAAACCCGTAGGCGATTGGGTCGATGTAGTTCATCCATCGGGACCAGCCAAGCATATTCCGAGTAGGGATAGTGAAACCAGTGAATATAATCAAACCTAGAATCAAAATAGCAGCCGGCACCAAAGCCTGAGAAAGAGTGCGGGAGGAGGCGGCAATAGTACGGAAAAGCATGGACATGGTCAACGTGGTAATGAAGGAGAACAAGAGGAAAGTGAAGAAAGCACCCGGTTCGCGGCGCAAATTCGTCATGAAGTAAAGTGTCACGTTAAAAGTGATGGCGTTGAGACCTTTATACGGCATGTCACACAACATCGAAGCGATAGCTTCAGCGAAGGGGTGATACATGGCATAGCGGGACTGTTTCTCGACAATTGGACGTTGGGCGTAGAGGGTCAAAATTTCTAGAGCACTGGAGAAGGCGTTGAGCAGGACAGCAAAGAAGAGAAGAGCTCCACGAGAATAGAAGCTAGCAGTGGTCATCTGTAGGTTGTAGAAAACAGAACCGATAATCAACGCCATGATAAAGTTACCAATCAGTTGACTAAGGGTTAAACTAGCGTCACCCTTAAGGCGTTGGAAGCCACGAGTGACACAGATATTGACCTGCTGCGCAACGGATAGGGTGTAGGGCGACTTGGTGCGTCTGTTTTTAGTCAGCATTACTCTGAACCTTGAAAAACCTTAAAATGTATATCTTACTGTCTCTTGTCCTGCATGGCACGGCGAGAGTTGATGAATTGCTGCAGAGACTCTCCACCAAGGGGATAAGCCTTATTCCATTCCTCGATCTCCTGAGTCAACTGACGGTGTTCCTTGCTGTTTTTCCAAGCGGCGGCGAACTCATCGGGGGTGCGGGGAACAACGGTCTCAAATCCGGGCTTCACAATACGCTCCGCAGGGCTGGTAAGGGAAGTCAGGAAATCGGCAGTAGTCTGGCGCTCGGGGCATTCAAAGCCCATGGTGGTGAAGAAGGCCTTTGCCTCATCAGTGCGACCGAAGTAAATCTGTCGGCCCTCGTACAAGACAGTAACCTTGTCGAACACCTATAATTTGATTTTGATTAATAAAACGCAAGGATCATCAGGGGTGAGAGCACTAACATCATAGGCACTCTGGGAGGCCTGGTAGATGGCGACTGCGCAGGTGGTGCTAGTGTACTTGGACATCAAGTTCAGGGTTTTGCAGAACTCAAGAGCGTTGGCGCTGTCCAGACCACGGGTACTGTTATCCCAGCATTGAATAGGGCTACCACAGAGGGTTGCCTCCGCAATACTGACACGCTTGCGCTCACCACCGGAAACACCACGGACAAAATCGTTACCAACGCGAGTGTTGATAGTGTGACTAAGACCCAACATAGCCATGACGACGTCGCGCATATGCTCAGCATACTGGTCGCGAGTCACATCTGGTAGACGGTTGCGAGGAGCACGGGCTAGAGCTGCAAATTTCAGAGTGTCACCCACGGTAAGCTGGGGGAAGTGAACGTCGGTCTCGGCTGTATAGATGGCTTCACCACGGAATTGGTTCTTCATCTGTTTGTCGGAGATACCCTGATAGTTCATCTTAGAGTTTTCATCCTTATGAATACCATTCATCTCCCCGGCGAGAGTCTTCAAAAAAGTTGAACAACCACTTCCGGGACGGCCGAGGACAACGAGCATCTCCCCACTTTTCACCAGGCCTTCAAAATCATTCAAAATCTGAATCTTTTGCTTGCCAGTACCGGTAACCATGCGTACGAGAGCTCCAACCTGGAGAACAGAGTTGAACACATCCTTTTGATAATCGGTGGGACTACCATATCCGTGGACGCTCAAATTTTGGAAGGAAACCCCAGCTTGGCGGGCGGGATATCGTTCAGGGTCGCGCGATGTGATTGATAGCAAATTCTTCATCCAATTACGAGCCTTGAAGTTAGGGCTGTGAGGGTTGAGAGTTGAATCATCCTGTACATCGAGGAAGGTGTTCTCTGCGCCAGTGTGAGAGTAGTGAGTTGATTCACGAGTCAATTTCCTCGCAAGTCGAGTGACCTCTGCCTCCATGGCATCTTCATCGTCTACTTCTTGGGCCTTCTCTGTAGCATCCAAAGCTGTGCTGTCGGTACTGATGCTGTTGGCAGGTTCATGACGACGGGCCTCGGCATTAGCGGCTGCTTGATCAGAGTCCGGCACGTTAGGGTTAATAGTCCCCACGAGCGACATGGTGGGCTAGTCTCCCCCGCAGTATATATATATATATATATATATATTGATTATAGAGAGAAAGAGCCAAGATGGTCGAAGCTCTAAATCACTATTGATAAAAGGGGGTAAATAAATGTAGGGGAAAAGATAGAAGTGGTGAGGGATGATTAGGGTTATATTAAAGAAAGTAGTCAAAACGAGTGAACGGACGAAAATTAAAAGGAGGAAGATATATACGGAGCAGGAATATGAAATGTTAATCGGGACCGGGAGAACCAGCAATCAAGAAACTTAGATTACCGGAGGCGAACAACATCGAAGACCCGAGACTTGAAACCATTTGTTCGTTGCCTCTTCATGGTTAGGTCAACTTTGTTTCCTTGGCGTCATTTTCCCCTAAAACGGAAAGAGAACAATATGCACGCATCTTGAAATCTGATAGGATTACGGAGTAGAATTCTGATGGAAAAGAACGCACTAGAACCATAAGCTCTACATTAGTTCGTATGTAACTCCTTAATACTGCATGCATCATGGTGTGTCAAATATTGAATCAGCGTGGGTCCAATGTGGATGCATAAAAATGGCCGGATGATAAATACCCGGAAGCCCCATATAAAAGATTCAATTCGCAAGTAAATGAGGGCTCTCGGGAACCGGTTGACTAGCTTTCCGGCCGATTTTTAGTCCCCGAAAAACGGACGAAATTGATCGGACGAATTATGGCTGTGCTAACTATGATTCATCTTTACCCCGTATGATTCATGGTGAGTACTGAGCATAATATCCTGACAATTGACGTCGTAGATTAATAGACTGTTTCTGCTATCCAGTTCCAAATTTATTTATCCTCATTTATTTCTGATTCTACTGTCCTAATTAGGTAGGTAATTATAAGGCCCCCAGTAAATGGAAACGAGCCAGGAATCAATGCGCAGCACTATTTTATAGCTTGTCCACTATAGGTTACCCACGTGGTCATTTCCATATCTACGTCGGTTTACTCCGTCTCCCGTAAGCTCGCGTGCTTTCGAGTCAATATCGTGAATGGTATTACTCTACTCTGAAGTCTATGTGACAGCTTCTTTCTCATCCTCGCTGTCATCCTCCTCAATTGGCTCCACCAACAGATTACCTCCCCGCCCTATTTTTTCTTGGACAGTCCCGCCGTCTTCCACAGCATAAACGGCCCGAGGCATGGGTGAAACCAATCTGAACCCATATTGGTGCTCGAAGCCTTCTGGCTCGGATACGTCCGTAGATTTATCCGTCTGTTGTAGGACCTCGTGGCACTCCACTACTGCGTAGAGCTCTTCCATTTCTGTCTCGGGTGCAAACCGACGCATGATTCGCTCTCCGGATGGTAGTCGCACACTAATGCGCACTGCTTCCTTAACTTCCGTTCCAGGCTCTGCAGAGAGAGACTGTGCGCGCCATAGTTTCCACTGTGCCAGATCACGTTCCCTCTTTTCTTCAGCAGCTTGACGGTCTGCTGCCTCTTGCTCCTCCCTCTGTTGAAGAGCCTCGGCCTCGCGACGTTGACGGGCTCGTTCTCGATCGATCGCCAGCGACCGCTCATAGGCCGAGTCTTGCTGCTCACGTAGACTCCGAGAAGCAGTTTGTTCGGCGCGTGTAGACCGGATGCGCTCCAATGGTTCCTGGTTCGAAGTAGTGACAGTTCGGAGTCGGCTCATAAATTCCGTCGTGGTGGTGGGACCTGCGATACGACTAACAACTGACATGGCTGTCGAGGACACGTTCGGGGTGTGCACGATGACAGCGGCGAAAGGGAACTTGGTGCACTTCAATGAGCTGGAAACTTGGTATGCCTCGGAGTCTCGCAAGTTACCACCCCACACAATAATGTTGTTCTGCGGGTCGTTGAAGAACTCTACAACTTCCGGCACGAGAAGTGTATCCCGTACCCAATCGCTTGTGTCGTCATGCTCCGGCGACATGAGAATAACCAGCAAGAACTTCAGGTCCCGATGGGCTTTCTCCAATGCCATGTTGTATCCATTCTCCATAAACGGGATCTGGTGCGGTCCATGTTCCTCTTCAAATTCCCGTATGAAGCGAGCTGCCGTATCCTTGGGGCCAAGTGGCCTGCGACCTGTAGTATTGCGTCGTGCTCCTTGCAGTGCAGGATTGGCCGTCACGTTGAAAATCCGGGGTAGGAAGGGGAACAGGGTTCCGAACAGACGAAATGAGCTAAAGAGAATCCGATAGACAAGATTAAACGGTGTAAACAATAGTGAAAGGATGAAAGGAGGGCGATAAATGTGTTGTTCCTCTGGTTGTGTATCGATTCGGGAGGCAAGATCCGTGGAACGCGCGGCAGGTGCCAGCTGTGCCGTGATGTCGTCGGTCATCAGGTTCTGGGTTCGACGAGTCGATCGTGGAGGGGATTCAGGAAGTGCCGCACGGACTTCCTCCAGGGGATCTGGGCCTTCACCATCGAAGAACTTTGCGATGGCAATCTAGGATATCATTTAGCAAGTATTTCGGAGCTCTGGCAGTCAGTAACCCACCTGAACATTCCATTGAGAGCGGCGCAGTAGTGGAATAGCCTCTGCTAGGTCCTGTCCTGTGACAGATGTATATATATCCAACACACTTCTCTCATCAGGAGAGAGCCGGTCAAGGTCAAGGTCATCCGGCGCAGACATGCTAGTTCATAGGTGGCCGGGAACTTGTCAGGGCCGAATCCGAAACGACTATGAGGATACCGCTAGTCATACCGCCTACAAATGAAACATGAAACCCACTTCACATCTGATCCTCGGTCATGATAGCTGTGGCCCTGAGGGTAAATAGTAACTAAATATTCTATTCAATATTATTTCCATGAACTTCCGAAACTCATAATTACTTCTGTCTAGTTGATTATACCACTATGACCACTATGACTATGAAGGATTATTCTGCCACTATTTACTACTTATAAACCGCTTTAAGAAATCTACTGACTACTCCGAGCAAACATTCATATACTTGAATTAAACTATCACGAACTAACCTGGAAGCTTTAATAAAAGCAAATTCCAGATTAGCTCGTTATCAACTACTATAATAGTACTATTGTGGTCGCCCTGCCTATTCTACCCTCAAGATTAGCCTATGAGGAAGGGAAACATCCCAGATTAGGAAAAAGCCCTGGAGAGCTAGTCCCGATCGATCATCATAGCATGCTAGGTCCCAGATTCTAGACTTCCAAGGTTGCTGATACCAAATAAGGGCAGATAGTATATCAGTCTTTGACTCTTTGTTGTTTCCTTTCATATAGGAACCCAATTCGAGTGGATTCACGATATAATATTGGGTGTTAGACTTAGACTCAGAATACTATTGATAGAGCTTTAAACTTGGTCTATTAGATTTTATAAGACTCTTAGAACTACCTAGTAGTACTGTACTTGTGTCTTCCCTGATATCTTCTCCAGATTATGTGAACAGGTCTGACCGCCTGGTCCGTGCTCTCCCCCTTCACCCTCTCAGTGGCCTCGCTTCGCGTCACTCCTGCTCTGCGGTTCTATCACTCCCCAGCTTCTTTTGGGAGGAGGTGCTTTGGGACTATTTAATTCCTATTGCATGCTTCCTTTATATTGACATCTCTCCGCTTATTGTGGATTTCTATCCATTGATACGCCACTCTCGATTGATAACGCGGGTTAGCAACAGGCGCATCGCAGGGCATGTACCTTCGCCTCCATCAACTCATTCTGTGCCTCTACCCCGGTTCAATGGAGATCCTGCTGCGTTGATCCCCCCTATCTCGTCGGTATCAGCCGATACATCATGGCATCGATCAACAAGCCCCCACTCGACCATTCCCGCCGTTCAACGGGCTCTCCGAAAATGAAGACTCGAGGTGAGGCATAGTGGGCTGCACTGTGGAAACTATATTATAGAATTTCTGGGCTTGCATGCTGGAAATTGACTGTGAATTGCGCTCACCCTTACGTACAGAGAATGCAAAAGATACAGTATGTCGCAATGTGACAATCTATGGCCGTTGTCGCTATGAAGATAAGGGTATTTATTATCATATTATATCAAGTCCTCTGAATATCGTAACTGACTTTACGTATCCTAATAATTAGGCTGTGCTTTTAATCACGATCCATTGAAAATTAACTCGACCCAACAGTCAGATAGGTGTGTGGTGGCAAGGCCGAGAGATAAGAAACGACGCTGACAGACATTGTATGCGTAGTAACAAGAAACGATTCAATGTCGACTCTCCCAGCTTCACCCCCTCTCTTCTGCCAGGCAATGGTGCTACTACCCCCAAAAAATCCACCACCATCTCCCCGAAAGCAGCAAGCGCTGCTCCATTCCAACCACGAACTTCTTCATCCCGTATGGGGGGACAATCTGATGGAGAATTGTGGTCTCCTGCCAAGAGCTCTAATACGAGCACCCCGCGGCAAGAAGGAGCCGCGGACTGGACTGTAGCTGATGTACAGGAGTTTTTCCCTCAAGGATTTGAAACACACGTAGTAAGTCTTGATCACTCTTTCCATTTTTGTTGGCTCTGAGGCTCCTTCCATCCAGAGATGGCAGTAGTCCATGAGTTCTTCCAGGTCTCGTAATTCTCGCACCCGCAACTCTCGCGCCAGAATACTGTCTCAAAGATGTTCTATATGCGCCCTAGTAGAAGTCTGAGTGGTCTGGCTGATCACTTTGCGAATCGGGATCTACATCCGAATCGGGATCATCACAATTACTATCGCAGTTGCAGTCTTGGATATCATGCGACTAACTACCTACCTTTGCAGGGAAATGGCAGCGGAGTAATTACTCCAGGACCTTTCGATTCCTTCGTTACAGCAACCACTCCGCTATCTGGTGGTGCCGTTGGGCCAGTTTCATCCAATCCATACTCCCATGATGCAGCTGCACTAGGAGGATCTTTCTTCGCCAGTCAAACTGGCTTTCAGCAGCCGGTATTACAAACTCTTCCACCAAATACAACATATCGCCAGCCTCATCTGACAAGTTCACAGGTCCAATATCACCTCTATGCGCCCATCGGTCCTCACAACCAGAATACTCTCGCTTATCAGAGGAATGTTCATGACCTCTTTCTCCCCAACGATTTTCGAGAGGAATTGCAAAAGAAATCTGCGGCCACCTTACAAACCCTTCCCAGTATGTTGCGTTCGCTTCAATCCATTCCTTAGTACCAAAGACTCATCACTTTCTCTAGACACAACCCTACCCGCTCAAGTCGACTACTTCCACTCCCTAGTGCCACTAGATCTCAGTAACCAGAAGAACGCTGCCACCTTCGGGTTTCCTAGCTGGGTTTACAAGGCACAGTCCAGCAAGGATGGCAACTTTTACGCGCTGCGAAGAATTGAAGGATTCCGCCTGACTAACGAGAAGGCCATACGGTCCGTTCAGGCTTGGAAACGCATTTGCAATGGGAGTGTGGTGACGGTCCATGACGCGTTTACCAGTCGAAGCTTCCAGGACAGTTCACTCATATTTGTCACCGATTACCACCCCATGTCCAAAACGCTTACCGAACAACACCTGGGTGCTAGTCGCTTCCCAGCGGGTCGCCACAATACTCACATTCCTGAGCAGGTTCTCTGGGGCTACATGACTCAAATTGGAAATGCGCTGAAGGCGATTCATACTAACGGTCTGGCCGCGCGAGTACTGGAGCCTAGCAAAGTACTGGTGACAGGCAAGAATCGTGTTCGCTTGAATGCCTGTTCCATCCTGGACGTCGTCCAGTTTGACTCGTCAAGACCTGTTGCCGACCTTCAACGCCAAGATCTCGTCAATTTCGGGCAGATGATTGTCACCCTGGGTGCCAATGCACCCAATGTGATGCACAATCCCACTAAGGCGATGGAACATTTCACGCGAGCATACAGCCCCCAGATGAAGAATTCAGTCTTTTGGCTACTGAACGGACTGCAGAAAGATCAGGACCGGACCATTGACATTTTCATCACGGGCATTTCATCTCAACTAATGTCGACTTTTGATTCCGCCCTCCACTTGGATGACCAACTTACGTCTGATCTCAGTCGCGAGCTCGAAAACGGTCGTCTAGTTCGTCTCATGACTAAGTTGAATTTCGTCAACGAGCGACCTGAATATGAGCACGACCGTCAGTGGGCAGAGAATGGGGAGAAGTATTTCTTGAAGATTTTCCGAGATTACGTCTTCCACCAAGTTGACACCCAAGGTGATCCGGTGGTTGATCTTGGTCATGTGCTGACCTGCTTGAATAAGCTTGATGCGGGCTCTGATGAGAAAATCAGCCTAGTGAGCCGTGACGAGCAGAGCTGTTTCATCGTCAGCTACAAGGAAGTCAAAAAGGCCCTCGAGTCCTGCTTCCAGGCGCTGATGAAACCGGCCAGACGAATGCACTGATTCCAGTCAATTTATTCAACTGGCTTGATAATGGTTTATTGTATGCGTTGCACTCTCATGCCTAACACACAGGCAGAAATGGAATGTAGGGAAACTGCTGGAACTCTACTTCATTCACAGGTCCTCTTGGGCATTTGCCCTCTTTTTAACTTTTCCGCTTTTGGCTTTGATAACGATGCTGGCAACTCCAGCGTATCTTACGGGATACGGAGTAAACATATGAATTAAGATACTCAATACCAAAGTGCAGATTAGTAGATCGTACTACCTATAGGATAGTCCCGAGACCATTGGTCTATCCCAAGGCTTTGTTTTCACCTGGCAGTAATTCCTCGACTAGGATCTTGGAATATTGCTCCTCTACATGGATGTTTCTGGGAGACCTTATACTTCTATGTCTTGCTAGTTAATAGTCCAGTCAACTCTTACGTAGTGCCAATTTTATTCGGTATAGACACAGAGAAACGTAACAATCTCAAATCGTTGCATGTTCGTTCAAAGAAATACTATACTATACTCTTAAGATGTCATCATATAAGTAAGTTTTACACATGAATTCATCAATCCAAGTCTGGCACAGGCAGACCATTCACAATTTTAACCTTACGACCGAGCTTGTCGAGAGCGGATTTGGAGTTCTTTACGCGCAGATCGAAGGTCTCGGTGTCTGACACCAGGACAAAATCATAGGTGAGGAGAGGGTGGCCCTCGGGAACGTTGTACTTCTTGGCGATCTCAGGGCCAGCCTTGCCGATATCAACGACCAAGGAGTTCTTGACGCCGAAGACGGCATCAGAAGTTTCGTATGGGTCATTGCGGAGGTAGAGAGCACTGTGGGTGAAGTTAGCATCATGGAGAAATATAAAAAATGTGGTAGAGTGCGTACGTGATCAGATGGTCGTATCCCTCTTTCTCGAACATAAAGTGCATATGCGAAGGACGGTACGGGTGACGGTGCAATTTCTTCAACAACTTGCCGACTGGACCATCGTGCGGAATTGGATACGGCACAGGCGTAATAGCCTTGAACCAGAGAAGACCGTCCTTATCCGAGCGCATAATGCACCGTCCATCGGGACCATCGTGTTCAGGGTACTGCACATCATAGTGTCCAGTAGAGTCCGTCTCCCAAATATCGACCTTAACATTCTCGATAGGACGCCCCTCGGTGTCCTTCAGCGTGCAGACAACCAGCAGCTGTTCGCCACCGGGGTCAGAGGACATTTTCGCGCCAGCTTCCATCTCCACAGCTTCGTGGGTGTGGAATGGCCCGAGGACGGTGCCTTCAGTTGAGCCTGGAGGCTTGGGGTGGTCAATTGAGTCGACTAGGAGGGAGAGGCCCAGGATGTCGGAGAGGAGAATGAACTCTTGTCGTACGTCTGAGCAGATCTTGCCTACTTCTGTTAAGAAGATGATACCTGCCATCCACTCTTCGCTGCTGAGTCTGGTTTCGCGGGCGAAGTCGTGCAGGTGTGTGACTAGTCGCTCGAGGACGTACTTCATGCGGTCGTCTTTGCAGAGGGAATTGATTGTGTGGACATTTTCTGTGATGTTGTCGGCATTGAGATCCTTCATGGGAGGGATCTTGACTTGGGAAGGGTCCATGATGGGTGGACTGAGGTTGTTGGGAATTGAGTGAAGAGGTGTAAGAGGTGAAGTGGGGGAAAATTGGAGTTGGACAGATGAAGAGATTTCGACGAAAAGAGGATCCGGGGTCTTGATGTATTCAATCCTTTTTTAACCAATTCTTCCCCGGCTTTACTCAAGATATCTTATCCGTAGTTCCGAGGAATTGATTTCAATCCAATCGACTTTATTTGATTCCATCTCAACCCCGCATACTCCGTAATCTATCTGCATATGCCCGGGATAACCCCCACGACAAGATCATCTGACTACAGGTCCTACAACGCAGGAATATAGATATACCACCCGAGACTGGATCTATCTAGGTATTTCATATACACTACTTAAGTATCCGGTACCTTGACAAATGGTACTTCTCAATGGCATAGGACGAGGAAATAGCTCGGAAACTTACTGAATGGTCCCCACTAAACCATTAGAGGTTAGTAAGCAGTTCCTTATTCATAACCCGAGCTTTACGACACTTGAAGTCTAGACCCACTTGGGAAGCTCCTTCCCCGCAGGTTTTATGATAATCAGACATGTCGGCTCCATCATTGGCCTTTAGAAATCGAGGCCGGATATACTCCATATACCGCATAGTATTAGCCCTGGAGTCCATACAGTTGAGAGTTGAAAGTTCTATCCAAGGTTTGAAGGTTAGAAGCTGTTGGAGAGTACCTTCGCGGTGAATATATTAAGGGGCACCTGGTTACAGGGCAGAATCATAATAGTGACATATACCCTAACTTTAGCTGGCCAGGCGTGGTGGATTCCAAAGAAATAATGTATATCACTAGGTAGTTATCACCTAAGAAATTAGACTGTACACACTGGCAGGCCAGCATAAAACAAGACAAAAGTAAGACCTGAACTCATCACTTCCAGAGGTAGTGCACTCATTCCCAAACGCCATGAATGGATGAATAGTCATAGAGACATAAATAAAAACATAACTCCGAAACCCTCGCTATTGAAGAACCAAATAGGGGTAATTTGCTTTACAAAAGAGTTGAATCTGAATCAGCTTGCTTGATTGAATCCTTCCTCCTGCCAATCACCGGCACGTATTTGGCCACTGCCACTGCCGCCATTTGCCTGGTAGGCAGCTGCCGCCGCACTGCCGACAACACTCATGGCGCTATGCTGTTCGATCTCCGTTGTGCTCATGATATAAAGCATCACGAACAGTAGCAAGTGCAAGGCAAAGCAGTAGCCTGCGAACAAGTTTCGACTGGTTCGATTTGCCATAATGATGCGAGTGAGGGAGAACACTATCCGCTCTGGGAGGTTCATGCGTTTGTATGCGCGCGCCGATTCACGGCCACGGAAGGCTGCAAAGGGTGAGATTCGAGCTTCATAAGCCGATTGGTACCGATCGAGGGAAAGTCCCGATGATGAATCGGCAGACGCGTAGACAGATGTCGAGTTGGGCGCATTTGCATACGAGGATGCAGACGTGGATGCGCCCTGGCCACGACTGTATGTTGACACGTACCGGGTCTTCTCATAAAGACCCAAGTTATCCTTTTGCAGTGATGCGATTTCCTGGCGGAGTGACTTGACGGTCCCGTACAGATTTGATAGCTCCTCTTCAAGCTCTGCATTCTTCTTCTTGAAGCGATCTCGCTGAGCTTGGATCATGGGCAGAAGGCCAGAACCACCACCAACTGCCTCGCCAGCACGGATGGCATCCATGGTATTGGCAGAAGCGGCGCCTTGATCAAAGCCAGAGATTATCGAAGAGGTGGGGGATGTTGCACCCCGACGTGATGAGTGCGGATACCTGGAAGAGTAGGTTCCCGCAACAGACATTGCTGAGGATGGGAACGCATTGGCAGCCTCTTGCTGCACACGACTGATATCGTTTTCTAAAGTTGTAGACAAGGCTCGTGATTTTTCCAATTCTTGTTTAGTTGTGGAAAGCTCACTGCGTAGCGATTCAATTTGGGATTGAACGTCACGCGTTGATACTCGCAAGACGGCAAGTTCATCAGTCAACTTCTTGTTTCGAGCCAGGAGAAGTTGTTCCAAAGAGTTCTTTCCATTCGAGTTTGTGCCATTGGTGCCCATAGCACCATCCTCAGCTGCACCTTCGCCAACTTCATCATCATCCCCTGTAGCAAATTCAATCGATTTGATCATCTCTAGTTCGCGACGGATATCATCGTAGTCAGCAACTTTCTCGAGGCGCGAGCGCAGCTCGTCCCTCTCAGCTGCAGATTTAGCAGAACTCCTCTCGGATTGAAGAAGCTTGGCCTCCCAGGTATGCCGCGTCGAATCCTTGTCAAAGCGTGCTGCGTCTAGCTTCCGTAGCAAAACATGATTCTCCGACTGAAGACGAAGGTAAGCCGGGTCCTCTTCAACAGAGGCCGACTGATCAGGATTCGAATGTGATACTGCCTGTGCCAATTCTACCCGCAACTGCTCATTCCGCGCTTCCAGTTCCCCTAGCCTTAAGCTGGTCTTCTCCAAATCGGCTGTAACAAGTTCCAGCTCTGCGGCAGTAGCAGTACTACGGCCATCATCATTGTCATCGTCCCCACCCATGCGCTGAGAGACCTCATAGCTTGCCTTGAGCTCCTTTAACAGACGCTCCTGATTCTCTACTTTCTCCTCCAAGCTCTTCTCTTTCGCTGCCCAGTTAATTGTCTTTTCCGCCAAGACCGCCTCCCACGACGCCTCAATCTCCTTGGCCCGATTTTCCAGATTCTGTTCTAGTTTTTTTCTTGCAGCGCGTTCTTCCTGCAGACGCTTCTCTGTTTCCTCCTGCTGCCTCGTGAGGCGCTCCACAGACTTCTGTAATTGATCTCGCTCCGAGGTCAACTTTGGAACAGTGTCTTCTGACAATACTAGGGAATCAATCGAAGCTTCAAGAAGTGGATAGGGGTCGGGTGCTTCGGATAAGGACGAGTATAGTTGTAGGAAAGAGGAGGAGGATGCTTTCCCTTGGTTGGTCAAAAGGTCGATGAAGGATTGGTAGGCTTTCAATAGTCCCTTGTAATCTGTGAGTTTGGCATCATCATCTAGCTTGCGAAAATCCTTGGTCTTCTGGGCGAGTTCCTTTCTCTGGACAAGAGCGTCGCGTTGATGGTCAACAATATCAGAGGCAGATTTATCAAGTTTAGCGATGGTGCTAGCCAAGTCAATACCTGTATAATAATTATGAGCCATTCCATGAGAGTTCTGAGATAGCTGGCATTACCTCGCCAAGCTGCAATAGCACGCTGGAATTTGTTTGTTTCTTCAGATAGCTTTGTGGGAACTGATTCTGGGGCATCTTGCTCATGCACAAGCCCCTCCGTAATAGCAAAAGAATCCATGACCAGCGATCAACCCAGAGAGCACTGTAGTTCACCCCACTCTAAATCACGACCTGTCTGAGATGGGGAAATCGTGGAGAGCTTCAGGACAACGCGGCACCCGGTCCGATATTCTTCCGCTGTATGTAATATCAATAGAGCTGTAAATGCTTTAAGGGTTACCGATTTGGTTCCCAACTGCTTGGAGACAAAGGTCTAGGTGTTCCTTGGAAGCCGTTGTTCCGAGGCACCAACCGTTCCTGATCTAGTGGCCCCTGAAGCTCTGGCCTCATCTTACCGCCTTCCATTCAACTGCAATGCTAGTGGGGAGATACCTAGAAGTCAGCCATTATGGCTTCTGATGATGGATCTGATTCTCATAAGGAGAAGAGAATTGGTCCTTCAGCGACTGCACCTTATGTCTTGCAATCACTCTTCGACAACGTCCCGATAGCAACCGAGGACAGCTCCGACGTTTACATTACCTTCGTCGAGTATTGGGGTAAGCTATGTTTTTTGTTGACCGGATGAAAGCTCATCACTAATATGCAACTTAATAGAGCAAAATTTGTATATTGGTACATCTGCAGCAGAGATCCTGCATTTCGTCTGCCTTCCAGGGGCCTCCGACGACTCGAATGAACCCACATTTATACTCGCATCGCGACTGCCCATCCCGTTCCAAGCCGTTCCTTCAAACCCCGACCAGCATGGCGTTCGGCAAATAGTCATACTCGCATCGGTCAACAAGGCCTGCGTTCTCTGCAATGGCACAGTCACTTTCTACATGCTACCAGAGCTTAGTCCGGCGTTCGGGAACACAAAGGTCAACAACTGCAGTTGGGTTGGTGGCTTGGATCTCAATCGCGATGCCGACTCTGAAGAGAAGCCTGTAGTCATGATAGCCGTGAGAAACAGGATTTTACTCGTTCAGATCGGAGACGAGGCTCGAAGCATCAAGAAGATTGGGTTCCCTGGTTGCTTAGTGGCAGCGCGTAGAGGGACGATTGCCTGTGCGGCTGACGGCCATTCATATTCGTTACTCGAAGTTGAACATCAGCAAAAGATTCCGCTATTCCCGATCTCATCTTCTAGCGAAGTATTTGAGTCTGGACAAGTGGAAGACATTGCTCCTGGTCCTCATACTCCTCTGAAACGATCGCCCTCCTCATCATATCCAAGCTCTCCTCCTGCCGATCCTCATGTGCACGAAAGAAGCAGCAGCCTCAATGCGTTTGTGGGAATGCTAAGTCCGCATGTGCAGACCCCTCAACAGGAAAGGTCTCCCTCAGGAACACCAGACCCGTTCGCGTCCACCGACACCCCTAGACGATCAAACTCCGAGGATCGGGACGACAAGGGACCTCAATCCCAATCTGCAGAACAGCCCGAGTCATCCCCATCTCCAGACGGACTGAAGCCATTACCGCCTCTGCCGAAGCCAGGGAAACGACTGCAACCTCATGTGGTATCTCCAACTCCTTCTGAGTTTCTTTTAGTAACAGGGACTGAGGCAACCGAGCCAGGAGTAGGCATGTTTGTAGATGTGGATGGCGAAGTAGTTCGGGGTACCATCAACTTTCACCGATATCCCAAGTCAGTGGTAATCGATGCCGGGGAAGATGACCAATCCCTCCAACCAAACGATGGTGTCAAAGAAGAGTTTGTGATTGCTGTGATTGAAGATGACAAGCTAGGAAGTCGACTGGAAATTCAAAAATGGAATGATGACCCTGCAGAGATTGAGCGTCAAAAGAGGTGGCTAGATTTACCTTCATTGGAGACAAAGCCTGTTCAAGTCGGCCTGAAGCATACGGCCAGTCCTAGTCATATCGATCTTGATAACATCGGGAAGCTTCTGCAAATGGTTCGCCTAAAAACACCGTCGTTGTCTCCACATGTTCCATCAACAGACCCTAGGACGCAAGACTCGATTGAGCAATCGCAGAGAGAGAAAGAGCTTTTCGATTCTCAAGAGTTGGTTGATTCTCAGAGAAATGACGAAGAAGCTAAATTTGCTCAAGGGCTGGTTAAACTTCAGAGTAGTCTCATTCTATGGTCAGGGTCCCAAATATGGCGCTTAGTCAAAAATCCATTGGTCGTTCAGCTCGAATCTATCCTGCAGAATGCGGAGCATACCAATGATAGCGGTCATACTCTTTTGCAGCGGGATGCCGTTACCGAATTGATGCGTTCTATCCGGGATACCGAGCCCAAGAACGAGTCAGAGTTCATCGGGTTGGGCTACGTAAAGCAGAAAGCCAGTCTTTTGCTTTATGCCGACCTTCTCTCTATGCAGTCGGACAACCTGGAAGAGTCTACGATCAATCGTACCGAATTGGCGCTTTTATCAGGCAACCTTGATCCCCGACTGGTCTTGCTGTTCATTCCTCTACTTCGATGCGAAGTGCTGCAGGGTCCGCAAGGCATATGGATTCATGCAGGGCTGGCAGCCACTGGAGAGAAGCTGATCAGCCAGGTCGACAAGACCAGCCACAAACTATCTGGACCAGCTGTCATTCACGACCCTGTCTTGAATATGGTGAAGCGATTTCTTTTCTCGTGGCAACAAAAGAGAGGATATGGGAGCATCACTGATGAGACGTATGTTTTAGACAGTACTGATGCTGCACTCCTTCACCTCCTCTTGGAGCAAGATAGTCAGTTGAATTTAGAGCAACGCACGACCTCCCAGATCCGCAACGAGCTGAATAGACTGGTTGATGGCTGGAAGGGTAACTTCGATCGAGCAGTTGTGCTTTTGGAACAGTATAAGAGACTCTATATCCTGAGTCGACTATACCAAAGCCAGAAGATGTCTCGCAATGTCCTTCGCACCTGGAGAAGGATCATTGATGGAGAGACTGATGCGGGTGGTGAGGTTACTGCTTCCAGCATCGAGTTGCAGATGCGCAGATATCTAGTGAAGATTAAGGATACCCAGTTGGTAGAGGAGTATGGCTCCTGGCTTGCTGGTCGTAATCCCCAGCTAGGAATACAGGTGTTTGCGGACCATTCTAGTCGTGTGAGGCTGGACCCCACGGATGTTGTCTCTTTGCTCAAGGAGCGTGCCCCCAATGCCGTCCAGGTTTACCTAGAACACCTGGTGTTTGCCAAAAATGTGAGTCTTTCCCAAGCACGTCTTGTGATGAAAAATATGTCTGACAATTTTACAGTATACTCAATACGCCGACGACTTGATCTCATACTACCTGGATGAAGTGCTATCAGTACTTGAATCGGATCCTGCAGCGCGAACCTCACTTTCAGAATCATACTCAACATACCGGGCCCTTCGCCCACCCAAGCCGACATATCTGAATTTTATTATCGAGAATATCCCTGCGGAACCCTGGTGGCAGTCTAGACTTCGCCTGCTGCAACTTCTGAGTGGCACCTCTGGCACTCAATTTACATCCACCCCTGTCCCTTCTGGAATTACCTATTCCATCCCCAAAGTGCTGGCCCGCATAGAGCCTTTCCAAGATAACCTTGTTTCTGAAAGCATTATTCTAGACGGTCTACAAGGTCGTCACCGTGCTGCTCTTCGACTACTCACCCATGGTCTAGGCGACTTCGACTCCGCGATCCGATACTGTTTATTTGGTGGACCACGTAGCTCTACCTCTCCAACCGGTGCTCTACCCGAGTTTGCCGCTCACGATCTGCAGTGCGAACTCTTCCGTCATCTTCTAGATGAGTTCCTCCAAATAGAGGATATGTCAGACCGTATTGAACGTACAAGCGATCTTCTTGCTCGTTTCGCGGCCTGGTTTGATGTCAGTGAAGTCCTTGATCTCGTCCCGGACGAATGGAGTGTTGACGTTCTGGGTGGATTCCTCGTCCACATCTTCCGAACCCTTGTAACTCAGAAACGCGAGGCACGCATTGAACGTGCCCTCAGTGCAGGTCTCAACTTGCGTGTCGGTGTTGAATACACTGACAGTATGGAGAAAGCGGGACCTTGGATTGAGGATGCTGAAGGTATACGGCGTCCGAAGGACAGAGAGACACAAGTATCATCCGCACAAGCTGATGGAAATATGGAAGATGAATTTGGTGATTTGGTAGAACCAGCAAATGGAGATGAAATTCCATAAATTGGTCAGTGCCCAGGCCTCGGGCCTTGTTCGATAAGGTAGATGTGAGATTACAATATCCAGTTCTGTAGAATTCTTTGGCTTTAGCATTACGATACCTATTCAATTCAATACGCTCTACAGCTTTATTTCCTCCACTCTCTATTGAAGTCTCCCTGGGTGTGGATAGCTTTAAATGCTCGCAGATATCGAAGTAGGGCAAGCACTGATTCAATTCAGAAATCTAGAATAATTTAATCGGTCCACTAAAGCTGGCGAGGGAAAACCTTTTTCAAAGGAAAATAAAACGGTCAGGATTCACGTCACTCACCATACTACTAACTGACCGGCGCGTGGCTTAAACGCGGCCAATAGTCGGGCGAGACCGTGTAGGTCCAGCCTGATATCTTAGATATTCAGCACTCATCCTTCGAGAATCAACTGCACTCTCACCTTCGTCTGTGCGTACCAATGTTTCTCTACAAATGCTCTAATTCTTCCCATGCCCTCCGCTCTGCGCCGGCTGCAGAGTCGTCTACTGATGTAGCAAAGCAAATCAGATCGCTTGTCGTTCTAATCACAAAGCAGCATGCAAGGCTACAAATGAAAGCAGGGTCCGCCTAAACACGAGGAAACAGCACTGAGATCAGCTCAGTCCAACCTCAACATTGGCCGTGGCCAGATTTGGGGCATTCTAGGCACCCATGACTACACGGGAGCACCCAAGCCAGATTCACATTTTCAATGCTCAAGACACTGGGGTTCGGTCTGTAAGCCAGGTGCGAATGTATTCCACAAATTCCAATGAACTCTGGAATTGCTTTGCTGAGAGACTCGTGACCTGAGGAGGTTCAAGAATAAGACGCATGTTGATGGAGCAGAGAGGATACGTAAGTGGAGAACTACTGTGGGTCATTCCGGCTCTAATCTTACGGATTAAAGAATTCCCGGCCATGCAGGAATCTGGGTGCTTTTCTCGAAAGGTGCTTCTTTGTCTTGTTCTTTGGGGCTTTTTTTGGCAATATAGAACTAAGGGTCTCACACGCAAACAGTTCTGTAACACTGATTCTTTGTAAATCCTTCGCCCTATAATAGGAACGGACCTTAGTGTCATAGTAGGCAACATATCGCGATGAAGAGAGGTTTCAATTTTAAAATCAGTGGGAACCTGGTCTTCTTCATTTTAGTTTTGTCGTGGTATTTTGTGCTTTCGACAGTTTCCATATCTTCATCGACTATAAATAAGAGATAATTTTCATTGTTGATAGATTCAAAATTTGACAGTCATCTCTGGTAGAGAAGCTTGTCGATATGTTCTGATGAACCGCCATTGAGGATGAACTGTTGATACTTCTTTTCGATATGTAGGGTCCAAGGTGGAGCTTTTCTCGTCTCTCTGAACCGTGTTACAAAGCGACAATCGTACACATTCAGCACCATATCACCTTCAGATGCTAGTCGAACAAGCATTACACAAGACCAGAAGTGGTCAAAATGATTTTAAGACTGTAGCCGTCATTTTGTCTTGTCTGAAAGGGAGCTGTAGTTTCATCACGTTGCCGACTTCATAATAAGAGAAAAGGTTTCTGTCGTCTGTGATTTCAATTGATTGCACAACAATGTTCAAGCAAAGTGCTAGACAGATTCTCTGTGGTTAGTGTTTCAGAATACCACTTGGTCTTGATATTGGTGGTTGCGCAACGTTGTTCGAGCTGTATTAGGTAGAGAGAAGAGTGAGTTTGGTCCTGTAACCAAGTCACGTGAGATATCAATGACTAAGATTTGAGTAAATAGGATGTCATCAGCGTAGCGGTGCTTTCGTATACAGTAGGTAGCTACGGTCCATCTCCGTATGGGTATTGAGGAGGTTGATTGAAGCAGATGTATCTTTGGTAGTGGTAATCTCATGTTCTGAATTCAATAATCTTTAATGACGTAAATATCATTGTCGCTTAAGCAACAGTCTTTTGCAACCACGGGTTGTGAGTGAGTGCCTCACCAACGGGTGAAATCGACACGAGAAGGTTAGCACGAACAATGAGCAGGCCCAGGGGGCGAGTGCTCTTGTTGCCCTCAGAATCTGGGAAGAATCAGCATAGAGAACAAGAAAAGACCGAAGGAATGAGATATGTCAAGGTCTACTCCTCTTTAGACTCACCACGCATAACCTCCTTGCTAGAATCAAGAACGAGATTCATCAACTGGTCGTAGCCCTTCAGAGTGCCGGTGACTGCGGGTTTTTAGTACTTTAAATCGCGCGTATTAAATGGACAGAATGGGAATGAGTGGAGTCTGGACTGACCTTCACGACCGCCACTGAATTTGACATCCAACTCCTTGTCGAGGTACTTGCTCAGATCAAGGATGTTCTCTTTCTTTGGTTTTTCATGACCACCAGCGCCAGCAGCTTTGTTGTGACCCCGGCCGCGACCGCGATCACCTCCTCGGATGGAGCCTCCACGTCCAGACATGGTGAGGCAAAAATTGGATAAAGGGGAAAGCTAAACCCAGATCGGAGGGTGAATGGAGATGAATAGAAGACAAATGATTGGAAGAGATTGGGAGGGGGTGTTTTGGCTGTGGCAGTCTAGGATTTGATGTTAGTGGGTGAGATTGAAATTGGCTTGGATCCCGCTGTTACTGTATTCGTATTGTCACCGGGGCTGAATTATTGGGGCGGAAACAGCTTAATTCTACGATACCACATGTAATTAGAAATACGAAAGATACGGTGGCTCTACCCCCCTATTCCTGTTACAAGTCAATATTATCCCAACTACTTTGAATATTCTAAGTATATGATAAATAGTATTTCCACTTTGTAAATACAGAAATGAAAAGAGAGTCCGCGGAAGTGCCAGCACATACCACGCACGGGCGAAATACCTCAGCGGAAAGTTCCGGCGGGACTCCGCTCTGTACCCTATACTTGGGGGCTATTGGTCCCTCCAAGCGCTAGATTAGGTAGAAGTGACTTGTGACTTGGTTCCCGGCCAATCCCTAGTTCCGGATGCAACGGAGACTTTCACTGCAGTTCTTCCTTTGCTTTTCCTTTCCACTCACCTTCTCTCTATTTCCTCTATGGACTTGTTTCATCAACCTTCCTTCACGCCCGCTTTAGTGGCTTAGCTGCCGCCTTTTTTGCTCCGCCGTATTGACTCCGCCGCGCTCCATCTGTACCGCTCCCCCCCATTTTTAGGCGTGTCTCATTTTCTTCTTCTTTTTCCAAAAAGAGTTGCTAGACTCAGACCCATTCATTACCTTCAACTATTACCATGGAGTCTCGCATTTCAATGGCAGATTCGTCCAGCAAACGGCCCCGATCTCCGTCAGTCGATCAACCTCCGCAGTCCAAAATGCCCAAAACACACTCGAACCATCTACATATCAACTACCTAGCGCGCCAGTACCCCGATAATCTCCCTTTGGTCGCCGCCGAGGATACCATGCCGGCCATTATGCATTTGATCGGTGAATATGACGGCGTGCTACAGCGCCATGAGAGTATCGCGGGCAACCTGGGCGCATGCCCGTTGGGGCCTATTTTGATCAAGCGCTTTGAGCGCTTATTTGATGGGCCTCCACGGGTTCTCAAGTCGCATGGCAAGGATGGATCCGTGGTCACTTGGCTAGATGTGGTCGAGTTCGCCAAGAGCAAGCCGGAGCAGTTCAACCTGGAGAAATCGCGCAACGGGGTGCGGGTGTGCCAGTTCTATACCAAACAGTGTCGCGTCGAAATCAGCGAGGAAGACTTTGTACTGATCGCTTCAGGTATGCCGCAGAAGATGATCCCTCCGCAACCAATCATTGAAGATGAGGAGAAGGAGCTAGGCGCATTGGAGATTCTAGAGAAAAATCTTCAGCACATTATCCAGATGGCTGATCAGGGTAAGCAAGATGTCAACGTTATGATTAAATTTGCATGGTATCTAAGTAAGGCTGGATATAGTGTCTGCCCGAGCTCGCCAGCTGAGTTATCGCCTGAAGCACCGCCGCACAGCGATTGTGAGTCGTCGAGAGAATGATGTCTCGCTACAGTCGCGCACCACTGTTGATGCCTGGCGCTCTACCAATGGAAATGGCCCGACAAATGGCCATCCACCTCAAGCACCGCCTTCTGGATTCTTGGCAGTAAATGCGACTCGACCCGAAGAGGCTACGGAAGACAAACCATTGCCAGCACCATTCATGTTCTCACATTCCAACACGGATAACGTCACCATAATCAATGGGACTTCTATTAAAGGTGCCTCACCCGATACCCGAGCTGACTTGATGAAGAAGTTCTTTACTACAGCCGATCGCCAGGCGCGCGGCTTCGATGGCGCTTCAGACCCATTCATCCCACAGCCTCGGCCCCGGCCCCGTGGATCTGATCCGGCTGACTATAGCATTTATAACACAGCAAATTCAACCCCAGTAGCTATACCTAGCACTCCATCCTCACTACTCCCGCCCCCTAAGTCGACCCCACAGGAAAAGGATGACGGAGGTCCGTTCAAGCTGGAGATGGTAGCCCGCATGGAGGATTTACAGCGTGGTGAGCGTGTCGTCCCACCCTGTGATCGGTGTCGCCGTCTCCACATGGACTGTCTCAAAAACCTCACCGCGTGTTTGGGATGTACCAAGAAACACGCCAAATGCTCTTGGCGCGACGTCAAAGAAACTGAACTACACGCAGCTTTTGGATCGTCGGTACCGCGCGAACGCATGGAACGCACCGAAGATGATCGAGGCATCGCGGTTCCATCCCAAGGTTTTACACCTACCAATCATCCATCTCCAATTGAACCCCGTGTTGACGCACCAGGCGGTGCTGACCAGCAATCGTCCTACTACCATGGCCGACATGAATCCGCCCCTGGTAGTTCACACTTTGCTTCGATCACCTCGAGTCTTCCATTGGGGATATCACCCCACCATTCTCCTCGTCGGGCCATGAGCGAGACAGACGGCGGTCGAACGCATGGGCACCCGGAACGGCATACCGAGGATGAAGATCCGGGTGCTAATCAGCGTCTGATGCAAGCGATTCTCGACACGGTGGATCATCATGCACGTGTTGCAGCCGCCGTACAAGAGAAAGATCGTGGTGCTGAACGAGGTTTCGAGCGTCCCGAGCGTGCCAATGATACCTCTCGTGAATTTGATCATGAACGAGATCATGAGCGGGAACGAGAGCGAGAGCGAGATCGGGCTGCAGACCAGGATCTAGATCGAGAGCAAGATCACGAGCGACGGCTGGTTCCGGCTTAAGTGCATCACTTCATTCTTCGATATATCATTTTCTTATCCTGTATTATTTTGAGCGTTCTAGTGGCATCTTTATCTAATATCCATGACATTTTTATGTTTTCTAAGGTTATTTTCTATCATATGACCATATTTCTAACATCGAAATTTACCGATTTTCAAGGTTCAATTTCCCCTTCATCTCACCCTCAAACTCTCACCACCACTTTTATACTCACTTTTATACTCACTTTCACTCTCACTCTTCTGTTTCCAAGGTTGCTTTCTACATCCACTCACTTCCACTCATATAGATATTTCTTCTATTCCTCTCTTCTCATTAATTCTACTGAGCATGTCAAGCTACATAACGAGATAGTAACTATCATATAGAGTGGAGGGTCGAAAAGTTAATGGAAACCGGCGTCTTATGGTTTGTTGGTGTTGAAATCTCCATAGTTCGCAACCTAATTAGGACAAGTGGATTTCAAGGGCCAATTATATCGCATGTTTTTCTCCACTCTATATCTATTCAACTCGATCATATTCATACCTTCTCTCTTCCCATCCCCTCCTTTTTCACAAAGTTACAACGGGTTTTTTCGCGAAGGTAAATCCTTAATCAATCTAGCCTACAATGGGTCCTCCCAAAGAACCTCCCCGGCCGTTGCTCCCTGAAGCATCCACTGCGTCTAGTGCGTTGAGTACGTCGAGTAATGCGACTAGTTATGCATCGACTGAGCACTCTCAGTCATTTGAAGCTGATGCTGAGGCTGATATCATTATGACTGGCATAAAATCGCCTATTCCCACCATCAGCACTCTTCCCAGCGCCGCAGTACCTCCTCGATTGTTCTCTGAAGCATCCACTGCGTCAAATGCGTCAAATGCGTCAAGTACGTCGAGTAGTGCAACTAGTCATGCATCGACTGAGCCTTCTTCTTCATTTAAAGCTGATACTGACACTGATATCATGACTGACATAGAATTACCACCTCCTGTTTTCGGTACTCCTCCTAGAACCGCAGGAAGCTACCAGTTCTTATTTTCTGAAGCCAGTGCGTCAAGTTCGTCGATTATTGCGGCTAGTCATGCATCGACTGAGCACTCTCCCCTAGATGAAGCTTACACCCATACTGATCTCATGGCTATCCTAGAGTTGCGGAATATCTTCGATGAATCTGTGGAGCCCCTGTCCAAACTTTTGTCAATCAGCTCTGTGGCATCCACCAATTCAAGCTTCGCGGAAACACAACAACTGGCGCAAGGAACAGAGCAACTATTCCGGTTGATAGGTGCTGGAACTTGTGGCAAGGTATTCTCCCGTGACGGTTCAACTGACGTCTACAAACTTGCCATTGACGACTCGGATGAACTATGGAACGATTATGGTATGCACACCAAGGTCCTCGAGGCTTTTGCCCGACACCCGAGCATGGTCTCGGAAGTACATGTCCCGCAGGTCGACTTTTTTATTAGTATGGCCCATGGCGGTGATATCTCAGCCGAATGGTGGCAGACCCATGGGCCTCTATTCCCCCCAGACACAGCAAATGTGCCTAACAATGTGCTCAAGTCAGAGCGCATTCTCCCGCTACCCTCAAAGATTCGGGCATGCCTTATCAGGCATTATTGCCACCACTCCCTGCGTGAAGCTGCCTGGAGATCGCCTGGAAACAAAGATTGCCTTGTACGTCTCTATCTTGGAAAGCGTCGGGATATCTCCCGCCGACCCCCTCGTATGTTTAACTTGCGGAATTACAACATGCACCTCGACCAGATGGAGGAGTTGAAACTTGACACCAGCACATATGCCAAGTACATGGGTCGTGCTCTTGCCATTATGTACTGGGAGGCAGGTATTGATGGCAACGATGTGGAATTTGTCCTTGGGTCTGCCCCAACATATTCCGTATCATCCCCTCTGACTAGCACAGAGATTGCCGACCTACCAAAAAATTCGACGACCGTGCCGCTTGTGCGCAAAATTTATGACTTCCGCAAACGGTTCGTCTACCTTTGGATACTTGATTTCAACAAGTGCCGCACAATCACCATGGATGAGGTTGGCGTTAAGCAGGCTGTCCGGGCCTTCTATCGCAATGACCCATACTTTCCACGCCCGCTGACAAAGAAGGCTTCTGATCAGCTACTTTGGGATGAGCTCCGAGATGCTTACCTGAGTGCAAGCAAAGTTTGCCTTAAGGGCAAGCCGGCCCTGCAGAAACTTCCCGACCTTTTCATCGAAGAAGCTATCAAGGAGCAGAAACTGAGAATCGCAAGAAAGCTTCGTGCAGAGCTTTCTTTGGCAGACAGTTCATTTGAGAAGACTCAAGTTTGAATTCTTTTTTTTTCGCTTTTGGGGTTCCACGCCAGTTTTGGAATTAGGGGAACTTTTCGTTCTCGATTTCTTTTCTGTTTTCTTTCTTTCTTAAGCATACCAGAAACCATCCAAGGAATTGGTTCAGTTGGATTTTTGGATTTTTGAATTTTGGACTTTGGATTTGGTTAAAAAAGCAAGCACGGATTGGGTCTTTGGGCTCGGAGTTCAGGTGTTTGTTATGATACCCAGTTTTACGGTTTAGCAGATATCTTTGTCATTCAATGACTCAAAGATGGGCGTAATCAGCCTTTACTGAACATGATTATTGAGTGTTCATTCATTAGTCCTATTCGCTTTTATTTCGACATCTGCTAACGAATAAACTTCGTAGGAGTCTTAAGCTGCCTTTTTCTTGAGCGTCGAATAGTGCACGTTCGAATTGATCTGAAACGTGTATCGTTGATATTCTTTGCCAGCGGTCTTGATGATTTCCCCAACATCGAGACGGGTTTCCCACACACATCGGGGTAGCCCGGTGGCTAGGTTCACCTTATCTACATAGAGCGACGGCCCATACCGAATGGCGAAAACGCCCCACCGGTGAACTTGGTGGCACAGGACTAGATAGCAGGACTCGAGGATAGGATTGAAGAGGAAACGACAGTTAATTTGAGACTAGTAAATTTAGAGAATAGATCAGATAAGTAGCTTATTCAATATAATTACAGATATAGTTCATGTTTGAAATGCTAAGGGTGTTCAATTTTCATCAGAATCTATAAAATAATCTCATTTAGAGATCTTTCAAAGACATCTAAAGCAGGCCTCATCCGGAAGAAATTCTCCCAAAGAGACATGGGGTAGGTGCGAGTTCCAGTCTCCATTCTTTCTTGAATCATGAAACTGTTCGAAGTTGAGGTGGGCTGAGGTTGAGGATAGTAGAAAAACTGCGAGATCATTCACTGGAGATTCCTCAGATTGATTTAGGCTTCCGCTATCTGGCATCACGGTCACTGTAGAATCCATATCTGAACTTTGTATCAAATCCGAAGCCGATGAAAATTCTGGCGCAACTAGTATCGAGTCTGAATCCGCTGTCATATCTGAACTTGGCATCAGATCCGAAGCTGGTATCGTATTTGAAGCTGATGAAAAGTCTGGTACTACTGGTATCGAGTCTAAAGCCGCTGTCATGTCTGAACTTGTTATCAAATCCGAAGCTGGTATAGTATTAGAAGCTGAAAAGTCTGGCACAACTGGTATCGAATTTGAAGCCGCTGTTATCATGTCTGAGCTTGGTATCAAATCCAAATCTGGTATCGTATTTAAAGCTGATGAAAATTCCGGCGCAGCTGGTATCAAATCCGGAACTGGTGCCGTATCTGAAGCTGACGTCAAATCTATATCCGGGAATTCAAGAATTTTTGGACAATGAATAGCCAATGCGTTGCATAGACGGGTTTTGGCTTTGCGGAGTGCCTCGATAGTCCACCCATAGGCCAACATCCCATCTATGATTATATTGCCGGCTACCATATTGAGTTCTTTTGCATGAGAAGCAAATGATGGTTTCCTATGTTAGCGCAACTCACTAGCCAGCTGAAACCGTTTCAATTGGCTTTGAAAGTAATTACTTTTCCTTATAGAACTGGATAAAAAGGGACACATCTTGCTTGCTGAGGGCTTTTTCCCAGCTTAAAGAATCATTAAAGCGAAATTGTCAGACTTTTACCGACCAAGTAGCTTAAATCAGGACCAACTTACTACCAATTGACTCCTGTACCAAGCTCTAACAATGAAGCTGGTCCGCACTCTTCAAGTAATCTGATGTAGTTGCGGCTACGTCTCCACTCCTTTTTGATCTCTTCGGGATTCAAGTTGAGATGTTGTGCAATTGAACTCACTGCAGCGTGTTGCCGACTCTGTCCTGGAGCTAATTTCCAGTCCTGAGCTTTGATAATTTCGACATCATGGGTGAGAAAAATCAAGGATAGCCGCCCAGCAAATTCAAAACGCTGGGACTCCTGCTCAATCAGTTTTCTGCCCTGGAATAGCCGGGCAATCCGTGACTGCATAGCCCCAGCTGTGTCGAACACGCAACTTCGATGCGCCGACCACAATCCGAGATAAAAATATGCGGTATGGCGGGGCGCTTTCAAGACGCCCTCAAAGACTCGCATTAGACGATCTAGTTCGGCTGGGAGAGATATTTTGGCTGCAAAGAACTCCCGTGCTTCTTGTATTTGAAGGGTGAAACTGTTTCTTTCAATTGACTTGGAGCGATGGAGTGCCACACCAGACAGCTTCCGTTTGTAGCCAGAAGTCTTCGACTTTTGATTTTTCGGGGCATCTATATTTTGAGAGTTCTGGGAGTCTTTGAAACACTGACATAAGGGGTCTGGACCAGATTTATCTGAGGAAACCGCACCTGGGTTGGGCAGGAATTTTTGAAATTCTCGAGGAGACCCCCGGGTAAAGAAGGCACGGAAAGAAGCGAACAGTCGCTGGAAGCATAGAGTATATTATCAGATGATATTTTTCTTCCTTGGAGTGTATGGGAGTGTAGATGTACCGGTGATTCTTGGACATCTGAAGGCGACAGTGCATCCAATGCATTTGCCAAGTTCTCTTCGTTCAAAGCCACCATTCTCAAAGAAGTGGTTATTTATCTCAGCAGTCATGCAAGACATATTATCCTCTATATAGGTATCAAGGAGGAATAAGAGTGTACTACTTAAATGCCAAGATTATCCGGTGCAGTATTTGGGGACCCCTACCTAGGCCCCCCACACGACATCCAATTGGCTCCACTGAGCCCCTCAGCGCCGGCCCGCACTTAGGGCCGGCAAGGGTTGTTTTGCCCGTGCGGTTTAAACTCTTCTGCATAGACTGAGCATTGGAAATTCCAGGGCCTAAACCCCAGAATATCGCATTTGTCGATTATTTAAATGTAGCAAATTTCTCCCTTGGATATCATCGTTGAAGAAACATTTTTCACAAGACTCTTTTCAATTTACTCTTTTCAAATTTGGTGAAACTCCCGCTCCTCGTTAGTATGTCAATTGAATCGGAAGTAGCGCCAGCCCTTCGGGGTCTACCTGCAGGTCTTCCTCGTTTAATGCCCGTAGACCGCAAACTATTCCCCGACGGTCTTCGCACAAGTGGTCAGCATCCACCAGTGGAAGGCCAATTGCGCCAGTTCAATGAATTTCCGCGTCAGATTACGGGACCGACAGTGTGGACTCCACAGGAGATGGTCGATCACCCGGGGAAATGGATCCATAAATGGACAGATGCAGAGCTTGAAGAACTTCTGCAGGCTGTCGAGACATTCATCGCCTCTGGAACCCCGCTCGTTAATATCAGCAAGGTAAGCACTAATATATTTCGCCACATATGAAAACATACACCTAAATCAGTGTACCGCAAGACCAATTTCAGGCTACCTACTCTTGAGGGGGCCTTACAGGACATTCGGAATATCATCTTGAATGAACATGGGTTCTTTGTTTATCGTGGCTTGCCCATAAGCCAGTGGGGGCGATACAAGGCAGCTGTTGCAACGATGGGGTTATCTGTGCACTTCGGATACCTGTTGTCGCAAAACAAACTTGGCCTGATCCTTGGCCACGTTACGAATCGAGGAGCAGACTATCACAACAGTCTCGACAAGGTTAAGATTTCGGCCACGAATGCCCCGTACGTTGAAACCCCATCCGCCGATCCATGTGGCAAAGCACGGATTATATGATTTCTACCCCTTTTCCTAGCACTAACCTAAGAAAATAATAGCCAATTCTATCACACTGACGAAGCTGATATCGTTGGACTATTATTCTGTTCCCCAGGGAAGACGGGTGGTGCCTCGGGTTGTGCATCTGCACACATAGTGTGGAACGCCTTGATTAATGAACGGCCTGATGTGGCCAAAACATTGTCATCGCCAATCTGGTATGTTGACCGTAAGGGTGAGGTGACTGATGGCCAAGAGCCCTGGTTCAAAAATCCCGTTTTCATGATGGAGCCAGGTGGCAAAGAACGTGTCTACGTCAAGTATGTATCTTGTCTATTTTTTACAGCGCTGGGCTTACCCCTCGTGGATAGCTTTGATCTAACTGAGCATTGAATTGCATAGATGGGACCCATACTTTGTTAAGTCTTTGTCCCGCTTCAGTGACAAAGGATTAATCCCCCCTCTCTCCGCGGAGCAACTCGAAGCTATGAAAGTCTTGGAAGAAACCTGCCAGCGGTACGGGATTGTCTATGATTGTGAAATTGGAGACATTCAATTCGTATCTTGCTGCCAGACTTTCCACTCTCGCACTGGATTTACCGATCCCCCTCCCCCACAGCCTCAGCGATACTTGCTGCGCACGTGGATCGGGACACCTGAACACGAGGGAGGCTGGTCCCTGCCTTTTCACGACAGCTGCTACCCAAAGCGAGGTGGAATCCAGGTTGACAGTACACCACCGGCCGCCGATCCACTCACCACCGCAGGAGGTACTGAGTGAGTATCTGAAATTGGCATTGGAGAATTTAAAGCCGCGTGTGAAGGATTGACAGAAATGTGGGCTTTCGAACATTTTATCTAAGTTTTAGCTCTGTGTTGCTTCGACAGTGTCGCTATCACTCTTTTAGCCACTCTTAGGGGCATTCTTTTCTCTTTTTGAAATTACTACAGTATTGAAATCAAATAATTTGGCTTAACATGGCCCAGCACTATATGGATTAGTTAGCTATCAATTTGAATCAACCCATTCTCATCGTCTGCATATTTGGTAGTGCATATTCATTGTCTCTGCAATATATGGCCCACCGACAAGAATGTAGCAGTAATAATCAATCCATCAAGGCAACTGTTTTTGGATTCATGACATGATCATATTTGTCACCCTTTTCCAATTTGCTATCACTGTAAAATAAAAATTTGGCATTGGGTATATCCAGAACATTATGTACCCAAGTATAGTGCTGATGCCTGTTTGATCAGTGAGATTATATCGCAGAATTTAGTATAAGAACACTGACTTCCCTTAGCTGCTAAAATAGATTGTATATTTTTTTTCATCTCCAAGGATTTAAAATACAGCATAAATCAATCATCAAAATGGAAGCTCCAACACCCCAGCAGATTGCCTTCATCGGCCTAGGGAACATGGGCCGAGTACATATCTTGCCAACCTTCCCAAGATCTATCCACTTCAGACTAACTGAAAGTTTTCTGTAGGGCATGTGTCGGAATTTGGTCCGTAAGCATCTCTGGGCATGCAAGCAGTCCATTGGGATTCCATTGATCATCTACAATCGAACACGCTCCCGAGCTGACGCTCTCAAAGCTGAGCTGCCTGATGGCAGTGTTCGAGTCGCCGACTCCATTCAGGAAGCCGTGACTTTCTCCGACGTGATAATTACTTGCCTGAGCGACGATGGTGCTGTCCAGAAGGTCTTCGATGAAGCGCTGTCAGTTCAAACCGCTGGGAAGCTCTTTGTGGAGTGCTCGACTATTCATCCCCTGAAGACAGAGGCTCTGTCGAACCAAGTTCTGTCTGCGAACGCAAGATTCGTTGCATGCCCTGGTAAGATAGAATTGGAATAGAGCCCTTTGTTCTTGTCTGTGTATCAGCCCTTTTTAACATGGATATAAGTATTCGGAGCGCCCGATCGCGCCGACAATGGGCAACTAGTTGGCGCTGTAGCAGGTCCACTCTTGGACGTGGCATGCGTCAAGCCATGGTTCGAGGATGTGATGGGCCGAGCAATAATTGATCTAGCCGATCGGCCACCTCAAGCTGCCACAACACTCAAGGTAATCGGAAATTCGCTCATCTTTAATATGGTCGAGGCTGTGGCGGAGGGGCATGTTCTGGCTGAAAAGAGTGGCCTAGGGTGTGCCGCACTGCACGAGTATCTCCAGCTCTTCTTCCCAGGTATTTATACTTCCTATTCACGTCGCATTATGACGGGAGACTATTGGAATCGAAATGAGGTTAGTCAGAATTCTTACTTTGATGACCTCAGATCATTAAAATGCTGACATTTTTTTCCTGGGAAAGCCGTTGTTTCTCGCGGATTTGGCCCGAAAGGATATCAAACATGCCTTCAGTCTCGCGCATACTGTCGGCACCCAGCTACCTGCATTAGAGGTAGCTGATTCACACCTAGCTAAGGTGGTCGATCAGAAAGGAGAGAAGGGCGACTATGTGGGTCTTTATGGCGTACTACGACAGGAAGCTGGAATGTTATATGAAAACTACTAACTTCAATCTATATAAGCCCATACCATCTGCGATATATCCTTCATATAGGCTTTCAATCAATATATACCCACCAAACGCTACCTAGAACTCGATGGTCTTTAGACAGAACATTCATCTAAAAGCATCCTGTAACGGCGTGGGACGCCTTAAGGATTGAGTAACCTGCGAGAATGGCTAAGATGTGGGAGACCTAGTTGGTACTGGCAAATTCAGGGGTCAGTTTCCCTCAGAAGAGGCGGGGACGAAGTTCGGTCGTCGGAAGTAAAGGGATCCTCCCCTGATGCTACTTTGCGTCTCTGTAGACCCTTTCAACATTAGTTCTTCTCTCCCTTATCGTACTTCATCCGCACTGGACCTAAGTCTTACGGATTTAATTACGCTAATCAACGTCCTAGTGCTATTTTTGAGTAAATCAAAGTCAGACTTTTGCAAGACGAGGGCTCAGAGGAATCTCATTCTTACGATGTCGTTTTAGTAGGCCATATCCACGGAAAATTCGCCACTCAAGAGGAGTTTAAATTGAGGCTTGTGCTAAGTCATCTTTAGCTCTATAATGGATTCAGGTGCGCTTTTGAATAAACCTAGCATTTAGCGGTATCGCTTTAGAAGGGTGTAGTGGCTAGATAACTGTCGCGAGTGTTGTAGATCGTGCTGCGGCTACAGCCGTAAGTGGGTAGCGATATGCCGTTTTCAGGGCCAATAAGGATTCCAGCACGTTGATCAGTAGAAAGTTCTTAGTTTCTACGGCCCACGGTTTCCACTAATGTCTGCGCCAAGTGGAGATAATTAAAAATGTGAGTTTAGGTTATACGCGACCAAGCACGCTAAAACACGGGAAGTGTACACGGACTCCTTTGGACCCTTGTGTACCTCAATCCATGGATTTTTATATTTTATGATTTTCTTTTTCTTACTCATATTCTATCCTACTCGGTCTCACTCAGATATAAGCATGACATCAATATGCCTGCAAGCGAACTCACGGCTCAAACAACCATGGACTTGGAACTTGGCTTATGCTTTATATGTATGACGCAACCCCGCATTTCAAGATGTATTTTTGAAATCATTGCCACTTTAGTTCCTCTGATACATACATTAGCTTGTTACCTGGAAGCTTGCCGAGTGTGCGACTATCTTGAGCCAATGGAATAGACTTGGTTAAATTTTATGGCGTACAGGTTAAAGAGTAGGCCATTGATCAGCAATCCTCACTTCCAAATCTAGCAGGATTCATAGACTAGTGTTCAGTACGCGTATCATGAAGCATCGGGATTCTCTTTTTGTTCTTCTAACTGTAATTTAATTCAATTCAACAGTATCTAAGTAATACAGCCAGAGGGCGTACTTCGAGGTATTTTACGGAATAGGTGTACTTGTTATCACTAGTTACTCCACCGCTAACTAGATCATTTTCTTTGTCATTTCATGGCCAGCTTCCCTTCTCCTCTGTCCGCGTTCTATTATATTAGGCACTGTTCCTCCTCTGAGCTGGTTTAGTCTTCTACTTTCATCTATAAAGGAAAAGAAAATCATGGCAAATCACGAGACTGGAACAGCCACGAATATCGAGAAGATGAACAACACCCAATCGACAAATGTACCTATTAGAGATCTCGCACCTATACCACCACCTCCTGATGGTGGATTCCATGCCTGGGCTCAGGTTGTCTCGGGCCACTTAGTTGTAGCCCTGACTTGGGGCTACGCTTCCAGTTTCGGGGTGTTTCAGAACCACTATGAATCTACGTTGCCCCAAACCCCCTCGGATATCTCTTGGATCGGCGGTTTCCAGGTTTTCTGCCTATTATTCATCTCGACGTTATCTGGTCGTGCAACAGATGCTGGAATGGCAAAGCCAGTAGTAGGAGCGGGTGCGGTTCTCCTGATTCTCGGTACCTTTATGACTAGTTTAGCGACAGAATACTGGCAGATCTTCTTAGCCCAAGGGCTTTGCATTGGTATTGGCCAGGGTCTAATGTGGCTACCTAGTGTAACATTGATATCGACATACTTTGTACGTTTACGGGTCCTCGCTGTTACGGCCGCTGCTACAGGAACAAGTACAGGAGGTATAATCTTCCCAGCGATGATTCAATATCTAACAAAAAGGATTGGTAAGTAACCCTTCAAGCCCTAATGTCCTACAATAACCCTATCTTGGGTTTTTTTTAAAAATTAATTTATCATGCTGTATAGGGTTTCCGTGGGCGGTCAGGTGTATGGGATTTGTTGTCCTCTTTATGGCAATTATTATACTTGCACTTTTACGTCCTCGGCTACCACCGCGAAAATCAGGACCACTAGTCGAATGGGGCGCTTTCAAGGAACCTGCCTACCTACTTTTTACCTTAGGAGTCTTTCTTCTTTACTGGACTCTTTATTTTGCCTTCTTTTATGTACGCTACCTTAGAATCTTTGGTTGATTAAGCTAACTGTATTCTAGATACAAGTCTATGCGACTGAAAATCTCGGTCTTTCTCAAGAAGATGGTGTCAACTTGATCATTGTCACTAATGCCCTCGGATTTCCTATCCGTGCCCCTTTGTGGCTATCTGGCTGACCGGTATATCGGCCCGCTGAATTTCCTTATTCCTTGGGTTGCCCTATGTGGTATTTTGATGTTCTGCTGGGCTGCCGTAGACACTGTGGCTGGATTATACGTTTTTGCAGTGTTCTATGGGTTAGCATCAGCGGCAGCTATGGCTTTGTTTGCAGGTACTGTCCCTTCTCTAACAAAGGACCTCGACAAGATTGGTACTCGAGTCGGCATGGCACTCTCACTGATAAGCTTTGGACCATTGACTGGACCATCCGTGGCAGGAGCATTAATAGCGCGCGGAGGATACTTGGCTGCGCAAATGTGGGCAGGGGCAGCCTTGATCGTGGCAGTATTGGCCCTTGTGGGAGCTCGTTTGCTTATTTCGGGGCCACATGTTCGAGCAAAGCTTTGAGCATGGAGAATCTATGTTACAAAAAGGCATATTCCCAGATCTATAAAGAAAGACATATCCTTTTTTTGGTAGTTTATTGAGTATACGACAATCGTGCTGAAATCTGGAGCTTTCAATAAAAACTTTACACGGGATAATTACATGGACAAGAAGATGGACTACTAAGAAGGCCATAGTTTTCAAATAGAGAGGAAAGCCAAAGAGGAAAGACTCTTTTCCTCTCTTTCTTTCAAGGTTCCTTTTATGTTCATTGTCATGAATTAGTTGAGCTAAGGAAACCCTGCTCTAATCATTCGCGATCTTGGTAGCTAGATGTCATGACTCACCTAAAGTACTTATTTAATTGTCCAAACTGCGACAAAAAGGCCAAGAAGTCGACTTCCGCGGATCAAAAAACGTGTGAGTGTTTAGACCGCGCGGGCCAAATCCCAGGGCCCGTTCCAAGGCTGTTGAATTTGAGCGCGCTATATTTGTTGTACCTAGGTATTTCATTCGAGGCTGTGGGTATTTAAGATGAACATCACTAGCTCTAATATAGAGCATATTTTTTCCAGTAAAATCTCATTTTAGGTAACTTGAGAATATCTTCATAGGTAGGTATACAACTGCTTTCGCAGTCCTATCATCATGTGGCCCTCTTTCGGTGCACTCATGGAGAAATTCAGAGAAAGCTTGATGACGCTGGTTCCAAATCGTTTTGATATCGAAAAAATGTCAGATGGGTATTCTTTTATAGAAGAAAGCTTGCCTGAGTCTTGCGAGAGGCATTACAGAGAGTTGCCAGAATCCATTACCTCGACCGCTGATTTGGTCTACGAAAAGCTCCCAGAGAATTTCATGTACGACCTTATGCTCAATAATGGCACTTTCAGCACCTCTAATTTTTTATGAAAACCAGGGATCCAAACATAGCTTACCAGCTCCTACGCCATGAGATTGATCGAGATACCCGTCCTCAGTTTAACCTTGCGACATTCGTATCGACATATATGGAGCCTGAAGTAACTCGGCTTATTACTGAGAGCTTGCCCAAAAATTTTGTCGACTCCAAAGCGTATCCTGTTTCGTCACAAATCGAAGCAAGATGTCTTCGCATACTCGCCGATATGTACCACGCTCCAAGAGAAGGCAATGTTGATCCTGTTGGTGTTAGCACTGTTGGTAGCTCTGAGGCAATAATGCTTGCAGTACTGGCTTTAAAGACAAAGTGGGCCATCCGTCAAGATACCTCTCAAATCAATCACAGAAGGCCAAATTTGATCATCAGCTCTGCCGCACAAGTGTGCTGGAAAAAAGCAGCGCGGTATTTTGAAGTGGATCTTCAATATGTTCCATGCTCTAATGATCGGTTCGTTCTGGACCCTCTTCAGGCTGTGAACCTGACAAATGATGATACAATTGGTATTTGTTGTATTTTGTAAGTCGATTGCTCTTAGATTTCCTAACCCACCTGGGTGAACTTTACGCACGTCCTAATTCTGGACAGAGGAACCACATATACTGGAGAATATGAAGACGTAAAGGCTGTGAATGATCTTCTTGTGGAACGTGATCTCAAAATACCCATACATGTGGATGCCGCTAGCGGTGGATTTGTGGCACCTTTTATATCACCGGAGTTAGAGTGGGACTTTCGGCTTGAAAGGGTACGTTGTAACCGTTAACATAGGGCTACTTAGGTATTCGATACCTATATTTCTGCATAAGCTGTGGGCTAAATTCGGGTAGGTATCGTCTATCAATGTCTCAGGTCACAAATATGGCTTCGTTTATGCCGGAATAGGGTGGGCACTTTGGCGCTCCAAGGATGAGCTTCCGAATGACCTCATATTTCACCTCTCCTACCTAGGAGCAGCACAAGCATCATTCACGCTTAACTTCTCGAAAAGCTCGTCTCATGTTATCGCGCAATACTGTGGGTTTTCTATATACGATTTCCAACTCCAAAATCAGCAATTAACATGGACGAATCTCAATCATAGATCTATTCATCCGTTTAGGCAGGATGGGTTATTACAATATTCTTCGGCAAATCATCGCTGTGGCTAGCCATTTAACACGCTCACTTCATAATATTGGCTTTCTCGTTTTGAGCAAAGCAGATGGAGTTCATGGTATCCCAGTGGTTGCGTTTCGGTTGAATCCCAAATATAGAATTGGTTTTGATGAATTTGGTCTAGCAAATATGCTGGATAAAAGAGGCTGGCATGTTCCAGCTTACAATATGGCAGAGGGCGCAGCTAATATAACTTTGTTGCGCGTAGTATGTCGGATGGACTTCACCCTAACTCACTGTGAGCACTTCATCGCCGACGTCAAGTCAATACTGTTAGAGGAAACATAGGGAGACTATTAAAAGAGCCCTGTATAGAATCGCATCTAAGTACTTACCTAGGTATCTTTGATATACTCGGCAACTTTGTCACAATTTTCATTTATTCAATACCTCTCAAAAGTTCCATTTATGAAATCCCTAAAAATCAGTTTAATTCAGCATTAACAAAGAGAGTTCTTGCTAGAGCATATAGTTAATTGATCATCTAATTCAGGATGAGTTAAGGCGTGGAATGTGTACATGTGATACAGCCCTGGACAGCAGCAACTGTCCGCCATGTGAGCCTTAAGACCGCTTTAAAGGTTCCAAGGTTGAATCATGGACACGGTCTCAAGATTTTTGCAGTATACCTAACTAGATATGTATGTACTACTACCTAGTGGTATTTTAGTTTTATCATCTTACTATTAATTCAGTTATGGTCTCAGAACACAACTACCTGGGAATGGAATATGAAATGGTTAGAAGCAATAAGCATTCAGAGATATAGTACATAACTAGGTAAGGAGTCGCTCGGCAAGTAAGAGAGGCCTATTATCTACTGGGTATATCTTATTTGGATGGGTAGGTAGTCTGTCCCTGGAAGATTGGTTAGGTGCATTCTCAACTTTTGGAACCTTGGGAAATCTAGCAGGTACTATATAAAATCAATTGATCAAAAAATGAAAACAACTGACGCATAACATAATTAGAGAGACTTCTTCAGTAGATAAAAAAAAAATGAACAATGGATGGATGATGCAATGCATCAAATAAAAGGACGAAAAAAATAAAGAAGGCCCGAGCCGCGGATCGAACGCGGGACCTCGCGCAGGAGTGCTTAGGAGTTGCTGCCCTAAGCGCGAATCATACCACTAGACCACCCGGGCTTCTTGATGTTGTAATCTTGAAAATTCAGTTATATAAACCAACCTCCATGTTATCAAAATTATTTTAACCAAAGATCTCATCTCATCTCAACTAAACTTGTAGTAACTATCAACAACGGAAATTTAGAAATTTACCCGGGTACAAGACTCGGGTAAACTAACCTCGTTTGAAAATGAAAATATGGAATATTCCAGATCAAAATGTGGCACTCTCGGTTACTGTCAGGCGGGAGTGAAGAGGATCCGTGCAACACGAGAGTTGTACAACCACCCAGCCCTTTATACCAGCCTCCCCACATGTAATCCAAACTACCAGCTCTAGGGCTATTAGATATTATATTTGCTACAGCTTGTGCTCCAGATCCCACCAATCATCAGCCTATCTTCTAATTTCCAATATTATCTGGTTCTCCAAGCGCCTTGATCACATCGGTTATATCAAAAATAACCTGACAACAATTCTGCAAACTAACCCATAAGGGCAATCTTCATGCAGCTCTGACCGCTAATCTAAGTAATCTTACACGTTGTAGGGGCCCTAGAGGGGTATTAATAGTCATAATCGGAGAATTCTTGACTTGTTCTCTGCAGGAAGCGGGGTGAGATTCGCTTTCAAATCATCAAATCCAAGAGATTGTTTTGCTTAGCGCATTGACACATCTATTCAGCCAAATTAGTCTGGCCATTTCAACGAATGACAGGGATCGGAGGCTGGGGATGACAATATCCGGTGGGAGTGTAAGCCAATTATAGGGCTTGGTTAAGCACCCTGTTCAACTAGTACCTGCAGGTGCAGATTGGATGCGAAGTTACGAATGCTGCCATTGCTTTTTTTATAAGGTTTTCTTTATTTAGAGTCAGGCGGTAGTTCTATCTTTGCTAATCTCGGAAGATACTCCATTCTGCATCTATATCAAGCCCTCCCCAGATCCCATGTTTACCATTATTCCTGCCCATTATCACTCCTTATAAATTTGCATTTCACCTCCTAAAGATCCAGCTTCAAGTCCTTCTGCCAATAGGATAAGGTACTTGATAAGCTGTCCATAAGAAGCATACAAAAAATACCCAAGGCCGCCTCCTCCTATACCTAGGTATCAAGACAGTATGCGCTTATTACATACCCTGGTACTTCTGGCAACAGTCTCAGCTGCTGCTCCATCAAATTTCTTCAATAATGCATATGACTTCTCAGAAGAATTGGCAAGCTACTATGTCAAAGTGAGCCAATACATCAAGTATATTAAAAAAAACGAGAAAGCCTTCACCGAGTCCTGCGACACTTCTAAGATCTCATTGCCTACCTTTGCATCGAGTCTTCCTCAACCTGATGGCTTAACTCCACTATATGTGGCAATTGGGCGTGGCACACAGGTATGCATCTTCACTTCCAATGCTCTTACACCAGAGAACCTCGTCAACCTGACAATAATAATAGAACTATACCTGTGCCACTTCCTCCTCAACATCTACCCCCGTAGCAATTGGTGCGGTCGCAAACCTCTACAATGCTACTTGCATTGCTGCCAACTACCCTGACCTCCTGGCCCTGCTCCCCAGTGTTGCTTACAAGATTGCCCTGCCCCAATCAGAATGGGCTTCATTCCCTCCAGCCAATGTTGACCTGATGGGCCACCACTTCTTCCAAAACTCCACCACCCCTGAGTTTAACCTGGACCTCACCCCGGAAAAGCAATTTGGTTATGCATTAACCAAGAAGGTGGACTCAATTAGTGCCCCTTCAAGTGCTGCTAAGGGCAAATATGGTGCTGTGGCCTGGCTTTACCTCACTGCTATCTCTGGCACGGAAGGTCCTTACAAGAGTGTCTACCGTGTTCAGACAGCTTCAGGCTCTCCACCTACTACTTGTGAAGGAATGGCTCCTTCATTTGAGATTGCATATGCTGCCAACTATTACTTCTTCTCTTAGGGGGGCTGCTTATTTTCTGTATATATCGTTGGTTTTGTGTTGAGTTCCTTTTATGTTGGTCCGTATATCATTTTTGCTTGATAACCCATTTAGTATAGCTGGAGTATGTTGTGAATAGCCACAGACATGGGTGCAGCTCCCCTATTTCATGTTCAGTCCGTACATGTCCAGGTAGTAACACCCGCTTACGAGATTTACATGATGTCTCTTAGACTCTCCATGAGTATAGACCTACCTAGTTGGAGGTAAATTATGAAATTCTACATTTAGTTCAAGATAGATACAGTCTCACGGGGCTTTCTAGTGGAATACCCCGAGGCCCACCTATGTACTTCTGGGTCCTATAGGTATGAAGCCTACGGACCATAGGTACCTGTATCCTAGACATAAGAAGCAATTATATCATAGTACTAGAGGTTGGTACGGATTCCTTTTTGTAGGATTTTAGATTGTCTAAATTTGTGGCATTCTGTTACCTATAAAAATTTCTTTCCGGAGGTTGAAGATTATAAAGAAGAGAATAGTTTCACGAGTGAGAAGCTTCCTTATATAACGGTACCTCTAGAGCTACTTATCTGTAGTACATGAGCAGTCGATAGGCAAAAAGCGGGCTACTAAAGTGAGAGTGAAAATGATTACATAGTCTTTTGTTTCAGTTGGTTATTCGCTCCCTCTCACCGTCGCCAATACACTCACACTTTTGGTGATATCAATATCCTGGGATAAGATCTTGTGTCCAACTATGACGCCCTGGCGATTTAAAATGTCCGGAAAGCACGCTTGCAAATGATTTTGGTGGCCAGTTACAGGGTTCGGCGGAGTACTTGGATCTTGTGCAGAACATGATTTGATTGTGCCATTTCGTCGCCAGTTGGTCGCTGAAGTCGTAATTTTACGACTGTCTAATAGGCTATATGAAATAAGAGCGATTTTCAACTAGTTTTGTTTTCGATATCCTTTTTCTATTCCTCAACCTAGGTAGGTAAATTCATGTTTCTCGAGAGCCATCATAGCTAATAGTATCCTACCCCCCTGCTCTAACCATCAAATCTGGGAGAGTTTAGCCTGTTTTGGTGGCATAGTGGGTGGTTTGAAAACGAGATATGACCAAAATGGTGCGTAACAATTGATAGGGTAGCCCACTCGGTAGTGAATTAGGGAGTTGATAGACACACTATGAGATACAGCCAGTGAAAGAGGGGTCCTACTCCGCAAGAATCTTTCAACGCATCCCTCTCCATAACCTGGTCAACTTTTCCATGGCCAATCAATTTCTCTCATGGGCCGAGAATTAAACAGGCTTAATTAGTGGATTCTTATTACCCTCTGGGGAGGAACAGAAAGTTTACGACCTTGCCCCACGCCCTTCAAGTCAATAAGTTCACTGCCTGTGATAGCACCGACACGACTGGATCTTCTTACTCAGCTTTCCGCCGCTAAGAAGAATGTTAGTGAGGTTAGCGTCAGTGAGCCGCTCTCTCGATGGAACCAGCCATGTGGTCAAGTAGAGTACGGCCACATTGATTCAACAATCAATGAATGGAGAAGTGACTTTGCGTTGATCTGTCTGAATTATGAATGCGTTGAAGTATTTTGCAGAGGCAAAGCCAAGGCCCAATATCATTTCTTGAAAAAATATGCCGAAACACAGCATTATATCAAAACTTCTCATGCTTCATGGTGATACCGGTGAGGGTTTTGTGCACCTGGGGACTAAGGTAGGTTGGGGCATTTTTCTGCCAGTTCCAGAGAATACGGCTGGAAATGGGCTGACCAATTGGTGAGCATTCAAAATTATCCTGAAAAGGAAGATCGATTATAGCTTATAGTCCCCCAGACCGCTGTGCTTGAATCTCTCAGAGAATACTGGATATGGGATTTGTCTTCTTGATGGTAGTCTTGGTTGCTAGACTGAGAGTCGGCAAAATCATATCAAGCTGTTCATCGCTTCATAGTATCTCTTCGCAGGCCTTATTTGAAGGCTCTTGTTCATAGGATCTCGCTCGTATCACTTTCGCTTCCGCTTTATAGTGCCATGCAAGAATTTAGTTGAGAGCGTCATATCACACTCGATTCTTTACCCACGTATTAACCCGTCATCTCTCATTCTTCTCATTCTTTTGTATTGATAAGCCAATAGCGACATAAAACAAATAGCTTCGATCAACTAGTTATTGTCTTCGGACACTAGACCCATTTTATATAAGCTTAAGGTTGTCAAAGCGGTGTCACTCAGCAGAACGTAAGAGAATATCACCAATGTTTGGGACAACCTATATCACCAACTATCACAAAAATCAGAGAAGGGCAGCATGGCCCCTGCATAAGGATGACACGCTCTGTCAAAGAGAAGCCAACAATTAGTACCCGCGTTTTTTTTCTATAGTCAGATGAACCCTCATTGGAAAGGGTGTGCCTCCCTACACCAAAATTTTCATGGTCTTATCTGATAAGTAGATGGTTCATGAATTGAGTTTTTGAAATATCAAATCTTTATTTCCTTTTTCTCATATTTCTCACAGGGTCTTTCTACGGTTGTGAAGCAGGAGACCTGTTTCGAACAGGGGCAGAATCCACTTTAATCCATAGACAACTAAGCTTGCCCTATGTCAGAATAAAACATACAGAGAAGCCATGTAGATACCTAGGTATCAAGTTGATATATACTTTATTCTGCTTCCGGACTGCACAAGACATTCCTCAATTTTCAGGCAACGACTCTAATCACAGACTTCTTCTGCAGGCGGTGGAAAATTTAGTTCATGATATACGGGCAGTATACTGGCAGTATGGGGCGGTGTATACTGTTTCCGCCGATGACAGGGCTTATCATGACCACGTGACATCGCTCTTTCCATTGCACTAGTCCCATTACAGCTAGCGCCGTTCTGATTTTCAGAAAGATAGAAGCAAAAAAATCTCGACCGCATCAACGAGCAGCATCGTCGACCCGCACTCCGACGAGCACAGTTTTTCAACCCTTTTGACTCAGTAATCACAATTACTGTTTCTATTATCTCTCAAGTCAATTCTTTTCTTGAGATTTACTTCATCTTTCGACAACAGTCGTTCTGAGCATCTAGCTCATCTCCAACTTTTTACTACCTCTTCAAACTTTTTTCAACAACACAACAATGGGTTTCGGTGATCGTGGTGGAGGCCGTGGAGGCTTTGGTGGTGGCCGTGGAGGTGGCCGTGGAGGCTTCGGAGGTGATCGTGGTGGCCGTGGAGGTGGTCGTGGTGGCTTTGGTGACCGTGGTGGTCGCGGCGGTGGTCGAGGTTTGTTACTCCAATTTCCTTGGCCCTTCAGACAATGCACTTTGTATTATTGGCAACAATGATGCCTTGATCAAGAACATGACCATCTGAAGTCTCATATGGATGGTTGCTGACTTTTATCTTGAAGGTGGCTTTGGTGACCGCGGTGGTCGTGGTGGCCGTGGAGGTGGCCGTGGTGGTGATCGCGGACGTGGAGGTCGTGGAGGCCGTGGTGCTCCCCGAGGTGGTCGTGGTGGCGGTGCTGGTGCCCGTGGTGGTGCCAAGGTCATCGTTGTAAGTTTGAAGACCCTCAGTTCCCAGTCCGCAGTTATATGAGTATCAAGTGCTAATCCAAGATTTTCAGGAGCCCCACCGTCACGCCGGTATCTTCATTGCCCGTGGTGGTAAGGAGGATCTGCTCCTTACTAAGAACTTGACCCCCGGCACCTCCGTCTACTCCGAGAAGCGCATCTCGGTCGAGGGTGCTGCCGGTGACGACGGCACCGTTCAAAAGATCGAGTACCGTGTCTGGAACCCCTTCCGTAGTAAGCTGGCTGCTGGTGTTCTTGGAGGTCTCGACGACATCTACATGAAGCCCGGCTCAAAGGTCCTCTACGTTGGTGCCGCCAGCGGTACCTCCGTCAGTCACGTTGCTGATATCGTTGGTGAGACTGGTAAGGTCTACGCTGTCGAGTTCTCTCACCGCTCCGGTCGTGACCTGGTTGGCATGGCCACTCAGCGTACCAATGTCATCCCTATCGTTGAGGATGCCCGTCACCCCTTGCGCTACCGCATGCTCGTCCCCATGGTTGATGTCATCTTCGCCGATGTTGCCCAGCCTGACCAGGCCCGTATTGTCGGCCTTAACGCACACCACTTCCTGAAGGATGGTGGCGGTGTCTTGATCTCCGTCAAGGCCAGCTGCATTGACAGTACCGCTGCTGCCGATGTTGTGTTCGCTCGTGAGGTTGAGAAGATGCGTGAGGAGAAGATCAAGCCCAAGGCTCAGTTGACTCTTGAGCCCTTCGAGCGTGATCATTGTATCGTCGCCGGTATCTACCAGCGTTCCTCATAAAGAGGCTGTTGCTCTTAATGTGTTTGATCTTTATGGTTCCCTTTTTCCCGGCGTCCCGTGTTTTGCGATTTATGCAATGATTCTTCTCATTGTGACCGGATTTCCCTGCTCCCATCTACTTTTGCTTCCGTCATAAAATTTAGGTTTACCTCAAAATGCAAAGTAATGGAATGTTATTTTGTGCATCCGTAGATATCTTATATTACTATTAGCCTCATAAACTACTAGGTATACTGCCCTGGTATGAGAGCGTATACATAGACTATTCCATAAAACCTTAGGAAGGGCGGTGAATCGTTATCTTTAACACTGCCGAGGTCATGCAGTCATATCGATGCCCAGGGCTTACAGCATTACCTAGGTAATTTGTACCCTCGGACTTGCTCCGTAAGAAAATGTGATTCGGCAGTCGGATTTCTGACCAGTTACACCAGCTGATGACCGCTAGTCATGGCAGAACCTTGGAAAGCACTCGGAATCAGTGCGGGGAGAGTATCTATAACAATCGACCTTGGGAGGTTGCTATTGTTGAGGACCCCAGTACAATTCCACCCAGGAAGCTCTTCTGGAAATCAGCTGTGTTTGTAATACAACTTGCCTGATTTATCTCATCTTTTGATACCTCTGATTAAATCATGTCTATACTCATCACCGGAGCTGGTGGCTATGTCGGCCAAGAATTAGCCGCTGCCCTTCTCGCAAGCACTCCTGATTCACAAACAATCACAATAACTGACGTGACTGAACCGACTATTCCGGAATCAGCCAGACAGTATATCAGTCGGTTGACCTGCGTTCGCGCCGATCTGACCTCACCTAAGGAGGTCGATGACTTGCTTGATGCCTCTCACCCTTACGAGACCGTCTATCTCCTCCATGGAATAATGTCCAGTGGCGCCGAGGTCAATTTTGAACTCGGAATTTGTGTCAACCTCGACGCAACACGATACATCCTAGACCGACTACGTATGACCATACCGGGAGTAAAGGTGGTCTTCACATCATCATTGGCAGTCTACGGCCCAGCACCACCAGGCTTCGTTATCAACGAGACCAATTTCCCAGCCGTACCATCATCTTCTTACGGGACCCAAAAGCTCATGGTTGAGAGTCTGCTGAACGACTACTCCCGCCGCGGGTTCCTGGATGGGCGCTGTGTGCGTCTACCAACGGTGACCGTTCGCGCAGGGAGACCCACGCAGGCTGCAAGTAGTTTTGCGAGTGATATAATTCGTGAGCCATTCCATGGCAAGAAGGCAATTCTGCCAGTTGGTAGAAATACATATTTGTGGATCTGTTCGCCGCATACTGTTATTAAGAACTTGATCCATGCGCGTAGCGTGCCCAAGGAAGCTTTCGGTGGGTCGCGATCGGTCAATCTTCCTGGGCTGAAGGTAAGTGTGCAGGAAATGTTGGATGCGTTGGAGGAAGTCGGTGGCAAGGAAAGACGGGCCCTGGTGGAAGATAAATATGATGCTGCTACCGACAAGATTGTACAGTCGTGGACTCCTCAGTTTTCAACTGATCGGGCCTTAGAGCTCGGTTTTTCGGCGGATATATCCATGGCGGAGAATATTAAGCAATTTGCCAGACGATTCGAATAGAACAAACCGAGCTCCAGGGCTCTCGTTGAACCTTTTTGAACTTGTTTTCTGTAAATAGTCAACAATATCTCCATACGCTTCCAAAGCTAACGGGTTATTTACTGAGTTGAGATTATATAAGCTCACCACATAAAGTGAAGGAGGAAGCCAAGAAATGGGAGAAACACGGCATAGGTAGCATGTTGATAGTGGTATATCGGTAAGCCATGGTAAAATCAAGAATAAGAGGCCATTGAGCATTGAGTGTATATTATGAAGTAGTATGACGGAGAAGGGAGTAATCGGGAGTCGGGACGAGTTGACAAACGAGATTATGTGATTGGCTGAAACTCTGGGCGAACAATTTGACTTCCGAACTTCAACCTCAGAACTCCAGCTCTTCCATTTATCCCCCTTCCCCTCTCCTACCCTCTCCATTCACCATGGCTTCCCGGCGCCTAGCTCTTAACCTTAACTCGGCTCTCCGGAGCAAGAAGGCCATCCAGTCCGTGAAGCGTGGCTTTGCGTCGCCGGTTGCGCTGCCCTCTACCACCCAGTCTACCACCCTCTCCAACGGGTTCACGGTACGCCCCGGCAGACCCCATCAATGCCATCGCCCTCTTACTAACTCATTCTAGATTGCCTCTGAATACTCGCCATGGGCTCAGACTTCCACCGTCGGCGTGTGGATCGATTCCGGTAGCCGGTCAGAGACTGACAAGACCAACGGAACCGCTCACTTCCTTGAGCACCTTGCCTTCAAGGTCTGACCTTTTTGATCTCCAATTCTACGAAAAACATCTAACATGATTTTTTAGGGTACCAACAAGCGCTCGCAGCACCAATTGGAGCTCGAGATCGAGAACATGGGCGCTCACCTCAACGCCTACACCTCGGTACGACCGGAAACCCCATTGGATACTTTCACGAAATACTAATCATATCAAACAGCGCGAGAACACTGTCTACTACGCCAAGTCCTTCAACGCCGATGTTCCCAAGGCCGTCGACATCCTCTCCGATATCCTTCAGAACTCCAAGCTTGAGGCTGGTGCCATTGAGCGCGAGCGTGATGTGATTCTGCGCGAGCAGGAGGAGGTTGACAAGCAGCTCGAGGAGGTTGTCTTCGACCACTTGCACGCCACCGCTTTCCAGGGCCAGCCCCTTGGTCGCACTATCCTCGGTCCCAAGGAGAACATCCAGACCATCTCCCGCGATAACCTGACCGACTACATTAAGACCAACTACACCGCTGACCGCATGGTTCTTGTTGGTGCTGGTGGTGTTCCCCACGAGCAACTTGTTCGTCTGGCCGAGGAGCACTTCGGCACTCTCCCTAGCCAGGCCCCTACCTCTGCTGCCCTGGCCCTCACTGCTGAGATGAAGCGCAAGCCTGAATTCATTGGCTCCGAGGTTCGTCTCCGTGACGATACTATCCCCTCTGCTCACATCGCTCTCGCCGTTGAGGGTGTCAGCTGGAGTGATGATGACTACTTCACTGGTCTGGTTACCCAGGCCATTGTCGGCAACTGGGACCGTGCTATGGGCCAGTCTCCCTTCCTCGGCAGCAAACTCAGCTCCCACGTCAGCAAGCACCACCTTGCTAACAGCTTCATGAGCTTCTCTACCAGCTACAGCGACACTGGGTAAGTCTCTACCATGTAATTCAGTAGGCGGAAAAAAAAACTAATACAAAGCATAGTCTCTGGGGTATCTACCTTGTCTCCGAGAACTTGACTGCTCTCGATGACTTGATCCACTTCACTCTTCGTGAGTGGTCTCGCTTGTGCAACAACGTCACCCCCGCTGAGGTTGACCGCGCCAAGGCCCAGCTTAAGGCCTCTATCCTCTTGTCACTTGACGGTACCACCGCTGTCGCCGAGGACATTGGTCGCCAGATCATCACCACCGGCCGCCGCCTCAGCCCTGAGGATGTCGAGCGTGTTGTTGGTGCCATCACCGAGAAGGATGTCATGGACTTCGCCACCCGCAAGCTGTGGGATCAGGATCTCTCCATGAGCGCTGTTGGCAGCATCGAGGGCATCCTCGACTACCAGCGTATCCGTGGCGACATGGCCCGTAACCTGTCGTAATCCTTTTACATTTCCAGTTCTGCGAATGAAAGATGACCGCCTGATGCTCAGCTTTAACCGGGCGTGGGTTTGGTCTTGTTTGAATGTACTATCAATCATTGCCTCGGGGGTTGTTCTTAGACCCTGATTTGTGTGTGAAATAGCAATTAATGGTTTGCCATAGTAGACTATATAGTCTGTCGCCCTGGGTGTGGCAGGCCAAACTATCTTCCTTGTTTCTTTTGTCCTCCGCGGCTCATTTTGTTTCTTAATAAAAAGTACCTCGTATATTCTTCAAGCTTGCGTCCTTGTAATCTACTTTTGACAACTTATCTCCCTAATCATGATCTCGATTGGTCCGCCCCACGATATCGCTTATCTAATCCGGTGCTTAACCGCGATTTTTCTGGTGAAATTTTGACGACACACCTCCCAGCAGAAACATCATTCACAATGGGCAAACGAGGTGGCAAGAAGGTGAGTTCAGCCTTTAAACCACTCAATTAGTGGTCCTTACAGCTAACCTTCTCTAATTTAGTTCAGCAAAGGCGGCAGAGGCGGCGGCAGTGGCGGAGTACGTTCGCGCAATAACTGGCAAGACATTAGTCGGACGAATGAAAAGCTCGAGCGTTACTATAATGAGCCCGAGTTCATTCCCGAGGAAGAGAAGGAAGCCTTCTGGTCAACCCTGCAAAGAGACCTGCCGAACAGCTTCCGTTTCACAGGCTCTCGTGGGTAGGTTTTTCATTTTATGCGTCTCATGCGCTCATGCTTCTTGAAATTTTCCACCGATACTTACCGTCGCATTGGCATTTTCAGGCATGCGCTTGCTGTCCAACAGCGTCTCAAGGACTTTTACATCCCCGAAATCACCTCTATCAAGTATGACGACGAATTTGTCGAGCCTCCTCGCCCGGTCTCATGGTACCCTGATCAGCTTGCTTGGTGGATGACCACCCCTAAGCAGGTCGTTCGCCGTTTCGCACCCTTCGCCTCCTTCCAGAAGTTCCTTGTTGCCGAAACGGATGTTGGAAACATTAGTCGTCAAGAGGTTGTCAGTATGATTCCTCCTCTTCTTATGGACCTCCGACCTGGTATGACCTGCTTGGACATGTGCGCCGCTCCTGGCAGCAAGTCAGCCCAGCTCATGGAGATGATCCACGCTGGAGAGGAAGACGCTATTTTGGATGCCAGCAAGAAGGTGAAAGAAGGCACCGCTGGACCTGAGCCATTAGGCCCGGAGGGACTCAACGACGATGGCCGAACGACCGGTCTGTTGATTGCCAACGACAGTGACTACAAGCGCGCACACATGCTTATCCACCAGATGAAGCGTCTGAGCTCACCTAACTTGATTGTGACGAACCACGATGCTACCATGTACCCGTCCATCAAACTACCTCCACTTCCCTCCGACGATCCTACCAAGAAGCAAGGTCGGTACTTGAAGTTCGACCGCATTCTCGCCGATGTTCCCTGCTCTGGTGATGGTACTGCCCGCAAGAACGTCGCTGTCTGGAAGGACTGGAACCCTGCCAATGCCCTGGGTCTCCATCCCACACAAGCGCGCATTTTGGTTCGTGCTCTGCAGATGCTGAAGGTTGGCGGACGTGTTGTCTACTCGACCTGCAGCATGAACCCTGTGGAGAATGAGGCCGTTGTTGCCAGTGCAATTGAGCGCTGCGGCGGTGCTGCCAACGTCAAGATCGTTGATTGCAGCGCAGAATTGCCCGGTCTGAAGCGCATGCCGGGTCTGAAGACCTGGAAGGTGATGGACCGTGAAGCCCGCATTTGGAATAGTTGGGCAGAGATTGAGGAGCACAGAGAAAAAGAGGGCATCGAAGGCCTCGGCAGACTTTCCGAGGGCATGTTTACGCCTACTGGAGAGACTGCTGATCTGCCGCTAGAGCACTGCATGCGCGTTTACCCTCACCACCAGGATACCGGCGGTTTCTTCATCACTGTCCTTGAAAAGACAGCTGAGATCCGTGCCAAGCCAGAGAACACGAACGTCATCCCCAAGTCAACGTTTGCCGCTCTGTCTGCCGAACTTGATACACGTAAAGATAACGATGCGAAGCTGGAAACTCTTGACGAAATTGTTCCTGTTAGTAAGGAGCTTGAGGAGGAGCTTTCCAAGAACGAATCTGTTGCCCAGGCTACAAATGAGCTTCCATACTCTGCCGCTCTTGACGAAACTGTAGCTGCTACAAAGCGCGATGCCGACGAATTCGAGGACGCAGCTCCTGCTAAGCGTACCAAGCTTGAGGATGGCAGCGAAGTTCTCATTGCTGACCGCCCCGTCCGCGAGCCTGCTACCTCACAGGATCCTGAGAAGACATTTTCGGAGAAGCGCATGAAGCGGAAGGCACCCCAGGAGGAACCGTACAAGTACTTGGATCCCAAGCACGAGGAGCTCGAGCCTATCTATGAGTTCTACCAGCTTTCCGAACGGTTCCCCAGGGACCGTTTCATGGTTCGCAACCCTGTAGGTAACCCTACAAAGACCGTCTACTACACTAGTGCTTTGGCCCGCGATATTTTAACCCAGAACGAGGGCTCTGGTATGAAATTCGTGCACTGTGGTGTGAAGATGTTCGTGAAACAGGATGCACAGCGCGAGAATGTCTGCCGCTGGCGAATTCAGACTGATGGACTGAAGATCATCGAGCCCTGGCTGGGCCCCGATCGCTCCATCACCCTGACTCAGAGAGAGACTCTGCGCAGACTCCTTGTAGAGATGTTCCCCAAGGTTGATGACGAAGGGTGGAAGAACCTGGGCGAGATTGGTGCTCGTGTGAAAGATATCCCCATGGGATGCACCATTCTGCGTGTTGAGCCTAGTGGCAAGGAAGATGGCCTCAAGTATGTTGATATTAATCTGAACCTTTTTTTTCAAAGTGTGATCCTAACTTGATATTATAGCGAGCGCATGGTGTTGCCTCTCTGGCGGTCATTGCATTCCCTGAACCTCATGCTTCCCAAGGAAGACCGAAAGGCCATGCTTCTGCGTATCTTCAATGATGATACCCCTCTCATCAACGCGACTCTGAAGACTAAGAGACCAGAAGCCCCTAGAGATACTCCCCTTGAGTCGACCGCAGCTGACGAGGAATCTGTCCCCACAGAGGAACAAGTACAAGTCGAGTCAGAGGTTGTGAATACACAAGAGAAGGCCATCGAGGAGGAATCCTCCATGGATACTACGGTCTAACCAATTAACGGCTGTATATATTGGTTTGGCTTAAAATGATATGCTTGTCTGTTCGGATGGTACGGAGTATTTAAAAGCAATTCCATAAAATTACAACTTCATTATGCGAATCTCACTCAAAATTCAAAATTAATCACCAAATCGGTGAATCAAGTACCATCCCAGTAAATCTGCAGTATTCTATTTTAATCTCATTGGCGTCGGATAGTGTGTTGTCACAGAATAAATAAGTGTGCGTAATGGGCAGCCGAAAAACTGTCGCACACGTGATATTTGCCAAGCCTTACTAATCTCAATAGCATTACTAATTCAAATCAAGTTCAATTCTTCTAAGTCCGATTCTAACTACTGTAAATAAACCCCTAGTGGATGATCGTGCTTCCGCCAAGTTTTGGGCATCGTCCGCATGCTCCGAATAGTTTTAGCTTCATTAATCAGCTTCTGGGTTTGAGCCCTTTGGCCTTTGATATACTGAAGCCACTTCTTTGCAAACCTTTCTCCTTGATCATCAACCATTGATATAGTATCAAATTGGAATTGGCGCCAAGCTATTAATTGAGCTTGAATATCCTCCTCCTCTTCCTCATCCTCCTCTATTTCTTCCTCACTATCTGATGCTGAAGAGGTATCGCTTTCATAATCTGGTAGTGGAGTAGGCTCTTTACCACTGCGTTTGAACTCTGGTTTAAGTTCTAATCGCTCATCCCGCCAAAAAGGACAAGTATCATGGCGGGAAACAGTATTAAAGAATTGAGGGGGTGGCGTCTTAAAACAGTAGATAATATGCTTACAGCATAAGAATCGACTAAGTAAGAAGGCAGGACAGGCACAAACCCATTGATAAGGATCTGTATGATGCTGTTTTATCTGATCTAGACAAACAGTTTTTCTTGCATCCTTTTTCCATTGCCTTTTAAAGGCTTCTCTCCATCGTCCTTTAAAGATCCGCTGCTCTCTACCTAATATAGCCTTCATTTGATAGACCATATCAGGGACGAGACGACTTAGTAGAACCCATACCACTAGGTCAACTCTAGGCCGATTAAAACGATGAAGATAATCATGCTTTAGCTTTCGCCAATGCGATTCTACAATCATCGTTGTTTTCAGGATAGGGATCTTCTCAGGATTAGCTGCCCGAGCCCAGAGAATCCATTGATCATCTCTATACCAGTTGACAAAGAGGTAAGCCCAGAGATGGTAATAATCGCGAGATCGGCACCAATCATACATTTCTCGGGCATATTCCTGGTGGAGATTCTGCTTAAATCGAGTGCCATTGATATCAGGAAACAGAGGGTGGATATTGAAATGTCGGCAGAATATGCCTAAAATAATATCCCGTTCCTCTTTAGTTGGCTCAAGCCTTCGGCTTTCAACAGGCCTGACGCCACGAGAGAGACACTGACATTGACCGGAGCCTACAAATATCTTAGTAAATATATAATCTGGAAATCAAGCTAGCTAGAGCCAATATAATTAGAGTAAAGAAACCAACTTACCATCAAATTTATGCTCCTTTGGCCGTTTATGTGGAATTGATCCCCAGCAAATCTCAAGATGATCCTTCCCAACCACCTTTGTAGCTGCCTCTGGATCATACTGATTGAGCGTCGCTGTCTTAGTAGAATCCTTCAACTTCATACTAATAGCGCGCTTCGCGTGCCAGTAACAAAGCTGATGCTTAGCCTCTGGCCAGACTAGTCTGACTGCTCCAATCTCTGCTGGATCTTTATCAGTCGCAATAAAGCTGGGATCAAACCCAAACCCCTTAAGCTTTATAAGAAACTCATAAAGGATAAACAACATTGCGCCTGGATCAGCTCTTCTTCTCTGATAAGTATCAGGCTGAACATTCTGCTTATCAACTAAACAATAGGCAAGTGGTATACCAGTGCCATCAAGCTCAGCTAACATAGTAAATAGCTCCATCCCACTATTATTTGTGCCATAAGTAGAATCTATGGCTAATTGAGGCTGTGAGTTAACCTGTTCAGCCCAATTAAGACGTGGTTTAATAGTCTCCGGGAGGTAGAAGGCTAAAGTATATCGATGTCAGTGAATATATAAACTAATATACTAATACTAATACCAATACCGAAGCTAATACTAAGCTAGTAGCTAAGCTAGTGGCTGAAAAGAATATTGCTCTTACCTAATGCTGATAAGTTGCCTGCTTGAAAGATCTCTTGGTGGGCCTGATACCTTCCATTCTGGAAATCTGCCTCATTTAGAAGCATTTGAGCTGAGGTAAGAGGATCATCATGGCGTCGCCAGTTCTTTGAGTTTGCCTTATGCCAGATATAATAGACCTGGTGCCTTGACACTTCCTTTCCTTTAGGATGCTCCCTAACCTGGCGGGAAATCTCTGCAGGAGCATGGGTCAAGACAAGGGAGTCAATAAGATCGTGTATGACTTGCGGAACTTGAAGATCTTTATAAGGCGGGTGCCTGTGAAGGGCTAATACTAATCTTGAATGCAGAACTAGTGATGCCGACAAACTGTCTTTATTAAGCTTGAAGAGAAGAGAGAGAGACTAGCTATGGACATGTGGCAATATAAGGGATGCGGGTGCGGGTGGCACGTGACGAGCATGAGTGGCACAGGCATGAATGCTAAAGCAGGCACCAGCCTGTTACAGTGCCAGTGATGTTGAATAGAAAGACGGAGGGTCCGATCAAGTAAGGATGGCTGTATAATAAGCTTACTTCCACAAGGAAATCGCTCTATACGGCGGCCATCTCTCTGTTTTTCAACTTCTACCTTAGATTGATAGCTTCGGGTATGCGCTTCATCCTGAGAGCAATGATATCTATACCGATGATATTGGGAATCAGTTGAGGTATGGCGGAATCGGAATCCACCTTCCTGCCAGATCAAATCTGAAAGACTATGCATTGCTATTCCCATCTCCTCTTTATCAAACTCAGAGCCAAATTTGATAGGCAAAGCATCAAGATCAAATTCAAAGTCATGATTAAGAGGCTGAGGCTGGGAGAGAAGCATAGTAAATTCATCCCAATCATCGCGCTGAAGAGAACGCTTCTTCGTATGACGATTACAAAGGCTTTTTCGCTTCCCTTGCTTATTAAGATCAAAATCCTCGGTCGGACGGGGATTACGGCATTTCGAGCAAAAAAAGGTAGTGGTATCCATGGTGCAGGGTAATTTTTAATGACGCGTGTATAGATAGGGATGAACACCTAGACGCGATTGTAAACATTTACGCCAAGACGCTAAGCCTGATAAAAATATCACGTGTGCGACATTTTTCAGGAGCCCAGTATCTGTGTCATGTGCACACCCGACTCGTTTTTTACGAGTCGGGTGTGCTTCACCGGTTCTGCCAATTTCACCGGTTCTGCCAATTTAAAATATTATTTTACTCTCTCTCTATTAATTCTGCTTTAAATAAAATTCTGCTGCATCTGTTTAAAATATAGTATATCCCTTTCCATCGCCTCCAATATTTGGCCATTTCCCCCTGAATTGGCTCCTGAATCTGCTCCTGAACCTGCTCCTGAACCTGCTCTTGAACCTGCTCCTCGGCCTGTTTTTGAGCTTTTAGAGCTTCTTGGGCCTGTTTTTGTAATTTTTTTTTCTAGTTGTAACTCCTCCTTGGTTTTCCTGATTTTCACAAAGCGTTTTATATGGTGTAGGTTTAATACACCAGTCTGCTGGAGGGGTGGTTGGTTAAGCTGTCGTTTGGTTTTAGAGCGCCGAATTGGTTCTTGCGCAACCCTAATATTCTCAACCGTAATCTTAAGATTTCGATACTCTTCTTGGATCAATTGGGAATGGCGAGTAAGATATTTAAGACCCCTTTAAACCCTTAGTTTGAGGAGGTCTATATCAATATGCTTGATAATCTTCTCTTGGTTCATCTGAAGTCGTACTAAGGTTTTTGGCGGAGTATATTCAATACTAGAGGAAGAGAGTGGTAGAGATGGTGTGCGTTCATCATTGTGTTGACGAAGAGGACCTATAAACCATATTGTTATGGGATCGTGCCTACGTTCACGTCCATTCTACTGAGCTAAAAGACTATAATGATTTCGCTCTCACGAAATCATACTTAGGCTCTACTTGTATAGTGCCACTCTTGATCCTACACTAAACATCATTTGTTAGGTGTTCTTAACCTATGACACCTCACTAGGTTGAAAACCACACTCATCAAAGTTATAGATTAACCGCGAAGGCATACCACGAAGCAGATCATACCAATGACCTATCTTAGCTGGATTTTTAGCCATCATTCGCTTAGAATCCTTGACTTTCTGCTTCTAAGGACCTAGTTTTAGACCTTTAGGAAGACGCTTAGTAAAGCGATATACCCAATTTGGCCCAACAGTTCTAGTATCCTTAGTATCTTCAGAACTAGAATCTTGAAGTAGGCGATTTGCCCACATCTCAACCTGTTTTGGTGTTGGTGGCATACGCCAATCAGTTAGCTGGGTAATTCAGCGTACTAAAATCTCCTCCTGGATATCGGTAAAAACCTTATTGACTGGTTTTTGTTGAGTTTTCGCGGTCGCATTGGTTTTAACGCGGTTATGGAGAGTACGTCGATTGACACCAAATTCGCGCGCAATCTTAGAGATATTTGGGTTTTTTTCGCGTTTGGCGCATCAAAGGCCTTAGAGAGATGGGCCTTAGTCGATTCAAAGGTTTTAGGCATAGTGGGTGGGAGATATTGGGTAAAATAGAATGGAATGTGGAATTGGAAGAACCGGTGAAAAAAAAAAAAATTGGCAGAACCGGTGAAGCACACCCGACTCGTAAAAAACGAGTCGGGTGTGCACATGACATAGATACCCCCCCATGAATAAATTGAAACATCACGTGTCCTTGAAGTAAATCGAATCAAGATTGATAAATGATAAAGCCGCTCCACCCGCCGATCAGATCCCCAGCCACCAATTTAACCACAACTTTCTGCAAATTCCCTCCCTCCCTAGATAGTTTGCTTTACAACATTAATGAAAAATCTTCAAATCTGACAGGCTGAGATTAAAAAACTGACAGCTCTCCAAACCAGCCTACTTGACCTCGATAGCATCAGCTTTAGGCTTGTGCTCCCCACTATTGGAGCCCAAACAAACGGAGTAAACAATCATGTCGACCCTTCCACTTCCAGGCGGAGACCTCAGCGCTCGAACGGCAGCAAAATCCCCAAGACTAAAGGAACTCCTATTTTCTCAAACACAGAATGGCTACACAACCATTTCCATCCCAGCCACCTACGGCTACAACACAGGCCTCTCACCCGGCGCAATTGCCGGCATAGTCCTCGGCAGTGTCGCGGGTCTCTGCATACTCCTCTACATCCTATTCATCAGCCTGTTAAAAGTAGGCTTCAAGCCACACGGGAATCGAGGCGGTCCCATCACCGCCAGGTCCATGACATCAAGGACTATTGACGAGGAAGTAGTCCGCAGTCGGCGCGGATCCCGATCTCCACGACGTCGGGGCTCAGTGATTGAAGTCGTTGAAGATCGGCGCGGTAATAGTTATCGCCGGGCTCCGTCGCACGATCACGTTGTTGTCGAGGAGTCGGAATCTGGAACTGCTACTACTGATCCGCGGAATGTTGTCGAGGTTTTTGAGGAGGAGTCTTCTGTTTCGTCTGCTTCGAGGCCGTCGAGACGGTCTAGGAGTCATCGGTCTAGAACGCGCATTGTTGAGCCTCATGATCATGGTAGCTCGCATGGTGGGAGTCAGTATTAAGTGAGGGCGAGAAGGATGTGATCGTATGCGATACCCAATTTGTTTGAATGATGATGAAATTATGTTTTATGTCCATATTTTAGGGCAGACGAATAAACCATGAAAACGGAAGATTTACCTATACAAGTTCATTTAGCCATCAAGACCCAAGGCTTATCGCCGAGGAGTGTTTCAAGTATCTCCGACAAAACAAGGATATGGTGATACAGCAGAAAATAACAAACCAAAGACACGACGCGTAAATATATCTGGTGAGAACGCCCAACGGAGAAAGAAGCAACAAGCAAGAATCAATTCAGCCCATCCCAGTCATACAAGTTCTTTAATCGGGCGGTCGTAATGAGTAGGTATCTGGCGCGAATCACGAATATCAAAGAACTTGTCGCGTTCTGCGATACAGTGATGCGCGAGCAGCGAGATCACCACTAAAACAAGATATCCAAGCAGCAGCAGCAAGCCATAGCAGCCATAATACCAGCGCAACAACCAGCACCGCCGCTGTCACCGCCACTCGGACGATTATATTGCTGAGGAGGGTAACCCTGCTGCGGTGGATATCCCTGCTGCGGCGGGTAGTACATAGGCTGTTGCTGTCCATAATATCCCTGCTGCTGTTGAGGGCCGTAGTTTTGTTGAGGGTAATAACCCTGGCCTTGTCCGCCGCCTCCGTAGCCTTGGGGAGGAGGGGAGTTTGGGTGGTAAGCAGGTTGGTTGTATGCTGCTGCCGGGTAGGCGGGAGGTGGACTGTTCTGAAGGGGCGTTAGATATTGAATCCTTGACGTTAATTTTTGAATAACACACGGGCTTGTTGTAGGACATCTTGAAAGGTTTTTATATTGTAGCCTAGAGTCGAGGCTTTGTCAAAGGTTGTAGATATGATTGAGAGCTAGCCAGTAATAACTAATAGGGACGGTAGTTGAGGGTAAATTAGACGAGTTAGCTTGGGCAAGAAGGATCAATAAGTATCAAGAACCTCGGATGAGATAGAAAGAGTTCTGGACAGGATCAAACCGGAAGCATAGGCTTACGTAGTATAGAAAACGGAAGCACGGATCAACCGCATAAAGTGGAGTGTGGCGTAGTTCCGGAGTTCGGCAATTGATATCCACTGTCCATAATGTCGATGACACTTATGGAAAATTCCTAGATGGATATAAAAGATCAATTAATTGAATAGGTAGAGAATTGTCTGCTTAAGAGATCATGACTTCGAAAGCTTCTATTGTATGTCAATTAAATAGGCCACTGTAAGGAAAGAGTCAACTACTGAGTCATGTGACCTAAAGACATTGCCGAACCATTAGATGAGGAATTGACCAATATATAATTAATACCATTCAGACCCCTGTCATCAACAGGTGAATGGAAAATTGTAGAGCATGCGGAGCGCGACCTCTGTGACTACGCAGGTCCCTTGAACGCGCTCGATAAAACCCCTTAACCGCCTCCTATACTGTACGAGTTTGATATTAGAGCTGACTCAACCTTTAATGCCGCTCAAAATAGATTACAATAGGTAAACACAGTGCCCCAGTTTGCAATACACCGGTCACTGCACTCTAGTGAGTCTTTGCCACGATAGGTAGCACACAATTCTATTCAAACTGCAATGAAACTCTGGAACCATGGCAATGCTAATTCCGTTCTCAACAGGTCAATATATTGCTACCTTAGATACAATATACCTATGTACTTATAGTTGACTAGTACCAATAAGCCGCCTCCTGAATCATCCCGAGGTCTAATCAATCTTGAATCAGCATTCTTTGGAGGAAACCCCCAATTCAATGACCGAATACCATGTCATCTCTTCCAATTCACTTTCTCTGAGGTTTTCATCATCGTCTTCATCGTCATCCGAATTCGAGTTCGAGTCCGAATCTCCATCAATTACCATATCAGGTGTCCAGAAGCTAATCCCAGTGATTTTATTAATACTGTCGTAGCTCAATTCGTTGGCATGGCCCTGAGCAAGCCAAAGTATTCCAATCGCATTCGGAGTGTGGAGTACAGCGTAGAAGTCACAGTCACCTGCAGCTGCATCGCAGCTATTCTCAGTAATATCTCCAAGCTTTAACTGGGTCGGTTTCCATATCGTGACTTGCTTATCATTCAAATCCCAATCTTTTTTACTCGTGTGATAATGACCTGCAGCAATGGCCGCTTCCTTCATAATAGAGCGACTGTCTTTATTCGCAATGTTATCTCGAATAAAATATCTCAGTCTTTCCTTCTGGTCTGGACACACAGCTGTCCACAATCCCCACATCACATCCGACCACCTGTATTGGGAGATTTTGAGGGTAGGTTTGCCATTATTCTTCACGGTGATTCGAAAGTACGCTAACGAGGATATAATGATTCCATTGTTGCAATCAAATGACGCAGTTATACTGAATTCCGGCTCCATCCACTCATTAGCGGAGATTTCTGTCAGTTGAATATTTTTTACTCCTGGCATGGCAAGTCGGATGGTCTTCTTCAATTCATCCGTAATACCATCTGTTGATGCCCAGAACCTCCATCCTATTTTGTTTGCTGATGTAGGGATGTCATGTCCATGCGCATTTTTTGTCCAGCCAACGGTACGAGCAGTATCATGGACGATTGGGACGTCCGTTGATGGACCACTCTGCCCTTCCCATAGCATAGATTGATAAACTTTCCATCTCTGTGCCCCTTTCACGGCGTCCTTCATGAATTCTTCTGAGCGTGCGTCTTGGCGGCGGAACAGTCGATCCGGCGCTGATTCATGGAGAGAAGAGGATGTGAAAGATTTGACCATGTTAGTCCGCGCACGGTAGCTGACTATTCCCGATTCATGTTGCTGGGCGGGATATGCAGCAGAGATCCCATTGTACAGCAGCAGCGGCAGCAGCTTCAGAATAATCATCTTCATTCCAAGCATTAGATATGACCTTAGGAGGGTGCCCGTGTGGTGGAAGGGCTTGGATTGAATGTGGCGTCGTCTAAAAACTGACAAGAGAGGAGATGTTGGATATATATGACCTAGGAATAGGATTCAGACCCTTCCAAGATTCGAATGCTGAGATAAAGAACAACATGATGTCCCTGGTACTAAAAGCCATCCTCTATGGGTCTGGAATCCTGTCAGCACTTGCAAAATCTTCTCGGATGTCATAGCTAAAAGTTCCGCTATTTCTAATGCTTTAGCCCCCAACGTTGTTGATCCATGAGCACTCACTCGGAAGAGAATGCTCCAGCCAATTTTGGGGTCCATGACCAGATTTAAAGGAAAATTCCATCTCTATCATACTGACCTCGGGCTTAGAAATATTCTGATACCTAATCAGAACCAACCTCAGATATGGAAGGTATCGGCAATACTTGACTAGGAAACCGCTGGATTTTACCCTCGTTTTTGGATCTTAACATTGCATACTGTTTCTCCAGGATTTTATATTTATCCGCGACTTTCGAAAGTAAGAAACTATAAGATTATGGTTATCCAGAATATGCGGAATAGTACCTAGAATGGTGCAAGGCAAAACACTAGCTTGACATATACTGAAAGAATACTAGCGTCTGATGACTACCCACCTTTCAACCTAAGTTCTAATAAGTTTATATAGTATGCTTCGGTTGGATTCCACATCTCTTATCTGAAAAGCTACAAGTACCAAGGTGGTAATAGGTTGATTTAGAGGAGAGAGGGAAAAGATGTAACATGTCAAAGTGCTGAAGCTAGACATAAGCATTGGTTTGGTTTGGGTCAAAGCTTTGAGACCACACCAAAATAAATTGGTGATAACTTTTATAAAAGCTGGTTGTTGTTGAATCTATTCTGTTGCTGCTTCGCTATTGGGTTCAGCAGCGCTGCGCGTGTTAAGAAATAGATTCTTGGTTACTAGGGTCATCTGACCCAGTATCGCATACCTAGGTAATAGGTATTTATACTGAAAATAAGGAAATGGTGTATTCAGGATACTCAGGCTCTGCTCATGACCTCAGGATATTTGTCATAATGAACCTAAGAATAGATGAATTTTAGGTGGTAATGATTATGCCGAACAATGACACACCGCTGACATACCGCTGATAAAGGTTTCTTTCTAATCCCTAATAGTGCCGGCAGAATGAAATGGGGGTATATAAACCAATGTTTGGATTCAACCTATGTCCCGACTGCTAAAAAAAAATAGAGACGATCAGCATGGCCCCTGCATAAGGATGACACGCTCAATCAAAGAGAAGCCAACAATTTTTATTTTATTCCCTTAACAGGCCAAAATGAGAAAGTTGCCAATTTTGTACAAAATGGTGGTTGACACTGATTGTGCATTCAAGACCGAGCGTGCGCACTAGGTATCTTTTTTTCTTTTATTTCTCAAATTTCGGAAGCATATGGTAGACCGATATCTAGGTAGTGTATACCTACGATACAATGGATACTTAATGAACTAAATGGTCTGATCTTCATTGCCCCCTGCCAAAGTGATTGTACTGGGAAGCTTAGTATGTTCGTAGCTGCACAGCATCAGGATTACCTTTAGACATACACATATTTTAATTTTCTTAAATAGCTTCAAAAGATAGTGCAATTACTTCGTGAGGCATGTCTGAAAATCAATGCATGCGCTCGAAAGGCATTGAGATATATCATTACAGGGAGTGAAAAAAGCTATTCCATCGGATTATCCACCTGCTCCATATGCAAGTGTAAAATAATCAAGTAATTTACAAAAATTGAAATTGAAAGGAGATATCATTTCTGACTTTTGTGAACGAAGCAGAATGCACGCTATCCGCAAAACCACGGAATCTCGGGGTCACTATGCACAGAGGCCAACGGGACAAAATGAACGGCATATTCAAGCCTTCAAATATAGGGGAGAAAGGATCCTGTACCTATTATCTATTCCTGGTCCTCGAGGGACGCCTTCTTCAGCTCCTCCGAGGCATCGGCAACAGCATCAAGCTCCTGAGCCAACTCAGCCTCGGCGGTGGGAGCACCGTTGGCCTTGGCGGGCTTCTTAGCAGTGTCAGTGCTGCGAGCACTGGTCTCAGTCTTGGAGATCTTGAGCTCTTCCTCTTCAAGACGGGCGATCTCGGCCTTGGCCTTTTCGATGTTCTGTGTATTGACTTGTCAGTTGGGTCGAGGGGAAAGTTATATAAGAAGAAACTCACCTCAGCGGTCTTGCTGGCCTGGTTGTTCTTCCACTCGCTAATCTTGGCGGCAAGCTTCTCCACAATAGCGGGGACGTCGGTCTGGTTCATAGGGGGATCGACCTTGACCTTAGCAAAGTCCTCAATGACACCAATGTTCATGTTGAACTTGGCGGTCTCGGGAGCGGGAGTGGTCTTCTTGCCCTTCTTTCCCTTCTTGCCGCCAGTGCCAGCGAAGTAATCTTCCTCCTCCTTGCGAGCAACAACCTTCATACCCTTGATGCCAGAGTCCTCGATCTTACGACCAACCTCGGCGCGGAAGTTACTACCCTCGATCTTCTTTTCATCAAGACCCAGAGCGGCGAAGTTGTAGGTGGGGTCAAAGTGGCGGATAAGGCCCTGGGCAGTAAGGATCTCATCGGTATAGGCCAAGGCGGAGGCTTCCTCCAGCTTCTTATCGGCGATCTTCTTGCGCTTCTCGCGCTCAAATGCATCGCGCTCAGCCTTCTGGCGCTCACGGCGAACACGCCACGCCTCATCCTCATACTCCTTGTACGCACGACGGCTCTTGAAGTAGTTGTCCTTGATCTCACGGATAGCAGAATACTTGGCCTGCTGGTCGTTGCGCAGGTTGGTGCGCTCGTCACGCAGCGCATTGAGGTTCTTGTAAACATTGTTTTGCTCAGCCTTTATGGCATCCAATTCAGTTTGAATCGCAGTGTACTTGTCGCTAAGGGCCTTGGCCTCGGCATTGTCGAGGGTCTTGCGCAGCTCCGAGATCTGTGCCTTGAGATCATCAATGGTCTTCTGGGACTCTTCCAGACCGGCGAAGCCCTTGCGCTGCTTCCGCATGTTGGAGACGTCAGAAAGAGCCTTGCGCTCATCCACCAGGCGCAGAGTTCCAGAGTCAACTTGCTTTTCTAGGCGTGCGATCTCACGGTCAATTTCCTCAACGTTCTTGAACGACATCTTGCCGCGCGAGTTGTTCTGCTCGGCAATGCGAGCCTTCAGAGTCGAATCTAAAGCATTGATCTTTTCCTGGGTGCTGGAACGAGAGGTCTTGAATCCCTGCTGCTTTTGACGGATCGATGAGAGTTCTGCGCGGAGTTCTTGTTGCTTCTTGGCCTCGGGCGAGTCCGAGTTGTTGGGCTTAGCGCCGTCCAACTTGGCCTTGATTTGGTTCTTTCGCACATGTTATTAAATGACTCAAGGGGGGAAAAAAGGAATAAGATGACGAAAAAGTGGGAAGGGCGAGGACACAGCCGCCTTGGTGGGGGGGGGGAGGGGGAGTATATTCAATTGATGATCATCTCAGATGCAAAACCCAAGTGAAACCAAAGAATAAAGCAAGTGACATACGAGCTTTTCTTGCGCAGCAGTGTGCTCCTTCTCGGCCTGAGCCAGACTGGCCTTGTAAGCCTCCTCATCAGGCTTGGTGGGCTTAACCCGAGCTTCCACATCAGGGGAAGCCATTGTGAATTGATGTGTGAATCAAAGGAAACAATTAAGAAAAGGGAAGGTTTAGAGACTAAAGAAAGAAGGGACGAAAAAAAACCAGGCCACAAGAGGAAAGGGGAAAACAGTTTAGAATAATTCTAATGGTTCGGTGGGTTTCTCCGCTTTCACTTCCTGTCGATGGCAGAAAGTTCCCGCTCGACTTTTTCGACTTTGGCTTATCACGTTTTTCTGCTCTTTCGTTTTGCCAACTTAGCAGCCGCGCGCTTTGTTCATCCACTTTCCTTTTCCACCGGTCAATTCTCCGGATTTCTTAGCAGCTATGGATCATGAGGATGGCAACGATATTGCTGCGAAGGAGCTGACTCGCCTCTGGCGCACTTGGAGAACTATCTATGAAATGCTTGCAGACCGGGTAGGACACCCTTAGCATTGGTTCTCTGGAGTTTCAGAGCCTTTGCGCGAAGTGGAATGACTAGTGCTAATCAAACTTTGTGCGAAACACAGGGCTACGAAGTGTCCGAAGATGAACTGCGAATCACTCTGTCTGACTTCCGTTACCGATACGGCGCTGCCTCCGGATTTCCAGAGTATGTGACAAAAAAAAACCCTTTTGAGCTAAGCAGCAGAAGCAACAGCTGTCATTGTCAAAATCCAAGCAAAATATCGCTAACGCGCACTCATTTCCATCCAGCCGCAACAAGATGAAAATCAAAGCTCGCCCCTCTCAGGCTATGCTCCACAAGTACACCGCACTGCCCAGCAAGGCGAACCCAAACCCCCAACCCGACTGCGGTGAAATTTACGTCCACTTTGGTCCCGAGACGCCCGGTGTCGGCACCAAGGAAGTGCGCGAGTTCAATGAGATCGTCAGCGATGGCAACTACCACACCGGTATCTTCATTACGCAAGTTGCTATTTCCCCCTCAGCTATGCGAATGCTCCAAGTTATCCCCGACCGTATCTGTGAGTACTTCCAGGAGCAGGACCTGCTGGTGAACATCACCCACCACGAACTCGTCCCCAAGCACGTCCTTCTCAGCCCTGAGGAGAAGCTCCGTCTTCTGGAGCGATACCGTCTGAAGGAGTCGCAGCTGCCCCGTATGCAGGTTGTTGATCCTGTTGCTCGGTACTTGGGTTTGCGCCGTGGTCAGGTAGTGAAGATCATTCGCAAGAGTGAGACTGCTGGTCGTTATGCTAGTTACCGATGGGTCATCTAAGCCCCGTTAAAAGTTCGATTATTCATACCCACGCAAATGCATAAGTCCTCTTCGACACGGTTCTTTCTGCTGTTGCCTTACTATATTGCGAACTGGGGAACGCAAACGATACCAGCGACTACGTCAATCAAGATACCAGGTGAAGGTGGACACGGAGTTTTATCATTTTTTTTCCTTTTCAACTTCTACACCCCTACTAAACAAACAAAAAAGACTCTATTCTGGGCAGCACGGCGTACAGGCGAAGTTCTCTACAAGTGCAATCCATGGAGGGGGCGGTTTCCGATCTACTCGTCATTTGACATAGTGATGCTCTGTATTATTTAGCTATGCTGAATTCCAATGTCTTGACCGTTGACCACAATTAATTGTAAATAAAAAAAAGAAATTTCATGGTGATATACAAAAAGGAGATTCGTGTAGAGTTCATGAGTTGTCTCCCAACGCCAACGTAGAGCCAACCTCGGAAAATACAAGAAGAAAAAGAACAACAAGGGTTTGCGACAGGGGGTATGAGTAAAGCATCAAAGAAAACATTTTCAGAAGAGCTGACTCCAAGTAAATATCAAAAGGACCTCCCAAGCCAATATAAACACATTCCCAGCAATTGGATTTAAAAAAGGATCATACATATCATCTCCTCATACGGGAGTTCTGTCCCTCCAAAAGCCCACCAACATCTTGAAGCTCGACATCAAAAGTGAGAGAAGCATCAGACGGTGGACGATAGCGTGGAGGAGGATTGGGTGTTGAAGATTGCAAATTCATGAAAGGGCTTGTAGCAGTAGGCGGAGCAGAAGAAGCGAAGCGAGAATTGAGGGCAGCGTTAGGAGTGCGAGGCCAAACACCCAGGTCTTCCAAAAAGTTCCGACTGCTGCGGCCACGATAGGGTCTTTCGGCCTCTATAACTGTTGTGGTTGACATTGATAAGGGAGAAGTGACGAATGGATTGAGTGGATTAGGCGGAGAGAAGAAATGGGTATCTGGCTGATGCTGGTTCAGAAGCCCGCCGACATCAGAGAAAGAGGCTTGATGCGAGGGCGTAATTGACGAGGCATTTGGCGGTTTCTCGCAGGGTTGACTGGTTCGAATATACTCGCGCGGAGTGACTCTGACTTCGAGACTACATGTCGTCGAGACATGCGTATCATCTGAAACGTGGGTTTCCTCTGAGCGGCGATGCTTCGGCTGATCAAATGACCAATTTGGATCGATAGCTCCCGTGCGAGCAATGAGCAAAGGCTCCGGAGGAGCAAGTGGTGGATGAGACGAAGATGAACCTTTGTTGCTGGAGAAGAGCTCTGGATCTATGCGAATACCAACGTCTGCGGCGAGGTCACAGTCGCTGCCCCATTGGTGCTGCATGACAGTGTTGCGTCGGACATGGCTTTGATCTAAGCTTTCGGTAACAGACGCCGAACCCAAATTGCGCTTATATTTGCGTTTCTTGGCGCCGCGGTCTCGAACGAAGGAGCCTATTACGACGATGTTGGAGACGGCGGTGGCGGCTAGGATGTCCAGTGAGGCGATGAGGGAGCGGTATGGTTGTGCGCCACCGTGTCTAATTACCAACGGTACTCGGTAGCAGGTGATGGCAACTAGGATAAGTGAGAGGCAGAAGAGGATGACGAGCGAGAGTTTGCGCTTGAGTGGCATTTGCGACGTCAAGATGATTGGAACGGGGAATGCGACGAGAAGGAGATCGGTTATGACGTCGCACGTTCCCATCGCGATTAGTTGCGCATATCCTGAGCGACAACTGGAGCCGGGGTCTGGAATGACCTGCCAATAGTGGTAGAAGGGTAGACACTCGGCCAGAGTTGTGATGACGACAACAGCTAGTGTTGAGGCGAGAAAGAAGTGGATAAAACGTAGGAAGATGGCGACTGATCGACGCCAGACCTTCCCTGTGACACGCTTGAGGAATTCACAAACAGTGAGCTTGGCTGTCCAGATGCTAGGTTTGAGTGTTAGTATATCAAGTGTGACAGGGCTCGTAGCAGCTAACCGTCCATTTACTGAGGATTCTTACAAGATTGCATAGAAGATTCGCGCTGCTAATACCAACTTACTACCAATAGCTCTCTTCGAGATCTGGTCAGCAGTTAAACCGTCTGTTTGGACATTATTGGTTCCATAGACCAAGACGAAATGCACTAATATTATGCGAATTGATAGTGGGATCATGCTGAGAACCATGACTTTGTCTTCGGGGAAGAAGCGTTCGAGACGGATATAACGACCGCATAGACGCACGATGATGATGAGCATGGAGAACGCAGTAGCCCACCAGCTCATCATCAAAGTCGGATTAATGTCATCACGAGATTGAAAAGCCGGTGGAATGGTATGGGATAAGATCGAGCGTTGCGTGAGAATATCCATGATTTGCACCAGCCTCCGAAGAGGGGTGTTTTCTCATATCAAACTCAGAAGAAGCGATGGAAGAGAAGTGATGTGGTGATCATTTGACGCAGGGCTCAAAGATAGTGTGGGGGTTAGAGATCGACCTCATACTAGAGAGATAAGGGATGTTCGCAAGATGATATATGGATCAGTTTTAGGATTCTGGGCCTGGAAAGTAGAGATGATGAGACCATGGGAACGGGGATTCCCGGTGAGAAAAACTATAGGAAGCCAGAGGGGAAACAGGCGTAAAAGAGCTTATTCACGGCCAAGAGAGACTGAGAAATACAAAATATTGAGAAAAACTGGTTCGAATTGACAAGGATCTGGCAAGGTCAAGATAACGAACATGAGCCAGTGACATCCATCGCCCTAATCTATATGAAGGTCAGCATTGAACCAGGCTGGTTTGTGCTATTATTTTCAATATACAATATCTCGCTTATTATGCACGTAAGCTTGAAGGCTTACGATAATAATGTCATATGAAATCCAAGTCCTATGAAACCTAATCAGTTTTTAATCTGTCTTACCTTAGGATCATTACATTTAGGGAACGGCGGGGGAAGAAGCTTACTAGCGAATCATAGACGTTGATTTAAGGGTTTGGATAGGGGGATTGTTATCTCTCACGTGGCCTTTGACTATATCTGGACATTGCTATGGCTGACTACGCTTCTACTTAGTACATAGTCTTGAATTGCATGCAGATAAAAATACATACGAGCGAGAAATAAAACCGAGTAATCCTGTAAGCTTTTACGCGTCATTACGAGTTTCCTTTCCAACCACCCCCAACATGCCACCAACAGTTTGTCAGAAAGCCCAAAAACGGGCTGAACAGGAGGGTAGAATCTTATGAGTTATCAAAGCTATTCAGAATGGCGAAGTTCCCAATATTTACCAATCTGCGCTTACATTTGATGTCACCACTTCAACCCTTTAACGCCGTATTACATGTCGCTATGATAAACGCGCAGATGGTCATGAATCGACTGAACTCTCTCTTCAGATGACTGTGGAGCTGCTCCTAGCCCTTCTGATGTCGCTAGTATCACTTATTCACTACTCGCCGACCGCGGAACCAACCCATCTCTTACGATCGGATGACATTGGGTCGGAAATTCCATAGAATGAACATCCTGAACAAGAAACTCGCTATTCAAAACGTTGTGGTTTTTTAAACGAGCAAAACAAGAAGATCCTACCATAATTCGGGAAAAGCTTAATCTTGTCGAAAAACGATTCGCGCGATATATATAACTTCAATGAGACTGGCGATTTGAAGCTACCTGAGTAGACCAAACGGCGGACATCAGACGAAATAGGGCTTCTATGGCTATAAAATATCTCTATTCCTGAAAATACTTCTTGTATGAAAGGAAAATATCGTGCTTTGGTGTTAGATGGCCATAGTAGCCATCTTACACCTAAAGTTGATGACATTTGCAAAGAAAAGAACATTATACCAATTTGAATACCTGCCTATTCATCTGACCTTTTACAACCATTGGATTTGGGTTGTTTTTTGGTTTCAAAGTGATCATATTCTCGCCTAGTCCATTGGAAAATGGCGCTTGGATTATTCAACAGCGTCAAAAGTAAATATCCTAGAAATTTACTCGACCGCGCGCCTAGAAGCTATTAGCTCTATTTCTAATACCTTCGCCGTTATTGAAGTTACAACTTTCGATCCTGATTGAGTGCTCTCAAAGCCTACTATTTTACTTCGCACACCATCAAGTCGATATTATACACCAAAAACGTCAAAACCACTAACCGATCTACACCGACAACATAAAGCTCTGCTTCTTACAATTTCACTAGGCCCTGCTACCCATCTAAGAGAGCTTTAGAGCAAATTATAAGGGTACCAATTCTCTATACCAAGAGATTCTTACTCTCCAACAAGAAAAACAAGGCTTTTTGCGCAGCACGTGAAAAAACAGATCAATATGAGAGAAAATCCGAATCGCCATAATTCAAGGTGGTTTAACTACCAGGAAGCTTAACAGCTAAAGACTTCAATAAATACTCTAGAGGCCAATAACACCAATTATGGCCATCAAGAGTCAATCTCGTTTCCGACATCGCTAACGCCCACACATATCTTGTATCTGCAGACTGGTCATAAGAGAGAAACATGAACAGATTTCATATTTTTTTTTCTTGATTGGTTGATATAATTCAATGGAGATTTGGTATAAAATGGAACCTTGGAATTGGAATATTCATACATCAAAAGTGGGTCAAATTCCCCACTCGTATGTATTTTACTTTATACAGAATATATTGATCTACACTCGTATTGAAGTTATCGCCCCCATAACCAGTTCCGTGATGGGCCCACTTTCCAAGCTTTGATAAGGTTGTCCCGTCCTATTATATCATTATGAATCTACTCCATAACTATATACAGAATTGATCCAGAATCCCTTGAAGGCAGTCCCTGGAAGGTAATCCCCCTTTTTTTTTTATTATAGAACCCTTCCTTCGCCGGATGTTAGATCAAATCTGAAAACTGCAAAGATCCCGTTTCATCTATTTCCGATACGAGAATCAGATGGCGGTCTATATGCTAGATCCTGCATGCACAGCAGCCAAAACGGCACGGAGCTCCGCCAATAGTTTGTCAACCTCTGACTCAGTGCCGACTGTTATGCGCAAACAACCCTCACACCCGTACTCCTTACCACGGAATCGTACTACGACCCCACGCTTCTCTGCCATGGCCTCGTACACAGCTAGAGCTGTAGCGTTGCTCGGTCGACCCTCGGCATCCTTCATCTCTACAAGCAAGAAATTTGCATCATAACCCCCTAGGAACCGCCCCACTCCCGAAATTTGAGGCAGCTCACGGACTAGGCGGGCTCGTTGATCGACAATTTGATCGCGGTATTGCTGCATGACCGCCATGTGAGGGTCTGTGAGGGCGGCGCTGGCCAGCGCGCTGGTTGGGCTGGAGATATTGTACGGCGCCTTCAAGCTGTTCAGTAGTAGAGCAATCTCGGGACTGGTAAAAGCAACTCCTAGTCGGATACCCGCGAGACCGAAGGCTTTGCTCAGAGTCTGCATGACTACGAGATTCGGCCATTCGTTCACCCACTCAGCGAGACTGGAGCCCTCCGGGGCAAAGTCAATGTATGCCTCGTCCACCACGACCACGCCGTTCCACGTAGGGTGCTCGAGCACTTTGCGAATATCTTCCTTGCGGATCAAATTCGCGGTTGGGTTGCCGGGCGAGCAAATGTAGGCCAACTTGATCGATGGGTCAGCTGATAGTGTCTCGTTCACCTTCTCGGGTTGTAGGCTGAAGCCGTCGTCCACATTTAGCGGCACCTTGACGATCTCGAGATCGTTAATCTGTGCGCTCACACTGTACATTCCGTAGGTCGGCGGGCAGGTCAAGATCTTGTCCTTGCCTGGCACGCAAAAGCATCGTAGCAGGGCGTCGATGGCCTCGTCCGATCCAACACCGACGAAGAGGTTTTCCGGACGGAGGGTCTTTGGTGTGTGGTGGTGGGTATTACGGAGGTTGCAGAAGAGCTGCTTCAATTCGATTTGGTGACTACATTTATGAAAGGTCAGGTCTTGGTCCTTTGTAGAGTCGGAATCATTTGGCGAGTGACTCACGGGTCGGGGTATCGATTTAGGCCCAGAAGGTCGATCTCAGACTTAGAAGTGTCGCCCAATGCACCTTCCTTGTTCAATGCAAGGCCAGGGCCATAGGCATTCTCATTGGCATCCAAGAGAACGTTCGTCCCATCATCTTTGTAGTCACTGACTCATTAGCGCGGGATCTGTGATGCATCACGGGTGAACACACTCTCTGGCGCATCGGTACGGCTGTAATTGCAAGATGTTGGGCCGGGCGCATTTGGAAAGATCAAATGGGGAGGTTCCTGAAGCCATTGTGGGCGTTGGTGTAGTATGAGTACAGTTGGTGTCGAGTAGGAAAAAAGGTAATGGTGGGGGTCCGCGGGGACTTAAAAATCTCCGGGCGGTGACTCAAGTCTTCTTACCAGACCAAGTCAGGAACATCGATAATATTGAGTCATTGACAATATCAAGAAAGAACTTGGCTCAATTCAACTTGGTTCAATGGTTTGATCACTGAACATTGGTAATTTGAATTTCTATCCTGATCTGTCAGGACTCCTTTCAGCGTAGTGACCCTGACTACGAACATCGCGAAACCCGTTTAACAGCAGACAGATCCAGTCTTTTCCCAACAATCTAGAAATGAGAACGGGGATCATTGATTAATAGGAGATTGTTCGCCTGAGTTTTCACGGCATGATTAGATATCTCGAGGTTCTCTGTAACCCATTTAGGAGAGATGCAGTGCGCCATGCGCCAACGCCTGTGTTGGTACCCATATTGCTGGGCCTGGAGAGAGATCAGACCTCAAATCTGTGCTAATGAACCATCAAATCTACATCGAGTGCTAAAGTGTAAACCTGATATACGAGACGCCGGCTTTTTCAACGCTGCATAAGTATAGGAGAACATCTCCCGTCCAGCTCTGCCGACTCTTCGCAGAGATCATACTACTCAGCCCTGGAAATTTCAGAGTAAGAACAGAGAACGAAGTATATGTGGCTCCACGTAATTCAAAGCTGACGTGGCTTGTGGATCGTAGCTGAGCTCGCACCGACGTGTGGGTATTATAACGGCGATCTGATCAAAGCCGACAAGCCCAGGGATAGCTATGTGCAAGGCTTTTACGTTCCAATATTTAAAGGGTAGGATGGTTAAGACACTATCATTCTCAACCTTGGAAGTGCCAGTTTGTATTGCATGGACTTGTTAGAAAAGCCTCTCAAGGTGTAACTATAAGAGGAAAGGGATATAAGTAATGTTGATTATGCCAAGGGGGAGAACGGAGGCATGCAGTAAACCCGATCCTAGCGGAATTGTAATTTCATCCCAGGTAGATAGTTAACCGCGAAGTAAAAGCCGACATTAATTGAGTGAGCGGATAGGAACATGATCCTTTAATGTGAGTTTCAAGATCTCGCAGGATTCGGAATACTATTATGGAGGGAATTGCGGAGTATACAAAGTAGAAGAACAATGCAGGTTCCGGATCAATTGGTGATCCCGGTATTTCAGTTACGTATAAATTACATTTAACGGTAACATCGGCAATCATCGGTGATTCGCCCTTTCAAGGTTCTTCCCAAGTTCTTCCAAAAGTTTACCTACTAAGTAGGTGCTAGATTGACAAGATCTTCAGGATAGATATTAGATTTTACTAAGATTGCAGCCGTAACTTTAAGAATCCTGGAATGATCCTTCAATAGTGAACAATTTGACGACATCATATCAGCTTTAATCCTGCCCCAAGGTCCACACTTAGTTTGGCCCCATGTTGCACTTACGATCCTTCATACGTCGGGCCAATCCTAGGGTCACAAGGGCCCCCGAACTGTCCACGGGTGTTCTTGGTTCATCACAACATTACGGGCCTTATTTCCTTTTGTATTAATTATGGGGTTTACTTTCGGAGTATATAGTACTTGACGCAATCCTCAATCCTCGACCCTCGATCATCATCAATCATCAATCCTTGGTCTTTCTCATTCTTTAAACAACTAGGTATTGGAAAGACTAGTGCGATGCAGTCAACTTCGGGCAGTTCCAGGCTGGTCCCCGATGCCCATGGTCTCCTGCAAGCAACCGACCTGAGCGGCCTAGAAAATATTCTTCTTGCTGTCAGTACTGGAACATGGCTTATTGTTCTAGCTGTGACAATAACTGGAGTCAAAAAACTGGGATTCAGAATATGGGGATCATCGGCGACGGCGTTTCGACCACTCGCACATATCTACGAAGACCAGGATGGACAGGCTACTATTCAATCATCCCAGCGCGCTTCGAAGAAATGGCTTCGACTCACTATACTTTCCATTGCTGTCGTGGGGGTCTTCTTGTCTGTTATTCGGATGGCGACTGATTCATTCTCCGCCAAATCGAAGTTTGTCGACTCGATAGAAATTGGACTTTGGGTAAGAAACGTTAAACTCCTTCATATGTCGCATGCAGGAATCCGGACTGATCAACAATCGAACTTTACAGGTCATAAACTTGGCTCAAGGTACTGCTCTTTGTCTTCCATCTCCTTTCCCGACTGGCTTTCCAATTGCATGGAGAATGGGAGTGAGCAATCTCTTTGTTCTGTTGCTGTTGCTCGCTCGGCGCTATATCATCTCAATTGCGGACCACTTGACCAACTCATCTCCCAAGTTGCTCGGAGCACAGGTCATAGCCAGTTCTTTACTTGTTATCATGTGCTTCATGGTCCCTCGACGCCCGGACGTTTACCGAAATGAGAAACTGGTAGACAGACAGTTCACTACCGGTGTTTTAAGCTGGATCAGTTTCTCATGGATTCAACCAGTGCTCGACAAGTGTCATCTTCCAGACAATTTGACTCTCGAAGATCTGTCAGAACTTGATTATGATACAACACCGGAAATAATACACAAGGACTCTCAATTGAAACGAGGTACTGTGGTTGATTCACGAGGAATATGGAGGTGGATTCTTCGCTCCCATCACTCCGCGCTGATATGCCAGCTTTTTATCACCGTGACTTCGTCTTTCTTGAGCTTTGCCCCCCAACTGGCATTGCTACAAATTCTGCGTCACCTCGAGGATACTCAGCTAGAGACCAAAAAGGACGAACTATGGACCCCTGTCACTGCCCTTGGGCTGTCCGTTATGGCATCGGCTGCCCTGGAGCCCTTCAAGCGCTGGATTTCTCACAATAAAATCGCGGTGCGAATGCAACAACAGCTGTCTCTCGCCGTGTTCGAGAAGACTACCCAAATCGGCCACTTCGATCCTGTTGATGAGAAAACTCTGCTCTCTTCTGAAGTAAAAACCATCACAGACTTCTTTTGTCTGGCGTTCACTCTTTGCGAATCACCTATCAAGATAGGAATTTCTTCGATCTTCTTGGCCCATCTGCTGGGCTGGAAAAGCATGCTTGCAGGAATTGCAGTCCTAACAACCCTCGCGGCTACAAGGAGTATTGTCATGCGCAGGTACTCCGGTAACCAGAAGAAGCTGATGAGACTTCGTGATAGCAGACTGGAAATGATGACTGAGATTCTTCAAGGCGTTTGCCCCAAGAGAATAGACATCAATGAGCTACGAGACTACGAATTGAAATCTCAATGGTCGGTCTATTTCTGGCAAATTGGAATGAGTTCGATGTCCTCCATTAGTCCAATCCTTCTCTCTATCGCCTGTATTGCCGCTTATGCCTGGTCTCATGGATCTCTTTCTGCGTCTACCGCATTCACATCCATCTCTGTCTTGAACTCGCTTCAAGCTGCCCTGGCAGTTCTCCCAAATGCAATTACCTCCCTATTCGATGCCTCAAACAGTGTGGAGCGCCTCACACTATTCTTCTCACAAGCTGAGAAATTGAATAACACTATCCCGTCCGATACTGTCAAATTCCGAAATGCCTCGATCTCGTGGCCAGGAGCCGGACCTGGCAGTAGTTACACTTTGACTGGTCTTGAGTTGAGATTCCCTAAAGACACGGTCAGCATCATCACAGGACCTCCTGGTTCTGGAAAAAGTCTTCTTCTGTCTGCAATGCTTGATGAAGTGAAAATCATTAGTGGACTTATCTCTGCGCCAGTCTCAGCCCCTCTTGACCACACGCTGTCATTATCAGATCCTGATACATGGCTCTCAACTGTCTCACTTGCCTATGTTTCTCAAAAACCCTGGCTGCAGAATGCCACAATTCAAGAAAATATCCGTCTCGGCCTGCCACTTGACCATCGCCGATATGCTAAGGTGATATTTGTCTGTGGTCTCGAACATGATCTGAAATGTTTGCCCCAGGGAGATCAAACCGTGTTGAGTTGCAAAGGAGCGAATATCAGCGACAGTCAAAAATCGCGGATATCCCTTGCTCGTGCTCTTTACTCTCGGGCAAAGACGCTTGTTGTTGACGATATTTTCACTACCATCGATAAAGAGGCTGCTACGCACATCTACCGACATGTTCTTTGTGGAGACGTTCTGAATGAAAGAACGTTCATCCTGGCTACTCGCAACGTTGAGCTTTGCTTGCCTCAGGCTGAGTATCTGGTTACTCTGGAAAATGGTCGTTTGAAATCTGCAGTCAGCATCCGTAAAATGGCGCAGCCTGGTTTTGATCACTCTTCTCTCCCCGAAGAAGAGAATCATTCTGCATTGAAAAGCGCTAAGTCCTTGGTTTCGACTGGAGGTAGAAGTCAACATAACAAACCGACGATATCAGAATCTTTGCACGTTCTTCTAAGACAGGGAGGAGATCCTACTCACTGGATGTTCTTCGGTGTGGCATTTATTGGTTATGCAGCAGTTATGCTGGGCCGGGTAAGCTCCGATCTAAAATTTACGTTCATAAGGCTTTTCTAACAGTTCCTCTAGGCTTGGTGCATTCGTAATTGGACCCAACCCCAAAGTGAAGCACAATCATCGGAGCAAAAGGTCGACAGCTCTGATTATTTGACTGTCTACGCTATACTCTCGGCCAGTGCATGTCTGCTGATGATTTGCCGTAAATATTTGTCCATGGTATCTGCACTAAGAGTGTCAGAACGGATATTCCACCACTTCGTTGTCACAGTTCTCAGAGCTCCCGAACAGTGGCATGATAATGCCTCTGATATGATCAACCGCTTCTCTGCCGATCTCAACGTTCTGGATTCCCGGCTTGGAGAAGACCTGGATTCAGCACTAGGGCTCCCAATGGATGTGGGAATATCCATGCTTGCAGGGGTCATTGTGAGTCCAGTGTTGGCTGCAGTGGCAGCACTACTTCTGGTAGTATATCTGTGGTGCGGAAAGAAATTCTCGAACACATCTCGGCAATTGAAGCAGCTAGAGAAGAAGACAGAAAGCTCTGTTATCGACCATTTCGATGCCTGTCAAAGCGGTCTCTCCACCATTCGAGCATATGGAAAAATTGACAAATCACTTCTCGAGTTTCAAGACAGAGTAGGCCGTCACGCACGAGCCTACTGGAACCTCCATCTACTCAACAGATGGCTCGACTTCAGGGTGAATATGCTCGGTGCAATTTTCTCAGCCCTAACTGTCTCTTTTATTGCCCACTCACCCGATGTCAGCGCCTCTACCGCGGGATTTGCAATCAGCTTCACTCTTGAAGTTTCACTGCTCATGGCTTTGAGTATCCGCTCTTACTCTCGATTGGAGGGGGATATGGAAAGTCTTGCTTGTGTTGATTCGATCTCAAACACTACAAAGCTAAGCTTGTCGGATGAGACATCTTTCATGATGAACGATATTTCTCCCAGGTCATCATTTAACAGCCATAGATCTTAAACTCCGACAAGCGGCGAACACGGCCAAAAAGCTCATAATCTACGATCTGCGGGCAGATCTTCCATTCATTCATTCATTCTCTATTTTTTCCACATCTTGTGATTTCCATTTTCTTAATCATCCGGGAAAGGACCCGATTCGACGGCCCAAGGGCTATTCAGGGCGTTGCTACGTCTCCACAGCTTTTCACATCTCTATATCTAGCTTTTTGGCAGCTACCACATACCCATGTGACATTTCTCCTTTTTTACTCTAAATTCCTCCTTAAAGTCTTCCATCTATCCAACTTCCAAATAAACTTGACGTATATCACGTGATGTATCCAGTCTGTTGACTTCTTGAGGTTTGGGTGGCCAATTAGAATGTGTACGAATGATTAATTGATTCTAGTCTTTCAGAAACTAAGCTAGGGATAAAATGACGTGCAAAGTCCGCGGATTTAAGAAATCCCCACCATAAACGGCATCGGTTAGTTCTGAATCCGAGCAGAATTAGTTTACTCCGACTCTACTCCCCTTTATTGCCGCTTAATCAAAATCCATACAACTTACCTTCCAACACAAACACCCAGTCTTGATAATGAGCGATCTATTGTGGCAGTCCTTCTGGATTCCTACCCCAACCCTAACGGAGAATAATCTTCCGGATCAAACAGGAAAAGTCCACATTGTCACCGGGGGATACACTGGAGTTGGTCTTGAACTTGTCAAGATTCTATATTCCAAAAATGCCACGGTGTACATCGCAGGGCGCAGTCCAAACAAGGCAGCAAGGTCGATATCGCTGATTAAAGACCTCTTTTCATCCTCAAAAGGCAGAGTGATATTTTTGGAAGTCGACTTCTCCGATTTCTCAAGTATCAAGCCAGCCGTGAAAGAGTTCCTATCTTCGGAAGACAGGCTTGACGTCCTCACTAACAATGCAGGTGTCATGAGACCCCCTGCAGGGTCCACAGACTCCCATGGACACGAATTGCAAATGGGCACGAACTGCCTGGGCCCGTTCCTCTTTACCAAGCTCCTTATACCTCTACTAGTAAAGACGGCCAAGACCGCTCCATCGGAGTCAGTTCGTGTGACCTGGGCTTCATCATTGACCGCGGCTATGATGGCGCCCAATGGGGGAGTCCAGTTTGAGAGCAATGGCATCGTGAACCAGTTTTTCGACAACAAGAACAAGGCTTATGGCCAGTCAAAAGCCGCCAACTGTTTGATTGCTGCTGAGTTCGCGGCTCGGTATGGAAAAGATGGCATCATATCTGTTTCCTGGAACCCAGGAAATCTTCACTCTGAGCTTCAAAGGCATAGTACCACATTGCTAGAAAAAATTGTCAACTATATGCTGCTGTATCCTACCAAATATGGAGCTTACACAGAGCTATATGCAGGCTGGTCACAAGATATCACATCTTCCCAGAATGGTGCGTATGTTGCCCCATGGGGGCGGTTATTCAAGCAGAGAAAGGACATAACCGAGGGAATGAAGCGAAAGAGTGAGGGCGGAACGGGTCACGGCGAGGCTTTCTGGGAATATTGTGAGAAGGAGACTGAAAAGTACGAATAGGAATACGAGTTCGTTCCTCATGACGCTGCATCACCCCTACACATTCACACGTGTTAAGAGCCAGCATCAGGTCTATGAATAAGCATTGGTTATTCTGGACAGCCAGACTCGTCACATTGTAACTATGCCACTGTTCAGTCATATATGAGTTCAACATTTCCGACCTCCGACGCAGTCTTGCTAGCAGTAGCTCTGGTTTCAACCCCAGAACGCTACCATGCATCTTTCGCAAGGCTATAACAGAGTCTCCAGGAGGCAATTAAACGCTTCCAATTTATCGGCTCATCAATGAACTTGGTTAAAACCGGCGCTGAAGCCATCCAATCAACAATACGTGTCATGGAAGCGCAAGGCTTGAAGATATGAATGAAAGTGTTCGGATCCTCTATAAGCTAAAAAGTCCTAAATCTATGTTATATATGTAATCTTGTAAATGCAAAACGATTGTATGAAATATAAACACCCCCTTTTATGCATGATCAAGAGGAGCCCTATTGCTATTCCTCCTTGGCATATGCCTTTGCAGAGGCAGCTTTGTTTGACTGGGACTTCTTATGCTTTAGCCGCTTCTCCATGATATAATTCCAGCTCTTGCCAATGCCCGCTGATAATATGCCTTTGACGGTCTGAACAGTGCTTGGCCAGCGAATTGTCTTCGAGATTGCGTTAGAGACCTCATCTGGAAGGTGTTCGTCACTGCCGATCCTTTGTTCAAAGGGACCTCCCTGAGGCCGCTTGACAATTTCCTGTGAAGTGTCATTGCTTTCCGCCATCATCTTATTGAACTCAACTCGTGGGATTGCGTAGCGTGACTGGTACTGGAAGTAAATCTTCTCACGGAACTTCTCTGGGAGGCGGCGGACCATGTTTCCGCGCTTGACTGGATCCATGTCCTGAACCATACCAAGAACTGCATCTGGATCGTCAATCCAGTCCTTCTGGCTACAGCGAGGGTCGTTGAAAGTCACATTAGGCAGATTGCTGACGAGAGGCTCGTATAGCCGCCGGAAGTGGGCCATTTGGCCAGAGACAATATTTCGCACTTTGCCGTGGTCTTCCGCTGGTAGCACCATCCGTAGGTCACCGGTATAGCTGATACCGGCAATGGTGCTGTATAATTCAAATTCGGAGAAACGCTCGGGTAATAGCAGAAGTGCCACCCGCAGAGCCGATAGCAAGTTCATCTGGTTCGCCAATCGAACTTTAGGATTGTCTCTAAGGATTTTCACGGGCTTGTGCAGCCGGCCTGCAAGATAGAGGGTATTCCATTGAGTCAGGTCTTGACAGAGTGTGTCCAGGTTCACAACCCCATATTTTACTAGAGTACCGTTCACAGTAACGTGAGTGTTGAAATATACTCCAGCTCCAAATTTATCTTGAACTTGGGAGACCGCATAGGAACCGAGAGAGCCAAGTCCGGAGTAATGATCACGATGCTGGTTTAGGTTTAACGAATGCCAGTGTTGAGAATAAGATACTCCAAATATGAAATCAATCATCTTTCCTGATCCCTGTTGCATATTCATGATGGCCGACGGTGCCGACGGGTGTGTAGGGGAGGATGAGGCTGCGCTGCCTTGCTGCGCAAATACGCCTGAGCCATAGGCAAAAGCGTATCGAATCGGTGCTCGGAATTCCCATAGTATCTGCCTTAGAGCTTCTTTGAATTCTTGGTTGATGATCATATGCTGGTTGACTCCGAAGTCTTTCGAGGGAAGTTCGGAGAACTGAGAAATTGAAAGGTTCGGGTTATAATCCCAGTCTGCTTCCGACAACAATGGTGAAGTCGAGAATGAGGCAGCAGATGGTGGTCGCTGAGGTGTAACATTGGATAATGAATGCGATATTGCAGGAATGTAATTTGCAGCACGGTAGAAATGAGAGTTGGAGGTACGGGATTCAATTGAGAGATAGCGAGCAGAAGCGGGCAGCAATGGAAGAGGTGCCAAGCGCACACGAGATCGCAAAAGAGAGCTAGAGACAGCGCTCTTAGAAACAGATATCTAGAGTATGGTACATCAATTAGCTTATATGTTTCTTTCCCAATGGTGTTGGTTCGGAGCGTACGGCTTGTCTCATAGTCGCAAGGTCAGAAGAGGAAGAGCGGAGAAGGAGCGGAGCGTAAAGCTCAATATGACAAATCACAGAGGATTGAAGGCCCACGGCATGGAGCGTTAATCTTATGAATCAATGGATCACGGCGAAGGAATTGTGCAATGTTCCACCTTCAATACCTGCATCCAACGAGATTCTGACGTATTGATGGGGCTTAGTAACCAAGATCACGTGAGTGCGCGTCTCACATAACAACGCTAAAGAAGTAAACAGACCGGATCAACATCGATCATAAACCCCGCCATACCAACCATTGCTGGGTTAATTATCAGGTTTGGTGGCTTACTGTCGCCAATAAACCCCTTGCGCCATGGGATTTGATATGGACACCTTCGCTGCTCGCTTGGCCAGTTTCGACACTGTGCTCAAACCTGAACGAAGATCCTCGACCACGAAAGGCTCTAAAACGATCGCATGGCCTCACAAGAAACCTTCACCGGCTGAAGTATGCTCAATCCGGACGAATAACTCTTTGCGACGCAATTTTTAACATCGTGATTTCTAGTTGGCGCATGCCGGTTTCTACTACAAGCCATATGAGACTAACCCGGATAACACAACATGTTTCGAATGCAACAGAGCACTGGATGGATGGGAAGAGGAAGACAACCCAATTACTGAGCACCTAAAGCACTCACCAGACTGCGGCTGGGCGATCACAGTCGATATTGGGCAACGTAGCTCCAACCCCGCTACCATCGAAGACCCGACCAGCGAGCGAATCACCCAGGCACGACAGGCAACCTTTGGGTCTGCTTGGCCCCATGATGGAAAAAGGGGATGGGTTTGCCAGTCGGAAAAGGTAATGGATCTCTAAGCCCATCAGCCTTTTGATTTTCGCAACTCACACTTCATAGATGGTCGAGGGCGGATGGTATTTTTGTCCGACAGATGAGAGCAAGGATTTGGCCAGTTGTGCGTACTGTAAGCTGTCATTGGATGGTTGGGAGCCCAAGGATAACCCATTGTGAGTATAAATTGCTCCTTCCTAGTATAGATGTAGACTAACCCTTGCAGTGATGAACACTTCCGCCGTTCCTCGGACTGCTCCTTCTTTGTATTTGCTCAACCCCCAGCGAAAAAAGGCAAAGGAAAAAAGCCCCGCACTTCGAAGGCATCTTCTCGCCTTTCCACCCAATCTGTTAATTCTGTCACATCCGAAGCTCTGGATGTAGAGATAGACGAGTCAATGGACGAGAGCATCATGTCTCAGGCCTCTACCAAGCCAAAGGCTACCAAGGCCAAGAAGGGAACCAAGAGCAAGAGAGGGGCCAAGAACAAAAAGGAGAATATTGAGTTGGAAGATCAGATGGATGTTGACAGCATTGATCTCGAGCAGCCAGAACCCCCGATGCTCATAAATGAAAGTCGGGGTAAAAAAAGGGCTAGTGAAGAAATGAGCAACTATGAGATCGAGCTGGCCTCGGAAGAAGCAGAACCTCCAAAGAAGCGCCGAGGACGAGCCGCAAGCACTCAAAGCAATCGTATTTCCCATGCATACGAGCAATCCCAAGATTATGATATGTCAGAAGTCGTGGAAGAAGAACCCCGGGAAGAACAACCCAAGGAAGAACGACCCAAGAAGAGTCGCAAGGAATCAAAGAAGCGTTCTGCTTCCAAGGACCGAAAGGCTTCTGATGTATCTATCGCAGCAAAGGCCTCATCAAAGGCTCATATGCCACGCGACTCGGAAATAGATGCAGCTATTGCGGCTGGTCTTGAAGAAGGTGTTCCCGAGGCAGTCGAGCAAGAAGCCGAGCCAACCCCACCACGGGCTTCAAAGAAAATGAAGACTAGCAAAAAGTCCAAGTCTATCGCCAAGTCTCCCGAGCCGAAGCTTGAACTGGAGCCGCAAATAGAGACGATTGCTGAGCCTGAACAGAATGAAGAACAGCAAATAGACACCCCCGCCGAGTCACCTGCTGGCGTGGAAGAAATCGACGAGCCAGTTCCAAAAACAAAGAAGTCTTCCAAGAAGAAGGACTCCAAAAAGAGCAAGAGGGAAGAGCCGAAGTCGAAGAAGTCGAAGAAATCAAAACAAGCGTCACTAGAGATTGAACCCGACAGAGCTGATGAGATTCATGAATCCTTAGTGGCTGTTGAAATTTTCAATCAGCCATCTGGACCTCATGAGGAATCGATGATGGAACCTGAAGAGCGACCTGTGACGAAGAAACCCAAGAAAGAGGATAAGCCAAAGAAGTCCAAGAAATCCAAGAAGGTGGAGCCTTCGCTTTCACCAGTACCAGTCCAGAAATCAGATCCAATCGAAGAACCAATGGAAGAGCCGGTTGAAGAGTTGATGTTGATTGAAGAGCCTGAGCCGACTGAAGAGCCTAAGATATTTGAGGATGACTACAGATCTCCATCTGAAGAGGATGACGAGTTTGACACTGCGAATGATATTCCCGAGCAGGTCGAGGTTTTGGCACAGTCCCCAGATCCAGAACCACAACTTAAACAGAACACTTCTGTGCCACCCAAAACATCGAAGCGATATAGTGATATTCCCCAAGAGGAGCACTTCGCCGATTCGTTTGTGGCCCCTCAAAGAACTTCCTGGTCGCCCAACAGAGCTGTGTCGCCATTGCCAGCGAGCAAGGGCACACCCTCGCTGTCGCCACAGTCGTCTGATGCAGAGAACAAGCCTCCCTCCAATCACACATCGGCATCCCGACCACCCGCGGTATTTACGCCCAAGCAGCCCAAGAATTATGCTTCATTGACAGTTAGCACCCCTTCACCATCGAAGCGAAGCTTCAATGAGGGATTCTCAGCAGCAAGTCATGCCTGGACACCTGTGGATATTGATGAAGTCCTGTTTGGGGAAGCTAGTGATAAAGAGAACGGCGACCTGAGCGGCCTTTTCAAAGGCGCCAAGGGCGGTCTGTCCAGCCCGGAGAAGAAGATGTCAATTGAGGAGTGGATTAAGTGGAATGCAAAGAATGGTGAGGAGCGACTGAAGCGAGAATGCGAGCGGCTCGTCAACCAATTCGAGAGGGAGGGCGGGCGGGCCATGCAACGGCTCGAGGCGATCGAGTGCGTTGAGTGAACGATCCTTACATGATATTTCCTTTTTACTCTATTATTCTATTCGGATAGCCTCCGGTTCTAGGTTGGGGCGTTTCGGGTGAGGTTCTTTTTGAATATTACAAACACCTTTTGTATTTCCATAATATCGCCTGAGAATCAAAATGATAAAACATGAATTAGACCTGTAAACGCTAGGGGTATCGAATCATTAAAAGCATGTCCTTGAAATCATCCTCTGCTAGCCGACATGATACCTAATCGTCCTTCCCAGCTATCATCCTCTCGTTCAGCAGCACGCTTCCGTTGCTTTTCTTGCCGCTTGAGTCGTCTCTCCTCCCTCGTCTTTGCTTCAATTTCTGCCCGTTCTTTCAGTCGAAGGCCCAGATCAAGCTGCCACGCCTTTCTCTCCTCATCTTCGTTCATCCGCTTTTTATGAGCCAGCATCCGCAGGCGCATCCGTACATCTTGGAGACTTGCCCGTTTCACATTGCCACTCTGACCAGTCGCAGCCATATGCTGATTGCTATTCAAATGTTCCACATACTGGATATTATCCTTGAGGGTAATGTCACAGTCCGGGCAGTAGAACCCAGCGCCGCGGCCACGTTTGGAATTAGATGAGCCGGCCGGAACAAGGGTCGTCTTGCCGACCATAGAGGCCACATCCAGTCGTCCTTTGCGGGCAGTGGTTTCCTCCATCGAGCTCCAGTCAACCTTGGCATGGTATTTCTTGCCGAGGAGCTTCGCTTCGTATCGGGCTTTGCCTTCGGCTTTGCGCTTTTTTTCGTCATCGGCGGCAATTTGGGCATATTCTGCGCGATCCCATGTTTTGCGGTATGAGGTATCTGAGGCCGGGGGTTGTTTTGATTCAGACATGATGATGGGTGAGGAGAGTATATCTGAGGATTGGTTTCAAGAAAAATAACTTGCAGGTTGAAGGTAGATGGTTCAAGGTGGAGCTTTCCGAGTTAGTCAGCATTCAAGTCACTAGTTATTTAGTTAGTTAGCTAAATAACTAAATGCGACGACTGAATATTTATTTATCAACCAGCATTGTTTGATTCACTGAGCTTATCTAGATGTGTTTGACATTTGTTTAGCTGTTAATATTTTTTTGGAGTATCTCTGGTATGATGCATCTATTGGTCAATTTTCCAGATTTGGCTCTAAGCTTCCAATATGGAACCCCAATTCGCTGAAGGCCACAATATTGTTGTCTATTTTTACACAAGATGCCGCCATTCCCGTGACCTGTCAGCGCCCCTAAGTTGAAACGTTCAAGTTTATGAATATAATTATCAAGACTCCTACACCTTATTGTAAACGCTGGCCGTCTAATCTATTCATTATTGATCATTGGCCTTGAAATAATAGCAAACCCTCTTAAGCAAAGAACAAAATGGACGAGGCCACCCAAAATTCAGATACTGTGACGGTTAAGAGCCGGTCAAATCACACCAATCTAATGGACTTTCCTGCAGAACTTCAGTTGGAGATCGCCTCCTACCTCACCTATCCGGACGCCTTAGCTCTAAAGCACACATGCAGCTATTTCTACGCTTTGGTCTATACAGGCGTACATCTCAAAGTGGACTGGTTCGTCGAGCGCTTCGAGCACAAACTTGAGTGTCCTATGGAAAAATGTTCTTTCCGAACAGATGAAGCGTTCTGCAACGCGCGGATCCAGCACATTATGGAGCGTCGCCGCTGGCATTTGGAGTGTCGGCGTATTCCAGGTGGATGCTGGGTTATCGAGGGTAACACTTGTCAGAGGGATTTAGTACCTTCTTGGCTGAAGATGCAGGGTTCGAGAAAGAGTGTGAAGATGTTGATTGCCTGGGGACGCGAAAGTAACCTTCTTCTGAGTCTGCTTTATAATTATTGTTTACTAACCTTTTTTTCCTTGTATAGCTTTGATAGTGGGCACTATTGCGCTGTTTTTACAATTGATGTGGATGTTTGTACAGAGGTATGAGCCATATGCTTCCCACCTTTGGAACATTGAAAGAGTTCCAACTTTCCCTAGGTTATTTATTGTTCTAACGAGTGATATAGCATACGCAGAGCATAATGATCAATATCAACGTTCTCATGCCCTTTTGCCTTATCGCGACATGCACATATATGCCTGGCTGGATTGAACCATGAAGATTCATGATATGAAAGCACTCAGCTGGTACCTGGATACCTACTTAATGAATAATATAATCTTTTTCAAATTAATGCTACATCGCAATTACCTTCAAGAAGAGACCTGCAACTAGCAACTAGGATATGGAGATCTCTCACTACCAAGGCTCTCAGAAGTCTCCTCTTTTTTCTCTTTTCTCTTCTAAGTCAATAATATCTGTGGATCCGTTGTAAAATCATCCTTGAGCACTGATTCTCTCGCTTTGAATCCAGGGAATCAGTAGATTTAACACAACTATTATATGACATGGATGAGTCAGCTAATAATCCAAGGTATTACCTGAGTAGGGGGTAAAAGTGACTTGATTCCAAGGTTCTCAAGTATGATTATTACTTTATTAATCTAAGTATCTAGGGCTAACATGAAATACTCATATATGAAGCACTATTGTTGCGACAGCCGAGAAACAAGGCCATCAACAGACGGAAAGTATTTCGGCCGAAAAAGCTTCTGCCGAGACAGCGACTCCGGAACTGGATTAGTATATCACGGCATCCTTGAACGATATGCATTCATCGCAAACGACACCCTTGAGCGATGTGCATTCGCGACAGTAATGTCCCGTCTTCACCGTCTCTTCTGTCTCGGACGAATGTTGACATTCGTCCAGAGCAGAGGGGCGCCCATGTACTATAAGTAGCTAGTTCTTTCATCAATGAAAAATCAGACTTCACAACAACCACAATATTCAGTACTGTAGAGACCACTACACTTGGTGGTTTGTCTACGGTGTTGAGTAGTGGTTCGTTGGAGCTCACCGTTCTCAGTTAAGATATTCGAATATCGCCAAGCGAGCGACAACTATTGTAAATAATGAAAATACTCGTTACTGTTGGAACGAATATCAGCTAACATACCAAGATCATGTGATCTTGGCATGGCAGCTACTATCTTCTTTCATCTGAGCATTTTAGAATGACACTTCACTTTTACCTAATATGCATACACCTATTATATACGTACAGAAACGATATCAATAGCTGTCTGCTTCGGTAATAACCTAGTCAACCGACAGTTACTTTAATCTTGAAATATCCTTAATCTATATCCATAGATGCCTGTAGTCGAGTCTGCCTGAGTCATCCAATCCACTATGATATTCAATAAAACTCTCCAAGCTTGTGGTGGATATAATATGTTTAGCTGTAGATGCGTGGAAGTAAAACAAGTAAATCTCAAGTGGCGAGGTATGGAGTAACTCAAGCCCCAACCGGATTATTTCCTGACGTCACAACGACGACGCCAGTAACTGCAAACAATTGCTATAAAATGCTATTAATCACTTCTTTAATACCATAAATTCTTCAAGCCTCCAACAATTTTCATCTAACCATTATCCGATCTCCCTAATTGAAAATGTCTACCGAAGCTACCATCAATACCACAACGGGCAACCGCCCAGTGGACCCTTTTACAGCTCAGAGCTCCGAAGACCCACCTCTACCCCAGAAAATTGAGGATCTCGTGGATTTCATCTCCGAGGTAAAATTTGGCATGTTGACGACCAAGCAATCCGATGGTCCATTTTTGACTTCGCGCAGCATGGCTCTCGCCGCTAAGGTACGTCACCAACCCCCAGCACATTGAACCTCCCAACACAATGCTAGAATTCAATGAAACATACTAACAAACCCCCAGGAAAACGGTGGCGTTGACCTTATCTTCCACACAAACCTATTCTCGGGCAAAGTAATGGATCTAAACGCGCACCCACAAGAAACAAACATGTCCTTCTTAGATCCGATCAATGGAGCCTGGGCCTCGATTTCAGGCACAGCATCTGTAATTGCTGATCCGGCTATCGTGCAGAAGCATTACTCACCAACGCTGAAAGCCTGGATCGGGGATTTGGGCGACGGCGTACACGACGGTGGCCCTACCGATCCACGAATTGGCGTGATCAAACTGGAAGCGAAGCTTGCAACTCATAATGTCGTGCGGAAGGGACTTATTGGTAGGGCTGTTGAGACGGTCAAGGGTGCTGTGCAGGGTAATGTGCCCGCCATCAATGGAATCCGAGAACTGAGTTTGGAGGAACTGGCTGAGTGTGAGTTTTCCTTCCCTATATTTTAGTGTTAGGTATAATGCTAATCGCTTTGTAGGGCGCCGTACTCATCAGAAGAACTAAAAATCGTCGGTCAAGATTGTTATATGGATGCTTTGGTTAGGGTCCTGAGGTTTCTTGCTGTTGTAACTTAGTGAGATGATATAATATCACCTTCCTCTGGAACCGCCGCATCTGATGGATATTCGAACAAAAATTTCAAGGTGATTGTGGTTAAGCAAGTTGGAAGATTTTTCCCAGGTGGCCGATTTAATTCATTCATGTTATGGTATTACGGTCCGCGTGGTGGCCAAGTCAATACAATATCCTGAGGTCACCAGCTAGGTAACCTTTGAACCAAGTGTCTTACCCAGGTAATGTTCCCTGGAAAGTCAAGCTGGAGACTCTATCAGTCGAAGCGGAGCTCAAATTTCTATCAGTTTCTGTTTCTATCACTGTGGATTGATATTAAGGCTCAATGAAAGAAGCCAATTAAGCCAGTGGACCCATTTATTACTGATAGACCAATCAGAACTTGTAATTTTAGTATGCTGATAATGCCAGTTCGACCTTACCTAGTCAGTGTTCTGGGTTACGAAAAGACTTCCACATAAAATCCCCCTGTGCCCAGCGGTCTTTTATAGTCCAATGCTCCTATCATGGGAGCCTTGGAAGACTTCTTATTGAAATTGAAATTCGAGATTTGAATGCTTGATCATCATATCGTTTAATCTTGAAGCTATTCATAAAGAAGAAAAAAGGTCAACACCTGAAATATCAGGACCCACTTGTTTACTATGTAAGTGGGGCGTAAATCAGGGTCCAAACATAGTCTCATCTCATTTCGTAAACCTCAGTAATGGGCAGTTTTCTTTAAAAGGACTTAGCCCTTAGACCTGTATCACTAGTATTAATACCTACATTATATGACCTTCTATCCATCTGCGTCCTCACTTGTTGACCACTCTAGTCCAACAAACACCCCTTGGTATATTCATCTACAATACTTGATGCGAATTACTGACATCTATCTGTACTACTATGTTAGTTTCCTGGCAGCATAATTAGAGAGCAGAGTGCCTCAATAATGAGGGTATAGCCAGGGTCATTGTTATTTTAAATATTATCCTTTGTGTCGGCGGATTGAATGATTAGTTAATATGAAACCATAGAACTAGCTTATTATGGTACACCACAGTCACTTGCGGCTAGCTATAGAACCATTTCTCCTGCAAGAGTTCAAATCTATCCACGTTTTCTCCCTCGGGTTCATACCTACGTACCTTGGAGCCACCCCTGGACTTCTCACCTACCTCCGAGACACCATGCAGGAAGAAGAGCAGCCCCTAAGGGCAAATCCCTCATTATTCACGTAAAGCACTCCCATTCCAAATTATTTCAGGTTTACTCTACTAAAGAAATTGAACAGGTAAGATACTCCAGCCTTAATTGTTAATGTCGAATGTCTATTTATATTCTTGAAGATCACAACATTCCCGTCACTCTCAATATCACCTATCATCCAAATCATCCGGTGATTCTAGACCTATTGTTTTTCATACCCACCATCCAGGTAGTGAGCCACCGTGCAACTAGCTTCGAGCTCTATAACTCAGCGTGGTGATATAGGGAAGATTTTTACGACATATGCGCCTATGCTATATATGATGATCCTGATGTACAAGTTTCTGTCGGGCAAAGTTATCATTTCATAAGTCTTCGCCCATGCGAAATATGGTCCAAAACCTGGATGCGAGAGTTTCCCCAAAACACCAAGGTTCTTGCAGATTTCGGTGATACTATCCAGTGTCAGTTTGAGGGAACACAGTTGGATTGGTGGGATTGGGGATTTAAGGAAGATGACATCTCTATTATTGTCACGCTACCATGTTTTCTGGATTCTGATGTGATCGAGCCACAATATAATAACGGCTGGCCTTTGCTGATTATACCTGCTTCAGACCCCGATGATATAGAAGTAATTTAGTCGGTACTCAAGTACAAATGAAATGGAAAAATTGTAAACCTGATGGTGGTATTGGGCTTCTCCGAGTGGTTGAGAACGGAAAATAATAAAAATAATAAAAATATATATATATGAGATATTGGGGACCTCCCAGCAAACCACCTAAAAAATATTGGGTATCGTAGTTGAACGCCTCGAAAAATAACCGAAAATAAGGGGAACCGCTCCAGAAAGCTTGAATTGGCCGATTAGATCTGAGAGAGTAGTCAGTATGAAGTCAAAGGATACGAAGAAACTAGAGATACGAAGAAACTAGAGATACTCACCAACTGAAGTTGGAAGTTGTGAGGAACCCGGCCTTCGTGCAGAAGCATAGCAATAGACTTCTGCTTAGTAGACTGGAGCTTGCGATAAGCCTCTCGGATGTGTCGGGGCTCAATCGGAGTACGGCCCTCTTCCGGAGGATCGAACAGGCCAGTCTCGCGCTTTCGCTTCGCAGTCTCACCACTAGTCTCCGAGCTGCCACGATTCTTCTCGTGATCCTCGCTCTCCTTGACCTTAAGTGCCTCCTCAGTGAGGGTTTGGACGATTTCGAAGGTCAAAAAACCAAGAATATCGACGATATCGTCATTGGGCTTCGACTCAGTAACAATACCGAATCCAGCCCACTCGCGGAAACGTTTGCTCTTGCGGTAGGTGAATGAGGCCTGGCGGCACTCTGACCAGAAAACATATTCCTCTTTGGTCATGTGCTTGGTACGTTCATCAGCCGCAGCGAGACGCTGAAGAGTCGCGTAGTTCTGTTCTTCTTCTTCTTCGTCTTCCTCGTCATCGCGCTCGGGAATCTGAATAGAGAAGAAACTGCTGACGTCCCACGCCAGTCCGACCTTGGCGCGCTTGTTCTTCGGCTTAGCGGCCATATCCTGGGGGCCTGCAACACCACCAGCTGCGTCATCAGCTGCGAAATCGGCAGCGTCGGCGCCACCCTTGTCGTCGGAATCCTTGACGTTCTTTCGAACATCCTTCCACGACAGGAAAGTGCGCAGGCGCGAGACTTTGGCCTTGTCACGGCGGATGAGGAAGATTAAGTCGTCAGTGGAGATGGCGCGCGATCCACGGCGGGTAGCCAGTTGGGTGCTTTTGGTCAACTGTGCCATTATTGGTTAGCATATATAACAAACAGAGTGGCAGATAAAACTCACGATGTGGATCACTTGCTCCCGAGTGATGTCCTCAATCAGGGTGGTGGACTCGACAGACGGTTCTGCGGTCTCTCCAGAGACAAACATCATCTTAGAGAACACTTTAGTCATGAACATCTTATATTTGACAGCCTTCTCAGCCTGGGTAGTTTTAGTGGTCTCGGTATCCGAGTCCATTTCCATATCGGAAACGGTAAACTCTATTTTTGAGGATTGATCGAAAAGGTAGATTGGCATGAATGGTTGAGGGAAAAGACGGAGAGTAAACAGAGGTTAATATGGTAGTAAACTCATGATTCAACATTACACTCTGTATATTGCAGAGGTTGTAAATCATGGTAATTATTCTTGTTTGCGACCTTTTTCACCCCTGTATGCATCATCCACCACACCTTTATATGTGCAACACATCATCGACCGATTGATCATTCATGAGCATTCAAGAGATGAGAAAAATCTATTGAAGCTGAATTGCATCAACAGCAGCATCAATATTCAATGTTATATCAATTTTGAAGTTGTGGGCTTTACTGCTGCTGCGTGAGGCACCCAGATATTATGGACTTTGGCACAATGCCAAGAAATCGGGACCGACCAGGACTTGAAGTTTCCAAGTCGAAAAGTGGAAGAAGCCGAGACCACATAGTACATACCAGAAGACCGAGATACTATAATAGGAGGGTAGCTTACCTGCTGAATCTCCTGCCGATACTTCGGCTGGCGCTCGGAGCTCATGGTGGCGGCTCTAGCTTGATCCGGATCAAGTTGTTGGGACTAGACGATCAGAAATTGGACGGAAGCTCTGGGGCGAAGCTGTCCTGGACTATGGGCAATGCGCAAAGCACTGTCGCTGTGAATTCGATCTTCGATGAGGAAGGAGGTGCGCGATACAATGCGATGCTGCGATAAAGATACGATAAGATGGTGGAGCGGCAACTTTCTTTCTCCGAATTTCCGGCGGTATACAATCTTTGCTGTTCTGCCGCGGGGCTTGAATTATTTGATTGAATTCTCTCCAATTACTTCTTGATTGTCCAATTCGCCCATCATGTTGCATCTCGTTGGTCTCGGTCTCGCTGACGAGAAGGATATCACAGTCCGTGGCCTGGAGATTGTCAAAAAGGCCGAAAGAGTCTACCTGGAAGCATACACGGCCGTTCTTCTCGTCGACAAGGCAAAGCTCGTAAGTAGCATTGTTCCTACTGGTTGGTTTTTGCTTCATGCGCCGATCACTAAATTCGAAATATGTGCTCAGTAGGAAGCGTTTTATGGCCGCGAAGTTATCGAGGCAGACCGTGAACTAGTAGAAACTGGCAGCGATGACATCCTCGCCGGCGCAGACAAGGCGGACATCGCTTTCCTGGTTGTGGGCGATCCATTCGGCGCAACCACGCACACAGATCTTGTACTGCGTGCCCGTGAACTAGGCATCCAGACCAATGTCGTCCCCAACGCCTCCATCATGTCAGGTATCGGCTGCACTGGACTGCAGCTGTACAACTTCGGTCAAACAGTCAGCATGGTATTCTTTACCGAGACCTGGAAGCCCTCATCCTTCTACGATCGTGTGCGCGAGAATGCCTCGATTGGCCTACACACGCTCGTGCTACTAGATATCAAGGTGAAGGAGCAGTCTCTAGAGAATATGGCGCGTGGCCGCCGCATTTTCGAGCCGCCGCGCTATATGACTGTTGCACAGTGCGCAGCGCAGATGATTGAGACTGAAGAAGACCGTAAGGAGGCCGTGTACTCGGCTGATAGTCTTGCTGTTGGTGCTGCTCGGGTTGGTGCGCCAGATCAGAAACTTGTCGTTGGAACTCTTCAGGAGTTGGCAGAGGTTGATATGGGAGAGCCCTTGCATAGTCTTCTGCTTTTGGGTCGGAGGACGCATGATCTGGAGCGAGACTACATTCGGCAGTATGCTGTCAATGAGGCGACTTTCGATGCGAGCTACTCGAAGTACTACGGAGCGAGCTCATGAGTCGTCTGTAGTTGCAGTGAATACTAACAAGTCATGAATAAGATATTCAATCAATTGCTATACTAGGAAGAAAATTGAACGATAAGTGGTTTAATAATTTTGAAACATGGTACAAGCAGATAGTATAGTGTCTTCGATATGGCGATCAGCCTTATGAAGACTTATCTATCCCTCTAGATCCTGCTGACCCTGATCGACCAGCTCGGTCTCTATATAAGAGAAAATGCATGTAATGCAAAATATGCCGCAAGACAATGAAGATGCAAGAATCGAAAGTCTAAATGGTATCCAAACATATCAGACAGAAAAAAAAAACCACGCAGATGAAATATCGGCCCTCGGTGCAATTATCCAAAGATGGAATTCACAGATATGACCGAGAGGCAATATTCTTGTATAAACAAGGCGGACCAAAACCAACAACACCGAATAATATGCCCGAATAAGATGCAAAATGAGCCGAAGCAATGTACAGTTGAAGAAAAAGTGATCACTCGTGACCTATTCATGAAAATCTTCTTCCTCGCCAGGAAGAAGAATCTCATGACCGGATCCTTCGTAAACATATATGGCAGCAAAGCAACCAAAGACGGAGAACAAAGCGATCATCCACCAAGCGAAGCCGATCACGCCGATATCCAGACCATAGCCGTACCATGCACCCGATAATATTGGGCCAAGGGTTCGGAATGCAGATGACACGGACTGGCCGATACCGTGGATGGTACCTAGAACCGATGGATGGGGTGAACAGTTGTTCAAGAGGATGATAGAGGTGGGGAGAGTGAAGGTTCGAGCGGTGACTTGGAAGAAGAGGACGATGACGATTCCGACCCATATCCAGGGGCCGTTAGCTTGGCCGGGAGGTGGGACTGTAGACGGGGCCAAGGAGATATATGGTGCTAGAGCATATGCGATTGGGAAGAGTGCGAGGAAGTACTGATAACTCTTGGCAGTGCCCAGACGACCGTTTATAGTGGGGTAGATGGTGAATTGAAGGGCCATGCCAATGATGCCCAGAATGGCAGTAGCGAAGCCAACACTTTGGGGGAGCATACCTAATCCACCGGTGAAGCCGAAAGGTAAGCTCCGTGCAGGGCTGGCCGGATCGTTCGGGTCATAGCGAGGAGTTGACAGGAAAAGTAACCAGAGATTGTTAAATGCTCCCATCTGAAAGTCAAAGAAGGCCTGAGCTAACAGAGTGAACATGACATTCTTAGTCCAGATTCTTCGGAAAGGCAGAGCACGAATGAGTCGGACAGGCCTGGATGCCTTCTCCCCGAGCTCATAGCTTTCAGTGCTATCAATACCACCACGGCTCAGAAGAGGTCCGCCCTCGTCTTCATCGCGGAATGGAAGCCGTGTGTATAGAGTCGAGGAGGTGCCAAATGTTTTCTTCACACCACGTGCAAATAGTTTCATTACGAATGACCCCAAGCCAGGCTTACCCTTACAGGCGAGGAGAGTCTCTTCCAGTCCATATGCTACCAGGCATGCGCAAATGCACAGGAAAGCGAAGTTGGCAAGCATGGGCAGGGCATATGGATAGCGCTCCAACCACTGTACGCCATTCTCCCCTCCCAAGGATGAATTCGGGCCAAACAACATTGGATAGCTTTTGACCGGATCAGCCAATAGGCCACCCATGACTAGAGTACAAGATCAGTTTGAATGTTTTTGATAACTTATAGGACAGCGAAGACATACCAGGACCAAACAGCGCAGCCACGTTGAATCCAATAGGCAATATCAAGAAAGCGCGCGAGTGGTATTTCTTTTCCTTGACGTTCTCCGCAATCATAGTACGGATAATGCCCACAGTGCCATTGATAGCACCGCCAAACGACCGCCAGAACACAGCCTGTGCGAACGATGTCGCAAAAGCAACACCCAGACACGACACAGCAGTACCAAGCAAGCCCACCAGCAAAACAAATCGACGACCACCCCATTCTGCATCTGCGACACGGCCCCAGGGAATAGCAGTGGCAAACTGCGCAGCCGTAAAGGCACCTTGCAGAATACCGGCTTGTGTAGCTACATCTGAGTCGGTTAGGTTTGGGTCGAAGGATTTGAGCTGGTAGAACATGTAGGCCTGCAGCGAAGCGATCTGCAAGAAATCAAAGACACGGCATAGACCGAGCAGGGTCAATTGGCCCTTTCGTGGTAGTGACATCCAAGTAACCGTCGCGGGACGAGTGGCTACGGCAGGCAGTTCTGGTTCCTGCAGAGCCAAGTTCTGGACCTGCAGGTTCTGTGAGCGGCTGCGCACATGTTGTCTAGACTTGCGACTCATGTCGATTGAAGTGTTCCGGATCATATCGAGCGCATCGGCGCTGTGGGGGTCGGAAGAGGGGCCTTCGTCAACACTAGCTAGAGAGACGTTGGATTCACGTCGACGTGAGATCTGGCGGGATTCAGGAGATTCGCTTTTGTTGCTCTTTATACTATTATAAAATCCGGACGACCAGGATGTCGTACGCGCGTGGCTGACATTTTTAGATATTTGGGTATGGGACCTGGCAGACATGGCCCCCGCGATGGAATGTCGGGTATTGTAAGCGCGGCCTCTACGTCAGAAACTATGGTTTCATGTAATTTTGAATTCCGAAGGTCTTTTTGTCTGGATGATGTATCGAGATGAAGAGAGGGATGAAGTGATAAGGTATTTATTTATTATTTTTAATTAAATTCTTTTTTATTAAAAAATAAATAGAAGTAGCTAAAACAGTGATTTACCGAATAAAAGGGGATATTGTGTATGTGTATGTGTTTTTTTACAGCCAAGACCTTCAAGTTTATTGATCCTCTTGAATTATGAAACCCAGTATATTACTTGATACAGGACCAGATCAACCAGCTTGCGACGACTTACTCCACTCCATAAAGGATCTATCCCGTCTAGGCGCTTCGATCTCTTGTTTTTCCTTATCAATTTTGTGCTACATTTCTATGTTAGCGTTCTATATCTGCAATCCATCTATTATTTTACTAACCTAGAACCGTCTCAATCAGACTTATCTAATCGATGATCTCTATTCTCTATTCTTTATTCTTTATCAAGGATTTCCGCAATCATTCAGCTCCAGTAGGACAAACCTTCGCCCCTCCAAATTCAAGCCACCTTCCCGTACCGCCGAAGGCGATGGAACTAGGATGTGTCAAAGTGGGGTTACGATCCTAGTATGACTTTCGATAGATCATACCTACGTATCATCCTGTTGTGAACTGGTCACGTGACGTCATGATATTCATGTATAAAATGAAATATCCCGAGGTCCTAGGAGTCATGTCCTTGCCGCTTTTACAGCACGCTTCCGAGAATTACTAAGTATGTAAGCTCACTGACTTTCGCTCAAATTGGGGCATCAAAGGCGTAAATTACCTCGCATAGTCTCCAGTGGGTGTCTAGCAGGGTATGGTCAACCGAAGCAACATTTGGGTTCACATTCATGCAAAGTCTTTTCCCGTTGTTGCAGAGTATAGAATCGAATAAGAGTGTCATTTCTAGATTTTGTACTCATGTTCTTCTTATAGATCATAAAACGACTTGAATGTTAGAAGAAACTTGCCCAAAGAGAGTATGGGGCGGTGCTGATAATGGATTCGTGATTAGATGGTATGGTTGGACGATTGCTGAGCCTTTGATGAAATGTATAATAGACCCAGGAGATCTCCAAAAAGGATCAATGAAACTTTGGAAGATTAAATCTTCCCAGAACTTCTGCTCGACTTTTCTCCCCGTGTGCGAAGATTGGAAGAAGAGCTAGAAATATTGGCAATCATCTTACTTTCTCCGTCTTTCTCCAGTTGCACACAGGTAAACATCTGTACTTTTATGGTGCTATTGCAATTCGCCGCCATGGACCCTTATGAGGACAAATTGGTATATCAATGATACCTACTTCAAGTTAAAAAGTAAGAAGGAATGAAGGGGGCAAAGGAGAGGAAATCTCCCTTTTATAGCAAATGAACACTGCCCTTACACGAAAAGTGAAGTGAGAGTACAAGTGAACCTTGGAAGTGAAAGAGATCTAGAACTGCCTAGATATGGTGGGTAGTTATTTACAATTTATTTAGCACCTAGTAAACTATTTCTTATGAGCCTCCTGGTTGAAGATTTTGATTATCCTGAAGACTTATATTATCTCAACATATGCGAATGCAATTGAGTCTGGTTTTGAACACTCCTTAAAGCGGCGACAACCCAAGTGGGTTATACAAGTATAATTTCGAGATCTGGAGTGATAAGAGTCGAAAGACTATGGGGAATGCATACGTATGCTTGTGTAGTTTTGCAAGTTTTTCAAGTTACAGCCTGTATTTTAAAGAAGCCGGACTACCGCGGCATACCTAGTGACGAGAATTTCCGGGTATTGTAATTTTTCCAAGGTGCGTAATGGGTAATATTTATTGTAATTTAAAACATACAAGAAATGAAGATATGTACGTTTGAGGGAACCATGGCCAGATAATGCAAGTAAGAATATATGCAAGAAACTTAGAGCAGGACGGTATCATTCAATTCGCTGCTCTCGAGAACTTCGATCCGCGAGTGGGTGATAACGAGGATTAATTCCAGTCCACCGACGCCAATTCCACCATGGGAGCTGGTAAATTTCAGGCGAGGATTTCCGCTCTGCCATGTCATGCAGTGGCTCGCTTGATTCATCGTAGAGCTTATCCAGCTGGTGTCGTTTGTAAACGCGGTAGATATAGCATCCTCCTACAAGAATCAGGCTTGAGCCAAGGATGGCACCAACTAAGGAAAGGAAACCTATATAATCTCGTTAGTACATTGTAATTTATTTGAGAATAATGGGGAGTGCTTACGCTTCCTAGCCTGATTCTTGTGGTAGGCGCCGCTGCTTTCAGATTGTGAAGTAGAAGGATATATCCAAATAGCGTTTTCGTGAGCGGAATCAACCCATGGCACGGTATTGACGCCAACAGGAGGAATAAACGGTCCAGGGGCCTCTTCACCCGGGAATCCATATCCAGGCGCATCCATACAATTCTCGTGCTGGCAGAAATCTCGCAGTTCAGGCGACGGAACAAAGGTGTATTTGATCTCAGACTGGCCGAGGACATTGCCATTGAGGTCAAGAGCGTCAGCACAAGTCCAAGGATAGAAATCAGTAGTTGTATAATTTGTTTCAAATCCGGTCTTGTTCGCATTGCCCAATAACGTCCATGGCCCTGTCATGTTTGCTGAGCCGAAAAACCGCCATGTCTTGACGCGCGTAGCTCCGTTCCAACTGACATAGAATGTTGTGGGTGATAGTGACTCGGCTATCTGTGAGTAGGTCCACAGAGCTGGGGAGTCAGTAGGGTTACCCTCCCACTCAAACTTCATTGAACGGTAGTTCATGACGCTACCGCCTCCGTCGAAGGAAGCCCAATAGATGAGATCGCCCTTCTCATCGTGTTCGGAGACATAGCCGTTGTTGCCCCATCCCATGAACACGTTTTTGTTGGATAGACGCTGCAGATTACCCTGGCTGGAACTGGCGAGGTTTGGAATCTTTGGTGCGTAGTCGCGAGTCTGGAGAGCAGTGTCATCCAAGTGGTTTATGAGGATTATCATACCACCCGAGTACGGATGAGTCTGATTGAAACCGTTGTACCCATTGTTATATAGTGAAAGTATAGTGTGAGTCGCATTTTCAAACAACCACCTCGCATCATGCTGCTGCGAGAAGCTGAAGTTGATGTTGTGGAACGTCGGTTGCGCACCGTGTAGTCGCCAAATGATAGATCCATCCTTGCCGGAGAGCTTGTAGATTGCGCAGGTATGACGGGATGAGACCAGGTAGTCCCCGTCTGCATTTTTGTCAATTGAGTTGATATGGAAGTAATCCCAGGGCTCGTGCACATTCAACCCGGTTCCAGATGTATCCGTGTGGGAGGGCCATGTGTAACTCATCGATGGATCGACATGGTCCAGAGCGCGCCATTCGAAAATTACTTTACTTGTTTCGACGTCCACTTCTTGGAACACGCTCTCCATCAGCCAGCCCATGCCGGTTTTGATATTCCATGGAGTCATGTCAAATTGGCGTTGTTGGTAGACCGTCATGAGCGCGGTCTTGCCGTCATTGATTGGCAAGAACTCGTGCATGTCACTCGATGCCATTCCACCACCGGGTTGTACTGACCGCACGATACGATAAGTGTTGTCCAAGATGACGCCATGTCCACGACAGTAACCCTTCTGTTGATTTCCCTGAAAGAAACATAAGTGATCGGCGCCTTCATACTGGCAAACATGCATGCCGTGGACATTGCCCGGACCAGACACTCCCCAGCCGCTCCATACTAACTCCTGTTGATCATCTGGTTAGCTGTTGATCTTCTCTCTCGTCGCATTATATTTCCGCCATACCCCTGAACTATCGTAAATATACGGTCCTGGATTATCGATATCATAAGGTGTAAGAAAAATATAGCCAGGACTCAACCGTTCTGGCTCGCTGAGTTCGACGTTAAACTTCGGAGGGTAGATGTCAGGTCTCTGCAGGATTGAAGTCAGCAACTACATTATATATATAGACAAAAGAGGCTGCAAAATGACGCGATAGAAATGGCATATGGTGAATTGGGGCTGCTTACCGATTTGAAGAATGATGTTTCATGAGCTAATGCGCCAGAGCAAAGAAGTATAGCTATAGTCAGACGCAGGACACCCGCGGAGTAAATTAGGGTAACCATGAATCCCATCTTTACATCCCATCAAAAGAAGTCTATAAAAAGGAAAACGAAGACAAATTAGAAATCAAATAATGCAAAGAGCAGCTCAAGCAAAAAGGAATAAATCAGTCAAGCCAGCGTGGAGGAATCGGGGCACAATTACGAGTATGGATCCCTACAAGTGGAGTCTCATGTCAATGGAATCAACTAGTTTGAGTATATTACGATAAGCAAGATCTTCATCAGGTGAACTAACTCGATTCATATGATTTAACTAGTTTAAGGGAACCCTGGAAATGAGTTGTGAGTTCAATAGTAAATGGGAAAGAATGGATCGATATTAAGACTAGATCTTTTGTTCCTATATTCAAAATGAACAAAACATGAAGACCAGATCAAGTATGCCTTACAATATTTACTCAATACAGTACTTGGTATTTTGAGGCCGCGTCATGTCGCATGTCTATAAAATCAAGTAGAACTCACGGTAAGGCATAAAACTCTGTAGACTGAAACCAAGTGATAGAGCCACGTGTGGAGACTGATAATGAAGGAGAGGAGACATATATAGCATACGTAAATGTATACGTTGCAGTGCTTTTAGAGTCCTGATAATAAACTGTAGTCAAGTTATTTGGAGGTGTATGCTTTGCTTTGTATGCCGTTCAAATCAATTTTAAGCAAGTTTTAAAATCTCCAGTTTATAATCTCCATATTGTACAGAAAGGCTTAGTACTCAATGGGATTAAATACGTAACAGTTCAAATCCCTAGATCAACAAAATAACACTCTAAGCTATTGGACGATGTGACACGGATCAGGATCACCATTAAAAGTCAGCTGGTATATGGGTCACAAACTAGAAATACAAAGTAGAGATAGGTTAATGGGTTCGGCTAGATTCCAGGTTCGTTCCAAGTTTCCATGTTTCATAAACTTCTAAAGGTTCTATTTCTACTTCTATTAATCTTTATACGTAAGCTACCTACGTAGTACAGTTGAAAAGACTATCCTCGGTAAGGACCAGACGCCAAGACCCACGCAAGCCGTCTACGTAAACGCCCACTTCTTATCCAAATTAAGCTAACATCAACCCGCATGCCAAGACGTTTAGAACTGGTACGAACAACACCACTACCCTTCTTTGGTCACTCGGGTATCGTCTAATACTTAACTGGAGGTGGGGGTTGCTGGGATCTGATAAGGTAGTCAAATACTAGTCAAGCATTTACTCGATTACAATACCTAGGTACTGTAACGTTACGATGTACGGAGTATGAAGTATGAAAATGAAAAGTCAGACTTTTATTTTTTGGTGCATATCAAGTAGTGTCAGTTCAGTGCCAGGAATGACAGAACCAATGCTCCAAACTAAAAGCAATGTGAAATTTATATACCCAAGTAGATTGTAGGCTTCTCCAATCATTGCAATCATAAGACAAAAAGGGGGAATATTATAGATACCAAAAAACAAGAAGAATGCGCATGTCAAGCTCAAAAGCAGAAAAAAAGGCGGAAACCTCAAAAATACGAAGAAATGACAAAAGATAGAATCAGTGGTGCCTGCACACACTGCGGAATGTGCTAAAAAAAGAATGAGCCATATGCAAGGGGTAGATTCAACTACCGACTGAAGCGCTTGAAGGCCATGGTGACAGCGAAACCAGTTGCCAGGATAGCACTGCCCATAGTAAAAGCATGTAGAGCAGCGTTCATCATCTGATGACGGTTGCGAGTGCTGCAGCGCTTATAGAAGTCGGCCATGTCGTTGCCGCGGGGGAAGGGGTGGTCAGGAACCTCTTCCTCAAGGAATTCACACAAAGGAGCCCAGCCGTCATTGATGTTGTATTCCAAGAGACGCTCGGCGGGAACTAGGCTCCGGACTTCGGCGACGTGATCGTTGTAAACCTCCTTTCCATATTTGGGGAAATCGCCACGGAAGAAAGTCTCAAAGAACTTGTCCAACATGGGGTAGTACATGCCAGCGGCCCAGCTGAAACCAGAGACAAGCTTGTGCTCCGGGTCGCTAACACGCCAGAAGACAGTCTTCATCACGGACCTGTGTCATTTATATAAGCTCATGTCCAAAACCACGCAGCATCCTAGAATTTAGACTTACGCGTGCCATGGGTCGACATCACGGGTAGTCAAGATGACCTTTGCGTTGGGATAGGCTTCAATCAACTCCTTGGCGAAAGCACAGGCAGGCCAGTCACAGACAGCCTGGCAGTCACCCAGGAGCTGATCCCATTCCTTGCGACCAAACTCGCCCATGCCGTTGTACTTTGCGTTGAGAGCATCGTGCCACATCAGGCAGTCGGGTGGGTTCTCAACACTGGCGCACATCATGTGGTAGCACTTGGTGTAGCCAAGACGCTCGAGAGCCTTGCGCAGGGCTGGATATAGGTGTTAGTTGGGTCATGTCAAGTAGCGACTAGTCTCCATTCCCTTGGAATACTTACAAGCAGTGCCGGTACGGCCAACACCAAGGGCCAGTACCTTCATAGGTACAGTGCGGTGGCACTTCCGACGGTCAATGTTGGTATCATCGGTGAAGACATCAGTTACAGGCTGAGGAGCAAGGTTGTCAGATAGCATCAGAGACATGTTGATGGAAGGTGTCGTGAAGAGTATATATTTTATATAGATCGCTAATAGATGCAAGATGGTGAAAGAGCCAATGGAAGAGTTTAAAGGGATCAATTGAGAAGAAGTAGACAAGATATTGAGGGGAATTCGTAGATTAATAAGAACGGGGCCACGAGGGTCAACAGAATCAAGTCTAGAAGGGGAAGAAAGAAGAATGGGGCCGGGGGAATGTTGATAAGTGGGAAAAATTACTCCAAATAATTAATTACCTCTTCTGTCCAAAAGATCTGATCGTAGACCCCAATCTGTCAAATGGTGACGAGTGGCAATGTATCCACAAGTTTTCCTTTCTTGGCTTCGTCAATCCTCAAACTTAGCGAAACGTCCAGGGGCTGAACCACCTAAGCATATCGAGGCGCAATATAGTAGTACATAAGACAGGTATTCCCGTATTACGCAGTACCAGGTACCAGGTACCAGGTAATAATACACGATACCGCCAAGACATTAAGCCGCGTATGCCGATTTCCAATTTCCTTCCATTATCTCCTTAGAGGGTCCTTGCGTTTTGACGTTTGTCATCTTGAGGGCAACGCGTACTGTTCCCACTGTTCCTTGGGAAGATCATCATATCCATCACTCGCTAAGTGCTGGATTCAGGGGGCAGACTTCGTACCCCACTCCACGCACCTTGGATTGATTAAATTCAAGTTTGATTGTCGAACCGCATAGCCAACTCGGGAAACTGAAGCCCAACAAGCCAAAAAAGTTCCAATCAATCTCGACGATCCCGGCTGTTGCAATTTTGAGACAAGGAGAAACTGCCTTCTGAGGTCATGATTGGATGCATTGTATTGATTGGCACGATTTGGCAGATATCCTGCTAATGGTCTTTGTCGTATGTTCTTAGCTTCCAAGTCCGGAGTGGGAAGACCTGGTCTTTGCTGAGGTCCCGTGACTTGGAGTCGCCTTCAGGATCATCAGCAGTATCAACTGATGTTAGTAACAAGTTAAAACGGGGGGAGAAAAATAATTTAAAAAAGTACTAAAGACAAAAAGTAAAGTAGTAATATAGAAAGGCTCTTAAAGAAAATCTAGGATCTGATGCAGCGTACAGGCTGAATATATGGTGAGCGCCAAGACCAAGTTTAATTGCGTTCGCCATCGCGGAGCTCGATCACATCACCACTATCAAGCTAAGGCCCAAATCCGGTATATCACACTAACAGTGATCATGTCTTATCCTTCAGAAACTTAACCATTTTGGTGAACCAGAATTCTTCAAACGGTATGAACGCCAGGGGAATGGCAAGGGTACCATCCGACTGAGGCCCGCCAGGACATAAGAGAATACGAAAATTTGCCCAAGTACCTACGTCCTACGGCCATAGGTTGGCTATTGATTCCGACATCGGCACCAAAGTTATATCACCTATTAATTTATCACCGTTCATGGCTTTCTCTAACGCCCGGCTTCGCGCAAATCATGCGATCGACAACTCCAAAAAAAGAAGCACAAATTAACCATGGGCAAGAGCCCAAGAACTCCGAAACTCCATGCAGATGACTGTATGTTTCATGCACTTTCACTTATCACCGCATGTTTCTAGCTGCATTCCGTAGTCGAGATCGAGTCCCGGTCTCGAATCTCGCCCTCTACTCCAGCTTATCTAGATGCTCAAGTCGGGTAAGCACAACCTGCTTGCTTGTCTCTTCAATCTCGCCGGCGAGAAAGACCTCGTCTAGAATTGCGTAGACCTATATAATACCTCCGTCAGCGTGGGTTTAATTTGTGAGGATACTCTCTCAATACTCCGGCCTGTACGCACCTTGTAGAAGTTGAATACTAGATCCAGTTCGCACACATTCCCAAAGAATTGATCAAGCACCTCGACGAAGAAATGGATGGCCTCTAGATAGGCGAGCTCGTTGTCGTTAGCATCCACACACACGCAGAAGAACAGTCCCGCATATCTTCGGTACACGATCTTCGCGCTTCTTCGGAATTCAACAAAGTTGGACTGGTATTTTTGATCTCTCGGTGCGACAAGGCGATGGACCTGAATTGGATGTCAGTTGTTGGTCGCGGTATTTCAAGGCCGAAGGTCGAAGGTGCTGAAGCGGAGGATAGCTGGGACGTCACGAACCTCGCCCTTGAGCTTTACTTTCTCCTCATCCTAGACAGAATGTTAGATTGATGAATTCAATTATAGAATTGAATCACTCACACTGTATGGAGCGTACCACTTCGCCAGGCGTGTTTTGCCCCTATAACTTTATCAGCTGCAGATTGAGAATAAGCAAGGAGTCAACTGACTGGCGATTTTGGACGAGAATAAATGATAAGACCATTGTGATTACCAGGAGGTTACCTGGCCTGCATCTGTGTTTTCCTGAGCGAAAGTTGGCACACAGCTTGAATGATCGCCGCTACTTCCGTCCGTTATCGTGAAGCTCCCCTCAATATACTGCCGATATTCACCGCCTAAGGGTCCATGGGATACTAAACTTCACTAAATTTCTACGATGGCTTCTTACTGGAATTTTCAGATTCAATTGTTTTGTCAGAAATGCTGACAACCATTAGGCTGAATTCCGATCTAACCTCTTCTTAGAAACTTAAAACAAGGACATAAATATCATTAGTTTCCGAGAAATACCCAAGCTCATTATCAAAGGGTTCTCAGGAACACATCACACATTAGGGTATCGATTGCACACAGCGTTGGTCATGAAGCGCCCAGGCTCAATCGATTCAAAAAGCCAGTCAGCCGAGCCTAGATAAAAATGAAGTTAATATCAAAAAGCAAAAATGCTCAGATGAACCTAGGCTTACAGTATAGCCCTGCGGCCTGTCATCAGAAGCCAGCTTCGACTTATCATCCACATAGTTCTCATCATCGTAATCCTCTTCAAATTCAGGAAAATACCTCTCCGGATCCCCGTTATAAACCATAAACCAGCCAATCTTCTCATCAGGCGCCAAACGATTACGCAATTCCTCCAACGCCTCCGTCTGATCAGACGTCAAGCCAGGTCCCTGCTCCACAGCATCCTCAATGTTCTTCCCAGGCTTCAGACCATCAGCAGTAGTCGCGCCATCAGGGATAGTCATGACCTTGGCAGCCACATAGGCATAGTCCTGGCTGACGGTATTGCTCGACTCATCGTTAGGATCATATTGCTCAATGAATCGCAACTCTGGCAGTCGTGGGAGTATATCGGGTTGTGTCTTTCTGAGTGATTCACGTAGAAGTTCTGTTGTCAGTGGTTGTTGGATGTATTCTGCTGCAGCGTCCTCGAGATTGTGGAGGACGATGTATACGCGGATTCCTGTGAAGCCGGCGCGCGGCCAGCGGAATCCATGGAGCATGTAGACTGGCATGGCCGTGTGTAGGTCGATTATTCACGATGAACCGCACAGGTTTATCCTGTTGGGGGATTGGGCAGAAATGTCATATTAAGTGGAGAGTGTGTGAGGTATCGAGGTTGAGGTGAATTGATCCCCACTTCTTGTTTATTTCCAACGGCTAGACCGCTGTCAGAAAAAGCAAAATTTGGTAATGCATTTTTCCAACTTTTCAATCCTAGGTTAAGCTACAAACGATATGGCGTGCTATGGTATACCAGAATATTTCCTCTTAGCTACATGTGGACCTGCCATCAGCCGAACCGTCGACTAGCCTATGGAATATAGATGGGAACCTGCCTGAAAGAGTTCAATTAACAATACAGCTACATCTAGGCTTCACTTGATCAAGACGTTAAAGTAAATATGCTGTAGCCCACAATTCCAAGGGTTTAGAATGAGTTGCAGAGCAATTTAATTCATACCAGGATAGAACAAGACAAGTCAAGTTCAAAACTACTCAGGGTTTCCTTGATAATCCTGCAAAACGTAGTGTGAGCTCATCCACCTCGGGAATCCCATTATTCTTGGCCTTGGTAGGCTTAACAGAATTTCCAGTATCCTTATCCTCTGTTCCTGGGACCTTGACCCGGGGATGTGGATTATCAAATCGGGGTGCCGGAGGAGCAACACTGACAGGGCTACGGCCTGTAGTGAGGCGCGGGGGTGTGGCTTTGTTCAATTCACTGGTATCCGACGCACGTCTTTTAGAGATGCTCGGGGTCTCTGGCAGATCTTCCCATTCATCGTCACCCTCGCCTTTCCCATCATCCACAAACTCGAGCGGCGCGTCACCAAGGTCTTCTTGTTCCTCGCCATCTGGCCAAACAACTCCATATGCCTTTGCAATCTCCCGCAAATAGCTATCTACCAGCTCCGGCCCCGGTGGACGCACACGTAATTGCTTGAGCAGACGCTCTGGAACCTTGACGGTATCCATCTTGTTGTCTTGCGCTAATGTCATGAACTCCTTTCCATATCGCTCACCGAGCATTGTACGGAGCATAGTGAGTTCGCGCACTTCATGCGGGAAACGATGCCAAGCATAAAATATACACACGGCAGCTTCATCCAAAGCCGTATCCAGATAAGCCTTCTCTTCATCGGTGAGCTCGTCAAGAGAGGGCTCCACCGCGGCAGCACCAGCCTCCTTCTTCTGAGCCCCCAACCACGAAAAACCAAAACGAGGCGCCGGAGCTTCTGCTTTAGCACTGGCACCGGCTGCGGCGGCTTGTGCTTGGGTGTGCTTCTTGTACACTTCCTTGGCGCGCAACCTTGCGCGAGTCCCTTTCTCTCCGAACGCTAGCTGGTCTAACACGTTGGCACGGGCTAGGAGAAGTTCACAGTATAGCTCCGTCATCTCCATAACCTCCACCGCTATATCTGTTGCAATGACATTTTCAGCTCGAATGCGCGCGGATGAGTCGCGACCTTCGCTGAGAAGCTGTGCAAGATCGCGACGCTGGATGACTGAGGAGGCGGTTTCTTTCTTCTGGAGGAGTCGGAGGCGAGGGATGAGGAGGCGCAGGTTAGATATTAATCTGGTCTTTTGCGACATTATTGTTAGCTTCGTGGATGTTGGGGACTCGAATCGAGCGAGGCAAGGAGGGGGATGGTGATCATGGTGCGGGGTAATCTGCAGGTAGCGCGACTTCGGGGGAAATAATACGAGGATATAATATTTCTTGAAGGGCAGTATTAAATTCAGCAAGAACTTACTGTTTGCGGCGTGGGAGGCATTGTGAATGGCCTCGGGTTGTTGTTGAAGTGAAAGGGCAATTGTCCCGGATTTTGGAGGTGGTCCACATGGTCGCCACACGCTAGGAATGGCAGTTCCTCAGTAGTGAGACAACAGTATATATATATGTATGTAAATAGCCTAGACTTTTGCTTTGAATAGGCGTTCGGTATGGCGGAAAAGCAAATAGAAATTAAACATGCGCCTGAACAGGCCCAGACAAGACTGACAGTAATCGGCCCATAGATTCGAACATTTCATCTGATAGAATGACTATTTACTAGGTAAAACTGCACCGTTCTTTGCAGAAGCCTGAATATCACCTCTCTCTTTCACCATTGCCGCTATATGTGTCCCGACATCGGATTCAAGTTTGCTAAAGCCTTCAATAACCCCATCGCGATCGCCCTGACACAATTCCTGGCTCATCTTAAATTTGCCTGTAATACTCTCAATCGTGATCTCAACCCCAATGATATTCTTCTTGATGGTATCAATATACTTCTCCGGAGCCTCAGTTACGCTCCATAACTCAGGTTTCCCCTGCTGGCCCGTATAACCCATGATCGAAGTTTCGCACAGCTGCGACAGATCATGGATTTGCTTGGACTGATAGTCAGAAGTCTCCAATGTAGATGAATCATAGTAGACGGTGGCTTTGCCGTATACTTCAACAGCCGAATAATTCCACGTGGGTACGACTTTACTTGTCGCAGGCTTGGTTTCTGTGTAGAACTTTGGCGTCACATAATGGTGATGCGTGCCAGTGAACACAATCATCACGTCCTGTTGTAGCTGTGTTGCGGAAGAGTTGGTGACAGCTTCAATCATGGATTTGGATTGAAGATTCTGTCTGGCCATGTGGCCTCGAAGAAGGCCTTTCACAGGTGCCTCTGGCTCATCGGTGTAGACATCTAGGACTCGGTGCGAGCTGGTCAGGGGTACATGATTTAAGCGTTGAGAGAAGTACAGGTAAATAATATGGATACGAGGGAATCCGAATCTTTATCATGTGTGATCTAGTCCCATATAGAAAGTTGATAGGATTGAGATATGAAGGGAGTCACGGTAATAACTACAGGGGCTGTAGCCTGTATCAAATGGTAATTCGGTAATCTTCCGTCAAGTTAGTGTTGAGTCCCGATATGATATGAGGAAGTTAGAGTTGAGTAAAAGGCCGATTAACTCCATAGTGGATCTTGGAAGGGAGAGTTGCGATTCGTCAACCAAGAAACGTGGATGCCGTTTTAGGAACTTGACGGGAGTGGGGCCAACGTGCTATCATAAAAGTCTTCCTTTCTCTACCCAGTTCTTTCTTCAATTTCAATCACAGCTTCAATTCGTAATTCACTCTAGTACTGAGCTCTTGCCAAGGCACTTTTGAGCACTATCCATCCATCTATTCAGGCATTGCATGCCGATGATCATCTGAACTTGGTCAAGGACGTCGCACCCCCAATTCACCTATCTACAACATTCAGATATTCAAATGATCAAAATTAACTAATTCCCATTCTCTACTCGGAGGCAGATCTTGTGGTACGTAATTTACATGTCTTCTTTATACCATTATGCAGGCTAATTATTCAAAAGGATGACTTCAACGGAAAGAACTACGTCTATGCCCGTGAATTCGCTCCAAATTCTACTAGACTTGAGGCTGTACTCTCAGCTCTTCTCAAAGGCAATGCAGTATGCTATGCCACTGGCTTGGCATCCCTGCACGCCGCACTGACGCTTCTGAATCCCCGCCAAATCTCAATAGGCGAGGGCTATCACGGAAGTCACGAAGTTATCTCTGTGGTATCGCGCCTTTCAGGGCTCAAAAAAATTGGGCCTCGACTGTCCCGCCGAAAGCCTGGGTGAAGGGGACGTCATTCTGCTTGAGACTTCCGTAAACCCATTTGGAATAGCGTTCAATATCGAGGAATATGCCGAGAAAAGCCCACTCTCGCGGCGTATATCTCATTGTTGACAGCACATTTGCCCCTCCTGGACTACATGATCCATTCTTGTGGGGTGCTGATATTGTCATGCACTCTGGATCAAAGTACTTCGGAGGCCACAGTGATCTTCTCTGTGGCGTTCTCGCCACAAAGCGGACAGGCTGGACAAAGCAGCTCTTTGAAGACCGTATGGCTTTGGGTAACGTCCTCGGCAATCTAGAGAGTTGGCTTAGTCTTCGGAGTCTGCGCACGTTCGAGCTGCGTGTCCGAAACGCGAGTCAGAACGCTGCAAAGCTGATATCTTGGCTCAACAATGCTTTGAATGCTCCTTCTCCAGCTTCTGGCTCTGAAGAGTGTACTGTGCAAAAAGTGTTAGAGAATATCTTCCATGCGAGTCTTCAGGATGAGCCTTGGGTTAAGAAACAAATGCCAAATGGGTTTGGTTCTGTGTTCTCGATTACTATGAAGCAACCGGTATTTGCGAGGGTGCTGCCCTCTAAGCTTCATTACCTCCAGCATGCGACAAGTCTTGGAGGTGTTGAGAGTCTTATCGAGTGGAGAGCATTAAGTGACTCCAAAGTGAATACAAAATTGTTGAGAGTCAGTGTTGGGTTAGAAAATTGGGAGGATCTGAAGGAGGATTTACTTCAAGCGTTTCAGTTTTTAGCGGGTAATTCAAACTGATAGAGATAAAAGAGATGAAAGTGAAGAATCTATCTCCTTTTTGTACCTAGACAAATATCGTCTCAATGTCTTCGAGCTCAAGTTTAAACCCATAGCCAGTCGCGACCCAGACAGCCAATATTGAAAATCCATGATTGACTCTCTTCGAGGGCATCCTCTTGCTGCTAATACTCCTGTAGAATCTTGGCAGCATTAACCGCATTGAGACAGTTGGTGATATCCCAAAAGTTCTCCAAGCAAATCAAAAGAAAGTCTCGTTGGGCTTGCCATCAACACTCTAAGCCAGCGACGAAGATTGGCCAAAGAACGCATTTGAACATATTTTGGTCTTCCTTTAAGAAACCGATCAAACCAAGCAGCTCAGAAACCATATCATCTTGCGCGGTTATGTGCTTATTCAAGGCATCGAGTATACGTCTCCCATATAAAAGAGAGCCGAGTTTGTATGGTTGTGATAGGGTGCAAAGATTGACAGTCTCCTGCTGGGAGGAACTTCGCGATTGTTGCAGATTTGAGGCCCAGGTATAGCAGTCACACTTTTGGATGAGCTCGATTAGAGATGTTGTCTCTTTTAAATGAAATTTAATAGCGGTTTCATCAAGATCTAATCCGTATATACTATCTCTTTCCATAGAGAGGCATCGGATCGATGTTAATATGTATTCCGGACATCCGAAAAATAAGTTTCAATCTTTTCTTGAAGCTGCAACTCCTGTTGATCAAATGGTGAGAGCTCGGATAATAACTTGGGGCGTAAGAAGGTTGCCCCAAGAACCTCAATCCTGCGACAACAACACCTGTCAGCGGGTGTTAACTATCTTTGAATTTGAATATACTCACAGATGAATTTGCTTTGATATAAATCCCCTGATCTCTTGTATTGTCTTACCTGGTCCATTGTTCACTCCAGCCTGATATCCAGATAGTGAGTAAGTGGAGGCTGTGAAGGGCTAAAGCTAATCTTGAATTCAGAACTAGCTAGGCACATGCTATTTACAAAATCCTTGAAGAACGTGAACAATTCGGGGTGGAATCGTGAGGTATGCGGTTGGTGGGTCACGTGGTACAACCACGTGATAGTTCACCAGGATTCAACCTGTTACAGAGGCAATCAAGTTCTTGGCACCTTCTAGGTGAAAATTCCATCCATCGCTTCCAGACTCTAATAGATCTAGAAAAATCAAAAGAAAAATGCTGGCTATTATAGTATCACGCTTTGGTGATTCAATATCACCTAAGTAATGGGACACAGCTTGTATAGCGTGGTGTTTGAATGCTAGCGCATCCTGATTTGCATTAATGATTCCAGACGACTGGAGTACTCCAGGCTGATAGAATGATTGGCATGTGTTGACATGATGTCGAGCCGCAAGTGCAAGAAGTGCCTTCATTAATACAGGATCTTCAAAGCCAAAAGCAATGAGACTCCGAAATGGATTCTTATCGCTGTCGTATACAATAAAAAGCTTGCAAATGCGTTCATTATCTTAACGAATATTAGTGAAAGTTCGATCAAATTTGAAAGGACACAGACTACGTGTACTTACATACAGTAATCAACGTAATATCGGGAGACTCGATCTAATTTCGAAAGGCATGTATCTGGTAGAGAACCTGGTAACGATCGTGGATTTGTGGGAACAACTCGCCGCGAACGCCTTGAGTCCATGACCTTTGATATATATTTTTCTTTCCCCCCGATGGAGTTTGTACTTGTCTCTTCGTATGATCGGCCTTGCATCTTACCACGGATCGCAACACCCTTAACCCATCGAAGCGGCCTTTAAGCAAAACATTCTAGTCCAGCATTCTCACATTTGGCACAAGGTGAGAGCGACCGGTCACATTGGATGCGTCAGTTACGATAGGTATAGCATGGCTCAAAGACTGACGGAGTCATTTTGGGGAAAGAGTGTAGTTAGACATGTGCATGGGTTGGGTATGGGTCGAAATTCATACCCATACCCAACCCATCAGGGGTAAGGCAAACCCATACCCATATGGGTATTTTAGTTGCCTTAATGCCTTAATAATGCCTTACGCTAGTCTGAAATAGAGCTAGTTTACTTAGCTAATTATACATTATAATGCATGTAATTTTTGTTGTTTTAATCAATACCATCTATAATTAAAATTCAAACATTCAAAATTTGATACTAATAACTTAACACTAACTAGCATCACCACCACCACCACCACCATCACTAGGTAGAAGGGCGCCATCATCACTACCACCACTACTATCATCGCTAGGTGGAGGGGCGCCACCATGAACACGAGCAGCTTGTCTTTCACGTTGACGTTGTGCTTGACGCCGACGTTGTGCTCGAGTTAGTGGTCGAGCTTCTAGTAGTGGTGGTCGAACACCATGAAGCGTAAGATAAGCCTTAGCATAAGCATTCCATAAAATATTAGCTATAGCAGGACGGACGCTATCAAGAGATGGAGCAGTTGCTTGATTTATCTATAATAAAGCTGTCCAATCGTTTTATAGGGCTGTCTCCCAAGCGTGAAATGCGACCGTTAAACGATCATATGTTACTTATCGTATTAGGGCTTCAGTCGCCATAAGTTGACGAAAGGCATTATCATCAAGACCATCATATTCATCACCACGACCAGGACTTCGACGGATTGTAGTCATTGGTAGCTTATTTAAGGTAATAATTGGAGCTACTTGTGGGGGAGTAGGTCCCCGAATGCGATGCTGATAAGGGGTTACCGCTGCTCTTAGAACATGATCCCGATAGAAATCCTCACCCCACTGCTGTTTAAAGAAGGGATATTTTTGACTTAGAGAAAATTAGATATTAGTATGATCATACTTATTATTAGGGAATATGAAGGTATGACTTACGCAAGATAACTACAGACATCGGCGAACTAACCAATATCGCTCCCGATTAGGCTGCGACCAGGTTCGGCAAGAAAATGGGTGTTACGCCAGTCGGTACTCACCACATAACACGCGAGGATTTTGTGTGAGTCCGCCCTCTCCTTAGATATTATCGCTGCTGTACCTGGTGGTAAAACTAGATATTAGATATACTTAGTAATGCCTTAGTAAATGTTTTGTATATATCTTATAGCAGCTAGTATGTTGCTCATGAAAATGCCGATTCATCATGCCGTTATCCTTGAAGGTGATGCCATATTGCTGACCTCTTTCCATAATAACTGGACATACTAAGGTATTAACCTTAGACCAAGGAAGCATAGGATTTGGAGGACCAAGACCCTTTCGAATATCTTCTTTGATATACGCAACAAGGATGGGCTCTGTTGGGTCCTCAAGATCGCGCTAGGTCTATGGTCTCTAGCCTGGATTTGGATCTTCGATTGGTCCTAGAGATTTCCAAATGGTTAGTAAAAAGGTTGTTTCGAATAATATGTCTTATAATATACTATGACAATATCTGTCGCTCGCTTGGCGATATTCGAATATCTTGACTGAGAACGGTGAGCTCCAACGAACCACTACTCAACACCGTAGACAAACCACCAAGTGTAGTGGTCTCTACAGTACTGAATATTGTGGTTGTTGTGAAGTCTGCTTTTTCATTGATGAAAGAACTAGCTACTTATAGTATATGGGTGCCCCTCTGCTCTGGACGAATGTCAACATTCGTCCGAGACAGAAGAGACGGTGAAGACAGGACATTACTGTCGCGAATGCACATCGCTCAAGGGTGTCGTTTGCGATGAATGCATATTGTTCAAGGATGCCGTGATATACTAATCTAGTTCCGGAGTCGCTGTCTCGGCAGAAGCTTTTTCGGCCGAAATACTTTCCGTCTGTTGATGGCCTTGTTTCTCGGCCGTCGCAATACTAGAGCAACTCTAAATGTTATTAAAAATAGAGAAATAAGCTTCATCATTTCGTGTAGAACGCGATGCCAATTGTACCAATTTGGGTGTATAAATATCATATAGGCCGTAATTCGTAAAAGTTGTAGTAGGAAAAACTTAATGTTCGACCTAACCAAGAGTCTCTAAGTCGATCTGATTTGTATTAATCAACTCCTTTAGTGCGTTTCCACACTTCTCCTTCGTCATCGCATCGGCAGGATTTAATCCTCCTGCGATCTACTTGAGCTCTATCTGGCGTCGTTCATATGTTTGATGTAGTGCTATGATGTCGATCATAAGTCGTTTTTCTTATATAGTCCCGAGACGTGTGACTGTATTATATATTAAGCGTGAGTCTGTATAGAGTGTTAGGGGAATTCTAGGTAAATGCTCCACCGCACACAGGATTTTATTTAAGGTTTGGTTGACTACGAAAGCGATATCCACTCTGTGTGATGTGGTATATAGCTCGGCGGCGAGTATACTCCTAGTGACTCTATGATATTTGATAGATGACCAGTGTAGGATATTGGTATTAATGACCTGGTTTTATCTATATCTATTAGCTATAGTGATGATATATCCGATCTGGCTGCTTAAATCACGATTTCTTGTAAATGATGTGTTAACGAATAAGATAAGCTATAGCGTGTCTTCTTAAAGCTTAATAAAGTAAAGTCCTCTCGCTTGATTATCGATTTGCTATTGGATGCGCCTATTTAATCTCTCTGTATCTTCCTTTTTTGGGTTGATGACTTGAGCTGAAAAGGATAAGTCATATGTGGCTTCTGGTTGGTAAACTGATGCGATATAAGCTCCACGAGCGTGTTGAGAGATATATACATCCTTTAAAACGATTTTGGTGGCGATGGTCTTTAGGCGTTGGTATTAATCGATTTACGAAATTGTAATCCTGTTTTTGCCTTTTCGGATGATGCTGCCGTTGAATTTAAGTGGATTGACCTCTATGAGCTTTTAAAGCGGTTTTGATAGAAGCTGCGCCTTCTATAGTTCGTCCTCTTCCTTCTTAATGAATGTAGCATTCGCGAGGATCAAAGTGTTGTCTATCTGTATTCCGACAATTCTAAAGTGTTTCTTGCTATAGAGGAGGCATGTATTATAGGTGGATTGCTCTATTCCTAGCTTTTCAAGATGATGCTTATAGTATATCTGAAACCAATGATTACCTGCTTCCGGGATTCCATAAAGGGGCTTTAAGACTTTTAGGACGGTGTCCTTTAGTAAACCAAATTCAGCAGGGGGTTATATATAGAATTGTCGGTTCAAGTCTGATGTCGACTATATATATGCCTATAAGATATCATAAAGGTATAAATCTGAATTATCTCGCATCGCAGCGATAGATAGAATTATTCTTTAGCTAACATGTTGAATCGTAGATACTTAGGTTAGAACAAATTCTTTTCTATGGTTATTATATACCTACACCACGAGTCGTGACTTTTCTCTCGCTTAATCTATTCCTGTGTTTTTGATCTTATCGACGAACCTGGAATTAAAGAGTCGAATTCCTTTAGGCATTTCTGTTCGAGGCACGAATTTGAAGACTCCTTTAGCTAGTAATCCATTGATTTTGTTTTATCGAGAGGCGCGAAAGTCTGGCGTCGGGGTGTTTAGGAAGATAGTATTGATTTCATCTTCCGAATCTTCTTTATCTGTGTCTTCGTCTTCTTAGCGCTTTAGACGTTATATATGTCTTGGTTGTTGTAAATTCCTGCCTCTGTTGTCGATGATGACACTAAATGGTGGATCCTTATATGGCTATATATTAGGCTGTGTATTAGGCTGTATATCTAGACTATTATATTATATACTATTATTCTATACATCTAGTAGTGTATTGGTTTGCTGGTCTTCTTCTAGGAATGGCTTCATGATAGTTATCTAGAACAATCTTGGGCCTTTAACGCTGCTATCGACAATATATATGTCTCTGTCGATTAAGAGTAGTGGGAATAGCCCTGTCCATTTTTTCTTCTTTTCTCTCTAGACAAGAATAGGAGAATTTAGTGGTAATCCTTATATAGCGGCTGTGATGGGTCTATTTCGCATGTTCATGGCGTCTTGAATTTATTGTTTTGCTTATAGTTTCTTGACTTCCTGTATCGCTCTTATAATAGCTGTAGCGCGCTATATGACTATTGGCGATGGGGCGTCTAGCTCCGCGAGTCGCGGAAACGCTCCAAAAACGAGTAGTGTAGGGATAAGACCATTTGGTCCGACTGAGTCGTTGATCGCTTTCTATATTATCTGGAGAGCTAGTTCCTTATCAATATTGGCTTCCCCTATTCCTATGGAGTTACTAAGCTCTCGTCTGATGATGTTATAGACTCGTCGTACCATAGCATAGTATCGCTCGACTTTTCCTATAGAATTATGCGCTTCGACTAGAACTATCTTTGCTATGGTTCCTATAGTTTTTATAAGATATCTGAATTCTTTATTGTCGAAATTGGTTCCTATGTTGTTTATGATATTATCTAGGGGTCCTTGGTAAACATCGATCTAATAGAGTCATAATACTTCCCACGCATGTTTAGCTGTTATGCCTTTTCCTTTTTATAACCATCTTCTACTTTGAAAGCTTATGGCTTCGTCGATAACATGAAGAACTAGATCTCTATTGATACTTATTATATTAATAATGATGCTATGATTAAAATATACATCGCCGTCCTTGTCTTAAAGGGTAAATCGGAATCGTCCTAGTGATTTCCCGAACTTCTGGCAATGTTCGTAAAACTTAGTGATATGCTTAAGCATATTCCTCTCTACCTTATGTCCTGCTTTGCTCAGAATTGCTTCAAGGCGGGCGACGGCAGGATGCCCTAGTCGTCGGTGAATTCTGCGTAACTTAGTATCTGTTAACAG